CCCTAACCCTAACCCTAACCCTAACCCTAACCCTAACCCTAACCCTAACCCTAACCCTAACCCTAACCCTAACCCTAACCCTAACCCTAACCCTAACCCTAACCCTAAGGGGGGTGATGTACTGGAAGCATGGGGGAACCCGAAGATCATTATAATAGTTGAAGGACGATATTATTCACCTTGGAATATTACTATGAACTTCTTGCTATCATCACAGTACTAGTACGGTACGCCTTTGTAGTTGGCATCGCCGTGGCGGACCTCGTCGGGACTCACCAAGACTGACTCCGGGTATATTAATACTCTTGTCATGCTTATCGTACACTCTCTTGCCCTACGTGGGTTTCACGGTATCTCTTGTGAAATCGCATCACCTCACCTCTTGTCTCCGTCGATAACGACCCACTGGCCAGGGAACCAGGTGTCGGTGATGTACCCGGTAGCGAAAGCGTATACGCCCTTGTGCAACACATCGATCCACTGCTCGTAAACAGGCCAAGTCCTGTGTATAAATGTTAACAAAACAAAGTCAGCAAAGTACCCAGACGTATACGTACCACGGCGGCGCACCAACACCGGTAAGGTTCTCCAACGTCTGATCAACGCACAACCGCATACATGTAAAGATGAAATTCGCGAAAGGTCCCCTAATCCCATACAGACTCATCAAAGCCCTTAACGCACCAGCGCAAGCTCCCTGCCCGTAGTGCATGACATGATTGAGACCCCAACGCTCCGAATCAGGCTTGTCGGGGAGACCGAGGAGGCGCTCGAGGGTGTGAGCGGGGACGTAGGAGTCGGGACGGCTGGAGATGAGTTGTTCGATCTTTTCACCGGCAGTCATACTGTGCGACTTCTCGATCAGTAATCAGTAGACGGGAGCAGTAGAACAAGAACTACGTACACTCCGACACCGATTGCGCCGGCAATACAACCGTAGAGGATGGTGGTGCCAAGTGTCTGAAACGTGATGGGCCTGTCGGAAGCCTTAGAATAGGAAGCGGCGGTCATGATGAGCTTTCAGTTGGTTGTTGATTTGGTTACAATTGATATCGGTGTTGCATTCCAGCTGGTCGATTTAAGGTTTGCGATGTTGACGTCATGGGACCGTCACCTGCGCGCAGCCGCGGCCAGTCCTAACCCTATGGATGAGATGCCGGGTGTTGACAAGGGAGGGTCTTGATCGGTGAGTGGTTGAGTAGAATTCAACGAGACGACGGCGGAGGCACCTTTCTACTCGAGATGGCTTATTGGTACCAACTGTGTTCTATATCCACGCACGGACTTCAACCCATTTCAAGCATGACCAATACGCCCATCTATAGACGCACCATAGACACCTCCAATCCCAACCCCATCTTCTTCTTATGCCTCCACCTACACCACCACATCCTCACACATAACAACATACTCCCTTGTACTCTCCCCAAACCTCACCAAATCCCCCACCATCAACTCCACATACCTCGCCCCCTCCACAACTTCCCCATTAACACTCGTCCCATTCGCACTCTCCAAATCAATCACATACGGCACGACATCCCTCCTTCTATCCCCATACTCATTCACCCTCTCCCTCCACTTAAACTGGATAACGGCATGTTGTTTGGAGATAGAGGGGTGGAGAAGCGGGATATCGCAGATTGTCGCGTCACGGCCGATAAGGAATGCGGATTGGGCGTGGAGGGAGAGGATTTCGACGGGGGCGGAGGCGGGGGGTTTGAAGACGTAGAGACGCCATTTTTTGGTTGGTTTGGCGGCGGAGGGGGGTTCGTGGTATTTTAGGACGACGCCTTGGAAGGTGTTGGATTCGGCGGCGAGGAGGCCGGAGGCGTTGAAGTTTGGTTTCTCCTTCGGTTCGTCATCGACGGCTGGGGTGCCTTCAGCGCTTGCGCCGGGGCGGAGGGCATTCTGATCTGGGAGCGGATTGGATGAGCGGACGGAGCGGGATGGTGGCGGAGATGGCTGGCGGGATGAGCGATCAGAACGACGAGACCTGGTTTCATCTCTTTCCCTCCCCCTGTCGCCGGGGCCGGGTCTGAGAGTGTCCTGATCAGACAGAGGGCGGATAGGCCGTGTTGGTGGTGATGCCTGACGGGAAGAACGCCCGGACTGCTGGGATTTGTCGTCGCCTCTGTCCCTTACACTATCCTTATCCGTAGTCTTTTCTCTGTCCCTGCGGTCCCTCGAGTCGCGATAGCTTCGACGCCGGTCAGAAGAGCGTTCACGGTATTGGTCCTCGTCTCGCCTGTGCCGAGAACTGCGCTCCCTCGATCCTAACATGCGACCGTCGTCCCTTCTCCGCCTGGGACTCCGTTCTCTTGACCTCGAGTCGCGATCACGTCGTCTTCTTCTATCTCCATCCCCCTCCCGACTCCGACTCCTGCCCTCCTTTCGAAGATCTCTATCGCGGCGATCACGTTCACGGTCATCCAGTGGGTTGCGATCTACGGCTTCAGCGACCCGCCCTTTCTTCACTTCTTCGTCTCTGTCGGGACGTTCATCACGACGACGGTCTTTTGATGACCGACTCCTTCTCCTCGAGGATCTGTGATCCCGGCTCCTGTCTACAGAGTCCATTGTAGTTGAATTACGCGGTCTATTCGGTCGTCGATTGTACGTCGTCACGTGATCTACACTCATGCTGCAGAAGGCTCATACACCCGGTCCACCAGTTGCCGTAAGTCTGAACTCGAAGCAAAGGAGGACGCGAAGATAAGACGACGATTTTCCTCAGTAGTTCGTTAAATAGTCAAACACCCGCTACCGTCTAACGCCAATAGATCCCAATAACTACAAACCAAACAGAGAGCCCGATTCATCAAATCACTCCTCCAAGAGAGGCGCATCCTTCCCCTTCTTCAACTCCTCATTCTCTTTCAACAACGCATTCAACTTCTCCTTCGCGCCCCTATGATCCCTGATCCTCCCCTCCTTCTCCGCCTTCAACCGACTCTCCAACTCCTTCAATCTCGCTTCCCACATCTTATCCCTTTCACTATCACCCGACCCACTCCCACTCCCACTTCCCTCTCCCTTTGCTCGTTCTTTGGCAGGGGAACGCGCAGCCTTATCCTTCATCTCCGCCTTCATACTACGATTCTCCAACTTCAACATTGCCAACTCCTGCCGAACCCCCTCCCCATCCGCACTCGTACTTCTCACAACATGCTCAAGCTTCGACAACCTTTTCGTCCTCTGCTCCAAAGCTTGCTCCAAGTTCTTATACTCCTTCCACAGTTCTTGCTGCACCTTTTTGAATTTCTCGGTTGTGGCGTTCATTGTTTTTTCGAGGTTTTTGAGGGAGTCGGAAAGGTTGCGGGAGAATTTAGGGAAGTTCGTGGTGGGGAGGACGGTGCCTCCGGTTTCGTCGCCGCGGATGCCGGAGATAGAGGAGATGCGTTCGTAGAGATCAGCCAAAAGCTTATTCCGCTCGTTCATCTGCTCGCGGTACTGTGACTCCATCAACTTGAATGACTGGTGTTCCCTCTCGCGCGCCCTCTCCAAATCCGTGACACGGCCTTGCCTGTCAACAAGTCGGTTCTTCGCCATGTTATCACCCGTCTCAACCTCCCTCAACTTGCTCTCGGCGCTCTTCCGCGCCTTCGTCTCTGCAATCAACTTCTCACTCAACTTCCTCGTCTCAATGGCAATGAGCTCCAACTGACCCTCCTTGCCCTTCAAGATATCTTCATGCTGCGCGATATCCTGACGCGCCTCATCCAACTCAGCCAGCGTATGCTCATAATCCTCCCTCAAACGTCCAATAACCCGTGCCAGCGCAACACGATCACTCTCCGTATCACCAAGCGCTTGTCGCACAGCTCTCTCCAACACCGACAAATCACTCTGCGTCCCCTTCAACTCCTCATCCTTCTTCGCAAACTTCTGCCTAAACGCCCACAACTCCTTCTTGAGCCCCTCAACCTCCTCCTCCTTGTCCTCCAACGCGATCCTGATCCTCTTCTCGATGTCTTCCTTACTAGCGCCACCGCTCTTCCGCACCCGCTCGACCTCGTCTTCGAGTTCCTCAAGCCTTCTCTGCTTCTCCGCCAACTTCCTCTCCGTCGTTCGACGAAGGTGCTCCAAATCACCAACATTAACAGCCGCACCATCAGCTTGCTCCCTCAAATTCCTGACCTCGGAATTCGTCCGCTCGAGTTGTGCCTCGAGCCTCATCTTATCCTGTGTCAACTCCTGGACGCGGCGCTGCAGATCATCCACCTTATTCTCCTCCATATCCACGATACCCCTAGTTCGTCTCTCAGACTCCTCGAGCAAGACACGCATTCTCTCGCACCTCTCCTCGCGCTCTTGGAGACGCCCTTCGAGACCTTGCATCCGGCTTAGCGCATCGTCACGCTCCATCTGGAAATGCGTAAGGTCATTCTGAATCAACTCAATCTCATCACCCAAAGCCATGATCTCCTCCTTCAGACGCCCATTCTCGTCAACAGCGTCAGCCTTATACGTCTCAAACGCATTCTCCAACTCCTCCTGATAACTCAGAATAGCTTCCTTATCCTCCGACAAAAGCTGGTTCTCCTCAACCCATATCTGGATCTCCCTCCTCCCTTCCTCCCGAATATCATCCAAATCCTTCAGTGCATTATCCAACTCATTCCGCAGCTCCGCGTTCTCCCCCCTCAACTCCGTCACGCGATCCCTCAGCTCATTAATCTGCTCCTCATACTCCTCATGTCCTCCACTCCGCGTACCAGCCCGTTGATTTAACCTCGCCTCTTCCAACTCCTGGTACAACTGTTCCTTCTCCATCTGGTGCGCCGTCAACCGCGCCACTTGCGCAGTCAAATCCCGCCTCAAATCATCGTTATCGCTTTGCAAATTCTCCACCAGGACCTCGAGTTCCTCGTGCTCACTCTTCGGTTGAGGCTGTGTTCTCGCCTCCTGAAGTTGTCGACGAAGGTCCTCGCATTCGCGTTGATACATCTCCTTCTCACTCCGTTCGCGTTCGATGATTTCCTCCCATAACCGTGCGTCAACGCCAGTATCAGCAGAAGTTTTCTTCGCCAAGTTTCGGAGCTCCTCCATATCCTCCTCATGCTGAACATGAAGTCTGCGCAAGCGGTCCAATTCATATTCGTACGTCGTGATCTGCTCTCTCATGGTTAACAGCTCCTCGTACTCCTCGTCATTCAGGCCCTCATTCTGCATCGCAACCGGGGACTCCCCTCGCCCGGCAAGTTGCTTCTCAAGCTGTGCAATCAACCGCTTCTGCTCTTGCAACGTGCGATTCAGTTTCAAGAGCGCCGTCTTCAACTCAATGTTCTGGTTCAGGACTTCGTTCACACTGTCCTCATTCCGCTTCTCGAGCATGTCACTTAAGAAGTAAATCTTAAGCTGGAGTCCGAAGTTGTCCTTCCGCAGCTTATCAATAACACCGCCTTGCTCTTTCAACGTCAGCCCTCCGCCGCCGTTGATAGAGCCACCCGCATCAGAAGCCGCATAAGACCTTGTCTGAAGCTCTTTCATAGCGGATGCTGGAATCGAAATATTACGGACGCGTTCGGCAATCGCGGTATCAGTGGGTGCACGCCCCATCGCCGGCCGAAGTGGCGTCTCCAACGTCGTAGCTTGTCGCGAGGGGAAGTTGTACGACGACTGTCTGGACTGCAAACTCGGTGTTCGTGATGGTAGGGACGCGATGGTGTCCTCCTCGTACGAAACCTCATCCTCTTCCTCCGCGCGCTGTACCACCTCAGCGGCAGCCGGGTCAATGTCGTTCACGTCCCCATACTCCGGTTGTTCTTCGATACGCGGGGTACTTGCGAGGAAATCTTCGTTTCGAAACGAGCTCAACCTCCGCGCGTGTCCACTCCCTGGTCTTCGCGGTGCTGTCTGTTGCTTGTGTGCCAGTGGAGACCCTAAGTCCGCAAACGGATCATCGTTCCCCTCCTCTACGACCGCATCCTCATGTTGTTCCTCATTCCCCTCCGGTGGCGGCACACTCGCTGGATCGGTCTCCGAATCCACTGGTAAATAACTATCCGGGCGAAAGCTCTCCTCGAACGAACCGAGCGAGAGACGCGAGGCGTTCATGGTGAAGTCATGTTGTGTATCCTCTGGTGCCGGTGACGAGGACGCCATCCTTACCGTTTTGAAGCTGTACTGGGTATCTCTGTTGCTGCCGGGAGAAAGTCGCGATGCTCGACGTCAAGGCGCAGCAAAGCGCGTCAAATCCCGAAATTGGCAAATGCATGTCTACGTTACGTACCAACCACCTGAAGAGCGGAGCTTCACTCGAGATGCGAATTTTGGTCGAAGATTAGTTGAACAATACCTCAGACTTCGTACTATTCGGGATTAGGTCTCGTGGTCCTCGACTTCTTTATCGTGGTATAGGACCCGCATTCTTGCCCAGCCTTGGCATCCCATAACGCATTCAAAACGTCCTTCTACATCTTCTCTCGCGCATTCTCCAATTCGCAAAGCTCTTCCAGTTCGCCTCGGTGCCCAGCACCACTTCCTTCACTTCCATATCCCATACCCTTCCAACACGCTCCAGAATCTTGTTCAACCACGCATCCATCCCCCTCGCACTGTCCATATCCGTCTCAACCAACAATCTGTCCTTCGGTGTTGCCTGAATCAAGTCATCAATCCTCGGACTTCTCGCCGACAGCGTCTCTGAGAACGAAATGTAAATTTCAATCACATTCGCCGGGAGCCGCAGAAGAACCTTGAGCGACTCGACGGATCCAAGAAACGAGTGTACGCATACCCTAACTGGTTTCTTCTCTTCGCCTTTGCCTCGACCAGCTTTCCACTTCTTCACCTTTTCTTGTAACAAGGCCTGTAACGGACCCCACGCGTTCACGCAATGCAAACTCACGCCCACCCCCAATTCCTCGGCCAAATCCAGTTGCTTGGACAGCATCTCTACCTGATGTGCCATGTTCGTCTTCAAACTTGTGCGCGCAGTGCCCGACCAATGTTCAACACCAGCAGGGAGCAATTTGGCCGATGCATCGAGTCCTACTTCGCCGAGCAGAACGGGATGGTTGGAGGCGAGTTGTGCGGATATCCGCTCGCGTAGAGCGGGCAGCCACGTCGTAGCCGGTATTGGTGATGGCAGGCCTTCAACAGTAGGCTCAAAATCAGGCGAATCCTTCGACGACAGTACTGCTTGGTAGTGTGCTTCCTTGTCTTCCCCTCTTTCCTCTTCCTCCGTAGAGTAGAGATGACAATACCAAGGATGTATTCCAAAACTCGGCACACACTTGGGATTCTCGCTTTCACATCTTCCCTCTGTAGCGGCTCTGCTCTTTTTGGCAACTCCCTCGACAACATCCCAATCTGCCATGTGTACGCTCATCAGGTTGACGTGACCCGTTCGCAAGCGTTGAATGTCGGAGAGGTGATCGTGGTCATCGTGGGGATGACAGTGCGCGTCTGTGAGATGTTCATGTAAGGATGGTGGAAGTGTAACTGTCATTCTTCGATACTCAGGCTGTCAGGTGTCTGCGACGTGACAGGGAGCTCCAGAGCAATGCGACGTTAAGTCAGGTCGTGCGATGACGTCATAACCATAGTCGTCTTCTTCGTACTCGAGTCGAGTCTTGGACACCAGCTTACCAGGTTTCTTCCTTTGCAAACCGCAATAACCTCTTGCCAACCTCGCTGCGATCCTGGTTTCTCGCGCATGCGCAACAGTGCTAAGACGTGAACGACCGAGGGAAGTCGCCTTGGTGTAGCGTAATATCTATTTGCTTGACGTCTAAAGAGCATTTGTTGCCCTTTGGCGATGGCCACTGTGGACGCGGCCCGAGGCCTGAGAGTCGGCGCGGGCTTGAACTCATGATCCCAACCGACCCTAACAGTTCCCAAAGCTCCATGAAAGCCTGAGCGCCCCCTGCACTTCTGACTACTCACGTAAAGTCTCCCGAAATAAGCTGAATGTCGCCGCACCTTCATCACCGTCCTCAAATATGACTGACCCTACGTGTGTACAGAGAGCCGAATGTCTACCTACGTGACCCACCTTTTCCTCCGTGACTGTATCATCAAAAACCATACTCACTCCCCCATCCAAGTCACAGCCCACTTCGCCCACGAAACCTCACCAAGCACCCTCGTCGTGCATTCCGGGAAAGAGACCGGGCACCTGAACGCCATACTCGACAATATCAATGTTATCACGGGAGAATATGAAGGGGACTGGCTCCCCATGACGGACGCCATTATCAGGCATGGTGGGAGTGTCACCATCGCTGGAACGCAGCCAGAAGATAAGCTCGTTGCGAGGTTCAAGGACGAGAAGGGATGGGATTCTAGGGTGCTGTTTACGTTGGATTATGAGAAGCTGTGCTGTCATGGTGTGCAAGTGAGGGAGTGTAAGGCGTGCTTCGAGGTGTACAAGGCCTCGAAACCGTCTGGGCGTTTTCACATTCGTGGCCGTCGTTTTGATTTAAAGAAGCAGAAAACCTAAGCACGGGGGGGGTTAGTCGAAGCGAGGTCTGTAACTTGGCACAAAGTATGGCACTGAGTGATGTACATGTCCCTAGATTGCACTACTCGCCCATTAAAAAACGCACCACCCTTGTCACGTCTCTTAGTTCTCCTTGATAACAGCATAGGCGTACGGCTCTCCAGGCTGAGTCCCAGATTGCAGGTCTTCACACACTTAGCAGTTTCATCAGCTTTCTTCTTGCAACTGGCCCACATCGCAATACCCCTGCCCGGGTAGAGACAAGTCTGGAGGGCTCCCGTTCGACTGGTAGTAACGCACGCAACAGTAGCCTTAACGGTCGTGAAAGGAACGAGGGCAGTCACCGTGCCCGTTGGCAGCGGTCATGGTGACAGCACACAGCCTCAAATATAAATCATGAAATAATACAATTGTGCTGGGGATTCCACAACGGGATTGACGGCGAACAGTTTCTTATCGTCTAACGTTAACGTACAATATGTACATACAACACCCTTCCTAACCTGGCCGTTTGATGAACATTTTGCGACGCCGCTTGACATGACATGTCTCAGTGCGGGAGGCCCGAGCGCTAGCGTGGATGTGCCGTTCAGGCTACGATCGCGATTCGTGCGCCCTGAGGTATGCACCGAAACTGAAAGAGTACCCTACTACGTACCCTCAGGCTACATACATACACCGAAGCTTCTTGACCCCGTGGTTTTTGTTTGTTGCCTCTCAGACTTGGAAATTGAGTACTTGAAATGTACGAATCGCGACGAGGAATCTGTTTAGGTAATGTTCTTGTTTTTGATTCACCCCGCTAATGGTCTCCTTCCTCACCGCGCAACCCCCTCCTCAGCTTCCTTCGCCCTCCCCTCCTCGAGTTTCTTCACCATCCGTTCGACAACCCTCCTCACCTCAAAACTCTTTCTCACTCCCTCCCTCCCCATCAAAACCGCACACCAACCAGCGAACTCGTGTCCAGCAGTCTCGGAATTAATCACGAGACCCTCGATGAGGTTGTTTGCTTCCATGACTTTGAGACGGAGGATAAAGGGTGTTAGGGCGTATTCGACGTACGTCGGGTACATCGCCGCATTAAAAAAGGGACCGATGCCGATTCCCGAACTCGTACTCAGGTGTTTCGCCAATAATGGGGATATCTTGGTTTTGAGCGCGGTGAGGATTTGGGTTGCGATTTGGGGTGCGCGGGAGGGGTGGGTGAAGAGGGTGTAGTACGGCGCGATAACCTCCTTCCCAAAAACATCGACAAACAACCTCGCTTGAGCCCTCTCCACCGCACTCCCCCTCAAAATCCCCACACCCGGAACCAAATCCGCCAAAAACTCTAAAATGAGTAAACTCTCCCTCAGGACACATTCCCCATCCCCGACTTTCATCACAGGAACTTTTCCCTCCGCATTCAGTTCCAAATACCATTCCGGTCTTGGATTCTCGAGATCAATTTCGATGAGGGTGTGGGCGATGTTACATTCGAGGAGGGCGAGGTGGATGCGGTGGGCGTAGGGGCAGAGGGGAGAGGTGTAGAGGGTGAGGGGGTGTTCGGGGGTGATGTCGGGGCGGGCCTTGATGTCTGCGGGAGAGCCTTGTTTGAGGGCGAGGTAGGGGCAGCCGGCCATTGCGATGGTGAAGATCAAAGAGTTGCGCTTGCGTGGAGGGGTGTTGCAAGAGGGTTGTCCGTCTGCCGGCTGTGGCTGGTCAGGCACATGACGTCATCTTCCCACATGCACAGATCGCCGTCCACTCTGCGTAACCGACCACCAAGAACGACAGACGAACAGCATGGACCACTTGAATCTAGGAGAACCCGTCACAGCGCCTTCTGCGACAGCTCCTCTCTCGACAGCGACGTTCTCCTCCTCCATCCCACCACCGCAACAACCGATGCAAGCCGCATACACCTCCACTTCAGGATTCGAAACGCTTCGTTCACGCATGAGTGACCTCGCACTCTCCGAAAACTGCAGTCCCACCACTTCCGCGCCTCCCAAAACAGACACAGACACAGACACAGACACCGCATTCCGCACCCGCCTCGCCAACATCTTCGGCTGGCCTTCAGTACCGCAGTCCGTCGTCGAGTTTCCGTGTTATCTGTTGAAGAGCGTTCTATTGCAGGGCTACCTCTACCTCACCCCCCACCACCTCTCCTTCCACGCCTACCTCCCCCGCAAAGACGACACAATCCTCAAATCCGGCACCCTCTCCCGCAAATCCTCCCGCGGCCTCCGCTGGAAACGGGAATACGTCCTGCTCAAAGATGGCGTCTTATCCGGATTCGCATCGAGTTCCGATTTGTATTTCCCGACGCATTTAGTGGATGTCGCGAGGGCCGTACATGTCAGTGGTGACGGGAAGGAGATTCGGGTTACGATGCAGGGTGGGAAGGAACATGTTTTTGGTGCGGATTCGGAGTTGGGGGCGAAAGAGTGGGTCAAGGCAATGCAGAAAGTCGTGTTTTGTGCGCATAATCCGGGGGATGCGGTCAAAATCGTTATTCCCCTCCCAAACATCCTCGAAACGGAATCCGTACCCGCGTCGACCTCTTCGGAGGAGACGGAGGGCGTGAGTGGTGCGTCGTTCGGGTCGGATGGGATTAGGGTTAAGGTCGTGCTCGATGATGAGACGTTCCTCATCGAAGAATATTTCTTTGCGTTTTTTGGGGGGTGGGAGGAGGCTGTCAAGATGATTGGGGAGAGTGTGGAGAGGAGCAACGGGGGGCAGGTGAACGGGGAGGATGGTGCGGGGGTGGGGGAGAGGAAGTTGAGAGAGAGTGTTAGAGATACGACGGCGAGTTTGGGGAGTAAGGCTGGGACGCCCACGACGTTGGGGGGTGATGATGATTCATCCTCGTCTTCGGCTGACGACGATGATGACGACACCGAGGGCGACGCGGCAAAGACGAATGCCCTCCCGACGAAGAAGTCGCACACGATTCCCCTCCCTAAATTCCCCGGCATGAAACTCCTCGGCCGCACACGCACAGGCCACCAAGGGACCCACACAACCGACCCCTCCGAACCCGTCCAACACCCCGCGCTCCAACGCGATGTCGAGGAGGCTATCACGAAGGGTGAGACGTCTTCGAGGTATGGTGATGATTTGGGGGCGAGGAGGGAGGAGTTTGTTGGGAAGCATGGGGGAGGGGGGTTGGGTGGGTTGTTGAGGAAGGGGGTTGGGAAGATTATGGGTGGGGGTGGGGCGAGTGTGAGTGGGGCTGTGCCGCCGATGGAGGGTAGGCAGGATGGGGGGGTTGGGGGAGGGGGTGTAAGTGATGTGGTGGAGGAAAGTCATAAGTTCAGGTCACATTTCGCGTTACCCGCTGCGGAAGTCCTCTTGGGGACTTGGCAGTGCTACATCACCCGCTCCATCCCGTTATATGGAAAGTTATACGCGAGTGACCGCAATCTCTGTTTCCGATCGACCCTCCCGGGAACGAAAACGAGGATGATCGTGCCGTTGCGGGATGTGGAGACTGTGGAGCCGGAGAAGGGGTTTCAGGTCCTATACTCGGGACTTGTAGTCTTGATTCGTGGACATGAGGAGTTGTTTTTGGAGTTCGCGAGTGAGGAGGGGAGGGATGAGGCGAGACGTGTTATCGAGGATGCAGTCGATGAGGCGCTCCGTGATCGTACACGCTCCCGACTCACGGTCGAGGAGATGGATCAGGCGAATCGGGATAAGGAGGAACATCTCTTCCTCGCCGAACGACACCAGAAGGCGCATGACGCCCGTCCTCCGCCCGAGAACGAGGGTGCTGGAAATGATGTTCCGCCGATTATCTTTGATGATCCTGGTACGAGTTTCGTGACGTTTAAGCCGGAGGGGGCGTTGAGGGTTACGTGTTTGACGATTGGGAGTCGGGGGGATGTACAGCCGTATGTCGCGCTGTGCAAGGAACTCCTCAAAGAGGGGCATAAACCGCGTATTGCGTCGCATGCGGAGTATAAAGACTGGGTCGAGGGACATGGGATTGAGTTCATGCCCGTCGAAGGGGATCCAGCGGAACTCATGAGGATTTGTGTGGAGAATGGGATGTTTACATACTCTTTCCTCAAGGAAGCTTCGAGTAAGTTTAGGGACTGGATTGATGGGTTATTGAAGAGTGCGTGGGATGCGTGTCAGGGGAGTGATGTGTTGATCGAGAGTCCGAGTGCGATGGCTGGGTTTCATATCGCCGAGGCACTTGGGATTCCGTATTTCAGGGCTTTTACGATGCCGTGGACGAGGACGCGGACGTATCCCCATGCGTTCGTGGTGCCGGATCATAAGATGGGTGGGAGTTATAATTACTTTACGTATGTCATGTTTGACAACCTCTTTTGGAAAGCGACGGCGGGCCAGGTTAATCGGTGGAGGAAGAGGACGCTGAATCTTGGTTCGACGAGTTGGGATAAGATGGATGTACAGAAAGTTCCGTTTCTGTACAATTTTAGTCCGAGTGTCGTGCCCCCGCCGCTTGATTGGCCGGAGTGGGTTAAGGTCACGGGATACTGGTTCCTCGATGATCCGGATTCGAACAAGAAGAAGAAGTGGGAGCCGCCGGAGGAGTTAACGGCGTTCATCGAGAAGGCGAGGAGTGATGGGAAGAAATTGGTGTACATCGGGTTCGGGAGTATCACTGTCTCGGACCCGAAGGCGTTGACGAAGAGTGTTGTGGAGAGTGTAGTGAATGCGGACGTGAGGTGTATCTTGTCGAAGGGGTGGTCCGAGCGTGGTGGAAGTGAGGAGAAGAAGGATAAGGATGAGGTGGAGGTGCCGTTGCCGGATAGTATGCATCAGATCGAGAGTGCGCCGCATGACTGGCTCTTCCCTCGTGTTGATGTGGCGGTACATCATGGTGGATCTGGAACGACCGGCGCGTCTCTGCGTGCGGGTATCCCGACTGTCATCAAGCCATTCTTTGGTGACCAGTTCTTCTTTGCGAATCGGGTGGAGGATTTGGGTGTTGGTATTGGTCTGAAGAAGTTGAATGTTACGCAGTTTACGAAGGCGCTTGTCGAGGCGACGAATGATGAGAAGATGATCGCTCGCGCCAAGGTTCTCGGCGAGCAGATCCGCAGCGAGAATGGATGCCAAAATGCGATTCAGGCGATCTATCGTGAGTTGGAGTATGCCAAGTCGCTCATCAAGACGCCTCAGCGTCATCATGCCGAGGGCTCGAGTGAGGAGAGTTGGGATATGATGGATGATGAGGAGGATGAGACCAATTACGATGAGGCATTGGCGGAGGAAGAGCAGAGAGCCTCGAAGCACTCGCTGAACCCGTTCAAGGCGATCAATAAGATGTTGCAGGGTGTCACGCAGACACATGGTTCGGCTGACGACGATGAGCCTGATTTTGCTGATGCGACTTCGGGGCGGACGGATGTTGAGCATCAGAAGTTTAGTGATGTTTAGGGTTGTGCGGTGGACTTTGTAAGAGTATTGGAATTTGGTTTGTGGTTAGATGTGTGTTTTAGACGTTTTTTGCTATAGGTTTCTATTGGTAGTTAGATCGTTCGTAATGAAACGTGTTATTCCTTTAAGGAACCCTTCGAAGTTGAACGCATTTCTAGTGAATGGGTATACATACTTCGGCTTAATCCTGTGCAACTCTCCTCGTGCAACGTAGATGTTCATCCTTAACCCTGGACATTTTTCCGGCCATTACTGCCTTACTCATTGTTCACAGCAGTCATTGTAGCCCTCGGCTGCATTGGCTGAAGCTAGCATATGTTTGGTGAAGAATTATATCTCACGACACCACATTCGTGTAACGTCGGAGGTATATAATAATGGCGCGATGTTTTCGAAACCTCCGCGCTTTTCCTTACGATTGTGCAAATTTCAGCCTGCGGCCAAGTGAACTTCAACATTTGTTCTTTTGAACGACGCAGAAAGGAAGCCTCCCCCCACTTTAACAAGAAGGTACCTATTCGGGGGCAGATATGTATCAAATGCCAAATGTGAACCGCGACAGTGTGAACATTGTCAAGATTGAACTGGGGAGCGTGGGAACTCGCGCAAGGTCTCCGAGACGGAGGTTGGGCGGCTGAGCGCATGGGTAATTCTATACAATCAGCACCTACAAGATGTCTGCCTCATTATTTCAATTAGTGTCGTCTCGTAGATGCCTGCGCAGCGACATGTCTGCAGCCGGATCGGTCAGGCTCGCAGTAAATGCCAGGCCCCCTGCAAGCAGCTATGTCAACACAGGAACCACAAGACGCTGAATAAATGTTCTTATTGCAATGGATGATGCATCGATATCAAGTTTTCTGTGCTTCGGGATATCTATTAATTATCTCAACTGCGTTGGCCATATCCGGATCCGGTCAGATACAGGTGCTGACCCTAGCGCGCAAGCTGGCCAATCGAACGTCGTCCAGTGTTTCGCGCTAATTTCTCACGATTTTTACCCCTCCGTCGTCTCCCTCTCGGGCTTCCCACTTACCAACCACCACCATCATCCCCAACGAGGATACTGACAGTTCTCTCGCTGTCAGAGGCCATCCCGGGGTATTGAAATGCCGGATTCGGTTCGTCTGGTGCTACCTCAGCGGGCACAGGTCTTCGTTGCACAGATATGCATGTTTGATGCATGTGAACCGGGTGTCGACGCCAAAGTAGGGTTCTTGACCGTCTTCGGTAACCGTCACCCAGCCCTCCGCCCTACGATCCGCGTGACTCGGAGTGTCTTCCCGAGCGAGCCCCAAACGACCTTCCCCGGTCAGCCTTTTTCGGTCAAGAGCTGCGAAATGTCGGATTCGGTTCGCCTGGCATTACCCATGGATACAAGTCTTCGGACACAGGTAGCGCATATTTGATGTATGCTGGTAGTAGGGCTCTTGACCGTGTCGACAACATACGCCCAACACTTCCGTATCTTATGTGAGTAAACTAGCTGCAGCTTCGGTTCTCAAGAACTCGCTAACACACTCTGTCTTTTTCGACGCTGACCGGATCCGGACGGGCTTACCCGCTTCGCCCCCACAACCCTTTCGACGGGAAGCAATCCAACCTGGCTTTGAAAGTGCAAGGAAAGGCGAAAGATGTACCGGCCCTGCTATGGTATTACCCTGGTGGCCGAGTCGGGTCTTCTAGTAGTCTTTTCCGAACATCCTCGATTGCCACCAGTTTCGCTCTCAGCAACCCTCACCCCCACGACCAGCCAGCACGCGACGACACTAAGTTCACTATGACTACACCGCCCGCTCCGTCAGTCAACCACGCCATTCCGGTTCAACCCTGGATACAGTGGCACGGCCTTCGTCGTGCGGCGGTGCTCCCCCGAATTCACCAGGTGTATAAGCCCAAACTGAGTGGGCTGCTGGGGCAAGAGGGCTGCCTTCGAGGGTGTACACTTTCGTGGCCCTGGATGAACTTCGACAGCACGGGAGTCTCTCTCCCGAAGTAGTCGCTAACTGATCCCCCTCACTTTCATCTCTAGCCTCCCCTCTCTTCACACACGCACTTTAATGCCCCCTGCACACTTGTCTTTCACCTCCTTTCCTGGCACCCTCATCCTCACTAGGTCTGAAGGTTGCGACCCCTTCTTTGCAAGGAAACACTCAAAGACTGAATTGCTATTACCAACCCCCACCGGATGTTGGGGACGGCTACATACTTCCGACCCTGTACGAGTCGGAGCAACCTCCGTCTAAAATGTAGTGTCATCGGAACGAAGCTTCCGCTGAACTCCGAAGTCCCACGCACCCTGCGCTGCCCAGCTACACGGTACACCGAGCTTGGCCGCGTCTTCGAAAGTAAAATTTTACGTCTCGTTGTCCCGCAGCTCTTATCAATGTTGTTAAGTTAGGTGTAGACACGGTAGGTGTTGAAGAACAAACTCTACGGTTCGGACTACGTACGGCATCGCTGCCCACCCGCCGGTCGGACTTGAGCTTCGCTTGCTTCACAGGACGCAGACGGGCGGTCGACTACACGACCCCAAGGCCGCCCTGCACAGATGACACAGGCCACACCTGATTCAACTCTGGAATTCTTGATAGCAAAAGGCAGCCTGCAATGGTGATGAATGTACACAGCACAGCTGGCCTACTATTTCGGTTCCACGGATGACAACGCTCGACGAATCACGAGGTCGGGACTAGGCGTGATACATGGTGGAATCTGGAGATGCACTCGAGCGCCGAGCAAAGGAACAAACACGCTAGGCTGCAGACTGGTCACTAGCCTCCACGAATCCCGAATCGACGCAGGCAGGTCACGTGCAGTCACACGACAAGACCGAGTTCGAGCACCGGCGGACAGCGGCGACATTTGCGGTGAGAGCCATCACCGTGGTGATCATATTTCGTTGAGCCATGGCTATGGCCCGCGTCCGTCGACGGTCAACCATGCCGGCGGTTTTCTAGAACGCGCTTATCGCGCTGAATGGCGCTCGCCTCGTGCACGTGCATGCGTACGCACCGACGACCAGGAAAGTGCAGAAACGAAGCAACTCAGTTCAGCCGAGAGATCCAGTCCACGATCAAGTCAGCAAACTTTGCTTCATGGGCAACGGTCGGTTCTCTCAGTTATTCATCACCAGTAGGGTTACCTCGACCCGGATATGAGAGATGAATTAACCGCGGTCTCGAACTCGGGCATGACGTCAAGAATCGCGGGAATTGGTAACCCCCACGGAGTTACCAATCCCTCTCGATGGGATCACATGCTTCGCCGAATAATCGATCAAGGCATTGTAGCTGCGATATAAAGGCTAGCAGCTGTCCTTCTCCTTTCTTCTCCTCGACCAAATACACAACCAAACGACAATAATGTCAGGGCCCCTCGACACTGTCAAGGACTTCGCTTCCTCCCTCACCGGCCAGGCCACCGCCTCAACCGAAAAGGGCGAGTTCTCCAAACCCTCCGAGTTCCCCACCGAAACCCAGCGCGGCCGCGGCGTCGGTCTCCAATCCGACATGAAGAAGCAGCCCGCCACCAACCTCCAAGAAGCCGAGGACGGTTTCACCCACTATAAAGCCGCCGGCAAACTCGCCGGCAAGTCCGCCCTCGTCACTGGTGGTGATTCCGGTATCGGCCGTTCTGTCGCCGTGATGTACGCCATGGAGGGTGCTCACGTCGCCATTATCTACCTGCCCGAGGAAGAGCAGGATGCCCAAGAGACCTCCCGTCTCTGCCAGAAATTCGGCGGAAAGCCCGCGATCTGCAAACCCTGCGATATCCGCTCCGAGACTGAGGTCAACACCACTATCGCCTCCATCATCTCCGCCTTCGGTGGAACCCTCGACATCCTCGTCAACAACGCCTCGGTCATGTACGACACCAAGGCTTTAACCGACATCTCCACCGACCAATTCGACCGCACGGTCAAAACCAACGTCTACGGAACCTTCTTCGTCACACGTGCCGCACTCCCTTCCATCCCCAAGGGTGGAAACATCATCGTCACAGTGTCCCAAGTCGCATACTCCGGTTCCCCAACCCTCCTCGATTACTCCATGACCAAGGGCGCAGGCGTCGCTTTCGTCCGCTCTTTGTCGCAGAACTTGTTGGAGAAGGGAATCAGGGTAAACGGTGTTGCGCCCGGACCCGTTTGGACTCCCCTCCAGCCTGCGGCGATGGATGAGGAGACCTTGAGCGAGTGGCATAAGTCCCCTGCTCCTATGGGTAGGATTGGACAGCCGAGTGAGTTGGGGCCTGCGTATGTTTTCTTGGCTAGTCAGGATGGTTCCTTCATTTCTGGACAGACCATTCACGTCAACGGCGGTAAGGTTGTTAACTCTTAAAGAGTTCGCGGCTGTTAGATTGCGAGATTGTGAGAGTGTACGATTACGATCTGATAGGATAGTGAATACCCATATGATTTACACTTCCGCCGTGACACGGCTATACAGCAAGTGATTACACTATGTTTATGTTATCCCAAATGATATCAAGATCCGCCGTAGCAAAACATAACTGCTTATCCAAGAGCACCGCACAAAAAAGTACAAACGAGGGTGTATCTCGCAACACGTAGATCAGCACAAAAACGCCCCCAGTCAAGCTCCTCCATCCCCTATCCAACCATCACCATCTCAGCAACACTCGGCGCCCCATCCACGATCAAGAAAACCATATACGGTCCCGGGGGCGCGACATTCAAACTCGGCGGCGGCGCAATCTCAATCGTGCTCAAATCTTTACTGACAGTGATATCCAAGAACAACAATCTCGTACCCATGTGTACGCTGTGCGTCACGAAGCCCTCGTGGTACAAGGAGACTTTGATATCTGCTGGGCTGGCGCCGGCGGGGACGTTGACTGACATGGTGAAGTTATCGCCGCCTGGCGTAATGGTGGAGGATGAGAGAGAGTTGATGACGGGGCGCGTTGTGATACCGTAGAAGGGCGTGAAAATCTCGACCTCGAAACGCGTAACATACGGATTCGCGGCATCCGGCTCCAACATCGGCTGTTCAACTGGGTTTGAACCGGACACCATGACAGTCGCGTCGGGCAACAACAGAGCAACGGAGTGGTACAATCGCTCGATCGTCGAACTCGCCAAACTGGTCCAACGGGATCCAAGGGGTTTGCTGGGTTGGTAAAGCAAGGCGCCATAGTCTGGAGCACGACCAAGTCCGAACCCTTGTGCGCCAAGTTTGCAGCCGTTGAGGAGGATGAGGTCGCCGGTTGGCAACATAACCCATTCACCCATCACACGTCCCTCGGGCATGGAATCCATCTCCCAAACTGGAACATCATCCTCAGGCTTGATACGACCACATGACGGATCAGACGGTGACGAAGTATCTTGATACGCTCCACCACCGCAAATAACGATCTCACTTTCCCAGTTATTCGCCGACGAAAGCGCGAGCAGGGCGGAAGAGCCGGTGTTGGGGTAGGTGCGGTAGTCGCCAGAGAGGTCAGGGAGGGACTTGACGGTGGCATTGGTGTCGACGTCGAAGATCTCACTGGATTTGCTGGCGAAGACGAAGAGGTTTCCGCTCTTGAGTACGTGGATGAATGGGTACCTGTAGGTCACGCATATTAGCTTCACCTCTCTTGAGGTGAGAGTCACGAAAACCTACATGTAATAAGGCTGAGCCTTGATCAACAAATCCATCGGAACCGACTCGCCAGTACTGATTCCCTCCGCACTCAAAACCTCCCAAGTCGGGTTATTGTTGCTGGAGACAGTTGGATCAAGTCCATTCAAACTCCCAGAACAGACAAACAACCTCCCATCTGGAAGTGTCTGAACCGTCGGATACCACCTGGCCGTACTCAACTTGTTTCCCGGCTCAGACCAGGGCTGACCGGCATGCGAATCATCCGTGCGGTCGAGATACCTAATACCTGTGAATCCATCACCGACGGTAGGGTCAATATCAGACAACGGCGCATTACCACCAACGGAGACCCACACACCATTCGGCAAGAACGCACCACCAGAACAAAATGCGTTCGTCTCATACTGCAACGGCAAATACGTATTCGTCTCCAAGTCATACTCGGTCGAATACGCATACTGCCCATCACTCAACTTGACCTGCGTATAATTCTCAACCTTATCCAAGAAAATAACCTTCCCGTTCGGCATAACACCCGCATGCATCGCCGGTGCTCCACTCATCCCAACAATCTCGAACGAACCGGCAGCGGCACCGGTGGCTTGAGGAGCAGGAACAGGCTGGTAAAATGTATCGGGTTCGCTGGTGCAGTTTCCGGATTGACAACCAGCACCGCAGTGAGCGGAGGTATCACCACAGAAACCATACATGGAACAACAACTTCCCGGACCGGCCCAGTCGCCACAGACGGTGTAGTTGTACATGGCACCACAAGTTCCGTCAGTGGTGACAGAAGCATCAGGGCTTGCACTTTCACCACTTCCCTGCGGACCCGAGATCGTGCCTTCGCCGCCAGTTGCGGTGGAAGACGAGGTAGGACCAGAAGTGGTCGAGTCCGTGCAGTTCAACTGACATCCATTCGAGGTAAGACAATGCAAATCCGTGTCTCCACAGTATCCGTACTGGGAACAACACCCTCCCTGAGGCCAATCACCGCACATAACAGTACCACCACAAGAACCATCAGTAGTATACGTGTACCCGCTCGGTAGCGCCGTGCTCCCACTAATCGATGACGCAGATGTAGTAGGGCTGGTCGAGGTGAAGCTTGGGGAGATACATCCATTTTGACATCCGTTGGAGACGAGACAGTGTGCATCCGTGTTCCCACAATACCCATACTGAGAGCAACAAGTCCCCTCAGGCCATCCCTCGCAGGAAACATCAGGACCACAAGTTCCATCCGTAGTCACCGCCATAGTAGTCGCAGGCGCAGTCGACGTCGAGGAGATCGTAGTAAGAGAACCATCGGTGCATCCGTTCTGGCAACCGTTGGAGACGAGGCAGTGAGCGTCGGTGTTGCCGCACCAGCCGTACTCTGAACAACATGTTCCTTGAGGCCATCCCTCGCAAGAAACATCAGGTCCACAGGTACCATCAGTAGTAGCCTTCATCGTAGAAGCGGGAGCAGCAGCCGTCGAGGTAGCCGGAGGCATATTCATGGTCGTAGTCGAAGTGGGCGACGAACCATCAGCACACCCACTCTGACATCCATTCGCGACAAGACAGTGAGCATCCGTATCCCCACACCACCCATACTCAGAACAACATTCGCCCTGTATACAATTAGCACCGGACCTCGTAAAGTACCACATGCCTCAAGCATACCTGAGGCCATCCCTGACAAGTAACCTCCGGCCCGCAAGTTCCATCCGTCGTCGGTACCATCGTACACGTCCCAAACCCAGTATGACACCCATTCGACACCGCACAATAAGCATCCCCATCCCCACACCATCCATACTCCGAACAACACGTGCCAGTGTATCCCATCGCGTTCGGATCACATACCGTATTTCCATTCGCGGGGCCACAGGAGCCGTCGGTCGAGTATGTCACGGGGGCTGAGCGGGGTTGGAGGAGAGTTGGGGGGGAGGGGTGGCAGGTTTTGAGGCTGGGGGAGAGAGCTGTGCAAGAAAGTTAGCGGTGGAGTGGAAATCTAGGATGGTGGTTTGTGTGGACCTAGTTCGCAGATTTGGCCGCGGGGACAGATGACGGTATCGCCTCCATCGACAGTTCCACACGGGAGGTCACGGTGGGGGAACTTGAGTGCACGGACACCACCAACCGCGGCTGTGGTGAAGAGAATGTAGGAGATAATGTCGGGTTTGAGCTTCATTGTTGATCGTAGAGAGTGTAGGAAGGGACTGTAGTGGTCGCGTTGACCGAGGTGGAGGAAGGGGAAGGAGGAGGGCGGAGGGCGGAGGGCGGAGGGCCCGTTTATAAGGACGACAGGCACGTTCAGGAGTTCATGATAGTAACGCGAGTCTGTTGAGATCGACATGTGTTTGTTACCTCCTTTCTCGACCCGCGGGTGATGTCAGGCGACACGGAGCTTTCGTTCTGGGATCACCTTCGGTGGAAGTGCCGTCGATATACCGTGCGTACCCTAAGCAGTCAGGTCAAATGCCAGCATGTACCATAGTAACTCATAGCATGCCAAGGTGTGTTGCCGATACAGTGGAGACCATGGCCAGGATAATTCCTGGAAGTGCCGTCGACATCTTGCGATAAAGTGCGAGACCGTGCGTAGTGCTCGATCATTACCTATCATATTTTTAGGGTTAGGGTCGACAAACAAAATTGAGACCTGCTGGCCCAATGGTTAAGGCGCTTGACTACGAATCAAGAGATTCCAGGTTCGAGTCCTGGGTGGGTCGTTTTGGCTTTTGCCTAGCTGTGTCGTGACTAATCACAGCCTGTGTACACTGCACCTGCATTACGCTGATGTAATCCAAAATAATTCAACTGCCGAAAAACCTCCCGAACAAAACGCGTCCACCGTGCCATCCACCCCTTCTCCTCCTCGATCCCTTCACCAAGATGCCCGCCGACATCAACTCGCTCGAATGGGACTTGCTCGAAGACCGCTCAGTCCCCAACGACGACCCATCAACCCACCTTGCCCACCAAGTCCTCGAAGGCCACTTCCCCTCCGTCTTCACCTCTCAACAATCCCGTGCACTCCTCGGCACTGATCTCCCAGCCTCCGATCCCCGCGTCGCTGCATTGAGGGAATCATGCGATTACGCAGCGTTCGTGGCATCGACAGTCAAGGAGACTGTCGGATATGATCCTAGCCCCGAGGACGAGTTTGCTGTGTTGATGCTGGCTATTGCATTGTTGCATGCGTTCGTGCAATCGAACTATACAGGACCTTACCTCTCCCACGAACCAACCCTCCTCCTTCCCGACTCTCTGGCCACAGACACCCCCTTCCACACCCGTCTCCAAAAACAAATCCTTCGCGACCTCTCGCGGGACGGCGAAGACCCCTACCACCTTACCCCCCGCCCGCACTACCTTTTCCTCGCCCTAACCCTCCTCGACACCAACACCTCCACACTGTCCTTCCAACACCTTGCGACAACCTCATGGTGGCGCGCACGTGCCTCATTCATCCACCAACGAATCCTGGATGATCCCGCAGCCTCCCTCCACACCACAATCTTCACCTCCCTAACCTCAATCCGTCCCCTAGTTGAATCCCACGGCTCTCGCGACCTCCTTGCGAGACATTCCATTGAAACAGGGCTTGCGATGACGCATTACGGGAATGATCGCGAAGCGTTCGGGATGTTTGAAAAAGCTGGGAAAGAAAGTGGGTTGGAGTGGGCGCTTACGGGACGGATGGGACGAAGGACGAAGTTTCAGACGTTTGATACGTCGCAGTTGGTTGTTGTTGCGAAATCGCGGGATCGGGACTCCGGACAACCCACGGCTGAACGAATCAGGGATGGTGAGAAGATCGTTGTATTGGACAAGCCTGCGCAGCCTTCCACGGGACCAGCGCCCAAAACGCTCGATTTGAACGACGACACCCTCCTCGAAGCAATCTCCTTCACCTCCACCTCCACCACCCCCATCCCAAACCCCGACCTCCGCATCCCCCCCTCCCTCTCCACAACTCCCACCCCTCCCACCTCCCTCCCCCCCACCCTCCACTCTGAAGATCCAAACACCCCATCCCCCCTCCACCCCCTCGACTCCACAATCCTCCTCGGCCTAACAATCTGCATCAAAAACACAAACCCAGACGACGGTATCACAATGGAAGAAATGTCCCCCTACGCTGCGCGCGTGTTGGCTCATCCTAGGAATTGGAGTGTTCATTCGCATGCGTTGCTTGTTCGGACGCGGTTGGAGGCTGGGAAGGGGAGGACGGTGGAGAGGAGTGCGTTGCAGTTACAAGCTTTGGTTGATCAGTTGTTGGATGATGTCGATGCTTCGCGGCACAACACGCGTTCGGAGGCGAGTCAGGCGGGGCATACGTCCTTTTTGAGGAGAGGTGCGGCGGGGGATGGGGAGGATTCAGCGACGACGAGACAGAGGTTGGGGTATGCATGGCAACTCCACCTCCCCGCATCCTGGGATCTCGAATCCGAACTCGCCACGCGCTGGGTCTCCCTCGGCGCCATCAAATCCGCGCTCGAGATATTTGAGAGGTTGGAGATGTGGGCGGAGGTCGCGATGTGTTATGGTGCGATCGATAGGGAGGATAAGGCTGCTGAGGTGCTGAGGGCTCAACTCGAGGTAAACCCTAATAGTGCGAAATTGTGGACGTTGCTGGGTGATGTTGAGCGGAATCCTGCGCATTGGGAAACAGCGTGGGAAGTGAGTGGAGGGCGGTATGCGAAGGCCCAGAGGGCATTGGGTCGACATTGGTTTACGAAGAGGGAGTATGAGATGGCGAGGGACGCATACGCGCTCTCGTTGAAGATTAACCCACTCAACCAACCCGCTTGGTTCACCTACGGCTGTATCGGCCTCGAACTAGGGGACTGGGAAATCGCGGTCCAGGCATTCACGCGTTGTGTAGGTATGGACCAACAAGACGGTGAATCATGGAATAACCTCGCTTCTGCATTCTTGAGGAGTGTACCCTCCAGGAAGCGGGATGCGTTTATGGCGCTGAAGCAAGGTCTTGGAGCAAAGTTTGATTCCTGGAGAATGTGGGAGAATTATATGCTCGTGAGTGCGGATGTGGGGGAGTGGGGGGAGGTATGTAGGGCTGTCCAGAGGGTCATCGAGTTACGTGGTGAGAAAATCGGGGAAGAGTGTTTGGATGTCGAGGTACTCCAAGTGCTCATTAACCAGGTCGTCGGGGCTACGTATCCCGAGGGCGAGGAGGAGGCGAGGAATAGGGGATTACCGAGACAGGTGAATGACTTGATGAAAAATGTCGTGCAGCCGATTATTACGGCTGATCCACGGTTGTGGAAACTCATGGCGAAACTCCACCTCTGGCGGGATAAACCCGCCGACGCACTCGACGCGCACATCAAAGCCTACCGGGTCTGGACGAACCGTCCTGATCTCGAGACTGAGATTGGGGCGTGGAGGGGTGCATGTGCAGCCGCCGAGGACTTGGTCGATGCGTATCGGAGTTTGGGACCGAGGGAGGGGAGGATGGGTGGGGTTGTGTGTAAGGATTGGAAGTTTAGTTCGAGGAGTGTGGTGAGGACGCTTAGGGGGCGTGGAAAGGATAGTTGGGAGGATACGGTCGAGTATGAGAGGTTGGGAGAGTTGGTTGAGGAATTGAAGAATGAGTAGGGAAGGTATAGCTATAGATCGAGGCATAAAATAAAATCGAGATTTTTTTGGTGGAAGTTGGTCGATGCGAGTTTGTGCAAGACCGAAGCCAATCGCGACGGTTGCGAGCTCGTTATCCCGTCGCGTAACAAAAACACCGACAACGACGAACGACGGCCATCACAATCATGGCAAAACCAAAAGAAGATCTACTCGTACCGCGTCGAAGGACAGCAACAGAAGGAGACGCAACTCGTCCGATTCACCTCATGCCACCCCCCTCCCCCGGTTCCCGAGCAACGACACCTCTCCTCTCCGGCCAATCAACCCCCCGACTCCTCTACAACGGCACAGACACCCCCCCAAAATCACCCCGCCGCCCAACCTTCCAAAACCCTACCCTCCGAAAAACCTCCTACTACGTCCCCGTAATCTCATGGGCTCCAACATACTCCCTCTCCCTATTCTGGGGTGATCTCGTCGCGGGCCTAACCTTGGCCTCGATTTGCGTTCCGATGAGTTTATCCTACGCCACCGTGATTGCGAAGATCCCTGCTGTGAATGGCTTGTATGGGAGTGTTATTCCGCCGTTGGTGTATGCTGTCTTTGGGAGTTGTCGGCAGCTGAATGTTTCGCCTGAGGCTGCGTTGTCGTTGTTCGTAGCGGAGGCGATTCGGACGCAGTTGCCGCATGATGCGACGGTGCATGAGAAGGTTGTGTTGACGGGGATTATCACATGGCTTGCGGGAGCGATTACGTTGGCAGCGGGCGTGATGCGGTTCGGATTCCTCGATGGTGTACTCTCTCGTGCCCTCCTCCGGGGTTTCATCTCCGCCGTTGGGGTGGTGATTATTATCGATCAATCACTCATCTGTACAGGCTTGACAATGCTGGCCGAACAATCCGATATCCACCATAAATCAACACTGGCGAAGGGACTCTTCGTCTTGCGTTCACTTGGGTCTGCGCACCGCCTCACTACACTCGTCGCGTTGTCCGCGTTTACGATATTGGTCACGTTGAGGGTGATCAAGGCGAAGCTCCAACCACGGTATCCAGGGATGGTCTACATCCCCGAGATCCTGCTGGTCGTTATCTCATTCTCCCTCCTCGCGGACTACTTCGACTGGGATGCCCAAGGCGTCTCCATCCTGGGAAAAGTCAAGTCATCGAACCTCGTAATCGATCCCTTCCCCCCCCGCGCACACAATTTCAAGCACGTCCGTACCGTACTCTCAACGTCCTTCCTCTGCGCAACCCTCGGATTTTTCGAGTCCCTCGTCGCCGGGAAATCTCTGGGTCCCCGATACGACTACTCCGTCTCCGCAAACCGCGAACTCGTCGCCCTCGGCGCCGCAAACGTCTTGGGCGGGATGTTCGGCACTCTCCCCGCATTCGGCGGTTATGGGCGCTCAAAGATAAACGCGTTGACGGGAGCCCGCACCCAGATGTGCGGGGTCATCCTCGCGATCTTGGTGGTGCTTTCGACGAGGTATTTGATGCCCATGTTTTTCTATCTCCCTAAATGCGTACTCGCTGCGATCATCTCTGTCGTGGCTTGGGGCCTCTGTGTCGAAGCACCTGATGAAATCGCGTTTTTTGTGAGAGTTGGTGGGTGGAGGGATTTAGCTTTCATCGCGCTCACGTTCTTCTTGAGCGTGTTTTGGAGTTTGGAGTTGGGTATCGCGGTCGGTGTCGGTTTGAGTTTGGTGTTGGTCGTGAAGCATTCAACATCTCCCCGGATCCAGATTTTGGGGCGGGTGAGGGGGACGAGTGGTCAATTCGCGAATGCTGAGAATGATGCGCATTCGAGGGACGATGATTGCGAACTCGAAGATGTGGAGGGGTGTTTGATCGTCAAAGTCCCAGAACCATTGACCTTCGCAAATACCGGACAACTCCGCGATCGACTCCGGAGGCTGGAATTATATGGCCACCCCCACGCACATCCATCCCACGAACCGACCCGCTCCCCGCACCACAACGCAAACATTATCTTCGATCTCGGGGCAATGTCACACATCGACACCTCCGCAATCCAAATCCTCCTCGAAGTAGTAACCGAGTACGAGAAAAGTGGATCCAGAGTGTGGTTTGCGAGGGTGAGGAGCGGAGGGGAGGTTTGGTCGTTGTGTGAGAGGAGTGGTATTGTCGGCTTGCTTGGCGGTTGGGAGGGTGGAAGGTTTTGTGAGAGTGTGGAGAGGGCTGTAGGGAGGATTGATAGGGGGAGGGAGATGAGTGCGGGCAGCGTTGAGGAGGTGTGATTTAGCATGTTAGAATGGATTTGGATACATTGGGCGCTACGGGACGAAACATGCATGAAGACGTGAGAAATAATACTGATTAACATTCAAAACTTGATGCCAGTCCAAACCCCTAACCATTTTACCCAGATTTCCTCAATCGACACAATCTTTCCCTCCCCTTTACTGATCGCCTACACCCCGTGAACCTGCGCCCCCTCAATAACCCCCCTATCAAGCACCCCACCCCTCTCCCTCAACTCCTCAAGAACCTCTCCATGCCCTCCAAACCCTCCATGACCCTCGTCCTCTCCCATCTCAATCGTAACATCCCCCTCCATCTCCTCGATCGCATCAAGCGTATCACCCTCCTCCATCGTCGTATCCTTCTCCAACCCACCCTCATTATCCTCGCCCTCCGCATCATGATCGTTGTCATGAGCGTGGGCATGAGAAGCTTCTTCCTGTGCACGTTCACGCTCGACTCTAGCCTCCTCAATGCGTTGCTCAGATTCCTGAACACGCGCTTTAACCTCCTCCTCAATATCCTTACTTTCCCTCCCCCTAACCCTCGGCTTCGGCTTCAAGAATTCCGGAAGCACGCCAGTTCCCAACTTAACCCCCTTCTCAGTCCCCCAAGTCCTCGTAACACGTTTACTTTCCTCATCTTTCTGCATAGTACACCACTCCCTCATCCGCTTCTTCCTCCCTCTCAAGCCGCCTTCTGCCGCGCCGGTGGGAAGGTGCTGTACATCCTCAATCATGACACTCATACCATCATGCTCGACCTTCCAACTCCTACTCTTAATCCCATTCCGGAAAGAGCCGGCATACCTCACCAACGTCGGCGCAACCCTCAGCGTGACAACTACATCCCTCTTCACTCCGTCCTCGAGGGAGATACGGCCGGCGTGGACCAACATCGCGACCAAATCCGAGTCGTCGGTGTATACTTCCGTTCCCCAGACACACCTCTTCACGACACCCTCCCCGTCCTTGTGCAAATACCTCTTCGCGATGCGCACCTGAAGTGTACAATTCTCCTTTCCCTGTAGGTTGGGGAGGAATGCGCGACCGTCACCTTTCCACTCATATACCAGCGTGCCCAAGAATTGCGACGGCAAGCCATCAAGGTGCTTCACCACCCTCTCATTCCTCACAATAACCTGCGGCCTCGGCGGCGCATGCGTAAACGCTGACAGAGGGGGAATAGCCTGTACCGGACTGCTAAGGCTAGGCTCAGGTCTCGGATGCGTGTGGTGATGATGGTGATGATGCACAACAGCCCCCGTAGGCGTATGGTGATGGTGATGATGCCTCGCCGCACTACTCGGGTGCTGGTAATGGTGGTGATGATGCTTCTTTTGTCCGTCATCGCCGATGGACGTCGGATTCGGCGCCGTTCCCAAGGAGCCGGAACCGGGGGCTTGACTCATGGGCTGTTGTGCATGCACCCTCGGCGGCGACGGCGCTCGCTTCTCTGGCATGGGACTGGGACCGGGGAGGGGAGTCTGCTGAGGTTGTGTGGGTCTGTACCCACCATACACCCCCGGGCCCTGCTGCTGGGGCGGCGGTACCGGAGGCCCATATGGGCTTGGCCCTGGCATCCCACCACCCATCCCACCATACGGACTTTGCTGCGGAGGTGGTGGCGGCGGCGGTGGGCCAGGATATTGCTGGTGTTGGTGTTGATGCTGGTGTTGATGTTGATGTTGTTGGTGCATATACTGCCCGCCATACATACCGCCGGTAGAGGGAGCGGGACCCATGCCGTAGCCTGGGGGTGGTGGTGGTGGTCCTGCTCGAGAAGCATCGAAGGTAACGTGTCCAGGACCACCGCGCCCGTATCCGCCCATCGGTCCCTCGTCCACGAAACTCCGTTTGGGGGGTCCTTGCATAGGTCCCTGTTGTCCCGGATGCTGGTGTTGGTGTTGGTGCTGCCCAAGGTGTTGATGTTGTGAACCGCCTCCAGCGCCGAGCATGCCCATAATCGACATCGGTCGTGCGGACTGTCCTTGCGGCTGTCCTGGAAATGGCATAGATGAGATGCTCGGTAATCCACCACCTCCATGGCGCTGCTGATCGTTGGGTCCGGGTCCGGGGGGTGGTGCGCGTGTTGGGTCGGGGGTTGCGGAGAGGGAGGGGAGGCGGGTGTGGGAAGGCGATGGGGGGTGTTGAGGTCTGTGTTGCATTTCGTTCGGGTTTGAATGCTGTCTTTCTGGTCCTGGTGTTGGTGTTGGATGGACGGGGTGTTGTGTGGGGGCTGAATGCCCATCCGCCGGACCTTGGCGATGTACAGTCCTAGGCGACGGCATAATACCCGCCGGCCGCCCCGCGTTCGATTCTGCATTCATAGCTGAATTAAAGACACATCAGCCCTTGGCCTTCTCAGAAGATATTGCAGAGACCACATGACATACATTGACCGTCCTTCATATCCGCGGCCGCGGCAGGCGCATTGATCGCGCTCGCGTCTTTCTCCGCAGCGACCGCGTTCGGGTTGAGAAGTTCTGGTCTCTCAACGGAGTCGAGGCCTGCCGGAGGAGCTGTTGGTGCTTGGTCTTGTTCTGCCATTCTATCACCGTCTGGGATTGAATGCTATTGCGGTCGGACGTCGCGACCCGGGCAATACGCCTAATCAGCTACCGCGCAGGAGAGAGGGACGGTGCAGCAGCTACCGAGCACAACCTTGTGATGGTAATATTGGAAGCAAGTGAATCAAAAGAAGATAATCAAAGTCTTTTAGATGCTTACTATTTACTATTCAAGATGAAGGCTCGCAGGTCCCTTACCGTCAGCTGTTTATTGGCTGCAACGGCCTGCACCCCGGGTTACGCTCCGGCCCCGATAACGAAGAAAAGTCAGACAATACTGCCATGTGAGGTTTTCTTGCGAGAGCGCGCCTAAGCACCCCCTAAGTCACTACACGACCAAAACACCAAACACCTTACAACTCTACAAAAGGGTCTTAGGGTTAGGGCTAGTGGGGCAGTTGTATGTAGGAAAGCTTCAAAGATAGTTATGTTCGTATTGGTATGAGAACACCCTGACAAATATTGTACAAACTACCACATGATTCCAAGTTAAGCTGCTTTCGCTGCCTCGTGAAGCTGAGTGTGATTGCGCAAATACCAATCAAGTGTCTCCTGTGTTGGCGCATACCCACAGTTCGTAAAAAAGATTTGGTATTTTCAATCGATCAGAGTTGATATAATCGACTGAGCAGCGTATGAAGACTTCAGGGTCTGACCTAGCAAACTCATGCTCGTTGTCCCTCTTCATCCAGCTTTTCATCATGCTGAAACAGAGCTCGATAGAATTTAGGTCTGGGGTGCAAGGTGGTAGGAAATGGATTCGACAGCCTCCTCTTTGAACTAGCAGACCAGCAACACTTGGATCATGATGAATACGACAATGGTCGAGTACAATGATACTGTTGGGCCCCTACGCGACCAGTGAATCCGTGTTTGCTATCAATGCGTACGACTTTATTGACTGTTTTCCCTATCATCTCTGGAACAACTACAAGTTGCAAGTTACCCTGTACAGACCTTTTACCGCTGCAGATCAAGCACAGTCTCCCCCAAGCCTCGATTACAGCAATCTTCGAACTCGTTCGTCGCTACCTTAGCATACTGGAGCAGGAGAAGAAGATTCCAACGGAGGATGAAGTGAATGCCGTCGGTATTGAGCAGACCAAGACTTTCATTGAGAATCTGTTGGCTATGAAACCCTTGGTCTTGGACCGGTGTGTCAACAATTGCCTCGCATACACCGGCGAGTAGAGCAACTTGGACTAGTGTCCTAATCGTGATTGTCAAGAGATGAGGAGGGATGCGCAAGTGAAGCTACGGGCGAAGTACACATGCCTGCCGTTCATCCATCGCATTTTTTCTTCAATTAGGGTTAAGAGGGGGCAAAAACGATGTTAGACACACTTCGCTGAGCCCACCGCACCTGTCAACCCAGGGAATAAGACATATTGTGATGTGTTGGATGGTAGTCTGCTGGATGATATGAAAGCTCGAGGTTATGCGCAGAGTTCAAGCGAGGTCATCATGCAATTAACATTGGATGGTTTCCAGATTCACTAGCAGAAAGGGAATGAATTCTGGCGGCTCATCCTGCTCAACCTCAGCCTTCCCCCTGCTGTGCAGGTTAAAGAGACCAATCTCATGCCCTTTGGCATTGTTCCCGGAAAACGCAGACCTCTCATGCTTGATACATTCCTTCAACTCCTTATCGAGGAGTTCAATCGAGTCTCCCTAGACCTGCAGACCTCCGTTCGTAGCTGGGATAGTTACAACGAACATAAGTTCGACCTTCGCTGTCATCTGGTTATGGTGACTGGCGATACACCTGCTATCAGCACTGTTATGGGGACTAAGGGGCACAATGCGATCTCTCCTTGTCGGTTCTGTCATATCATTGAAGTCCCCTTTCGTCCGAACCAGAAGACGACATACTACTATCCCTTGGAGCCGCCAAAAGGCCATGTACACCCGGCTGATTCAAACACCCCCCCTCTGATAGGTCTGCCTCCAGACACACTCTATATGCGTACGAATGCACGTCATCGGATAGATGCACGACGAGCAGAGCTGAATGCAGCCTTTGCAAAAGCGAGGGGTCTCAACAGACTTCCCATCCTCGCCAAACTGGATACGATTGACTTTCCCTGCTCCTTCCCAATCGACATGACGCACTTGATCTATCAAGGCAGCGTGCCCATCATGGCAGATCACTGGGAGGGGAAATTCTTCAGTCATATGCGAGAGGACCGCTGGTTCGATTATGCGCAATTCGGCAAGGATCTCGGTGACGCTGCTTGCTGACGCAGGACGGTGTAACTTCTTCGTCTTTTATATATCCTAAAGGTGGACAGATATGCCAATCAGTGGAGCCGAGCTCCTGAGTTTGCGGATAAGGCATTTTACGGTATCATGCACTTCTACTTCCAAACCGACTTCCAGGGGAAGATCTTCCTATTGGCATACGTCACTGCACATCGACATAAAACGAGACCTGAAGGGGTTATCATTGACGGGGGACCTGGACCGACCGAATGGGTCAATGTCACAACGATTTGTGGATCAGCCGCTGGTTTGGTTTGCGGAAACAAGAAGTACATCGTTGACAGAGGTACTCTGGGGGATATGATCGCCGCTCGACGGATGGAGTGATAGATGAGAGGAGATAAGCTGGGCATTGGTTACTGAACATTGCTACAATGAAGATTTCTTGCTTGGACGTTGTTTCTTGACGTCGACTTTCCCCTGCATAATCTGTGTTCCGGTAGTGAAGGGTTAATTTCGACCGCATGGTAGGGGCGTAACTGGTGATTGCGCTGGGCAGCTTCAACAGAGACTTGTTTTTGAGTGTACCCGATCTGCTTGAGAAATGTCGAGATGTTCCAGCGCTTGATGTTTGTAGCGTGGTAGTAGTTGACATAGTCTACACAATCATCCTGGTAGAGCGTCGGATTCAGATTGTACAGGTTCTTGTACCTTGGCAAATTTGTCAGTTTAGCTGTATCGACAACAGAAAAGACTAACCTTTCCGAGAAACGCATCCATTGCTGGCTTACGACCACAGGTCTGGTTGCCCAGACATTTCTGCGTACCTTCCGCTTCGTATCTCTTGACAGTTCAGTAAATTGTAGTCACTGACTTCTTTCCCAGGTCAGCTAGTTGGTGCGGGTCTTTCCCATCCTTCCAATGGAGGATAATATTGCGTCCCTCTGCATCGGTAGTGACTTCACCGAGCATTTTGAGATCTTTCTGGGCTTCCTAGACCTTACAATGGTTTGTTGGTTGGTGTTTTAGTGGTCGCGGTTCCTTGGAGTTTAGGGAGCCTGGTGCATGTCGCAAGAAAATCTCACACCGCTGTAAGAAACTACTACACCCAACCTCCGCTTCTTTTTGTTCTTTAGATGGCATCGGAATATGTTTCGGGAGGTGGGGAAAGTTAGGCTGCGGGAGTTGGGACCCAGATTTAGGTGGGAATAGACAATGATTTGAGACAAGGATAGAATAGCGTATCATATCAATACCAAGGCACCCACTGGAACTGATGTATAGATATACTGGAGAAGGATGTTGGTGCACGGTCTAAACCTTATTTCCCGTCCTACATGCTTGACGTCAACGTACGCCGTACCCTCATCGAACCCCGCAGAAATTCAATAACTGTAGAAACAACACGAACACAATGGCAAATCAGATTCCAGAAGAGAAAAAGGTGCAGGACGACGCTGTTTGTCAGAGGGAACGGGGAGAACAGGCTACATTGTGGTATCAATGGCGACAAATGCTGGCAGATGTGGATGTTGATGTTCCCATACCAAAGGGAACGAGAGGGAAGTTTGTGAAGGTGGTGGTTGAGAAGCAGAGAATTAGTATCGGGCTGAAAGGACAAGAGCCAATTTTGGAGGTATATACGGACAGACATATCAACTGGCAATAGAATGACGTGACATGATGGATAGGGCTCCCTTCACCACGAAATCAAACTTGAAGAATCAACCTGGACAATTGAAGACCCATCACAAAATCCCCTTAAGAGATATATCACATGTATTCGTAGACGACAGGACAGATGGTGAGAGCACTTCTACTTCTGCGTATACTCATATCAGGCGTCGGCGTATAGGCGCCGTAATGGTTACCAGGCTGCAATTGCATGATAGACTATGGCTGGTGAGGAAGGCAACATGGTTCACGGAATCAATTACATTATTACATAAGTTCCCCTTGTTTGGTCATTGTCATCTGTCCCGACAACTTGAACAGACGTGCGTGTGGATTCTCCTCGATCAAAAACTAGCAGATCTCCGTTACCCGACATCGAAGCATAAGTACCCGATACAATATTAGTCAGATCAACAATAATCAGACACCACGAAATCCGGAGCTTCTGTCTACTCCCAATCGATGAAGTTGCTGGCTGCGGTGGGGACGAAGAATAACGCAGCGTAAACAAGATTCTGGAGATTATATACCCAAGAAAAATGCAAGCAAATATCCAATTGACGCTGTGCCGCAGTGGTTACCGGGCGGCCCTGCTAAGGCCGTGGGATCTTCCTTCGCGCGTTCGAATCGCGTCGGCGTCGATTCTTTTTTTGCATTTTGCGTCGACCATCGTTTTGGCTAATCTCGTGTTGGCGGACGTACGTGGTAATGTTGATCCAATCTTGGGCGGCGGAGGGAACTCTCGGGCGTTACTTGGTGTCTGTCGAGGGGGGGGGGGGGAGCGTGGGATGTGCTCATGTCCTTCCGCGTCCGGCTGCGTCGAATTCGAAATTTGACATGTGCTCGCGTTCAGATCAAACAGCCGCTCCACATCCTTCCAGCGAACCCATTCCTCTAGCGATCAGCTGGCCGAGGAGGTTGAAGGGGTGGCAGGCCCCTTATAAATTTTCTACTCGGAGCAAAAAAACGGGAGGCTTGTAGCGTAGTCTTAACCGCAGTTTCACTCTAGTGTGCCTAATCTGACAGCTGATGCATGATAGCGATACGAGTGAGCTAAACCCTAAGAGAGAGGAGGACTGGTAATCGAGCTCGAGATGGGACTTTCGATAACAGGATCTGCAGCTGCTGTTTTGTCCCATGACCGATGCGATATAGCTACAGCACTGTGAAGGAGAATTTGGGGGATCTTGTCCTGTCCTGCCATAGGCATGCGACAGCGCACTGCTCCAGGTTGTGGATATGCGAGGAGCTCTTGAATCACTGACACCCAGACACGAATGTGTTCACCATATGCATTAACATACACTCTCACCTCATATCCATCATATCCTACACCCTTCATATACTCTTTCCTCCCAACCCTTACTCAAGATCCTTGGCATCAGCGCCCTCCATGCCCTCCTCCTCTGATCCAGCGTGCTTCTTCTCCGTACCATGCTGCTCGACCTGTGTATATGAGTGTTAGTTGACGACATAATTTTGATTTAGGAGGAGGAAGCCGTACGTGACGCTCAGTGACACCCTCGGGCTTCCAGCTGGGGTTGTGCTCGTGCTCGGCGTCGTGACCCTGGTTACCACCGCCGACGATGTCTACCAGCAACAATTTAGCCATCCGATCCCAAAGCATCGAAACCGCCGAAAGCAGGAAGGCGACAGCAGATCACAGGGATCGCAGTGCTCCACTGCAGCTGACGGATCCACGACTTACCCTTCTTTTCAGGTTGAGAGCTCATGTTGATTAGATGTATGTTTGTGTTGAAGTCGCGAACGCCTGTCAAGATATAGGAGGGGGACCAGCGTGCGATGTTGTGGCGCGCGCTGCTGTGATGTCATCGAGGGCCGGCGTCGTGGGAAAGTGCGTGTGCCGCAGGACGCCCAGCTGATCCCGCCTGAAAAATCACGAGATGACTTCAACCAGGTTACAGCACGCCGGCCAATTGCACTGCAGCTGCAGCCGTACCCCGCCGCCGTACGTATGACTTGATCAGCTGTTGCATCGTCGTACTCCTGCCATGACATGACCGTAGGCAGGGCATTATAAGAACGCGAGTCTGTCCCCCTACCACAAGTAACATTGAGCTATCCAGCATGGCCTCACACCTCACCAATGAACACGACGAATTGATGGAGGACACGACCGACATGGCTCCTCACCCACACCAACCCAAATCACTCGGCTCAGGTGGTCTTCATACCGAAGGTACCCCTTCTCTCTACTTTCTTCATCTAATCAGAATCAAACAGCTAACGAGCTTCTCACAGACATCGAGTACAAAGGCGACACGAGCCCTACCCGTCCCTACCATACCGAAGAACACCAAATGAGGGCACAATCAGGACATCCAGGATCCGAAGGCGTGAGGTTGGCTGCGTTGTCGGATGTTGGGCAGGGAGGGATGTACCCAGGTGGACCGGAACCGAGCGAAGCGGGAGCATACGAGGCGGATCAGAGGTTCGTTAATGGTGGGAATATGGAGGAGTGTGAGGGCGGTGGAGGGAAAGCGACGTCGACGGGTGCGATGGGTTGAGCGGGCAGGGAGTAGTGTGGTTGAAGAATGTATTACGGTCCCTTAATAGGCAATTCAATCGTTGATTGCAACCTTTTCCTTCCTCACATCTGCATGTCGTAACGCATTCAGAATCGTGCTCTTCCCAACATTGGGTATACCAACGACAAGCGCACGAGCACCAACAGGTCTATCAATATCTTTTGCAACGTCCTTGATGAAACGGATGACTTGCTTCATGTTGTTTGTGTTCTTCAAGTTGTCGCCTGTAGTGAGTGGATGTCTACGTCACTGCGAAGAGCTGCGTCTACGATACGTACGGTGGCGGTGTAGGCGAGCCACGATTCTAACCGCCTTTGGGAAGATAATTCGTCTAGGACTGAACTGAGTGTGTTTATCTACTTTGTATTCTAGGGGCTGTGCCGTGACTAACACTTCCTCCTCCACCCGCGAACGCCAGATGCTCTGTCCAAGCCATCACCTCCATACCTCGAACTCCACCGTCCTGACTCCTAATCATGCCTCGCGAAAGTTCCCGCAACAATCAACGGGAAAACAATCGTGGCATCCGCGTACACCTTCTCCATCATAGCCCCGTCACCCCTGATCTTTCCCCAACTAACTGCCTCATCCGGTCTCGCTCCAGCATCCGATCCATCAAACTCCTGTCCAGTGTTGATGTAGACAGCATAATCCGCACCGTTCCTCATCAAGTTCGCATTACAGATATGGTGCTTAACCACTCCTCCACCGAGGATAAGCATTCCTGTCTTGACCGCGCGGACGGCCATGGTGTTAATGAGACGGATGTCGCGGGCAATATCGACGATGAGACCTGGGTTGCGGAAGGAGTGGAAGTAGATCATGTCTCCCAACGACCCGTCGGTGATTGCTGGACAGAAGACAGGGATGTTGTTCTTGTAGCACCAGTAGTAGACTGACTCCTCATTGTTGATCTCCTTTCCCAGGCGACGGATCATCGCGGATGGCGTCCAGATGCGCCCGGTCGTCTTCTGCTCTTCCAACATGGTGTCGAGAATTGGGATCACCCAGTCTTCGAATTTGCAGTAGTTGTCGTTGGGAACGAGGAGGTTGCCGATTCTGTTCAGACCTTTCGATCGTAGCTCCTTTCCGGGGAGGTTGAAGTCTCCGGCGTAGGTCGGTCCAAGACACTTGATGAAGTCCTCCTCGACGCCTCCTGCTGTAGTCACAATACATGAAACCTGCTTCGTCTTGGCCAGGTATTTGATCGTCTCACGCAGACCGGAAGAGATGAGGTTCGAGGTGTATCCCAGGAAGATAGTCGTCTTGTCCTGAGGCGGTTGGTACGAGCTGGCCTCCGCAGCCGCTTCCTCATCCACAGGCCCATCTTCCTTGCTATCTTGAACAGCCTCCTCCTCCTCGTCGGTCTCCACAGTCTCCTCCTTAGGCTCTGGCCTCCAGTTCCTCATCTCATTGACGATCTCGCACGCACGACCGAGCGCAGTACCCTGAAATCCGATAAGAGGCATGCGACTCATCAGCTCCTGAACCGTGATTGGTGTCTTCTCCTCCTCGAAATCAACACCACGAATGATCTTTGCGTCGGAAGGCATGGGCGTGGACCTGACCAGCACCGCAGCAGCGGCCTTGGCAGCATCGTCTTGAGTGGGAGCTCCGTTCGGTACAGACATTATTGCTGAATAAAAATCGAAAGGTCGCGAAAGCTTGAACTTTTTTGGCCGAGAAACTCGAAATTACGAAATAATATTTGGCCGCACGCAGGCCGCTGCAAGCTTTCTGCCAGGCACCCCGCCAGTCGTACACCTCCTTCCCCTTCTGTCGCAATCCTCGGTAAGGGCAGAATGAATCAACAGGACTTCCGAAAGTTACTTGCAACTCCTCGACCTGGATCCGGGGGCTCCGCGAACTCTCGGAGTGGGTTTGCGCTTCCTGGGCGTGGAAAGCCGGCGGGGGCCCTTGGTATGACACCTCGGAATGTCAAGCCGACTAATGTCTTTGCGAAGCCTAAGTCTCCAGGAAAGGAAAAGAAAGAGAAATCTATACTGCCGGAAGGATACGTAGATCGGGCAAAACTTCGACAACAACAAGCGGACAAAGAGGAGGAGAAGCTGAAGGATGTAGACGCAAGAACAGCTTATGAGCAAAGCAAGCTACTTGGTGGTGATCTGGAACATACGCATCTTGTTAAGGGACTAGACTTTGCTTTGTTGAAGAAAGTGAAGCAAGGAGAGGATCTTAGTGGAGAGAAACCACGGGAAGAGGGGCCCAAGGGTGGCGTGGAAGAAGATCTGGAAGCTGCTTTCCAGACAGCCAAAGCAGAGCCGCCAAAGAAGATGACACGCGACGAGCTATTAGCAAAGATGCGAGCGGGAAGAACTGTTGCAAAATCATCAAAACCGGTAGAGGAAGGACTGGATAAGTCTAAATTCAGAAAAATCGGCGTGCCACCACCGCCGGCCGAGGAGCCAAAGGAAGAAGAAGAGAAAGTCAAGATTGTTGTCGGACCGGACGGGAAGATCAAGAGACTTGTCAAGAAAAAGAAGAAGACACAGCAGGAGAAGAAGCCGGAACCTGAACCAGTGGCGAATCCGATGAACGATGACGGTGATATCTTCGCAGACGTCGGCGAATACGATCCATTCGCCGGCATGGACTCAAGCGACGACGAAAAGACAGATAAGGAAGAAACGAAAGAACCAAGCGAAACCCCAGCAGAACCCCCAAGACGAAACTACTTCACATCCACCACCGCAGACTCCGACTCCGACGGAGATATCACCACCGAATCCCTCCGCAACGACCCAACTCTCAAAGCCGCCCTCAAAAAAGCCTCACAAATTGCCGAAAAGAAAGGAACGGAGCTCGAGGATGAGGAGGAGGTCAAGGCACGGAAGAGGATGGAGATGTTGGCTAGGGATGATGCGGATTTTGAGTTTGGGAGTGATGAGGATGAGGGGCCGAAGAAGAAGAAGAGGCGAAGAAAGGCAAAGGGAGATGATGACGATGATGATTAAAGGTACTCGATAGTCACAAATTGGAGGATACTGGAGGCAATCACTGCTGCTGATGCACCACATGGACTGCCGAATGCAGTTGTTTCTATGTCGAGGAACCATAAGAGGCTACGGTTTAGAAATCCCAAAACAATCAGCTATGCTTATAGGGCCTTCAACACAGCAGGAAACCTGCTCGTGAAACTGGTAAATTCCTCGCCCAAAGACCGAATCCCCACGCCCTTTAGGGCCACGTCTTCACGCAAAGCAACACGCAACTCCCGCACAAAGTCTAACGATCTCAAAGACGCACGTGAGATGGGTATATATATTGCTTTGCTTTTTCAATCGTACCTTTATCTTACTTTTCCACATCCCACCCACGCCCTACACCCTTACCGCCTCGGAACAAACTCCTCAAAATTCGGCGTATCCTCCAAAACCACTCGTCCATCCTTCACCGTCGCAACCTTCAAAGTCCCCGCATAATTTGCCCTCTCACTCTCCCTATTGCTCTCCTCAAGTTCATCCTTTCCAGTAGCAGAGGTAGTGAATCGTGCTTCGAGACTTTGTGCAGCCCCAGGCGTGAGTTCAGCCATCTCACTAACCTGACGCGTGGAGATAATGTCGGTAAACCCCCTCGCACGAGACTGAACCAAAATCGTCGCCGGACCCTCGAATTTCTGGAATTGTTTGTCGCCGTAGATCGTTCTCCGCGTCCACGCGCGTGCTTTCGTCCATAATTTCGCCGCGGTCTTGAATGCAGTGCTCGTCTGTACCTGTGACAAAAAGTCTGATTCGGGGATTTTGACTAAGCCCGACAATGACGGAACTTGGAGGTTGAACATTCGCTGGGCGGACGATTGGAGACGATAGGGAGTTGGAGAGGAGGGGGAAGAGGAGGTAGCGGAGTATGCGAGGAGGTTGGAGGGGGAGAGGAGGTATGATTCACCGGCTTCGAGGTTGATTTGGAAGATTTGACCGGGGGCTGTGAGGGCGACTTGGCCGCGGCCTGTCAAGAGAGTCTGGGACCATGCTCCGATGCCCTATCGAACCCCGTTAGCACAATGCACTCGAAAGAAAAAAAGGGCGAGAAGGGGAGGCAGGGGGAAACGTACACCTCGCAGATTTGCCCTCGGCTTCACAACGAGTGCCGACCCGGTCCACGCCAACAACGCATCCCGCTTCGCAACAACCCAATCAACGCGTCCATCGAGCGTGAGCAGCGAAAACGACGAGATCTGTGATTTGGTAGAGATGAGTGCGGAGAAGGGGGCCGTGCTCGTGAGTTTATGGTAGAGGAAGGGTTGGGCGAGGGAGAGGCGGTGGAGGGGGGTTGCAGGGCCTTGGGATTGGGTTAGGGACAATGTACTCGTAGTCTATTCACACCCTTCATTATCAGCATCACGGATCAAATGGTTTAGGGTGATGAAGACGAACGTTTTCCAGATTCCCGTTCATGCCGACCAAGGTCCCTCGTCGCGTATACAACGGCGCACTCGCCGGAACGCTCACACTCAGCAGACTCGCACTACTCCCGATGACTTGCATTGTAGTCTCTGCCGCGAAGGGCCCGGCACCGCTCAGTTTCGGTACGGCGCGGACGGACTCGTTGACGTCGATGGAGGTCACTGCTTCTTGGGTGACATGGAAGGAGCGAGCGGCAGCGAGCGTAGAGCTGCGGATGATATGGGAGGAGCGGAGGGACGGTGCGAGGCCCAGAGATCGAGAGGCCATAGCTGATCAATTGGAATTTAATCTTCAATGTCTTTTTGCGGACTTGCGGGTGTGGATTTCGAGATGCACGGCATGTGCATGACCGTGCATGACCCGTCAACGTCGTTTCGCGTACGTACAATACAAACCTCCAATATTTGAATCGCAATCGGTACCTCCTTGATCACTTCGTCGAGGAATCGATAACTCTCGAGCAGAGCGCCTGCCTGTATTTTCCTATCAATACCCATCACGACTTCACCCGCCAAAGACCACCCGCGAGGAACCACACCCCAACCACAATGGGAGTCGAAGTCCCCGAAATCGGCACGAAAGACCTAGACTGGCGTCCAATCCGCGACCGAGATGAACTCCACCGTCTCCGCGACCGCGTTGGCCAAATCCTTGGCATCCCCGAAGACCGCGGGCGGCGACAACGGTTCCCCGGTGCCCAACCCGTTAGTTTCAGCAAACACCACCTCGACGAACTAAAGCATGAGGACTACTACGTTTGCGAAAAATCCGATGGGTTGAGGTTGCTGATGTACATCACGCAAGAACGGGGGGGTGAGGTTGTGTATATGATTGACCGGAAGAACGAGTATTATCAGCTACCGCCTAGCATGCACGTTCCTTGTGCGGGAGACCGGACGCTGGAACAGGCAGTGCATAGGGATACACTTCTTGATGGAGAGGTTGTTTATGATTTTGAGAAGAGGGTGGGGGCGGATGGTGTGGAGACCAAAGTTAAGCGGTTGAATTACCTGGTTTTTGATTGTATGGTGATGGATGGGAAGCGCCTCGTGGAGCGCACGTATGATAAAAGGCTTGCGGTAAGCGCAGAGTCTCGTTGTTGGTATGTCTTCATCGCTGACCTCCATGCGCAAAGTATTTTAGAGAGAATATTGGCGTGCCGTATGAGCAATACCGTGTGAAGATGCGCACAGAGAAGAGACGACCGCCGCCACTGTTGTGAGTATTCCCGTCTGGTGGTCTGCGATGGTCACTAATCTGGATAAACAGCATTAAGGAGAAGGGGTTTGAGTTTGCGTATGGCATGGTGCACATGTTCCGTAACGTGCTACCAAACCTGACGCATGGGAACGATGGCCTCATCTTCACAAATCGCATCGCGCCATACGAGTTTGGCACATCAGACAAAATGTAAGTCCTGCACGTGATGCACATCTACAGATTGAGGGCTAAGTTTGTCGTAGTCTAAAGTGGAAACCAGCACACGAAAACACAATCGACTTCAGACTCGACATCGAACCTGCCAAAACCCCTGACGGCCACGAAGACTTCGACCTCATCCCCTCACTCCACCTCTACCAATGGGAAGGCGGGCCCTCCTATACCTACTTTGCACCCCTCCATGTCGACACATCCGACTGGGACCGCATGATGCGCGAACGCGGCGATAACCCCATGCCCGGCCTCATCGTCGAATGCCGACTAGACAAAGGGGGACGCTGGAGATTTAACCGGTTTCGACCGGATAAGGAGGATGGGAATCATAAGAGTGTGGTGGAGAAGGTGTTGAGGAGTATTGAAGATGGGGTTACGGAGAGGGAGTTGCAGAGTCATGATTGGGAGATTAAGAAGGCGTGGAAGGAGAGGAATGCGGGTGGGAATAGAGGGGAACGGACGGCGAATTATGACCGTGCGGCTAGCATTGTGTCGGGGTCGGGGTCAGAAGTGAGGGACGTGGAGAGCAGAAAGCGGAGACACTCTGCAGAGGAAGAGGAAGAGGGAGTGGTAAAAGTCGCGAGGACCGGCTCGGCTCAGCCTAAAGAAGTGCAACATGAAACTACAGAATAACGGAGATCTCGTTATAATCGGACATTTCCACAATGCCTTGTTGGGGTGTCGGCTGTCTGCGCCCAATTCCGCACTCCCGCACTCCCGCGGCACCGTACGTGACGTCAAACCCATCCAACACCGCGTCCGTGCCGAGAAGCCCGAGTCATGCCCCAGAGATATTTATACCACCATTCATCCCCAACTGAACAGCACAGATCAACGAAGAATAAGCACGGACCATGTCAAGCGAAGCTCAGATCACAGTTGGGGAGTACCTCCTTAGGAGATTGAGAGAATTGGGCGTCGGAGCTATCCACGGTGTCCCCGGTGACTTCAACCTCGCCTTCCTCGACTTGATTGATAACGTCGATGGTCTCTACTGGGTACATCCACCTCCTCCCCCTCCCCCTCCTCTTCCAAGTACTGATCAAGACTCTTCGTGACAAATAGGTCGGCAACGCAAACGAACTAAACGCAGCCTACGCCGCCGACGGCTACGCCCGCGTCCACAACAACATCTCCGCCCTCATCACAACCTTCGGCGTAGGCGAACTCTCCGCGCTCAACGGCGTAGCAGGCGCATACTCCGAACACGTCCCCCTCGTCCACATCGTCGGACAACCCTCCACCTCTTCCCAAAAAAGTGGAGCATTATTGCACCATACTCTGGGAAACGGGGATTTTGGGACGTTTGAGAAAATGAGTACGGGGGTTAGTTGCGCAAAGGTTCTGCTTGGAGCTGGGGACGAGGGTGAGGCGGAGGGGATTGATAGGGTTTTGAGGGAGTGTTATGTTAAGGCTAGGCCGGTTTATGTTGGGTTGCCGACGGATGTTGCGTTTAAGAAGATTTCGGCGAAGCCGTTGGGGAAGAAGATCGATTTGAGTTTGCCGGAGAATGATAAGGAGACTGAAGATTATGTCGTCAAGGAGATCCTCAAGTTCGTACCTCCCTCACTCCCGTGTATTGGATACATGTGCTAACAATGATCATGGATAGGCTTCTCCACTCTGCCAAAAACCCAATCATCCTCTCCGACGCTTGTGCGATTCGTCATCGCGTCACCGGCCTCCTCCACACCCTCCTCGACAAAACCAACCTCCCAGCCTTCGTCGCCCCCATGGGGAAATCCTCCGTCAACGAAACCCACGAACGCTTTGGCGGTGTCTACGCCGGTTCCGTAAGTCTCCCCGAAGTCAAAGAACTCGTGGAGGGCGCGGATTTAGTGTTGAATGTGGGTGCGTTAAAGAGTGATTTCAACACCGGGAGTTTCAGTTATCACACGAGGCAGGTTAACACAGTCGAGTTCCACTCTGACCACATCAAGATCGGATACGCTGTTTTCCCGAATATCGGGATGACGCATGTCTTGGAGCGAATCATCGACGAGATGGACGTCGAGAAGATCCGTGCCACTACGACTGCGAAGGAAGATGTCCCCAAATTCTCGAATTCGACGCCGACGACCCCGCAGAAAGAGATTTTGCACGAGTGGTTTTGGCCGAAGGTTGGGCAGTTTTTGAGGGAGGGGGATGTTGTCGTCACCGAGACTGGTACTGCCAATTTTGGGATTTTGGATGCGAGGTTTCCGGATGGGGTTATTCATGTTTCGCAAGGTATATTCACCTACCATGTTCTGTGTGAGTTGGCTAACGAGACATTACAGTTCTCTGGGGAAGTATCGGATTCTCCGTCCCAGCAACCCTCGGCGCCGCTCTCGCCGCCAAAGAACTCGACGCGGACAAAGACCCCAAATCCAAGCGTCGCGTAATCCTCTTCGTCGGTGACGGATCCCTCCAACTCACCGTCCAAGAAATCTCAACCATGATCCGCCACAACCTCTCCCCAATCCTCTTCATCCTCAACAACGAAGGCTACACAATCGAACGTTACATCCACGGCGAAACCGCCTCGTACAACGACATCGCGTCCTGGAAATTCCGTCAACTTCTCGATGTCTTTGGTGGGTCTCCGGAGAAGAGCAGGAATTGGCTCGTCAAGACGCCGGGAGAGGTGGAGAGGTTGTTTGGGGATGAGGAGTTTTTGGCGGGGAGTGGGGAAGGGAAGATTCAGGTTGTGGAGGTTGTTATGCCGAGGATGGATGCGCCGAGGGCGTTGAAGTTGCAGGCGGAGTTGACGGCGAAGTATAACTCGGAGCAGTAAGTCGGCGGGAACGAGGTGATGCAGTCGTGCTGTACGCCTGTCTACCTGGCCGAGTGCAGGGTTGTATCGTTAGAACGGCCATGACCGTATGATAGGATTGAAATTTTCATTCATCTTTTTTGCAGGTCGTGAGGACGATGGGTTATCTCCCCTTATCAGATCTCGATGCGGGGCGCTAGCACGTCATGTCTCCCGGGCTTACACCGAGGACAAGAAACGTCAACTCAGTGAACGTTCGTTACTTTCTCCGAGACGCGTACGACGTTTGGTAATTACTCGAGGATCATGTGGATCCGCGCGAATGCCGTTCGAGGATGTCGGGGTGTGTTGAATGGGAGACAACACGTATGTTACACCCGTTGCGATCGAGGATACCACGGAGCCTGAACTGTGGATGAATAGCTGTTACGACCTGACGCCTTATCATTACGACGGACCTTACGAATGAGACCAAACACAACACTACACAAGACCGCGATACCCACATTCGATCCATCCTTGCCTTCACCTTTAGCAGCACGATGGCTCACCTCGACCTCCTCCGTCGCAAAGGACGCAACAACAGCAGTAACCCCCGCAAAACCCTCAACCCCGACGGAACTCAAAACAATCAAGACCGCACCACCAAAGACCGAAAAAGAGGAAAGAGCCGAACAGCGCCGAGCAGATATCGCAATCATCAAAGAAATGGGGCAATACCTCTGGCCCAAAGACTCCTTCGGCACGAAAGCCCGAGTTGTGACCGCGCTCATTCTCCTCGTTGGTGGAAAAGTGCTGAACGTCCAAGTGCCGTTCTATTTCAAGTCGATTGTGGATTCCATGAATGTCGACTTCTCGACGACCGGGGGTACGGTGACGACCGCCGCTGGTGCTCTCATTCTCGGGTATGGTCTCGCACGGATTGGGTCTACGGCTTTTCAGGAGTTGAGGAATGCGGTGTTTGCGAATGTTGCGCAGACTGCGATTAGGCAGGTTGCGAGGAACGTATTCGGGCATCTCCTACGATTGGATCTAGGATTCCATCTCAGTCGGCAAACCGGAGGTCTCAGCCGTGCAATCGACCGTGGTACGAAAGGTATCTCGTTCTTGTTGACGAGTATGGTATTCCACGTCATCCCCACATCCCTCGAAATCACCATGGTTTGCGGTATCCTAACCTACCAATTCGGTCCCGCCTTCGCCGGCGCAACGCTCGCAACAATGATCGCCTACGCCCTCTTCACGATCCAAACAACAGCCTGGCGCACAAAATTCCGCAAAGCAGCAAACGCAGCAGACAACCAAGCCGCAACCGTGGCAGTCGACTCCCTCATCAACTACGAAGCGGTCAAATACTACAATAACGAGAAATACGAGATCAGGCAGTATGATAAGGCGTTGAAGAAGTATGAGGATGCCAGTTTGAAGATTGCGACGAGTTTGGCGTTTTTGAATGTGGGGCAGAATGTGATTTTTTCAAGTGCGTTGACGTTGATGATGTATTTGGCGTGTCGGGGGGTTGCGGATGGGAGTTTGACGGTGGGGGATTTGGTTATGGTTAACCAACTTGTCTTTCAGCTGTCGCTGCCACTAAACTTCTTGGGCTCCGTGTACCGCGAGTTGAGGCAGTCGTTGATCGACATGGAGACTTTATTCAACCTCACCAAAGTTAACGTCACCGTCAAGGAAACACCCGCAGCGCCTGATCTCATCCTCAAAGGCGGCGAAATCAAATTCGAAAACGTCAGTTTCGGGTACCACCCCGACCGCCCCATCCTCCGCAACGTCTCCTTCACCATCCGTCCCGGCAAAAAAATCGCGATCGTCGGTTCCAGCGGATGCGGAAAATCGACGATCCTCCGTCTCTTGTTCCGGTTCTACGATGTCCAGAGTGGACGGATCTTAATTGATGGACAGGATATCCGGGATGTCAGTTTGGATAGTTTGAGGAGGGCGATTGGGGTTGTGCCGCAGGATATGCCGTTGTTCAATAATACGATCGAGCATAATATCCAATACGGGCGTATCGAGGCAACGAGGGAGGAAATCGAGGCAGCGGCGAAGAGGGCGAGAATTCATGATACGATCATGTCTTTACCAGATAGATACGAGACAAAGGTTGGAGAACGTGGATTGATGATTTCGGGTGGCGAGAAGCAGCGGTTGGCGATTAGTCGGTTATTGCTGAAAGACCCTCCGATCTTATTCTTCGACGAAGCCACCTCTGCACTCGATACCTACACCGAACAAGCACTCCTCCAAAACATCAACTCCATCCTTCGCGAAAAACGCCGGACGAGTATTTTCGTCGCGCATCGTCTTAGGACAGTCTTGGATGCTGATGAGATTATCGTGTTGGATAAGGGTGTCGTGATGGAGCAGGGTACGCATGGGGATTTGATTGATCGGGGGGATACGCTGTATAGTAGGTTATGGGCTGCGCAGGAGGTTTTGCAGGAGGATGCGTATGAGCCGGAGACGGATGAACTCAAGGAAGCGGATCCGGAGACGACGAAGAGTGTGTAAGATTGTCAAGGTTCAAGAAGGAGATGTATCATGGATGTGTTATTTTACTCTTTGGATACTCTAGAAGCGGTTATCTGGGTCGACTGTACGATACAATGTTAGCAACGATACCAATAACTTCCGGGGGATGGAGGCATACTCTTCTCGAAAACGTCAATGATCTTCTCGTACACAGTAAATACGATACCACCACTCAAAACCAATCTCGCCAATCTCGGCATAGCCCCGCTCCAGAACCTCAGCACGCCCTCCTCCGTAAAGATCCTATACGCACAGTGCGCCGAATTCCTATACTCCGTCTTTGCCGCCAAACTCTGCATACGCGACTTGATCACGTCGAGGGGCATAGTTGTGTAGACCGTGATCACGCCCGCTGTAGCTCCGATTCCAAAGGTGGAGAGTGTTCCGAGTTTCTCGCCAGGGGAAAGGGAGTTTGTCGCTGCTTGTTTCATGAAGTTGTAGGATGACATCCGAACCGCCGAGTTTGCACCTTGACGTGCGATTGTAGGGACGAGACCTTTGTAGAGTGCCTTGAACCCACCTTCGCGGATGATTGTGGAGGTTCCATGGACGAAGCCGTTGAGTCTTGGGTTAGGTCCCTTGCGATCGTCGATGAGTGCGGTTTTGATTGATTCGAAGGGGGTGACGGCAAAGATACTCTCACTCACACCCGCACCCAAACCTGCCAATACCGTCGCCGGCGCGGAAATGGATCCGTCTTCTTTAGAGAGGAGGTGTTTGAAGGTATCGAAAGCGAGGAATCGAACGGCGGCTTTAATGGAGTTTCCGATGATGACGGTGGAGCAACCCGTGTACCACTGTTTCCCGAAGGGTGGGAGACGGGGCTTACCATCGCCGGAGTCGCGGAGTTGATAGGACGTTTTGGCGAATTCGGCGGGGTAGGTGATTGCGATTTCGATACCACCGGCAATACCGCCTGCTAGGATCGAGCGGAGTGCGGAGGGCTGTTTCGTGAGGTTAGTAGGATGGTTGGAGGGGATCGAGGGGGTGATGTGACCTTTTGCTGTGAGGATGATTAGCAAAATCAAACGGATCGAGGGAGGAGCTTACTCACCTTCTTATCGGTAGCCATCCTGACAGTTTCGTCTCTGTATCGATCTGACTGACGTCGGTCGTCCTCCTCGAGGATGCACGCCGCTGCTGCTCCTTACTGTACAGCGCAGTGCTTGTGTTTTGTGTGGGGAAGCGCGTCCACACGAACATCGATATCTGAACTTCCGAGGAGACCCGAGACCACTTTGTTCGACGTCAACCAAGGACACCAGTACCTCGTCATTCGTTCATCAATTGTCAACTGTCAACCACTGTCCTTTTCGATCTCTACCTTTTTGAAGCACGCACAATGGTCTCCCTCATCGACAAACTCCGCTCCCAACTCGAAGTCTGGCGTCTCGAGCGTCGTTATGTAACGAAGCACGCGAAGCGTAACCGTCAGTGTACGTCCTCTTTATTCTCTTCTTCCTCCTCCCCGGGCTGACAGATGTGATAGCACAATACATCTACGAAGACGGCCACTACATCTCGAACCCGAAACTCAAGGACGGGCCGATTGTGAGGGCGAAGGAAGTTACGGGGACAACGAAGTCGAAGAGGAGGGTGTTTGCCTAAATCTGGTTCCGGGAAAACTGCATAGTTGGATGTGCACGTTTGGTTTTTGGCAACGGTGTCGGGGGACATCGATATCGATCATTTTTGGGATTTCTCACATTTGGTAAACGCGTACTCGCGTGTTTGTGACTTTTTGGCGTTGTCGGGTTTCTTCTTATACCACTCTTTTGGTACATCTCTTTTCAGATACCACTGACTACATCTTGCTTCAAATTCTCCACATGCTATCTGGTATTACCATGGTATCACCATCCCACAGCTCAATCCCACAGGAGCACTTCTCCTCACATCGATCTTACTCTTTCCTCTTCTGCCTGGCCTGATATAGCCGATTGGCCAACCCAATACTCTTACTCCTCCCATGTCCTTTCCCATTCGCGCCTGGTCCCGCCGTCGTCGGTGTACTCGGCGTACTCCCACCCCTACTCAGTCCCCCATCCTTCCCCATCCCATTCTCCTTAGGTGTCGAATTGGGTGTTTCGTGAGGTCTGGTAGACAACGGGTCAAACGCAAACACAGGCGGGTTCTTGAGCGTTGCGGTTCGTCGGGCTTTCTCGTGTCGTAGCTGCACATTCCGGAACTTTTCCAGTAACTCTGGCCATTTGATCTCGTCTACGCCCTTCCTGCCCTTGGGCCCTACTCCTACCCCGCTTCCCGTTCCTCTCTCGAAAACGGTAGAGGGCGTTTTCGGAGCGAGGTGGATAAATCCCATACTGTTCACCGCATTGAGTCGATTTCGGAGGGTAGCGAAGGCAGATGATTGGGGAAGAAGCATAAGGAGGCCGTATAGGCATTTGAAGAGGTAGGGATACTTTTCTGGTTCGAGGAGTTGAAGGCGGAGGTCTGTACACAGCAAAAATTAGCCACCGGGCACGGGTCAAGAACTGTAAGACCACGTACATGTGAAAACGGGCGATTCGAGTAGCTGTACCAACTTGTCGACTTGGATGAGGAGGGACACCGTGATTTCCAGATCGGCACTGTACGACAGCGTCAGCCAAACGATCTTGCGTTCCTTCTCATGAAACAACGTACAAGATCTGCAACAGGTTGGAGGCTTGTTCGTATGCTTGAGCCAGTAAGCAGAGACTGAATGTCGCAACAGCGTTATGACACCACGACCGATACAAACTCGTAAAAAGCAACTGCCCATCCTATAATTGACATCGTCAGCCTGTCTGTATTAAGGATAACACAAGACCCCGGGTTGTGAATCACCTTCGTCTCCAAATTTCTCAACCTCTTCCTCAAATCCCCCAACTCTGGCGCCGTAATCAACCCCATACTCAAATTCTGCACCATAATCCCCGCAAACTCCAAATCATCATCCCTCTCCAAGATCTCCGCGAGTGTCCGGTATATCCGCTCCCCACTCAGACTGACGCAGAGTTGTCGCACAATCAAGGAACCGCGTATTTCGAGGAGACGGCGGTCGGTGGAGAAGAGGGAGACGAGGTTGAGCATGAAGGAGGTGAAGTAGTCGTCTGATGTCGATGACGAGACGAGTGCGAGGAGTTGGAGGTCGCGGGTGACGACTTTCTCCGATGGATCAGATAGTGTCTTTAGCAGTACCGGAAACGTGCCATCGTCCATGGCTAGAACCTGTATGCTTTGAAGTCAGCGCCCCGAAATACGGAGTAGGACAATCCTCCAAGAGAGCGTACCTTCGTTGGGGCTTTCTTGTGCAGCCAGTACAACCAATCCAAGGCTGCTACCCGCGTCTCCTCATGCTCGTTCAAGAACTGTAGTGTCAGTGCACTCACCGTCGTCGCATAATCAAGTCCATTCCCGCCCTTCTCTTCCTTCTCCTTCTCTGCAAACCCGACAACAGGACTTTGGCTCTCGACCAGGCTAGAAGACTGAGGTTCACTCAACGCGCTAGTCATACTACTCTTCTTCATCGTAACAGGCGACAAACTTCTGGAGCCCTCACTCTGTGCCGACCAACTCCCCTTCCTCCCTTCCCCACTCCCACTCCCCCTCCCTCCTCCCATCTCAACAGCTGGCTCAGGCAACCCCATCACCAATCCCCTCAAATTCCCACTAACCTCCCCCGCTTTCCCCCTCACCTTCTCCACCCCACTCGATAAAACCGGAAGTACCCTCTCCAACACCCTCGGCACAAACTCCAATAACTCCTGCCCACAGATTCCGAAAAGCTCGTTGACCCATGTTAGTGCTGTATGTTGTATTTCCTCGATGGGCGAGGAGAGGTGGGGGAGGAGGATGTGGAGGAGAGCGGGGTGGGAGATGGGGACGTCTTGGCCGGGGATGTAGATATCGGAGGAAGAAGGGTTGGGGATTGGATTTAGGGGTGAGGGTTCGGAGACGAAGGGGAGGGTTGGGGTTGAGGGGGAGATGAGAGAGTGTGCGATACCATCCGTATCTGGTTGACTATGCCCGTGGCTCGCACTGTCTGCGTCACTGAAGCTCTTCCCTGCGCCTGTGTCGTCGCTCTGTGTTTGCGTTTGCGTTTGTGTTCCGTTCACTGGTGCTGTCTTCCCGCTGATTTTCTTGATTTCCGCGATACGTCGGATTTCGGCTAGGAAATCGTTGAGTGCGACGTGTGTTGCGGTGCGTACGTCTTTGTTTGGATCAGCGAGGAATTTGAGTAACCCGTCAAGGAAGGCGGGGAGGTGGGTGATGAGTTCGAGGTCGGGGATCGAATTGAGGAGGATAATCCACGAGACGAGGAATGTTCTCTGAAAGTCCTGTTGTCAAACCACGCGCGATGCAAATGGGGGATTTCTGGACTTACCGTGAAGGGGTTGATAACATATATCCGCTCCGCCACCATTGGAATAAACCTCTCCAACGAGAACGCCGTCGTCCTCTCCACCTCCCTCGCATATCTCGGTCGTCCCCCATCGTCCTCCTCCTCCTCACTCACCGGCGTCACAACCCCACTCCCATACCCATCCCCCTGCAACACACTAACATACGTCGCCGCCTTCTCACTTACGATGTCCTTAACGAGTCGATCCAACAACTCCGCTCCATTCTTCACGCTCAGTTCCGAGTCGGCGGCTAATCTGCAGAGTGAATCGAAGACTTCGTTGAAGTAGAGGAGGGTTTCGCCTTTTGCAACTTTGGCGATGTTGTACATGGATTCGCAGGCGTAGTACCGGACGCGGGAGTCTTGGTCTGTGAAGCAGGCTAGGACGGGGGGTATAATGTCCTCCAAAAACCGGGCGACAGAGGGACCGAGAGCGATACAGGCTGCCGCCAAACCAATCAAACCTCCATTTCGTATGTGAGGATGAGAAGAGGAATATGTATCCGCGCAGAGTTGATCGACGATTTGGCGGAGTTTGGGGAGGGAGTCAGGGAGAGCGGCGGTATCTCGTATAAGTCTGAACCACGAATCTCGTCAGTTTCAATTGCAAAGTAAGAAAAGCTCGATTCCGTGATACCTTTCCAGTTCCAAGGCGGCTGCCTTCCGTTTCTCGTATAGCTTGTCATGGAGACCACGCTGAAGATGGGGATCTATCACAACACACTGTCAGCCCTGCCGTTACCTCGACCTAAATCCACCGTGACAGCATTCACTCACCCATGGTCCCTGATAGCTATACCAGCTCCTTTACCGCCTCTCAATCGTAATTGGTGGTTAGCAGTCCTTTAAGCTTAAATGTCGGTTCGTCCCAACCGCCGCGGTGCCGTGCATCATTCTGCATCAACTCGCATCCCCGCGCAGCTCCCGTCCCCGCTCACGATTTCGTACGCGGTGCTAAAAATAGAACGACGACGACTTGAGATAGCTGATCAATGTCACAAAGAACGACAACGAGAAGAAGAACCCCAATTCTTTGGTGGGGCCTCGGAATCGCGGCCGCGACGGCAGTGGGTGTCGCGACGTGGTGGATCGCGTCGAGAGCAGCCGGTGCCGGTGATCCGGAATCCTCGCCGAGAGCGGAAGAATCAGATCGGAGCGCGAGGCGGAAAGGGAAGAAGAAGAAGATGGTAGTGATCGTGATACAAGACGTACGTTCACCCTTCCTTCCCCTTCCCCTCTCCCGTTGTCTCTCGAACGGGATACTGATCACAAGACCGCAACAGGAAGAAGCACTGAACCACATCCCACCAATCCTCCACCCTCACACCTCCGACCTCCTCCTCCTAGCCCCACACACCCTCCCCTCCACCTCCCTCGCCCACGCACAAACTCTCCTCCCCTCCCCCCACAACCTGATCCAATACCAAAACAAGACAGGGGCGGGTGTGCCATCAATTATCAGGCATTTGGGACCTGATGTCGTGGTGTTCTTGGGTGGGGGTGGGGAGTGGGTTGAGGAGGTGAAGCAGTGGGTGGGACGGGTTGTTGTTGTTGATGAGGAGGGGGAGGGTGGGAGGAGGGGAAATGTGGAGGTTGTGAAGGCGTGGCCGGGGGATGGGGAGGAGGGGGTGGGGTGGTGGATGGCGAGGGTGTGAAGGAAGCGAAGGAATGGGAACGGCTTGGGATTAGGGACTGGTGTTTAGTGGTTATGCAATTGGTTTTGGATACTCGGGCAAAGGTAAGAGACATCGTACGAGAGAGTGTTGTGCGAATTACCATGGCTGGGTTTTGCATTATCATCCTCTTGTGTGTGAGACTCTATATATCCTTCCATAATAACCCTTCATTACACGCCTCTCATCTTTAGCTCCTCATCACTCACTCATTCCCATCCACTCGGCCATAAACCGCCATACCTCCCCCACACCATCCCAACCATCCCCACCACCACCACCGCAATCCTCACGAGTCACCTCCCCGCCCGTTGCGCATCGTAGTACGCCGCGCCCTCCACAGCAGCCTGTGCCCACAACCCATCCCGGATCCAGCCAGCCTTCAGAATCGGTATCTATGACATGTGTTGGCATGGGGTGAAAGAGGGGGAGCTGGGGGGACACGGCTCACCAGTGTCGCGAGGTTCATGGGCTGCTTCAGCGATTTCCCGCGTAGACATAACTCATCATACAACGACTCATACCTGGGTTCCACCAGACCCTTCATCGATGCGTAGAACTCGACTTTTCTGATTTTCTCTGCTTCGAGTTGGTCGTTGCCTATGGGGGTGTTTCGTAGCCATGCTTGACGGCGGGCGAGCCAGGTTTGTAGAGCGTCGTTTTGTGGGTCGTTGATTTGTGTGTCTGGTGGTGGGTTGTCGAAGAACGGGTCTGATGACATCTCGGCCGTGCAGGGAAAGGTTCTTCATCGAGGAATGGACAGTGCATGGACCCGCCGCGGTTGGCCCGATCTCATGCAGTACGACGGCTCGGCCACCTGTGCCACAGATGCATGTGAAACCTCAACGCCGACGCCGCGAAAGGGAGGGGGGGACACTCCGTCAACAGCTCAATGGCAGCCCCCTACTCCCGTCTCTTCCTCCCTCACCTCCTACTCCCCTCTATAAAGCCCCCCTCCTCCCGCATCGTCACCCCCGACCAAACCAGCCAACAACACTGCTACCGCCAACCACTTACGAATCGGCATAGCATTTACTCCCCTTACTTACTTGCTATATCATATCTCTATACGCTTTCTCTTACGTTTACGACATAGTTCGACCATAACGACGTCGATTGTGATTGTTTGGATCCCCAGGTTTTTCCTTTGAGGTTCAGCATACATTCCAGGGAAAGGTTCTTCCTCGGGGAACCGGATGTACTCATGGACAAGTGCTAACCGGGGAGAACAGGTAGTGATATACGACTTCTACTTCTGCTCAACTCTGCTCTACTCTACGTTGGTCTACGACTTTCTCGACTCACACTCCACGACGATTATCTACACTTACACGACTACACTTACGAAACAAACAAACAACATGCAACTAATCACCGCATTCACCTCAACCTCCTGTCTCTTCCCCCACCTCTCCCTCCCTCACCCCTTCTCCTCCACCTCCACGCCCTCTTCTCCCACCTTTGCGTCCCCATCCACACTCTTCGCTCCCACTCACAATACATCTCGTGTCTTCTGTCTCTTCACCTTACCGCTGCGTCTCGCATACTCAGCCTCCACGCTCCCCTTCCGAGTCATCCGCGCTGCCGGTGCGGTACTCGAGGGCGAGAATGGCGATGCGTGGTTGGAGGCTGATCTTGGTGTTGATGAGGATGTCGAGGGGAAGAAGAAGGAGAAAGTGTTGAAGAAAGTTCGGTTTAGGGGTGTTGATATCTTTCGGAAACAGTTGTCTGACTTCCGTTTCTCGTCTGCTCCCTCGTCCTCTCTGGCCGAGGTCGAGCATGACGTTTGTTGGGGCGAACTTGGATGCATGACGCTGCTTCCTTCAGACTTTGTCCACCTCGGTGCCTCCACTCAAATCTTCGTCGACCAATGTTGGGCCGAGCTCCGTCGCGTCACCCTCTCCACTCGTGACTGCAACACATCTACACCATCCCCCAACAGTCCGAGAACGACTGTGATCGACTCAACGACCGCGGTCCACCATGCTCCATATGCACTCACCACCTCCCCAGTCTCTGACTCAAGTTCCGCATTCGCCTCCGCTGAGATTTCTTCGTTGGGTTCATCTGATGTGTTCATGCCCGCTTGGTGTTCAGATTCGGAGAGGTCTGAGGAGGTGGTCATCAAATCTGCGTCGGGTGAGATGGACGTCACCATCGAAACCAATAAACCAAAGAACTTGAGGTTGATTTTGGGGTTGAAATGGCGTTGGTGTTGGAGAGAGGCGTCGAGACGCCGGTTACTCCGTTCCTCCGTCCTTTCCGTGCTGCGGCTGCGGCTGCGGCTGCGGAGGTTGATTTGGAGTTGATCTCGCCAATGACGAGTATCCTCCCTTCGACCCTGAGCTTTACCCCCGCAATGTCTTCGTTGCCCACTCTCACATCCGCGTCCGAGGTCGAGTCTGAGGTTGAAAGCCACTCAGTCCCGTGGTTCGACCCGACGCTTCCTCAGTTCCGTCCCTCATCCAACCCTCTTTCGTCGGTCCCTACCTCGACTCCCTCTCTCACCCTCGACATTCGCACCCCTCTCTTCACTCGTCACCGCTCCGCAAAACGCCACGTTGAATCCGCGTTGAACTCCCCGGTCCTTCCACAGGTGTTGGCCAAGCGATGCAGACGTGGTACGAATTTGCATTTTTCTCGAGATGCGCGACGAGAGCGTTAGGGTGTTGAGCGATAGTGAGTCTGACGGTGAGAGGGAAAAGGCCCCGATGTCGTTGAAGGGGTTGATGGGTTTCGCTGGTTTGCAGTCTCGTAGTGAGGAGAAGAAGGACGTTCAGGAGACGGTGAAGGAGGTGAGCGTTATTGACGGGTTGCTGGAGGATTTAAGGATGACCCCGCTCAGGAGGAAGACGAAAAGTTCCGTTAGGTACAAGGATGCTGACGTCTGTATTCTCGGTCCTTTCCTTGTCCTACCACAATCCCGGCTCAGCCGAAGGAGAAGGATGTCGGCATCTCCAAATCCATCTTCAATTTTGATAACCTCAACCTCGATCTCGACTTCGACCTCTCTTTCGAGCCTGCGATCCCGCCCACTCCCACCATGCCCAACTCTAACTCTCCTCGTCTCAAATCTACCGCTTGCTTTTCCGATAGCGAGAGTGAAACTGATGAGAGCTCGGATGAGGAGGAGTGCCTGTTGGAACTCGCTAGAAGGTTCAAAGTGGGGAAGACGGCTGGGGCCAGGTACGCCACGGACTTGTTGAGGGAGGGGAAGAGGAGGTATTCGTTGCATTAGGCGGTGGGGTGGTGTGTTTTCGGCGTTCGTTCATGATATCGATTTTTGGTTGTTTGTTTTGCTCTCGGTTTGTGGTTTGATGTTTCGTTCTTCGTGCGTGGGATGAGTATGAGTATGGGTATTAGGATTAGTTTGGGTTTGAGTATGAGTAATTTTATGGTTGGCACGAAACTGCTCCTTTCCATTCGTCGTATCTCGTCTCACACAACCTCGATGTCAACCAGGTGGTGAGTCTACGGACTTTCGAGCTCAGCGGGAGACTAGTCCGTAAACGGAGATTTTCGTACGAAGGGGTACGTTTGCAGGGTGTCTGAGAAGGAGAGAATGTACGAGCATGAGAATAAGGAATGGAGACGGGATTACAGGTTCTATTTGTTGTTCCGGTTAGAGTATAAGAATAGACGGGATATATTGTTACACAATTTTGTACCTTCGTTTCCATAAACCCTGCCAAAGATAGAGATAATAGCGTCAAACATGGAAACTACACCCAACAATACTGGTCGCCTAAGCCTTAACAGCGCTGTACGCCTTCTGCTGGATCCCGTGCAACTTCTCATTCATCCGGTACGCAGTCTGCTGCGCCGTATCAGCCGCCTGCAAAACCTTGCCCTCAACCACGTTCGTCGCATCCTGCGCAACACCCGAAACTTTGTTCGCGCCATCATATGCCAAAGCCGAAGCCTTCTCCCAACCCTCACCAGCAACCTCAGCACCTTTCCTAATCTTATTCCCGACGTCCTTGATGGCACCCCTTTCACCACGGCGGTCAAATAGAGCGTGAAAGGCATAGAACAAAAGGTCCACGAACGAACTGAGCTGGGGACGGCGGTCGAGTTCCCATTTGGTGAGCCACATGTAGTACCCAACGACAACATTCATCCTTAAACTCTTCTTCAAGGTAAGACTCTCACTCGCTCCCTCAGCCCTCATCAACCTCGGAACATACCCAGCAGGGAAAGTCTCCTTCCCCATCCAAGTCTCGATGATCGTAGTGGAGACATGGATATCCGTCCCATACCCATCACCAAAAACGTCAAGGATGAGCGCCGGCTCACCACGCGTGATGAACGGGTGAAGACCAGAAAGCTCGTACTGGGGATTATGCCTTTGACACTCCCTCTCCCTCATCACCCTAAACCTCGCAATTTCCTTCACCCCAATCATACCCTCCCCCTCACCACGGCCAAACTCACAGAACTTCTTCACTAATTCCATATCCGGACACTCCTGCTTTCCCCATCCGGAATCTGGGCGCGAAATCGAAGCATCGTGTTCGATGAAGTTGTGGAGGCCGATTCGGCCAAGGTCGAGGGTGTACCCGTCATCGGAGAGACCGACTTGGAGAGCACCGGAGAGGAGGGAGAAGCAGGTGAAGAAGTCCGCGGAATAGTAGTCGCGGAGGGCGTGGAAGAGGTCGATCGGGTTGATCTTCTTGCCGTTACGGTGGCTATATAAATCGAAGTCCTCAGGTCAATGTTCCTCTTTCTGAGGCCAAAGGTTCAGCAAAACCTACATGATCCCATGGTTCGCCAACGTGTTTAACCCGGGACAGGGAGTCCTCATGTCTCCCGGTGCGGGAGCGCGATAATACCTCTCAGCAAGCTTGAGTTGGCCCAAAGGTTTGGGAGTATACGTGTACCGAGCCTTGATCATAGTCGGTGCCCACCAGATGATGTTCGTGAAGAGCGTGAACGCCCAGATAAGGCGCTGAACGAAGAAGAAGGGTCCAAAAAGGGTCTCAAGACCGGGGAACTGGGCAGTGAGTTGGGGCGGAGACATCTTGGATGTGATCTGTGTCGAAGAATACTTTGGAGGATGTGAGTGAGGGATGAGCACGGGCTTTATAGAGAGCGGAGACCCCAGAAAACCAAGGATCAATGCTCATTTCATAAGACAATCGTGGACGAGTTGATTGGTCCAGTGGACCCTTAAAGATGTTCACATGCCGTCCGGTCAAAGCGGCCGGGGATCGAAGACGTTGAGGGATGTGCGCGGGCCGAGCATGAGATGAAGTGGGGACGAGCTGTATCAACCGGTGGGACTGTCATTCGAAGATACACGACGAACACTTATAATAATGCAAGAGTTTTCAATTCTATGATATCACCATCAAAATCAAAAACGCCATATGATATACCTAACTTTCATAGAGTGAAGAGCCTTCACCATCTTACAACGTCCTCGGGACCACCTTCTCGGTATAACACTGCACCTGATCGCCCTCCTTGAAGTCAAAGAAGTCTTCGAACGACATACCACACTCACTACCCTTAGGCATCTTCGCAACGTCCTTCTTGACGTTCTTCAATTCAGCCAACTTTCCAGACCAGATTTCCTCACGGTTACGCAAAACACGAACCAAGGACGACTTCTCAATAGTTCCGTTGTGAATACGACATCCAGCAATGTTCTTCGTCTTGTTACCCTTGATAGTAATATTGAAGATCTTGAGAATGTCGGCTTCACCCGTGACGTGTTTCTCAATGAGAGGGGGAAGAAGCTGAGATAAACGCTCCCTCAAGTCTTCCAAGAGCCTGTAAATGATACTGTAGGTGTAGATCGGGACCTTATTCGCAGACGCAACCTGGTCGATACCGTCCATCTCCTTCACATTGAACCCAATGATCTCACCCTGAACAGCAGCAGCGTACGACACATCACCCTCAGAGATATCACCAACACCAGTTTGCAAAACCTTAATGCGGATCTCATCGTGGTGGATGGTTTCGATTTGATGCACGACAGCTTCCACGGATCCCATGACGTCAGCCTTGACGATGATTCGCACCTCCTGGTACGTTGGTTTCTCCACCTTCTCAGTCAACATACGATCGGCGTGGAGCTTCGCAGCACCCGTCTTGGCACCACCCCTCTTGGCTGCCGCGATCAACTTGATTTCCTTTTCCCTCCTCTCTGCATCCGCACGACGCTTCTCGTTGAAGAGTTGCATTTCCTCAGCTGCTTTCAATTTTTCAGCACGAGCGATACGGTTTCCGACGACTTGCGTCGCCACCTTTTGGTTCGGTGCCTCGAGGACCTCGTCACCAGCAACGGGAACTTCCTTCCATCCAGTAACGACCACAGGCGTACCGGGCGGAGCCTGTCTCAACGACTGACCCAATGAATCAGTCATAGTACGGACACGACCATGGACCTTTCCGGCGACGATGAACGCTCCGAGCTTGAGTGTACCTCTCTTGACCAAGATCGTCGCAGAAGTACCCTTTTCGAGTGACGAAGAAGACTCCACTACCCAGCCCTCTGCCTCACCAGTGTATTGCGCCCTGATGTCCAACATTTCGCTAAGGGTCGTGATTGCTTCCTCCAAGTCTTCCATTCCCTGTCCGGTCAATCCCGAAACGGGGACAGCCTGCGTCTCACCACCAACGTCTTCTAACTCGACTTCATGCCTCAACAAATCTTGCTTCACCTTCTCGACATCGGCGCCGGCCTTGTCAACCTTGTTGATGGCAACGATCATCGGGACCTTCGCTTTCTGCGCATGCTTGATAGCTTCGATGGTTTGAGGCTTGACAGAGTCATCGGCAGCAACGACAAGAACGACGATATCAGTCATGTTCGCTCCACGCTCACGCATGGTCAAGAAAGCTTCGTGTCCAGGTGTGTCAAGGAAGGTGATAGTTTGTCCACTTGGCCTTGGAACACTGAAAGCACCAATATGCTGCGTGATACCACCTGCTTCACCCGCTGCCACAGACGATTTACGAAGGAAGTCAAGAAGTGTAGTCTTTCCGTGGTCGACGTGTCCCATAATCGTGACAATCGGAGGGCGGAGCGGAAGCTTCGATTTGTCCTTCGGCTCCGGCTTCGAGAAGAGATCCTTTCCAGCCTGCTCGTCGAAGACTGGGTCGATACCAAACTCCATTGCGATAAGGGATGCTTCCTCCTTGTTGAGAATGTGGTCGTAACTCGTCTCCGCCATACCCGCCTGCCTCATATTCCACACCAATACCGATCTGCGGACGTTGAGTATGGTAGCGAGGTTGACAACGGAAATGAAAGGCGGAAGGTATACTTTTGGGGTAGTGTCAACCGGCTCCACCTTCTTCGCAACCGCCGGCTTCTTCTTCTTCCTCCTGGGCTCATCCCCATCCTCATTTAAGGCAAAGCCAAGGTCATCTTCATCACCATAACCACGTGCTTCCTCGTCTCTGGATGACTTCTTTAGCTTCTTGCTCTTATCTTTTAGCAGTTGTCTCTCCTTCCTTTCTCTCTCGATTTCCTTTCCTTTATTCCTTTCAGCCCATGCGGCCGACTGACGATCGGATGCAGGTGGCACGAATACTTCTTCCACCAAAGGTCGGTCTGGGTCTAAACCAGATTCGCCGTTTGGTCGTTGGTCGTTGTTGCCCGGACCCCGCTGTCCAGGTCGGTCTCGATCACTTCCGCCATTGGACCGTTCAAAGCCATCATCCCGACTCCATCTTGAAGGTTGGGAACCCCGACCATCCCTGCCAGAGTTGTTGCTACCCTGTACGAATGGGCCAGGTCGACCTCGATCGAATCCCCCGTTGGACCGTGGAGCGTCATTTCCACGACCCGCATTCCACCGCCCACCCCGATCATCCCGTCCCCGGTTACCCCCGCCCGTACCGCCTCCATCATCTCGTCCCCATCTTGGAGGTTGCGAACCCCGGTCATCTCGTCCCCGGTTCCCCCCGCCCATACCACCTCCATCATCTCGTCCCCATCTTGGAGGTTGCGAACCTCGATCATCCCGTCCCCGGTTACCCCCGCCCATACCACCTCCATCGTCCCGACCCCATCTCGGAGCCTGCGATCCCCGATCATCCTGTCCCCATCTTCCCTGACCCGTATTACCTCCACCTCCAAATCCACCTCCCATCGGTCGCGGGGCCCATTTATCACCACCCGCAGGCGCCTTCGGCGTAAGCGGTACCGCCGCCTTCGCCCATTTATTCGTAGCAGCACCTCCCGATAACTTTCCGAATAACCCGCTCAACGAGGGCTTCGGCGCATCCTCGAAAACAGGAAACGACGTCGAAAACGTTCGCCGCACAGGGAACGTCGGCGACGATCGCGGCCTATAGAGACATTGCTGTGGATTTTGTCAGCGGTGCGCAGACGATAGATTGTAAGGAACAGACTCACAGATGCTCTCAATTGGCCTACTGTTCGCATATTCGCTGGGATCTATGTTGACCTTCACGTACCAAAAAGTTCCCATTTACGACGCAGGGCTCCAGTGCACGCGCCACGGCGTAGCAGCCTCGAGAAATCCCAAGAGTCCATATGTACATCGCAGCCTGCTGGAAACCTTATTTTGCCAAACACCTCTGATTCCGACATGCCTGTAACGACAGGTCTCTCCCCGGCTGAGCGCTCTTACCTCTACACCTCCCTCTCCCAGTCAATCCGCCCAGATTTCCGCTCCTTAACGACCTTCAGACCCCAAACCTTCCAAACAGACATCCTCCCCACCGCAAACGGCTCCGCACGCGTCCGCTGGGGCGGCGCAGTCGGTGCAGCAGTAGCCGGCGGTGTATCCGGTGCGGGCGTCGGTGAAGTCATCGTGGGCGTCAAAGCCGAAATCGGACCCTCGCAGTTATTAGATGACGGGTCAGGGAGGAAGGGTGGATTGGTGAATGTCAATGTCGAGATAACACCCAACGCGGACCCGAACACAACACGAGACGATGACCCCCTCCCCACTCTCCTCTCAACATTTCTCTCCCAAACTCTCATCCCTGCAGCGATCCCCTCTACCGCCCTCACACTCGGCCCCGAACGCGCATGGCACATCTACATCGATTGCGCAATCCTCTCGACATCTGGACATCCTCTACCTGCGTTGTCTCTTGCAGTGAGGTTGGCGATGATGACGACGAGGTTACCACGCGTGACGCTCACCTCCGACATTGACAGAGAAGCCGCACAAGTCGCTTCAACAGGCGGTACAAACATCCGCGAAGCCGTCATCGATCTCGATATTGACGATGACTGGGATGCAGCGACTCCAATCCCGGGCGTGGAGAATCTGGGCGTAGTGTCGATCGCGAACGTGGTGGGCCGTGCAGTGTTCTTCGATGCGGCACCGGGGGAGGAGGAGGTTTGTGATGCGCGGGTTGCCGTTGCTGTGGGCGCGGATGGAGACGTCGTTGGTGTACGGATGTTTGGTGGAGCGAAAGGTGTGGGGCCGGAGATGGTTAAGGAGGCAGTGAAGGCTGCACAGCTGGTTGGTGTTGAGGTTGTTAAGGGATCATCACAGGGACTTGAAAGCAGTCACGATACGGGAGGGTTCTTTGCGATTATGTGAAGCGTGAGTGGAAGGAGGCTCTACTAGCTAGATAGAATGCATATGGCGCACGTCCATGATACCCCCCACCACCTTCTTGTATGGATTTAGCTATGCCTGAACAACCGTCTCACTCGCCGCCTTCCGCAATCTATTCATAATAGCAAGACCCTCATCTTCCTCCCCAACCCCCTCAACAAAAATCATATCACACCCCTCCCCATCCAACTCCCTCAACACCGCAAACAACCCCCTCGAAATATCCTCCCCATCCGTGCCCAAACTCCTATCCAGCACCTCGCTTGCCCCGAGTTCTCTCAACGCCGTCTCTGCGCCCGGGGCAGACCATGTTCGTGTCCGCATAACCCCAACCTTTTTATTTTTCACGTTCTCTTTCGCGGGAGTGTCGAGGATGCGCACGATATCGGTTACAGGGACATTCTCAAACAACACAACCCGCGCACTCGGCGAATAATGCCGATACTTCATCCCCGGCGCCTGCGGTACACCCTCCAAATCCTTCCTCCCAGGCCGATGCACAACCACATCCCCCCACACCCCTCCCACAGTCTTAATCTCCTCAACCGAAACACCGCCAGGTCTGAGCACAACAGGTGGACTCACAAGCCCATTCACCACAGTCGACTCGACACCAACATTCGAGGCGCCACCGTCTAGGATGAAGGGGATGCGGGATCCGAGGTCGGTGTGGACGTGGGAGGCGAGGGTTGGTGAGGGGCGGGTTGAGGCGTTTGCGGAGGGTGCGGCGAGGGGGCAGTCGGAGTGTAGGAGGAGGGCGAGAGCTAGTGGATGGGAGGGGAGGCGGACCGCGAATGTTGACTGTCCCGCTGTGACGAGTGTCGAGATTGGACTTGGTTTGGGGAGGGGTAATACGATCGTCAAGGCCCCTGGCCAGAATTTGTTGATGAGGGGGTGGTAGATTGCTGGGATGAGATCTTTGTCGTTTTGGGTGGGCGATGTGCGGAGGAGGTGTCGGAGTTGGGTTAGGGAGCCGATGTGGACGATGAGTGGGTTGTCCGCCGGACGCTTTTTCGCAGCATAAATACTCCGCACCGACTCCGTTTTCCGGGCGTCTGCGCCGAGTCCATACACCGTCTCTGTCGGAAACGCGACGGGTTGTGTGGTTTCGTTGAGGTAATGCGACGCCTGATCTAACGCGTCCTTCGTCTCTGATGGCCGGATCGTGAGGGTTGGTGAGTCGTAGGGATGCAGTGGTGCGGCAGAGAGGTTAAATGTGATATCTGATTGCCGTAGAGGCATGATCTGTGTCGTGAACTTGACATCCGCCGAGGAAGTCATTGTGCGAAAGCCGGCGCCCTTGTGCTTTGAACGAAGAATTGGAGCGGAGAGAAGGCGGGAAAGGCGTAGGCGAGTGGTTGCCAACGTTGCTATGGTACGAAGGAACAGTGAGAAGCGTAAGGAATGCGGATCGGTTGATCTTGTCGATGACTTTGCCAACTTTTTTGGAAGGCGGGATGCAGGGGTCGACATGAATCCTGCACACAGCAGTACTGTAACGTAGCCGTCGCTTCTCCATAGCTGGAGCTGTCAACTGGTCGCGCACGGATCACCGCCTTGAATCCCATTCAATTCAATCATGGACAGAGTACGTGCATTCACAGAAGTGAGCAAATGGGGACTAAACAATAACAACCAGAACCAGACACGCGGCAACGGAAACAGTCGAGGACGCGGTGGTGGTCGTGGAGGCTATGGCGGTACCCAGGACAGACCAAAGAAGGAGGCCATTCTGGATTTGGCCAAGTATAAGGATAAGCAGATTCGTGTCAAGTTTGCTGGTGGACGTGAAGGTGAGCATGTATGGGAGGCGGATTGTTGCGGTGTGGTATGCTGACAAGTGTTGAATCAGTCGTTGGTACGCTCAAAGGACATGACCAATTGATGAACCTTGTTTTAGATGACGTGCAAGAGTATCTTCGAGGTACGCGATTGCGCCAACTACACACTCTACAGTGTTGTTAACCGACCATTTAAACAGATCCCGAAGACGGCCAGGTGACAGAGCAAACCAGGCAACTCGGACTCATCGTCGTTCGCGGTGTTAACCTCGTTCTCATCTCCCCTATCGACGGTTCAGAAGAGGTATGTCCTTGGAGCGAGAGAGTGACTGGATGGTGCTGACGTGGTGTTCAAACTTCTAGATTCCTAATCCTTTTGCGCCTCCGCCGGATATGTAAGAGGGATTGATGTGATTATGTACGCGCAGATAGAAAAAGGAAAGATACCCAGAGGATCGCAGGCCATACTTGATGAAAACGTGAATGTCACTACCAGCATCCAGCTTGCTCAAGCAGCTTGGTACGTGAAGCATGTCACACCACCGGGTTGCCTTGTCGATTAGGAAGTGATACTCCAGCGTGTGATCAATAAGGAATTACAATCATGTGATCCCTCAATCAAAATGAAATTCTATCGAACCTTCAAACACAACAATATTGTCCTCTGCCATCATCTCGCACCTCAGTCGTAATACCACGGCTCATCAAACACATGGTACCGATGTCCCCTAACCCCCTCCCCACGGAACATCCCCGGATACCTATATCCCTCCGGCACCTCACCCTCCCCCACCCGCCGATAACTCGGCACCGCCTCCATCCCACCTTCCGCATCCGCATCCACCACCACAAACTTCCCCGTCTGAATCTCCGTATCCGTAATCGTCCCCCTCGAAACCCGCGCATACCCAACCCTCTTCACCCCCCTAAACGCAACATACTCACACCATCTATCCCAATCTTCGGGTTCGATATCGTGCATGTGGGCGTCGTCGATGAGGATGGGGTAGTTGCCTTCGTGTGGCTTCGTTACGACGTAACCGAGGAAAACGAGGGGGCGGTCGCTGTCTTCGCGCATGATTCGGGCTAATTCTGTTGTTTGTTGGAATCGGTCTTCGGGGTTTTCTTCTTGTCCGTTATGCGAGACGATGATGTCGACCCAGGTTCCGTAGACATCAAGTGTGGCGTGAATAGCCGGGGCGAGTTCACCTCTCGGCGAGGGAAGGAGATGATGCGTCGAATTCAAGATGGGGAATTTAGACAGTAATGCCGCGCCCCAGGTATGCTTATTCGGACCCGGTCCATAATCAGCGTACATCCCCAACTCCTCCGCAACACGTTGTGTCAAATCACGGTTTCCCATGATGATACGTTGGTTATCACTCTCGAGTAGCCCGATGACGTCGAGTTCGAGATCACGGATCGCGTCACGCATACGGATTTCGGAGGCCCACATGTCGTTGTCGAGACCGAAATGGATGGTCCAGATACCTGCTGTGAAAAGTTTTTCTTCGGGGTGGTAGGGTTTGAAGTCGTACGTTGGGAACCGGAGGTATGCGATTGCGATCGCGGCGGCACATAGGATGGACAAGACTGACTTGCCATACGCGGGACTCCGATTACTCGCCTTCATTGGCTGCACCTTAGCCTGCGCCTGCTTCGATTGTCCATGGAGAGTCGTGGCGTTATACACACCCAACCCAATGAAGCCCATCATGAACGTCAACACCAAATCCGTTCTCTCCCTCAACAACGGACCTCCAGGCACGAACTCATACGCGACGACCCAGACATGCGCGAGCACGAACAAACAGTAAAACAACCACGCCAAACCGAAGGTACGGCCGGGTTTGTTGACCGTTGCTGCGCTGCGGAAGAACTCGGGGATAAGGGACATGAGGTATACGGTGAGGATGAGGGCACCGTAGTATCCGAACCATCCTGGGACTTTGTGGAGGAAGAAGGTGGATATGCAGGCGATGGTGTAAAAGACCCAGTTACGCCCGAACCCGTTGGAGAGGGTGCTGAGGATGATACCGACGGACATGGCGATCATCGTTACGGCACCGTGAGGCACAGCCAAAGGTCCACGAACCGGGAATCCATCCCAGACCCAGAGAATCATGGTAGTCGAGTCTGAAAGCAATGATTGCAAGGCGAAGAGGAGACCGGCTAATCCGCACGCAGCGAAGAAAACCGATCCCGTCTTCTCCTGCTTCTTCTTACCCTCAAGAACGGTGGTTTGCTCGCCAACCCTGCGTTGACGAACGATGGTGCGGACGCAAGCCAGCACGGCGAGCACGATACCGGTCTTGTTCCAGCCACCGGTCTTACCGTTCATGATCGGCCACAGAGGGTTGTTTGAGAAACAAGCATACTTGACAACATTACTCATAACCAACCCGATACCCCACGCAGTGCTCATACGCTCCATCTCCCCATCCTTACCCCTCAAACTCTGGAAGATCGCACACCAAGTACTGGTCGTGAGTGCGACACCAGCACCGACGCACATCAGACGGTGAGCGGGGTTCTCGATCCTGTAGGAAACGATGGCGATGAGGGAAAGGAGGTGGAAAACGCCGGGGTTGGCGGCGATGATGCGGCGGAAGGGACCGATGCCGAGGAAGACGGGGGCGAGGGTGGTGACGAGCATGGCTTCGTATCCGGAGATACCCATGTTCCACAGAGGGAAGTACCAGACACAGACACCAAGCGAAGTCAACGTAGTCCAGAAGACAAACTGTATAACGCATCAGCAATCAGCGATCAGCACACAGGCCATTGGACGAAGAGGTCCTACCCCATGATAGCAATCCGCAACGAAATCCAACGCCTCATTCTTCGAGAACGCATTCGTCTGCGCATAAACATACCCCTTCTCCTTCTTCACCTTCTCTACCTCCGCACTCCTCGCGCCTTTGGTCTCGGGTTTCCTGTTTAAAATCATGTATTACTATCTGGTATCTTCTAAAAGGTTCATAGAGGGTGATAGTCCGCATACCCTGCACTTTTTCCAGCAACGTCGACGACGCGAAGCTCAAAGGTGTCGAAATCAAGGGCGGTAATAGAGTCGAAACCGACGTCGAAGAGGATGAGGGACCATTCGAGGAAGGCGTAGATGGTGTAAGCTGTAACATTTTGGTCAGCAATCACGCAAAGGCATGGTCCAGGCGGCTATGCTACCTCCTGGAACGCGGTGGACCTTGTGCTGGATGAAAAAGTAGACCAAAGGCACGATGACACCGTAAAAGCAAGCGGCCATTCGTTTTCTCAGCTTCATTGCGCGAGGGTTGACGGGGCTGACGGCCATGACACCGAAGCTCCATGGGATGGTGAGGAGGAGGTATGAAATCATGAAAATGTCATGCCAGTCATGGTTGTCGGAAGAGGTGATGTAAACCCATCCACCACAGGTGATGGTGCGCAGGAGACCGACACAAGCGACGATGGCGGGAAGCTTGGTGTTGCGGTGCGAGGTAAGAAGGTACCACAGTCCGATCAATGCAAATCGAGGACCTGTACTGCATCGTCAGCTTCGCTTGCACGTGCGAACCAAGCTCTTAAACTACCAGAAGTAACAGCAATCAACACCTGGAACAAGTTCCGCTCCGGGAACCAGTCACCAATGGTAGCGCTCACAGACGGAAACCACTCCTCCGGATACCCGTAAAACTCATTCTTGACAATCTTCTTGTAATGCAGCGCTATGGCGGTTAGTAAGCATCCGACGAACGCGGTGTATGCCAGTGCAGTGTGGGCGTGAGCAACCCACTTCCCGGAGGCGGAAAGGAGGGTAATGCCGACGCCGTTCTTGTCGACGCGACTTGAAGACATTGTAGCGAGCAGCTCAGCTTGAGGCTGGTCAATCGCTGGGTCGTCGAGGCTTGTATGGTGTTGACTGCTTCGAAATCTCGCGTCCAACTCGCGCAGGGGCCGGTGTGGAGCCGTGTGACCCGGAGAATCACATAACCGAAGAAGGTCGGTTTTGCTATAGAAAGTTGATAATTTGCTTGGAATTGGCTCAAGAAAATCGTCGTTCCGAGCTGTTTCCCTTCAACTTGTATGAGGTCATCGATACTGGTGTATACGTTACCGCATCGTGCTGCAGTTGTAATATTCCAAAAACCTTACAATTGTCATGTTTCGCACTTTACGCTCGCAACTATCCCTCTGGGCCTCATCAACAGCACAGGTCCCTACTCCGTGGCAGGCTTCCTTCCTTCCACCAACAGTTGGCCGAAGATGGTTCAGTGCAGATGAACACGAACTCGCACAGCTACGGTACGATCCTTCGCCTGTTCTCATCCTCCAAACGCTCATAGATTATGACAGGAAATGGAAAGCATCGTTCAATCCAGAAATCATTCCTCGGGACAAGTGTGAAATTCGTTTCGATCGCTCTAGCGGTCCTGGCGGGCAGAACGTGAACAAACGTACGTCCTCCCTCACCCTCTTGAACAGCCCTTACTCACCTCATGAGCACAGTGAACACCAAGGCTACAGTTCGGCTGGAACTCAGAAAAGCTTCATTCCTCCCGAAGCAAGTCATCGAAGCAATCAAGACGTCACATTCAACGAAGCAATACCTGACTTCAGACAACGAACTCGTGATCCAATCCCAAGCTTCACGAACACAGGCAGCAAACCTCGAAGACGCTTATCGAAAATTATACGACATCATCCGAGAATGTGTAGAAATTCCAGGCGAAACAAGTCAAGAACAGAAAGACAAGGTCAAGAACCTAGCAAGGAGGGACAATGAACGAAGGCTGAAGGAGAAGAAAAGGTTCAGCGACAAGAAGAGTTCGCGAAGATCAAAAGGTGATGATTACTAGGTTCATAAATTCCCAATCCTAAAGTAACTCTCGTGCCTCCTCCAAATCTCGGGATTCACCCCATTTTCTCACAGCCCTCTCCAAGACCTGTCCAGCCTCCGCATTCCTCTCCTTCGCGAGCAGGCGTCTAACCCACACCGCGTAACCCTTAGCACCGAGCTCTCCTTCCTTCTCAGCATCCTTCACAGTCTTGGCAAAGAACGCCGACAACAGCTTCTCCAAGTTAGTCTCCAACACAGGCAGAGACAAGTACTCGTGCAAGTACGCAAGGAACAAGTCGTAAAGTTCCGCACGAGGTCGTGCAGCAACCAAAGTAGCAGAGAATCCCTTCAATACCTCGCGCAAAGCAGCCGGGAATGCTGGGTCCACGGCACCGTGCTCGAGCGTCTTCGTGGGAAGAACGAGGAGGAAGAACAATGCCTTCGGCGTATTGGGGAATTGCGTACGAAGGTAGTCCTCCACCATCTGGCATAACTGTTGTCGTACCTCCGGTAACTGCTTGAAAGATTCGAACAACTCCCACAGACGTGTTGGGAGCGAGGTAGACTTGGGAAGGGCGGAGAATGCGGATTTGGTGATGGAGAGGGGGATAGCACCAGAGAGTGCAGGGTTATTTGCGGCATTCGTGAGGGCTTTCACTTCGACTTCTGAGAGGAGGTTCTTGTCCTTCGGGGTGCCATCGTCCATCTCTGCTGCGATGATAGTCGGCAACTTGATGTTTCCGTCCTCGTCATCCTCGCTTTCCTCCTGCTTCGTCTCCTCTTCCTGCTCGTCGATACCCAAAATCCGTCTTCGTGCATACAATTTTGCGATGTAGACCATCTCCAACTTTGCGTATTCCACCCACATGTCCTCACTGTCCTTGTTCAACCGCAACCCTCTCTGCATGAACGTCCGTCCAGCAGTCACGTCTCCATTCTCCTCAAACTGATGCTGCGCCGCCAAGATCCAGAGTTGCGGGCATGTCGGGTGCATCTGCAGCGCGGAAGCAAAGGCGCGGTTGATGACCTTGTTCGATTTCTGAGACCGAGCATAGTTGATGTACTGAACCCACAACGCAATATCCCCATGAAACTTCCTCGTCGCTCGATCCAAGATGAAGAAAATTCGTCTCTGACCAGCCCAATCTGATACAGTCGGCTTTCCCATGATATTCAGCCTCTTTACCCTCTTCTTCCTCAGCGCCTCCAAGTTCATCTCGTACTCCACGTATCGTAGGAAGTCGGTCTTCTTGGCAATTCGGCGGGCAAGGGCTTGTTCGAACTCTGTGCGCTTCTTCATGATTGCTTTGCATTCGAGCTTGGAGAAAATCTTTTTCTGTTCCAGGTCCTTGAGCTCAGGGAGACCTTGTTCGATGTAGTATTGGACCTTGTCGGTCATTGCAGCAGTTGTGAAGGGTTAACGGTGGGGACTATGGGTATTTTAGACCGTACAGTGCTCCTGAAAGGTTGTAGGACGAGTGGTGAGTCTGCTTTTTGTTGCGACCGAGGAGACCAAAAATCCCGTCTTATCGACAATTCAGGTGAGCGTTATCGGACCAGCCCTCCGATATACATGGAAAGATGCTACATTCTCCGACGGGTAATATTGAAGAAGATGGTCTCTTTAGATGTCGAGGTCTTGTTCGGCCAACCTCATCTCGGCGCGTAATCGATCGCAATCCCTCTTCTTGACCTCAACCATAACACCACCACCCAGTCCCATTTCCAAACTATTGGCCTCTCCATCGTCAGATAGACCCTGTGCGACAACTTCACCGTTTTATATTCGACATTCTAGGCTATTTATTCAGTCCTGCTCCCTGATCTACCAGAATGGACGTGACCGACGAAACCACCATTCAGCATCAGCCTTCGCCCCAGCCCGAGTCCGAGCCCGCCGTTGAGCAAGTATCTTCGCCTGCAGCTTCCTCTGACTTCTCTTCAGCCGATGAGGATGTTTCCGAAGATGTTCCCGAGACTGTAACCGCACCCGCACCCGCACCTGCACCTACTCAATCATCGGCCGTCGAACTTGAATCCGAGGAGTCTGACGATGACTCTTCTCCTGGCTCTGACTATGACCCCGAGGCATCGCTCAACCTTCCCACTGTTGATCGCAACCACAACTCCGCTACGGCTCCCGTCCCTGAGGCAATTGCTTCCATCACCACCGCGTCCGCGGAAAGCACCAACCTGAACAACTCCGCCGTTGCCCCTGCTGTCGCTACCGCCGAGTCCACTTCTGCTCCTCCACCAGCACTCCCTTCAACTGGAATTCCATCTTCCGTCGACCTCCAATCCCTCCTAGCCAATATCTCTGCTCTTCCCACCACCGCTCCCGCACCTGCCGTGAAGCCCTCTCAATCCCCATCTGCCACATACCGCAGCCCAGTTCAGCATAACTCCTCTCCATCCAATGACCGACGCAGAACTCGTTCTCCACAACCGGACAAATCCCAACTTACCGTTTTATACGACAAATTCCTCGCGGATGAGCAGCACATCATGGGATCCATGTACCCTGACCAGATGCCCCCCAACGCCCGCATGTTCATCGGTAACCTTCCTGACGGAACTACTAAATGGGAGCTTTTTACCAAGTTTTACAAGTATGGGCGTATGGCCCAGATTTCTATCAAACCCTCTTACGGCTTTATCCAATTCTTGAGTGGAGAAGACTGTAAGGCAGCGATCGATGGAGAGGACGGTACGGCTATTCACGGAAAGAAGTTGCATTTGGAGGTGAGTAAGCCTCCAAGACCAAGGGAGGAACGCGAACGTGAGAAAAAGGAGAAGGAGAGGGCGAGGTACGGAAGCCGTGATCGATCGATTTCACCGCGTGGGAGGGCACCGGGACGTATGACGGGTGCGGGTAACTATGGTGGCTACAACCATAACGCTCGTTCTCCGCCTCGTTATGGGCGCTCTAGTCGTTCTCCACCCCGGTACCGCGATGAGCGTGATCGTGACTACTACGACCGTCGTCCACGCTCACCTCCTCGTCGTGGATACCGCTCGCCATCACCCCGTGGTGGCCCTCAATTCCCTCTCCCAAGACGCCACGGCCGCGATGTCCCCGAAGTCCAGATCCTCGTCCTCGACGAGGCGGATCGTAACTTTGTCAAATTCGTTGATGCAGCATTCGCCGCACAATTCCGCACGCACACACTCTCCCTCTCCCCCCGCCTCCCCGTCGACGAAGTCATCCGACAAATGGTCGTCGAAGGCGTGGACGCAGTCGTCATCCTCAACCGAAACCTGCAATACAGAAACAAAATCAGTCTACAGTGCTTTGATCGCCGAGGTGGCGCGAATGTCAAGTTTGAGGAGTATGCGGATGTGGATATCAATGTCGGTGTCGCGCTCGTGCAGAGGTTGAAGCAGGCGGCTGCTGCCGTCGCTGCTCCTCCGGCTATGGGGTATGGTATGCCTCCCCCGGTTGGGTACCCGCCCATAGCTGCTCCCCCTGTCGCCGCCGCTCCCGGTGCGAACCTCGCGAACATCATCTCCTCCCTCGACCCAGCGGCTTTGCAGAATGTCATCGGCGCACTTGCGAAGGCACAGCAACCTGGTGCTGCACCCGTGGCTCCTGGATACCCACCCGCTGGACTTCCTGCTGGCTTTGCTATGCCTGGGTATCCCGGAGCTGGAGCACCAGGACCAGGACCAGCGACTCAGGGTGCGCCGACGCAGCAGGTGCAGGATATCATGGCGCAGTTGGCAAGGTTGCAAGGACGGCAGTAAGCATCGGTCATATGCGATATAGGAGTTGGAAGTCTGGATAATCTGATACGACAGCTCATCAGGTAGTAGATAGCTGTATATTGTAGTAATGCAGAGTGATTGAACGATTATATGAGCTTGCTTAGAGAAATTGCATGCTTCTTACTACTTCTCTTCCTTTTGAGAGAATTCTTCTTCTTTTGCCTATGTTGCCTCGGGCTAGCGTACCATCGTGAATGGCTTCCTCAATACTGCGGAATGTTCCGGTAACTATCTTGAGCTCTGGACGGCGTCCTGTTATTATCTGTGAGAGCATTTGTCCCACGCAATTAATGGGATTGAAGTAGGGCAATTCAGAAGGCTATAACAAGTGTAGATTCCTTCCGTAGCTCCTAAGACGACACAAGTAGATGCATATCAACCACGAAATATAATATTTTCAGTCTCAGCTCCCTCCTTCCCCATGCCATGGAGTCATTGTAATGGAAGGGGGTGGGGGTCATTCCCACGCCCGTGCCCGGTCACCCACTGCATATGACGGTAGTTCCTTCGCCACCTCCAGCCTATGGGCGCGATCTGGAGCCAAGAACCCGTCCAAAATAGATCTCAGCTTCTCAATACTGTCTACCTCGTCTGACGATACTGATTCGAGATCTGGGTACCCACGCTCATACAGCGCCCGCATCACCTCCTGCTTATTCAACCCTTTCACGCCACCCCACATATCGATCATCTCATTATCTTGCCAGAGATACTCCTGGTACTCTGTCATTTGAAGACGCGCTTTTCTGATCACGAGTGGATCTCTTCTCTGCTTCTCTTGCCAGGGGAGGAGAGCGACGTTCGGTAATACCGAGGGCACGAAATACGTGATTAATGGCGTGAACTCCCCGCAAATCAACAGCAGGAGCGCGAAGAACGGGAGTTTCATAGTATCTGGCTTGGCTCGTCTAATGAGTTGCCATTCGGCGCGGGTGTAGTTCTTTGGTGCGGGTCTGGCGCGGAGGGCTTTGGATTCTTTGTAGTTTGACCAGACGGTTTTGAAGGCGGTTTTGTAGAATACCAAGTAACCTGTTTCAATCTACGTTAGCTTGGATTCTTAAGACTTGTCGGACGATGAAACCTTTTCCCGTCAGTCTGAGCCATGTGAATCGGTTCATATCATCGGGTTTTGGACTCGGCGGCAATTCGAGCTTGGGAGGGAAAGTTGTTGGCGCATTGAGCGGGTCTTTGCCAGTCTGGTTCACGAAAGTTGGGAATTTGGCCTTTGGAGGGGAACTGGTCGGTGTCTTGATCGGGTCTTTGCCGGCCGCCGTAGCATATCCTTTCAAAACCAATCGTCCATAGAGGATAGTCGATCTCGTAGGCGTGGTTCGTACGGTACACAGCATTTTCAGATGGAATGGGCTGACTTGGTGGTCATCGTTTTCAACGTTACGTGCGAGAGGTTTTCTTCCCCATTGGGCTAGCCTGCGATTGTGGGGAAGCGTATTCACCGACTTTGAGTTGTCTACGTTACACGTCCCGCTACGTCCTGGTTACATGCCTCAATGACAATCATGACTGGCAGGCACATTTCCGCTTGAGAACGCTTGGGAGCATGATCGATATACTCAAAAGCTCGACGTGCTCCAGGATGCTCTGTGATACTGGCAGGATGTTATACTGTAGGGGGTATATTGCAATCACCGCAATTTGTCATAATGGGTATCCACTATCTTACACCAAGCCCTCCTTCCTTTCCCCTTCCCATGCCTTCCCCTTAGGTCCCATTCCTATTGTAACCCCTCCGCATCCGACAAAACATCAACCTCCTCCTCCTCCCCATCCTCCTCCTCCACAACCTCCGCCTCCCCACCCAACCCCGGACTCTCCGTCTTCGTCGGCGTCGCGACCGGTGTCGACGTAGTAACCTTCGCGGCACTAACCCTTCTCCTCAACTCCGGCTCTCGGTAATACACATGCACCACTTTCTTCCCTTTGCCCTGGAGTGAGGTCTTGAATGCTTCCCAGGAGGGTTCGTCACGGATGAGGTACCCAACGAGCATTGAGGGGTCTACTTCGTCCATTCGGCAGCGGCGGACGCGACGGGTATGGACGCTTCCCACGTCCGCCGTTGTAGGTTCGAGGGGAAGGTATGGTCGTGGGTGGTGCGGGTCGAGGTGGAAGAGGTAGGGGTTGTGCGTGGATGATGCTTGTGTCGCGATGAAATAATGCGACGATGAAGGGCGTCCACCGGCTATGCCGATACCATGGGGGGATTTGAGACAGTCCTGTTTGATGCACCATGTCAGCTGAAATAAGATGACGGCATGTGGAATTGCAAACCTGGATGGCGGGGTAGTAGACGGGGTTTACACGCTCGATGCCCAATCGAACGCCGGCGAGGATTAGGACTGGTTTCCAGGTTCCGTCTGTGCCGCACGCGATTTCGCGTACTCTGTTCTCATAAATATCACCTCCGTCAGCCGCTACATACACCCCCACTCCTCTTCCTCCTTCGCTTGCTCGCAGTTCAGTAGTCCCGGTATATTCAGCACAGAGAGCCTTAATGCATTGTGCGGCGGCCGAGGGACCGAACCATTCTCCGGGAGCTTTTCCGCAGAAAGTGGATGCGTGAGAAACGAAACGGTGGAGGGAGAAGGGGGCGGAGGGGTGGTCGGCGAAGAGCTTAATCAAGTCAAGTTCATTCTCGGCCGAGATAGTGTTGTGCCGGTAGTCTGTGTCACAATTAGCGATGGTAACGCGGCACGGTGGGGAAACGTACCCCGTCCGAGATGCAGTGTCAGCAGCGCATTCGCCAGTAGTGACTGCGCAGATCGAATCATACAGCCCCACCCCACATCGCTCGTGTAGCCCTGTGCAGCTCCATTGCCATTCCTGCTAAACTTATCACCAACCTCCTTCATCCACGAAGTCACTCCATTCGTTCCTTCCGCACTTGCCGCAGCCGTGCGCTCAGCCTCATTTACCGTATCAACCTGCTCCTCAACCACCTTCTTCGATATCGCAGGAAACCCAGTCCTGTACGTAAGCCAAACTCGCGTCTCGTAGTCATCCAAGAACGCTTCTGGCCATCCCAATCCTTTCTCTTCCCGCTCGGGAGCTGCACCGACGGCCGCGAGTGCAGCCGCCTGTAATGGCGGCGGTGGAGGGATACCGGCATACTCCGCCCCGAGCACCCATATAGACTGGGTGAGCTCATCGTTCCGTGGTTCTGGGTCGTAGAAAAACCTGATTGCTCTGTTGAGTGTGTCCATGAATGCTGGTGTTGGTGGTCTACGTCAGGCCTGGGGTGTATGCGAGATGCACGGCCCTATCCGTATCGCGCAGTAGACGTCAAGCGTCGCAGTAGTGGAGGGAGCTTACGAGTCGACGAATCGTGAGGCAAATACACCACCAAATACATCCTCGATCATTCACGAGTAATATCATGGGCAAGAAAGGCCAGCAGAATGGAAAGGGCAAAGGCAAGGAGCCGAAGAGAAACAACAAGTTGATGGGATTTGTGCCGCAGCGGTTTGGCGGCTTCGCGGAAGGTATGACTGCGCTCGCACCCCTCGGCCATATATGTCCGGCCTTTATTGATCCCTGTGAGCAGATGACGGTACTCAAGTTCGTGGATTCAAGATGAAGGACACTGGACGGAGAACGGAACATTACCGATTTACGAAGAATGGGGATGCTTCTGGTGAAAGAGTGCCATTACGCAAGATGGGGGTGTCGTTCGTTAAGAGTACTTCGGGAGGGCTTGATCCAGATGCTGAGATTAATGATGCTATCGAGGAACATGAAGTGGACACAACCGCTGACGATGCGATTCATCATGCGGACGACCTGAGGCATCAGCATGAACATCCGGTGGCGAATCATGTGGATCAGGCCATGGAACCTGTAGAGGCAGACGATGGGGATGAGGAGGAAGACGATGATCTCGAAGAAGAAGAGGATGCTGGAGAGGAGGAGGAGGAGGAGGATGATGAGGAGGAGGATGATGAGGAGGAGGAGGATGATGATGAGGAAGATGACATCGACAACATTCCCATTGTCCCCCCACGCGAAGATGACGACGAATTCAACTACGGCGCCTCCGACTCCGACGCAGCAGACGAACAAGTCGCACGCGCTATCCTTGCCTCGGGCAATGATCCCAATACTCACGTCCACGTCGAACAGACCACTCTTACCCATATCTCCGCGGAGGATCCCGGAGAGGGCTCGTCAAGAGCGATAAATCTGGAATCTCTCGCTATCGAGGATACTTCGGTGCATATGGAGGTTGAGAATGACGCCCTATTTGTCGTTGATACGGAGGGTGATACAGCGATGCGACCCGCGGAACCGTCGAAGGTGTCTATCCCGGTGAGGTATGAGCATGCACCACAGTCCGATGAGGAGGTCGTCTTCGTGCCGAGGCGGGGTGTGAGGATCGTTGATGAGAGTGTGACGGCGGCCAAGATCGAGCACCTTACAGTCAAGAAGACTCAGATTGACGTCAATGTTGAAATGCGTGATGAGAATGCTGACTGGCAGCCCGTGCCGAAGACGAAGCCTGGGAAGGAGCGCGGCGGGAAGAGAGCGCGCGGGAGGAAGGAGAAACTTAACGGCCCGGGTCCTGGGATGAGAGACTCGGCGATCGATGCAGCGTTGGACGATTACATGGATAATCTCGCTAACCAGGACTTCGACTCGGAGGAAGAAGAGGCGTTCGAGCATCGTGGTCTTGGTTTCGCTGCGTTGGGCGGTCAGGGTGCTGGGTTGGAGGATGAGTGGGTTGATGAGAGTGAGGGTGATGAGGAAGGGGAGGTTAGCAGGGTTGGTGGAGTGGGGTTGGAGTATTATGTTGGGGAGGAGAGTAGTGAGGAGGATGACGAGGATGAGTCGAGTGGACAGGAGGATGAGAATGATGACGAGGACGAGTTGGATGATGTGGACATTGACGATTTGCTCGATGAGGAGGATGATGGCCTCGAGGGTATCGGAGCCGAGGAACTTGAAGAACTCGACGAGCTGGAGCAACTCGAGTTGGCAATCGCCCGATCCCTAGGCAACGCTTCCGGCAAAGGCCTGCCCGGCAAGAAGAACAAGCGCGGAAAAGACACCTTCATCGAAGATGCCCTCTTCAACGGTGACTTCCACGCCTCGGACTTTGAGTACGAATTCGAGGATGACAGCGACGACATCGGTGGTTTCGAACCGAGTAAGTCTTTGAAGGCGCAGCTGAAGCGGGCTGGGAAGAGGTTGCCTGCGCGGATCGAGGATTATGAGTTGGGGTTGTCGGATGAGGACATGGAAGCGCAGATTAAGGATCAGTGGGCAAAGGATCGCTCTAGTAAAGCTGATAAGAAGAGGGAGAGGGAGGAGTTACGCAAAGCCGGTATGCTCGGTAAAGGCAAGAAGGGCAAGAAAGCCAAGCTCGCTGATCGTGATGAGTTCTCGCTCGGAATCTCGGTGCAGCGGATGAACATCGAGATCCGCGATTTCATTGATGATTTGGGGATGCAGAGTTTGCCATTACCGCCTATGGATAAGTTTTCGCGACGGACGGTGCATACGCTCGCTAGTGCGTATAACTTGAAGAGTAAGAGTGTCGGGAAGGGGAAGAGACGGTTCCCGACGTTGATCAAGACGACGAAGACTTCGTACCCTAGGGACGAACGCCTCGTTGACGAGATCCTCGCACGGCACGAAGGTGGTGGAAGGGGTAACACCGGTTACCTCCCCCGTCTCGACCGTCCCCGTCCTCGTCCTGGGAAGACTGTCGGTCAACGCGGTGGTGCCCCCGGACTCGTTCGCAATAACAACGGTTCCGTCGTCGGTGGTGACGCACCTGAGATTGGAGCGGGTAACCTTGGACGCAAGTTGTTGGAGAAGATGGGGTGGAGTGCCGGGCAGGGCTTGGGTGTGGAGGGTAGGACGGGTATTTCAGTGCCGGTTATGGCTGTTGTGAAGATGGATAAGAGGGGGTTGTGAGGAGCATATGCATTTTTGTCTTAGGATAGGGATGAATGAACGCAGCATACGTTGGATTTGGAGTACGAAATTTCAGATTATGTTGTCAGAGAGTTCCCACGGCTGCGGCTGACCTCGAGCTTTTCAATTCGGCAAGCTCGCGCCGTGATCTCAAAGCTGTAATCAGCCTACCGTACGTGAATGGAGCACCCGGCCGCACGACAATAAAGAGAAACCCAATCAATTTGCGGCGCCAATGGAACGGGCAAATCTACTCGCCCTTTCCTGTCCTCGTGCGTACCTCGCGAGCGTTCCAACTCGCATGCAACAGGAAACGAAGAGCCGTGACGCGCAGCACGAAAAGAAGCTGTAAACGAAGTCTACGTATGACCCGGCGCTGCACAACAACACAGCCTAAGATGACAGATGGCGATGAAAAGGAAAAACGACCCACCCAGGACTCGAACCTGGAATCTCTTGATTCGTAGTCAAGCGCCTTAACCATTGGGCCAGCAGGTCCTTTCATGCTTAAAAGACATCTGACGTGAGATATGTTGTTTTTGAGATAATGATAAGCGAAACCCTACGAGACCCCCAAATTTTACCAAACACGAGTATAAAACACGAATAAAATTATCCAGTATCACGAATAGAGTTATTCGAGTTAGTGGGATATTCTGGGCACAATCTGGATTGTTAATTCATCTTGGAGGTAGAATTTTTTATATGAGTTACCAGCACTACACTGTTATACTATTCTACCTCATGACTGCACACTTCACAGATGTGACGTTCATTGATCTCATCTATCACAGGTCATCAATCTAGGCCCATTGATATTAATATTGTTGAAACTTAAATAAGATCCAAAAATTTCAGAAGCCCAACCATGCCTCAATTCCCACTGTCAACACACATGTGCATACCATGACGCTTCCTCTCATCTCTCCTTTGTCCACTCAGTCGAAACAAGTTCATCGTCTTCATCATCATCGTCAACGTCAAACTCCGGATCATCTTGAGAACTGTGATTGGGTGTGTATCGTTTTGATGCTCCTGAAGTGCGCAAGGTCTTCTTTCTAGGCTGTTTCCTACCACGAACCTTCATTGCCATTGGGTCAGGGTGGGTTAGTAAAAACCGATGAGAAGTCGCTTTACTGTTGCTGTCAACAAAGTGCGGGACTCACCCGAATAAGAGGAGACATCAAGCAAGAGTGTCGAGATTAAACAACCATCATGTTAACCTTTCAGCAACAGCGATCATGTGCCCAGTTTGGGTTGAGACGATACAAGCCATAGCATCGGGAGAACAGATGGGAGAGGACCAGGGAGGTGTAGGATTCGATGCTTTTGTCAGTCAGTCGCGAGACACCCAGGGAGATTGAGACGTTGATGGTGGTGGGTTCCTGTTTGTGCTGGACTTGGTGAAATTTGCCAGCGCATCAGCGCACCAGCGCTTGTGCTCACATGTCACTCTCGAGAGGCGCAGGCCGAAGAACCGCCACCAAAGACCATTGATCCTCAATCTCTTTTTTATTGATGTGGGATATCTCATTCTCCTGGAACGAATATCATTCCAGGTCAAATAAGGTATTCGTGTACCATGAATTGGAATTCTACTCTACTCGAATACTTTCCCACTTTATTCATGTTTTTCGTACAGTTGAATGACTTATTCGAGTGCTTTTGCTGAAGGTGGAATATGTTATTCCATATTTGTGCAATCACGAATTAGGTATTCGGGACAGTCGAATTCAGGGGGCTCGTAGGGAAACACTGAGAGACTTTTGGTACTCGCCCATAACAATCGCATAGCAAACCTGTAAGCAGCACAAGTTCATCAGGATACTTTCTTGTCAGTGCCACAAGCATCAGAAAGGAAAGGTCGTATTTGATCGCAAGGGCTGCTCCGTTCCGGTATACGTAGGTAGGCAGAAGTCTTAGTGTAGGTAGTTCTCACGGTACTCGCTCCGGGAAACGCTGGGGATGTGTCGCTGTTCACAAACAGGCATGCGAGCCAATTCGCTCCGCCCGTACAGAAGCGTTTCGCTCGCCATTTTTGCTACATTTTCGCAGTCATATGCCGTATTTCTAGGTTTTAGGAACGACGAAGAGGGGTGGATACTGATGCCGATAGAACTGTTGATTGCCACAGCCGAAACCTTTGCCTATTTTGAGGGCTGGCTGACACCCTTTTGGGGAAAAAGGGTATGTTGTTACCTGCATACGAGGATGAAACCTGGGACACACGCAGCATTGGTCAAACAACTGCCCGTTAGGCAGCATGGTCTGTAACGGGCCCGTAACGGATTTCACGGTCGCTCTATGCCCTCGAGCATAAACATATGGTAATCATGACCTTCGCCAGACTCGTTTGTCCTCCGCTAAGGCATTCCGCCTCTGAGGCAACGAGCTCTTCAGCGGCACGAACCATGTTGCTCGCGCCCGACCGCCAACCGTACATGGATCTCCGAAGGGTTTGATTGTACGATTGGCATCCACCGACAGGCCACGGGTGTACAAGCACAAAAAGGCTGCAGAGTGAAGGTCGCGGAAACCTCCTTGTGCTTGGTCAGCCGTGACCCGACGGTGATGCTAGCCCTGCACCGCAGGATCTGAGCACTTCCTTGACGGCCGTCGCCCTTGAGTTCATCGAGCGAAACAGATCCATCGAAATGTCCACCTCCATGGTCCTCATACAGTGCCCATCACTGTAGCTGTCGCTATTCGCCTTGCACGTCGACTGATATGCTCAGACACGACGTTGGTCGTGCCAAGTGAGTTGGGGACGACCGTCTTCTTATAGCCCCGCGGTAACGCTCATTGCGGGGTAAATCACGCAATTCGCCACTCGGCCCGAGTCAGATGTTCAGATTACGTATTTGCTTCCAGGGCTGCTGGTAAGGTTATGCTTGGGCGCGTGGTTGCGGGCTGCTACCGGGCCGCTCTAGCAGGGGTATGTGACCGCTTTCAGTGACGCACACATGATTGGGCCAGCTTGTAATGAGCTGATTCCAACTAACGGTGTCTTTCAAGTTGGCAGGTGGTAGCCACGATGGCTGAATCATGGCAAAGGCGTATTCGTTCCTCTACATCGGCTGCGATGGACGACGTGAAGCTTAAGCGTGCTAAGCCGGCTAGCGCTTGGAAGCATGAGCTCGATACAATAGACGCAAACTCCCCTTAGGTTGTTGCACGAGACACAGCTGTCAAAAGTCTACTCTGTGCGATCTGATACACGACCATGGTCTTCACTGTCCTGTCATATCAAGTGTAGGGCGGTACGCGTACGTATACAGAGATGCGTATGACCCTGGCTCCGGTTGGTAAGTACGCCGTTGCAGTACCCACATGCATGTACATCCATTACTTAACACAGAAGCGGCTAGTAGTGGCACCTCTCGCCTGCACGGACGCTCGTATGGGTTGATCACTTCTTTGGTCAGTCCTTAAGACTGACGACGTCTTACTAAGGTACTGAACTCAGAGCGGACGACTGTCCCACATGACCTTATCGTTTGCCATCGGGGAAGCCAAAGAGTTGCACCGCTTCCCAAGGTTCATATTTCACAAATGTGGGCACCAGTGCACGCGCCTCGGTGCAATCTTTGAACCACATCCTGAAACCCCCCCAAAGCTGAGGAAGAAGGTCCAGCGGAGTGAAGCACACACATACACCGAATACTGCCCAATGATGAAGCCTTTGAATTGCACATTAGCCATTGCTTCTGACCCAAGCTCGAAAGGAGAAATGCCGGTTCATACTGACTTTCCCACGGGTTTCCGAACATCTTTCAGGTAAAAAACACAGCCAAGTTTTTATTCCATACAGACACTATACTACAAGGATAAAGTTCTCTCACCCCTTCACTCCAACCTCCTAACAGTCGAACAATACACACTAGCAATTATCCTCCACACTGCATATCCTCCTCAGCACCACCACCACATTATGCTCCACTCATTACACCCACTGCAACTCATCGATGTTAACTCACTCACTGAGTCTTTCTAGGAGAAGCGTTGGCCTGAGCAGCAGCAGGAGCCCTCGGAATCTGCAATCCAGCCGCAAAAGCCTTAACCCTGGGCCACACAACCCTCCTGATAACATCCGGGGTTCCCGGCTGCAAACATAAGTGATCAACCCACTGTCCACTCCTGACAACCGCATCCCTCATCTGCGTCGAGCTCGCCTCCCTGAACCTTAAGAACATGACCCACAACAAAAGCGTGAAGATCGCGCGGACGCGGAAAAGGACGAGAGGGAGGGCGAGACGGATCGTGATCGCGACGAGCTCGAAGACGGCGACGAAGCGCATTGCGTGAGGGAAGTTTGCGTCGACGAAAGCTGTGATCTTGGTGCTGAGAGGGGATTTGGAGAGGGAGGGAGAGACGGCGGGGATGACGTTATTCCTCAGATACGTCGAGAAGTGGAAAACACTGTAGGTTGCGAAAGGAACCAACGCAACCGACACTCTGGACGTCAACAACCAATATACTGCGACCCCGAAATAGAGCGCATTGTCATCCCGCAAGAGACGGCCGATGAAGTTGATGTCGAGTGTTTGGATTTTGTTGACGTAGGTTTTGTAGAGGACGACGCCGTAGGTTGTAATTGCGCCGATGAAGGCAAGGCGGTAGGAGAGGGAGGAGGAGGTTGGCGGGGAGAGGGAGAGGGTGAGGAGAGAAAGGAAGTATCTGATGGAGCAGACGAGGACGAGGACGTGGCCGATCCACCAGGTGAATTGGGGGTGCTAGAAAGACGTCAGTTAATCAATTCAACGCATATACAGTCGTGAAGAGTCATTGTTCCCCAAGGAGCAGTGGAAGCAGAGACGGCAAGAGCCACAACCCACAAGGTCCACAGCACCCAAACAACGAACGAAGACCGGACATACCTTAGCAAGCGTCTTTAAGCGGTCCGCTAAAGGCTGTTCTGGGCGAGTCTGTGCTGGCATTTTGTTGCCTGATCAATTGAGTCTGATCTTTTTGGAGGTGGTTGGCTGTTGGGTGCTTCTCCGGGCTCTTATTTGAACTTGCGAAGGCTCGAGCGCCATGGCCATGCCCAGCGTCATGCTATGACGAAAGAAATCTTGAAGTCGGGACGAAACCGGGCAGCCGTGAAAGCAGGTCAAGTAGGACCTAGAAGCCTTGGAGAAACTCAATACGAGGTCAGTAAAACGTTCTATCTTGCCAATTGGAAATGCAGTCCTGAGGGTTATCAGGGCAGGCCTGCAGACAGCTGCAGTACGAGGTCGTCGCTACGAACGAAACACCAGCATTTACTGGCATTTATCCAGGACAATCACCATGTCAAGAGTCGTTTTCGGTAGGGCGTACCCATTCAAGTTGTCTTCAATCTACTGACAACCGTGTCCTACAGTCGGAAACATCCCATATGACCAAGCTGAGGAGCAAATGATCGCCCTGTTCGAGGAAGTCGGCAAGGTCATTTCCTTCCGACTCGTCTTTGATCGGGAGACAGGCAAGCCGAGAGGATACGGCTTCTGTGAATTCATGGGTATGTCGATTTCACTTGTGTCAACTACACAGCTAACGTGAGTGAATGCAACATAGACCACGAAACAGCCTCCTCCGCAGTCAGAAACATGAACAACTATGACATCGGCGGCCGCACTCTCCGCGTGGATTTCGCCGAATCAGAATCCGCAACAAAACCTTCAAACTCTTCCTCCTCTAACCCCAACCCTGCACCTTCCACCTCAACAGCTCCACCCATCCTCCCTCCCCTTCCACCAGGCACTCTTCCCCCACCTTCCCTCACAATCCCCGACGCAATATCCCGAACCCTACAAACCGCCCCACCCATGCAACTCCTCGATATCCTTGCATCCCTAAAACACGTTATCCATACCGCGCCGGAGCAGGCTAGGGCGTTGTTGAGTACACAGCCGCAGTTGGCGTATGCGGTTGTTCAAGCAATGTTGATGATGAATTTGATGGATGCGAATGTGTTACAGCGTGTCGTAGCATCCACCGGCGCACCTCCACCACCACCCCAGGCGATTGTTCCTCCACCAGTACCAGTCGCCGTGGCACCCCCACCACCGGTTGTACAGGCACCACCGGCCCAGACGCCGGAGCAGATACAGAGGGCGGAGATGATTCGACAGGTTATGGCGTTGACGGATGCGCAGATTGCTGCGTTGCCGCCGGGACAGCAGCAGCAAATTCTGATGTTGAAGCAGAGTATTGCATCCGGGTTTTTCTGAGCTTACCTACGATCATGAAAGAATACTGTTGAAAAGGAGATGATACTATATACCCATGTCGAGCAGAGATCCTCTGGCACGGTAGGATAGGATAGATGCCGGAACAATACGAAAAAGGCAAACAAAGTCTAAGTTTTGGTGAATTGAATTATGATAACATCCAAACTGGTATCACTATGCTTCCACATCACAGTCAAATTTCCTCCCTCCGATCCTCCACTCCACCCTTTCCCCTACTCCCTCCTACAATACTCACCTTCAACCACTTAGAGCATCAAAGCAAGGGGGTTCTCCATGTACTTCTTGAACGCCTTCAAGAACTGCGCACCAACAGCACCGTCAACAGTCCTGTGGTCACTGCTCAACGTACACTTCATCTTAGGCTCAACCTTGAATCCCTTCTCGGAGGTAGGGTCAACAACAACGACATCCTTGGTAGCTCCGACGGCAAGGATACATGACTGAGGGGGGTTGATGATGGCAGTGAAGGAGTCGACGCCGAACATGCCGAGGTTGGAAATGGTGAAGGATCCACCCTGGTACTCCTCGGGCTTGAGCTTACCGTCCTTGGCACGCTTGCCGAGGTCCTTCATGGAGTTGGAGATGGATGCGAGACCGCGGGCCTCGGCGGACTTGATGATGGGGGTGATCAAACCGGTGGGGGTGGCGACAGCGACGGAGATGTCAGCGGTGTGGTGCTGACGGATGAACTCTCCGTACCAAGCAGAGTTACACTCGGGAACCTCCTTAAGGGCCTGGGCAGCGGCCTTGATGACGAAGTCGTTGACGGAGAGCTTATACTTGCCGTCAGCCTGGGCGTTAAGAGCAGCACGGAGCTTGTTGATCTTGTCCATGGAGATCTCGGAGGTGACGTAGTAATGAGGCGCGGTCTGCTTGGATTCCTGGAGACGCTGGCCGATAACGCGGCGCATGTTGGAGACGGGAACGTCGGTGAAAGCGGCACCGGGGGAGGCAGCAGCGGGAGCAGGGGCAGAGGCAGCAGCGGCGGCGGGAACCTTGTAGGCCTCGACATCCTTCAAGATGATGCGGCCGTTGGGACCGGATCCCTTAATCTGGGAGAGAGGGATGCCCTTCTCGGAAGCGATGCGGCGGGCGATAGGGGAAGCGGCGATGCGCTCGAGGGGCTTGGAGGGAGTCTCGTCGGCCTTCTTCTGAGGAGCCTCAGCCTTGGGAGCGGCGGCCTTCTCCTCCTTCTTCTCCTCCTTGGGCTGCTCCTTAGCCTCCTCCTTTGGTGCCTCAGCGGCCTTAGCACCTCCAGCGTCCTCGATGGTGAAGTCGGCGAAAGCGGCGACGTCAGACTCGTTCTCGACCAAAACAGCAATGGGCTGTACCGATACGTTAGCATTCATTCCCATATTTTGTCGAATAATAGACGCACGTTTCCGACAGGAACATCCTTAGAACCAGACTCCATCAAGACCTTAGCCAAGTAACCCTCCTCCTGGAACTCGAAGTCCATCTGTGCCTTATCCGTCTCAATCTCCACCAACACATCTCCGGGCTGAATGTTGTCTCCGGGCTTCTTTCCCCACACACCGATACCACCCTGAGTCATGGTAGGAGAAAGGGCGGGCATGTTGATGACCTGGTGGTCTGGGAAGGACTTCTGGGCGTAAGAAGAGCGGGAGAAGTGGCGAATCTGAGTGCCCATAACTGAGGCAAGTGATCGTGCGGACACACTGTGAGGTCCGTCGTCAGTCCTGGCTCGACAAGGAGGTGGAGAATGTCGTGTGCGACAATTGACGTCGTTGACGACACGAGAAAAACATACCCCGACGACACAGCCTTCGCGGTCAAGCGCACCTGGGAGAATCTCATAGCTGCCGACATTATCTTTGATTCTATATGGATCGCGAAGGAAAGGACGAGCTGCTGCTGCTTGGAGGGTTCTTCACGACGTCGTACTTTCTGCACGTTGATCTGATCAGCCGGCGCAGCCCAACAAAAGTCGCTAAGGAACGGCGCGACCTTTTCCGAAGCAGGCACCAATGATCGTTAACCATCCCCGGCAGATCCAGAAAAATAGAGAGATTGATCAGGATGAGGATCGATGATATGAATATTGCTGGCTATCTGGCTATGGCTATCGCTATGGGTATTCAGCTCAACGCTTCTTGCTACCGCCCTTCTTCGCGACCACCTTGAACGCAGCATTCCACTCCGGACCCTGCGCGGCAGCACCCTTGCTACCTGCCTTGCTAACAACATCATTCCATCCTCCACCATTGCTCACCGGCGCAGCAGCCGAAGCATTCGCCCCCAAGTGATCAGACTTCCTCCTCCTGGTGAACTCCTCCGCGAACCTCCTTCCATCGATCGTGGTAGAGCTGGCGTAGACCGAGTCGGAGATAATCTCAGCCGTAAAAGGGTCATTGACGGGCATCTGGATGATCATCTGCAAGAAGTCATCGATGTCGATCTTCAATCCCTTGAGCGCGGAATGAGCCCAGTTCATGAAACCCTCGGACAACTGTGCACCACCAGCGGTGGCAGCAGAAGGTCCAACAGCAGGCTTGGGAACCTGAGGAGCCTTTACAACAGGAGCAACGACAGGTTTGACCACAGTCGGGGCAGCGACGGCCCTGACGACAGGAGCAGCCTGGACAACAGGCTTAACGACAGGGGCAGCCTTAACAGCAGCCGGCGGCGCAGAAACCTTTCCACTCGCACCAACCGTAGTCCACCCGGGTCCAGCCGCAACAGGAGCAGCGCCCCTCACTGCAGCACTGTTCGCACCAGCGTTGGCATACGACTTACCCACCACAACAGGCGGAATGCCCGCAGCCTTCTGTGCCTGGAGAAGAGCAGCCTGCTTCTTCTTCGCGGCATCTTCCTCCTCTTTCTGAATTTGAGCGAGGGTCTTCTTACCAGTGGAGGTAGCGGCGGCAGGAGCGGGCTTTGCGGCCCATGGAGCAGGAGCGGGGTAGGAGCTGACGACAGGCTGGGCATTCACGAGAGTGGCGATGTTAGCCGGAGCAGGACCAGCATCAGAACCCCACTTGGCGTTGGACGGCAACTGCGCACTGGCGGCCTGCTGAGCAGCCAACTGCGCCTGAGCAATCTCCGCGGCAAGAGCAGCCTCAGCTTGCTGCTTCTCGATCGCACGCTTCTGCTCGGCCTTCTTAGCCTCCAACTCCTGGATCTCGCGGAGAGTAGGCTTCTTCTGCGCAGCCTTCTTCTCGGGCTGAGCAGCAACGGCCCATGGCGCGATAGAGGGAGTCGCAGCAGGAACGGGAGCAAGAGTCAAAGGAGTAGCCTGAACAGTGACCACAGAGGACTCCGGAGTCTCCTCCTTCTCCATCTCAGCAGCGGGACTCTCAACAACAGAAATCTCAGTCTCGTCGTTGAAACCCTCAAACTCCTCCTTCGGGATCGCAATCTTCTCTGTAGGCGCAACAACCTCCATCTCCTCGTCGAAGGGACTGTCAGGAAGACGCTCATACCCGTCCGCAGCCTTCTCTTCCTCTTCATCCTCGAAGAAACTATCATCAGCCCTAGCCATAGCCGCCTCCATCTCAGCCTCCTCCATCTCCTTCGCAACGCTGGTCAACAAATCGGTCTGGGAGGTGTTCAAACCCTGACGCTCGGCAAGGGCGTGGGCGGCGGCAATAGGAGACTCAACCTGCTCCTGAAGCGCATCACGGGCGTCACGGAGGACAGCCGTAGATCCCCATGGAGACTGGGCCTGAGCCTGAGCCTGCTGCTGAGCGGCCTGCGCCAAGAGGGCAGCCTGCTGGAGCCCAGATCCCTGCGCCCAGCTGCTCAATCCGCCCAAGATACCGTTAGCAAGGGTCGGGCTCGCTACAGCGGCGGGCGTCAAGAACGGGGAAGGCGCCGCGCTTCTCTGAGCCTGAGCCTGCTGCTGCTGTTGCTGCTGCAACAATGTCAACTCCCTCTGCTGCTGCTGTCCCCTCAACAAATCGAGCGGGCTAGGCTGGAGCATAGCAGACGAGTGGTGTTGCTGGAGGTAAGAGGCGTACAGCTGCTGCTGTTGCTGTTGCTGCAATATCTCACGTTGACGAGCCATGAGGTACTGCTCCTCCTGCTTGCGACGCTCCAAAGCGTTCTGCTGGTCCGCGGTCAGCGTGGTGCCGAAGGATGGGAATGAGTTAGCGAAGGGAGGCTGCTGAGGCTCCCAACGGGTAGATTCCCATCCACTTCCGGGGGTAGCAGCGGCCTGGACAGCGCCAAGCATAGACCCACCAGGCGTCGTAGTTCCGGACGCACCCTGGTTTCCACTTCCCCAACCCTTAGCCGGGATAGGAGCGAGCATCGTCCTCGACGGAAGAGGCACCAGGAATGGCTCACGCTGGTTACCAATCCTCCTAACGAGGACGGAGAGAGGCTCGAACTCGTTGTCCTCCTCCCTCTTTACCAACAAATTAGGCTGGAAGAACCCAGCCTTGTACCAGTCGTGCATTTCCAAACCAGAGAAAGGACCCTGGATGGCGCCGGTAGGGTCGCGGTAAAGCCACTTGAGCTTGTCGGGCATGTTCATGACGCGGGTGGTCTGAGGCGGCGCAGGCGGGAGGGTAGGCTGCGATGGAACGATGGGGTGCTCGAACAACCCGCCGACGCTGCCCCCAACGTCGCCAACACCACGCGGCTGCGCAGGAGTCTGCGCCTGAGCCTCCTCGGCCGGCGAACCAAAGATACCGCCCAATCCTGTACGAGGAGCAGCATTGAACGGATCACGGTCGACACGGTCGACACGGCCTTCGCCGAAGTCGAGTGAGTTAGCGGCCCCACCAGCGAGGGTCTGAGCAGCGAAACGGGACTGAAGACGTTCCATTCCGTTGGCAGAATCAGGACGGGATTGGTCGGCTGCGACGGCCATGACTTCGCGGAGGACGTCGTCGTCGAAATCGCGGTCAGCGAGGAGAGAGCTACCCTCGTCCGCACTGGGAGCAGCAGGCTGTGCTTCCGACTTGGTGATACCAAACTTTGCGAGACGAGAGACACCACGACCGCCGACAGGGGCGAGGATGTCGAAAGCTCCACCACCAACAGCCAGGCGCGACGACTCCTGCTTAGGCGTTTCGGCACCCTTCAATTCCTGCTCTTCCTCAATTGGTGAATCCTCTAGACCCTTTGCATCGTCCGGACCCCTGAAGACTCCTCCCTCGAAGGTACCAGAACCACCACCCTGTGCAGCGTTCGCACTCGGCGTAGCCCATCCCTCCGCCCCACCCAATGCACCAGAAAAGTAGTCGCCACGCCTGGTTGACTGGCGCAAAGCCGCACCAGGTGTGTTCTTGGCCCCGTTCCTCCTCCCAAACGTAGCTTTCTCACCCCGAGGCGATCCCAACGCAGCAAAGCGTTCGTTTCGGGGGCTGGAGATTCCACCCGGCGTAGCCGGCTCGCGACGCTTGACTTCAGAATTGACACCCAGCTGACCACCGTAAACCTTCTTTTCCACATCCGTCATGGAGACCTCGGATACAGGTTCGAGAACTTCCTCACTCGTAACAATCTCGAGACGCTCCATTTCGAGTGGGAAGGAGGGGTTCGCGGTGAGTTTTTCGCGTAGGCCGTCGAAGACTGTAAGCATTTCGGTACGACTGTAGCGGAAAGGATGGGCTGGATCTGTCAGTTGGACGGGGATGGAGGAGGGGGAGGATGGGTGGAGGGATGTTGGGGAGGCGAGGACGGCGCTGTAGGAGCCTGATCCTGAACGCTGATGCTGGGTCGTCTGGACGGGCGGAGGCGAGGCACGGGCTGAAGAAAGCGGTGCTCGGCGCATCCTATTCAAAGCATACAGTCAGCATTCGTCCTCGGATCACACAGCGGCGAAAAGTAAGAAAGTCCGGATGGACGGGTAACGCGGGGCAAAACAACTTACCATTCAGGACCGAAGTTCATGGTATTATTTGCGGTAGTGGTAGACATTATGCTTGGTGATGAATGCTCTAAATGCTGTTTTTGCGGGCTGTGCGTTTGAATTGATCGAACTGCGGTTCGCTGAGTTGCTTTCACAAGTGCTTTCTTAACTTTTTGTGGAAGTGATGCCCGCGGAGATCAGGGTAATTTCGGGGGACGCGCCAGGGACCGCGAACAGGCGGTAACGACGATACACTCGGTATACTTCGGACGACATAGACGACATACAATCAAGATGAGCGGCAGACAACAGCGTGTGATGGTTCCACCCATCAACTTGATCTTCAAGTTCTTGCAGCAGGTGCGACCATAGGCATGGTGGTTGGTGACATTGGCTAACAGAATCGTAAAGAGAACAACAGTACAGATCTGGCTCTACGAACAGACCGAGACTCGCATGGAGGGACAGATTAGGGTATGATACCTTCTGTGCACACTCCTTTGTGGAAGTTACTAATGGTTTCGTACAGGGTTTCGACGAGTTCATGAACATTGTCGTCGACGACGCCGCGGAGGTTAACCAGAAGACCAATGCGCGAAGAGAGCTTGGACGGATATTGTTGAAGGGTGATAACATTACTCTTATTCGACCATTGAATGTGCAGTGAGCGGTGTAGGGGAACGATTGCGACGTGAAGGCGTCGACGAAGGCGTGTGGGCAAGCCATGCGGTGACTTGAATACGGCGACGACACAGCGGAAAAGCTGGGAAGCGATCGAGAAGGGCACAGGAAAATTGGAGACAGGATAATGGTTGTTCGCGATATGTAACGAATGATGATATACCCGGCGGTTGCCAAAAATAGACTTTCGAAACCCAACTACGCGAATCATGGCTCAAGCACTTCAAATTCCAACGCGACAAACACAACGTCATGAGTCAAGTCTTATTCCAATCCTATGCTATATCGTTCTTTCCACCTCTATACACACACATCATTCCCCACTTAGAACGAGAACACCTGATCCTCCAACTTAGAAACAACCTTCGGCTGCTCATACCCCAACTCCACAACCGCCTTCTTCATAGCCCCAACCATAGGCGGAGGCCCACACAACAAAATCTTGACATCCTTCCCCAACTCCGGTCCAGGACACCACTCCTTGATCATCTCCTGCGTCACGAAACCAACACCGCCGGTCCAGCCCTCCGGGGGGTTGTTAAGGACGTACTTGATGCGGAATTGGCCCGCGTGGTCTTTTGCGAGTTCGTCGAGGTCTTCGCGGAGGAGGATGTCCTCTTCATTCACGTTTGCGAAGATCAACGAGACCTTTGTCTGGTCGGCGGGGTTGTTAAGGATTGCGCGGACGATCTGCAACATGGGAGTGATTCCAGTACCACCAGCGATCATTCCGAATTCTTTGACGAGACCGTTTTCGTAGCGCATTTGTCCCTTGGGCCCCTTGACTTTAATTGTTTGCCCGAGTTTCATGGATTCGATGTAGCGGGAGATGTTACCGGTGGGGTAAGATTTTATGAGGAGGTCGAAGTGGCCTTTGTCGTTGTCAGAGGAGGTAGGGGTGTACGAACGCGAGATCTCTTTTCCGTCAATGGTGGCTGCGACGGTGATGTGCTGACCGACAGGCAAGCCCAAGATGTCGTTGGGTCTAGGGAGACCGAAACGGTAGATCGCGGTGTTGTGTGTCAATACGGTTTTGTCGAGCAACTCGAAATCCTGGTACTCGGCAGGCTTGAGGACCTTCCTGGGCTGTCCACGCCAGACCTTGAAAGCGCCGAGGGAGAGGGCGACGATGACTGCGTAGGGGGTGTAGGAAGGCTGGACGAGGAGGGTGCCGAAGATCACGAGGCCCATAGGGATGTAGAGGCCGTTCATGGGCTCGTTGAGGCCGCCGTTACGGGATTTTGGCATGGTGGTCAGAAGGGGAGGGTGAGGTGGTGGTGGAGGTGTCGAGGACGCGTTTGCCCAAAATATGGAGATATCGATCATGGACCCCTGGGACGACTCCTGCGCGGAACTTGGTTGGGGATGAGGCAGCGCACCGGAACCTTAAGGGAAGATGTTAATGGGAAGGTAAAGGTCGTTGAAAGTAGTCAATTGAGTATGTCTAGGAGCACAAGAGCGGTCGAGCAACGACGGTGGTTCCTCGAGCAGAACAAAGAGCACACCCCACGGTCCGCCATCACGACCCCACGCCCGTAGAAGACTGTTTCACAGAGGAGACAACGACCGACGACACGCAAGCTTCTCCTACTTCAGCAGATGAAAAGATTTGCCACCGTTTATTTTCAGCTGAGGCAACTTCCGGCCAGGCACGCTGCTCGCTGCGCGCTCCTGCAATTTTTTTTATTATAAGGCCCGACAACCCCCCCCGCCTCCTCGACTTCTTCACCCACCGTAGGTGCTCGTCAAGCTTTAAGATACCACTCCGGAAGACAATTGTCAGTTCTCGCTAGTCGACAGCTCAATTTCTTCATCAGCTTCACGAGGTTCATATCACTTTTCAGGGTCGAATCAATCTTTTGAACAAGTAGCTATGTCTGCTGTTACCGGAAACAAGGCTTCCATCGCCATCCTCGACGAGTTGCTTGGCAAGCTCTCCCTGGCGGAGAACGTTGATGACAAGCGCTCTGCCGCCTCTGAGGTCGCTCTCTTCATCAACGGTGCCATCGAGGAGCAGGACGCCCCCGTCCAGGCCGTCGACAAGATCCGCGCTTCCTTGACCAACAAGAAGGACGTCGGTGCTCGTGAGTCCGCCCTTCACGCCATCACTGCCATCTGCTCCCAGGAGCTCGCCGCCACCGTCGAGCCCTACATCGTCACCCTTTTGGGCGATGTCCTCGCCGCTGTCGCTGACAAGCAGAAGTCCGTCTCCGAGCTCGCTCAGACCGCCTCCGCTTCTATTGTCTCCGCCATCAACCCCAATGCTGTCAAGGCTGTCCTCCCCCCTCTTGAGGAGTCCATCCGTCACGCCCAGAAGTGGGCCGAGAAGATGGCTGCTCTCGAGTGCATGAACGCTCTCGTTTCGCACGCTCCTTCCCAGCTCGGTTTCCAGCTCCCTGAGGTTGTTCCTTTCTTGTCCGAGGCCATGTGGGACACCAAGCCCGAGGTCAAGAAGGCTGCTACCGTCTCCATGGAGAAGGCCTGTACTTTGATCGCTAACGCCGATATCGAGCGTTTCATTCCCGCTTTGATCAAGTGTATCGCCAAGCCTGAGGAGGTCCCTGAGACCGTCCACTTGTTGGGTGCCACCACCTTCGTCCAGGAGGTTCAGTCCCCCACTCTCTCCATCATGGTCCCTCTTTTGGCCCGTGGTTTGAACGAGCGTGCCACCGCTGTCAAGCGTAAGGCTGCCGTCATTATCGACAACATGTGTAAGCTTGTCGACGACCCCAACGTCGTTGCTCCTTTCTTGCCCCAGTTGTTGCCTACCCTCAACCACATCAAGGAGACCATCGGTGATCCGGAGTGTCGTGAGGTCGTTCAGCGCGCTATCGCCACCTTGAACCGTGTCGGTAACGTTCAGAACGGTGTCATCCCCGAGCCTTCCAACGCTGGTCAGCCCAAGGTTGTCCTCGAGTCCTTGAAGAAGATCATCAACAAGCCCATCGACGCCAAGTTCGACGGTATCCTCTACTACATCTCCTGCATTGCTGGTCAGCTCATCGAGGAGAAGATCGCTGATGCCCAGGACTGGGTTCAGAACATCAAGGGTTACCTTGTTGCTTTCCTCCCCGAGGCTGAGACCGCTGCCATCACTGAGGAGTTCCGCAAGGCCGGTGTCGCCTCCATGGTCGGTAAGGTCGAGCAGGAGGACGAGGACGAGGAGGGTGAGGAGCTTTGCAACTGTGAGTTCTCTCTCGCCTACGGTGCCAAGATCTTGTTGAACCGAACCAACCTCCGCTTGAAGCGTGGTCGTCGTTACGGTCTTTGCGGTCCCAACGGATCCGGAAAGTCTACTCTTATGCGTGCCATCGCTAACGGCCAGGTCGAGGGGTTCCCCCCTGCTGACCAGCTCAAGACCATCTACGTCGAGCACGACGTCGACTCTGCTGATGCTGACGAGAACGTTGTTGACTTCGTCGTCAACGACGCCCGTATCGCTGACCTCGGTCTCGGCCGTGAGGCCGTCGTCCAGGCCCTCAGGGATGTCGACTTCTCCGAGGAGTTGTTGGCTAAGGCCGTCGGTGCCTTGTCTGGTGGATGGAAGATGAAGCTCGCTTTGGCTCGTGCTATGTTGCAGAAGGCTGACATTCTCCTTCTCGACGAGCCTACTAACCACTTGGACGTCAAGAACGTCGCTTGGTTGGAGAACTTCTTGAAGTCCCAGACTCAGGTCACCTCCATGGTCGTCTCCCACGACTCTGGTTTCCTCGACAACGTCGTCGAATTCATCATCCACTACGAGCGTTTCAAGCTCAAGAAGTACAAGGGTAACCTTTCCGAGTTCGCCTTGAAGGTTCCTTCCGCCAAGTCTTACTACGAGCTTGGTGCTTCTGAGCAGGAGTTCACCTTCCCCGAGCCCGGTTTCCTCGAGGGTGTCAAGACCAAGCAGCGTGCTATCGTCAAGGTCAGCAACGTTACTTTCCAGTACGATGGTACCGCCAAGCCCCAGATCGAGAACATCTCCTTCCAGTGTTCCTTGTCTTCCCGTATTGCCGTCATTGGTCCTAACGGTGCCGGTAAGTCTACCTTGATTAAGGTCTTGACTGGTGAGCTCGTCGCTACCCAGGGTGAGGTCTGGTCCCACCCTAACTTGCGTATTGCCTACGTTGCCCAGCACGCTTTCCACCACATCGACCACCACCTCGACTCTACTCCCTCCGAGTACATCCAGTGGCGTTACCAGACCGGTGAGGACCGTGAGACCATGGACCGTGCCGCCCGTGTCGTTACCGAGCTCGACGAGGAGGCGATGGCTAAGCGTATCTTCAAGATTGAGGGTACTCAGCGCCGTATCGTCGAGATCTTGTCCCGTCGTAAGCTCAAGAACTCTTACGAGTACGAGTGTACTTTCATGCTCGGTACCGATGTCGGTCTCAAGCAGGAGCGCTGGACTCCTATGATGTCTGCTGACAACGCCTGGATTCCCCGTACTGAGTTGATGGAGTCTCACTCCAAGATGGTCGCCGAGGTCGACTTGAAGGAGGCTTTGAAGTCCGGTCAGTTCCGTCCTCTTACCCGTAAGGAGATTGAGGCCCACTGTGCTGAGCTCGGTATGGAGGCTGAGTTGGTTTCTCACTCCCGTATCCGTGGTTTGTCCGGTGGACAGAAGGTCAAGCTTGTCCTTGCCGCCTGTACCTGGCAGCGTCCTCACATCATCGTCCTTGACGAGCCTACTAACTACTTGGACCGTGATTCCCTCGGTGCCTTGTCTAAGGCTTTGAAGACCTTCGGTGGTGGTGTCGTTATCATTACTCACTCTGCTGAGTTCACCAAGGAGATCACTGAGGAAGTCTGGGCTGTCGACAACGGTCGCATGGTGCCTTCCGGTCACAACTGGGTTTCCGGTCAGGGTTCCGGTCCCCGTATCGACGAGAAGAAGGAGGGTGATGAGGAGGACAAGTTCGATGCCATGGGTAACAAGATCGTTACTGAGAAGAAGAAGGCCAAGTTGACTGGTGCTGAGTTGCGTAAGAAGAAGAAGGACAGGATGGCTCGCCGCAAGAGGGGAGAGGAGGTTTTCTCTGACGACGACATCTAAACGGGTTGATAGACTTCATTTGGTATCGTGTTTCTGTCTTTCTCGTTTTTCTTGCACTAGTACCTTGAGATACATGGCCATTGGTAGCTTGTTCTAATATTCAAAAATTTGGTCAAACAAACTTTCGTGACCCTCATCGAGTCGAACCCTGCTTAGAGTCTTTCTGTTATATGGCAGGTTCATTCCGCTTTCACTCATGCGACAGTCCTTCGCTGCCACTTCCCACGCTCTCATGGTGCACTGCAAGGCTGTATGCTTTTCTGAACGGACAAGGAAACAGGCGGCGCCAATGTTCGTATATCTTACACACAACCGTTATAAATATCTCAAGTTATCTTATATCCAATCCATGCTTCTTGAGTTGTCTCACTGAACAGTCCCGACTGGCTATGCCATCCACTTCGTCAAAATGTTCATCGTATACGCCGTCAATCCCCAAATTTTATCCCCCTCCGGCAGGTTCCAGACCGGAGACTTCACTTTTCCTCTAAACAACTCGGTTCCCCTATGTAACTTCGTTAGCTCTCACTTCGCACACGTCTTCACCAATTTAGCACTGACTTACATATTCTTCTGATCACCAAGCCACTCTGCCTCAAGCCCAAGGACTCTTTCGACCTCCTCTTTATTACACGGATAGCTCTCGGTCACATCTAACGGATCAGTGTAGAACGCTACAATAGGATGAACCCTGATCGTTCCCGTCTTATTGGGTAGCGCGGGTAATGAGCCTAGGATTTGGAATTTGGAGGGTGAGAGGAAGACTTCTTCGGAGGTCTCGCGGAGGGCAGTGTGGACATAGGATTCGTCCTCCGAATCCATCTTGCCGCCTGGGAAGCTGCATGATGATTGTTAAGTACCTCCCTTCGTTTTCAGATCACCACGCCGTGCGGGTGACTGACGATTGAAGAAATGGCTCACCTTATCTCACCACCGTGCTGCCGTAAGCTAGAGACTCTCTTGGTAAATAATATTCTCGCCTTTCCGTCCGTGTCGTTATACAATGGCTACATCCTCACGATCAGCCTTCACATCCTTCCTCTCGTTCAAACGCGCGCAGGCGCTCACTTCGAGATCATGGACGTACGACGAGAACAGCAGCCTCCCCTGTGACTTTATCAAATGGGAATTTCCATTTCACGGTAGAAATCTTATGCTCGAGGCGGCCTCGGAGCTCTTGTAAGCCAGCGTCGTGCCAAGAGCCATTCGAGTTGAGGTATTTGGCTGCGAAGTGAAGCAACCGGCCCTGTGGCTGGCAGCAAATTGGGTTCCGCTGTCGTATTGTTTCCAGAAGTGTCCTTCGTGATGGTTGGACGAGCATTCGGTTGCAATCGATGGGTATAGCCAGTGATCAGGTCTTGTGTTTTTATCATACCGCCCCTCCTCAACCCCCGCCCGCGAAATGCGCGACGTCACCGCACTTTCTGTTTCTAAAAATACAGCGCTCCCTAAACTCCAAGGGAACAGCGACCACCAGGATAGATTCTTGCGACGCCAGATGCGTGGCAGTAGGTATCTACAAGGACTTGGATGCGGGCGGGGAGAAGGCGAGAAAGGTTATGGGGAAACTGAGATTGACATCTGTAGATTTGCATGAGGCACGGTGGGTAGCCGGAAGAAGTATTGAGGCCGTCACATGAAAACCTGGGTACCTAGCTATAGGTAGCATATATACCGTAATATTATGAAAAAGAGGTAGCGGTAACAAAGTTTGGATCATCGTCCAAGAAATAACGCCGAAGAACGCCAAAAGAGATCAAGTAACGCCGAGTAAATGCACATAAATAATCTTCCTCCTCGATCATCATTTCTTGTTGTACTTGTCGCGATTCTTAACCTCATCCATGAACAGTGCCGCGAACGTTCGGACGGCCTCCATCTTCTCGCCACCTGCTATACCGGTCAGCCCGATTCTTGTCAACAACAGAGACAATGAGAACAAGTTCACGTACCCTGCTTCGCTACTGACTTATCTGACCATCCCGAGAAGTCCATATCCTTGATACTCTTCGGATTCTTGACCGTATCATGGGTCTTCTGCACGAATTTGTGGAACGCCTGGACACCATTGTAAGCATTCGGTCACGAGGCGCCGTCGATCCATCATACCTCGCTTTGGAGGAGCTTCTCAGTGACGTATTTGTCTGCTAATGTTGCAAGAATCCTCGTAAGCATCGTGCTATTGTACGTGTGAGGTTGGCGAACGCTGCGGATGCCGGTATACTTGGAGCACGACGCAGCTGCAGCAGGAGAATGTGGGGAAATCAGCTGCGCGAAAGCATCTCCATAACGTGAACCACTTTCGCACTCTCGAGCTCGTTCGCATATAATCAATTACTGTATCACGGCCGTGGCAGCGAATAGTCCTGAACATTTAAATTCTCAGGCAGGAGCTTTGAACTCAATAGTAGCGAAGCAATAGCAGTAATCATTAGCAATAGAGAAGGCATGCAAGACGCCAAAGTGAAAAACTCCAAAGAAAAACCCCATACCTCTTCCCAAAGATAACTATGGCGAAAACACATATGCCGACTGTCCATCAGAAGCCCTCGACTCAGAATGCTCCAGCTGCGGTATAGGCCCCAATCTCTTCTTTTTGTTATTCTTGCTTGCAAAAACGGAGGGTGCGGGCCTTTTCCGCGGCGAGGTGATCTTCCCGCTTGGTGGGAGCCTGGGCTTGGGTGGCTTCTTCTTCGGGGGAATGTCTTCGTCTTCCATGATGGCATCTTCGTCTGCGTACTCAAGACGAGAGAACAAGTACGGCTTGATGAGGCCAATCTGAAGTTGTGCCACCTCATAGGTGACGGGATCAAACGGCGGCGGCGGCTCGTACTGTTCCTCGACAGGTCGATTCGCACCGAACTGTGCCATCGGAAATCCATTCTGAGCACGTCCTTGCAACAGGTGCAACGGAACAGACAACGTAAACATGCCGAACTCCTTGTCCAGCCCCAGCTCGCGAAACCCAAAGAAATCGTCACCCAACTCCTCCGCGAAATCACCAGACACGAACTTCTCACTGTTGTCCTTGAACTGATTCTCACCCTCGGTGCCTTCGGTCCCAACAGGACGTAACTCCTTCACAAGGTAGTTCATAGCGCGCTTGTGTGTCTCTTCGAGCTTGATTCCACGACGCTCAACATCATCCTTGATGTAAGATTCCAACGCCTCAATGTCTGGAACACCCCCTTCTTGCAAAGCATGCATGATGATCTCGTCGTCCGTAAAGTCACGACTGCATGGTGCATCCATATAAGTTCGGATAACCTTCCCAATCCTGAACAGATAATCAGCCGCGATATCGGTCACTGCATCCAGCGCCAAAGGCTGGTACTCCTCGAAGCCAGCTTCATATAGCATCTTCCCAATAACTCTTTCCATGCCGAATCGTGCCAAATCATCCGACATCAGCGTATCCCGCGGTAACGCAGGTGGATCCGGATCCACCCTGTCAAAGCCCAGCGGGTCGTCGATATTGGTTTCGCGATGGTGGTTCGCATGAAATGCATTCTGCTGTTGCAACTGCTTGATGATCTGAAGTTTCGTGCACACTTTCCTGATTTTTCTCAACTCCAACACATTCGCGTCCATTCTCTTCAATACCTCTCCACCTGGTGGCTGAATCCTTGGATCAGCAGTTGAGATCTCGTCCGCTTCTTCGTCGTCTTCACCATCGTCCGCCAGCGCAGGAGATATGTCTGGTAAACCAGCCATGACCTGATACTCTGCCAGATACACCTCAGCATCAGCTTCTCCTTCGTCCTCCACACCGCTGAGTCCCCCCATTCCTTCTTCCGCCTCAAGGTTCAGTCCTAGATGCCTCATCTCCCACATGGAAAACCTCTGCATCGCTTTCCTGTCCCTTACAAGCGCTGGATAATCCTCGTTCAGTTTGCCATTCCTCAGAAGCTTATGTCGCTTACTACACAATCCCGCACGGCGTTTCTTGGTGAGTGACTTCCACATAAGAGAATCACTCCTGTCACCTTCGTCCGCTGGATCCGCCACCGCGGCGCCCAGTTCCTCCGATTGGGGTGCGTTGTCTATCTCCATCTGCGAATTCTCGAGGGCGGGATCAATTGGCGGGGTACCAGCTGAATGCCCGTTAACTCCATTCGTCAGAGCTTCAAGAGACGGTGGAGGAACCGAGCCTCCAAAGCTGTGTCGAGCGGGTATCCCAGGTCTTGTTTCAGTCCCAGTCATATGCTCATCCACCGGACTTCCTTCTCGATCGGCCGTCGTTTCCGCACTAGACTTCTTCTTCTTCTTCGTTGACTTGCCTCCAGCTGCCATCCTACTCGCTCTTACTTCAGGCTCAGGTTCAGCCTCGTTTTCTTCGTCTTGCGCAGCTTCTTCTGCTTCCACCTCAGCCCGATCTCGTACGGTGATGTCAGGAATCAGCGGAACAAGCGTATGCATTTTCTTTCTCATCGAGAGAGCATGCTTTCGCATGAAGTGGGCGGGGTCGGCGTTATATAGGAGGCAGTTGTTCCAGATCAACTCCAAGTCGTGTACAAACTCCTCCTTACTCTTATACTGCAAAGCCTTCAACTTCTTCATGACCGTGCCCAGATCCATAGGGTTCTTCACGATTGTGTGATAATCTGGGGCTTCACGCTTACTTACTCGGTTCAAGAACGGCGTTGAGTGTTCGGTGTAACCACGGAGCTCCAGAACGACGCGTTCGCAAGCCTCATAAAGTTCTTCCTGGCCAACTTTTTCTTCAGAAGCCCATTTCGATCTGTTCTTCCTGACTTCGGACAGGAGGTGACGCAATTCAGTATCGGACAACGTTAACGCTTCCCGTTTAGCATCGATAGCTGAAAGGAGATGCTTCAAACTGAGATTCGCGGCACCGAAATCACCTTTGATCCCTCTCCCAGATCCACTTGTACCGTCCCTGGCTCCATGCACGTCGACATCCGCATTCACTTGCCGATCAGATTCATCGAGCTTCGCTTGCTCGACCATCGTTCTCCGGTCGTGCTCTAGCGTATGATAAATCGTTGCCAGCGATGGTTTGTGAGATGTCGGCGTTGGTTGTATTGGGTCTGACGCCGGCTTACCTGAGCTTATTGTTTCGCTCGTTGCCGACGTCTGCGGTTCAGGGTCGTCGTAGTCCTCATCGTAATCATCATCGTCTCCTGCCCGTCTAGTAGGCGCGGGCGGCGTTGTCATCACAGCATCGCCCGAACCCGACGCGCCTACCGCTGAGGCATCAGCCCTTTCCTCTTCCTCAATAAGGAGCTCAATTTCAGGATCCATCTGACAGCATGTACGGTCCGTTGGGAAGAGTAGCGGTATTGACTGCTCATAAAGCAGACACCGCGCCCGAAACGCGGAGGTTAATGCGTCGAAAGCTGTGTCAAGGGCGTCGGGCGCGATCGTGTCAGAGCTTGGTGCTGATGGCGGTGGTTGCGAGGGCTCTGTAGGGTCGATTGAAGACTGCGCAATCAGATGTCAATAAGAAACCAAACGGCATGTAGAAGCCCGAGGATGGCATACACTCTCAACTTGTCCCTCGATGAACTTCTCCCACTTTGCCTCATCGTTCAAAGCCTCCAGCATAGACAATCGCTCCACATCAGACAGACTCTCATTCCACACGCCAGACTTCTCAACCTTGACCGCCAAACGGCGCAGGAAAGCTGGATCACCGTGTTCCCATTTGTGCTTTATGGTCGAGAAGGGGGCCTCGGAAAATGACATCGGGAGACAGTTGGAACGGTCAGCGCATACACGGCGGGATGGATGCGGTGGATCCCGATGGTTTAGACGGGGTTTCGAGCTGGCACGACTGCAAACTCGGTCGGTATTGTCCTCGGGGGTCGTACGTGGATGCAGGCCACCGACGTCGCGATGCAGGTGCCGCATTCGGCGCAGTTCAGTTCAACGTTACACCGACACCGACACCGAGGAAGCCAAGCATGGAGGCTTCAGCGCAACAGACTCACAAGGCTCTGAAAGAGGCATTCGTGTCGGACCTATCAGGGGGTGATATCTGGGAGATTAATCAAGTCACATTCACCGCCGTGGTACGTGTTCCCACGTTCTATTTCGCTATACTTGCTCACATTATTCTCAGTCAGCTTACGCACTCTGGGCCGCCCTTGACTCTCGAAAAGGTGTCTTCAAGAACTATGGCGTCTCAGAGTTCTTCCTCGAGTTTGGGATCAATTGCCTCGGGCTGTTACTGGCAATCACGCTCTACGCCGACAACCCCATCGCCCTAAACCTTGCCCTCCTTATCCCAGCAGCCATTCTCCTGCTCACAACACCGGATGAATCTCCCAGAAAGTCAAAATCAGCAAAGCCTGCAGCAACCAAAACCCAGTCCGCGGAGAATGCGAAGCGAAAACCCTTCCTCACGGCTTACCGCGGTGGAATGATGCTCATCACGACCCTAGCCATCCTCGCAGTCGACTTTCCCCTTTTCCCCCGCCGCTTCGCAAAAGTCGAGACATGGGGTACATCCCTCATGGACATGGGCGTCGGTTCATTTGTCTTTTCCTCAGGCCTGGTATCGTCTCTTCCCAGCGGTTCTCTGAGTGTGAGACTACGCAAGGCACTCAGGGTAGCTGGACCGATGTTGATCCTAGGAGGAATCAGATGCGCTGTAACGAAAGCGATCGGGTACCAGGAACATGTCACAGAATACGGTGTCCACTGGAATTTTTTCATGACCCTCGGCTTCCTCCCGCCGTTCTTGGCTATTCTGGCACCGCCCATTAGTGTCCTTACACCCACCGTTTCCGCAATCTTGATTGGAGTCGTATACGAGTATGCTCTTGACAAGATGAAGTTATCCGCTTGGGTATTGACTGCCCCACGCGTTGACGTCCTCAGTCAGAATAAAGAAGGTATCTGCTCCTTCATCGGGTATTTCGCCATCTTCCTCGCTGGTCTCGGTACAGGCAACCAGATTCGTCCACGTTCCACTGCCACTCCGGTCCAGAGCAGTCGCGCCAAGCTCCTTCGCACATTGGCTTTCTCGTGCGTAGCTTGGTCCGCGGCGACGTATTTCGCCATTGCTCCTCGCTCATTGTACGGCCTCGATCTTCAGGTCTCACGAAGGATGGCAAACCTACCATACATCCTCTGGGTTCTGGCTTACAACACCTTCTTCCTTCTGTTCTACCTGGGAGTGGAGTGCCTCTTTTTCACCTCAACACCAAGCACCGCTTCGCGCTCATATGCCGTACCGAGGGTTTTGCACGCCATCAACTTGAACGGCCTCGCGATCTTCCTGCTGGCCAACTTACTCACGGGATTGGTAAACATGTCGTTCAACACGCTAGAAATGGGACGCGTCCAGAGCTTCGGGGTTCTGGCAGGGTACTGCGGAGTTCTCGCAACCATCGCTATTCTCCTCGACGCCCGGGGCATCAGAATAAAGCTGTAACAAGCACTCTAGACATATTAAAATGCAATCTTTTTCATTTTATTCGTCTAGCGTACAGTCCCTCGCCCCTCCCCCTATGCCCTCATAAACCTAGTGTATACCTCATTCTCCGTCTCATCAACGAACGGATACCCAAGCCCCACCAAAAACGTCTCAAACGCCTCCCTCTCCCCCGGCGCAACCTGAATCCCCGCCAAGATCTTCCCAACATCACTCCCATGGTTCCGATAATGAAACAACGAGATATTCCAACCACTCTTCAACCCTTTCAAAAACTTGCTCAAAGCGCCCGGACGCTCCGGGAACTCGAAGCGGTAGAGACGTTCGTGTGATACGGAAGCGCGGCCGCCGACGAGGTACCTGGCGTGTGATTTTGCCATCTCGTTGTCGGAGATATCGGAGGCTTCCATCCCCTCCTCCGCCAATCTCGAAATGATCTCTGGGACTTCCTGTGCGCGGTCGGTAACAGTAAACGAGATATAAATATGTGCTCTCTCCGAATCCGAATAACGGTAGGAAAATTCGGTAACAGCACGCGGCTCGATGACGGAGTGCAACTTGCCGAACGCTCCGGGTTTTTCGGGAATGGTGACGGACATGAAACACTCCTTTTGCTCACCCAATTGTGCGCGTTCAGCGATGAAGCGTAACCTGTCAAAGTTCATGTTCGCACCTGACAATACCGCGACGTAGTTCTTGTTCTCGTTCTTTGGTGGTTTGGCCGCGACGTACTTTTTCAAGCCAGCAACCGACAACGCACCCGCCGGCTCAAGAATAGATCTCGTATCCTCAAACACATCTTTAATGGCCGCACAAATCTCATCCGTGCTTACCAAGACCATCTCATCCACGAAGTCACGACACAACCTAAACGTCTCCTCACCCACGATCTTCACCGCCGCTCCATCCGCAAACAACCCAACCTCCTTCAACATATGTCTCTTCCCCTCCCCCAAGGACTTGGTCATCGCATCCGCATCATATGTCTCCACACCAACGATCTTAACCCACGGCGCAACACGCTTCAAATACGCCGCGATACCGGCAATCAGTCCACCACCACCAACACAACAAAACACCGCCTCCAAATCCTCGAGTCGGCCGAGCTTGACTTGACGGAGGATCTCGACGGCTACGGTACCTTGCCCGGCAATAACGTATGGGTCGTCGTAAGGTGGGATGTTGATCAACCCATGTTTCTCCTCAAGACGTGCACACTCAGCCTTCGCAGCATCGAAATCTTCACCGTGCAAAACAACCTTCGATCCCAACCTCGTGACATTCGAATGCTTAATCGCAGGCGTAGCGACAGGCATCACAATCGTCGCCGGAATCTGGAGTTGCCGCGCAGAATACGCTACACCCTGTGCGTGGTTTCCGGCAGAACACGCGACCACTCCTCTCCATCTCTCTTCCTCGTCGAGGTGTGCCATACGGTTATACGCTCCACGGATCTTGAAACTGAAGACCGGGGTGAGATCTTCGCGTTTGAGCATGACCTTACATCCTAATCTCCCGGAAAGCTTGACACCGTGAGTAAGAGGCGTCTCATCAATGATGTCGTAAACTCTCGACGTAAGGATCAACCTGAGATAATCCGGAGTCCCGTCGGGGAGGAGGAGGTGTGCAGGAACATGAGGGTGTGCGTGGAGTGTCTGCTGCGATGCTGAGGAAGAGGCGAGGAGGCCGTCGGTGACGGGGTTTGCGGGACTCGTGGCCACAAGACCGTTCGATTGGGTCATTCTTGACGGGATCTGGGAATTCTCGATACCGGCGAAGTTCGTTGTGCTTGTCGCTCTCGGCGGTCTCACGGAATTTTGGGTTTGTGCAGGGGCAGCATGAGTCAACGTTACACGCCATACCTGCCGTAAACGATGAGAATCAGGATTCCATTTGCTGTGTCATTTCTTTGGTATGTCACCCTCTTTTTATGTCGACTCATACTAACACCTCGACAGCCAGCTTCCAATAGCAGCATGGCTAGGTTTGGCACCCAGCCTCAACATCTCAAACGACAAAGTCCTCCACTTCTTCGGTACCTCCTATCCTCTCCAACCCAAACACCATCCTAATCTTTCTCCAGTCTTCTTCATCCTCACCACTAACTTCTACTGGATCGTCGACACCACACGACGACGCGTAACGCACGCAACAGCTCTCGTCTGCGTCCTCGGCGCCGGCGTGGGAAGCGAGTTCTTGCAAGGGTTGTTGCCGGTAAACTGTATGTCTCCAGTTCGTGAGGCAATCGCTGATATACTCTTTACTCAAGTATCGTGATTTTGATTACTTTGATATCGCTGCAAACGTCGCTGGCTCGGGACTGGCCCTCCTTCTGTCGTCATGGTACCACAAACGTATGCTGGAGAGGAAGAGAATGGCCAAGTATGGAGCCGTACCAACTACGGATGATCACGAAAACCGAGACCTCGAACTCGGCGAGACACCCAGCTCCGGATCGCTGATCAGTCAAGAAGAGGGAGTAGTCTCCTTCGACGAGGAAACGGGAGTCTCAGATGAACCGACAACAGTCCCACCAACAGACACGAAGTAAAAGTGCTCGTGTTTCCAAATAGTCTATTATTCTTTTTGATTTGGATACCTCACCCCGCTCCCTGAGCCCTGAGCGGCAACAAATACCCTTTCCACTGCGCTACCTACTTTACATTTCTCCAAAACTCCCCTAGACCTTCTCCTTAACGCCTAGGCATACCCCGTCCACGACCCCTCATCGCCCGTGCAGCAGCTCCTTGTGGCAGAGCACCAGGCATACCCCCCGCACCAGGCTGCTGATTCTGCTGACTCTTAATCGTCTCATCCACACTCAACACTAACGTCGCCGCCTCCGTCGCAGAGCTAAGAGCATTCGTAACCAATGACGCAGGCTCCCACACAAACTTCTCCAAATTATCCGCAATACCCTCACTGTCAATATCGACACCAGCCCACATATCACCACGCGCGTGTCGCATTCTCAACTTATTGAGGATATCGGTCGCGTCAAATCCAGCGTTATCGCAGAGTTGGCGAGGAATAACTTCGAGGGCACGAGCGAAGGCGCCGATGATGAGTTGTTGTTTTCCGGGGATTGTTCGTGAGTATTCGCGGAGGTATTTGGAAAGTTCCATTTCGATTGCGCCACCGCCGGCGACGACGGTATTGTTCTTGATTGCGCGCTTGACGATCATGATGGCATCGTGTAGTGAGCGCTCGACTTCGGCGATGAATTGCTCGGCACCACCTCTCAGGACCAAAGTACAGGTCTTTGCGGCGGAGCAGCCCTCGAAGATGTTGAATCGCTCACCACCGATTTGCTTCTCCTCGAAGGTATCACAGGTTCCGAGGTGCTCGGGAAGAATGTCGGAGCAGGTAGCCTGAACAGATCCACCGACAGCCTTGACAACGCGGTTCAAGTCATCAGCAGCTACGCGACCAGCACAGAAAATACCACGGTCAGCGAAGTACTGTGTGGCCAAATCACCGATAGGAAGCTTCGACAAAATAACTTGAGCACCAGTCTTCACCAACGCCTCGAGCTTCTGGAAGATAATCTGCCACTCGGCATCGACAATTGCCTGGTACTCCGAGACCTGCTCGACACGAACCTCAGCATTGTCCTTCTCAGCCTTCAACTCCAACTCGACGTTCAAACACACAATCTTGGGGTTCTTGAATGATTTCGGTTGCTGCTCGAAACCGGCGTATGAGAAGGTCTTCTTAAACGCAACACCATTGACGAAAAGGGAGTCCTCCATAGCGCCACCAGGCACTCTCTTAATACCAATAAGCTTGTGATCCAACTCCTCCTGATCCAGCGACAAAACAGCCTCAACAACCATCTTGGTGAAGAACTTGTCGTTAGAGTGCACCAACTTGGATGACATAGCAGTAGACGCACACTTCATCAACAACTCACGGAACTCGACTTCGTCTTTACGATCGATCTTGACAGCGATTTCCTTGACTTTGTTGACTGCCAACTGACACGCCTTGCGGTATCCCTTGATGAGGATATGTGGGCTAACACCCTCCTCCACAAAGCCCTTGATCTCCTTCAACAACTCTCCGGCGATGACGACAACTGAAGTAGTACCATCTCCGACCTCGGCATCCTGTGCTCTTGCGATGTCGACCAAGATCTTCGCTGCGGGGTGAACGATATCGAGAAGCTTCATGATTGTCGCACCGTCGTTGGAAATAGTGACCTCGCCCTTACCATCAACCATGAGCTTATCGGAGCCCAAAGGTCCAAGTGTAGTTCTGAGAGTATCCTGGACGGCAAGACATGCGTTGATGTTGTTGATAAGCTGACCACGACCCTGAGAGTCCTCGGTTCCCTCTTTCAAAAGGATCTACGACAGCGAAGGATTAGTAACACGCAAGACGAACAATTGAGGAAGAGAACGCACGATTGTAGGCTGCATCTGTCCACCGAATGAAGCCATGGTGTCGTTGATGGAGAACTGTTCGAGGGGTTTGTATTACGACGTCGCACTGTTGCTGCGAGTACCGAGGACGCGCCTAGCAAGGAACACTACGCGAACCATTCTCCTTCGTAGGAGGGATCAAGAGGTATCTATAAGTACAGAATGGATTGTTTCAAGTATATCTACCAATCGAGAGATCCCTCTGATTATTGCCCTTCCCCGACTGCAGGTCGTTGCACCCCGGATGCACAGCCAAAAAGTTCGAACAGCGCTGGACAAAACACCTCTCGATCAAGATGTCCATGTCTGTGACAAGAACGACCGCTGTCGCGAGACGGTTGCCATCTCTCTGCAGATGCTACTCAATCCCTAAACGCGAGGACCTCCCCGAATCCAAGAGACCGCCCAAGTTTCAGTACAAGGAACAATACTGGCCACCCGTCAAAGTCCTCGAAACAAACACCAAGGAACCTATAAAGCCCAAGCCGATGCGTACGCCCGAGCAGCGTCGCGCAGCCGAGATGGCAGACCTGCGAAGAAAATACTTGAGGGAAGCTGTCCTCGCTCACGAGGAGGTGGTCGAAATTGAGATCGAGGAGAAAAAGGCAGTCGAGGAGAAGCGTGCTGCGTATTTGGAGGCGAAGCGGAACGCGCCTCTTGCACAAGACGAAGTTCTCACTCTTCCCACGATCGCCACCCTCTTGAACGACATCCGCCCAATAGACAACCCCGCCGCAGACGCGAGGCATGCAGCCAAGAAGATCCGCAACCGCGAAGCTGCCGAGGCTGATAAGGAAGAGGAGGTCCTCCAGAATCTGTTGGATCTCTACCACGCCTCCGAGACATTCATTGTTAACGAGGAGCAATTGAGCGCAGCCCTCGACAAAGCCTTCGACGAGGCGCTCAGCGCTCCTAAGGGCTTATCGTACGCATTGCGTTTGGAGGACCTCGAACGCCGTCAACAGAACATCGTATCACACGGCACGGAATCTCAGAAGTGGTCGCAAGCTAAGGATCTTTTGATGGGTACTGCTGGTGGAGGTAAGGTTGGTGTTGTTGGTGTTCAGGCTATTTTGGCAGAGAAGCAAGCACAGAGGGAGGCTCAGGAGTTCATTGCAAAATAGAATACGTGGAACATATCAAATGAAGTGTACGGTCAGGGTCAGATGGGATGGACCGCAAGGGCATCACGGGTCCGTGTCTATCGAATTGAACATGCATGTTGCAACTACACCCTGAATCATCCGTGTACATCAACCAAAACTCCGCACAAGTCCGTTATATGATAGGTATATCCGTACCTGTAGTTACTCTAATTTTCAAAACATGCAAATGACTATCGCTAATGCGCATGTGCGAACCCAGCGAGCTCAGAAAGCTCCTCGACTTGGTTTGCCAACATCTCCAACTTGTAAAAACTAGCCACATTCTCATATACCTTCACCCTCTTCAACAAATTCGCCTTTGACATCGTGGGAACCCACTCTCCAGAACACGCGCAATGCTTGCGGATGTTCTCGATTCTGGACTGCTTGCATTTCGCACAACGCAGATCCTGAAGCTGGTAAGTCGTGAAACTCTGGTGTAAATCCGCGATCATCTGCTCTTCCAGCGCGAGACGGTCGTACTCGCTATGACATTCGGCACATGTCCACGCGTGAATGTTTCCGTCCTCCGACTCGTCAATGCTAGCCATCAATTCCTCGTCTCGGCAGAAATCAAGATCACGAGAGTAACTGCAGCGAACACAAGTGACATGCCTGAATTTAAGAGTCTCACTGGGATTCAAGAACGTAGCTTCGTTACTGAACTCACGAACATCGAGGAGAGCAAGGAGTTCCTTACGAAGCATTCGCACTTCGAGAACGATGTCCTTCGCTAGACCATAAACAGCACTCAGGAACTTGACAAGCTCAAGGGTAGGGTTAGTGAGGTCCAGGTGGGAACCTGGCAGCGCCGGGAATGAGAACATTGGTAGCAACTCCGGGTCCATCATAGCATCAAGCTGACTACGGTACAGCTGACCAACGCGCTTCTTCAACGGTTTGGTGAAATGACGTGCCAAGACACCCTGTCCAAGCGCTGGCTTTTCTTCGTCGTTTTGTCCACGCCATTGTGTAAGGTTCGACTGATCAGATTTGCATTGGTGCATATGCCTGATGAACTCCACAACCCAGTGTGAAAAGTCCTCCTGCATTGCAGGAGGCAAAAAGCTCTTGATATGCCAGTGCAAGACAGTATTGTAGGAAGCGCCTTGCGTAGTCATCACCGCAACTTGATCCGCGGGACAAGAGATACCACCATAGTTCACGTCGTCCATCCATAAAAGATAATCCCAGAACTCCTTCTTGACAAGGTCCAGGAAGTGGAACATAGGCTTAGTCTTGATAGCTTTGACGACGTAATCAGCGTACGCCCAGGCGTTTCCGACGGTGGGCTTGCTTGTCTGAATAATGATGCGGTTCATGTCTGCAAACACAACCTTGGATCCAACACGGCGCAGCTCGGCCAATAGCTGAAGGAATGCCTTCTTGGTGATGGCGTGGATATGATGACGCAGAGCTGGGTCGTGCAAGCAAGATTCGGTGCTCTGAATCCACCTGAAAAGATGCTGGACCATGAGGTCTGCGTGATGGATGCCAGAGACTGCTTCTTCACGCCATGTCCTGACCATGTCCTTCAACACGAGAAGTGACGCGGACGAAAAGCTGTTTTCACTAAGGTTGCCGGTCGACTCGCCCTGGTCATCTTTATTCTCTCCGTCACCCATCATACCGAAACTACCAGAGTCGGCACCCTCAAGGTCGTTGATGATAGCAGACGTGAGAATTGTGTTGACAACAAGGTTACGCACATCAAACTCAACGCAAACGGTTGAGTAAGCACCCGGTGAGTTGACCTCAACGATGCTGGTTGGCTCCGTCGCGAGAAGAGCGTCATCTTGTTCAGAACCCCCCAAGTCTGCCTTGGGACCAGACGACCACCACAAGACCACGTCGTGCTGCTTGAGTCTTCGTGCGTACAAGATGTCTGTCAAGAATCTGACCTCATCTGCCTCGAAGTCACACAGAGGGACACTACCATAACGCGCCAGACTGACGCGGTGAGAAACCCATTCAGCCATGATCAGCCACTGTCCTATCAACCGCTTTGCAACAACTGACTGCCATCCAAGAGGGGGTAGAGTGTTTGAATTGCTTGGACCTTGAAAGCTCATAACGGGATACTTTTCAATATCAGGCAAATGACTTGCCAGTTGTTCTTTGTCCCTGGGATCCATGATCAAGACCGTCGAAGCGCTCTTTTCGATATTTGCTTCATAACGTTTGATCGCATCCGAGATGGCCTTCATGGCCTTTTTCTTTGTTTTGGTCAACGTAACAGTAAAGTCGATGGTTTCAGGATACTCGAATGCCTGCTCTGCATCGACCTGGGACTTCTTTGCAAGAATATCGGAGTAGATCTTCTCCATGTTAGGCATTTGCTGGCCTTGGCGACCACCGTCGTAGACGACGACATGTGCCGAGTTGTGAATGGACGAGAAGAGCGCAAGGACCTGCCTGTCGCCGTCATTGACATTGTAGAGGTAAAGGTACTGCAGGGGAAGTCCCTCCAAGTAAGTCGTCGCTCTGTCATCAGGTTTCAGGTTGGCCAAATGGAATCCTGTAGCTAAGCCAGCGCTCAACGATCCTTCGATGCTCGTGTTTAAGTTGCAACGAGCACCAATGCGAAGCAAAGCCCTGACCTTCGGCGTTACCTTGGTCTCGTACACTCCTTCGACAGAAGGATGGGTAAGCAAAGTGTTCAACTTCGACTTGTACTCAAGGTAGGTATCCTCAGACATCTCGAGCTCGAAAAGGCCGACAGATGGATGCCCATTAGGCAAAGTATGCGAAACCTTTGTGACCCTGCATCCAGGAATTTCAACGTTTGGTAAATCCTCGGACTTGAGGTTGACGTAGAAACGGCGAGGCACGTTGATCTTGACATTGTGCATACCGCCCTCGATGAGAACACAAGCAGCAAGCTGACCAGGAGTGTTGCTCTCGCGCAACTGCAAGATCTGCCACGGCCGCGTAAAGATCATACCCGCTTGATCACGGAACATGCCTGACAAACCACCAGCCGCAGCATGATCCTGCTTGCCGAACAAATGCCTTCTTCTCTGGCGCGCAACACGCTGAAGCTTCCACTTCTGCTTCTGGTACTTCAACCATGCAGAGTAATCCTGCGATGGATCTGGCATGACCGGAGGCAAACTGGCAAAAGGGTCGTCGTCCTCTTCCCTCTCGTGAGCCGTCTTGCGCTTGACTACAACACGACCCTGCTTCAACGGCTTCACAAGACCTTGAGTAGAGCTTCCTCCGAAGTCCTCGAGATCAACACCCGAGTCGCCGTTGCTGTTGGTCGGGGATGTAGGCGCCTTCTTACTGAACATGTTCGTGATGTTCTGCTGCTTGAACCTATCCGCTTTCGCAGCCAAACGGCGCTGCAACCATTCTGGGTGAGCGACACGAGGAACGGGGTTCTCGACCTTCTGCAGGGCAGCAGGAATGGAGATGAGCTTTTGAATGACTGAACCGAAACGCTCGAGGTAGTATCCCCAGTCAAGTATACTCCTCAAATCAAAGTCGGTCAAGCTTGCATCTTTAAGCCACTTCCTCAAGAAATGTGTCTTCACCGACTCCTCGGACGAGAAGATAGCAATGGGGACAGCTCGCTCCGTAACAGGCGCATCTTTCGGCTTTGAAGAGATAATATACTTACAGGCCAATCCCTTATCCTTAACCATCTGTTCACCCAAGAACTCACCCAAACGCCTAGCGGTCGTGATGGATGTAGACTTCTGCTTGCCGTACTCCTCCAGCGTTTTGGACATGGATCGGTTTTCACAAATGAGGTTTACCAACTCCTCATCAGCGAGAGTGACACCCTTGCTGTCGAGCACATCCAACCACCTATTTGCGATCTTCGCAACAGCGGCATAACACTCTTCCCTTGTTTCGCCTTCCAAGAAAACCTTAAACAATTGCTTCTGAAAGATCTTGATAAGCTGTAGCTCACCACGACGCTTAAGCTCAAACCCCTTCAATTCAGCTAAAGACCCGTTGTCGTTGAAAACAGCATATCTCTTCTTCAAGTTCTTGTCCTCCTCCTTAGAGGTCGGCAGCATCATCGCACGGTACGGTCCATCAACTTCGAAGAAGATACTGTTCTCACTTGAGGTCTTGTACTCGTAGGTATTGGGGTTAACGAGATCTTGGTAAGCATGGTTGGTGAACTTGGCGTGCACGAGATGGTTAAGCATCGAACAGGGATAAGACAAATTCAACTTCTTCCCGTTCTTCATCGTGAAGACGAAATCTTCAGGGAAGGTCTTGGGGAAGATACACCAGATACCATCCGTATCCAACTCCAAGGGCCTTCCTACTCTCTCGATGATCTTGCGTGCCATCTGAATGATAGTAGCACCAGTCAAACACGTAACACCAGCCATCTCCATGGAATACCATCGAGAACCCTTTCTCATGACGTACCCGTAAAAGGAGTTCAGAATGACCTTGTGAGCCAACTGCAGAGAGTCATACAAGATAACCATCTTGCCTGCCTCGTCAACAGCACCCGCGTCGCCAGCCTTCTTGAAGTCACCAACCTTCCCCTTCCACTGCTTCTGAAGCCCCTTGTAATCATATCGACGATCACGGAAACTCTTCACAGTATCGATGTAGAAGGGGTTCTCCCTCTGACAAACAATGACTTCCCGATTGATAGTCTTCGTATCGTGAATTTTGTGGTAGACCTTCCTACAGTAGTCAGACAATCTCTTCTGGATCTGGTTGCTCTGCTCAGCCGCCGAGAGGTCATCCCACGTTCTCTGTGCTGACCCGGAATATCTTCCAGGAAACAACTCGTTCTGCAGCGCACGCTGAATCATGTTGAACTCATCCCTCTTCGCCGGAAAGTACTCACCACGCCAAGCCCAAGTCATCCTCCGATCACAGTTCTTTCCCGGAACATTGAAATCACACGCCGCGCAGTTACTCTCATCCATCATCGAATCAGGCTGAAGACGATTCGTAATCATGATGTTGGGGTACATGGACGCGACATCCAAATGGTAAATGGTAGGCTTCTCCTTCCTCTTGGGATTGTCCCTTAACTCCCTCAACCCACTTGCGATTTGTTCCCGAACTTCGTCGTAATTGGTGATATCCTCCAACTTCTTCTTCTCCTCCACCTCAATCGTAAATTTCAGCGCCGCATCCAAATCACCGAGCAACTCATCACATGCCGTGGGATCAATCTCGAATTCTTCAGGGATATCACTCCTAAAAACACCAGCCTCGAGAGACTCAACGTGTCCACCGACATACGTCTCACTCTCCAGCAAATGCCCATCATAATGCTTTCCATGCTCCTCCAAATGCTTGTTCGGCAGAATAATACCCTTCTGGTACGCCTCAACCATGAGCAACATCTCACACAACGTACCCGTTCCCTTTCGTAGGACATCATCCGGATTCAACGGAATGATGTTACAGAGCGAGAAAATGAAAGGATGCACGTACTTCATGTACAGATAATACGTCGCAACAGCATCGGAAACGGAGTACTGTGCCAACACCTGCGGCTGTTCGCTCGCATACGGCGTCATCAACTCCGGATCCAACTCGTCGGGGTCATAACCCAGCTTCGCAGCAGTAACGGCTTTCAAACCCTGACTTCCCTGCGGGAGGTATGAATCACGTTTCACCCACCTAAAACAATCCATATGCGCACAATAGTTCGACTTGTACTCCTCCTCACTGTCCTTCTGGAACCCGATCTCGTTGTACATGCTGATCCCATGAAACGCCGCCCTTGTCTCAACAAATGGCCAATCGAAGAAATCTCCGTTGAAGGTCGCGATAACAGTGGGCTTCACATCCTGGATATGCTCAAAGAAGCGCATAATCAGGCTCCTCTCATCCGGCTCATTGAAGATAATGAACGGGCCTTCGAACTCAGGTTTGGGTGTGTAGTCGAAATCCCCGATATCCTGCGACACGATCTCCCTATTCGTGATGAGATATCCCTGTCCATCAATCATGTACGAAATCATCATTATACAATCCGTCGCCGCATCGGGGAACTTGAGCGGCAACTTCGTCGTCTCGATATCGAATGCCAACACCACTGGTTCAGCACGCTTCACACGTTCTGGAATATCCGTGATGTTGATCACCCCAGCTTTCGCTTCGACTGTGTACCACTTTCCCACTCGAATATCTTTGTCGATGGCGACACGGACGTGGTAGGGAACGTCCCATTCGCGGAGATCGACGATGTTGTCCGCGGCGTCCATGACGTTGGTCTGTTTGTTGTGATATGGCTTTTCGTCGAGGTCGAGATTGAGGGAGGCGTTGACGACTTCGGTGTATGCGTCCAAGGCGTCCATCTTCTTCCTATTTGACTCTGCGATCGGTGCTAGAACTTTCTTGACTTGGTATAGGTCGTTCGTGTTGGCGAACGTCAGCTTGATGAACGTTCTTCGATACCCCGTCAGATGGTTCGGCATCCTCAAATCCTCCTTCTGCACCCTCGAAATCTTCAAAATCAACCCCTCGAACGCCCTCCTCAAATACTCCTCCACCTCCCCCTCCGTGCCAACCTTACACGCAACAAACAAATACGGATCATACTGAACACTCGCCTTGAACGAATCCCCATCGTCGCCCAAGAAGTAGTAATCCATCGCTGCTTTGCCGTCGTCCATTGTCGTTTGGTGCATATTAATCAACCATCCAACCCTCTTCGGACCAGCCTCATACTTCTCAAAACCCATCCTACCATCGATCTCGCTCGCTAGTTTTGTTGCTTCGGCTTTTTCGTCGATGTTTGTGGCTTCGCTGGGTAGGACGCTTTGTGCGGTTTTGGGGCGGTAAGAGCGTTTGCCACCTGTGTTGCCTCGGCTTCCAGAACGACCGGAGGAGGAGGTGAGGCCGAAGACCTTTTGTTGAGGACCTGGCATTGTGGTCGTGTGTGTTCACCGGGACCGCGTTGTCGGTGGTGTTGTGGTCGGTGTACAGAAAGAAGGAAATCAAAAACTGCTGAACGATAACAAACTGATAAAAATCCTGACAATGATCCGATTCAATAACTTCCAGCACAGCTGGACTCCCTTGGTATATTGGTTGGTAGGCCTTTGTTTTCCCGGCGTCGAGGAATCGCGTGTTTTGACGCGTCGAATTCACTTCTCCCAATTTGGACGTAATGAATTCGAAGGACTCCTTAATTAACACAACAACCAAACGCGAATTAAAGGAAATCGAAAACTGGTGAACTACTCCATCGTCATGTATTCCGTCAGATCATTGGCCAGGCTGTCGACAGTGAGGACCATTCGTCCGTGTTCGATTGCCTTCAGGAGGATCCATGCGTCGGTGCCAGGGAGGATGGCGGAGGCCTTGCCGAATCAGCCTTCCCAGACCAAGTTGGTGGAGAAGACTATGAAGCGCTTCTGGAAAACCGTCAATGTGGTTTCTGTAGAAGGTACATATCATTCCCCTCCAGTAATGAAAACTCTCGTCTAATGTTCTTCTCCACAGATGGCTACAACGTCAACCTTGATTCGCGCCCCCTCAAGACCCCCTCCGGTACACGCCTCGTCGTCCCCCACAACAAACCCCACCTCGCCTACCTCATCGCTGCAGAATGGAACTCCCTCCCCACAGCCTCAATCCGTCAGCACTCCCTCCCCCTAACCTCTCTTGTCGGCAGATATACCGACTACTTCGACCCCGCCACTGCAAAAGACGTAACGAAGGGCCGCTCGGAGGCAATCAGGGATTTGATGAGATATATTGACACAGACACCCTCGTTATTTGGGCCGAGTCACGTCAAAAGCGGTTGCTTGAGTTACAGAAGGAGCATTGGACACCGTTGATTAAGGAGGCTGAGGAGTACCTCACCAAGCATGCCGCAACCAGCAACCTCCTCAAAGACACCGACTCCGTCAAGATGTCAGTCCTGGAAGGTGATGCAGGCATCATTGGCCATCGCCAACCCCTCCTCACCAAATCCATCGCACAACATTACGTCGAGTCCCTCCTCCCCTGGGAGCTGGCCGCGTTTGAGCGTACAGTCCTCCACACCAAGTCTTTCCTCCTCGGAATTCTTATGGTCGGACGTCCACGGGCAATTGGTGTTAAGGATTGTGCTAGGGTGGCTACGTTGGAGGTTGAGGAGCAGACGAGGGTTTGGGGAGAGGTTGAGGATACGCATGATGTAGAGAAGGCCGATGCGTTGAGGACGCTTGGGTCTGTTGCTGTGTTGTTGGATGTTCAGGCATAGCTGAAATGAGTTTGTTTGGGCGGAAGTGTAGGATACCAGGATGAGAACTCAAAGAAAGGAAAAGCATGCATTGCCCTACGCGTAGTAAATCTTGTTATCAATTCACTACATAAACTATAGTAAACAGCGACCGCAAAAAACAGGCATCGGTGTAGACGTACCATCCTGAACTTCCAAGTGATCGAGAGACAGCGGGCGTGGATCAGGGAGCGTGGATCAGTAAGCAAGTCAGGTAACGACAACGAGCATGGAGGATCAAGTCAAGACTTAACGACGATGATGGATGTAGTCGAGAGGGAGTGTGATTCGAGACTGGAGAATCGCGCGTGTTTTGACGCGTCGAGTTGAAGTCATGGACGTAACGAAGGATCCCGCCTTAATTAATTCACCGACCAAAACGCGAATATCACCCTGACCATGGCAAATCAACTTGTCGACGAATTGTTTGATCCTCTCTTGAACCTGGAGGAGTCGTATGTCCCCCTTTTCCGTTTCCCACTGCATGCCAGTAAGCTTAAAGAAGCCGTGTATGACAGTTTTTATAAGGAAGGCCACGAACAAGGCTACAACGACGGTCTCATCCAAGGCGAAATCGAAGGCCGCCGTTTCGGCCTCGAGAATGCCTACCAACGTTTTCGCGACTTAGGCATCATCTCTGGTCGCTGCCTTCTCTGGCGCGCTCTCCTCTCCTCCCCCTCTTCCTCCTCCTCCGGCACCGACACTGTCCCCGCTAAGGCAGAGAAGCAACTCGCCAGGCTCGAATCTCTTCTTGCCCAAGTTCCTATGGAAAACAGTGAAGGCGGCGACTTTGATACGCTGTGGCTCAAGATTAAGAACAAGGCCAAGGTTGTCAGTACGCTTGTGGGAGAGGGTGGGAGAGGGTTAGTTGGTGTTGATGGGGAGGAGGATAGGGATGGGGAGATTGAGAGTGGGGAGAGGCATTTGAAGAGAAAGATTGCTGCTGCGCAGGAGGAGGGTGGGTTGGACTTTTGAAGGAGGGCTTCAACGAGAACTCGCCTATGAGGAGGTGTCAGGATGGCATGGCGCCAACCCACTGCGACGCTCGAGGACAGCAGGGGCCGCTCTGCGAGCTCCGAGTCGCGGGATGAAAACTCAGAGCATCTGTAGTGCGTAAGGGAACGGGGTTCTCATGAATATGCTGGATGCCGGCACCGTGCACGACCATATCAAAACGCGAACAACCCAGCCGCTGAACGGAAAGAAAGACGACTCGAGTTGAAGATATCTGTATATTAGGTAATAAGAATAAATCGTAACGCCGACAACTCGACCCTTCGTCCGTCTATGCATATGCACCCTGCCTGGGTATACTGTAGTCCATACTATTGCAACCAAAAAGCCCCCCACAAAATCGCGTCCCTTGTCGTATACGGCTTCCCATGTCTTCCATCCTCTTATATATCGTACACTGTCCGCATCATCTCGTCTGCATACACCTCACATCGAAAACCTCACCCTCCTCCCGGCGCCAACCCCCTTCTCTGGACTCGTCCCCGCACTCCTCGCACCCTCTTTTACATGCACACTCCTCCTCTCATATCGTCTTTCTCTGGCGTCTCGTGTTTCACGTGTGCGCCATGCATATATCTGGTCCTGTCTCTTTTTCCATCGTTGATATTTTTGCAGTTCGGTGCTTGGTTTTGGTGGGGACGAACTCCCACTCGAACCCGACGATCCGTCCGCAGAAAGGGGATGCGATGGAGAGGTGGGAGATGGAGGTTCGGGTTCGGAGTCGGTTGTGTCGTCGTGTAGTTTCGTAGGATGTGGTGGGGGTGAGAGGAGGCGGTTCGTACACGTGCCCATCTCCTTTTCCTTTATTGGCGATGAAGATGGTTTATGTGGGAATAGGAAGCGCCGAGCAGGGATATCAGCAGCCAGTGCATTGATAGTCCCTTCCTCAGTTGGTAGCTGGCCAAGGCCAGTCCGCGATGACCTCTTCCCCATCGTCTGCGGCGTTTCCGGCACCTCCCCCACCACGCCCACCACAGCTCTCATCACACTCGCAACCGCCCTCTTCCTCGGCTTCACACCAACCATCCCTATTGGCTCTGAGCCGGACTTTGCCAAGTCTATCTCGCCAAACAGCGCCGTAACGCGGCTTGACGGGGACGCTGTGTCATTGATTATGGATGTATGCGGTAGTTGGCCGTGTGCAGTCTCAATATCGGTGTCCTCCGGCTTCCTCTTGTTCTTCACCATGGATCGAAGCCTCAATACAGAGCTGGTCACCCTCGCAATTGCAGTTGTTTTCTCGAACTCGTTGTGTGAACGCTCAAGGTTGCACTCAGGGGTCGCGTATGACGTCGCACCTCCCTGGGAAAACACTACACCAAAGGACCCCTCCCTCTCCATTTGCAAACAGCTGCTGGCGATGAAAGACGACGACACATACCGTCAATCTTCCCAATTTCAATTATGGAGTTTCTCCTCTTTTAAGCTCCGCTCCCTCCGGGAAGCCGTCAACGCGGCTGCCGCCGATCGCGTCCGGAAGAATCTGGTGGAGGAGAAGAATGTCGAGAGTGCGACGACGAATGGGGATGGGGATGCGAACGGGGAGGGGGGGATTCGCGTGGAGTGTCTGACACCGGAAGAGGAACAGGTTTTGGTCGATTTCTACGCGGATAGGGTTTACAAAACAACCGCAATCTTCAAGGATGAGGCCAAGAATCCATTATTACCAGCACATATAAGGGTGAGCTTTTGATCTTGACATTCGTCTGGTCAGTTACTGATTACGTTCACAGGCAACAGCAGTAACCTTCTTCAAACGCTTCTACCTCCGCAACTCCGTCATGGATTACCACCCAAAACAAATCCTCTTCACCTGTATCTTCTTCGCCACTAAATCTGAGAACCTGTGGATAGGTGGTATCGATACCTTCTGCCGGATTGTATCGGGGGCCAACAAACGACCTGTAACACCTGCAGAAGTCTTGACACACGAGTTTTTGCTGTGTCAGAGTCTAAGTTTTGCTTTTACGGTACATCATCCGTATCGGGCTCTGCATGGACTCTATCTCGATCTCCAACAAACTCTACCAAACATCCCCGTTGGCGAGTTGGGGAAGTGGTACGACACCGCCAAGACCGTCATCAACAAAACCATCTGTTCTGACGCACAATTTCTCTACACCCCTCCTCAGATCGCAATGACCGCATACCTCACCGCAGACACCGAGCGCTTCACCCTTTACCTCACCTCAAAAATCACGAATGACGCGGAACGCGAACAAGTATCATCCCAACTCACCAAATGCCGGGAATATTTGAAGAAATGGGTGGTTCCGACCCTGGCGCAGGCGACAGCTGTGGATAAGAAGTTACACTACTGCAAAAACCCTGATAAAGACCCCAACTCCGCACTATTTAGGAAGAGAAAGGCGGATGAGGCACAGCATGATGAGGAGAGGAAGATGAGGAAGGTTAAAGAAGCGCAGGAGAAGGCGAGGAAGGAGCAGGATGATTTGTTTGGGGCGCCATTATGAGCATGAGCATGAGGAGCGAAAAGCGCGGACAGAAGATAAAGAAGGGACATGAAGAGAGAGCAAAGCATTTGAGAAAGTCCTGTTGCAATTACGAGTTGAGCAGCATAGCGCAGCATACGCGGCAACTAAAGTTCGCATCTATCAATGAAGATGTAAGCAAGAAAGAAATGAGTGAAAGATAAGGTGAAGCACAGCTTCACCCACTTATAAAGCTTAAAGATAACTACCATGTGCAAATCACCACTTGTCGGTCACTCCCTCCAGATCCATATTCACTGCTGTGGTTCCTCCGTTTCGCTGACCCTATCCACCCGAGCGCCGGCCTTCGAGGGTGTCGACAACATCTCCGTCATCTTCGCTTCATGGGTTGCTACTATCGGTCCGCTCCAGGTAGCCCGATGTTTCCACCTCTCGCTCTTCGACGCACCACTCATTCCCGTCGCCGTCTCGTCCTTCTCCTCCGGACCCGGACCTAGCGACACCGGCGAGGAGACCATACTCCCCTGTGATATAACGTTCGGTGACGTAGGCGACCTAGGCATACTCAACCTCGGCTGCTTCTGCGCCCGTTCCGTGACCGCCTTCGCTAACGTCATAACATACTTCTCATACTTCCCCACCTCTTCCCCTAACCACTGACTCTTCTTCTCCCAATTACTCAACGCCTTCCCCAAATTGGGACTCCGCGGCGAAAATGCACGTGCAAGGAGGGGTTTCATCCGGGCGTGCTGAGCGTGGTCTTCGGTTAGGTGCGAAAGTCGGGATTTGAGCGCGCGGAGTTGTTCGCTTTCGGGAAAGTTGGAGGGGATGAGCGAGGGCATTGGGGGTTGGAACTCTTCGAGACGGGCAGAGTCGCCGGGGAGGCGGGTTTTGACTGTGCGGTCCCAGTGGAGGGAGGGTGTTTGGCTCCGTTGGGTTGCGGAGGTTGGGACGCGGGGGCTGTCGAAACTTGCGGTGCTGGAGTCGAAGCCATCTAGGACGACGCCCCAGCCGTACTCGATGTTACTCACGGCACCCGCGAGTGGTTCTTTTGAAGTCCGAGCGGCCCAGTAGTTGGCCGAGTAAGTCCATTCTTCGACGAGTTCGGCTGTACCGGCGTGGAATAAGTGAACAGCACCCGTATGGACCTTTAACATCCAAACATGTTGGCGTGACTTGGAGTATCCAGGCGCAGGATACTTCGTCGCAAGCGTGTGACGAAGGAGGAACGACCCAATCATGTCCGCATTCTGCGACCAATTACCACCACCGACGACACCGCCGTAGTTCCCATGCTGCGTGCCGAACTTGAACAACTTCAACTCACCCTTGTCAATGACAGCAAAACACTGTGTCCACGTCCTAAGCTTCGGCTTCCGTCCGCTAGCGTCAGCATAGTGCTTCGTATTCAGTAGTCCCTCTTTCGCCCACGGAGGTCCAGTCAACGCCAGCGCATCTTCCTCCGCCTCAGCGATATCAAACGAAGAAGTCATGGGGGATGCAATAGAAGCCTCTTCGCGAATGATGGCATGCGTCAACGTATTCGCGAATCCAATCGAACTAATCGCTTCGAGCCTGGACCGAGATTGACGAGAATCGGTAGTGATATCGGAATCTGTCGAAGCAATCGACATAGGCCGTCCATGATTGTGACCAGAGGGACTCCGCAAATCCGAGAGGCTAGTCTGGCTGTGATTCCCGTGCGTAAAACTACTCGTCGTGATACGCGGCCTAGACTTCGGTCTCCGACCAGCGAGGACATTCGAGAATCGACCAACACTTGCTTCAGAAGGCGTGTAACTGACAGTACTCGGACTTCTGTTCAACGAGCCCGGTGTACCAACCGAGAGCCTGTTACCCCTCTTTTCCTGACGGTGGTTAGGCGTCACGGATCCAGCCCGCGACGAGAGAGGCTGGAGGATTTGTGAAGCTTTGATACTGGCGTAGAAATCCTTCAACAAGCACTCGAGCTGCATTTCCCAGCCACGCATGGATCCACCCGCTGCAAAAGCTCCGTAAGGGCCAATTCGGTCATCATACAATGACCAAGGCTTTCCGACACTCAATCCACTCGCACTCCTGGTGGGAGAGTCCCGCGTGGGGGTACTCGGCTGCGCTAGGTTGGCAAGGCTCCCGTTGCCCGTACTGTAACTCTTCGGCATAGTGTATGAGCTGTAAGAGCTGGCAGGCCGTCCGAGCGACGGTCTCTTGGGCTGTTCACCTGGCGACTCCTCACCCGGCGTAACCCCAGGTGACGACCTCATAGAATAAGATGACTGCGATCGCGGCATACTATCCTGTTTGACCTGAGCACGAACCGCCGAGATTGTGTTCTTTGTAAACTGCGTACGGTTCATATGTTGCGTGCTCGAAAGATCTGCAACATGCAAATCCGTATTCAATAACAACAGAGAGTACGCAATCGCATGTACGACGTCAACATTCTTCATACCGCACGCTTCGGCATTGTTGCACTCCCACCACCTGCGAGCAAATCCCTCGAGGATACGATCGATTTGTTGCGTTTCGGCCTTGAGGAAGAGCTGTGAACACAGCCTACGGAGGGCAAGAAGGGGGTTCACACCGGTCCAGTCAAAGAATGTCATGTAGGCTTGGCGAGCGAGAGCATTAACCTCCCCTGCGTCTCCAAGCCAGATGACAGCCTTCTCCTTTAAAAGGAAGTCTTCGTCTCCATTATAGATACGTTGAGCACCAATCTGAGCTTCCTCTTCAATATCGTTGTCTGGGACTGCAGTCGTCGGAGTTGCGGCAGCTTCACTACGGATAACAGTCTCGACGGCCTGCACAGGGGTGGGAGTGGCCGCGCCCTCCTCGAGAGCCTCATTCAGTATGACATGAGCTCGAGCAGTGACTTCCTCCTCGACAATCTCCTCCGCTGTCTTCGGTCTATCCTCGTCAACGGTCCAGCCCGACATCCTCCGGTTGTCATCCTTAAGCTGAGCGGACGGTTGTGCAGCGTTGATCTCAGTCTCGGTAACAGCTTTAGGTTTTGGCACATTCGCATCCTCTGCCGGTGCAGGCGGAATAGCCTTCTCGTTCGCTGACCATTCCGCTCCTTCCAAAGCTGGTGTCACACCCGGCGTCCCATGCAAGACACCAACCCCTTTCTCCGCCGCCATCGCGATAGCCAACGCAATTTCACCTCCACTTTCCAAGACCATACCCTCCTTATGCTGCTTCTCCAATGTTTGCAATAGCTCTTTTGCCCGGATCTCGCTGTCTCTGCGCGCCTCTTCAGTGATTACTTGTTCAACATCTTGCACTTCCGCCCATCCTGAAGGAAGTGTAGTTGTGGCCAACTGCATGGGAGCCGATACAGACCGTGGGAGAGCATTTGCAGTTGCTTTATGCGAGTTTACACCGTCAATTGCAGCTGGAATCGCGTTGAATGTCGCCCAGCCAGTTGGCAGGTCCGAAGACGCTTGGGTAGGAGCATTCGCAGCCGCTTCACCAATATCGTTATCTTCACCTCCGGGAAAGTCATCGAAAGTAGCAGTCTGGATAGTGGCCGGACTAACTCCGATATGTCCAATTGCCGATGTCAAAGATCGAAGAGGCCCGGACTCGGTGGATTTACGCGGTTGAGCTGTCATAGGGATTGCGAGTGTGTCAAGTGCAGACTCGGTTACAGAACGTTGCACTGGGCGCGACTGGTACTCGGCCGTCGTCGGAGAAGGCGGAGCAATCGTAGTCGTAGGTGGAACAGGTAAGGCCTTCGCAATTGGTTGTTTGAGGAAGAACATGCTGCGTTTCTTCGGCAATGGTGGGCGTTGAACCTCTTTCTCCGTCTCCGGCCTTGCCAAATTAGTTGTACTGCCTCCACGCCATAGTCTCCAGAGAAAACCATGTTGCTGCTGTTGCTGCTTGACTTCGCTGCTTCTGAGTGTGGAATTCACCGTTTGCTTTCCCAGTGAATCGACTGTCGTCGGTCGGGCGGAAGTCGACGCACTGCTAGCAGTGCCTGGCCTTGATGGAATTGTAGATATTGACTGTTTTCTTTGTGTAGGAGGTGCATCGTCCATAGGCAATAACATTGACTTGTACACGTGCCTCCTTGGTACTTCATCCACGCGGGGCACCAGCGGTGAGTTCGAGACTGACTTGTTGCAGCCCGTTTCCATGCTCGCCAGAGACGAAAGGAGGTTATCAACCAGGTTGAAATCCGCGATACTGTCACCAAGCGTAAGCCCGTGCGACTCCCGTTTCGATTGTCGGGTCGAGTCAAAGGCCATCAAACGTTATCGGATTCCCGAGGTTGTCGAGACCCGTTGTAACGACAGAATGCGGTCGATGCCGGTGCTGATGATAGGAACCTCAATCGTCCCTCTATAATTGGTATTGAATGGCCCTTGAAAAGCTCATGAAGTAGGTATTCACCGAGCCCCCCTTAGCAATCGGGGGAATAAGGTTTCGGTTGACGCCCAACCGCTGCAGTAGGGGTCCGTAACCAAGCACTCCCGTTAAATGAGATGATGGCATGGTGGGGATGAAGACATGATCATTTTCAAAATGTTTATCAATGTTTGATCTCGAAGAGTCGCATCCTCTCTTGTATCGGCTCTCGAACTGCGATTGCCAGGGCCTCCCATACAAAAAACTTCCTCTTTCGACATGGTGTGTGAAAGCTTAAAACTCCTCCTACGAGGTCAACTTCAGGAAAACGATGGCAAGCAAGATTAAGACCAGCGTTCTCCTCGGATACCCTGATGGTCCTGCGTCCGCGGAGACCGGACTTGATCAGTACTGTACTTTTATCGGTGGCGAACCGGTTTGTCACCTAGCTCCTCTTCCCTGATTTGTACTGACATTCTCGCAGCTATGGCTCACTCCGAACACTCCAGTGGACGCTCGATATGCTCAATGTGGTGTCTGCAATTCCTATATGAACTTGCTCTTGCAAGCTTATGCCCCTATTGAGGGCTCCAATGACGAGCGTGTTATCTACGTATGGGGATGTGCTCAAAAGGCATGTCAGAAGCGGCCGGGCTCTGTCAAAGCTGCCAGAGCAGTTTTAAGAGGTGAAAGACTACCAGAGATTGAGAACCTGCAGATTGAAGAGGAGGAGCCCGAGGTGCCTATTTCGCCAGCGTCTGCACTGACTCCTGTGGCAAATCCGTTCGCAATGACGGCACCTGCTGCCAATCCCTTTGCGGTAGCGAACCCTTTCTCAGCACCATCTGCGTCGGCAAGTCCATTTGGAGGCGCAAGCAATCCGTTCGCAGCACCCGCTTCCGCCCCGAACCCCTTTGCTTCACCAGCAGGCGCGAACCCCTTCGCTGCCGCCCCAGCACCAAGCAAGCCGAAGAAGGCCCCTCAGCCAAAAGTCACCCCACCAACAACAACTTCAAAACCTGCAGTATCCGCATCAACCCGCTCCTTCGCCGCCATCGCCAAACAAAACATCCCACCACCACCGCCACCAAAACCCCGAGACCCTCCCCTCCCATGGCCAGAAACGGTCCCATCCTACCCCTGTCAATACCTCTTCATCACACCCGAAACCCTCAAATCAGCCCCTCAAAAGGCAAAGGCACCTAAAGACCGGATAGAAGAGTTGGCGAAAGAAGCTGTTGCGGACATGAAGAACGGTGCAGAAGAATGGGGTGGAGAGAAGTATGAAAGTTCGGCTTTGGATAAGGTATTTAAGACATTTACGGAGCGAGTGGCGGAGAACCCTGAGCAGTGTGTACGGTATGAGAGGTCGGGTGCACCACTCTTCTTTTCGTCCAAAGATGCGGTGGGGAAGCAGCTACTCACCGAAGACCGCGCATACAACCCCTCCGCAATCCCAGCATGCCCGCACTGCCGGTCACCGAGAGTTTTCGAGTTGCAAGTTATGCCGCACGCCGTTGCGATCCTGGAAGAGGACGTTATTCTTAACGCTGGATTGGAGTGGTGCGTTATCTTGGTGGCTACGTGTTTGGGAGATTGCTCGCCATCTGGAATGGAGGACGGTGGTGTTGGGTATACGGAGGAGTGGGTGGCAGTTCAATGGGAGTAGTGCTTCTAATTGTACTCTATGGAATTGTCGTGCCGGCCATGTTGACTGGTCCCCACGGTCCGTCGTGCGGCGCGTTCCGGCTACAACCAGCCGCGGCCGGGGTCGATGCACGATTACAAATTCGATCACCTCAACAAACATACCATCCATCCCTCCCTCATCCCATCACCAACACCCAATCAGTCATCATGCCCACCATGAAAGCAGTAGCATTCACCCCCGGCCCCGTCTCCGGCCTCCACATCATCGAACACGAGCGTCCCACAGCAACCGGTCGTGACATCCTCGTCCGCATCAAGGCCATCTCCGTTAACCCCGTCGACACCAAATGCCGTCAAGGCAAATTCCCAGCTGATCCAGTCCTCGGCTGGGATGCTGCCGGAATCGTCGCTGAATGTGGTCCCGAGGTGACGAGGTGGAAGGTTGGCGATGAGGTCATGTATGCCGGCGCGCTTGGTCGCCAGGGAACGAATGCGCAGTTCTCGGTTGTGGATGAGCGGATTGTGGGACGGAAGCCGAAGAATTGGGATTGGGCTGATGCGGCGTCTTTGCCTTTGGTTGGGTTGACTGCTTGGGAATGTATGCTTCACTCCCTCCTTGTATCTTTGATCCATCACACAATGTCCAATGCTAACGAAGAACGATAAACAGTGTTGATCGACCATTTCAACCTCTCCCTCGACAAACCCAACCCCGGAACCCTCCTCATCATCAACGGCGCCGGGGGCGTCGGCACGGCCGCCGCCCAACTTGCTTCCCGCGTCCTCAAAATCCCGCGTGTGATCTCCACAGCCTCCCGCCCCGAAACAATCGCCTGGTGCAAACAAAACGGCGCAACCGACACCATCGACCACCACAAACCCCTGGACACTCAGCTCAAGGAGTTGGGTGTCGAGAATGTCGAGTATAATGCGGTCTTGTATGGGCCTACGCCGGGGTATGTTGAGCAGCTCATCAAGACTGCGGCGCCGAGGGGGAAGATTGGTTCTATCGTCGAGTCGGACGACCCGATTCCGCTTGCAGATGCGTTTAGTAAGGCGTTGTCGTTTTCTTGGGTTTTCATGCTTTCTCGCCCGATGTACAACCACGACCTGGAGTTCCAGGGAGAGGCATTGGACAAGATGGCGACGTTGGCTGAGGAGGGCGTTCTGACTTCGTTCGCGACGGAGAAGTACAAGTTCACCATTGAGAACTTGAGGAAGATTCATCAGTTGTTGGAGAGTGGAAAGGCTATTGGGAAGCAGGTCTTGGTCTTGGAGGACGACGATATCACTGAGGCTTAAGCCTTGAGAATACAGCAGATGTACGAGTAGAAAGCGTCTTCTTGGAATTTTTGGACGAGGGGTATCTGTAAGAATACATAATATAGGATCCTCTAGGTCATCTACGCAGATCCATACTCATGGTTCTTCCTCAAGAAGAAGCCCAAATCTTCAGGGTTGACACCCGGCGTGACTCCATGACCCAAGTTGACAATGTATCCTTGCTTTCCACCACCGAAGCCTTCAACAATTCTCTTGACGGCCTTGTCGATTGCCGCCTTTCCACCGTACAACACATTCGGGTCCATGTTTCCTTGCAGAGTGACACGTCCGTTTGCGATCTTCCTTGCCTCAGCAGGATCATGGGTCCAGTCGAGTCCGACGACATTGTACCCGGAATCGCAGAGAGCCTCAAGAGCGTACCACGCACCCTTTGCAAACACGGTCATAGGCACCCGCTCCTGTCCCAACTCCGCCAACCGCTCCGGAACACGCTTAGAAATCTGTCGGAGGTACGATAACGAGAACTCTGCAAACTCCACCGGACTCAACTCTCCTGCCCACGAATCAAAGACCTGGACCATCTGTGCACCTGCAACGACTTGTTGTGCCAAGAACTCAACTGCCACATCGGTGATGTCCTGCAACAGCTTCTGGGAGTCTTCGGGGTACTTGAACAGCCATGACTTTGCCTTTGTGAAGGTCTTGCTGCCGCCGCCTTCGATCATGTAGGCCATCAATGTCCATGGGGCACCGATGAATCCGAGCAAGGGCACTCGTCCAGCAAGTTTTTGTCGGGTGAGGGTGAGCGCCTCAAACACGTATCCAAGCTCCTTCTTCACATCACACCCCTCCCCAAGTCTCTTCAACTTCGCCACATCCTCCGGCGTATCCAATGGTTCAGGAAAATGTGGTCCCTTCTTCTCGACCATCTCAACAACCATCCCCATCGCCTGCGGAATCACCAAGATATCCGAAAAGATAATTGCGGCGTCGAGATCTTCGTATCGCTCAATAGGCTGGAGGGTGATTGTAGAAGCGATTTCGGGGGTGCGGCACATTTCGAAGAAGTCGTGTCCGGCACGGACTTTGTGGTATTCGGGGAGGTAGCGGCCGGCTTGGCGCATGACCCACATTGGGGGACGTTCGACCTGTTCGCCGCGGGCTGCGCGGAGGATGAGGTCGTTCTGGAGGGGTGGGAAGGTGGCCATTGATGGGGGGATCAAGAGGAGGATGGAGGAGTTGTACTTTGCGGTGTTGAGATCATCGAATATACGTATACGGGTACTTACGAGATATCACGATCGGGCCATGCAAGGTCGGATCGGTGTGCACCCGTCCTTTCTTCAACATACACAGTCAATGATTGATTGCATCTGAATCTCAATAAAAGACATCAAGCTTCAACAGATCAGGCCTTCATGTTCAAGACTGTGTGGTTGCCAACATCACGCATTCTTGTTTACCATCACGCGACAACCCGACCGCGGCCCGAAACTCAAACCCCCATACAAGAAACCTCACCACCAAAATGTCCTCTCTCCAGCCAAAGATCCCTCTCGATGACGCAGCAGATATCCGATACCTCCGCGCAAACCTCACCAAAGCCGTCCGTGACAAACTCGCTACTCACCTCCCGAAAGACAACGCGACGGATCATGAGGATGCGCTACGATCGCGAGTGGAGGAGTTAGTCGGAGAGGTTCGTAATGGATCGGTAGAAGATTTTTTCTTCTGAGGCTGATAAGTTGCGAACAGTTTGTCGCACGAACATTCGGGATGGCAAAGTCGAGCGTAACGATTAACGGCATGGATGCATCGGACGACAAAACACTCGACCCAGATACGGGCGCAGATCGTACGCTTCCCGTCCTGTCTCTTCAGAAGAGTCTGACTAACCGAAGGTACCTACAGATTTTGAACCGTATGATCCATCCCTACACACCCGCGTCCAAAAACTCCAAGAACAGCTCGAAGTGGAAACCCTCAAAGTCACGCAACTCCGTCGTGACGCACCCCGAAGAGCCGCCGAAGCACAACGCGCTGCACTGTCAGCTTTAGAGGCCGAGACGGAAGTCAACGGGGATGATGAGGTTGCGATGGAAGAGGATGTCACGTTGGAAGCTCTTGCGCGGGAAGAAGACGTTAAGCATGATTATGAAGAGGCCATGCAGACATTGAAGGAGTTGAAGAAGTCTATCCCGATGACTACGGCGAAGTTGGAGAGAGCGAAGGATGTCATTGCTTATCTCGAGAAAAAGAAGGCGCAGGCATGAGAAGTAGTATTGGAAGGGAACGAAATGAAACAATGGGGTTTGGGGAAACGGGACGGGAGTTATAGGGTTTGGTTCGGCGCATGGTTCTTGAGTATTCGTAATATTTGCTTAATCTCGCTTCATCTTCTTATCCAAGAAAAAGTTAAACGCATTTTGCTTCTTCCCGAGTTATGTAGTCAAAACCCTACACTCATACACGCACTCCTCCCCCATCCTTGCCCCTTTACCGAAACCAGCAACCACTTACTTCAAGTACTGAGGGTCATTCCACGGTCCAGCATCGCTCATCGCACAATTACCACCACGGTCCGCACAATCGCACTTTCCACCAAATTGCTTCGGCAAGTTCTCCGCCGGGATCTGGGCAAGGAGCTCAGACTGGTACGAAGAACCGAGGATGTTGATTTTAGCGACGGTAGCGGGGTCGAGGAGCTTTGCGACCATTTTCCAGGCGCCGGAGAAACCCCAGGGGGCGTTGATAAGGACTATGTCATGGTCATGTTAGTTCTGAGATGACAACAAGGGAGAGTGGGGGGGAAGACATACACATCTTGCCGAGACGCTCGGGGTAGTAGTCACTGGAGATCTGGGAAGCTTGCTTGACGTATCCGTACACGGAGGAGATGGAGGTGATTCCGACGCCCTTCAAGTCGAGGATGGTGCAAGAAGTCTCGATGAGCTTTCCGGCTTTTCGGGAGCATGCGGGCTGTAAAAAACTATGTCAGTCCCGGTCGAGTTAATAGGGAGGACAAGTTCTTTACGAGACGGGGGTCAACGAATTTCTCGTATTCGTAGACGAGGTTTTGCATCATGCGTTCTTGGGTGGTGATCTCGTACATCTTCTTCAAGTCGATACCGCCGAGCTGCTCAATGTATACCGGACGTCCATCCTGTACAAAAGTTCGTCAACCTCTTTCCATTATCGTCAGACACGGAACTTCCGCACCTTATCCGTCTTGTGGTAGTATTGAGGGTAATACTTCGACACGGCCTCTTTCTCCGGATACTGAAAGTTCTTCGCAATCTCATCAACACCGAACTCCCTCCTCCACTTCTCGCAGTTTAGGAACATCTCCTTTGCGAGGTTGATGTCCCATTTGCGAGCGCGGAGGAAGCGGCACATGGAGGGGTCATCGAGGCGTTCGGTGCACCCGGCTTGTTGGAGGGCTGCTCGGAGTTGGACGACCTTGGATTCTTGCTCGGAGGTGAGGTGGCCTAGGGAGGAGAGGGGGTGTTAATTGATTGCGTATGGGGTGGGGGACCTTGGGGGTAGGAGGAATACCTGGGTGCCCCTGAGGTGCTTCGGGGTTGGTTGATGGGTAGTCGAGAGTGGTCTGTACGTGAATCCATGAGCGACTGAATCGACACAATTACGGAGGTACGCACACTCATTGCAATTGAGAATGAGATTGGTATTGGGGTTGTTGTTTTCTCCCGTTCGAATTCAGATGCACGCATGACGCTGGCACGCCACGGCAGCGAGACGGCACAGAGGCAAACCTTATCCAGTCAGAGCGACAATGAGGCAATGGACAATTGAGTAACTTCGAAAGCCAAACCTTCCGCGCTTCGACAGAACCCTTTCCACTCCAATTTACCACTTCCTTAATAGCAGAGTTTCCTGTCGCGGCAGACGTTCCCAGCTGCGGCACTCGCCACACGGGGTCCAAAAATACGGTCGTCCATCCAAACACAACACCATCCAGCAACCAGCTATTCAACATGCCAGGTCGAATCAAGTCCAAGAAAACCGCTCACTCAAAGACGCCATACTCCCGCCCCACCGCAAAACCCCCAACCAAACGCTCCAAACCCAGCGCAGCAACAAAACACGCAAACGACGTCCTCCGCGACGAACTCGACTCCATCTTCGCTACCGAGCAATCCGATCTCCGTGGCGTCTCGGTGGAAAAAAAGGATACGAGAGGTTTAGTGGAGTTAACGCGGAACCAGGAAAGGGAGAGGAAGATCAAGGAACAGCAGGATTTGGAGGATATGTTGAGTCTTATGGAGGGTGGGTTTGGGAAGGCTGCGGATTTGGGGACTCCGGTTGCGAAGAGGCCGGTGAGGACGGCCGTCTCCATTCCTGCGGCTTTGTTGCCAGCCAAGGCTGCACCGGCAGCAGTGGCATCGGTCTTTGCGAAGAAAACCGACTCCGATTCAGATGAGGAGCTTTGACTCTCTGGTCTGGAAGAGTACGCCGACCAAACCGCCGCTGAATACGACAAACTACACACCAAAGGCACACACCGCACCGAACGACGGAATGCAAAGCGTCAAGGTCATATTGCGCATACCGGACGAATCTCAAAGAACGCCAACACCGTCACCAAACCAAAGCAGAAAACAAAGGCCACAACTGCAACGTCGACGGCTGGACCGAAGACCAAGCCAAACCCCGCATCATCACTCCCACCACGAATCATGAAAGGAAAACTCGAGCGTCAGTTTAAAGAAATCATCGACCGGCTTTAATCCTCTCGCCCCTTTTCTCACCCACGAAGCCTCTGCGGTCACCCCCCAACCTGCGACGGAACCAGTTATCTTTTAGCGTTCTGGCAACTACATCGCACCATTAGTATAGAACCAAGGAAAGGAGTTGAAGAAGAGAAGGAGAACGCACGTTTATCCATACCCGCCTGCTTCTCGTCCCCAGATAGGATCGAGGCAAGGACCGATACACACTGTAGTAACCGACTAGCGGTATCAGTGATATTCTGCGCAGAATCAATATCGAGTCTCAAACTCGAAAAGACCCCTGTATCCTCGCGATCAATTAGCCCCTCGTTCGTTCCCATCCTCCCTAGGAATACGCACCATGTAGCCTCTCAAACACCTTCTGATTCGGCAGAATAACCACATCCCTAAACTCCATCAATGCAATCCTCCTGATATCAATTTCCCCCCTCTCAGCCCCCCACACCATCTCACTCCCCCTCTCACTCAACACACTCCCGACACCCTTCCACTCTTTCTGTAACGGCAAAAACACGGCCTCGAGATAGGGTAACACCCGTCCAAAAAAGAATTCCCACACCTCGACGAGGCGGGGGATGAGTCGTTCGGGGGGGAGGGAGGAGGATGTGAGAGGCGGTTGGTTGAGGGATGTCATACCCACCTCCAGTAAGTCATGGAGGTCGTCGAGGAGGGTGTACGTGGTGTTATCCCCCACACACCTCCTAATATGCGAAATCATCAACTTATTCAAATCCTCAACCGGTACCCTCAACCCCTCGCCACTAAACAACGGCAGCACCCGGGCACTGAGCAAAGGCCACACATCGGATGTGAGCCAGGAGTCGTAGGTGGAGGAGGTTGCGTGTGCGGATGCTGAGCGGATATCGAGCGTGGAAATTGATTTCTGGAGTTGGAGGGGTCCGAACATACTACTCGATGGCGAATTAGGAAGGGCCCCGCCGCCGCCCAAGGTATCGAGACTGGGACGGCCCAGGAGATCGAGAGAGGGGCGGTGAGAGGAGATGATACTGTGTGCGGAACTCAGGAGGGATGGATTCGAGTCTTTTCGGGTTCTCAGGAGAGGATTCCGGGATTTTTGGGGAGGGGCTGTGGGTGCGAGGGGGAGGATGGGTGGAGAGGGTGCGGCGCCGGGGGATGGGGTGTTGACTGTACTTGCGTAGAGGGATCCTGGTGGTCCATACTCGGGTGTGTGCGCAGTGCTCGCGTCTGAATCGTGTCGATGTAGATGGTGAATATGCAATGGCCCCAAACTATGCGAATGCCCCCCACCATGGCCACCTCCACTACTCCCTCCCCGAGAAAAGATCGGGCTGGTGGGTGATTTAGCCTGACTCATCGTATGTGCTAGCCCATGCGCCGCATTCGTCACGATCTTACTCGGTCGACTGAACAACTTTTGTTTCGTACTCGCTGATTTCGTGGGACTGGAGCGGTTTTCGAGGGTTGGGAGGATTGGAGGGAGGGTGATTGGTGGTGATTGGGGGAGACGGGAGGCGGTTGTGGAAGGGGTTGAGGTGAAGTAGCCCGGAACGCCGGTGACGCTGGATGAACGCTTCCGGTATGCTTCGGAGTCTGCGGCGGAGAGGTTGAATAGGGGTGGTGCGGTTGGTTTCTGCTGGTCTCCCCGGGAACCATAATGCGGCGGATGTCTATCCCGGCTGTGACCATTACCTCCTGAAGGAGTTGTTCGTGCCGCTGTCGGCGTTGTGGTAGGCGTGTTGGCCGACTGAGGAGCAACCTGAGGAGTCGTTGTAACATCCCGAATTCTCTCCGTCGTCTGTCCAAAGGAGTCGTTGGAAGAAACAGACGAATCGGACATCTCACCGAATTCCTGCTCTGCCACCTCCGGTAGAAGCTCTGAACCAGGCATGTCGGCGGGAGCACTTGTCGTCCGCGAAGCCGATCGCATCATCTTCTTAGGAGGAGGTGTTGTCTACGTTACATTGCGTATTGCATGAGAGTGCATGACCCTTACTAAGCCTGTCATAAGGGTCGCCTCCACTCAACTCCTCTATATATTCCCCGTCCATTAACCTCCTCGATCCATCATCCTCCCTCCATTCTATCATATCACCATGATAGCAACACAAACAGCACCACAGCTTCCCCAACCCTCACAGAAGGTAATGGAGGAGTTACCCGAAGTCCAATCCGACAAACCAACCGACGCAAACGAACACTGCCCCGGCACCGAATCCGAACAAGCCGGTAAATCAGCCGCCTGTGACCGCTGCCCCAACCAACAAATCTGTGCCTCCGCCCCGAAATTCGATCCCGACCTCCCGATAATCGAGGAGAGACTCCGTGACGTCCGGCACAAGATCTTGGTGTTGAGTGGGAAGGGTGGGGTGGGGAAGAGTACGTTTACGTCGCAGTTGAGCTGGAGTTTAGCGCATGATCCGGATGCTCAAGTCGGTGTTATGGATATCGATATCTGTGGGCCGTCGATTCCCAAGATCATGGGTTGTGAAGGCGAGACGATTCATACTTCGGGGTCGGGGTGGTCACCAGTCTACGTCGCTGATAACCTAGGCGTCATGTCAATCGGCTTCATGCTCCCAAACCCAGACGACGCAATCATCTGGCGCGGGCCCAAGAAAAATGGATTAATCAAACAATTTTTGAAGGATGTCGAATGGGGCCCACTGGACTTTTTGGTGGTCGATACCCCGCCTGGGACAAGTGATGAACATTTGAGTATCTCGCAATACCTCAAGGCTTCGGGGATCGATGGTGCGGTGGTCGTGACGACGCCACAAGAAGTCGCACTCCTCGACGTCCGTAAAGAAATCGATTTTTGCCGCAAAGCCGATATTCCCGTCCTCGGAATCGTCGAGAACATGTCCGGATTCGTATGTCCCTCCTGCTCGGGCGAATCATACATCTTTGCCCCGACAACCGGAGGTGGGCGTGCGTTGGCCGAGGATATGGGCGTGGATTTCTTGGGTGCGGTACCGCTTGATCCGAGGATTGGGAAGGCGTGTGATTATGGACAGAGCTTTTTGGATGAGTATCCGGAAAGTCCGGCGAGCGAGGCGTTGATGGGGATTATCAGAAAGATTAGGGAGAAGATTGGGGAGCCGTTGGAGGAGGAAGAGTGATGATGAGGATTTGGTATACCTGCACTTGTTATTTATGGGCAATAGGCGTTTTCGGTCTGTTTCGTATTGTAATGCACTTCCAGGACTTTAAAAATAGATTTTGTTCGCCCTAAGGTACACGGATTTAATACCGCTTCGAAGTCTTCTGCGCAAACCTCGCCAACGCCGGTCCCTCCTTCTTCTCCTCCACAACCTCCCCCCTATCTCTCCTAACCCTTTCCGCCCTCATCTGCTTCTCCTTCACCAACGCCGCCTCGACCCTCACTCTCCGGTCATCAATGACGTTCTTGGCTTTAGACCTCAAATACTTCCTCATCGCCGAGTTCTTTCCCCTAACCTTGGGCTTGGGTACCCATTTCTCTTCTTCGGCTTTCTTTGCCGCAGCTTCTTGTTCTTGGAGTGCGCGACGGTCGGGGGCGGAGGTGCGGTCGAGGGTTCCAATGAAGGAGGTGTCGAGGGCGATCATGGATGGTTGGATCTTTTCCATGAGCATACGAACCTCGGTTTCGCGGCGCTGATCGACAGTCTCGTATGGGTTCAGCTCGTATGCGTCGTAGTTTGGTTCTCCGGATCCGGGAACGACGATGGAGGAGAATCCACCAGAGTGTCCGAATCCGAGGACATCATCGAAAGGACAGAATCTCGCGTCAGCGATATGTTCGCCTGCGGCGAGGTGTGTCATATATGGTGACTGCTGCTTAACTCTCAATGCATCCTTCCAGATTGTCATGTGCGGGCCCCATCCTACAGCCAACAATCCACGATCCGAGATGTTGATCGTTGAGGGTGGTGTTGGGGTGTAGTACGAATGCACCTCCTTGTACATCCTCAAATCCCAGATCCGTAGCCGTCCTTCCGCTCCACCCGTCGCCATGTATTTCCCACTCCGATCAATCGCCATCGAGCGCACGGGACCGGCATGCGCTTGGAGTTTAACGAGTGGTGTGGACATTGTCGGCGCCCAGAGCGTTACGGTTCCATTTGCGTGCCCGATGTGGATGGCTGCGTTTTGTTGGTTTTGTGTCATGCATGCTGGTTGACCAAGTTTGGTTCGTAGCTCTGCGACGAGGTTTCCGGTAGATGTGTCTTGGTATTTGAGCCATCCTGCGTTTCCTACTGTTGCGAGCAGGAAATGGTAGGGGAGGAACTCCATGTGTTGGACCTCAATGTGGTTTTTCAGGCGGTGGAGTTCCATTCCGGTTCGGTCGTAGATGAAGACGTGTTTCTTCTGTGCGACAGCGTACATGGACTCGTTGTGCAACCACTTCACGTCTCGTACGGTTTCGTTGAGCTGGATTTCAGAGTGAAGCTTTCCCTCGCGCCAGTCGAAGGAAGCGACATGTCCTTTCCTACCTCCAATGAGAAGGTGTCGTCCATTGCGGGTGTAGTCGATCGCATATGGTCCGAAAGCAGGGAGCTTCAAGTCAAACGATTTCTGCGCAGTCGCGACATCGACTTCTTGTCGCAGCTGATCCTGCCTGAACTTGTATGTCCGCTCCATCCCTTCCGCCTCGAGCACACCTTCCTCCTCCTGTAGCAGCAACTCCGAGTCCGCGGCCTTGTATGCAGCATCATGAAATCTGTGCTCCACCTTCTTCATATTCGTCCTCAACTTCTTGTCTTTGATTCCCTTCGTCTTGACCCGCTCTCCGCGCTCGTACTTGGGCATGACCGTCAACGACGGGTCCACAGGAGCCTTCTTCGATGATCCATTGGCCATTTTGACAGAATGCAATGGTGTTTGCCTTCTCTGTCCTCGACTGTCCAATTCCCAAAATTCTGGCCCCGGGTCTGCATGAGGCTGAGGTGGCACCTACCGTATCGATTGAGGAAAAAGTCGAAACTCCGCGACGAGGGCGGCGAAAGGGAATTCGTTGAATCACGTTGAATTACGCCGTTTGATCCATTATCAATATGGCAGGAGCTGAATCAGGCGGTCATCATCACCGTACGTCCCTGAAGTCGAAGAAGCCGTTCAAGTCGAGGCATTCGTCAAAGAGTTCGGTGAAGGATAAGCTCAAGGGAAAGGTTGAGCGTCCTACAGACGGCGCAAAGCCGAAGAAGCATACCTCGACCAAAGCAGATCGTCGTAATGCTGCGAAGCAGGTTCAGGCGAAGAAGCGTGAGGAGACGATCAGAAATAACCGCATTTTCGACGGACGTCGTGGTGCACCTAGGATTGTTGCGATAGTGCCGTTGTGTGCTGATGTCGATGGTGTTACTGTCGTCAAGAACTTGAATGCGTCGATTGAGCAGGATGTGGAAGTGAAAGAGGGGTTGGTCAACGTCCAGGCCGAGCGATTTAAGCAGAAGCTTCAGTACATCGTCGTCGACCGCGACTACGTCTCCATTGTCGACGCCTGCAAGGCTGCCGATTTCACCGTTTTCATTCTTTCCGCCAACCAGGAAGTCGACGAGTTCGGAGAGCTTTGCCTTCGTTCTATTCAGTCTCAGGGTATCTCCAACGTCGTCACCGTCGTTCAGCACCTCGACACCGTTGATGGTATTAAGACCAAGGCTGATGTCAAGAAGTCCTTGTTGAGTTTCATTTCCTACTTCTTCCCTACCGAAGAGAAGGTTCACGCTATCGACTCCGCCGCTGAGGCGCTCAACGTCGTCCGCGCTCTCTGCACCCAACACCCATCCGGCATCAACTGGCGTGAGAACAGATCTTATGTCTTGGCTGAGTCCGTGACCTACGAGGAGGAAGGTAACAACGTGGTCGTGGAAGGAATCGTTCGTGGAAAGGGCCTGAACGTCGACAGACTGGTGCATATTCAGGGCTGGGGTGACTACCAAATCGAAAAGATCTGCTCAGTACCCGAAGAGAACAAGAAGGGACGCGGAATGGATGTGGATATGGAGGAGGCGAACAACGTTCTTGCTGTGCCGACTGAGGAGCAGGACTCCACTGAGGCTTTGGCACCTGAAGAGGAGGATGATGAGGAGATGGAGATGGACTCTGGTGTTGAGGGTGCTGCTCAGCCTAAGGGTGTGAGATTGGATGACCACTACTATTTCGACAAGGAGGAGGAGCCGGTGAAGAATATTAAGCTGCCTAAGGGTACCTCAAAATACCAGGCAGAATGGATCACGGAGGAGGGTTCCGATGCTGAGTCTTCCGATGAGGAGGACGAGGATGATGAGGAAATGGACAATGGAGAGGAGGAGGATGAGGGCTTTGACGAGCCGCGCCGTGGTATCTCTTTCGCTACTCAGTCTGAGTATGCACCAACAGAGTTCGGTGATGACGAGATGCACGTCGACCTTGACCCTGAAGAGGAGATGGCTCAGCTCGAGGCATACCGCCAAGCGCAGCGCGAGCGTTCCGATGACTTGGAGTTTCCCGATGAGGTCGAGGCACCACCAGACATGCCCGCCTCCGAACGTTTCAAGAAGTACCGTGGAATGAAGTCCTTCCGCACTTCCCCATGGGACGCCGACGAGTCTGACCCCAATGCACCAGCCGAGTGGAAGCGCCTGGCAAGGTTCGAGAACTACAAGGCGACGAAGAACAGGGTTATCAAGCAGGGACAGTTCGGCGGTGTCGCGGCTGGTACGCGCGTCCAGATTTACCTTCGTGATTGCCCTCGTGAAATCGCTGAAAAGTACGATGGATCTAAGCCATTCCTTTTGACGAGCTTGTTGCAGTATGAGCACAAGACTACTGTCTTGAACTTCCAGGTTACGCCCAATACCGAGTACAACGAGCCCATCAAGGCAAAGGATCCGCTTATCTTGCAGTGCGGTGCGAGACGGTATGTCGTCAAGCCCTTGTACTCTCAGTTCGGTAACTCGTCAAACAATGTTGCCAAGTTTGAGAGATACTTGCACCCTGGCCGTACCTCCGTCGCTACCGTGATCGGTCCCGCAGTCTTCGGAAACGTCCCTGTCCTCCTTCTCCGTGAGACCCCCAATGGCCTTAAGCTCGTCGCTTCCGGTTCCTTCTTGGACACCGACCACCGCCGTGTTATCGCCAAGCGTATCGTCCTCACTGGTATCCCATACAAGATCCACAAGCGTGTCGTCACTATCCGATACATGTTCTTCAGCGATCACGACGTTAACTGGTTCAAGGCGATCCAGCTGTTTACCAAGTACGGAAAGACTGGATACATCAAGGAAAGTTTGGGTACGCACGGTTACTTCAAGGCGACGTTCGATGCAAAGATCAACCAGCAGGATACTATTGGTATGTCGTTGTACAAGAGAGTTTTCCCTAGGATGGTGGAGAACTGGAGAGCGGAGGCTTAGATATATTGCTTTTTACGGTAGTTTTTGGATATCAAGGGAATCATGGAATCGTCATTTAATCATCACCCTCATCGGTCGCAATTATGTTCGGGGCCTCGATTCCGAGTCTGTAGAAGCTAGTGAGAAATGGGTATGAGAGAATACAACGGTATGATGATAATGAATGATATATTGAGCGTTGAATGCTCGTGGTGGCGTCTGCAGGCCAGTTGAAGGCCATGATATGTATGGACCAAATGAATAGAAAAGAAATGAATAACCCCAACACCCCTTAAGCCCTCGTCTCGAGCGTCTTGTCCAAAAGCTCCTTCTCAGACTGACCCAAACCCTCCTCCGTAACCTTCCTGATATCCTTTCCCCTCTTTTTCAACACATTCTCAATGAACTTCTCTCCGGCCTTATACGAACTCCTGACCAAAGGTCCAGAAGCGACGTACAAGAAACCCAACTCCTCCGCAACCTTCTGCCAGTGCGTGAACTTCTCCGGCGTGACATACTCATGGACCTTCATGTGCTTCTTCGTTGGTCGCATGTACTGTCCGAATGTAACGACGTCAACATTGACCTTTCTCAACTCCTTCAACGCCGCAAGGACCTGCTCATCATTCTCCCCAACACCAAGCATCATACTCGTCTTCGTAATCAACGTCGGCACAGTCTTCTTCGCATGCTCCAACGCTCTCAAACTCTGCCTAAACGTCGCTCGACGATCTCTGACAAAGGGCGTCAACTCCTCCACCGTCTCGATGTTGTGTGCGTACACATCCAACCCACTCTGTGCTACACGCGCAGTCTGCGTCAAGTCACCCGCGAAATCACCCGTCAAGGCCTCGACGAGGATATGCGGCGCACGTTGCTTGATCTTCATGATCGTCTCTGCGAAATGCGCAGAGCCTCCATCCGCCAGATCATCTCGATCTACCGACGTCAGAACGACATATCCCAAACCCCAACGCCTAATCGCCTCCGCAGTATGTTCCGGCTCATGCGGATCCAGCGGTGCCGGCGCCTTCGAAGTCTTGACGGAACAGAATCGACACCCACGCGTACACGTATCACCCATCAACATAATCGTCGCCGTAGCAGCGGCTTTATCCGATCCACCCCAACAATCACCAATATTCGGACATCGTGCCTCCTCACACACAGTATGCAGTTTAAGACCTCGCAAATCACGCTTGATCTTGTTGAAGTTGGTACCGAGTGGAACGGAGGTTTTGAGCCATGGAGGGAGACGCTTGACTTGTGTTGAGGTTGGGGGCTCGTTGGCGAGTTCTAGTGATTCTTCGGTGGTGATTTTCGATTGGAGGAAATCTGTGAAAGATGGGCCGCTTGCGAGTTTCTCGGAGATCTTTGACTTGGTAGATGCGGCAGCGGCCGCGTCGGGTGCCGAAGTTGTGGAGGCGAGAGATCGAGAATGCTGTTCGATGGGGTCAGTCAACGGAGTTGCGTCATGTGGAACCAAATGAACCTTCAACAGAGCCTCGCACTCCCTCCCAATAACTCTCTTTGTCGATACAGCAAACATATTGATTGTCTGGTCCGTCAAGGATGTGGTTCAGGGTTCAAATGAGTCGCCGTTACTCGGTGGTGTGGCGAGTATTTGTGGCCCACCTTCCAAAAATAGTTTCAAAATTCATACGTGCTTCGGAACCGACCGGCCGCGCGCAGAACACCTGGGGGCGACGGCTGCGGGCGTGGGGATTCTCTATTTTAGGATACCGTAGCTATAGCTTGACGCCATGGTAAATGGTAGACAGCTTAATGAAAATGCACATCATTCCCATGAAACGCTTTCGCAACCGTCGCCAAAATCCTCGCCTGCTGACTAACCTCCCCCAACCTCCCAACCACAAACCGATTCCCATCAACAAACTCCATCTCCTTAAACTCGATCCCGACTTCGCCACAGAACTCTTTGACCAATTGTTGAACGGCTCGTAGATTGTGACGAGGGACGCGGGGGAAGAGGTGGTGGACTGCCTGGAATTGGAGACCGCCGTGGATGAAGTCGAGCCAGGCGGGGCAGGAGACGTCCATTGTTGTGCGGAGTTGGCGTTGGGGGAAAGATTCGCTGAGGCCGAGGTCGGCTGTGCTCATGGCGAAGTGGGATAGTGTGATTTGAACGTGGAGTGGCATCGTCACGATATGCGAGATCAGGATATAAGCGATCCTCGTTCCCCAGGTCGGAACGGACTTAAGAAGACAATAGCCGTACCAGTACCAGAACACACAGATTCCGAACATTTCGATATATCTGAACGGAACTGCCTTGCCCTTCTTAGGACCCCGGTTCATGATGAGGTAGTCGTAGGACAACCGGTAAAGGTTAAACCGTCCGAAACAGAGAATAGGGTAATACGAATACCTCTGAATCCGAATGAAGAATCTCGCAGCTGCATCATACTCCATAACCCTATCATAATACGTCGACCGAACCCCTTCCAACAACTTTGCCGTGACTGCGAAGAGTGGCATGTGTTGGATATCTGGGTCATGCTCGGGGTGATTGGTGACGATGTGGTGGACGTTGTGGTTTGTTTTCCACCAGCCGAGACTTAGACCACCAATGAAATCGGCGACGAGAATACCGATGAGGTTGTCGAGGGTGTAGTCGTGTGTGATACTAAGGTGTCCGGCATCATGCGCGACAAACGTCAATTGATGCCAGAACAATCCGAGGAAGAGGGCGGAGGTAAGGTACCAGGCATGGTGGAGTGTATAGAGCGCAACGGCGAGCAGGATTGAGTACCGAATACATTCCCGACCGTAAGCGGCGTAGTTGCAGTCGTAGTATCCTTCTTTCTCCAGTCGTTCGTGGAGTTCGCGGTATTTGTGAGCGATGTGCTGTTGCGTTGAGGGTTCGAGTGATGGGTAATTTGCGAGATCGTTTTCGATTGCTTCTTGAACTGGGTTTGGCAGGGAAGGCATTGCGTTAACAGCGGGCGTCGGCGGCATCCCTGAATCTGCTCTCAACATTGAGACTCGTGGCCGAAGTCCCTGCTCTTGTAACTCCTCTCCATTATCCGAGGCATTCGATGACGCGCTCGAACTGTCGAGCACAACCCCTTCATCTTCCTCCCCATACTGCCCACCCTGAATTGGCGGAACCATACTCTTCCACACACCCTCGACTCTCCCCACAATAAATGCTCGCATCCGCTTCTTTGTTTCGTCACAATGGTATGCATTTATTTCATCCGTCGCGTCTCGACCGACCATATGTAAGATTGACTTCTCACCACCGGGGTGGAGGGACATCCATGAATTGAGCTTTAGGACGAGGTTATCGTAGATTACGACGACTTCGCCCTTGCCGATGCGTTTTGCAACATCATGTCTGGTAAGAACTGCAACGTCCTTTGCCATTGCAGCTGTTCAAGTACAAACAACCGGGTGTATGCTGGTCAATTGCAATTGGTGGTCGAGGGGGTGCTGTCGAGGGGATTTCGGATACGGAACGCGGGCAATCGGTGCAGTGTTTAGTCCTGCGTGTCTAATGCGCGTACGCGCGGGAACTCTCCTGGTGGCAAATGAGATGGCCCTTGGGAACTGGAGAACGGGGGAGAGATTGAGTGAGCATAGTGTGAATGCAATTGAGAGCCCTTTCCTTCTGACGGTTAGAACTCCGACCAAGGCTTGATATCCACTCGAGCTCGCTACATGATCCTCAGACGCTCATCCCGAAGGACGTTCCGGCTTGTAGTCAGGTCTACTGCTTAACCGTGCGTCTTGGCGGCTCGCCCCACGTTTACATGCGACTGCGCATTCTCCACCAGACACTGATCGCAGCATACACCCACCCTAACCGCCAGATCACCCTTGATCAACCATGTCCTACAACGGCTACGAAAATAACTACGGCTACAATAACCAAGGAAACTCCTACGGTCCACCTCCTCCAGGCGGTGGCTGGGGTGGTCCTCCACCTGGGCCTCCCCCTCCCGGAGGGCCACGTTCAAATTACGGCCCTCCTGGTGGTCCCCCCCCAATGCATACTCGACCTGGGTATGAATCGAATGGACCAAGTTATGGGAACCCTCCTCCGAGTGGGAACCCGCCGCATGGGGGACATATGTCGTCCTACAATCCTGAACCGTATGCGCCGAGTCAGGCGTACCAGGGTGGTGGACAGGGATACCTGCCGCCGACGGGACCTCCGCCTCATCCGGAGCAGTTGCACCATTTTAGGCCGCCGTCAGGTATAGTATTCGGAATCTGCGTTTGGTGATACCGATGTGGACTGACGAAAGCTATAGGTCAACTCCCGAATGCGTACAACAACAGCTACAACGAAGGCAACTACCGCGCTCCCCCTCCTCCGCCGACGCAAGCTCAGGCGTTCGGACATGGAGCTACGCAGGGGTACAACTACCAGTACTCCAACTGTCAGGGAAAGAAAAGGGCATTGTTCATCGGTATCAACTATTTCGGGTCGAGCAGTGAGTTGAAGGGGTGTATTAATGGTGAGTTTCTTTGTCCGCGTATAAATTGCTGCTGACTAGGCGAATTACAGATGTCAGGAATTTGTCGAGTTTCTTGGTCGAGAGATATGGATTTAAGTGGGAGGATATGGTCATTTTGACGGATGACCAGTCCAACCCAAGGAGTGTCCCGTTGAGGCAGAATATCATCAATGCGATGCAATGGCTTGTTTCGGGCGCTCAGCCGAATGTACAGGTATTATGTCGCGACCCATGGACGCGTGCTGACATATCTCTGTACAGGACAATCTTTTCTTCCACTACTCCGGCCATGGAGGACAGACTGAAGACCTCGACGGTGATGAAGATGATGGTTTTGATGAGGTCATTTACCCACTTGATTTCAAGCAGAATGGACACATCGTCGATGATGAGATTCATTTCAGGATGGTAATGCCCTTGCCGGCTGGATGTCGATTGACGGCCATCTTCGATTCGTGCCATTCGGGAAGTGTGTTGGATCTTCCATACCTCTACGTATGTTTGCCGCTGCATTCACTTTTTCGGGCTTGTGAAGATGCTAACTGTGACGCATGTAGTCTACGAACGGTACCCTCAAAGAACCCAACCTCGCCAAGGAAGCCGGACAAGGCCTCCTCAGCGCAGGCATGTCCTACCTCCGCGGCGACATCGGCGGTATGGTCTCCGGCGTCTCCTCCCTCTTCAAAAACGTAACCGGCTCAAACTCCTCCGCCACCGAAATATCCCGCCGCACAAAGACCTCCCCCGCAGACGTCATCCAACTATCCGGCTGCAAAGACAACCAAACATCCGCTGACGCCTCTGAGGGCGGACAAGCTACCGGCGCGATGAGTTGGGCGTTCAGGGAGGTGATGTTGAAGAACCCGCAGCAGAGTTATTTGAGTTTGTTGCAGTGTTTGAGAGAGGAGTTGAAGGGGAAGTATCAGCAGAAGCCGCAGTTGTCGTGTAGTCATCCATTGGATATGAATTTGTTGTTCATTATCTAGGCTGCAGGAATAGTATAGGATAGGCAATACGTAATGTGAACGAGCAACTATCTCTACGTAGGGTTCTCTATTTGCCAGCTGAGCACCGGCATCGCCAGACCCTGCCGTTTCGACGGCTGCGCGCGGTAATGACATCACCGGTACCCACGGCCCGAGCATACACCCCATACAAAACCACCTTCTGGCCAAACAGCATACATCTCCAGCAAACATACAGTCACCGTCACAAGAATGTCCTATCCACCAGCACAGCAGGGACTCGAAATCGACTCTCTCAACGACCCCGTCGCGCAAGCCGGCAAGGCGGACGTCGTCACCATGCCACTTGACACCACAGGCCCTTCTCTCGCGGACTACCATACCGGTCGTCCTTTGGACACGGAGAACATTGACTTGTCTCTGCCGCCGGCTACGAAGCCCATTGTTGATCCAAACCCTACGGCGGGACTGGAGCCTGTTGGCGGTGTGAGTGAGGTGGATGTGTTGAACAGGGAGTTCCAGGACGCTACTTTCCGCGCTGCGAATATCCAAGACCTCTCCGAAGCAGATTGGTAAGTTACCTTCTTATCCCCTCTTCCCGTAGCCTTGTTGACGCTCGAGCAGCGTCGAACTCTGGGTCCTCCACAAGATTGGGTCAGGCGACACAACCGAACCTCACCACGGCAAGCTTCCCATCCAGCTCGATCTCTTTCCCTCCGAAGAGAAGATCAAATGGAGGGCGTGGTCGAAGGTCAAGAATGATACCTCGAGGGAGAAGGCGATGAGGGAGTATGTGTTGTTGGTTCAGAGGTTGGAGGGCGACAGGAGGAAGTAGATGAGCTATGGAGATGTGAGGTGTACGATAGAAGGTATAGGAATAGTAATGTTTTTTTTCAAACTTCTCTTAGCGACTACTCTATCACTCCTTCTACAGCGCTTCAGTTGGATCCGGATGTGTAACCTTGCTATTGGAACGCACTGCGCCGACCCCAAAAATTCCCACGCACAAGACTCAACCTCGAGCAGCTACCATTCACATCGTAAGTGCTTTGCATCATGAGAGCAAAAGGATCCGTTTTTAGTTGTACAAAAGCAACTCCAATTGTCATCTAATAAATCTTGAGGTATCAATAAATCGCTACACCGTACCCAGTATGAAAGTATAAACTCCAGAACACGACACAAGAAAGCTTAAGTCGGATTCAAATTAAGCAAAGAGCTTCTGCATCAACTGCTGCTGCTCAACAGTCAAGCTCGATACCAATGCGGAAGCATCAGGGGTGGTGCTCATCAACTGCTTGGTAGCACCGACGACACGCTCCTTAACCTTCTCAGTCATGATAGCAGCCTCCAAACCCTCGACGATGGCCTTGAATACTACGGGGACCTGAGAGGTGACGGCAGGGTGGTTCTGCTCGATCAACTCGGAGAGGAAAGAGTAAGCATAAGGAGCCTCCTCGTCATCGCAGATGATGGGCAGAGTCTGGATCCAAGCAACGACGGTCTGGTCCAAGTTCTGGACCTTGCTTGAGTTGAATCTCAAAATCTTGGCGATAGCAGCGCATGCATTCTCAGTAGCGTAGATGTTCTCATCATCACGGGCACCTGCGATCTGGATGCACTGGAACAACGCAGGCAAAGCAGCAGCGCAGAAGTCAGCGTAGGCCTCACCACCGAATTGGGCAGCAGCACCGACACCGTAGGTAGAGGCCTGACGAACCTCAGGCGCGGGGTCAGTAAGACCTTTGCCCAGAGGCTCGAGGAAGGTGCTGCTGTAACGCAAGGACTCGGGACCGCAGAACTCGATCAAGTCGTCGATGCAACCAACACCCCATTGACGGCTGGATTGCTCGGGGTGGTTCAAGAAGGCACCGATGTAAGGCAACAGACGCTCCCAGTGAGGAAGGAAAGCGGTGTTGATGGTCTTGAAGGTCATGTGGAATGCCTTGCTCATCTCAGCCAACATAGCCTCATCATCCTCCATCTCCATCATGACGTCGTCGTCCTCCTCGATGTCGACATCACCGGAGTGTGCAGCCTCAGCGCGAGCCTCAGTACGCTTACCGTAGTCCTGAATCTGCGACTCAGAAGCAGTGATGAAGGCAGCCAACTGTTCAGCAGAAATAGCAGCAGCACCGACAACTTCGACGGACTCATTCCAGGCGCTGAAGAATTCAGCGACCATCTCCGCAGCAGGCTCAGCCTTGATGATGTCGGTGATTTTCTGAGCGACGGTGTCCCAAACGCTCTTCACGTCAGCACCGGCAAGCTTGATGGAGTCAAGCAAGCGGGGGATACACTTGGCCGCCGCCGAACGAACACCATCGTGGAAGTAGAACTTCAAACTGGGGATAACGATGTCGTTCAAGATGGGACCGACATAAGGCTGGAAGTTCTCCTTGAGCTCAGCAGCGTAGCAGACCAACATCTCAACAGCGGTGCATTTCTCCTCGAGCACAGTAGTCTTGATACCGATCTGCTGACCCTGAACACCGATAAACTCCCAACCATCCTCAGCAGCATACTTCTCCTTCTCCTCATCATCCTGCAAAACAGCGAAGTCAGGCTTGAGCTTCGCAGCCTCGAGAAGAGGGGGCATGACTGCACCCAAGTAAGGCAAGAACTCCTTACCCATGACACGACAGATACGTCCCCATGCAGGGATGAGGTAGCTGGCCTGAGGGTCATCAGCCTCGACAACACTCTGCTGAATGCTGCCAAGAACCTGGATCAACTCCTGTGCCGAAGGGGCAAAACGCTCCTTTCCGACGGCAAGAGCGATGAGGGTGGCACACTCCATAGCTTTTCCACGCAATAAACGGTACTCTTTACCAGCATCAGGGGCCTTCAAAACATTGACGAGGAGGGGCATGATAGCATCGTAGTACTTGACGAACTTGGCCTCAGCAGCATCGGCCACGGTAGCGATGGTGGTAACGGCCTGCTCCTGGACGTACTTTTTGGGGCTCTGCAAGAGGGCGAGAAGGCGCTCGAGGATACCATCAAGGTAAGGCTCGAGGGTAGCATTGTCACACTCCTCGCAGAAGTTCACCAAAGCAGCAGCAGCGTGGGCCTGAACACGGGGCTCAGGAGCCTGGAGGACGGGGACCAAGCCGCTAAGGACACGCTCGTGGAACTTGGCCTGCATGGTGTTGGCAAAGTCGGTGGACATCTGGCCAACAGCGTTACAGGCAGCCCAACGGACGCGGGGGTGAGGGTCCCTGAGGAGAGGCAAGACCATGTCGAGGACACGGGAAAGCTCAGCCTTCATGATCTTCTCACATCCCTCAGCAATAGCAGAGATGGCCATAAGAGCTGCGTGACGCTGGCGCCAGTTGGTGGACGAAATCATGTTAGGCAAGTACGCGAAAGCAGGGGGAAGAACGGTCTTGCCACCCAACTTGCGAGCCAGACGGTCCAGAGCCTGTTCGCCGACGATGTGGTTCGCGTCGCTCTCATCAGCATCCAAATCCTCCGTCTCATTCCACTCCTGCTGCGCATCATCATCCTCAGCTCCAACATCGGTCAAGAACGCCAAACACTCCACCACAAGGTTCGACGCGTAGCTATCCTCTTTCCTGCACATTCCTGGTGCACCCTCGCAGAAGGTAATCAACAACTCCAAAGCAGCCTGCCTTGCCACATTCTCGTGCTCCTTGTCTTTTATAACACTCAATCCAAACTGAACGATCATGGTGAAGTAGTTCTTGAACATTTTGGGGTGAGTCTCAGCGAGCTCGATAAGGGAGGTAAGGGCGGTAGCGAGAGTCTCGGAGTCGTGGGTGGTGGACAATGGGGGAAGGACGTTCAAGCACGCGGGAAGGAGGACAGACAAAGTGCTCCTGGTGTTGCTGCCAGCCTCCAAGAGGAACGCGCAGTATGCACGGAGGGCCGCAAGACGGACTTCTTGTGATTGATCCTCAAGACCAGCTTGGAAGGCACCCTTCAGAATGTCCGCATGTTGCGAGCCGATGAGAGTAGGGACAGCAGCGAAAACGCGGTATGCTGATTCGCGGTGAGCGGCTTCTGGAGATTTGCTGCATGAAAAGAGAGCTTGGAGAAGGTCTGGCCACTTGTAGCTGCTGTAAAGTCCATGTCTGGCAATCTCAGCGATGGCGTCGCACACCTTATGCCGTACACCAACAACCTGCTCCTCCGCAAACGACGCCAACAAAAGGTCGTGTACATTCTTTCTCGCAACGTCGTTCAAGATGTCGTAAATTGTCTTCTCTGATTCTTCTGGGTATCCCGGCGCAGGCTTGAATGCAATTCTTCGGAGGAGGACCACGGCGAAACTTCGCATCTATTATGAACAACGTCAGGCACCGTGGTCGGGCTTGACAGCACCGGCAAAACATACGTGATCCTGAGCATTTCCCTTCGTCTGCTCTGCCAATCCCACCAGAAGCATGTCTGGTCTCTGTGCAATCCACTCGTCGTTCAAGGAGGCCTCAGCATTCGAACGAATGGTGTTATCGGTCGCTGCCAGAGCATCAAGGGTGGCGACAAGGGCATTGACTGCCTCAGCAGGAAGTGCAGATGCCATGGTATATTGTAATGGGTTGTTGCTCTTCTCTCACGAATCTTCAACTTTTTTTTAAAGTACGCCGCTGCAGCAAGGCACCGGTAAACAGACGCGCGCGCAGCTTGAGGCCTAATTCAGGAGCTCCACATACCGCCGAGGGAGGAGAGTGCGAAAAAACACAGATGTGTATTAAGCAAGGTATACCAAATATGTCTAGAATATCACGTACAAGGCAATGACCCGTCAACATGATCGGGACAGCCTCCATCTAGCAATGAACCACTTCGATCCTCCTCCTTCACACTCGTCGCCTCCTAATTATATGCCCAACGTAGAGTGCTTACTTCTTTCCCCTTCCGAGAGTAAAGACAACAACAATCGCGACAGCAAGCGTAACCAGGGCACTAGGCAACAACAACTCATTCGGCACCCCAGAAATAGCCTGCTTAGCTTCCGGCTCAGGAGCAGCCTTCGTAGTACTGACCGTACTGACCTCCTCGCTGACAGGCGCAAGCACAGGCTGAGGCACAGCAACAGGAACAGCAGCCTTGGTTGGGTCATGAACGTAAAGATCGACCTTTTCGCGCTTTGCCCGGCGGGTGATATCAACGGCGTCGAGGACATCGGAGCTGGAGGTGATGGCGACAATGTCACCCTCGTCGTCGACGTAGGAGATAGCGAAGCTGTCGCCACCGATATCTTCCTTCTCTGCGCCGAGCTTCTCAGAGATGGCTGTGCGAAGATCCTGGAAACCATCCTTTGGGGTGATCTGGAATCTGTGCACACGGCCAGAGGGAGCCTTGAACTTGAATGGGAAAGGAACCTCGTCATCCAATGGTACAGGAGTGCTCTGTGCCTCGGACTCAGGAGCTTGTGATGCAGAGTCGCCAGGCAAAACTGAGTCAAGACGAGTCAAGACCGGAGCAGCAGGCGAGTTGGAATGCATAGCAATCTCAGAAAGAGGAGTAGGCGCACGATTGATTTGACTGTCAGAGTGAACGGAAGCGGTCTCGTCATCCGCAGTGTTCCAGAAGCGGTTCCACATAGGTCCCTCACCATCGTTAGCCTGAATGGTATTAATCTGCTCCAGCGTTGCATACGTCAACTTCAAAATATCCACAACACCCACGACCTCACCTGAGTCATTGTCAGTAACAGGAAGGTTAAGGTAGTGTCCATCGTTCATTTTCCTCAAAGCACCCTGGACCGACAGAGACATGGGGGCAGTATCAGGGTGAGGAGTCATCACGCGGACAACACTGCACTTATCAGGGTCCAACCCAGCAGCAATAACACGCAAAACAACATCCTTACTCGTGAAGATACCCTGGATGTTATCCCCGTCCATCACCAAAATAGCAGTAGTATGGTTCTCCCTCATCAACGTAGCCGCCTCACGAACTGAAGTCCTAACAGAGACCATTGTCGGCGGAGTACCATCCAAAACAGAAGCCAAATTAGGTCCAGACATCTTCTGCCTCAAAGCCTCGACATAAGCAATGATCTGCTGGGGCTGTTGAAGACCACCCATCTCACTCTGTACGCCCTCCAAAGCATCATACAGCTTCTTGCTGCTCGCATACGCCCTCTCGAGACGGTCCATAGCCTCGTAAAAACACTTTGTGATATCGAGGAGACCAATGACGTCGCCCTCCTCATTACAGACAGGCAAATGACGGAAACCCTTCCTGACCATCGTCTCCAAAGCCTCGGTTGCCGAGGTGTCAATGCGGGTACACATGGGGTTTTTCGTCATAATGTGAGCGACCGTAACGCTCCTGGCATCGATAGCGTCACCGACGACACGGAAAGCCAAGTCCTTTGCGGTGAAGATGCCGGTTAAGTGCTCTTCGTCGTCAATGACAAGCACACAGTCAGCACGCCGAGCGGCCATCAATTGCGACGCCTCGGAGACGGTGATGTTGGCACGAACGGTGAGTGCCTGAGTAGGACGGAGGGACGAGACGGTACCGGGGGCAGCACGCTTTGTGTGACGTTGGCGAGCTGGAGCGTTGCGCTTCTTGTTGAGGTCGGCTTCAATCTTCTTGCGGATAGCCTGTACCACAGAGATTAGGAAAACTAAAAAAAAGCATCCGTGCTACATCGTACCTCATCCTTCTTATTCTGACGCCTGCGAGTGTCGCTCAAGGTGGAACCCAAATCTGAGGCAGCTCCCGGAGTGGGAGAGTCACGGAAAGACGGCGAAGGCGCGACAGGAGCACCCGGCCTGCGACTAGGAGTTCTGTCGTACAAAGACATGATTGTTTATCGACGGTACAACGAATTGAACGGTCAATTGAAGTTACTGTCTTCGAAGAACCTTACGGTGTTTGGAGGCGCTGGGTGCGTGTTTTGAGCTAGCTCATAGACAGGTTGGGGCATGCATTGGAGGGCAACGGTTGTTAGGGGAGCTGGATTCTACAATTTCTACGGCACACAAGATTGAGACAAAGTACTTTTTCATCCGTATATTCCGTATCATCTCACTAAAGTAGATTTCCTCCAAAAGCGGCATGAACGAAATATCGGATGAACCGGCAACCAGCTCATTCACTTTCGTGAACTCGCCGTTCTACCGACCCATCACCGACCCATTCTCGAGATACTCAAAAGAGCATTTAGAGAGCCTTGGCAGCAGCAACAGAAGGGTTGATCTTCTTGCCGTCCTTGTTGAACCTGACCCTCGGGGGAGGGGCACGGTTGCGGCGACCCTCACGGGAACGGACACGGACAACCTTAGAGTGGATGGCGCAGGAGACACAGTAGTGGAGCTTGATGTAAAGCTTGGGGAGAGCGTACTCAGGGTAGACGGAAGCCTCGGAGATATCCCTAAACACATTGAATGTTAGTGAGCCGCGTCCACGGAACTTCCGAGAGTGCTTCGACGCAAAGAACTGGGTCTTTGGCGAGGCGCGCAACGATCACTTGCACGGGAGAACGTGAAATGGTATCTCAACCGGCATCACGATGCTACTCTGGGGTCATCGTAGGTAAGTACCTGATAGCGGCGGACTCGACCATGTTCCTGACGGTCATCCTAAAAAGCGGTCAGCATTCGACCAATTGCAAAGGTGGATCGAGTGGCAAACCTCTTGATAGCCTTGTCCTTGGGGACGCAGCGGGAGCAGTTGGAGCAACGAACGGGCTTAACGTGACCACGTCCGTGCTTGTTGCGTCCGTTGTTTCTGCGCTTAAGAGTCATTTTGTCGAGATGGGAAAGCTGTCGGCTGGGTTGCTGGAGTTCCGAAGTTTCCTGTACTTCGCGGAGCCCAGGTAAAATTCGGTGGTGCAGGTGCGGTGCAGCTTAGGGTTGCGATGCCCTCCAGCAAAGGTGGTCTGAGGAAGTCATCAGTTCCAGACTGGGAAACTCCAAAAGGAATTTACAAAATGTATCACAAGTATAGGCAAGGCTTTTGCGATTTTCATGTTGCACTTGGCTGTGGGTATTCGCGTTACCGTGCAGCTGCAGTCGTCGCTCGACAGGCCCCTCCCATGACGTTGAATAAATTGAAACGGCCCTCTACCCAGAACACACCCGACAGATCTTCCGAGAGCAGCAGACGTCAATGATAGCGGATCAGTGTTGGGGAATTCAGGGAATCTTGAGAAAAACCATATTTTCTGCTTTGAATCTGGTATATGACCACAATAAATGCCTCCGCGTTGTTGGTTCAGAAGATACTTCAGGCCAAACAAGGCTATAAGGCCACGCTCTTTGTTGTCAAGGAGCAAAGAACCAGCGTCAAACTTCAGTTGCGCATCCAAAAACTCATAAACTACTGCTTCAATCTGGATGTTGGTGGTTGCGGCTGAAAATGCTATGAGAGTGGGACCTTCTTCCGCATCTTCCTCAACCTCAAACCTTGCAAGCTGCTCTTCAATGGGGACATCACCTTCTTCAAGATCAAGCTCAGGCTGCTCAGCATCATACTCGTCTCTCTCACTTCTTCAACCTCATCCTGCGAAGCATCAATACCTGCCTCTTGCCCAGCCTTGAAATACGCCAAAAAAAGATGCAGCACCTCATTTCTTCCTCCGTTTCATATCCTCAACCTGTCTTGTCCAAGCAGTTTTGTTCTTCCCACCCTTACCAATGTATCGACGATGAGGGAGCGACGTAAGGTAGCTGGAATACGATGCATGCATGGGATGCCGGCCCCTGATCCGCCTTAACTGTCGGTAAACAAACGCAACGCCGAACGTATTCCTCGGTGATTTCGCAATCCAGCAATCACTACGATGTCCAGTCATATGCAATCGAACGGCTCAATAACGGTGCGCATTTATTTGTTCGACGACGCGTAGCATACGTATGCTGACTTCTTGTGGTACATAGGCGGAGACTGAGCGTCTGGAACAGAACATCACCTTGACTCTCCAGGAGATTGACCACAACTTCTCTAGATGCCATCGCATCATCACAACTCACATTCTTCCGATTGTCGAGCGGTATGCTGAGCAATCGCGGGCTGTGTGGGACGGATCCAAGGTGCTTTAAGTGTGTCAAGCTGTCCCGATCGATGTTGACATGGAATGCACAGTTCTGGAAACAATTCTTCGAGGCATCTGCAAATGTATCGCTAAGCGGATACGAAGACTTGGACCCAAACAACCCCGAAACGGACACCACGGCGCACACCACCATGTACACCGACGTCTCCCAATCTCACATCGCTCAAACACCCCGCAACACCGCCGATGAACGCTCCTTCTTCTCCGATGTCGGCGACACATCGACTCCAAACCCTCCACCAGTCCTCCAAACACCTGCACGCGCCTACGAATCTTCATACGATTCCGACAGCACCCCTCTACAACCCGTTGCCCGTGACTACGGCGACGCAACGCCCGGTTCAAGTCCCATGACAAATACGAATGGCGCACCCTCCACAACTCGCGGAAACAAAGGTCCCCTCCTCCACCGCGTGCTTGACAGCAATTGGCGCGTCCAGGCGACGCCGCACCGGAATAATCCAGTCTACGCATCACCCTCCGACGCGTCGTCCGCTACGCCTAAACTCGATCTCGAGAGTCGCGTGTGGAGTTCACCGGTTCAGGGGACACCGAAGGCAAAGACGCCGATGGGTAAATATGGTGAGTTCGATGACTCGGATGATGAGGATGGGTTCCCGCCTGGAATGTCGCCGCCTGTGACTATGCAGTTCTCTTTGCCGGCATCAAAGCTACTGAAAACACCCGCAAAGGAGGCCGCAAACCGGTTGGTCAAGGAGGCCCTGTGGACAGCAGGTCGTGGAGGTCACAACGTCCCCGAGTCTGTGGAGAGTGGTCAAGGCTCATCATGGGGACGCCTTGACGTCGATGATGGAGGCAGCCCTATCATGTACAGAGGAAGAGAGGGACAAGGGGATGATAGTATGATGGGTGGTGTACAAAGACTAAAGCTAGAGGAGAATCAGGACGTTGGTGAGGATAGTGGAGAATGGGAGTTATAGGCTTGATTTGATAGATCGAACTACGGTATCTTCGGTAATATACCTAATGTTAATCACCTTACTACAACCCCTTTTCAACCCCTCCTCCTCGGCGGCGGCGTCCCTCTGAAATCATCATCCATCCGCTGTCTTTTTGCCGCTTCGCCATCATCATAGCTAATAGGCGGGGGAGGTAAGTTCGCTTCCTGCAATAACCTAATCAATTCATCCACCTTGAACAAGGCTCCCTGGTACATATCCGCAGGTGGGAGAACGCTGAGGAGGTACATGAGTGGGTCGGGCAACGGAGGTGCCTCCTTCCGCTTGGTACCACCCGAAGAGGCCTTCTCGCCGTCCCGGTCACGTTTGTTGTCCTTCTTGCGGTCCTTCTTGCGGGGAGAGGCACCTTCTTCTTCGCGGAGACGGGATACGGCTGATTTGGTTGGTGCTGAACGGTAGCGGTCGTCATCGGATTCAACAGCCGACTCCTCCGCATCGCTGTCCACCTCCTTTGCAGGTTGAGCAGGCTTTTTACTCTCCACGTTACCTCCCAAATCATGCTCCGCAATAGCATCAAAGTCAAGGTAACTATACCTTGTCCTAAACCTCTCTAACGACGTCCTCTGAGGATACAACTCCGCCATTCTCGCATCCAACTTCAACGCCGCACTCAAATCCCCATAATTACTCTCATAATTGTAGAAGTGTTCATAAAGCGGCAACGCAGCCTCCGGGCTTAACTTCGTGATTGTCCTCTCAAACAATGCCCGCGCATTAGTCTCATCATTGATATTCCTGAGGAACTTCAAATACTGGAGGACGAAGTGTGCGTTCTCGCTGTAGGCTTTCATGCCGAGCTCGAAGATTTTGACTGCGACGCCGGGTTCTTTGTTCCAGTGGTATTCCATCAGGGCGGACGCGACGAAGACTTCGTAGGTCTGGTTGGGTGCTTTGCGTGCACGGGTGAAGACTTGGCGAGCTGGCTTGAGACCTTCTATTCTGCGGGTCGTGCGGAGGAACATGACCCACACAATCGAGCTCTCACGGGCGAGGGTGTCGATCTGCGCCTTGTACTTGGTGTTGATTGCCTCGAGACGCTTGTTTGGCTTCGCAACCTTTGCCCCTTCGTTTTCATCCTCGTCTTCAATCGTGTATTCTTCCTCAACTTTAGAATCGCCAGCATCCGCCTTCGCCTCGTTCCACTCCCTCTGAACACGCTCCATCTCCCCCTGCAACGAATCAACGAGTGACTGGAGAGTCTGCTTCACATTTTCCGGCCTTCCCCTCGACTCCTCAATCTCTGCAAACTGGAAATGCAGCAACAAACTCGACGGATTCGCAGCCATTCCAGTCTTCAAGAACTCCAATGCCATCTGATCATCCACCGTCATGGCGTACTCCACCACGCTGAACCAAATTTCGGGGTGGAAGTACATGCTCATCATCGCTCTCTGGCACGCATACATGACTCTTGACTTCAATGCCTCCGCATCCTCCAAGACCAATGGATCCGAACGCTCCCACGCGATCCATTTCTTCCATGCCTCGACCTTCTCGCGGTCCTGCTTAGTGAAGGTTGGTGTCTTCGGGAGACCTTTGCGATCGAGGCTGTCGATGATGGAGCGAAGTTCCTTGAGCGATGAACGGGCCGTCATGTAAGAAGGCGACCGCTCAGCCAAGAACTTGCGAGCAGTGGTGCGGTTGATGCCATTCTCAAACTGGTCGTACTCACGCCAAAGCTGCTCGATGTTGCTGAGGGGGATACAGATCGCTCTCTGGTAGGTTTTGCGGGTGTGGTCCATTTTCTGGGATTCTTCCCAGCTAGTCGTTGCCTTTGAGATTGGTTAGCATTCGTAAAATGAAAACCGCTCAACATCATACCTCGCCTGACTTAATGAAGTCCAGGTAGTCCTTCCAAATAGGTCCGCTCTCATAATCCATCCCGATATTCGACAACACAAACTCATAAGCCTGGGAAATAATCATACGTGCTTGTGCACCACCCGTCAAAACATTATTGACACGTCGAATGTAGTCGAGATAGAAACGCCAAAGATCGAGATCGAGGACTGAGCGCAAACACTTAGTGAAGATAGTCTGGGCTCGGACATGGTCGTCCTGGGCCAGCTCCATTTTCAGGTATGAGATCCACATGGGTCCAGCCAACGGATATAGTTTCAAAAAGCGTTCATATGTTTCCCTCGCATCATCAAACTTCTCTTTCTCCTCTTGCTCCTCGATCAACGACTTCCAAGCGTCGAAATCCTTAGGGTCAGCGGCAATCCTATCTTGAAGCTGGCCGATGTGGTCATTGGCCAATCGCTTTCTCTTTGGAATCTTTGGAAGGACTGGGGAAGCAGACGCCATAGCCGCCGCAATGGCCGACGGCTCAGGCTCAGCAATGGACGAGAGAGCCGGTGGAACAGCTTTGTCATCAGATGTAGTCAATACTTCAGGAGCATACTGCAAAGCTTGCGCTTGTGCTTCCTCTGCCTCACTGTCCAACTCTAAAACGAGACTCGAACCCGATTGGGCTTCAGTTGGGGCAAGAGCAGGCGTTGCACGCTCTACCGCTGTAGACGATATTCTTTGAGGTCCTGGCCTTTCGGCAGACTCGGACATTTGCACAGCACCAGAAGATAAAGTCTGTATTTGGGGATTCACTGCACTAGTTTGGTCAACTTCACCTTGGAGGGATGGCAATGGCGATTCTTCGGTCGAAGGTTCGTCCGAAGTTCTCGGCACTTCTGGCTCTTCGGTCGTATGAGATGGTGAGTATGGAGGACTGCTCATCGTTGACAATTTAATGAGACGATTGTTAATGATAGATTGGACCGGATGGGGACGGAGCGGACCGATCGAGGCCGGGGTATATTGTTTGTATCACTTTTTGGAAGGTCAGAGGCTCATGGCCCAACGTATTAATGACTCGTCACATATACACGAGAGAAGCTATAGAGATAGCAACCTTCTTAGTTATTCGAACTATGAGGATTGATGACCTCCAAGACTACTGTCTCGAGGCCGCAACATGACCTAACGTCATCGCCGGCAAGACTCTAAGTGTGCGCACCACCATTAAGGTCATCTCCTCCGCACACCACCATATGGGCGCAGCTTTCTCTCAATCATCTCCAAGAATCATGTCTCCCGCCGTCAAGTCCAAGGTCGACAAGGCCATCGCCGACAACAAGATCGCCGTCTTCTCCAAGTCTTACTGTGGGCTCCCTCTCTGTGAGTCCTATGGACATAGCTAACGAGGTTGACCACAGGCCCATACTGCAAGCAGGCTAAGAACACCCTCTCCCAGCTCGGTATCAAGTTCTACGTCCTCGAGCTCGATGAGGTAGACGACGGTGCCCAGATCCAGGATTACCTCCAGGAGAAGACTGGACAGCGTACCGTCCCTAACATCTTCATCAACGGGCAGCACCTTGGTGGAAACTCTGACTTGCAGACCAAGAAGTCTACTGGCGAGTTGGAGAAGCTCCTTGCTTAAGCTACTGCTCTAGGTGAGGAAGGAAAGAAGAATTGTGTACGATGAACAGGAAGGAAATATACGATAGAGGATGAGGGACAGAAGTCTCGGTATCGGTCGGTAAAATATACTTTTTTGATCGTGATCTGTGCTCTATATCACATCATGCACCCCAGTCTAATCAAACACGTCTCCCATACCCTCTAACTTAAGCCAACAAAGAAACACCAGTCATGTCAGAAGGCTGCTCCAAACCCATAACATCCAAAATAGTGGGGGCAACATCACACAAAGCACCAATCTTTTCCTTGTTGAATTGGTGACGCTCAGAGGTCATCACGAAAGGAACCTTGGCAGTGGTGTGAGCGGTGAAGGGGGTTCCTTCCTCAGACAACATCTTCTCGGCGTTACCGTGGTCGGAGGTAACAAAGAGGATGTAGTTGTGCTTCTTGCAAGCCTTGTAGATGGCACCGATAGCCTTGTCAGTGTGGGTGACGGCCTCGACGGCGGCGTCGTAGACACCAGTGTGGCCGACCATGTCGGGGTTGGCAAGGTTACAGACGATGAAGGGGAATTCGCCCTCGGAAACACGCTTAGCAACCTGCTCTGCGACACCGTGAACAGACATCTCGGGCTTCTTGTCGTAGGTGGCAACCTTGGGGGAGGGAACCATATCGCGGACCTCCTGGTCGAACTCGCGCTCGGTACCACCGTTGAAGAAGAAAGTGACGTGAGCGTACTTCTCGGTCTCGGCGATGTGGCACTGCTTGACACCCTGCTTGGCCAAAGTCTCGGCGAGGACGTCGTCCATGCGCTGAGGAAGGAAAGCGACGGGGAAGGGGAAGTCAGCCTTGTACTGGGTCATGGTGGTAATGTGGAGGTTCTGGGGGATGGGGGAGTCGATAGGAGCGGGGGTAACACCGAAGACCTGGGAAAGCTCACGCATACGGTCGGAACGATAGTTGAAGAAGAAAAGGGTGTCGTTGTCCTTGATGCGGGCATCGTCTCCGTTGAAGATAATGGGCTTCAAGAACTCGTCGGTCTCCTTCTGCTCGTAACGCTCGTTGATCTTCTTGACGGCGTCGGACTCCTCGGCGGCCTCACCCTTACCCTGGGTCAATCCGTCGAAGGCGATTTGGACACGCTCCCAGCGCTTGTCACGGTCCATGGCGTAGTAACGGCCGACAACGGTAGCGAGCTTACCGTAACCCAACTCCTTGGTCTTCTCTAACAACTGCTCCATGTATCCAGCAGCAGACTTGGGCGCGGTATCACGACCATCACCGAAGAAATGAATGTAACACTCGGGCACACCGAAGTCCTTGGCATACTTCAACAAAGAGTACAAGTGCTTCTGGTGGGAGTGAACACCTCCATCAGAGACCAAACCCAAAAAGTGGAGACGTCCGTTTCCGTTCTTTGCGTTCTCGAGGGCCTTGTTGAGGTTCTCGACCTCGTTAAGCTTGTCGTTCTTGATGGTCTGGTCGATACGGACCAAATCTTGCCAGACGACACGGCCGGCACCGATGTTCAGGTGACCGACTTCGGAGTTACCCATGAGACCATCGGGGAGGCCGACAGCCAATCCATGAGCGGAGAGCTCAACGTAGGGAGTGTCGACCTGCATGGCGTCCATGACGGGGGTCGCAGCAGCCTCGATAGCATCTCCCTTCGTTCCCTTCACGGGCGAAATACCCCAACCGTCGATACAGATCAAACAAACGTTCTCCTTGGGCTGAACCATGGTCTTGTTCTAGAAGCAATGAGGTTTGGTTAGAAGAGGACCTTTGGGGTTGTATGCGGTTTTGAGTGCTTACCTTTTTGTGGGGGGGCTCGGACATCGTGGTTGATTGAGGTTTGTGATCTGCAGCGGGCAGCGGGCAGCGCGACTTTCCATTCGTGCAGATGCAGCCTCGGGGTACAATAGGTACAGTACCAACGTCATACGCAATATGGTTTGATTGATCGAGATAGGAGGGTTTGTTTGATTGCGTTTTGCCATTTGAAAGTCAATTGAGTCGTCGATGATGTGGTCCTTCTGGAGAGCTCGAGTTGTCGGGATCATGCCAACTCAAGCTCGCTGAGTCAACAGCCCGCGTACGCAGCTCAAATCATCATTATTGTGGTATCTCAAGGGTATCAAACCGCCATCTATGTCATCTATTACCGCCCTCCTCTCTTCCTGCCTCCCACACTTTTCGCTTGCTCCTCGGATGCCTACATCAAAACACACCCCGCTCTCGCCCCGTTCTCCCCCTTATCCTTCGCCTTGACCTTGTTCCCCTTCAACTTCAACCCCATCTTCGTCTTATCCCGATCCACGAAAACGAACGTTCGTTCCCCTCCTCTTCCCTCAATGATCCTATCATCAGCCCTCGTCTCGATCGCGGCATCCTTCTTGGCCGAGATAGCGCGGATTTGAGCTGCTTGCTGGTAATGAGAGATCAGGCGGTCTTGGTTCGCAAAGTGTGAGGCGATGGCAGCCAATTCCTCTGCTTTTGCTCTCGGAGTCGTGCTAGTTGTGGGGCTGAAAGAGTCGATGTCTCGTGGGATCCACATTGTGTTAAAGTACTCCACTTGTGCAGAGGAGTTGTCGGGGTTAAGGGAGGCCCAGACAATTTCTTCGTGTCCCGCCCATCGGTTGTCGGTGACGAGGGTGAATAAGCCTCCTCCTTCGCGGTGTTTAACGACTACACTCCACCCCTCGTCTCCCCTCCACAGAACGGCTGGCTTTTCTGCCTCTAACGTCTTCTGTAGATGTTCCAAGCCGCTCTGTGTAAATCGGGAGGGAGTGGAGTCGATAAACTCACTCACCGCGTCCGCACGCACAAGGAGTTGCATTTCTTCGGGTGAGAATGTGTCTGCGGGACCTTTCTCTTCCCGGGTCTGTTCGCCGAGGGAAATCAGGGTGAGAGCTTGTTCATGTGACAACTCCCCGAACAGTGCTTTACTCTCTGCAGAGGGTATCCAGCCGTGGACCAATTGAATCCCGAAAGCCTCGAAGATGTTGATCTCCTTCTCATGATGGGTAGCCGAGGTTGGAGAGTGTTCAGCCCATTCCTTCCACCCACCATCAAACCTCGGGTTAACACTCGTCCCACCACTGGCCAAGTGTGGCAAACACCGCAATGCCTGCACAATCTTCTCTGCCGGCATCTGTCCATTGACAAGGAAATTGGTTAACGCGCGTAAGACGTAAGATAGAGACACTTCTTCGCGGTCGTGAGAGAGTGAGGGTATCGCGTGCGAGAGTGTCAGGGCGTTGTAAAGGGCAAGGAGCGGTGCGCTTGGAGAGGAGCAGTCGTGGCAGGCTAAAACGAGGGTGGTGTCTTCGAACGGGACAAATCGGAGGGGGTATGTTGGGTCGTCGTCTTGATGGACCATTGTGCTGATGTCGCTTCTGCAATTGCTTCGATCCTCTGTTATGCCAATGCGATGGATTGCAATTGACAGGTGAGATCACCCCATTTCCTGATTTCCTTTTGGCAGGACCCGCGTGAGACATTCCCTTCCCTTGTCTTCTGCGGTAGCGACGGAGCTTGGAGCGCGCGACTACCCTTGTCTTCTAGCGTCGGAGCGAGACACGGGACACGACCGCGAGTTAATCCATATAGCCATCTTGGGAGTTAATTCTCCTTGGCATATCGTGTTAAATCGCAAGGTTTGATGGTGGAGTGGTCGTTACGTCATAACCAGGTGTTGCTCCCGACCGGGCCGAGCCACCATGGACCATGCGTTTCGGCTGAGAACGTTTGAATAAAAGGCTCGCTATATCCACCTGGGCAGCATACATCCCCTATCTTTCACGACAGTAATAGACAATGCCAATCGAAGAATCAGGACCCAATCCGGCTCCGCCGCAGTCTCTGCTGCCGGACTCTATCCTTGACTTGAACATCAAGCTGGATAACAAAGTCTTGTCCGACAAGGTATGTTTTGGTAGTCCCAGCGAGTGGATCAAGGCTAATGAACCCTACAGGACATCAAATCCATCCGGACATTCCAGCGTGCCGCAAATTATGTCGCCGGTGCCATGATCTTCCTCCAAGACAACGTCCTCCTCCGCCGTCCCCTCAAGAAGGACGACATCAAGAACCGTCTCCTCGGACACTGGGGAACCTGCCCCGGCCTCAACCTCATCTACGCTCACGCAAACCACCTCATCAAGACCAAGAACGTGAATATGATCTTCGTCACGGGACCTGGACATGGTGCGCCCGCTATTCTGGCCTCGTTGTGGTTGGAGAATTCGTTGCATAGGTTTTATCCACAGTATGCACGTAACCAGGATGGGCTTGCAAACCTCATTAAGGGCTTTTCGTGGCCGGGAGGGTTCCCGTCGCACGTTTCGCCGAATGTGCCGGGGTCAATTCATGAGGGTGGTGAGTTGGGATACGCACTCGCTGTATCCTGGGGTGCGGTCATGGATAACCCAGACTTGATCGTGACATGTGTCGTTGGCGACGGTGAAGCCGAGACTGGGCCAACTGCGACGGCGTGGCATTCGCACAAGTATGTTGACCCCAAGGAGTCTGGAGCGGTTATTCCCATTTTGCATGTCAACGGCTTCAAGATCTCGGAGAGAACAATTTTTGGGTGTATGGATGATCGTGAGTTGACAGCTCTCTTCACCGGATATGGATACCAGGTTCGTATCGTTGATGGTGTCTCGGATGGTTCGAACATGTCCCATATCGACCAGGATTTGGCGGCAAGTATGGCGTGGGCATACGACACCATCAAGGATATCCAGACCGCTGCAAGGAGTGGAAAGCCGATCATGAAGCCTCGTTTCCCAGTCATTATTCTACGTACACCGAAGGGATGGGGCGGACCAAAGGCCGCACATGGCACTCCCATTGAGGGAACGTTCCATGCGCATCAGGTCCCGCTTCCCACGGCGAAAACGGACGACGAGGAGTTCAAGTTGTTGGACTCGTGGCTCAAGTCCTACGGACCCGAGGAGTTGTTCAATGAGGATGGCAGCCCAATCCAGGATGCCTTGCAAATTGTCCCTGACATTCATGAGATGAGAATGGGACAGAGGAAGGAGACGTATGCCAACTGGCGTGCACTCGATGTCCCCGATTTCAAGACGAGGGCAGTGGAGAAGGGGGAGCAGACTTCGCCTATGAAGCAGATTGGTAATTTCTTGGGTGATGTCATGGAGAAGAACCCTACCTCTGTCAGATTGTTCTCCCCGGATGAGTTGATGTCGAACAAGTTGGACGGAGTCTTCAAGTACACGCAACGTAACTTCCAGGTCGCGCCGGAGAGTGCGCATAATGGAGGTCGTGTCATCGAGGTGTTGAGTGAGCATTGTTGTCAGGGATGGATGCAGGGATACGTTCTCACGGGCCGTACCGGTATTTTCCCCTCTTACGAGTCTTTCCTTGGCATCATTCACACAATGATGGTCCAGTACGGCAAGTTCATGAAGATTGCCAAGGAAACTGCTTGGAGGGGCGATGTCGGTTCCATCAACTACATCGAAACCTCAACCTGGGCACGTCAGGAACACAACGGTTTCTCCCACCAAAACCCGTCCTTCATCGGTGCGGTGATGAACCTCAAGCCGGAGGCTGTTAGGGTCTACCTTCCCCCTGACGCAAACTGTGCTATGAGCACGATTGGGCATATGCTTCGCTCGAAGAACTACATTAACCTGTTGGTTGGAAGTAAGCAGCCTGTGCCGACTTGGTTGAGCCCCGATGAGGCTGAGAAGCATTGTATTGCTGGTGCGTCGATCTGGAAGTTTGCTTCCACCGACGATGGTGTTGATCCTGATGTTGTGTTGGTTGGTATTGGAGTGGAGGTTACGTTCGAGGTTATCACTGCCGCAGCCCTCTTGAGGAAGAAGTGTCCCGAGCTTCGTGTGCGTGTGGTCAACGTCACTGACTTGATGATCTTGGCGGCGAATGAGGGACACCCCCATGCCCTCACCAACGCCGACTTCGACGCCCTCTTCACCAAGGATAGACCCGTTCACTTCAACTACCACGGCTACCCCGGCGAACTCAAGTCCCTCCTCTTCGGCCGTCCCGGTCTCGAGCGCGTCTCGATTGAGGGATACCGCGAGGAAGGTACCACGACTACACCTTTCGACATGATGGTCCAAAACCATGTTTCGAGGTACCATGTTGCAATGCATGCACTCAGGGGTGGGGCATTGAGGAATAAGCGCGTTGCACTTGTTAGTCATGAGTTGTGTGCGGGGCTCCAGCATGATATTCAGAAGTTGGGCAAGTATATCGTGAAGCATGGCGAGGACCCGGCGGATACGTATGATACCCCTGTGTTCGAGTAAGGTGTCAGAGGAGTGAGGGAGGAGAGGGATGAGGTGTTTCTCTGCTTGATCTTTCGATATCTCTTTATGGTTTAGGAATGTATGCTTTTCTATGTGTGTCGTCTTCTGGTGACTTGTTTTCGCGCTGAAGTATTGTAAGGCCTGCACATCTTGCCTAGCGTTTCCTGAAGAGTAAGTTCGCACGGGGCCTGAGCGGGGATTACCTGCGAAGAAAGGGTCAGGCATAGCATGGGATATCCGAATTTGATGAGCCTTTGACTGTGCAAGTTGGAGCTGAAGTCATACAGACTTTGCTGGATGAACTCGGGTACCCTTGCAACACACCCTTGTACTCATTTCGCCATGCTTCCGCCCGTCTCACAAGCCAGAAACATGGTGTGGATGCAGCATGAAGTCTACTTGCTCCTGGTCCAATGCCGTGGCTAAGGGTAAACGTACGGCTCAGTTCGGAACGAAGCAGCCGCCGCTAAAGGCAAATGTTGATGAGGATGTCCAGCAGCTTTCGAAATACCATGAACTGCGCTACAGAATCAACAGCGAGCGTTTACGGCTGACGAGGGAAGCGGAATATGCTCTAATCGTTGTTTCGAGAGCCGAACAGTTGTCTGCAGAGACAGTTCCTGGAGGTGTTGATAGCTGTGTGGATGCTGATCAGACAGTTGTGCAGACAGAGGGTCTCACTGAGGCTCCAGCTGAAGATAGGAGTTTGGAAATGTTTAACCCCTCCCTACTGTACTGCGCGTGGCCTTTCCCCGCACCGCGCGGTCTGGTTTTTGGCAGCAAGCTCCCAGCGACCTGTCGACAACAATCGTGAACGAATGGCATCAGCTTTTAGCTCAGTGATCTCATCAGTCTCATCGTCCGCTGCTTCGCTCTTCGGTCGCTTGCCATCAGCGGTTGATCCAATTCCGGAGGAGGATCAGCAGGCAAAGCTTCGCATTAAGCAGCTACACATCTATCCCATCAAATCTTGTCGCGGTCTTGCTGTGTCATCAGCAACACTTGATCAGTATGGGCTGAGCGGAGATCACACCATGATGTTCGTGGAGCGCAAATATGTGGATGGAGAGACGAAGTGGGCAACCATGACATTGAAGCAATGTGCCAGACTGGCACACGTGAGAGTAGACCTTGATCTAGAAGATGGTGATAAGTGGTACAGAGTGAGCATCGATGAAGCAAGTATACGCATACCGCGACAGTTTGACGCCCTGGAGAGTTTGCCACGGCTGGAGAATTCCATTATGTTATGGAAATGTCCGCATCGTCCGATCGATCTGGGTGAGCCGTACGCGAGTTTCTTCTCAAAGGCCCTCGGAAGGAAAGTCAAGCTATGCCACAGATATGGCGGACGTCCGGTAACTGGCAATATGCCAGACCTCTCTTCTCCTCGCGAGCTTGAGACCAACCTGAACGATGCATACCCGCTGCTGGTGGTTAACGCATCTTCGTTGAAAGAGCTCAATGCGCGTTTGGATGAGGCAGTTACTATGGAGAGATTCAGACCAAATGTGGTGCTGGAGGGCGAAGACGTGGAAGCATGGGATGAGGACACCTGGCAAACCCTCCAAGTCCTTCGGTCACAACAACCTGCTACCAAGGACGAGGACATGGTGGACAATTCAAAGAAACCGGTGATGACCATCCATACTCCTAGCCGATGTCCGCGGTGCGTCGTAACAGCAGTGGATCTGGATAAAGCCGAACAGACCCTACAACCTCTGAAGGAATTATCCAAGTACAGACGAGTAGACGAAGGCAAGAAGTGGAGTCCTTGCTTCGGCTTATATGGGGTACCAGATGTTACGGAAGGTGAGCTGAGAGTAGGGGATACAGTCCAGGTTACGGAGCGAGGTGAGCATTTCTTCGTTGAACCGAGTCATCCGGGTATGGTTGTATGAGGGTCACATATCGGAGATGATACGAGTGCTTAGCTGAGAAGGATGTTGCTGTCAGTCATTCGTGTGATGACTTCCATCGCCTGTTACAGAAATTCTTTGTCGTAAACCGTTGTGTAAGCGTCCCGGTTGTTTTGTGCCCTCAAGCCGAATGTTTATATAGGGAGGCATGCTCTGTTCGCAGTTCTGTCAATTTTATTGTTGTCAGTTAGTGACAGCTTGGCTTTGATAGGCAGGAGACCATGATGTTATGAAGTTTGTCGCTTCTGAAGCAATCTGGGCCTCGTTCTCACGGAATTATTCAGCTTCTTCAGGAGTGCCCATTGGCAAGGACAGAAAGGCAGCACTCCACATTGTAAGGACCATGTAGCCAGATCTGTGGTTCTTGAGATGTCCACAGCATACACATCAAGCTTTGTCTGTTAATACCGAAATGGATCGAGCTGGATGATTGCGTGTAAAAGGGAGTGTAGGTCCTTCTGGTGCAGCGGCGTTGAACATATGGCATGCGGTGGTTGATGCAGTCTTTTCTCAGAAATGATTTCTTTTTATGGAAAGGATGGGTTCGACGTGCAAATGCACATTGTCGGCTGGAATCGTCCGCTCCAAGTCTGTCATGTTTCTGCCAGAAATGACTCCATTGTATGGGAATGATGCATCTGCTCGTCAAGTTCCAAACAAGATCAAAATAAATTTTAGCACTTCACTTCTAGCTATAAGTTCTCACTCTCTCACTCAACGTCAACAGCCAGCTAGGGTATCAAGCAAAACAAATCAACAAAAAATCCACAAAACCTACGCCTTAAGCATTTGAGTGGATGTGCAACGGCCTGCGGCGCAACAGCCAACCAAACCAACGTGAAATATAGCGAACAAGATCCTCACTTTCTCCAACTAACGTCCCAAGCTGAACTTTCCACGTTTGCCGGTCTTCACCTCCATCGTAGGCGTACCAGCCTCGATCCTGATCTTCTTCTGCTCAATCTCCTGCTTCTGCTTCTCAAGCTGCTCCTTCATCTCCCGATGCCTAGCATACAACTCCTCCTCACTCTGCCTCAACTTCTGCTCCTTCTCCGCGACCTTCTGCGCAAACACCAACTTCATCTCATTCTCCATCTTCGCCAGCTTCGCCTCATGCAACTGTCTTTCCTCCTCTAACTTCGCCTGAGGGCTGATTTCCTTGAATACGGAAGCGTCTTGGGAGATTCCCATTGCCATGAGTTTCTCGGTACGGTAGGATTCGTAGAGGGTTTGTGCGGTGCGGTCTTTGAGTTCTTCCATGTGGGTACGGACGAGCATCTCACGGAGCTTGACGAAATCGCAGTGGTCTTCGTTATCGACCTCAATCACACCCCAAGGATACTTACGGCCGCGGACGCGCCTGCCGCCAGGGAGTTCGATTTGGGTCAAGGAGCCGACGACAGCGAAGGGCATTTTGGCCATGAATTCGCGGTTTTCCATGATGGTGTCTTCGTCGTCGTAGTCGTTTTCTTCGGGCTTGTAGGTTTTGATGCCGTGGTGTTCGATGTCGGCTCTGACGCGGGCTTTGAAGGTGTTGACTTCGTCGTCGGTGAGCGTGTCGGCTTTGGCGATCACAGGGATGAGGTTAACACGGTCACAAAGACGCTTCATGACTTCGATGTCGATAGGCTTGAGTGAGTGTCCAGTAGGCTGGATGAAGTAAAGCAACGCATGAATCCGCTTATCGGTCTCGAGATTACGGAGCTGCGTACGCGTAGGAGCATTCTCCGCATCCAGATAATCATTGAACCGTTTCTCGACATTATCGAGAATAGGACGCCAGGCGAGGTCGTTGTTGATGTAATCCCCAAACCCGGGGGTATCGACAACAGTCAATCGGCACCTAACACCACTCTCCTCGATATTCGCCGTGATATTGGTAATCTCAACCGTCTTCGGCACTTCCGGCCCGATACCCTTGTCGACCTTCGAAGGCAAAACACCCTGGTCCTCTAGCGACTTGGCGAACAACGTGTTGACCAACGTGGTCTTTCCCAATCCACTCTCACCGCACACCATCAAGTTGAACGCGAAACCTTTGGCGGTAGCTTTACGGTGCCATTGATTTGGGAGGTTTGCGAAGCCGACGTAGCCGGTGATTGTTTTGCGGATAATTTCTTTGACGGGGGGTTTAGGTGCTTCAGCTGGCGTTAGGTCGACGACGGTGGAGGATGGGATGGGGGTTGAAGACTCGACCGGCGAGGTAGGAGCGGAAGCCTGTGTTTGAAGCTCACGAACTTCATGAGGTGACTGCAACGACATATAAGCCTCCTACACACATCCATTAGTGGTCACTCCCTCATAACACGGCGATGTCTACATACATCCTCCTCAACGTGCTCCCTCTGCACCATAACCCCCGACTCTTCCGTCCCATCAGAACCCCTCTCGGAAGACATTCTTGTTGCGGTAGCGGTAATTGTAGCGCCGATAGGTTCACCGAGTGATTGAAGGGGGTCGGCGGTTTGTCCCCCGGATGTCGATGGGAAGAGACTGGGGTGAGGGACTGTAGCTGCACCCGTGGTTAGCAAGGGCGTCGCAAGAAGGTTTAATTACGTGTTTCGTTTGGGAACGGGGACGGGCCGAGGGGGGAGAGCAACAAGCAACGACGTCAGACGAAAGCTTGTAGGGAGTTATGTATGCTTCTGGCGCATACATCCCTTCCGTTGCACTCTCACACGACCCTCATTGCGTCTTGGCAGCCCCCCCCTCCTCGACGCACTTTCCTCAGGCTGCGCACCCCCTATCCACCCTACGGTCCCCAACGCAAGCAAACGTCACAGCAAGACTCACCTGACATATCCTGATACTGCTCTTCTCAACCGTACACTGTCCTTACTACGACTGAGCCTTTGGTGTTTTTTACGTGAACCAGGGCGCGTACACGCTCGTTCCATTCAGGGGCTTCAGATGTCAGCCGCAGAGTTCGTGCGGGTTCATGCGCGCGGGACCCCGTACGTACAACACCTGTAGACACGCGCGGCCGTGGAAGACGTCAATGACCACCTAGAGATCATGGACGAAACTGCCGTTCAGAACTTTTTGGATGAGGCGTATGCCTTCGGAATACGCTCACTGTGCGGATGAATGCTGACATAGGCACAGCATGAACCAGAACGGAGTGCGCGGTGTCTTATTGTGCGACGGGGAAGGGTTGTTCATCGGATGTACGTCTTTAACATCGTTTGGCCTTGGGTGCTGTTCTGAGTCTGACTTGCGTACAGCTAGAGGCGCTGCGGAGCGGGAAGACGTGTCTGCGTTCAGTTTGGTTGCCCAGACCGAGTTACAAGGGAAGGATATGGTCGCTGTTAAGCATAGAGACAGGTATGTGTCACAGCATGTTTAAGGAGGTGGCTAAGAACGAGTTACAGTACCGTGTTGCTGAAAAAAGGTGACAACATCTTGCTTGCGGTATACAAGAATTGAGGAGTGTATGCGTTGCAAAAGAGGTGACATAGATACCAGAGATAGGCATGCGCAGGACGCAATGCTGGCGATTGGCAGTGAAAGGAAAGCGCAAAAGTTCGATGTTCATATGGGTTTCCGTTATTGATTCTAAGCGTCGATATGCTATACGCCTTAAGCTTACCCATCTCCGTTGTCCAAGATCCATTACAGACACTCTCACGAAATCCCTGGGTGTCCCCAACTTTAGTAGGGCCTGCGCTTCTGTGGCGCAGCAACAGTAAAGGTGCGCGATTGTTAAGCCTTGCGGTACCGGTATCGGCGGTTCACGCAGGCTGCAGCAACATGCTTATGTGGGGAGCCGAGACCAAAACACCAAAAAACACGGAGCTTAAGGGTCGCACTGCAGCTGACTGGAAGGAATCGAGCTTCAAAGGAGCAGAAAGGGCTCATAACCGTGTTTTTGTGGCATATACCCGGGTGATCTGTGATTTTGACCTTCGGACCGTTCTCGGGCCGGTGCGTACAGCAGCTGGTACACATCGATAAGGAAACCCTGTGTACACCAGTCTTTGTTCTTCCTCGTGGATCCTGACACTCAATTGATGGCATAAACCACCTTCTTTCACCAGCGACATGCTTCCAAGCTCGCATCGACCCTCTACTTCCCCTCCGCCGGCTCCGCTGGCCGAGGAAGGCAGACCTCGACCTGGACCGGAACCGCAACCACAAAAAGGCCCATCTCCTGGACCGTATGCGTTGCATCGTCAAACCGTGATTGGGAGAAGGAGGGCAAAGACAGACACTACGATTGTACAATTGCAAGGCGAAGGGGTCCCGCCTGATGCGCCGCGACATCCTACGACGCGGTCATCGAATGACATCGCAGCTGTTCGACATGTTTCCTCGCCCGCCATTGTTGGCGACGAGAGATTAGCGCGAGGTTCGCAATCGGTGCCTATGCCTACTCGTCCGGCTCCGCCATCTCCAATCCTAAGTCGGGAGGCCTCGGGATTCGCACCTGAAGAGCGGAGACCCACACCGATCGTCCCACCACGCAAAGTCCCAGACAGCCTCGCCGTGGGCTCATCCATGATTACAAGTCCACCCTTTTTGGGTGCCGGTACGACTTTATCGTCATCACCACCAATGGCACGACACGCATTCCCCCCTCCACCTGCCCCTTCGCGCTCAGCGGGCTCCTCGCCATCTATGGATATGCCTCCGCTAACTACGATCAAGCGCAGAGTCGCGTCGGAATCATCCATTAACCCTACCGAGTGGATAAATGCGCAGGTTCTGGAATGGTTACGACGGCAAGGCTTCGAAAGGGATTGGCTGGATGTGTTCCAAGCACACAACATCGAGGGGAAGAGGTTCGCCGATCTAGTGTCCTACCCGAAAGTGCGGAAATTGGTGCCGCCGAGGCTTGCTGCGGAGGGTACGAAAGCTGGAGCGGAATTGTGTAATGCTGTTCGATTACTACTGGAGGCATCGCCGACACAGCAGAAGCCTACCGTGTCTTTCGAACAACTATTAGCGGAGGATGAAACCACAAAAGCTGCAGCTGGGTCGCCTCTGTTATCCGTAAACGACTTCTTGACTTCGAACCTCGCCCCGCCCGGCCAAGACCCCGACCCAAAACTTACACGAAGAGTCTCGCATAGTGGGCTGTCCGAAACCATTGAGGCACAAAACCACGCAGCATATCGCCGCCGTCTACAGAACCTCTCCGACTCCAAAATCGAGCTGAGTGCACATAACCACAACCAACAGCGTCTGAGGTCATCGGTTGGGTATCCGTATGGTGCTACGCCGTTGTTTTCGTCGGGTCCTGTGGGTGGACATGTCAAGTCGCCATCGTTGGAGAGTTTGAGGGCGTTTTGGGTAGATACAACAACTCTACAGCAGGAGAGCGGAGATAAGGACAAGTCATCGAAGGAGAAAGGGTTGTTCAAGATGTTCCGTCGTAAGGATAAGGAGAAGGAATACCCGCGGAGTCACTCACGGCAGAGTTCGGATGTGAGTGCACCGGGTACGCCAGTTACTGCGCAAGTTGGAAAGAGGCCGAGTTTGGGGCAGCATCGGGAGAGCAACGCGAGTACGGCTTCGCAGAGTACGAGAAAGAGTGATCCGCTGTCTACACCGTTGTCACAGAGAGGGCATGGGAATGGGTCGACGCCGACTGGGCAGAGGAATCGGGGACGGATGCTATTGGTACAGGTCACTAGGGACGCGGAACAGTTCTTCGTCGTGAATCTGTCGCAGTACTCCTTTGCTGCGGAACTTCGACGTGGGATCTGTGCCCGAGTCGGGTTCGAGGATGATATCGATAATGCGGCGCTTTTCATGACTGATATCGGTGATCTTCACCATGAGAAGAAGGATGAGTTGACGAATGACAAGCTTATGTATCTCTGTGCGAATGGAGACGCGAAAGGGACGCTCAAGTTCTTCGTACAGGATAAGTCCTCCCCGGCGGTGTTGAGGCCATCATGGTATGAAGAAGCGACGACCATGGATGCGAGGCGGGATTCGTTGCCGATGAGTCCACCCGATGGACGGTATGCGTTGACACCTAATTACATGTATCCGGCGAATTATAACCGGGAGGCTGTTTCGGCGAATGTCACACCGCGGTCGTCGGATCCGGATAAGCATGGGCCTGGGTCTGTCGAAGGAGATTACTTCCGGATCTCATTGGAAGGAGTGGACGTGAAGGATGCCATTGCGGAAGAGCGGAGGAGTCAGGAGCTTTCTGCCATCCGCCCACAATGGCAGGAGGCCGTGAAGAATAGTCCTGAAATCGAGATTAGTCCGCCGTCTGCGCTGCCGTCGTCGTCAACCGAAGGCTCGGCTCCTCGCGACTCTTATCATCAGGGAATTATGGGTGCATTGCCGCCCAGCGTTCCGGACAAGTCGGCGACTTTCAAGTTCCCGTCTTCGACGCATTCTCCGGTGCTTCAGCAGAGGCCACAGACGATGAGTGATCCGGTGGTGTATGTACCTCCAGCACCGGCACAACGTCGTTCAAAGAATGGCGGGTTTGAGTTCATTCGAGGAGCGAGGGGAACGCCGGATGTTCTTGAGAACACTCCAAAGCTGCGCCAACAGCCCCTGCAACAGAGGCCTCCACCTAGACGTGATGATGGGCGAAGTCATTCGGAGCCTGGTGGGGACTTCAGGGTTATCAGGCCTGAGCAATCGCGGATTGTTAATTTTGATGCTCCGCGCTCTTCACCATACGCTCCGCAAAGTGAGTTCGGTGCACCGCGATTGAGTGTCAATGAGACGCCTGCGTCTGCTGTTCCATACAGGCTTAGTAATGCGAGCGAAGCAGGCCTGAGCCGTGAGGACTCACTGAGTCGGCGTGATTCGCAGAAGTCGTTGGTGCCGAAGCGGCAAGCTCCGGCTGCTCCAGCGATGACTGACGACCGTCTACAGCGTTTGCGGAACAGTCTGAGCTTGCGGAAACCTGTACCGGGGGAGAAGATAAGTTCAGAGTCAGATTCGTATGCGGATCACGGTACCATGTCGATTCCGCGGAAGCCCGTTCCGCCGCGGTCTCTTACCATACCCATTATATCCAAGACGGAGCCGGAAGGGAAGACGATTTCGCCTATCAGCACGTCTGGACTGACGGGGTTGGTAGCCTTGGCGGCTGGATCGGCTATGGCTCTGGCTTCGATTCCGGCGGTTCCAGTGGCGGCCCAGGACGCTCTCCAAGATGTGCAGGAGAATACGCCAGACAGTCCTGTAATAGGCACTTCTTTGGGTGCTAGACGACGGAACCCGTTGAAGCTCCAAACTTCAGGCTTGCCGGGATTGAGACCGAAGAAATCCCCTGACTCGCCTGTTGAGACGCCGAAGTACACTACGGCGAAGTCTGGTATGCTTTTTAGGGTGCCGACATATGACGAAGGCCAGGACGAGAGCGAACACTCCAACTCGCGATCCAGCTCCACCGTTTCTTTCAATGAGCATATCTTCGACCGGAGAAAGAGCAGTCTGGCGTTACCGCCCCAGATGCCCATCGTCGATGACGAAACACCCGTATCTACGTTCCCGGGCAAGAAGGACCCGTTCGCGGAGAAGCTCATCAGCTTCGCGGATGCTCCTACGCTTCAAATTGAGGATGAGAGCGATGATGACGATGAACTGTTTGCAGTTAGGCCTAGTGGACAAAGGGAGGAGGTTTCAATTTCCACCTTCCCTGGTAAACTTGACCCGTTCTCCCGCAACTCCATGGACTTTGCGGATGCTCCAGCGTTGGAAGACAGTGATAGCGATGACGACGATAATCTTTTTGCTTTGAAGCCTGCAGAGAAGCCTGCTCGTGATCCGCCAGTGTTGCCTCAGATCACCAGACACCCCACACTGATGCGGGCGTCGTCTCTGGTGAAGCCTGGGACTCGTTCCAGTTCTCGTCCGTCCTTGAGAGTTCGGATCGGTGGATCAAGCTTCATGGCACCGGAATATGCCATTCAAGAGAGTCCAGATACGCCAGAGTACTTCAAGGGAGATGACAAGGGTGGCATCAGCTCCGGAAGCTCAAGAAATATCAAGAGCGCAAGCATCCAACCCCTTCCCTCTCGCGCTGCGCTACCCCAGAACTCGCCTGTGCGACGACAGTCTATGGCGTTGCGTGAGGATGTCTGGGCCGTTCGTCCCCCACCTGACGTCGTCTACGACAACCTCGAGGACTTCTTCCCTGATCATGATTTGGATACACCGATCGTTGAGAATGATGTTGATAATGATACACCACCCTCATCGCCTATTCCCAATGGGGGACGACCACGTTCGGGCGTGCCACCACCGGCATTCCCTCCACCGCCCGCTGCTCGTCATAGCTCGGCTGCAAGCTTGCGTCAATCGGGACGTATGAAGTCGATCCGAGTGGTTGCGAAGGAAGCCAGTGAAGCACGGAAACGCTTTGCTAGTGCTGCCGCTGGACCAAAGTCGTCGGCGGCATTGTTACGCCGTAAGAGCACGAAGCTGTGGGGTACGCGCCTGATTGAGATGACGCCCAGTCAAATCAAACAAGGCGAGATACCTAAGCCAGAGACGAGCGGGTTACAAAGAAAACCTACGTTCGCATGGGTCAAGGGTGAGCTCATCGGACAGGGTACGTATGGTAAGGTATACTTAGCCATGAACGCCAATACGGGAGAGATGCTCGCCGTCAAACAAGTCGAAGTCCCCAAATCCTTGGTTGGGAGCGATGAACGACAGTCGAACCTTGTCGGTGCGCTGAATAGTGAGATCGAGACGATGAAGGATTTGGATCATTTCAATATTGTGCAGTATCTTGGCTGCGAGCGGACGGATACTACGGTTAGTATCTTTCTAGAGTACGTCCCCGGTGGATCTGTGGGCAGGTGTCTGCGGAAGAACGGAAAACTTCCCATGCCTGTTATTCGTTCGTTGACGAGACAGACACTGGAGGGTCTCGCGTACCTTCATAATCGTGGTATCCTTCACCGTGACTTGAAGGCGGATAACTTGCTTCTTGATCATGACGGTGTTTGCAAGATCTCCGATTTTGGTATCTCGAAGCGAAGTGCAGATGTCTATGGAAACGATGCGAATATGTCCGTTATGCAGGGGACTATTTTCTGGATGGCTCCGGAGGTGATTCAAAACCAAAAGCAGGGTTACAGTGCAAAGATCGATATCTGGTCGTTGGGGTGTGTTGTCCTGGAGATGCTCGCTGGCAGAAGACCATGGTCGAATGACGAGGCTATTGGAGCCATGTTCAAGCTGGGCAATGCCCGTCAAGCACCGCCTATCCCGCCTGATGTCGAGGCTTACATGACGCCTGAAGCACGGGATTTCTTGGACAAGTGTTTTACCATCGATCCTGCGAGACGTCCCACGGCCCAAGTCCTCTTGCAGCACCCATTCTGCGAGTGGCAGTCGGGGTACAACTTCCTGGATTACTTTTTCTAGACGATACTATTCATTATCTCTGATAGCTAAATAATCATGATCGCTAAAATACCCATCCGTTGCAAACCTTGCCTATTTTTAGGTGAAGCTCCTACGCGCAACTGCAGCCATGACGTTTCGGCTCGCGTGCAGGCCTGCCGTTCGTGGAGATAGCCAAACCGCGGTCCGCTACCAGATACCCCCCCCCTATAACACCCAATCGCAAGGGTTACGAGCAGAGACCTCGGCACGGCTTGATCTCCTCCGCAACGCATTATCTCGGCATCTTCGCGAAAAACCGCATGCTTTACTGGCTTACCTGCTGAATCCCATCCGCAAGAGACCCGAACCTTAATTTCCCGCTCCGCTATATATCACCGTCGCACATCCTACTCGCTCAACGCTTATGCCCATCTCAGACAATAGTGCTCGAAGAGCAGCTGCTAATAGGTTCTTGGATACAATGCAGCCTGGACAAGGACAAAGGCGGCCACAAGCTGTTGCTACTGTTCCATGCAAGTACAAGACTGGAAGGACGTTGGGGCAGGGTACCTACAGTGTGGTGAAGGTACGTTAGGAGCATTGAGCCGGTGATTATACCATCAATTGAATGCAATTGACTCGGTTGTATGCAGGAAGTCGTACACATTGAGACTGGACAATATTATGCTGCGAAGGTCATCAACAAGAACCTCATGCGTGGCCGTGAGCACATGGTCCGCAACGAAATTACAGTTCTCAAGAAGATCTCACAAGGCAATACCCACCTTCTAACATTGGTGGACTACTTTGAAACGATGAATAACTGTATGTGGACAGCCGCGAACGTCTTCCACCTGACGTACTGACAGATCACATACAGTGTACCTTATCACCGATCTTTGTCTGGGAGGAGAGCTGTTCGACCGTATTTGCCGGAAGGGATCATACTTTGAATCAGATGCTGCATATATTGTACGCACCACGCTTTCTGCAGTCGGTCATCTGCACGACAACGGTGTCGTTCATCGAGGTACTAACAATTCGCATGCTTTCGTGCAATACAGCGTGCTGACTGTTTGTAAAGATCTCAAGCCGGAGAACCTCCTTTTCCGCACGCCAGAAGAAGATTCTGAGCTCTTGATCGCCGATTTCGGACTCTCGAGGATCATTGAGGATGAGAAGTTGCAGGTTTTGACGACGACTTGCGGAACGCCAGGATACATGGCACCTGAGATCTTCAAGGTATACAGAAAGAAAGGGGATCTCGGAAGCAAGCTCTGACATTGTGTATAGAAATCTGGACATGGAAAGCCTGTTGATATCTGGGCTATCGGTGTCATTACCTACTTCCTGCTCTGTGGGTATACACCGTTCGACCGTGATTCCAGTGCAGAGGAGATGCAAGCTATTATTAATGGAGACTACAATTTCGAGCCCGAGGAGTTCTGGGCTGAAGTCTCTGACGATGGTACGCTGATTAAGGACCAGCAGGCCTAGAGCTAATATGAGCGTACAGCCAAGGATTTCATCAAGAAGTGTTTGACCCTCGATCCATCCAAGAGACCCACAGCTCGCGAAGGTATGGAACACCCCTTCGTGAAGGAGAAGAAGCACGAAGAACCCGATCAACCCGACCTCCTGCCCACTGTCCGTTCCAACTTCAACGCAAAGCGTACCTTCGTCGCCGCAATCGATGCCATCAAAGCCATTCACAGGTTAGAGAACGGAGCTGGCATGGATGGAGCGTTTACGAATTCGCCGGAGGTGCATAAGATTATGCCGCCGAAGGATCAGCCGAAGCAGGCGCCCGGGTTGTGGCAGTCGAGTAGGGATAAGGCTGATGTGCCGCCGCTTTCTTGTACTGTTGCTGGGAAGTCGGCGAAGCCCACCGCGGCCGAGGAAGTTTCGAGTTCGTGAAACTGAGGTTAAGGTATGAGGAGAGGAGGTTCATTAATTAGCGAGGAAAAGTATTGTTACGCGGCAAGTTCTATTCCTATGGGTTTTCGGGGTTCCGTCGTTTTTAATGGAGTCAAAAGGTTTGACTAGGATTACACATTTTAGTTCGCATGGCTTAACTTCAACCGTGTGAGCCTTCTTAGCCCCTCGCCTCACATGCTTACTTGTCGGGCGCCTGTCCAGTCCTCTGCTTGTAAGCTGCAGGACTCTCATACTTCTCACCCAGCTTCCACATGCCCACCTTCTTGCTCCTTGCCGTCTTCTCTGCTTTCAGCAAATCCTGCTCAATCTCTCCATATACACTCCCCGCACTCGTATACACCGTCGCCAACCCTACCTGAAGCATCTCCAAACTGACGTTCTGCTTCCATATACCCCACTTCCAATACCAGCACATCCCAACGACCCGAGTGTATTGATCACGTTGATAGAGTTGCACACGTACGCGTCGGTTTAGGAGCTTACCCCGCAGCCAGGCTAGCGCTTCAGCAGAGTATGGCTGGGCGGGTTTGCCGAAATGTGCGCATTCTGGAGCATCAATGCCTGCTAGTCGTACATGTATCGTTTGATCTTTGAGAGCCTTTTGACCTGTAGGTATTTTCCGTAGCCAATGCCAACCGGTAAGCCAGCCTCCTGGGGTATGATAGAATCTGAAATTGTCCTGTGCATCAAGTATAAGTTAATGCACGACAACAGGAGCAATCGCAACCGACCCCGTCGCCAACAGACGTGACGTATCCTACGAGCGGCTTCTTCCTCGCAATTAACTCTGGCGTCACATGATTTGCAGTCGGGAACCTCCTCAGATTTCTTCTCCAGAAGTAGACACTCCCAAGGACTGCTGAAGTCAATATCGCCGTGTGTAAAACCGTATCGAAGTGTTTCTCGATAAGTGCCGTTATTGGGGCTTCATCCTCACGTTTCTTCACGGTCTCCTCTGCGAGTTTCTTCTTCCTCTCTTGTTCGGCTGAGAAATCAGCCGTGAAGAATGGGATTCTCATATCTGTGTTTTTGGTATTTTTGGTTGTCGCTTGGTTAACCTTCGCTATCAACACGTGACTCCCCTTAATACGGCAGCTGCTAAAAATAAACTTTTGACGGCAAGCACGAGCGAGCACGTATACAAAACGTGAAGCAAACAACGAAATGCCCAAGGAAAGGAAGCAGAGAGGTCGTAGGGCCGAGAAGAAGAGAGAAGAGGAGGATCTTGGGGAGGATCAGTATACTGAGCAGGTGAATGAAGGGCGTGACAACTATGAGGGCTATGACAATGGGTATGAAGGGCAGGAACAGAGGTGGCCAGACCGAGAGGAGCTTCCGGAGGGTGCTGGTATGTAAATCAGCTCTTGGCACGGCGAAATTTTGTAACTAACCTGTTTCACAGTTTATGGACAGGCATTCTTTGGTATTCTTGACGTGGACGAGGAGAAGTACTTCAAGGGCATCGAAGACGTCCTGACAGCAAATAACTTCGGCGATTCGGAAGAGCGACAAATCTTCATCGACAACGTCTTCGAAGAAATTAAAGGACAGGAACTCAAGCTTGCTACTAGCCCAACATCATCGAAGCTCTTGGAGCAGCTCCTCGCCAATGCGCCTGATTCCGCGTTGAAGAAGTTCTTCGAGGCATTGAATGGTCATTTCCTGGAGTTGGTCAAGCACCGGTTTGCGTCGCATGTTTGTGAGACGTTGTTCACGCTTTGTGCGAGGGTTGTTGATCGTGAAGTCAGAGCGCCGGATGCGCAGTTCATGGCTGGATCGGATGAGCCGGTTATTTCGATGGAGAATCTGTTCTTGTATATGTGCAATGAGTTGCAGCCGCAGATCAGGTTTTTGGTCGAGGACCGTTTCGCGTCGCATGTTCTGAGAATTGTGCTTCTCGTTCTTTCGGGCCGTCCGCCGACTTCGAATGATGACAGTTCGACGTTGAGGAGTAAGAAGAGCGCGAAGTTCAAGTCGAGGCAGATGAACTCGTTTGAGTTGAAGACGAGTGATGGCATGATCCGAATCCCCAGATCCTTTAGGGAGACTGTGAGACAGTGGATTGATGAGCTTGCCGGACATGCATCGGTGGCGGATGTGCGCGCGGTCGCCGTCAACCCTGTCGGTAACCCGGTTATTCAGTTGCTCTTGGAGATAGAGGCTGCGGAGAACTTGAAGGGTGAGAATGGCGAGACTTTGGTTGCCAAGCTTCTTTACGGCCAGGATGAGGATCATGAGGGGGGTGAGGAAGAAAGGGATGATTACGTCGAGACACTCCTTCGCGATGCGGTCGGAAGTCATTTGTTGGAGTGTATCGTAAGAACCGTCAAGCCGGATATGGTACCTAAGCTTTACAAGGCATACTTTAAGGGCAGGTTGGCGAAGCTTTCTCAGCATGCCATTGCGAACTTTGTTGCGCAGCGTGTTATTGAGCGTCTCGAGACGGAGAAGTTGGTCAACGAGGTTGCTCACGAGATCATGCCCTTATTCGACAAATTGTTGAAGACGTCAAGAACGGGCGTCATCAAGGCGGTTTTAGAGGCATGTGCGAAGCAGAATGTCCAGACTGAGGAGGTTGTGAACAAGTTGATTGAGGCTATGGGCTGCGACAGGAAGAAGCCTGCGGATATCTTGCCTACTATGTTCAAGATGGAGTCAAAGGAGCTGCAGAAAGAGGCACGCAGGGAGGAGAAGAAGCAGGAGAAGATCCGGAAGAGGAAGGAGGCTGTCGCCAAGGGTGAGGAGTGGGCTATCAAAAAGGAAGCCGAGGCTAAAGCTGATGAGGAGATTGAGAGGACTTCTTCCAGATCGAAGCTGAGCAAGACTGGTGCTTTCCTAGCAATCAGCGTGGTGCAGTTGCCGGGAGACGTGGGTCACTTCATCGTTGACTCCGTACTGGCACAGCCAAGAGCGACCATCCTTGAATGGGCGGTTGATGCTGTTGCGTCCCCTGTGTTGGAGGCATGCTTGAAACGACCAACACTGAACGCGGTCACCAAGAGAAGACTGTTAAATTATCTCGACGGAAAGATCGTCGAGCTCGCCTGTGATGCAGCTGGCTCTCACGTCGTTGACGCCTGCTTGAACGCTACAATGGGTTTGCAGAACTACCGAGAGAGTATCGCCGCCGAATTCCTCGCCAAGGCCGAGGAAGTCCGCGGTCACTTCTACGGCAGGCACGCCTGGAGGAACTGGAAGATGGATCTTTGCAAGAACAAGAAGGCGGCTTGGATTGCTGCGTTAAGGTCTGAGGATAACAGAAGAGAGTCGACGGTGAAGTTGCCGGAGCCTGTGACGATCACCCCGGTGGTTGAGGATAACCTGAAGAAGGAGAAGAGGAAGCGCTCGAAGGAGGGAGAGGAGCCTGCGGATGAGATCGATAACCTTTTCGCGGCGGCGGAACATAAAACATCGAAGAAGGCGAAAAGGTCATGAGCATCAATTTAGGTTATCGTGGGAAATTACGCAGAAATCGGCCCGACACGGAGGATTAGCAGCCGTCAAACGACGTCATGTCATAGCTAACAGGCCAATAAACCTTCCAGCCTTGTTGAGATGTGAAAATACAAAAGGAACTGCGTGATTGCCTATGGGCAGAGCCGTCGCCCTTGCAGCAACACCGGGAGCCGCGGCTCATGCACATGACGTGCGACTCGCGAGATGAACAGCTGACCACCCAACACGCCCCGACCGCGAAACCTGGCTTGAGCCTTATACGAGATCCGTCTTATATATAAACCCGAAACGCTCCCTCAACCCCAGCACCCATCCACCTCTGATGTCAGTGCCGTCACCCGGACTCCTGCGTCGCGCCTCGTCGGTGTCGGGCGGGCAGCTTCCTTCGCTGTCGGTTGCCGACGTTATCCTTCAGGCTAGCAGTCCGTCGTCTGACAAGAGGGTCGAGCCTCGCGATTGGAAGACTGTACCTGTATCAGACGTTGTTGCTGGCCAGAACTTGGTCACGATTGATGGGGATACGTCTCTCGAGGATGCTTGCCAGATGTTGATTGACCGCGACATGACCTCCATCCCTGTTCGACTCAAGGACGGCGAGAGGGGCATTTCTCATACTTTCGACTTTACCGACCTTAATGCCTTCCTTCTCCTCGTTCTTGGCGTCGGGCACCCCGTTGAAGATGCGGGATCGTTCCAGGACTTGGTGATGCGCGCGCGAACTGGCGGCAAGGTGCCCGTTGCGCGTATCTCCGATATGGCACCGAAGGATCCTTTCGTAACTGTGCCCTCCAATGAAGGGTTGGGAAAGATTGTGGAGATTATGGGGACTGGAGTGCACCGATTGGCCGTCACGGACGAAGCCGGTGAACTCGTCGGAATTGTCAGTCAGTGGAGCCTGGTCAAGTACTTGTGGGACAACATAAGAACCTTTCCCGCGCTCGAGTCTTTGTACCAACAGACGGTATGCGATATTAATTATGCGTCCCAAAAAAACTTACCAATACTGCTTACAGGTCGAGAAACTAGCAATCGCCAGTAAAGAAACAGTCTCAATCCACGGCGACAAACGCGTCCTCGAAGCCTTCGAAACAATGAACAAACTCAACATCTCCTCCCTCGCCGTTGTCGATTCGCAAAACAACCTCATCGGCAACATCTCCATCACGGACGTGAAATACGTCACCCGCGCATCCTCCGCTCCCCTCCTCCGAACCACCTGCTCCCACTTCCTCGGTATCATTCGGTACGAGCAGGGTGTCGAGAACGGACGCGACAGTTTTCCGGTGTTTTCGGTGAATCCTGGGAGTAGCCTTGGACATACCGTGGCTAAATTGATTGCCACGAAGAGTCATCGTATGTGGGTCACTGTCTCCTCATCAGCGAGCTCGACCCCGCCATTGACGAGTGGTCTCCAAACCCACGTACCCGCAATACAACCCCACTCCATCGGTGGCCCCGCCCCACCCTCCCCTCATACCGACCGCCTCGCCTCTACAGCCTCTAACGCCGGGGCAATCCCTACCTCCGGGGCCGGAGTCGGTTCTGGAATTCTCCGCGGCGTGGTGTCTCTTACCGACATCATCTACTGCTTTGCGAGAGAGGGAGGAATGAATGTCGACCCCGGAGAGGCTCGACGGAGGAGACGGAGTTCGAGTGCGTACTCGAGTGCGAGTGGAAACGGGGATGCGGCGAGGGATAGGTTCTGGGCGGGGGTTGGGAGTCCGGGGCCGAGGGAGAGGAGGACGAGTGGGTTGGGTGGGAGTGCGGTTGAGTGAGAGTGAGTGAGTTAGACGATGGATGGACGATGGAACATTTGCTGCAGAGCACTGATATCATTAAGCGGAGACCAACCAGTGAAGTCTCCATAGGCTAGCCGACCCCCTGAGATATGAATAGGTCGATGTACGATATGGGGAAGTGGTGGGAACAGGATACCTGGGGGCTCGCTCGAAGGAGGGGAGCCAACATGAACAGCAATACATATTCATATTGCTAGGGTGTATGCTTTACTCGCAATATAGTCTCTACGTTTACCAATGCCTATCGTATGCCGCTTCTTGTCCATTCCGGATCCGCGTATGCGTCTACTCGTACAGCCTTTATAATCTCCCTCCCTTTTTCACAGCATTCACCGCTCAAACTTAGTCAAACTTCCACCCCCCCTCCTTCAACTCCTTCCCAATTCTCTCCACACTACCGACCAAATCATCAATAAACTCCGTACTAACGTTCGGGGCATTAATCACAGCCCTAAAGAAACTCCCCGTCTCCCCCGGCGCAAAATCAACCAAAAACTTTCCTTCCTTCGTCAACCTCTCACTTATCACCTCTACCTTCTTCGTATTCAATGCAGAGTCCGTCGTTGCGTCGAATTGGAAGCAGACTTGGAGACAGGAGGGGGGGTTGGGAGAGAGGAGGGTAAAGTCGGGGCGAGAAGCGACGGTGGAGGAAAAGTAGGAGGCGAGAGCGTAGGCTTGTTCGATACGGGCCGCGTAGCCTTGTTTTCCGTACCAGCTCCATCCGAGGAAGAATTTTAGAGCATCGGGACGGCGGCCACATCCCATTGTTGCGTCTGCGAGGTCGTATTGTGCCTCCTCTTCATTATCGCCGTGGAACAAATACCCTGCTCGTAGGGAGTTTGATTTGACTAGTGTTCCAGAGTCGGGGAGGATTAGGTATGAGCACTGTAGTGGGACACCGAGCATTTTGTGGGGGTTGATGGTGATGGAGTCGGCGAGTTCGGAGCCATCGAGGAGGTGTTTGTATTTATCCGAGAAAATGACGGAACCACCCCATGAACCATCGACGTGGAGCCAGAGGTCATGGCGGCGGCATAAAGTCGCTAATTCGCGGATGGGGTCGAAGGAGCCCATTACGGTCGTTCCGGCGGTAGCGTTGACGTAGAAAGGGGTGTATCCCTCTTCCTTTGCTTTGATGACGAGCTTTTCGAGTTCGGAGGGGATCATGCGGCCGAGGGAGTCGATGGGCACGGACCAGACGGCTTTTGAGCCGAAACCGCAGAGGATGGCGGCTTTTTCGACAGAGTAGTGTCCGTGCGCAGAATTGAACACCACGAATTTCCGCCCGTTGAGACCCTCCGTTTTAGTTTCGGGGAACTTGATATTACGTGCCGTCACCATCGAATGCGTGTTCGAGCTTGAACCACCGGGAAATGTGATACCCCCGGCATTCTCACCCTCGAATCCAAAGAGTCTGGCAAGTGCGGTTCCGGTACACCGTTCCATGAGCGTGAGGACGGGTGAGACGTGGTAGACGTGCGATCCCGTGTTTAACACCCCCAACAACAACTCTGACGCGACGCCGACTGCGTTCGTTGATGCATACAACTTGTCCAGAAACCCGGGACTCCATCCGTTCACGCTGTACTTCAATGTTGTCTTGATGATATCCAACACTCCCTCCTGGCCGAGTCCTTTTTCCGGTACAGAGAGGGAGAGGAGACGGTCGAGGTCGTGGGGCTTGTGGTAGTCCAGGACTTTCGAGTCGGGGATGGAGGCGTCGCGGATGAATGGGATGACCAATTCTTGGACTTTGTCGAGGAGGTCTTTTACCTCGTCGGCGGAGGAGACGCCGATCTCATTGGGGGTCATTGTTGAAAATCACCGAGGCAACGGAGATCAATTGGGCGTTGACTGGGTATAAATGTTTGGTGGTGGAGTCGTGCTCGGCCCAAACTTTTGCTCATCTGGCTCAGGGCGCACGCCGGTTGGTAGCATCCGTCCGATTCAGTTCAGGGGTGACGAATCTAACCACCAACAACTCCAATCGCAATGGCAGACCAACCGCATACATCCGTCCAAAATGCCGAAGCAAAGCCCGAACTGACCCTGGACCGCCTCCAACGCCAACTCTCCCTCCTAGCCTCCATGACCCAGCAAAACACCGCAATGATAAAAGCCCTCGTCGAATCCCAACAGGCACAATCCTCCAAGGGACTGCCAGAGCTTCAGAAAGCGGGAGAGATGGGCGAGGTGATTACCGGAATCGTGAATGATTTGGTAGCGGAGATGCAAGGGCAGATCGACCTCCTGTACGCATTCCCCCTTCTATTCTACCATGTATGTGCCGGTACTGATTAACGCGGGTTTAGGGAATCCCGCTCCGTCGACCGAACCTACAACTCCCACGCCCGCCACCCCTCCTCCCCAATCCAATTCCTCCTCGGCCCAGAAATGGCGGAACCCTCGAATGCTCCCACGTACGTTCCCTCTCCCCTCTCCTCTGTAGCACAATTGCTAACGGGTTTGTAGAACATTGGCCGCGCTTCAAGCAGTAGGAAAGGACTTGAAGAGTTTAGTGGGGTGGATGAAGTTTTATGGGATGTTACCGCCTGAGGCGAGGGTTGGGGACGAGGAGAGGGAAGAGTTGTGGGTGCAGTTTGGGAGGTTTTTGGGGGTGAATATTGAGGCTAGTGAGGAGGTGGATGGAGAGGCTTGAATTGGAAGGGTGAGCGAATGAGGTGTGATAGCTATAGAGGAAAGATGCGTTATACCCGTCGCAGTCAAGATGAGCGGTAGATCTATAGAAGGGAGACCAGGCTACATTGTATGACGGCAATGAATGCTTCTTGACCAAGATCGTACGTCAGTAAGGTATACATCAATTGGTATCCTGACCCTCTTCGTAATCCTACACTACCAAAATCTTATCCTAAGGTATGCTATGCACGTATATGATTCACGACAATAAACATCACGTTTATCCGTTAACAACAGTACCACCGTTGGGGTGCAACGTCTGCCCGGTCATGAAACTGCTATCCGGCCCAGCCAAGAAAACAAAGCACGTAGCGACCTCACTCGGCTGTCCCGCCCTCCCCAACGGAACTCCAGAGAACCCATCCAAACTTTCCTTCCCCATCGTCGCAACAACGAGCGGAGTCCAAATGGGACCAGGCGCAACAGCGTTAACACGGATACCCTTATCCGCAATCTGCTGTGAAAGCGCACGAGTGAAGGCGACGATCGCACCCTTGGTTGCTGTGTAGTCCAAGAGTTTAGGGTGGCCTTTGTAGTGGTTTACGGAGGCGCAGTTGATGATCGCTCCACCGCGCGGGATATGCTTGAGCGCGGCCTTGGTAAGGAAGAACTGCGAATAGATATTCGTGCGGAAAGTGCGGTCGAGTTGGGCTTCGGTGATATCCTCGATCGTGATTTGTTCCATTTGGTACCCGGCGTTGTTGACGAGGATGTCGAGACCGCCCAGCTCTGCGACGGTGCGTTCGACGGCCGAGATGCAGTTTGCTTCGGTTTGGATGTCGGTGGGGATTAGGACGCATTTGTGGCCGGCTTTGATGACTTGGGATTGGGTGATTGCGGCGTCTTCCTGTTCCTCAGGGAGGTAGACGATAGCCACGTCTGCGCCCTCCAAAGCGTAGAGAATGGCGACGGAGCGGCCGATACCGGAGTCACCACCCGTGATCAACGCCTTTCTTCCTTCCAACTTTCCGCTCGCCCTGTACTTCTCGACCTTCACCTGACCCTTCTCGTCCGTCAACCCACCTCCGACGGGGAGTTGGTCGTAGATGGGAGAAGGGTTCATCTTTGTTTCGAGGCCGGGGGGGGATTGTTGTTGGATTGGCTGTTGATGGCCGGGTTGGAAGGGGTTGTCGGGGGTGAGGAGTTCTTTTCCGATGTTCTTGACTGCTTCCATTTTTGGTGATTGGTGTTTGTATGAGTGTTGTTGGTGGGAAGAGAGGGGAGTGAGGAGGGAGGGGTTTATATGGACGATTCTCGATGTGGGCCGCGGAGTTTGTCGTGGGTGATGTCATTGCAACGCACTGAATCCGACCGTAGAAGGGACAACGGCTCGAGGAGGAGTTTCGTAAGATTTACGTCATACCCGACATTTAGGTACCCGCACGCTGCTGATCAGTTCGACGCGGATCCAACAACATGTCTTCAACAGCGAGAGCGCCAGCTGCAGCAGCTGATCAGGGTAGCAGTACCGAGCCTCAATGGACTCTACAAGAATTGCTGACCTTCCTCACGAAAGACGCAAAGATCCCACTGAAGGATGCAATGGGGTACGCTCAAATCATTATGAAGGAGAAGTGGAATAGGCCGTCGAGGTTACTGGAGGCAAAGCTTGAAGGTGTGAAAGAGAAAGTAACGAAAGGCGAAGCAAAGCCTGCGCAGGCCATCCTGAGAGCTGCGAAGAAGATCACTGGACAGGGATTAAGTCCGAGTGGCAAAAAGCGACCCGCAGAATCGGAAAACACTGCAGGAGCACTCAAACGCTCAAAAACCGGCATCGCCTTCCCAGCTCTCCACCCAAACCCCTCCTCTCTCTCCCACATATCCCTAACAACCAACCGCGCCCCCCTCCTCCTGGCCTACACCCTCACCCTCCTCTCCCGTACCCACCCAACCCTCTCCCTCGACTCCCGTCTGTCGATCGCACAAGCATATATCAGTGCCAACGCACGGAGCTATGGACGCGATATCGGGGTTATTGAGGGAGGGGGGGTTGATGAGAAAGCCGAGGTTGAGGGGTTTCGGAAGGTGCAGGTTATGGGGAGGGTGATTGCTGTGCTTGGGAGATCACGGGATGAGGGGGAGGAAGAAGAGGAGGAGGTGAGAGCGTTGGATTTGGATCCGAATAGGGTTGGGATGAGGGATCGGGACGGGCAGCCGGCTGTGTGTGAGCCTGGTGGGGCATGGGGCTATCTTGCCCGTTCCTTCCCTGGGGACGCACTGGGTCAACTCCTCTCTGTTCTTGAAGCGGTGATGGAGTCTTGGTGCCCCGATCATCCTCATGACCCCAACGATCTTAAAGCTGACCAAGAACGACGTGATCTCGATCGCAGGGGATATGGACTGTATACCCGTATCCGGCCAAATGTGGAGTATGGAAAGGCGGGATGGGGACAAAAAGGTGAAGTGCAGCTGGGTGATATCCTTGCTTTACGGCGTGAAGAAGTTGATGGGGGAACGAGGCAGGTTGGTATTGAGGAAGTTGTTGCTGGGATGAAGGAGGAGGGGGATCAGAGTAGGAGTGGTGAAGTGAGTGCACGTGGTCTGAACGTGGAGGGCGGGAATGTCGCGGTGGAACCGAGGCCGGAAGAAGAGGCAGAGGTTGTGAAGAAGGAGCATGGAGGAAAGCAAATGGGTATCGAGGAGGCCGTGAGTCATATGGTATCTGTGCCAGAGGAAGTAAAGCAGTTTATCAAGGACGAGAAAGAGGAAGAACGAGTTCGGCCGAAGGAAGAGGTCAAGTCTGAGACGAGGCAACTAGGTATCGACGAGATGTTGCCGAAGGCAGAGCCATAGTATACCCAGGATACCATCTGTTCATGAAAAGTCAATACTATTGATATTGTATCATCAAACACTTTCAGCAAACGCGTAGCAATCAAACCAAACAGAAAACCCATCCGAACGCTCGTTATCGTATCCCCAATCAAACGCCTCTAAGAATATAACGCCAATACCTTACAATGCTCGTCCCATTCACCAATCTTGACACCGCCCTGACAATCCATTCCAAAAATAGCCAATCATCCTCCGCCCCCTTCCCTCCATCTAGCCGCTCTGAAGCAAAGCATCGGTTCTCCGAATTGCTTTTAGGCACCACGCGCCGGAGCAGGCGCACGAGCCTGCGCACGACGAGCAGCATCAGCACGAGCAGTAGCCGCCGCTCGATTATGACCGGCAGCGGCCGTCCGGGCAGGAGCAGAGGCAGCACCGGCCCCCTGTCCCATCTCGCGAGGACGTCTCTGCTGTTGGGGGACCGCACCACCCCATGTATGAGTCATCCATGGCATCGGATACACCGCTGGTATGCCTTCTGGCATTTCGGCCATAGCTTGCTGCCTGTCCCGTTCAAACTGCTGCATTTCCTGTTGTTGCCTTTGCATTTGCTGTTGAGCAAGCCTTTGCTGCTGAGCATGCACTTGCTGGTGAGTCCGTTGAGCCTGCATTTGCTGATGTTGCCTCGCCAAAACCTCATACACCTGTTGCTGTTGCAGCTGTAGAGCTCGATTTCGGGCAACAGCATCGCCATTACGGGGCACATTCGCTTGAGCCGGGTTCGCAGCGGCTTGTGCGGCGCCCCCCTGGGCATTCCCATGTGGGGGCGCAATTACATGCCCCTGGGCATTGCGGACAATAATGTATCGGTCGAATCTTTCAATGACACGACGAGCTGCAGGAGCCCCAACTGCACCTGCTGGACGAGGAGGACGGGCCGCGAGATTCAAAGGAGGAAGAGATTTCCATTCACTATGTGACTTTCATGAGCACGAACAGCATTTATCAGAGGCGTGGATCACTTACGCCTCTTGCGCCTTGCGCTCGTCAAGCTGTTCCTTGCTCATGGTGAGCGAAGCATACTTGTTCGCCATCTGCTCCACCAAGAAGTTGCGAATAAGAGGGTTCCCCTTGAGCACCTCGGTACGGCATTCGGGACACTGGTTACTGCCATTGTCGATCCAGGGACGGATGCAGAGACCGCAGTACTGGGATCCAATTAGACATGATTTTACAGGCGCGCTGACGGGTACTTACCGTATGACCACACGGCACAACAGACATGGGGTTGACGAACGGATCGTAACACAGCGTACACTCCAACTCCTCTTGGAAGTCAATGTGAAGTCTCTCGTCCTCCTTCTTCTTCTTTTTCTCTTCCCCCTTCTCCTCGACCTTCTCCTTCTTCACTTCCTTCACGTCATTAATGATGTCCTTCTCTTCAAGAGAGAGACTGTCAATTTCGTCCGCAGCATCATCAGCATCATCATCAGCATCAATTTCGATGACAATACGCTCCTTCTTTTGCTTTTTGGGAGCACTGCCTTCGCCAGAGGCAGGCCGTTTGACGGCGCCGAAGGGACGTGCTTGGGATTGTGCGGCATTGACGGCAGGCCCGGCCATAGAACGTTCGAAATTGGTGTTACGGGGAATAATAACCCTGGAAACCATACGTTAGTACATGTGAGCGTTCACGAAGAGCTTCATCCAACCTGTAGCGCGGCAATCGCGCATTTACCACCATCTCAGTCTGAACCGTGTGATTCTCCTTAACCCCATAAGCACCCGAAAACACAACAATATCGTCATGTTTGATGGCCATTTCAACACTCGCTCCGATCTTTACGTACTGTACGAGACAGCCATTGCCGGACTGGGAGAGGCACTTGATGAAGTAACGTGGTTGGGACCAGCCGAAGAGAGGATCGGGTTGGACGGAGAAAACAGCATGTTCGCGAGAGATGGTACGGTTCTGGCTACTATTCCAAGAAGATTAGACGAATGTATGCATGGAATTGAGCGCCAACACTCACGGAAACGTCGCCCTCCCGACTGTTACCGCCCTCTCAGCTCCTGTTGGCAGCTTGATGATCTTAGGCTCAGTGTAATCGTCAACAGCATGTAATATGGGTGCAGCATTGTCCGCCATGACAGCTGGAGCTACGAGGGTGAGGGGTCGCCAATGGTAATGATGATGATAAATGCTGTTTCTTTGATTACGTCTTGCCCTCTGGGTTTTAGTGCTGGGTGCTGTACGACGCTTATGTAGGGGGGCAGTCCCCACCGTGGGAATGCAATTTGGAAGGGGCACCTCAGTACAAACAGCTAACCTTACTGATTCTATCGCATGAAACGTTTCTAATGGGCGCCATGATTTACTATACTCCTATTGTCCGCTCTCTCGACAGCATCCAATACCATCTCCCAAAATACTTCGACATCCATCTTCATGGCAACCTTCACATTCTTGACCAGATCACTTTGTCCCCACACATGGCAAACTGTTCTCCCAATAACCGACGGCTCACTTGCCGCAGTCACGACATCGACTCTCATAAGCTTTGTCTCAAAGCTGTCTGGACGAAGGACGTACGCAATGCAGCACACGTCGTGCATTGGTGGCCCAGACGTTACGTTGAAAACTCGGGCATAAGTATCCGCAAAGAAGGTTGCTAACTCGACGAGCATGGTGCGAAACGGAGTGCGTGGTGTGCCCATTCGCTTGAGAACCTCTGGGGTAGCGATGGCCGTATGCGTTAGCTCTAACGGCACCAACACGATTTTCCCAACCAGAATGGGATTGTTAAGAACCATTTGTGCAGCGTGCGGATCGCAATATATGTTGAACTCGGCGCCGGAAGTAACGTTACCCGTTGTCATTGCACCACCCATGATGACCACTTCCTTTACATGTGCCGCGACCTCGGGGTATACCGCGAATAGCAAGGCGATGTTCGTCAAGGCGCCTGTAGGTACCAGAGTACACGTGTCGGGCTGGCAGCTAAGTATCGCTTTTGCCATTGCTTCAATGGCCTTTCCTTCCCGTGGTTTCATAGCGGCTTTGGGGAGTAAGTTCGTCCCATCAAGGCCGCTTTCGCCGTGGATGTTTGGTGCGTAGAGAGTTGGTACGAGCAGCGGATGTGAGGCGCCTTTGTAGACCGGGATATCTGTTCGGTGTATGGCTGTAAGGAAACGACAAGCATTTTGGCAAGTGTGGTCAAGGGAGGAATTGCCGTACACGGTCGACACGCCTGTTCAGATGTCAGCTCTCCTTCAGAGCTATCGAACGGACAAGCGAACCTAGAACGTTGATCTCTGGTGTCTGGCCAGCGAGGAGCAGGGCAAAGGCATCGTCATGCCCCGGATCACAGTCAATCTACTGCCGTTAGCAGTGCCATTGAATGCCAAAGTTATTATGACTACCCAGATATCCTGAACCATCTGACGGGTTATTTGAGGGTGCTTTTGGGGTTTGACGACGACACGGACCCCCACACTCACCCGATGACGCTTGTCTGAGACCCAGCTGCAGCGGGCGTGCACAACCGAGCGGGAGGCCGCAACGTAATGTCAAACTCACCGCAATCTCAATTGCCGGCAAACAAACCACCAAGACCACTATGAGTCTGTTAACAAGGGTCAAGAAGACCGTTGGGACTAATCTCTCAGCGGGTCTGATGAGGGATAATTTTCATTTGAATTACGTGAGTACTCCTTCCTCGGTCTGTGAGTGGAATAGGGCTGAGCGCGAATTAGTTGACGCATCATGGCATACACGGCACGATCTCGACGATGCATTTCGATCCTGTGCAGGGGTTGTTGGCGGTTGGTACCTATGAAGGTTCAGTCGATGTCCTTGGACAGAGCGGTGTCCAGGTCACCTTTCACGTCAGCAATTCACCGGCAATCAGGCACGTACGGGTACATGGACCACGATTGGTGGTAGTGGATGCCAAGGTAAATATCGAGGTCATCTTGCTTCATAATGGCTGGCTAAAGATGTTTACAGAACGCCCTCACTATATTCTCACTCGAAACGTGTGAACGAACTTCCGTCTACTCCGCCCGCGGCCTCGTCACCTGCATTCACACCGATCCCTCCCTAGATTGGCTCTTCATTGGTCTAAATGACGGTACGATCGATGTCTGGGATTTGGACCGCGAACGTATCGCCCCGTTTCGTATCCCGAATCTCTACAAAGAACGTCAAGATCAATGGCGATTCATGCAATATAAATGGGCTCCACCGCGGTCGAAAATCTCGCCTGTGGTAGCTATGCAGATGCACCCAAGAGATATTGGGCTGTTGTTAGTGGGATACCCGGATGGTGCCGCGCTGTTCAGCTTTAAGGAGAATAAGGCGATCAGGTTTTGGGAGTTGGTGATTCCGCCTGGAGCACCGGGTGGTGATACCGATCCGAGTATGATACAGACGCTCCGGAGACCATGTTTAACGAGCATATCTTGGCACCCTTCCGGCGTGCATCTGGTCACGGCACACGAGGATGGGTGTATGGCATTCTGGGATGCGAAAGTTGAGGGAGGGCCGTTGCAAACGAGAACGCTGACGGAGACAGAGGTGGATATTCCAGGACATCATACGCTTCAACCACCTGCGACTGGAACGTTCTCGGTGCGTGAGCCAATCTTTAGGATGTCGTGGTGTAGTCTGGGGACACCGGAGGAAACCCAGCTCGTCGTTGCGGGTGGGTTATTCAGTGGGACGGCAGCGCCGGGCTTGACGCTGCTTGACTTTGGACCGCTGCCTGGTGGTTTTACGAAAGCCCCCACCCCACAGCAGTTTACAGAGTACTACTCCATGCCACGGAGGACGAAGATTCTGCCGACGATGTCTTCGGCTATGCCGTTGGATTTTGTCGTCTTTCCTTACGGTACGCCGCATTACCTCGGAACGCATAACCCGACAGCCCTTCTAGTGCTACTTTCTACCAACGAACTCGCACTCCTCGGGTTCCCCGATGGAAGAGCATTGGATCCCGCAAAGGTCCTCCCTCCAGCACTGGCCCTCCTTACGCCTCGTGCTCTGCACGTCGCCGTCACCCCAGTGACTCGGGAGAAGTGGCTAGGCATGACCGGAGGAAACAACGGCAAATCCGCCGGACCCGGTGACCAGCTTCTTATCGGTGGTGCCCCCGCCCGTCAACGTCTCCGTGCATTCGCACACCGTAATGTAATGATGACATCCCACGCTGACGCAACCGTACGTCTCTGGGATGCTTCACATGGGGAGGTGGAAAATACGTCTGTTTTGACGGCCGATTTGAGGAAGATTCTGGGAGAGGGTAGGGATGGACCACCAAGGATTACGAAGACCGGTTTGAGTAAGATGACGGGTGAACTCGCGGTTGGCACTGAAGCGGGAGAGTGTATCATCTACAGATTTGGGAAGACGCGGGCGGCGGAGGCGATGGGTGCTGGTGGTGCTGAGACGGCAATGGGTGCACCTAGGATGCCGACGGTGAAGGAGTTGGAGGCAGAGATGGGTGGTGTTACGATGGATGAGCCGGACCAGATGGAGATGCCCCCTCAGCGTGTTCAGCCGTCGCAGATGGCTAGTCCGCCTCTGTCGCCTGATCCGGAGAAACACAGTAAGAGATTTAGTGGTTTGTTGGGACGGAGATCCTCGACGCAAGCTGGTCCCAAGTCACCTGCGCTGCCGCAGGGCGTTGTGCCAGGCCCGCAGACATCGAAGGATTTGTTGCAGAATATCTCGCATATGACGGATCCGGCTGTTTCTTCTGGATTTCTTCCGGTATGTGCAGTCCGTGCGCATCGAGGCGGCGTGACGTGCATCAAGACGACCGATGTCGGATTCATCGCAATTGGGTATGAGTATGGTGCGATTGCGTTGGTCGATATGCGTGGGCCTGCTGTCATTCTGTTGGAGGATTTGGTTAATCTGAAGGGGAAGCAGGGTGAAGTTGAGCTTGAAACGCCTACTTGCTTTGAGGTTGCCGTAATGTCGCTACAGGATGGCGCGAGGCCGAATATCCTTCTCTTTACGGGAACTTCGGCAGGGAGGATCATTTGTCATAAGCTGGTGCCGACACCGCATGGTGGGTATAGTGTGCACTTTGAGTACGCGAATAGTCATTCACAGGATGGATCGATCGTGGCATTGTTGCCGATAGAACTGGACACGGGTTTGTCTGCAGTCGCCATGCCGGCTAACTTGAGGACTGATGTCCCCATTGATGGGGGTATAATTGCAGTGTCTGCTGGTGGTGTCAGACTTGTCAAGGGTGACTCGCACAAGACACGTGCGTCGTTCCCAGCGCAATGCACGGCTGCCAGTATTCTTTCGCGAGGTACGGGAGATGTTGCTGTTGCCTGCGTCATGGATTCCAGGCGTATCCGTGTTTTGTCTCTTCCGTTCTTTGAGGAGATAGCGGATATCATCATTGCTGGTGATATCCAACGTCTGGAGGAGGCAGTATTGACCGAGAACGGAGATTTGTTCATCTGGACTGGCGCTGCTGAACTTGGGCTCTTCTCCTTGTGGCACACCGGCGGTCGGCCACCGAGTGCACAGCAAGACCAGTTGTTTGATGCGCTGAAAGCGACGCCGGCCAGGCCTACGATTAGTACTTGGCAATGGGTTACTGGCACGGTGTATGTTAACCAGCAGGATCTGGACTTACTCATTGGAGGCCCGAACCGACCTCCGTCGAAGAAAATGCTGCTGGAGCAGCGTGCGAGGGATGAACAGCAGAGGTTGGCTGCGCGTGCTCATGCCCAAGCTGGCATGACACAAGGCATCCAAAACGACGCGAACTCGGGTGTATTCGGTCAGATGGCGCAGAACCTTAACGAACGTGGAGAGCGATTGGGGACGATGGAAAACCAGTTTGATCACTTGGAGCAGGCTACAGGAGAATGGTTGAAGGAGATCAAGGGTTTCGCTGGACAAACGAAGCGCAAGGCGGTGATGAAAGGATTGGGTCTTGGTTCATTCTTCTAATTTACTAGGTTTATTGGCGTTATGATTGGGTCCATTGAATCGACATATCTTGTTTCCCACACACTCTCTCCCCGGTGCCAATTCGGTGCGGGGCTGAGGCAGGACAGCGAGTGGCTGGGGGCACTGCGCGGCATCGTCATCCGGCACAAGCTTTATCGGACGGACCTCACGAACAAGAACGTAAAGAGTACTGGAGAAACCAATTGGTCGAGATGTCGATCCGGACGTTGAAGACTTATATCTGTACGTTTTGTCCTCGGTCGAGTTTTTCCCGGCGTTGCTGACGGGATGGGTAGACCGAGCATGCGACTCGACGTTGTTCGAGCCGAACCTTGCCCTTGATTTGGAGATTGCGGATTTGATTAACCAGAAGAAGGGAACTTAGTATGTCAAAACGGTACATCGCTGCTCATGCAGTGCTGACCAGTTTGATATAGCCCTCGTGAAGCCGCATCTTTCCTCCTCCACTTCATCAACAGCTCTGACCAACATGTCGCGATCCTCGCCCTTGCCCTCCTCGATATTCTCGTCAAGAATTGCGGTTACGCCTTCCACTTGCAAATCGCCTCAAAAGAATTCCTCAATGAACTCGTCCGAAGATTCCCCGAACGCCCTTTGGCGCGACCCAGCCGTGCGCAATACCGAATTCTGGAATTGCTCGAGGAGTGGAAGTCCACTATATGTGTCAACAGCCGCTACAAGGATGACCTCGGGCATATTCGGGATATGCACCGTTTGCTGACTTACAAGGGCTACAAGTTCCCGGAGGCCAAGTCTGATTCATTAGCTGTGCTTAACCCTTCAGACAACCTCAAGTCCGCTGATGAACTGGAAGAGGAAGAGCGCGCTGGTAAGCAGGCGAAGCTTCAGGAGTTGATTCGACGTGGTACACCTCAGGATCTCGCCGATGCTAATGAGCTGATGAAGGAGTTGGCGGGTTACAAGAACCAGGTGGATTACCGTGCTAAGGCTGCGGAGGACGTAGAGCGCGTCAGACAGAAGGCGAATATGCTTATCGAGATGATGGCCGGTGTCAAAGACGGTGATGTTATCGGTCAGGCTGATGCCTTCGACGAGTTGGCGAACGCTGTCAAGAACGCCCAGCCTAAGATTCAAAAGATGGTGCAGGAGGAGAGTGATGACGCAGAGGCAGTCGTCAAGCTTTTGGAGTTGAACGACTTCTTGAACAACACTGCGACTAAGTTCGACGCGTTGAAGAGGGGCGACTGGGAGACGGCAAGGAGCATCAACGTTCACCAACTCGGCACACCGCCCGCAAGAGCGGGAGGTGCTTCGCCCGTAGCCGGAGGTGCACCAGCAAGTAATATACAGTCTTTGTCTCTGATTGACTTTGACTTCGATGCTCCTGCAGCTACTCCTGCTGCGGCACCTCAGCCTGCGCAGACCGGTAGCTCTGCTGCTGACGATCTCCTTGGCGACCTTGCCAGTCTTTCCGTCCAGACGCCCTATGGTCACGGTGGTAACATCTCCCTTGGTGCTCCCAGCGCTCCTTCCTCTCCCCCACCACAGATGCAGGGCACCAACAACTACTCCGCCTTGGAAGACCTCCTCGGCGGTGGCAGCAGCCACTCCCGTAACGCAAGTAGTTCGAGTGCTGGTGCTTTCGGAGCTATCGGCTCCTCCGCTCCTGCCCCTGCTGCTGCTTCAGGAGGCGAAGTTACCATCAACGACTCCGCTGCCTTGTCCGTCCGCATGGAGGTTTCCCGCGTTGGACCCGCGCCTGACGCACCCATTCTCTTGACTGCCAAATTCAACAACAAGTCTTCTCAACCCGTGACCGACCTCGTCTACCAGATGGCCGTCCCCAAGTCCATGGTTTTGAAGATGCAGCCCGCTTCCGGTGTCCAGCTCGCTCCTATGCAGCAGAACGGCATTACTCAGGTTTCTCAGATTACGGGTGTTCCGAGGGGATCTGCGGGTGTGAAGCTTAGGTGGAGGGTTTCTTACAAGGTCGGTGGAAGGCCTGTTGAGGAGAGCGGTGAGGCGACAAACTTGCCTGTCGTCTGAGCTGAAGGAGAGAGAAATGGAAAGAGGAAGAAAGTACGGCCGCGGGAGAGTTGGGGTGACATATTATACCATTGTTTTGCTTTACGAGTTAGCCAACTTGAATGAAAGACGTTTTTCTCACCCGGTTGTTCGTACTGTATGCGAATTGGAGCGCGGTGCCTGAATGAAGGTGAACTCTACGGCATCTCCGTACAGGAAATCACGAACCTCAGAAAAACACAACTCAGAACGTGTGTACCGTGATCATCATTCGACGGACTGAACGTCAGGCTAACACACTCAGTTATCAGTCAGCATGTTCGGCCTTTCGCTAGCACGGACGGCCTTCACCGCCCTTCGCACGGGTTTCGCTACCCTGCCTGAATCCTCGGTCTTTGCACGAGGATACAAGATGAAGACTCACAAAGGTGAGTTTGTTGCCTGCTCTACTTACAAGTCCACATACTCACCGGCATCATAGGTGCCAATAAGCGATGGACGGCTCTGCCAAATGGAGGATTCAAGAGGGTTCGTCAACAGTGCACACTATCCGCATTCTATGGCTCTGGCTAATCGTGAATCATGTAAACAGAAGCATGCAGGTCACTCACATTTGAACATTGGTCTTTCTACCTCCCACTTGTCTCGCTTGACAAGGATTGCGTATGCCAAGGGGAAGGGTAAGGGAGATCAGAAGAAGAGGTTGAGGAAGTTGATGCCCGGAAATAGGGCGAGATGAGGACGATGCATGTTTGGAGTGGGGAGAGTGAATGAGATGAAATGAGCAACATCAAGGAATTCTGGGACTGCGTTGTGGATATGTCATACGTTAGGCGTTTTGGGTACACGGTTAAAATACGATTTGGGTCAGAACATAAAGCGAGCCAACCATCATGAGGAACAAGTTCAAAGGAAGTGGTGTAAACATTGTGCTTGGTTATTATGCTTCCAAGAAAGTAATCCAAAAACGCCAAAACCCAAGATACCCTATAAGATGCCAGTGGTAAAAAGGAAAGGAAAAACAAAACATAAAAACGCCAACCCGCCTAGTTTCTCTTCTTCTTAGATCCAGCGAAACCGATGGTCTTCTTGTTACCTCCCTTCGTCTTCTTCATACCCTTCCATTCCTCTTTTCTCGAACCTCGGGGACCAGACGTGCTGATCTTCTTCTCGGGAGCCTTCATCTCGACGTCTGCGGCAGCGGAGTCGGTAGCTTCAAAGACAGAAGACACATGTTAGCCTCGTGACCAAGAAAAAAAGGAGACGAAAGGTTAGACAAAGCACGTAAGCTCATCAGGGTCAATCAGACCAAGAAGCGCATACGTCTCGTCATCTTCACTCTCACTCCACCCTTCGTCTTCGAGCTGAAAACCAGCTTGGGGCCACATGGGCGAAGAAAGTAAAGAGGGACTAAAGGAGGTGAGTGTACCTTGTTCATCAGCATTTGCTGTAGCATCACCACCGTCCACTTCCATGGTGTTCTCGTCGTTGTTGGTGGGTTCTGCGGCGGCGATGTCGGCGGTACCGAGCTTCTTGGCGAGGCGGAGTTCACGGGCGACTTCTTGCTTGAAGAAGACGGAGTTGGGGTCCGCACGCTTGGTGGCACGGAAAGAGCGCTTGACCTTGGATCGCATAGACTTGGCTGTAACACAGCTGTTAGATCCTTCCTTCTGAGTGATTTTGTGGGAAGTAGATGTACCCATTGTGGATTGTTGGTAGGTTGATCTGGTGAAAGAGAGGACGTAAAAACCTGGAGGTTGCTTCAAGTACGCTACGCTGGGTGTATTGCCTTCGAACTTTTTTGGGCCCCCTCGGTGCACGTGCCTGAAACGAGCCCTGCCTTGAGTTTGCTCAAAGGTGCAAAACAGAACTGAATGGTAGAAGAGAGCCGAAGCTTGTATGTGGTAGTTTTTGAATCTATGTTGTAGAGCCGGACTTCCCGTTTCCTCGTAACTGCTTAAACTTGACGGATTGACGTGTGGGACCTCATCCCCCACAGGGTCCCACACAGGGCACGCACAGATTCGCGGTTTCATACATACACGACGTGTGAAAAGGAGGTCCAGCTTGGAGCAATTCCTCAGCGACAGTTCTTGTCAACAATCAAGGAGGCCAAAAGCATTCGCAAGGCATGAGTTCGCAATAAACTGCGTGCGAACAACGACATACAATATTCTTTGGCATTCATGCCCGTTGATGCTGCGACTGTCTTCCATCTTCGTGATCTTCGGAGTCGCACTTCTGGCAATCGGCATTACCTTTCTGCATTCGAGTCGCATTCATAGGGACATTGTCTTTCGCGCTGGGGTTGCTTTTTCGGTACTTACGGCGGCTTTCCTTACGCTCCTATTACCACTGAGTTATATCGCGAAGAAAGAGCAGAAGAAGAATCCGTGTTGGGTGCATGAAAGAACGTCGGCGCGGGAACAATTGCGACGGCGAGGCAGTCTGTAAGAAGGATGGGTCAAAAATTGTGAGGATCTTCTGGCCGGCTGGTGCATGTAGGAAGCATGACGTAGGCCTCTTGGTGGGATGGCGTGTATCGGACTTGGATGTATTTGTCTTGGCGGTTTTGCCTGAGGTAAACGTACGTGAATGTATTCCGGAGGTTGTTGTGAGGCGCTCCTGACATTTGACGCAGCATACACGACTAGCAACAGCCCTTCGTGATGGTCTCCTCTTCTCCCAGCACGACTTCTCCAAACTACAGGACCTCTGCGGTGGACACCCACTCAGCATTCTGGGCTCCTTGAACGACGACATACCTCGAAAAAACGCATACACCGGCAAAGGAGCATGGATAGTTGGTGTTACCCACGATGACAACCTCGTCCCAGAATTCACGCTCGCCGACCCGACAATGTCAGCTACAGCACAAGTTATTTTGTTTGACCCTCCGAACCCTCACGGCATGCATTTCTACTCATTGCAACCCACTCCTCTCGATTTTGGCGGATTGGACGCACATGAAGGCCGGGATCGTAAGCAACAACTGGAGCGACAACAACGGAGAGACATGGTCCTGAAGAAACTGGCAGAGCATACACCCACCCGTCGTCTACAATCTCAACCAAAAGACCTGATCCAAATGCATATCAACAAGATCAACTGTTCCTACGAACTCGGCACTGTACTCCACGAGAACGCAAAGCGAATCGGAATGCAAGCACGGAGGAAACGGACATTGAGTGTTGGTGAGAGAGTTAGGGAGTCTGCGGAGACGTTGCAGGCGAGTGCGTGGGAAGGTTTCGTGTTGGCAATGGTGTGGATGTTTCGGTGGGTTATGCCTTATGTGTTCCTGTTTACGCGAGGGATTGTGATGCTTGAGCGATTGCTCATAGAGGCACTACTCCACTTCGTCGAGTGGCAGCCTTTTCCGAATCATCCGCCGTTGAAGGATCTGCTTGGGTCAGCACAACAGGCGCATATCCGCATGCAGCAGGCCTGTCAATGGCCCGTTCAGTGCCTCGCTCTTCGAGACCGGAAGAAGGACTGGGCGAGTATGACCACGAACCATATGGAGTATATCAGATTCTACAACAGTCTCTGGCTTGTCGGAAATGATGCCATCATCGGTGCCGTCATCGCTAGTTATCTTACGGAGAACGCGGACGAGGTCGCGTCACTGATTGAGCGAGTGTCGAGGGTGTACACAATCGAGAGCCTGCATCGCATGATTCTGTGGTTGATGGATTGGCCGGCCGGTCTGAAACTCAATAACGAGTTGGCGGCTTTCCTGGGTGATCTTTTCATCTATCTCATCAACTTCTGGGCAGTATGTATGGGTGAGCTACGGCCATACCTGCCGTTTATCGTCCGTTTCGTCGGATATTCAGGTTTTGTCGGCGCGTCCATGGCAATTTCGCTCTCCTCCGATCTCCTCACTTTGTTGACGCTCCATATCTCCTCGTTTTACATTGCATCAGCGCGGATTTACAACTGGCAACTCACGATTTTAGTCTCACTATTCCATCTCTTTCGGGGCAAAAAGCATAACGTCCTCCGCGAACGTATCGATTCGTGCGACTATGATCTCGATCAGCTACTACTCGGGACTATCTTGTTCACGTTACTGAGTTTCTTGTTCCCGACCGTGTTGGTGTTCTACGCGACGTTCGCCGTTTGTCATATGGGAATTGTTATGCTCAAGGCATTATCAGAGACGTTGTTGGCGTGTCTCAACCACTTCCCGCTGTTTCCTTTGATGCTCCGTATCAAAGATCCGAAAAGATTGCCGGGTGGCATACGATTTGAATTGTATACGGGTCCGAGAAGAGGAGGGAGCACAAACGAGAAGGAGATCGTTACGAGTTACGTGGCATTGCGGTCCACACCACTGCCGTTGAAGAACATATTTCGACAGTACCTGCGATTGGCAAGGAGGTTGCGAGCACATTACTTGAATCCGGGGGTGTTTGTGTCGTTAGCGATTGGGCGACCTGTGCCACTCATACCCAGGAGTCAGTTGGCAGGTTCAGAAGAAAGACGCATAAGTGTGGAAGAATTATGGAAGAAGCTGGAGGCAAGACGTCGTGCATCATAGCGATAATAGAATGCATGATCTCAGGATATATTGGCTTCAAATGATCGAACTATGCTCCCAATGCCCCCTTATTTCTTAGGTTGCGCAAACTCCACCTTCAAGATCTGGTGATCATATGGCATACCGTTAATCTTCTCCATCGCTCTCTGAGCCTCATCCCTCTCGTAGAACGAAACGAACGCAAACCCCTTTCCTTGACCAGTCTCCCTGTCTCTTGCAACGAACACCCTGGAAATACCGTTGAAACGCTTGAAGATTTCTCTGAGGTCGTCTTCGGTAGCTTCCTCAGACAGCGAAGTGATACGCAAAGTAGCGAGCTCATCCTGGTCTCCACGGCCAGGACCGCGCATAGTCTCTCCAGTAGTACGTGCACCAGCGCGGAGGTGAACGGGAACGTAAGTACCACGAGCATTGGCAGCAGGCTGCTCAGGCTCTCCAGGCGTACCAGCACCAGAAGGTCCAGCCTCGTCCAAAGAACCAAGAGTGTCCTTGTAAGGACAACGAGCAGTAAAGTGGTTTCCCTTACAGATACGACACGCGACGGTCTTGTCCTTCAACTGCTCCTTCAACTGCTGCTCAGAATCCTTCTCGTCATCCTCCAGTACCTGCTTAACCTTAGAGCCAACAGACAACTTCAAGTAGATGTTCTCTCCAACAGTGGTGGTAGAATGGTCAGGTCCAGCCTTCTTGCCCTTCTCTGCACCGAATTTTGTCCATGACTTGCGATCTGCGACGGCGGCGTTCACGTGTTCCTTGACGAGGGTGGTCTTGATGCGGCGGGTAATCTTGACCTTCTTGCCGGCTTCGTTGATTTTGTATTCGACAATGGTCTTGGTCTTGCCATCCTCGGAGATGGTGATCTCGGGGGCGGGGAGAGCGTTGTCGTCCTCAACATCGTCGGCCCAGTTAGACTTTGGTGGTGCACTATAGGAAGACAGTCAACGTCATACGACAAAAAGAATGCGTCCTCGTGAGGTCAACATACGCAGCGGCCATTGTTATTATTGAACGGAAGGGCGGATGAAGGTAATTGAGGGTCCTTTGGTCGCGTTCTTCAAGCTGTCGTCGACCTCTAAGGCGTGCAGCTTGGCAGCAAAATTCCGATCCCCGAATGGGTTTAGTGCCAATCTACGATACAATGCATCTGAGAGCACAAGCAATATTGACCAACATGTTATCTCTAACGACTTTATCAAATGCTCTTCATTTTTGACCCTCTGTCTGATCGATCTTCTTTATGACCTTCGCCGGTACTCCGCCAACGACGCAATCGTTCGGGACATCCTTAGTGACGACCGCGCCAGCTGCGACAACCACTCGATCACCAACTGTCACGCCTGGAGTGATCACAGCGTTTCCTCCAATCCAGCATTCCTTGCCGATCTGAGATAACATATTAGCCGCTGTGTGGATGCGGAGATCGTGATACCTACCCGAATGGGTTTCGCCCACTCCGTCCCAGCCAGTCGCGGGCCGGCTTCGATGGGATGACCCGCGGTGTATATCGACACGTTCTGTATGCATAGTCAGCATCCACTTTCTGAGCGACTTGTGCCCGACAATGCATACCGGTCCAAACATCGTGCGGTCACCAATATAGACTGGCGCGCAATCTAGGATCGTGGTATTGTAGTTCATGTAGACTCCGTCTCCGAGAAAGATGTTGCCGCCCTGGATGGCTCACGTCAACATCGATTTGTGATGGTTGCCTGATAGTTATCTTACGTAGTCGAACATCACTGGTGGTTCTGCACGACAGTTGTCAGTCATGTTGCACGACGTGGTACGGATCAATCGATACTCACCAAGGTCGACCTGTGTCAAATCACACTTCCCAAGCATCTGGCTCAACATCTCTCTTCTCTTTTCCGCCAGCTTCTCCAGACCCAGATCCTCGGGATCGCCCAAGGTGTCCTATCAGTGAGTCAGTCAAGAGTCTTCTGGCATTTACCACTTTTCTTCGAACATTGTACTTGCGGCACAGTCTCTTCATCCGTAGCCTTCCCTCAAGGAGCTCGGGGACCATAGCGTTGTAACTATGCAGGATGTTAACGATGCGCAATGTTTCCGTTGCCATGCGACGTACTCTTCCCCAGCAATCATCAATCGGTAATCCTCGCAGTCAATGGCATCCAAGAATTCGGATCGCGGCTGGAAGGCCGGATCGTTGACAGCTGCGACAGCTCCTTCGTGCTTGTTCTGAGTCATTGTCCGTTTCCTGTTGAGGAGGTGTTTTAGGAATGCGAAGTCGAGCAGCTTTATGTCGACAACCACTTCGGTTGCGGAGTCCCCGGGTGCATGATGCATGGGGACCCGAAATGCGGCCGGCGGGTGCCCGAGAACGAGAGAGATGAACAATGAAGGAAAGGGTTTGAACGTCAGAGGAGTGAGTTCACGGTGAAACGGTTGGAGCCAGCATCAATGAAACAACCCTGTACGTTGTGTGGTGGCCTGGACGAACATCCTAGCAAAAGTAGCATTTATTATGTGACAGTAAAACAAAGGGGATAACGAGATACACCGAGAAGACAAACAACAGATCACGTACGCCAAAAAACACATTGAAACCAAGTCCAAACACCTATGTGATATTAGATGCGCATACACCCGCAGCATTATGCCTGGCCCATGAGCTCTTCCTCTGTCAGGTGAATCTCGTGCACGACAGGCTCCTCCGGCTCATCCGATGATCGATCAGAAATCAACGACTGGTGGTAACGAGAAAGGAAAGCATCTGGTGACCACTTCCAACCCTGTAGTAATAGGTCAGTTGCTGTAGCGGACAGCCTCTCGATCATACCTACCTGACTCGCGGAAAGCACAACAACCGGCGCAGCTCGATCCGCCGGCCCAAGATCATAGATCTTGAAGCTCTGCTCAGCATGGAGGGGGTTCAAGAAGGACTGCCTTCGACCGGTCGAAATATGTGTTGGAGAGTCATAAGAGGAGGAAGCCGAAGATGACGTCAAGGAGGTTGGTGATCCGGACGAACCCGAGGAGGATCCCTCACGGGTACGAGAAGACGCCGAGGCGGTCGGGATACGGACGGGAGTGCTCATTGTTGTTTGTTGAATGCGGATATTACGGAGGTGTGTTGTTTGAATTGACAGGGGATTTGAAGGGATGGCGGTACGTGAGTCGTGCTTATCAACTGACCCATTGTGGGGAATCACGCCAATCAAAGTGCCCTAAGGCTTTATCGACTAAGTCATTGCCCGTGGGAGTTGCACCTTGGAAGTTATCAGAAATACACATCCGTATTTTCCAAGAAGATTATTATGATAATGACCGGTTACTTTAGCAAAAACCCATATGGCATGTCCGGCAAGTCCAGCAAGCCCATTAGAAATGAAAACGCAAACAAAACAACCTCAAGATAAATTCATAATAACACCGTCCATCTACGCTCCTTTCATGCTCAGTTCTGTTCCTCATCTTTATCCTTCAGGCATGCTATCCTCTCAGCTTGCCGCACAAGTCACTTCTTTCTCGCAAATTGCTTGTTGAGGAGGTGCAAGATCTTCGTAACATTGAACTTGACGTATTCCAGATCGAGAAGCTGGACATTATTCTGTTGCATTTCAAGAAGATCATCGAGTTTGAGATCAAGCTCGAGCAGTCCACGATCACGTCCTGAAGAAAAACATTAGCTCCGGCACTTCACCGATCAATTGTTGATCGTACCTTTGTAGTGCAATGAGATAACAAATGTTCCCGGTACTGGTGAAACAATGTTGAAATAGATATTCGATCGCCTGTAATTCAGTTAGTCGCCGTATTCAGTAGATCAGACCGATTGCACGAACCTGTCTGATGGCACACTACTCTCCGCAATCACTCCCTCCTTCTCCAACTGCGAATGGGTGTACTTATACGGCCCCAAACTCTGCTTCTTCTTCTCCTTCCTCTGCTTACCGCCAACAGCAACAAGTCCAACACCACCAGCAACACCTCCGCTCCGACTCTTCTCCGGCGCACCACCGGACTGGATACGCACGTTCTGGAGATAAGACTTGTACGTCTCGAGCTGGCCGCGAAGGTAATCGTTGTGGTCGCATATGGTCTTGTAGACACCTTCAAGCGAGTCTGTCTCTTCGATGACGTGTTCACGCAGGGATCCGAGATGAGCGAGTTCTTGCTCGACTTCCTCGGTCAAAGGGTTATACCGGTCTCGAGGGTCGACAAGGTGCTGCTCTGCCAATTCACGAAGCATCTCGAGTGCCTTGATACCCTTCCGAACTAGCGCGACATCCTTCAGGGTGGCCGCCATATCCGCAATCTTCGACAGGTTGAGCGGACGTTTAGCAGCACCCGCCGACGGAGGCAACGTACGGATAAGCTGCACGAATGTCGCCTTCGTCTCCATGAAGAGAATGTCAGACTGCGTGACATCCAAGGAAGTCGTCAAATCAGACACAGGCGTCTCGAAGCGACTGTACAAGGGCAACTCGACTGTTCTGTTCTCGTGTCTTGGCAGCATTGGCGGCGCAGAACCGGCTTCATTCAACAATATGCGAAGATGGCTGGTCTTCTCGGGCGCGAGGATAGTCGCGTGCTTCTCAAGCAAAGCATGAGTACCGTAGATTTCGTTCAACGTGATGTGAAGCTGAAGGTCCTTTTTGGACAATGCAATGTAGTTGTCAATCTCCAAAGAATCATAGAAGTCACTGACTTCACAGAGATCGTTCAAGAACTGGTTTACTCTTGCCTTGTTGTTATCGATTAGAGGCGACAGGCTCTCCATGTACGGCTCCTTAGCATACGTCGGCTTATTCGCCAGGTTCTGTAGAATCTTCGCGACGAGCGTCAACGTTCGCCTGGGGTGCTCTCCAGGCGTTCCATCGATCAAGACATACGCTTGAGGGGTAACGATAGCCGGGTTGATGAACCGAAGGAAAAAGAAACCACCAATGAGCGAACAGATCGACTGATCAGGCGCATCCGGGTACTTCCTCCTCGTCAAACTCCTAATCTGCTTACAGATCCATCGAATACCATACGGCACAGCATCGATGTTGTCAATGATCGTCCGCAAAAAGCTCTCTGCAACCTCTGTCAACATAGCCAATCGAGGCTCAATGATCGCGCGTACATCGTCACTTCTTGCTGCTTCCTCCGCTGTTACTCGTCTCGGCATACCCTCGGGTAAGGTACCCATATCTTCCTCAATCTGGTCCACCATCTGGTCGTACACGCTCAGAGGGTTGATTTCGAGGTTTAAGTCTTTGTGCTCGATAAGCGAATTGATGCGCTCAGCGAGAACCGATCGCAAGTATGACTGTCCAGGACCACGACGGGTGTATGTAGTCATCATTCGCGAGACTGGCGTATTCGCACGGAGAAGAGACGAAAATTCGGTCGCGCTGTCAAACTGGGCTGAAAGGACAGACTGAAACATGGTCAACAAAAGGTGCTCTTCGCGACTCTCGTACTGATTTCCGTAGATGGTGAACATGACGGTCTGTAGCAGTGAGTCAATCTCCGCCAAGCTGACCAAACGCGTCAACGCGGCGATATGCCGAGGTTCTGACTGTAGCAGGAAGAACAAGTTGCCGTACTGCTGAAGCTTTCTGTCATCCGGAAAAACACCCTCTTGCAACTCTGGCGCATCATCAAGATGACTAGCAACCTCATTCTGCTCATCAAGCGCCATCCTGTTCTGAATCAACAACGCAATTCGCGAATCCAAGTATCTCACATCCCTCTCCAACACAAAGTTCTTCTTCGACTGCGACGAAATCTTGGTCTTCAAATCACGTAGTTTCCGCTGTGCTTTCGCCAAGTCGTCTTGAACTTCCACGTCATTCTCGGCAGCCATGGAGTATAACGCCGTTACGCTGTACCGCTTACTCGTCCGTCCTGAACCCGACCATCCACTTGACGTCCGTCGCGGCGTTGGTGGAGAGACATAGTATGACGAAGAAACGGATGAGCGAAGAGATTCGGGTTTGTGACTTGCTGGAGCTGACATTGTCTGCGTCGTGGACATTCAGGAGTATGCTGGGTAACCGCAATGAGCGAAGGGTCGAACAACCGTCAAAACCGATAAACCGTCGGTATAAATGCTTCTAAACGCGAAAATGTCTTCGAGCGACACCAAAACAACGGGTTTGGCTGCTGAATGCACGTGTCCCGGGTGTTTACAGTCACAAAACTTGACTTACTTTGAGGAGCGCCGTACAGTAGTACGTAGCGGGTGTTCTGACCCGAGCAAAGAATTGAAGGTCCGAGATGGTGAACGTACACGAATAGTCGATTGGATACGCGATAACAACGTTCGTGCAACTCTCGTAAACGGATGTACCAGTGTTTGACAGGACGCGGTCTCGGTTTCTGCAGGACTTGCCCCTGAATGCACGTCCACCAAGGTTGGGCTTGCTACGTACTGCTGTGTGCAAAATTCTTGACGTAACTTTCACCTGTGCGCCCGAATCGCAAACTCCATATGACAAATACCCCTAAAACAACATCGATAAAGGCCTCAGCGGTCGAGTAAGGGTTCGAACTGATCATACCTATCCTTAGCGATCACGTCGTGCAACCGGTTTTGGGCCACAAGGCCACTCTCAGTCGCTGCATGCTGAAAAGGTGTTTTCAGTTATAAGAAAGCAGCACACCCTGGAAGCCGCTGGGGATGCAGGTCTGGGTGTCGTGATATAGAGGGAGCTTAAGTGAACATATTCTGCCTGTGTCTTCTTTGATTCTAATGGTTTTTGAGGTTTGTGAGCCCAGTGAGTGCTTTCGATGCTTTCATGCATGTTCATGCAACACCATGCACCTATGCCAAAACCCTTCACAATGTCACGGCTCTATGAGAATGGTGCTACAAGCGTTTCAAGGACATCAATTGATTCCTAAGCGTCTGATCTATCAATTTCTCCCCTGAAACCGCCCTCCCAAGCCTTGTCTATGGAGATGGGCGTGTTCAGTAAACCATCCCCGCACAGATAGGCGGTAAAACACACACCGTCAAGAATTTTGCACACAGCAGTACATTAAACAGGGTCATCACTTACCACCAGAAACTCCAAAGGGACCTCGAGTGCTTCGTTTCTAATCACCCTCCCCCAAACGGACAACCATACCAATCGACAAGAGCAAGATTGATTGGTCCCTCTACCTCTTCACAGACCCGGACATCATTCCTGAGGGCTCAGACATCTGCGCCCATGTCCAGGAAGCAATCAAAGGTGGCTGTACTGTCGTCCAACTCCGCAAGAAAACGAACGACACCGGACTCTTCATCGAGAAAGCTAAGAAACTCCCTGAAATCACACGGGTGTACAATGTCCTATTACTGATAATGACCCCATTTGATGTTGCCCTTGCCCCCGGTGCAGATGGAATTCATGTTGGGCAAGATGACATGGATCTCAAAGACGTAAGAAAATTACTTGGGCCTGATGCAATTATTGGTACATCTGTTGGCTCTATAAAGAAACAAAGGTGGGTATTGCAGGTCATGCAGATTACTTCGGCCTCAGCCCAATCTGGAATACAAACACCAAGAAACTCACAAAACCTCTCATTGGAACCATGGGCACCCGCACAATCCTTTCCTACGTCAAAGAAAATGCCGGGTATGAGATTCTGTGTGTCGCAATTGGCGGGTTCAAAGACTACAATATTCAATGCCTGATATTTCAGGGTCGGACAGGGGCAAAGTCAGTTTCAGGTATTGCAATTGTGTCAGCAATCATGGCGTCCACAACCCCTTATGACGCCGCCAAATCTCTCCTCACGTCCATCAAAATCCCTGCCCCATTCATCCCCCCTCCTCCCTCCCCCTCCCTCCTCCGCCCCGGTGAGGCCCTCTTCACCAAAATCATGACAAAGATCGGTAAAAATGGTCCACCTATCCACCACATCACCAACAATGTTGCAAACAATGTTGCCAAAAACCTCAAGCAAATGTCTCGCTTGCCGTTGGTGCATCCCCAATCATGTCCGAAAACGCCCTCGAAGTTGCCGACCTCATGAGAATCAACGGCGCACTCCTCCTCAACATTGGTACCGCACACCCAGAATCCCCCACTGCCATGCTCAAGGCTCTCCGGATTGCAAACACCGCTGGTACCCTAGTCCTCCTCAACCCTGTTGGCGTGGAAGCAACACAATTCAGAAAAGATACTGCAGCGGGGTTTTTAGCAAGTGGATATTGTGATATCAACAGCCAAGCCGAAATCCGGGCCCTCCTCAACCTCCGTGCACAAGCCTGCGGCGTCGACAGCTTACACTCCTCCTCCTCTTCCTCCCGTGCAGAACTAGCTTCCACCTTCGCCCGTCGGGAACAGAACACGGTTGTCGTGAGTGGAGCTGTGGATGTTGTGTCGGATGGTGAACGAACGTTTTGTGTGAGTAATGGGGATGCCATGTTTGGTTTTGTCATTTGTTCGGGGTGTACGCTAAGAACGGTTATTGCTGCGTGTGCTGCTGTTGAGGAAGATAAATGTGTTGCAGCGGTGTCAGGGTGTGTTGTTTACGGCGTTGCTGCGGGACATGCGGTGAGGCGGGAAGAGGTGAGGGGACCGGGAATGGTCCAGGCGGCGCTTGTGGATGAGATTTGGAGGATCAGGGGGGAGTGTGGGGAGGGCAACCTCGATTGGATGCGGAGTTGAAGAGGGCGATTGCGCTACATGAGGCTGGTGACCTCCAGGCCTCGGCTGCTATATTTTGCCATCTTGCGAGGGTAGCTAAGTTGCCTCTTGCGCAACTTCTGTATGGACTTTCTCTCAGGCATGGGTGGGGTGTGAACGAAGACCGTGAGCGTGCGTTTGACTTCTTGAAGGCAGCCGCTGAGAACAGTGCGTTCATTGAAGAATATGCCAAACGAGCTGGTATGAAATCCGATGGAAAGTCCGAGCTTTCCATGGCCTTTTTCGAGATGGGTGTGAGTTACCAGCGGGGATGGGGTACGAAGAAGGATCTCATAAAGGCTAAGGAGTATTTTGAGCTCGCGGCTGGGTTGGGTGACACTGATGCTATGCTCGAAACCGGAAAGTGCTACGATCTGGGAATTGGAACAAAGAAGGATCGATACATCAGTGCGCAGTGGTACAGGGCAGCAGAGAAGAAAGGGGTGAAGGTCCTTGGCAACACCTGGATCTGGAAGGACAAGTACAACCCACCGACGGAACAAGGCAAGGCAGAGGTCACGGCGTGAGATTCGAGCATGGGCATGGAGTTTCGGAAGTCGGATAGGCGTCAGTCTTATTTTCATAAAGAATTCCCAGGCTGGGGAAGCGGCACGAGCACCCCCACGATGATTACATCGCACCTCATCTAATCAATCAATCGTATCTCAATATCTTTCATCCCCGCAGATCCATTCTTGGCATTAATTTAAGGGTTCATAGCAAATCATCCGATGACTTGCCTTTATTGGCTGCAGATTCGCTGTAGTGGCTGCGCACTGCACAGCATGGTTTTGGTACTACTGTGTGCAAAATTCTTGACGCGGCGCATTTTACCGCCTATCTGCGCGGGGACAGTTTCATGAACCCCCCCATCTTCATACGCAAGGCTTGGGAGGGCGATTTCAGGGTAGAAGTCGATAGAACAAACTCTTAGGAATCCATAGATGTCCCCGAAACGCGTGTAGTACCGTTTCTCATAGAGTTGTGACATTATGAAGGATTTCGGCGTAGGTGCATGATGTTGCATGAACATGCATGAAAGCATCGAAAACACTCTCTGGACCCACAAACATCAAGAACTGTTAGAAACAAAGAAACCACACGCAGAACCTGTTTATCTAAGCTCCCTCTATCTCATGGGACCCAGACCTGCATCCCCAGCGGCTTCCAGGGTGTGCTGCTTTCATATAACTAAAAACACATTTTCAGCATGAAGCGACTGAGAGAGGCCTTGTGGCCCAAAACCGGTGGCAGGACGTGATTGCTGAGGATAGGTATGATCAGTTTGAACCCTTACTCGGCCTCCGAGGCCTTTATCGATGTTGTTTTAGGGGTTTTTGTCATATGGAGTTTGCGATTCGGGCGCACATGGGAAAGTTGCGTCAAGAATTTTGCACACAGCAGTACTCTCTCCCGCGCTCACGAAAGCAATATCTTCCGCCTTCATGAACCATATGCATGTACGACCATCCTACCTTATGCGGAGGTGATTTTCGCTCCCTTGACCATCCTCCACCATCGTCTCCGGATCCGCGTACACATGTGCAACTCCACTCGTGATTCCAACTCCGTGTGAATGCGCGAGAAGCGTGGGCGACACAGGGGCTGAATGCGCAGCCTCCAACGCGCGTCTTTCGTACTCCTCATCATTAGGGACGACAGGCGGTGGAGTCCGATCTCGGTGCAGGAAATCGCGGAATGATTGCCGCTTCTTCGAGGATGAGACGGGACTGACGGGCGCGGATTCGCTTGCAACCTTCTTGGAAGTCTTTGGAGTCTTTGGAGTCTTTGGAGTCTTCGGCGACTCCGGAATCTGTACCTTCAAGGGTAACGGTTTGGGCGACGGACTGGCGTCGTACTCTCCAATCTCGTAAGAATGTCCACTTTTCTCCTGCACAGGCGTCTTCGGCGCATCCACATCCTGAACCCTGATCTCGGGCACAGGTGACTCCTCCCTAGACCCCGGCTCCGATCGATTCACATGAGACCCCGTACTCAAGCTCCGTGAGATCCGACGCGATGCGCGGTCGAGTTTGGATTTAAGTTTATCGGTGAACGACATGGCGTTGCAGTATATAGGTATTTGAGAGACTGAAACTGAGGAGTGATAGGACGCGTTCACATTAAGAGAGCGATTGCGTTCACTTATGTACACAGGGTGTTTATACGGACCGGATGAGCCTCGCCGAGCGGTCGGTCAGCGCCTGGTGTCTTAGCCCGGGCTTCTTGGCGGGATCGAGGCGGCTGTGTGCAGGTGACAGGCGGATGCTCTATACGAGTAGGATAGGGTATCGATTACATTTAGAAGTTTAAAATAGAGAGTTGAGTATCCCGTTCTCTGTCGCCGCTCTTGACCGACCTTATCGGTGCCGCAGGGCTTGAGACAAGAAAAGCTGCAGCCGTTGCCAGTCCAGCATCGAGAAGGCGCGCAGTCGTAAAGAAGGAACCCTTCAGCGAACAAGACGGCCGTTCAGTCACATCAATGGACGCCGCAAAGTTTCCAGATTTCCAATCGTCGTTGTTCAAGGCTTTGGTCTCTACGACCAGGGCTGCGACGATTCTTGGAGCACAGGATCTTGCCTTTCACAGGTCGCTCGATCCGTCTTTTGGAGATTCGTTGGATGAATGCAGTACGAGGCTGTTGGAGTTGACAAACTCGTTGGTGAAAATTGCGAGTGCGGATGCTGCTGATACATTTGACGATGAGGATGATCTGAATGACCGTTGGGGTGACGTCGTGGATGTTGTCGACACTTTGTTGGAAAAGTCGGATGTATGCATCGATGAGTTTACAGGGGCCACGAAGAAGAACAAGGTTGCACAGGGAGCTGCCGGAGTCACTCAGATTTCGAAGACAGGCAAGGCAAAGGAGAGACTCGACTACAACCTCGTACACGCCGAGAACATCGTCAGACCACAACTGAAGTTTAAGACCGAGCCGGACAATTCGGAGACTACGCCATGGAAGTGGAAGTTGACGTCGAAGCCGAACGCAATTGTGCCGTTGAAGGATCTTTCGTCAAAGATGGATGTGGATGATTCGGAGGAGTTGCCGTCGTTGCCTCACCCTTACGAGCCGGAAATTACGCAGTCCTCGTACCCCACCGTCATTTACGAACAGAAGGAGCCCATCCCGCCGAAGCCCTTTGCAGAGACCAGTGCAAGCTGGGTCGACTCACAAGAGAAGTTGATGGATATGCTTGAGGAGTTAAAGAAGGCGGATGTGATCGCTATCGATTTGGAACACCACGATTACCGCTCCTTCCAAGGTTTTGTCTGTTTGATGCAAATTAGTACTCGCGACCAGGACTGGCTTATCGACACCTTGGAGTTGCGTGAGGAGTTGGAGGTTTTGAACGAGGTCTTCACCGACCCTAAAATTGTCAAGGTCCTTCATGGTGCTTCTATGGATATCGTGTGGCTCCAGCGTGACTTCGGGTTGTACATTGTCGGTCTCTTCGACACGTACTTTGCCTCCAAGGTGCTGAACTACGAGGGTCACGGTCTTGCTTACCTCCTTAAGAAGTTTGAGGACTTCGACGCGGACAAGAGGTACCAGTTGGCTGACTGGCGTATTCGTCCTTTGCCTCCTGCTATGTCCGCCTACGCACGCTCCGACACGCATTTCTTGCTTCACATCTTCGATCACTTGAGGAATGAGCTCTTGGCTGGTTCAAACCCTACTACCCAGAACCTGATGGAATCGGTGTTGGGTTCCTCCCGCCAGACCGCCTTGAAAATCTACGAGAAGGACGTCTACGACACCGAAGGCGGACTCGGCAAGGACGGCTGGCGTAACCTCCTCATGAAATCCGGTGCGAACAGAATCTTGGATAAGAAGCAGCTTGCCGTCTTCAAGGCTCTTCACCGTTGGCGTGATCAGGTCGCGAGGCAGGAGGATGAGTCCGTGAGGTTCATTTTGCCGAATCACATGCTCGTTACTCTATCTTCGGCTATGCCGGATGATGTTCCTGGGGTGTTGAGTTCGTGTAATCCTACACCTCCGTATATCAGAATGTCTGCGAGTGATGTCGTTGCTGTTATTCAGGCTGCGAAGGAGACTGTCGAGGAGGATTTGCCCACTGCGGCTGCTGTTACGGCTACCCCTGCTGCTGCTCCTGCTCATACCCGCTTCTTGGATGCTGAGGCTACAGCTGCGGCCGATTTGAAATTGACGCCGTTCATCAATGTTTTTGCCCAACAGGAGAAGGTGGAGAAGCTGGTCAGCGACATCTCAGCATTCTGGGGTAAGCTAACTGAGCCCGCGCCCGAATGTGATGGCAAGCAGAAGGCGAAGCAGATCATTGCTGAGATGCGCCTTGCTGTGCCATTACCTCCTCTTACTGCTCAAGTGTATGAGGGCGAGGAAGACGATGTCAAAATGGAGGAGGGTGATGCTGCTGCTTTGGCAGAGCATCCCTTCGTTAAGAAGCAGCAGGAGGAGAGGGAGCGTGCAAAGAAGGAGAGGGAGGAGATCATTACTGTCAGGCAACTTGGTCGTAAGAGGAAGAGTGACGTTATTGGCAACGAGCCGGAGAGGCCCGAGTCTAAGGATTCGATGTCCACTGCGGGTTCTTCTGTGATATCCCTTGGTGCTGGTACTGGTGAGGAGTCAGACCACATCCCGGATAATCTCAATCTGGATCCAGCGACGCCGGGTCCTGCCAAGAAGAAAGCAAAGAGGGATAAGAAGAAGTCTAAGGCACCCAAAAAGGAGGAGAGTGCTGAAGCTGAGGCACCGTTTGATTACGCGGCTGCTGCTCCACTATACGTGGACCAGCCTCACGTTGACAAGCGAGCAGAGAAGAAGAAGGATAAGAAAAAGCAGAAGAATGCAAAGCCGGCGCATTTCAATCCGCATGCGGCAATTGAGGAGCATTCAAGTGTGCCAAAGAGAGATGCGAACCAACTCAAGAACAAGACGGCGCCGCAGTCGGGAAACAAGAGTATGTATTTCAACTAGTAGGGATAGGCATAACAGTTCTCCCCTCGTATTGCCCAAATGAATCAAGAATCATCCGGGTACGCGGACCCTGTTGAGCATCAATTGATGTTTGCATGAATGGTGTTGCAGTAGGTTCTGTTAGAGGCCGAGTTAAATTTTGACCCGACAATTGGGATGCCGCTTGCGCACGGCCAGTGGAGGGCACTGGCAGGGGAGCTGTAGACCCGGCCGCCTAAAGCTTAAGAGACCCAAGCGAAACGACACCCGAGACCTCAGGGCTGGTCAAGGCTGTGCAAGCCGCATATACTCCACCTCCCAATTGCAACACCTGAACGCCCTGGAAGGACAGTCCTTTACGCGTCTTTTCCATACCTGTCAATCGATACTAAAGTCACTCACCGTCCCTCCGGCTGCTTTTGAACAGCATACATCCCCGCGGCTTACCAATAATTCTCCGAAATGTCCAACGCACACAGTGAATCCGGCAGCACGAGGAAGAAGTCTGGCTTCAAAAAGGCGCTTTTGAGCTGCTTTACCTGCAACGCTCATTCCTACGACGACGAAACCTCTTACACAAGAAGCGAGAAACACGCGGCAGACAGCAGGCCTGTCACCGCCCAGACAGCAAACACTGTCGAGACCGAGCAGACCGGACCTACTGGTCAGACTTGGGAGGACTTCCTCGATGGATACGCGCACGGGAAGATCACCACTACGGAGCCTCCTATGCCGACTGGCCCTAGGCCTGATGGTCTTCCTCCTTTCTTGCCACCACCCAAGCCGCCGACCGAGCGTCAGCGTATGTTGGACACCTTCAGGTACACCGGCCTCGACAAGGCTCCGATCCACGAAAGCAAGGATGCTGGCGACGATGCCGGCGTCACCGATGACTCCGACACCATGTTCAAAATCGTCGCCTTGGCACGTCAGACCTTCGGTAGTGCCGTGTGTATGATCTCCTTGTTGGATGACGAGAAGCAGTACTTCAAGGCTGAGGTTGGTTTCGAGAAGGTTGGATTGGTGGGATTGGATGAGTTGCCCCGTGATATCTCTTTCTGTGGTCACACAATTCTTCGTCCTGAGCCCATGGTCATCCTTGACGCCAACAAGGACTGGCGTATGCAGAACAACCCGCTCGTGACGGATGCTCCTCACGTTGCCTTCTATGCTGGTGCCCCTATCGTGTCTCCTGAGGGTCATGCTCTTGGTACGTTCTGTGTTATCGATACCAAACCCCGCGAGAAGTTCGGTAAGGACGAGCGTGCTAAGCTCCAGGAATTCGCGCGTCTTGCTATGGCCGAGATTGAGAACCTCTACCATGACAACCAGACTGCTAAGGCAGAGTCTATGCAGCGCTCCCTTGAGGCTTTCAGGCAGGCTGCTCCTCAGTTCGGCCTCAACTCATCCAGGGAGGAGATCGATACCATCTTGGCTTACGAGAGGGCTAAGTTGCGCGCCAAGGGTGTCGACGTCAACGAGGAGGTTGTCTTGAAGAGCGGAAAGAACGAGGGTGTCGTCTTCCCCACATCTTCGCCGTCCACCGAGTCCGTTTCTCAGTTTGAGAATGGTGGAAGTGCTCCTGCTTCTTCTTACCGCCCAGCAACCCAGACCACCGACACCGAGTACGACGACAGCGTTGCGCCTACTTCCTTGCCTCCTCCACCTCGCTCCGAGGAGCCTCGTGTCCCTGTCCTCGCCGAGCCTCTCGAGACCGAGCACGCAATCGGCCCCACCTCCCCTACTCCCGCCGACGACTCGAAGCGCAAGAACCCCTACGACCTCGCCACCGTCCTCATCGCCCAGTCCCTTCGCGTCGACCTCGTCTACCTTCTCTCCCTCGAGCTAAACGCCGCCGGCCAGCCCACTACCCGCCTCATGTCCTCCTTCGGCTTGCCATCTCCTCCTCCCACCTTCGATGTCGTCCTCCACGCTCGCGCGTTGTCTTCCAAGTCCGGGTTGTTGTACCAGAATCCTGAGGCAGAGGACCCTGCGAACAAGGAGTTGCCGGAGACTTACACGAGTGGTATGTTGGTCCCTGTCTTCAGGAAGGGATCCCAGGAGGGCTGCGTCCTCGCTGTCTTCACGCGCCAGAAGCACAAGTACTTCGGTGCGGACGACTTGAAGTACCTCCGTGATTTCGGAATTCAGTTGGTGGAGTACTGTAGCAGCACGCTCTAAGTAACCGAAGAAGAATAGCTATTGGATTTGGATGAGATGTGAGATCGATATGTGGGTATTTTGTGGAGTATTTTCTGGCAGGTAGTTCTGTTTTACGTGATTTCACTTGTAAGAGGCCTTGATGGTTTTACTCTTTTACACTTTTTCGTAGCTTTAGTTTAGTGTAATAGTTATTTTTTGTTTCGCTTCTGAAAATGGTTCATCTACATCAGCTTTGGCTTTTTGGGTACTGGAACGAAGTCGCCAAGATTGACGCTCCTGAGTACAGACAACGTCACGGCCTTAATGTGACGTAGCTGAACTCCGAACGCCGGGCGGGGTGCATCCTCCTATTTTGGATATAACATCTCTGGTCAAATTGCCTACAAACAAGGTGCACGCATTTGCTTTCAGGATGAATGGCCACACTAGCAAAGAGATGAAGAATCAAGACCACGTTGTCATCATGACAAGGAACATCTCAATATCTATTCATACGGGGTAAACGAATGGGTAAAATCTCTGAAAGACAAAGACCCATCCATAAACAGGTATGATGGTACGAACATGTGTTTGACTACCCCCATTGGAGTGCCATTCCAGGACGGCACACACTGAACTTACTTGGCCCATTCCGGAACAGGCCAACCCCAAAATCACCACAAACTTAAATTGTAGCTGCCCCCACCCTGTGCCCACCTTATACTTCCTCCCATCTCCTCGGTTCCTCAAAATTGACACGTTCCAATATGGCACTCATATAAGTACTTGCCGTTCCGGAACGGCGGCCATTTCGGGATGGGGCAGCACACATGAGTATAACCATTGCAACGTATGCATGCCTTTTTCCTTTACGTGCTGCCGAAAACAGCTGATCAGTAAAGACCATGCTTCTGGGAAGGATGTCTATGATATAGCGACCTACATCGAGAGGCTCCTTAAACTGCGGGCGCAAACCGGCTATTGAGGAATTCTGGGCTCGGTAAGTAGACTACTACTGCTTACGGGTACCACCAAGAGCATCACTAAATGACCGCAGCAAATCAAGTACTTGTACGACAAAAACCCTACCCTCTATCAAGACGGCTGTGCTGAGTTTCTTGACATAGGCTAGAATCATCAGCAGCCGGCCCTTGAAGAGGGCTTGAGCCTCTGAGCATTTGCGGGTCAATGGTCGTGGTTGTTGGGGTCGGGGTCGGAGTAGGCTGACTTGAGGGAGGTAGCGGTAAATCGAATTGAGGCGCAGTCACCGGTGCAGGTAGTTGAGGGTCACCGGACGAAGAGTGCCTGCTTTCGAGTGTTTCCAATTGATCTGTCAACTCGAGCAACCCAGCAAAAAGGGATCATGGATGGGCGGATCCTCGACGATAACTCCAGGTTCTTTCGCCACCAAGTACTTAGACCATAGATTGAGGAGATCATTGGTAATGTATCGATGTTGACCAGAAAAGGGATGAACATAGCAGTACTGCTGGTGGTGCTTGGCGCATTTGTGCTTAGCCTGCAGGGTCTGAACAACAAGGATCCTTTTGTAGCGTTGAGGATCATTCGCAAGTTCATTTGAAATGCCCTGGAGAGCACTGTTGGTAGCACTGTGCCTAGGTACAGGGATGAGAGGCTTTTGAGCCTTGGGCTGAGTCTGAGAGGCGTGCACGGGGGTTCGCTGATCGAACTCGGGTTGAGAAGCAGCCCTTGTAGGGCCGCAGTGTGTATCAATTAAGATGAAAGTTGACCATTCGACCTTGGGTGTATTGCGCTCAACGTGGACAGCATCAATGAAGGCTTCCCAGCCGTCCTTCATTCGTAGTCTACACCATGGTGCGTTCCGGCTTCTCCCGCGGCAGACTTTCCAGTTGATGTTGGGCTTCAGGGAGTATTTGTGGACGCCTTCGACGACCATATAATCATGACGGAGCTCCTCGAGGGCGAGATCGATCAAAAGCTGTTCTTGGTTGCCCCAAGACCTAACTAGATTGACCGTCCAGGGTGCTTGAGGATACTTGTGGTTCTTTTTCCCAGTGACGAGAATGAAGACCTGGAAGTTGTCGAATCTGCTGATAGTATCAACTGGTGCGTCTTCGTCTTTGAGTTCAATGACTGTCTTAGGCCTTTTTTCCCTCCGGACTCTATTTGTAGGTGGTGCTGAGGCTGCATTCTCAAGGAGACAGGAGGGCGGTTTGGAGTTGCGAATCGATACCCTTATGGGAAGCCTTAGCGGCTCCTTTCATCTTTCTAGAAGGCATTTTCAAGTTTTGGCGGCTTGTTTGGTGGGTTGGTCACATCCTGCACGAAGACGCGGTAAAATGATGATGAGACATCGCGGTGTGCCATCGCGACTGAGAGGGGCTCGGTGGTAATACAACTACCAGCCAGGTTGTCCCTATTAAAGCGATCGGTATCTCAACGCAGGAGCGTTGTAGCAACGGTGTTTGTTCCGTGCTCAGTTTGATTACATTCGCACGCTGCGGTGCGCAATTAGGAATCCGGCAGCACGGGTCTTATGGCCACCTATTCTGAGGCGCCAGCCTGTCATTCACCTCACTGGAGCAACCTGTCTTCAAAAGGCTGCGTTCCAGTCGATAACTGGACGCAAGCCTACCTCAGCTGTCGAATCGCTGGTCTTTGCGACCTCAACAGCAGGACGGCAGCCCTGCCTGCCAGCGCAGTCTGTTGGTCCAGCAATTGCCAACGCCGTGCTGCCGGCTCTCGAAGAGGTCCGCCTAAACCAAACCACGCAAACATCTCCGATTGGTGTCCTCCTGTCCAGGCGATTCGACTCCCAAGAGCATTTGCCTGCACGTAGCGCGCTGGGTGGGAAGCACAGTGTCGACTGGCAGGGCGGGCGCCCGTTCTTTATAGCCCGCAGGCGGACACAAATCGCCACCCGTGCGGGGAAGCAATCGATTACGCAATCGAGCCAAAAGAGGGGAAATAGAGTAGGTGACGTCCTAAGTTTGGTCATGGGTTTTGTGGGTTGACCATATTTACGTTGTCGCGGTCCGCTCCCTAGCGTATTCAAGGTTTTCGACAGGGGTGTGTGAAATCGCCGCGCAACGGCGGCACCTGTCACTGAGACTGGGGGCTCGAGACTCGAAGTGCACGAATTCAGTGATAGACAGCCATTGACTAGTCAAATGCCACACAACTAGCTGCAGTGAGTGTAAATGAATATCATTATGATGATAGTGAGCTGGTGACGCTTCATTCATATCCTTATCGCAACAAATTTCCTTCATCCATGACTTGGGTAGACTTACTCCTTCTTCTTCCCCTTCCGATCACTCCTCAATCCCCGCAACCACCCCCTCGCCGCCGCCCTACAAACCCACGCCATCCCCAACGTAATCGCACCCATTGTTCCCCACTGCGCCATCGCCACATCTCCCGTCTTCGCCGTCGGTACCTCTATTCTCATTCCGTTTTCTAGCGTCGGGGTGAGGAAATGGAAAGTGGTGTCGCCGGGGTGGAGGTGGGTGTAGAGTGTTCGTGGTGTGTCGAAGGGATTTTCTTCCAGCGGTGATTGCGCAGCGTTTTCGCACGCCCAATACACCACCGGCTGCTGTATTTCCACCCCCTGTTCATCATCAGGTACAGCGTACCGCATATGCAGCGGCAGCTCGACGGTAACGTCTTCCTTCCCCTCCTGCCCCCTCCAATCAACCTCCACAGCCGCTATCGAGCCCCATCCATCGACTGCCCATACCGGCGCTTCGAGGTCTGTCTCGCCCCACATACGGAGAGATGAGATACCGCCCGATCTGAACGCAGTACGATCAGCTAGTTGGTATTTATCAAGAAATACTGAGGATGGAAGGGTGTATAGTGCGTTGAGGGTACATTCCTCTGCTGGTGGCTCTGTGGGTGTGATCTGCGTTACCAACACCGGGTGCATCCCAACCGCGGGATCAAGCCTCGACCGATATGCTGTATCCGAGTGTCTCGTTCTTTGCGGAAACGAAATAAGCGTCGGTTTGAACTGTGTGTTCCCATCACCAATCGCTGCAGTTAGTCCAGACATCGTTAAATCCTCCACGCCCGGGATGAGATGACTCTCGAAAATCCCCACCTCGACTGTATCTTCGTGATGGCGTTCGATTGTCGCCGTCAGTGGTTCGGTGGTGTTCGTCCACAGGGCGCGGAGGCGGAGGCGTTTGTTGGTGTAGGTGAGGGAGAGGGAGGAGGTGGAGCCTAGGGGGTAAGTGTATGCGTGGTCGATAATGTGTTGGGTGAGGTAGTCGCGCATGTATGCTGCGATGGTATGGGCATCGTGAAGGTAATTTAGGTTGTCGACCTTAATGAACCGTTGTTCGAAGTCGGGGCCGTCATCAACGTGAGAACCGATGATAGATTCCAAAAGCTCACGGAATCCAAGAGGCCTGTACGATAAGTCAGCACTGTGCGACAGGAAAGCCAGACTATTCGTACGCTGCACCACGATGCTTGAGCTCATACTCCACATGTAACCCTCCAGGCAGGTCAATCGCGAACGGCGGTAGGGGTTGTTGGCGTGACGAATCGGGTGCGACGTAAGTAATCCGAAGGTAATTCACGCCCCGTAAACACGCCCGTAGCTGTATAACCAGTCAGTGCGATTGATCCACATAGAACTGTACTCCCCCCGATCGTACCTCCTCAGGCAACTCCCTCAACTGCACCATCAACTCCCTCGTCGCCGGGATATCCCTCATGGTAGCAGTATGCTCCTCCAACACAAAACTCCGCTCATCGAGTTTAAGTCCCTGGGCGCTATCAAGCACGAATGTATGCCGATGAATCTGTGTTGCTCTGCTCATCCTTCAGTCACTCATTGCCGGGCCCGTACACGCCAGTGCTCGAAGGGCCGTTGGGAGAGCGCGTATGGCAGGGGCACACACTTGAGCAAGTTGCGCATGAAGCCAGAGCAACTTGAAGCACCGCACCCAGCCTCCGGTCTTTCTTATCCGCCTGCACTTATCCAAATTTATAAAGTCAATACGATCCATTTGACAAACAAGACAAGATGGCATCAACAGCAATTGGCGCAGCAATCGGCGTCCTCTTCTTCTTCATCATTCTAACCCTCGGCGGCTACCTCGGCTACTCCTTCTGGGTACGTTGTGACCTCATCGCCTCACATGGCACAGACACTGATTGGGTTACACAAACAGAAATCACGCCGCGAAGGCCGCCCATTCCGACCCTTCAATTTCGCATTCTTCCGACGTTCATCATACGCAGCCCGTAGCCATACGCCCCATCACCACAACTTCTCCGCCCTCGACGTGGATGAGGCATGGGATGCGCGGGTCGGGGAGGAATATGGGCTCGCGCATCGTGATGAGGAGATGGAGTTGGATAATGCCGAGATGGCGGGGAGGTATGAGGAGTTTGCGAATACGGGGGCTGGAAAGAAAGCGCAGAATCCGTTCTCGGATGAAGCGGAGGATGCGGATGGGAGGCCGAAGCATAGTAGGAATGAGAGTGGTGGGAGTAAGTTTACGGAGGATATGTGAGGGTGGAGCATGGATGGAGTCATTTTTGAGCGCTGGTTTTCGTTGGAAGTATACATACCCATATGGTCAAGAATCGTCACAGGCATTCCTTCGGCTGTGAGACAGTATCATACCTCTGCCTTTATGGTCGTTTCCATATTAATTCTCCTACCTCAATTGTCTATTAATGACCTAATACTCCACCCCCTTCCCAAACAAGAAACTTACACTCTCCCCATTATGATTCCTCCGAATACTCTCCGCAATAATCATCGAAATATCAATCACCGCCAACTTCTTACTCTTCTTCTTCTCCTCCGAAACCGGGTACGTATTGGTGACAACGACACGGTGGATATCATCACACCACTCCATCTCGTCTAGACAATCGTCTGACAACACGCCGTGGGTGCCCATAACGTAGACTTTCGTCGCGCCACAGTTTCGACGGAGGTGTTCGGCGGCTGCGACGAAAGAGCCGCCGCGGTCGACCATGTCGTCGACGACGATTGCGACTTTGTTGCGGACATCGCCGACCAGTGTAATCGTGCGTTCCTCACCCTCTTGGCAGGCGTTTTCTTCCTCGTCATCGGAGCCATGGGCATCGATCGTCCCGCCCAGCGCCAACACCGATCCAGCGGCAGACGGCGCAATAGAATACATCGACGAAGTCATTGGATCCAACCCATCCCGGTTGAAATGATGCGTCGTCGAGGCTTCGGACATGTTATCCGGGTAATCGTCATCGACGACGTGGCCCGACACCAAACGCCCGGTGTGGACGCCCTCGATTTGGCGTTGACGCATGGGGGAGCCAGTGGAGTTGAAGGACATGGAGGAGAGGTGGGATGCGGAGAGGGACATGTGGGTGAACTGGTTGGGCAGGGACGCTGGTGGGGTGGGATCTGGGTCTACGATATCGTTGTGTCTCTTCTGGGGTGGGGGGTAGGAGTCGTCCTCATCTGGTTGTTGATCTTCCTCGTCTTCGTCTTCGTCCATGTCATCATCCCCAAATGTCGACGCACGTGTCGAAAACCCAGAGTTAAAGTTCCGCCCACGACGACGATCAGTGTGGATGATACCGAAATTAATCCCGAGTGTGTCGGCGAGGGATGTAGCGCGTTTTGTTCCACCGGGGTTTTTGGATACGACGACGGCTTCTCGCCATTCGGGGATATTGTCTTTGATCCAGCGGGCGAGGGATGGTTCGGCGTAGAGGTTGTCCACGGGGCGGGTGAAGAAGCCTTGCATTTGGGATGCGTGGAGGTCCATGGTGATGATGTGATCCACACCGGCGATGGTGAGGAGGTTTGCGACCACTGCAATCAGCCTGATCAGTCTCCACTCACGAAGAATGAAGTATAGGGTTCGTACTTCGTGCAGTGATGCATCCACGATGCTTCTTCATCTTACTCTGCTTCGAATACGGAAAGTACGGCAGAACAGCGGTAACCTTCTTCGCACTCCCCCCGCGACACGCCTGCGCCAAAATCAACAACTCCATCAAATGGTCATTCACGGTTTGTGATCCAGACTGGATGATGAAGACATCTTCGTTACGGACGGAGCAGTTGACTTTTACGGAGGTTTCCTTGTTGGCGAACTTTTGGAGGTCGGCCTCTGCGACGGGAACGCCGAGACGGTTGCAGATTTGGGAGGCGAGTTCGGGGTGGGAGGTGCCGGAGAAGATCTTTGTTCGTCGCATGGTAGAGGGTTGGGGATTTGGAGGGGGTCGAGGAGGAAGTGTCGGTCGAGGAGCTTCGAGGATCAGATACAGTACGAGTAGTCCAGGGCCGCTTCTCGGACTTTTGTGGGACAGGCCTCGAGAGGGCCATGTGAGGAATGGTATAAAGGCAAATAAAATAATTCTACCTTTTTTTTTATCACGAAACTGAAGCTGCTTGCAAGCGGTCATGTGCCGCAGTCTCTGCTCCATGACGTCGACCGCGGATTCGTACCCTCGAAAAGTCGTAGACATCGCGATTTTGATCGAAGCAACCAAACACCAGCCGCAATCGCATCTATAACATCTCATAATGAAGCAACGATTAACATCACTTGTACGTTTGCCGTTATCCTTAAGCCTTGTTCACTTCTGACTTCTTTACAGGACATCGCTGCCCTCGTCCCACAACTCACCTCCTCGATCGTGGACCTCCGTCTTCAGAACATCTATGACCTCTCTCAAAACTCCCGATCCTTCCTTTTCAAGTTCGCAAAGCCAGAGCACAAGCAAAACTTTCTTGTCGAGAGTGGATTTAGGTGTCACTTGACGACGTACGACCGTGATCGGGAATCGCAACCTGGAAATTTCTGTACAAAGGTAGGAACTCCATCATTTGATTGCGTACAAGGTATACTGATGATAAATCCTACAGCTGCGTAAACACCTCCGCACCCGCCGCTTGACTTCCGTCCGCCAACTCCGTCGCGACAGAGTTCTCATCCTCTCCTTTGAAGCTTCGACAGCCGCGGCCTCATACCACCTCATCCTCGAGTTCTACGCCGCAGGAAACGTCGTCCTCGTCGACGGCAACTGGAAAATCATCGGGCTCCTCCGCGTCGTGAGTGAAGACGAGGGTGGAAAGCGCTACGCTGTCGGCGAAGTGTATGATCTCGGACGGGAGGAGGCGGGAAGGGAGGTTGAGAGTATGACAAAGGAGAAGTTGGAGGGGACGTTGGAGGCGCTCAAGACTGCTACGGAGGCGCCTACCGAGGAGGATGCCGGGGATGCGAAGCCTAATGTGTTTGGTGGGAAGCAGCAGAAGAAGCAGAAACAGAAGGCGCAGACATTGAAGCGGCAGCTCGCTATTCAATGTCCTGTTTATGGCCCTGCACTCGTTGAGCACACACTTCTCCGTGCAGGAATCGAGCCGACCATGAAGATTACCCCTACTTTCGCGTTGACTCCGGAGCAGACTGAGGCTTTACTCGGTGCATTCGGAGAAGCTGACGCGATCGTCAAGCAATGCGCAGAAACCGACGTCAAGGGCTACATCATTGCAAAACGTACCCCACCCGCCACCGGCGAGGGCGAAGACATCATCACCTACGAAGACTTCCACCCCTTCCTGCCTACCCAATTCACCGGCAAGACCAGCACCGAGATCCAGGAAGTGGAAGATTACAATAAGACAGTCGACACCTACTTTTCTCATCTCGAGTCACAGAGTGCCGCGGCGAGGTTGAACAACGAACACGTCCGCTTCGCCGAAAAACTTAGCAAAGCCCGTTCGGAACACGCGGGGCGTATCGAAGCCCTCAAGGGTGCGCAAGACATGGCCGTCCGCAAAGCCGCCGCGATCGAAGGTTCTCTGGGAAGGTGCGATGAGGCTATGGAGGGTGTTCGTGGCCTCATGGAGCGCGGTATGGATTGGCGTGACATCCAGACCCTTATCGATGGTGAGCGCTCGAGGGGGAATGAGGTCGCTATGATGGTTGCAGGGTTGGATTTGGGACGGAATGTGGTGAAGCTTAGGTTGGCTGAAGAGGATGACGAGGATGATGATGAGGAGAGTGAGGATGAGACGGATGAGGAGACGGATAGTGAAGGCGAGGAGGAGAAGGATCGTGGGAAGGGTGATGCGAAGAATTATTTAGAGATTGAGATGGATATTGGGTTGAGTGCCTATGGTATGTTTCTGAAAGACATTGTTGCTTGCTCCGTCATGCTAATGAAGACGTACAGCAAATGCTCGGTTATACTACGACAAGAAGCGATCTGCGGCCACGAAAGAGGAGAAGACTCTTCAGGCTTCCTCCATGGCACTCAAGTCGACCGAGAAGCGTATTGCTGCTGACCTGAAGAAAAGCTTGAACAAGGAGCGGTCCGTAGTGAAGCCTATGCGGAAAGTCAACTGGTTTGAAAAGTTCTTGTGGTTCATCAGTAGTGATGGATACCTTGTTCTTGGGTACGTTATTCCAACGTGTTTTTTGGACATTCATGGCTTACTGAATATGCACAGAGGCCGAGACATGCAACAGAACGAACTACTTGTCCGAAAATACCTCAAGCGTGGTGATGCGTACGTACATGCCGATCTCCACGGTGCTGCGACTGTGATCGTTAAGAACCACGTCACCTCCTCCACCTCGGAACCCCCTCCGATCCCTCCTACTACCCTCACGCAGGCCGGAACCCTCACAGTCTGTACCTCCCGCGCCTGGGATGCCAAACAGGTGACCTCAGCCTACTGGGTCTACGCCGACCAAGTCAGCAAGACCGCGCCCACGGGTGAATACCTAACCACCGGTTCCTTCATGATCCGCGGTAAGAAGAACTTCTTGCCGCCTGTGCAGTTGGTTCTTGGGTTTGGTGTCTTGTGGTTGATTGATGAGGAGAGTCGGGGGAGGCATGTGAAGCATAGAATTGCGGAGGAGGATTTGAAGAAGGAAGAGGAGGTGCCGATTGAGGAGGAGGAGGTTCAGACACCGGTGACGGAGAAGAGTGAGGAGGAGGCTAACGAGGATGTGCCGATTGTTGATGATGGTGGGCAGGAAGAGGAGGATGAGGAGCGTGGTCTTGCTGATGAGACTTTGCAGGAGCCTGTTGTTGATGCCGCCGAGTCGCCGGCTGATTCTGCATCTGAGAGCGAGGATGAAGATGAGGATGCGTTCCCTGATACCCAGATTCAGGACATCCCCGCAGAAGCCTCCGCTGACTCAAAGAATGAAGAGGAGGACAAGTATGCTTTGGAGGACTTTGGTGCAGACGAGGACGAGCAAGCAGCTGACGCCGATGGTAACGAAGGAAGCAAGGCTGCGGGCGGCAGCAAGTATATCAGTGCTAAGCAGCGCCGTGAGATGCGCAAGCAGAAGGCGGCCAAGGGTGACTCGAGTATCCTTGCCAGCGCTGGAGAACCCGGTTTGGACAATGCCGGATCCTTGGAAGATGTTCTCGCCGCTGTGTCCTTGAAGGACAAGAAGTCCAAGTCCTCTCCGCCTCCTAAGCAGGAGAAGAAGGAGAAGCAAGCTCCTCCACCTCCGAAGAAGCGTGGGCAGAAGGCTAAGCAGAAGAAGATCGCGGAGAAGTACAAGTTTCAGGATGATGAGGATCGTGAAGTTGCGATGAAGCTTCTCGGATCTGCGAATAAGTCCAAGAAGCAGCTCGAGGAAGAGGAGCGTCAGGCAAAGAGGGCTGAGCAGGAAGCTGCACAGAACAAGAAGGCAGCTAGACAAAACGCTCAGCAAGGAAAGCCCGCTGGCCCCAAGCTCGACGCCGAAGCGAAGAGGTTGTTGAAGGAGGAGAACATCGAGGTTTTGGACGAAGAGGAGCAAGATCTCGTCACACCCCTCGACGCATTCACGCCTACACCCTTCGCAGGCGACAACCTCCTCGACGCAATCCCCGTCTGCGCTCCCTACTCCGCCCTCGCCCGCTACAAATACAAAGTCAAGTTCCAGCCCGGTCCTACCAAGAAGGGTAAAGCAGCAAAGAGTGCCATTGCTTACTTTACTGGCATGCCGCTCGACGCGAAGAGTGAGGACGTAGAAATGATGTGGCCCAAGGAAAGGGATTTGATGAAGGGGCTGAAGGATACAGAGTTGATTATGCCGATTGGTGTGAGTAAGGTGAAGGTTAGTACTGCTGGGAAGCAGGAGACGAAGGGGAAGGGAAAGGGAAAGAAGGGCGGGAAGAAGGAGAAGGATGGGCTTGTCCTTGGATAAGCGATGGAAGTGGTCAAAAATGCATTGTACTGGCATGTAATACTAAGACATAATATTGCAAAACGTTCTTCAAGATCTTCCGGTATATCGTACACACAGTTATCGTATCGCCTCACTTGCTTGCTTTGAACGAGTACTTGCCTCCTCTCTTCAGATACACAACCCTATCCTTCAACTTCTCGTCCTTGGCAACAGCAGCCTTGAAATCATCCAAACTACTCAAAAACGCATCATACTCCGGTGGCTCATCCCCATCCGCACCATGGTGAATAGGAATAGCGACTTCGGGGTCAATCAAATGAATGAGCTTGATACCCTGTTCCGCGTCCATCGTAACCATAGCTAACGGCAATTTGGGAGAGGGAATGGTTGTACCACCAAGGTGAACAAGCATGAGGTCAACATTTGGGAAGCGTTTGGGGATTTCGTAGAGTTCGTTGACGAGGAGGGTGTCGCCTGAGATGTACATCCTGTACCCGACATCGACACCATCAGTCTCCGCCTCGATCGTCTTCGGCTTTGCACCGAACTCGACCATCCATCCATTTGTGGGGGGTACAGCCCCGATAAAGTCGTTTATTTTTTTGAGGAGACCAGCGGGGCCGGGAGGGACGTGCTTTCCGGGCATTCCGGTGATTTTGAACGCCGCGTTCGAGTTCTGAATATCAACGATCGCGGACTCCCAGTGGTCCAATGCAGTGACTTTCTCGAATTTGCCTTCTTTGGAACCTTCGAGGCATTCTTTTGCATGGGGGGTCGAGATGATGGGGAGGGTACGACGCAGGGATTTCTCGACGTCTTGGTCGAAGTGGTCGGCGTGGAAGTGAGAGAGTAGGATCATGTCGATGGGAGGGAGGTCGTGGAGATCTACGGCAGGGTTTTGGAGGCGAGTAGCTGTCACTCCTGGACCGAGGTGTACGTGGTCGCCTGCGTGAAGGAAACTGTAAGGTTATGTCAATCCAAGCTGTTGCAAAGCTCCTTCGCGAATGTTCGCCTTACTTTGGATCAGTCATGATACGGACGCCCTCCCATTCAATCACGGTCGTAGCGTTTCCGATGAAGAAAATGGAGGCATCTTCAGTGCCAGTGTTTTTTCCCTTTGGGTGAGTTTCGACGTGGAGAGGTTTGGGGAGATCGTGAGCATGAGGGTGGGAGTGGGGGTGATCCCTGGTCGGGTACAGGGTAGAAGATGGATCGAGGGTGATTCTTGGAAGAGGCATAATGGTTGCAACTGGCTTATTGTGGTCAAATAGGTTCGATCAATTGACTTATGGTGTTGAGCGCTTAAGGTTGCAATTGGTAAGCTGAGCCTCGACATGGAGGTTTGGCTATGACGTCATTACCAGTGGTACATCTTATGCCCGAAGACTGTGAGAACAACAGGAAAGCTTAATAACCACAAACATCATTCCTCCAATCTCAGCCATCTTGCTCGCCGCATTTTCACACCCGTGTCAAGTTCTTCTCACGGTAGGGCACAGCCCGCGACGTCGGAGATGAACACTGTCGAGGTGATGCCCTTTCAATCGTGTGCAGGCACGTATATAATCCGACTTACCCTTGTCATAATCGCTGCACAATTGGAACGGAGGTGGGGGCCGAGTCGTCCAGTAATTACTTGACGGTAGAGATGTTCTTTTCCGGGAATCCGGTGTGAGGACAGCACAAGGATTTTGCGATTCGATTGACGACAAGTTTAAGGCTTAAGCTTCGTGTTGTTCATGGAAAACCAAGAGCAACACTGCTCAGCAATAGTACTTACTAGCTGCCCCCGATTCCAAATGTGAAGGTGCGCCGGGGTGCATGACCAGACCGCACCAATACCGCAAACACTGCCAATCCAACAATGTCATTCACAACGGCTCAAATACCTGATCTTTCCGGAAGGTAGATCGTGAAAAACAGAATAACTTTGCCTGCAAGTTGTTGACACGTTTCACAGGTCCGTCCTCATCACCGGCGGTAACAGTGGCTTGGGACTCGCTACCGCACACGCCCTTTACGCTCGGAACGCCAACATTACAATCGCATGTCGTTCGCCGCAGAAGGGACAGGATGCCGTACGCGCGATTAAGGAGAAGACACTGACCTCGACGGGTAGTGTGGAATTGCTCAACCTTGATTTGAGCAGCGTCAAGTCTACGGTTGAGGCGGCGGAGGAGTACACGCGCAACCACGACAAACTGGACATCCTATTCGCCAATGCTGGTATCGCTATGGAGCCATACCAACTCTCTGTAGACGGGTATGAGAGGCAATTCGCAACGAACCACCTCGGTCACTTTGCGTTCATTACGACGTTGCTTCCGTTGCTGCAACGCACCGCTGCGGCGAAGCCGGAGGGTGATGTCAGGGTCATCATCACCTCGAGCGAGGCACACAGATTCACTTACAAAGTGAACAATGGTATCGATTTCTCGGCCATGCGCGGCGAGAAGCGTAAGCCAGACGTTGACCCAACAAGTATCTGGGAGCTTGGTGATGCATTCCGTCGCTACGGTCAATCAAAGCTAGCGAATATCCTCTTCACTCGCGAACTCTCCCGCAGACTGAAATCCTCCCACCCAAACATCTATGTCAACGCAATCCACCCCGGCGCAGTCGCAACCGGCCTCACGTCCGGCGGCAGTGCTTTCATCGGCCCAACCCTCACGAAAATCACCAACTTCCTCATGGGCTTCTTGGCAAGTAGTGCAGAGAAGGGTGCGCTGACGCAGTTGTGGGCTGCAACGAGTGAGGAGATTGTGGCGAGGGATTATAGGGGGGAGTATTTTATTCCGGTGGCGAAGATGGGCAAGACTACGGAGGAAGCGAAGAATGAGGAGTTGATGAGGGAGCTGTGGAAATGGAGTGAGGGGGCAGTTGAGGGCGTTGTTGGGAAGAGGGTCGGAGGACACGTCCAGTAGGCCTTCGGGACGGAGAGATCTTCCTTGGAGAAGAGCATGAGAAGGAGAATGTGATACCCCTGATTCGATTTCCTGGAGAGACCAAAGTTTCAAACAATGTCAACCGGCGCCAATTTACTGCTACAACATTAAAATACCTTAGAACTGATCGGCTGCCGTGACAAACTGCTCTTCACCCTGCAGCTGTACGAGTATTTTGACCTGTCTGTACCCACGATCACCCGTGACCAATCTTTACATGAACGATATCATATAGATTTCAATAGAGTTATCAAATAAGATGAACACTCTTTTCACGCCTGGATATGATTCGAGTGATTTCATTCACCTGCACACTCACCTGCGTCCTCCCATGCACCTTGCTAACATTTTTTGCCTGGGCGCAGCTGCAGCCGAAGGAAATACCTGAGAATCCCCGACAGACATAGAATACCGTGAGTGACAACCTGATCCGTTCTGATCCGAGGACCTCTTTGTTGACCGCAGTTTCTTTTCATAGCTTGTGGGCATAAATCGGGTTCCTTCACCACATATACACAATGCCCGTTCCGACATACTTGTTGAGCGAGTTGGCCTCAGGCTATGCTCTGTACGAGGTCAAGGAGGCCGAGGAGGTCGGCTCTCAATTGAAGGAGGTCAAGGAGGCTTTGCAGGACCTCGCTCGCTTCGGAAAGATGGTCAACCTTGTTTCCTTCGCACCTTTCAAGACGGCCGCCCACGCTCTCGAAAACGCCAACGATATCTCTGAGGGTATCGTCAACGACCACTTGAAGGCCTTCCTCGAGACTAACCTTCCCAAGCCCGGAAAGAAGAACAAGGTCATTATCGGTGTCACCGACAAGAACTTGGCTGGTGGTTTGAAGGAGGCTATCCCTGGATTGGAGTGCGACAACTCTGAGGTCTCTTTGGACTTGTTGAGGGGTATCCGTTTCCACGGAGAGAAGCTCTTGAGACAGTTGCAGGCTGGAGACATCGGTCGTGCTCAGCTCGGTCTCGGTCACTCTTACTCTCGTTGCAAAGTCAAGTTCAACGTCAACCGGTCCGACAACATGATTATCCAGGCTATTGCCCTTCTCGACCAGTTGGACAAGGACATCAACACCTTCTCTATGCGTGTTCGTGAGTGGTACTCCTGGCACTTCCCCGAGCTCGTTCGCATCGTCAACGACAACCACCAGTTCGCCAAGCTCGCCCGCTTTATTGAGGACAAGAACAGGCTCACGGACGACATGCTTCATGACATTGCTGCCCTTGTCGAGGATGACGAGTCCATCGCCAAGGCTGTCATCGACGCCTCCAAGGTTTCCATGGGTCAGGATTTGTCGGAGGTGGATATGGAGAACGTTGTCGCTTTCGCCGACCGTGTCGTGAACTTGGCCGAGTACCGCAAGCGTCTCTACACCTACCTACAGGACAAGATGCACGTCGTTGCACCCAACTTGTCCGAGTTGATTGGTGAGGTCGTCGGTGCTCGTCTCATCTCCCACGCCGGTTCCTTGACCAACCTCTCCAAATACCCTGCCTCCACCGTCCAGATCCTTGGTGCCGAGAAAGCTTTGTTCAGAGCATTGAAGACTAAGGGTAACACCCCCAAGTACGGTCTCATTTACCACTCTTCCTTCATTGGACGTGCTGGCCAGAAGAACAAGGGACGGATATCCCGTTTCCTTGCCAACAAGTGCTCTATCGCTTCCCGTATCGACAACTTCAGCGATACCCCAACTACCAAGTTCGGTGAGGTTCTCCGTCAGCAGGTCGAGGAGCGCTTGAACTTCTACGAGAAGGGTGAGCCTGTTACTAAGAACGCCGATGCTATGCGCCAGGCTATGGATGCTGTCCTTGCTGGTGTTAAGGTTGAGGTTTCTGGTGTTGCTGGTGATGCTCGTGAGGATATCGAGATGGATGACGTCGAGGAGAAGAAGTCCAAGAAGGAGAAGAAGAGGAAGGCCGAGTCAAGCGAGGAGTCTGGCGAGAAGAAGTCTAAGAAGGACAAGAAAGAGAAGAAGGAGAAGAAGGACAAGAAGGAGAAGAAGTCCAAGGAGTAAGGTGTCTCATTCTGAATTGGAGTGAGGAGGTGGTAGGTGATGACAACACGCGCAATTGATCCTTCGACGGGAGTCAAGTCGAGGTCAACATCTTGGGTATGCATATTGCTTTCAATGGTTTGCAGGTTTGGTAATGTTTCTGCTTTGCTTTCTTGTTCGGGTTTCGTTTGTTCCGGTTTTTATGTATAAACATTTCGGGCATCTTCAATGATTATATTTCATTCAAAGCCTATTTTAGAGGTACATGCTACCTACTCCTGTGCTTCTCCTTCCAAACCGATTTGCTAGCTTTTGGTTGCTCCTGCTCATATCCAAGACCAAGTTCGCTGCTCCGATATGAGTCGCCAGTGCCTTTGCAGACTCGTGTAGGACGTCGGTCTCGACATGTTCACGCTCAACGACACCACTAGATCGTCCAACAATAGCCACAGCCTGTACCTCCCTCCTCTCACACTGACTCAACAACGCTGCCTCAAACCCGGTCAACATACTCGGCGGCTGTAACAGTGGCACATCACCCGTCACCTCCTTCGCCGCCGCAGTCGTCGGAAGAATCGAAACAGCGTGGGAACGGTCATACGTCAGCGAGGGCGCGACGACGTACACCTTCGTACTGGGTGTCACAGCGTCGAGGATGGCAGCTGCTAATAAGTAGCATACCCGCGGATCGAGGAAGGGTGGGATGCTGATGGAGTGGAAGGAGTGAGAGGGATGGTGGAAGATTGGGATGGTCCTTGCGTTTTCGCCGTCTTCGTCCTGTAGGTTGTCAGTAAACCAATCAAAATGAGAATCTGAAGAACCCTACCATATACACCGTTACCGTCCCCACGTTTTCCTCCTCCCCCTTCAACCCCGCCGGTATGGCAGCCATTGCACGAACGCACACAGCCAACACTTCGATCGGTACCGCCGAATTCAGCTTCACCTCCGGCGCCCGTGGTTCGGTCCACTTCTTCCGTGGTCTGGGTACTTCGTCTTCGTCGTAGTCTGGGTCGAATGGGTGGGTTGTTCCTGCTAGATCATTCTCGTCTTCGTCATCGGAGTCGGAGTCGTAGAGGACGTGGCGGGCTGGTGGTGGTTCAATTGGGGTTTCCTTCACATTGTTAGTCAATTGAACTCCTGTCATGGCGATAGATCCCTTACAAACATGCTGATCTGATGGTTGCTGAATTCTTTACTTGAGGTCGCACATGCACGCACGTACGTACGCCGCTGCGACATCGCCATGCAGGACCGGCGACAGCACAAAGTCAATTGCAAGTCAAACGTTACGAAAGTCGATTAAGAGAAAACCTTTAAACCCAATATAAACCAGAAGAAAGAAAACCAAACCCGTCAATGCCCCCTAACCAGAACAATAGAACGAAGGATGCATAGCACGCCAAACCGGACAAAGTGAACGTAACTTCTGCAAGCCCAACAGCTTACTTCCTAGCCTCAGCCAAACCAACGTAGTCCTCACCAAGGTGGTAGACAGAGTAGTACTTGCGCAAGAAAGTGTCACCAATGATCCAGATAGGACCCATGGGAGGAGGGATGTCAATGCCGGTGAAGGAGGAGATACAGGATCCCTGAACCTGCATGATGTAGTCGGAGGCGGGGAGGGAGAAGTTGTGGCCGGAGAAGTTGAACGAGATATCGGGCAAGGAGTCGATGACGCTGCAGTCGACGGTGTACTGTCCGTTCCATCCCTTCTTGGCACCAATCTCCTTGTTCAACAACTCGGCAACGTCGGAGGGCATGGCGATCAAGGACGTTCCGGTGTCGATGGCGGCACCGGTACCTTCCAACTCGAGCGTCTCGTCACCGAAGGAGAAGGAGTTGAGGTCGACCTCCCAGTATCCACGACGACGGACGGGAAGCTTAGTGATCTTTCCAGTGTAGTGGTCCTCGTCAAGACCACCGAAAGTGCATTCACCACCGTCCTCACCATCAGCGGTGTTACCCAGGAAGAAAGCGAAGACGGGCTCGTCAATCAAACCCTGCTCGTACATCTGGTAGAAGGGAGGAACGACGTGATCAACGGAGATGGTGTCGTATCCCATACCCAAGATACCGTCGAAACGACCGAAAGCGAAGGCAAGTCCCGGCTCGTTGGTAGCCTCAGCAAAGTCCTGCTTTTTGATCTCCAAGTCACCGAGGGTGACGGTATCCTGGCTGATGAATCCACTCAAGCTACCAGAACCGTAACGGATCTCGAAATCGGTGCCATTGGGCTTGTAAGTGCTCGACGCAGAGGAGTCGTACTTGCTATGCAAGAAACAAGCAATGGAAGAGCAGGATGATGAAGGAACCCAGAGGTTGGAGGATCCAGTGTCAAGGATGACCTTGAACTCCTGGGGAGGGGTACCGATGGAGATGTCGGTAAAGTACTGGGCGTTGAGGAAGTTGGTAAGGGGAACGCCGTGAGAAACCTTGCCTTCGGCGTCGTAACCGACGTGGCGGGATTTGGCGAGCTCGGCTTGGTGAGCACCAGGGCGGATACCCATATACTTCTGTCCCAAATGGCGGAGAGAGCTCTCGAAGTCGAGCTACGCACAAAGGGGTCAATATGCTACCTTGATTCACCGGAAATTGGGGTATATGCATACCGACTGAAGCTGCTCCTCAAGGGGAACCTTCTTCAAGGCCATCCTTTAAACAAACACGTCAGTTACAGCTCCAACCCCGACGCAATTGATCCGTGACTCACTTGTGAACCTCTGCAGAGGCACCGAGCAAAAGGACTGCAGCGGTCAGGAAAGACGCTATCTTCATGATGAGACTGAATGAATTCGAGATTGTGTAATAGAGATAAATGCTATGTTGAGGTGAGATGGAGTGATGAGAATGGGGAGGCGGGGTTGTTGTATGGGAGACTGCAGGCTGTGCGATTACGCAGGCTATGTACGAGGCTGCGATCGGGGCTGGGCGGAACTTGGGGGCCAACACCGCGAAGGGCTAGGCCAGTGGATTCAGGGGCGACGAGGAGCAGGCCTGGGCGTGCAGAGACGAGAAGGTGAACTCAATTGGATGAATAGATTAGCGTTTAACTGATTCTGAATTCACAGTCTGGTTGCAATTGCGATTGCAATTGAGATTTTAGCACGGCCGCACTCCTCGGCGTTTGTGAATAGCAATGGAGTTCAATGTATCGTGATTGTGCAAGAACTCTCTTCGAATTGCAAATGCCTGAATGGTATCCTAACGTAATCGTCTCCTTTCTTCTTTCCCGTCCTTTACCGGTAGAAGTCGTACCTGTCTGACTCATCCGGCTTGATAACCTCCTGATACGCCTCCTCAATATCACTCTGAATGATAACATATCTCGACTTCCTAACAGCCCTCAATCCAGCAGCCTGCATCACACTAGCAATCATCGCTCCACTTGCTCCATCAGGTCTCAAAATGAAGGTATCCAAGTCGACCTCGGGGGAGAGGTTCATCTTTCCGGCGATCGTAGAGAAGATGAGACGCTTCTGACGACGGTCGCGGTAGGATGGGAACTCAATCTTACGATCCAAACGACCGGGACGGAGAAGAGCAGGGTCGAGGGTGTCTGCTCTGTTGGTGGCCATGATGACCTTCACGTTCGAAGTTTGGTCGAAACCATCCATCTGGTTCAACAATTCGAGAAGAATACGCTGGACTTCACGGTCTGCACCAGTCTGAGCATCGAAACGCTTGGTTGCGATAGCGTCGATTTCGTCGATGAAGATAATACAAGGGGAGTTCTCCCTCGCGAGACGGAAGACGTCACGGACCATACGTGGTCCCTCTCCAAGATACTTCTGCACGAACTCGGAACCGACAACGCGGATGAAGGCTGCGGTGGTGGAGTTTGCAACAGCCTTAACCAACATCGTCTTTCCCGTTCCTGGGGGTCCGTAAAGCAAGACACCACGAGGGGGGTCGATGCCGATTTGCTTGTAGAGTTCGGAGTGGGTGAGGGGCAACTCGACAGCTTCCCTGATTTCCTGTTTCTGCATGTCCAAACCACCAACATCGGCGTAACTCACATCGGGCTTCTCATCTGCGCCCATCATGGCGATACTTGAGTCGGCCTCCGGGGGAAGGATGTCGACCAGTGCGTTTGAGTGACGGTGGAGAGCGACGGATGCGGAGGGCTTGAGAAGTTCGCGGTCGAGGGTGGAGAGGATGCGGACAATGTAGTTGGAGCCGGTTGTGGAACCGACAATTGCGGTGTGTTGGTCGAGAGGCTCGAGGAATTGACCGATAACGAGTGGTACGGATTGGATACGCTTGACTTCTTCGGAGGCACGCACGAGTTCTCGTTTTAGGTTTCGCTGTTCATCTTTGATGTATTCCTCCTGTGGACGTCATCGTTAGCCCAGATCCACGAGTGAAGAAGTACGGGTGCAAACCTGCAACGTCAAGAACTCCAGATGCCTCTGCAGCTTCTTCAACTTTGTGTACAAGTCCTCCGAGTCCTTTGCCGCACCGTTCGCGGACAAAGTATCTTTGCCAATTGGCTTCACTTCGTGAGGAGTAATTGTCGAAGCGTTATTAGGGATTGCAGACAGAGTCTCCATTGTATTGGGCCTCTTCTTGGGGTTGTTGTGGGGTATATGCTGTTTCCTCTGTTCTGTCGTCGAGCCCGAGTTGCGTGCGTAACCGCGCGGCCAGGTCCAGGGGCAACGTCATACATCAGGAGACGACGAATACATCGAGTTCAGGAATGACTGGGGAAGGAAGTGCTTACGAGAGACATTGATACTACTGAACTCTACAGCTGTTGCCTCAAGGGGCTTTAGAAAGGACCGATGCTTGGCCTTGGAGGTGTGGGACTCAATCAAATACGGCTCAGGCCTAGGAGTGGTGCCATATGTGGGCAGTACGAGCATATGAAACCGTGTGTCCCCTTGTCCATGTCGCATCCTCTTATCACCGAAAGTGGGTCACGTACCAATGGGCGGGGTTGTGCCGGATAATTCGGCGATGTGAGGACTCCAGATGTTTGCCGAAGGCTACAGCCAGCAGCACAGCCAAGCTTAAACTGTAGCAGGGACAACGGCAGAAAAGAGTGAGAAGAAGAGCTAGAGGAGCGCCGGGAAGACGAGGAGAAGCAGCCAAGAAACGAGCAAAGCCGATCAGGAGCCGAAGCTGATCACGGGCACGACTACATCATGCATCATAATTTCCCTATTGTTGACTAACGGCCGGGCCTCGCGAGGCTGATGTGCGTGCACGCCTCCCGACTTGAAACATGTGTGCCCGAGTCAACGCAGATTAAGTCCCGCGACCGGTAAAGCTTAAGCTAATCTAGCAGGACAACCTACGTTCTAAACCAGCTTCCCTATTTTTGTCCCTTGACTTGTACGCGTTTGAATGCTTCGTAGACGTAGAGTTTTGCTTCGTTGGAGGGAATTGGCTGTCGCACTGCCGTAGTGAGGGGTGACGTGGCAGACGAAAGAGCGCTACTGGATCAACCTTGCATTCGGCACCACCCACACAGCGACTGCTGTTACCTAGGCAAAGTAAGGCTGGTAGCACAGGGCAAGCACGCCCACACCTAAACCTTGCCATTGAGACCGACGCGTCTGTCCGGTACGTCCTTGTTTGACCGCCTGCCGTTCCCGTGACGCCATACGACAGGGAGGCCCGCTTCTTATAAGAGACGTACGCGTCCACCCGCGACCGCATTTCTGATTGGGATATATGCTGACAATGATGCGCATACAGTCCCAAGTAAGCTTCGGCTCAATCGCCCACGACGGATCCACACGCGCCAAATGGGAGGATGGTGCCAGGATGGATGAACAACAATCAACCCGTCGGTTCTGGTGCGCCGGGCGCGTTCAGGCCTCCCGACGCAGGTAACGTCCAACAACCTGGTATGCCGCAACAACAATGGAATTCGGCGCAACAACCTGGGGGTATGCCAATGCCTCCAAACGCTGCTGGTCCAGGCGGACCAGCGGGCTTGTTCAACCCGTTGAAGCGACAACGCGAATCCACCGGATCACCCGCGTTTGGTGTGTCGCCGCGACAGCCGCCTGGACAGCTACCACCGACGTCGAGGCCTGGCACTGCTGGCCCTCCAGATGCCGCGTTCAATCCCTATCTGCAGCAGTCGCCGATGGGTCAACAGCAGTCCATCCAACATCAGCAAGCAGCACTCCTCCGTCAGCAGGCGCAGTTGTCCAACCAGAACTCGCCAAACATGCCACCGACCAATTTACCACAGGGCGGTCCAGCATATACGCACACTCCAACCCAAAACAGACCCATAGGGATGCAGAACCACCCATTTCCCGGTGCATCACCCGCGCAAACTTTCGGGCAACTTCCAAATGCTCCTCCCCAGCGATTGCCCGTGAACCCCAACATGGGCCACGGCAACATGAATCCACAAGTTCTGGCAGCATTGCAGGCGATGCAACAGGCGAACAATGGTTCCGGGCCTCGACAACCACCCAGCATTGACGATCCGCGCGTGCAACAACAGCGACAACCGCACTCTGCTTCGCCGGCGCCCTCCATGGGCGGTATGCCCCAACAACCGAACCGGAATATGCCACCAAACTTTAATCCTGAGCAGTTACAGCGACAGCAGGCACCACCGCATATGCCGGGTCCTCCCCAGCAACCTCTGAATCCGCAGCAGTTGGCGGCACTGCAGGCCCAACACCTAATGCAACAGCACCAGCAGCAGGGACCCATGAATGCTCAACCACCACGGCAGCAGCAGCCCTTGCAGCCGCCGCAACAGCGGCCGCCCGGTGATCCCAATCACCCACCACAAGGCCCACCACGACAGGGAAGCGGTTCGAAGGCCAGCCAGGATGGGTTTCTAAGAAGCTTGGCAGAGTTCATGCAAAAGCGTGGTACACCCATCCGAGGGCACCCAATCATCGGCGGTAAACAGATACACTTGTACAACTTCTGGCAGGCTATCCAGAGACACGGTGGACCGCGCAAGTTGAGTCTAGGTAATGGGTGGCATTCCGTCGCTAACGTGCTTGGGGTCCCTGGAACCGGTGATTTGATTGCGGAGAAGTATCAAGAGATGTTGGCGCCTTTTGCAGACCATATCCTCAGGCAGCAGCTTGCAGCGAGAAAGGCGGAGGAGGCTAGAAGGGGGCCTCAGCAGGGTCCCCTTCAGGGTCCTCTTCAAGGTCCTGCTCAAGGTCACCCTCAAGGTCCTTTACAGGGTCCTCCGCAGGGACATCCTCAACAGCTGCCACAGCAGAACATGCCCCCACCCAAAAGACCGAACGACGCTGCGCAACTTGAAGCAATGCAACGAGCTGCGGCTGCGGCACGTACCATGCAAGCGCAACGAGAACAGCAGGAGCAGCACAACCTACGTATGCAACATCTCCAACAGCAATTGCAGCAACGACAGCAACAGCATGCGCAGCAGGGGTCCCCACAACTCCAGATGCAACAACCACCGATAGCTATGAGTCCTCAGCAAGTTTCTCCTATTGATCCAAGGGTGAGTATGAGTCCGAACATGCCGCAGGGAATGTTACCACCTCGAGGCCCGCCACCCATGCAGCCGCCTCAACAGCATCAACTACAACACCAACATCAGTTGCAACAGCAGCAACAGCAACATCCACAACAGGTTCCCCCGCACATGAGACCCGGTATGCAACAGCCGCCCATGGTGAAGCCTCCACAGCATCCGGTTCCGCCGCACATGCCTCCTGGGATGCGAGGACCTCCGGGCTCGCCTGTTGGTCCGCCTTGGCGAGGTATGCCTACGGGACCTATGCCACCACAGGGTCCGCAGGGTCCTCAAGGACCACAGGGACACCCGCCGCAGAGACAGCAACCGGTTTCTCAGCAGTCTGTACCTCGCCAACCGATGCCACCTGCAAGTCCTGTGCTGCCCGCAGCTCCACCAAAGCCCGAAGTGCTAGAGTACGTCCCCAAAAAGCGTGCCTTGCAGACCCATGGTGGTTTCCAGCTTGATCTTCTTAATCGTCTTGGTGCTACAGTACGCGAGACTCAACCTGGGCGACCAAAATTGCGCGAACTTGGTAATATTCATCTATATGGATTGAATATGAGCATTCAAAGTGGCTTGAACGGCGAGATCACGTATGCGCTTGATATATTGAACATGATTGCGGGAGAGCCATCTTGCAAGTTGCCGTTAGTTGCGTGTGGGGACTTGCTGGAGAGCTTGGTCGAGTTGGCAAACGACATGTTGGACGAGCTTGTCGAGGCGCAGCCAGATGAGGCTAATGCCGAGGAAGACAATGAAGATGGAGAGAAACCACATGCATTGAGACGGACGTATGATGAGATGATGCGCGATTGCATGGACGAGAGCACGTTGAAGCTCTTTGCTGAGCGCCCTGGGGGAGATTCCTACAGACTCAGGCTCGCGGCAGAAAGGTCGTTGTGCATCACTGGGATCCTGAGGAACTTTTCGTTCTTCATCGACAACCAGCTATTCATGGCTGATCAGCAGGACTTGGTCGATCTCATTCTGCGGTATTTGAGCGTGCTTGATTTGGCGCCGAAGCAGATGGTTTTACTTACCCAGAAGAATATGCTGATGATGTGGAAAGATCTTCTGGTGCTCCTGTCCAACCTTGCGGCACAGATTCGCTTGCCTTCGGTAGAGGCAGCGAGGACAGTTCTGGATTTGTTGCTCATGTTCGCGCCTGCATCGCCATTCTCCGAGGATCCTGAACACCTTGAGTTTAACACCGTCGATGTGAGCGCGCATCCCTATGCTCCTGCCGCTATTGATGTTATCGCCAAGCTTCTTGCTCGAGATCACAATGTTGAACTCTTTACGAAGGTGTTCGATGAGGCTGCCACAGCATCCGTACCAAAGTATGCGCTCCTCACGCACGCGTTTGCGTTGTGTATCAGCGCCGTACCCGAGGCAGAGGAGGATATGCAGCCTCGGAGTGTGGAACGTCGAATGGCAATGTTGGAACAAGGGCTACTTGCTGGGATAAGTTTGGCGAGGATGTGTCCTACTGGAGGCGGCGTTGCTCAATCCTGGATGATGGCTGGCTACGGCCTTGTTGGTCGATTGCTGAAGATAGTACTTGCCTTGAGCGATACGCCGGCTGGGCGAGGACCACGATACGATCCCGGATTTCAGGGCCTGGATAATGGTCCGTTTTCTAGGATCAACAAGCGCATCCTGAAGCTCCTTAAGATTTTGGCGAGTAAGTCTGGGCCAGATATGGGTGAAGAAGGGATTGCAGACAAGCGATGTGGAAGCACTTTGATCACGACTCCGGCAATGCAGCTGGGCGTGTTACTGTTACCGAACATGCACTGGGAGATTGTAAAGGACCTGCAGGCGTTAGGTGAAGAAGCAAATTCGAAGCTGGAGGAGAAGGAGCAATCAGTTCAGTGAGGGATGTGTGATGTGTTTTCTATGGCATATGGATATACGGCCGGCGTTTCTTGGGACTCAAAAAACAACAACATATGGCTAATGTAGTATTGAGATATAACGAGTGATTTATTCGTCGTGAGAGAGTGACGTTAAATGCTGTGTCGTTCTTGAGAATGAAAAATATGACAATCAAACCGAACTCCGGGTTCCCTTTCCTTTTCTTGCATCTCTTGCGCAGTTCTGGCAGGCTTTTCCTTCTCTTTCCTTTTCCTTCCCAGCCCTTAAAATCCCTTGCGATGCAACCACCACTTAATTTTCCTGGTGTAGTTTCCCTTGATGACGATATGCTTCGTCACAGGGTTGATCTTAATGTCCTTCTTATCTATTTTGAACTTCTCCTGGACTTCAGCAAGCAGTGCCTGCAAAACGATCAGTACCACGTCGGATCACCGGTCTCAAGTCCACATACCCGGTGGTCTCCCTCGACCTTCCTGATCAACGTCTGAAGCAAGTTTCCTCCGCGCTTGTAATCAATATATACTGGGATTTGGTTCGAAGTTGTCCGTCTGATGTAGTAAGGGTATTGAACGATCTTAACCTCTGGTTCTGGAGTAGGAACAGGCTCTGGGGTTGCGGGTGGCACGGCAGCGTTGCATCGTACGAGCGAAGTAGTGAATGGCCTGGAGGAGGCAAAGACGGGGCGGACAGAAGCGTTCAGGGTGGTTCTCAGCATCGTGATTATCGTATAAACGGGAAGGGGAGGGTTGTCGCCTTCTAGATTTCCAGTGCTCGCTGCACCGCCGCGTGTGGCGCGGGTCCCGAATTTCGACTCCCAGCCTCGACGACGACGGCGGTGCGCAGGGACGAGACGAAAAGCGATACAAAGCGACGATGGAGTCCTTGATCCCCTACCTCGACCGTCACCTCATCTTCCCTCTGCTGGAGTTCCTCTCCATCAAAGACCTTCACCCCGCGGACGAGCTTCGCCAGGCCAAGTATGACTTGCTGTCGCCTACGAACATGACCGGTACGTGTCAATGCGCGTCATTGCGACTTATGATGCTGATTGAATTGCTTTAGACTACATTTCCAACCTGTGGAAGGAGATCAATGGCAAGGACGAGGTTCCCGAGGAGTTCACCCAGAAGCGCGAGGAGGTTTTGAAGACTCTGGCTAGTCTTGAGGAGGAGGCAAAGAAGGTCCTCGCTGTTTTGGAGAATCAGGAGGTTGTTGCGGCATTACGGCAAGACAAGACCCAGAACCTCCAGTACCTCCAGGAGAACCACGGCATCACCGCCGAGAACATCAACGTCCTCTACAAGTTCGGTCAGTTCCAGTACAACTGCGGTAACTACCCCGCCGCCGCCGACTTGCTCTACAACTTCCGTGCATTGTCTACCGACTCTGACCTAAACTCTTCTGCTACCTGGGGAAAGCTCGCCGCTGAGATCTTGACTGTCAACTGGGAGGGTGCTATGGAGGAGCTCACCAAGCTCCGCGATTCTATCGACCAGAAGGCGTTCGTTGACCCTCTGGTTCAGCTTCACCAGAGAACATGGCTCATTCACTGGGCTTTGTTCCCCTTCTTCAACCACGAGAACGGACGCGACGCGCTCTGTGAGCTCTTCTTCTCCCCCAACTACATCAACACCATCCAAACCTCATGTCCTTGGATCCTCAGATACCTCGCCGCCGCTGTCATCACTAACCGTAGCCGTGGACGTAACTCCCAGAACTACCAGAAGCAGATCAAGGACCTCGTCCGAGTTATCAAGCAGGAGGGCCACGAGTACAGCGACCCTATTACCGAGTTCGTTAGCGCTTTGTACATCCGCTTCGACTTTGAGGACGCACAGAAGAAGTTGGAGGAGGCTGAGAAGGCGCTCAAAAGCGACTTCTTCTTGGTTGCTACCGCTGAGGAGTTCGTTGACGCTGCGCGTCACCTCATCTCCGAGGCTTACTGCCGCATCCACCAGAGAATCGACATCAAGTACTTGTCTACCCGCTTGAACCTCTCCCAGGACGAGGGTGAGAAGTGGATCGTCAACCTTATCCGCGACACCAGAGTAGACGCCAAGATTGACTTTAAGGAGGGAACGGTGTTGATGAACCACCCAGCAAACTCGGTGTTCCAGCAAGTGTTGGAGAAGACGAAGGGTTTGAGTTTCAGGAGTCAGGTAGTTGCGCAAACCATTGCGAAGAGGGAGGGCGAGGCTCGGGCTGCTGCTACTGCTACTGCTACTGCTACTGCTACTGCTACTGCTACTGCTACTGCTACTGCCACTGCTACTGCTACTGCTTCGCAGTGAGTGTAGGATTTTGCATTTTGTTGCGCGTTGCGTGTTGCGTTGCGTTGCGTTGCGTTGCCTTGAATTGGATTGATATGGTTGGAAAAGTTGGCTTTTTTGTTAGAGATTCCCCGGGGCTTTTGTACGCCTTAAGCTTGCTACTGTATTTGGCATAGATTTCGAATGAGATGTGTCTACAATTTATCTACATACGATCACGATTGACAAGTCTTTCTCACGATCAACCATGTCGATGTGCAGCGTAGGAGATACGAGCGGCAAATACAAAATGAATATCGATTCATTGCTAATGGTATTGATGGTATGTCAGTTACTCCTCAAGATATCATACAACCTCATTTAACTAATTTACTGCTCATACAGACCTTCCTCTTGCGCCTTGATCTGGAGAGCAAGACGCTTACTGAAGAATCGACAAAGCGCCAAGTTACCACCCATGAAGTAAAACCCCGGGTGTCCAGAAGAGCGCCACATCGTCTTCAACTCACCCTCCTCATCCATACCCCAAACTTCGTTACACCTGTCAGCGACCTTGTCACCCAGGAGCCTGCGAGCGGTGGTCCTCATGTTCTGGTATCCAGTGGCCAAGACGACAATGTCGGCGTCGAGGCGGGAACCATCCTTGAAGATGATGCCCTTCTCGTCGAAACGCTCGATCTCGACACCCTGCTTGACCTTAATCTTCCCCTCAGCGATGAGGTTCGAGGCACCGACGTCGAGATAGTAGCCTCCTCCGCGGCGGAAGTATTTCATCAAGAACCCGGACCCGTCATCACCGAAGTCGAGCTTGAAACCGGCCTTCTGGAGACCGCCGAGGAGGTCTTTATCGAGGTCGGCGATACGGCGGGTGACGTGTTGATGGAGGTCGGCGTGGAGGGGGTTCGGGGTGGAAGAGAACATGATATCCGCATCCTCGGTCGGGGGACCATTCTCGTCGTATAACCCACGGAAGAGCTCAGCGAGACCATTCTTGGAGGTCATCACGTACGTACTCGAACGCTGCACGATCGTCACATCCGCCCCTTGCTCATAAAAGTCATGCGCGATATCGTGGCCAGAGTTACAGCATCCAACGACGACGGCCTTCTTGCCGGTAAAGTCCTTTCCGGTGGTGTGTTGGCTGGAGTGAACGAGACGGCCCTTGAACTTTTCTTGGCCGGGGAATTTGGGGATGTTGGCTTCGCCGGAGTGGCCGGTGGCGAGCACGACGTGCTTGGGCTTAAGCGTGCGAATGGAGCCGTCGGGGCGTTTGACGGTGCAGGTCCATGTCTTGGAGGCTTCGTCGTACTCGGCGGATTGGAATGGAGTCTGGGTCCAGACGTTCAACTCCATTGCCTTGGCGTAAGACTCGAACCAGTCACCAAGCTTGTCCTTGGGCGTAAAGACGGGCCAAGTCTTAGGGAAGGGAAGGTATGACAAGTGGTCGTACCAGACGGGGTCGTGGAGCACGAGGAACTTGTAACGAAGGCGCCAGTTGTCACCAATACGGTCGTTCTTCTCGACGATAAGGGTAGGGACATTGAGTTGACCGAGGCGAGCGGCGAGGTTGAGACCAGAGTGGCCGGCACCGATGATGAGGACGGTTGGGTCGGAGTTCTCGAACTCGTACTCCTCCTCGCGACGGTCGAGCCAGGACTTACGGCCGATGTTCTCGCCGTGGGAAGTACCCTGCTCGCGGTTCGCACCAGCTTTCTCTTGGTGTCCCTCCAACTCCTCCAAACCGGTGTAGAAAGTCAACGCACGCCACGAATCGCCCTCCTTGATCAACCTGAACAAACCCCTTCCCTGTCCGATTGTGGTCTCGAAGGTGAAGAAACTCTGAATCCATTGGTGCTCAGGTGTAGCCGCAACGAAAGCGGGTTCCTTTCCAGACTCAATAGCGAGATCCCTCAAGCCCTTTCCGGGAAGGTTCTTGGCGAGGTACTCCTTGATCTTCTCCTTACCCTTCAACGTACGGAAGTCCCAGCTGAAGGCCAAAAGATCACGCATCCAACCTTTGTCGGACCAAAGCTGATCGACGATGTTGACGTTGGGGTTCTCGCCCTCAAGGGCGTGGGAGAGCTTGTGGAGCCATTTCTGGGCGATGTCGCGGGGGGTAACGTTCAGATCCACTTGAGGGGACTGAGGAGCAATGTTGAGGGCCTCGAAAGCGTTGGTAACTTGGCTTTGGACGTCAACCATATTGTTTGTCTTCGGCTCTAATCTGAGGTGAGGTTCCTAGGATCGGGATCAGTTGGTTTATATACCCTCACCAGTCTAATCGGCGCAATGTTTGACCGGAGCGGGGCTTCCCCCGCATCACGAGCTGATATCGGACGGTCGGTGAGGTAAATCGAGACTTTCCCGTGATCATTTGACTTTACTCAATCCTTGGAGTAGTCCGTCTTGTCATGTGCTGGTTGCAGTTGCGGGGAAGTCTGGGGCAAGTCCTGATGATTACAACAGGCACGCTCGGGGACCGGATGCTTACTCGCAAACTCAAAGTCTCAGAGCAGCGTTGAGATACCTGCCCGATGCTGTTCCAATCCCCAAGTCCTTTGCGTGTCTCGCCATAGCCCGCACCCAAAAACGCCTCCTGCTTCAGCTGCAGCACACGAACCCTTGTACGTATCTCCACCAGAACATATACCCATGCTCGTTTGTCTGTTTGATCCGGAAACGGAACTCCTCCTCCAACAAGCTCCTCCTCCAGGTTTAGGCCTGGTCAAGCGGTGACAGGAGCGGGTACGGAGTGAGTGATACTCGACACGCGAGTTGCTTTGTCTGCGGGTATAAGACTTCGGTAGCGAATGGTGCAGGTAAGCACAACATTTCCCCCCCCCCTTGCTGTGGGAGCGTACGGTCTTTACCTTTTCGATCTTTTTACTTAAGACATTATGAACTATAGACGATTTGCGTTGCTCACTGCATTCCTCGTTGGGATTATGGGGTGTAGTCTCACGAAGGCCACGGCTGAAGCGCATCCGCTGGGAGAGCTGGAGGATGTTGCGGCGTCGATGCAGATCGATCGAAGGGCTACGAAGATAGCGGGGAATACTGGGGTTACGGTGATTGGGTATAACTCGACGACCACGAGTGTGAAGACGGGGAGGGCGAAGATGGTGTTTGCACATTTCATGGTACACTATCGCTTGCTGAACTTAAATACCAGTGAGTTGACTAATGGCATGATGTACAGGTTGGCAATGCATATGACTTCAATTCAACAGATCAGTGGGTGAAAGAGATGGAACTCGCTCAATCCGCGGGTATAGACGGCTTTGCGCTCAATATTGGTCTGGATGAGTGGGTACCGGATCGTGTCGCCTCGGCCTACGAAGCGGCATCAACATTATCAGATACATTCTATCTGTTCTTCAGTTTCGATATGAGTATATTCACGTCGAGCGACGTGCAGACGATGATCGATTATGTCACGAAGTATCACGGACATACAAACCAGTTCGTCTATCACGACGGAGATTTTGTCAGCACCTTCTCCGGAGAAACAACATTCGGCTCACCACCAGGCACTGCTTGGGATACAGCCTTTATCCAACCTCTCGCTTCTTCCGGAATCACAATCCACTTCGTCCCTAGCTGGTCCTCCCTCGACCCCTCAACCGCGTACGACACCAACACCGCCGTCTCCGGCCTCTTCTCCTGGGCCGCCTGGCCAACCTCCGACAACCCCAACGTCACAACCGAATACGACACCTACTACTCCTCCGCCGCCTCCCGCCTCAACAAAACTTACATGGCACCCGTCTCACCATGGTTCTGCACGCACTTTTCCTACAAGAACTGGATTTATGCGAGTGAGGATTTGATGCATACAAGGTGGCAGCAGGTGATCGATTTGGATCCGGAGTTGGTGGAGATTATTACGTGGAATGATTGGGGGGAGTCGAGTTATTTGGCGCCGTATCGGGGGCTTGGGGCGCCGACGGGGAGTGAGGCGTGGGTTGAGGGGTTCTCGCATGATGCTTGGTTGGATTTGACGGCGTATTATATCGCGGAGTACAAGACCGGTCGGAAGACGAGTGTGCTCCAGGAGAAGATCTGGTACTGGTATAGACCGCATTCGAAGAGTGCTGTTGCTACTGCTGATCCGTATGGATTGCCGGAGTGGGCTGATGTTGCGAAGGATGTGGTGACTGTAGTTGTCGCGCTCGCGGCTCCTGCGACGCTCTATGTCACCAGTGGGAGTAATACTGTTGCACAGGAGTGTACGGAGTCGGGTATGCATGCCTTTCAGTTTGGTCCGTTCGTGGAAGGCGAGCAGCGGTTCTTGTTGGTGAGGGATGGACAGGTGGTGTTGAATGGAACAGGGACTGTGGATATAGAGGGACTGAGTGTCAAGGAGTATAACTTTAATGCGGCGACGGGTATAATCAAGTATAATGACGGTAGTTCGTAGTGATTATATATTTAATGGTAATAGTACTGTTCCTCATTCCCACGGTTGGTTACAACTCACAAGAAGTCATGCTCAAGCTTCGTCACTTCATGGTACCCTTTCCAGACTCACTAATCTTCTGCATTTCCACATCTTCCTCCATACTCGCAACGCCATCTCTTTCAGCATGCGTTCCCACAACAACCACTGCCTCCTTCTCCTCTTCCATCTCCGCAGGAAGAACGAGGTTAAGGAAGATCGAAATCAACGCCGCCACGGCAAATCCAGTTCCCATCACCAACTCGATCGCATCGTAGAACCCCCTTAGTGCGTGATTTGATCCTTCGTAGGTGAATACGTAGGAGAAGTAGTTAGGAACAAGGACGGCACCGAAACCGAGCGACAGTGCTGCCGTGAGAATGAAGCGGTTGCGGCGGTTGAAAGGCACCAAAGCAATAATCCTCATTCCGGAGACAGCAACGGAGCAGAAGAGGAAAGTGGTCATTCCACCCAACACCGAAGCTGGGATCGCCACAAAAACGGCGCCGAATTTGGCGAATACACCCATGAGGAAGAGGAACATACAGCAACAGTACCCAGCCGTCCTGTTAGCACACCGAGTAAGTGCAATAACACCGTTGTTCTGAGCAAAGCATGAAAGCGGGGTCATAGTCATCAAAGCAGCAAGCAAGCCATTGAATCCATCAGACAGCACACCACCCTGAATACGGGAATCGAATTCAGGGCCTTCGACCTCGATGCGTGAGACATCACAAGTGGCGGAGATATCACCAATTGCTTCCATAGCCAGGATAACATATACCGCCATAAGTGGTAGGATAAGCGGTGCATAGATTTTCAACGGGAATGTGTGCGTCCAGATGAAGGTTGCGGCAGGTGCAGAGTCGATGGTGGATCTATCCCAGTATCCGGTTGCTCCGGAGATGATCATGCCCATGATCAAACCCATGACGACTGCAGCGGATTTCATGATCGGACTTCCAAAACGTTCGACGAGGATGATTGTGGCGAATACCGAAAACCCTAGGCCGATGAAGCGGGCGTCACCCCATGGCAATGGCTTCGCAGTTCCACAGAGAAACATTTGGCCGGCGGCGTTTGTCGCACGGTTCAGACAAAGTCCAGCTCCACCTGCCCATCCCTGCAGACCGGTCTCAACGAGGTGAACACCGATCAGCATAACCACAGGTCCGGTAACAATAGGTGGAAACGTTCGCTTTAGGACCCTTGCAGGCAGGAAGGACATACCAATCTCAGTGAGCGAGCAAAGAGCCGCAGTACCAATGAGTGCACCATAGCCTTGCGGGCAGGGTAGCTTCAACCCAGTGTCTGCGTCAATTGGACAATACCCACGAGCGTACATCTGACTGAAAGTACCTGTCGCGATGGAGATCGTGGCGAAAGAGGTGCCGACCACGGAGAGTAGCCCGGTACCGATGTAGTATGGCGTTCCTTTGATCTTGAAACGAGTGATCTGCACAGCAGACAACATACCACAGACAATCAGCGACGCCGATACAAGGTATTGCTGTTGAGCCGTCGTGAGATTCGCACCACCGGCTCCTCCGAGGATCAGAGGTGGTGTAACGAGACCGCCGAGCATCGCGAGTGCATGTTGGAAACCGAGGAGCAAGGCGAGGACGATTGGCATAGACTGATTGATTCCATAGAAAGGTGCGATGCGCCTATCGCGCTTCATGAAGGGAAGCTGGGGCTTCATAAGGAAGCCATAGTCGTAGTCTCCGAGCCAGCCTTCACGGGTGGTAAAAGTATGCTTGATCTTCTGTCAGCGGGAGGACATCTCCATATCCGCCATAATTCTTGCAAGTGATCGGTGAGGAGAGAAACCATGGACGGTCCCGCTCGGTTATATAGGGTCCATCATAGGATCCGACGAGGCCTGTCTTGAACAGCATGCGGCTCTTTCCACACGCACTCGCTCGGGAACACGCCTGACCTTTGCTTCGTCCGCTCCAACTCTAATTCATTTCGCTCCGGTTCAATCGCTTATCTCCATCGTTCCCCGCAGACGCGACTTCTCATCGAGTAACCGAATTGCTTATCTGCTCTTGAGTGTATGTCAGCTGCAAGCCTTCGTTCATTTGCGGGGTGTCGCGATGGTCAGATAAGGACATGTGCCGGGGAGACTGAGGACCGTCAACATCGTACGGATACCATGAGGTGTGTGAGCAAAAGGTTGCACCCACCAACTGAAGAGAATGGCTGATGGGCAGTCGGGTTGCAAAAACGACCCACCCAGGACTCGAACCTGGAATCTCTTGATTCGTAGTCAAGCGCCTTAACCATTGGGCCAGCAGGTCATTGGATAGGCTTTGAAAAACTGCCAGTTTTGTTGTAATCATTTTGTTCTCGCTCATGCCATGCCAGTGGTTATCGATGGGCCGCCTATCTCCACTGACAAACAGGCCGCAACAACCATGGCTGAACATCATGGTGCGGGACCCTTTCAAGATGTCGCCGATGCATCCGTATCCTCCACAACATCCCTCCTGAGCTCCCTGGCGAACCTCCGCACCCTCACCGCCCGCCTCGAATCCCTAACATCCTCAGCCCAATCCCTCCACACCTCCCTGACAAAACGCACCATCCTCCTCGAGTCCCTCTCCGCCGAACACCGCATTCTCGAAGCCGAAAAAGATCTCGCCCTACAAACTCTTCTCCGTGTCCAATCCGACCTTGGCAGCGTGAAAGATGCCGAGAAGGCGATGGTTGTGGAGAGGAATAAGACGGAGGGGGAGTTGAGGGGGATTGTGGAGGGGGAGTATAAGGAGGTGTTGAGGGAGGTCAACGGTGCGAGGAGACGGCATGGGATGGTAAGCGTGGAGGATAAGTTGGAGGGGGTTATGGATCCGGAGAGGAGGGCGGCGGAGTACTTGAGGTTGAGGTTGGAGCAGGGGCAGGGGCAGAAGGTTGCTGAGAATACTGTAGGTGAGAAGGCGAAGGAGGAAGTTGTGCCGAAACTGAAGGAGACGGAGAAGGTGGAGGTGAAAGCGAAGCCTAAGCAGGCGAGGAGGAAGCGGCACGTTGATGATGAAACCGAAGAGGAAGACGAAGATGAACAGGACACGGAGGACGAAGAACAAGAAGAAGAAGACGATGAAGCCGACTATCGACCGACATTGACCAGATCAGGAAGACAAGTGAGTAAAAGGCAGAGAAGGTAAAGTCTACATGTTATTACCACGCTCAAACACATCATTCCTCCTCCCACTTCATCTCCTCCGTCTCAAACGTACTGAAACATCTAAAATCATTCGCCAACCCCCCACTATGCGCAGGCCTATACGTCGTCACCTTACAATTCTTATACAACCTCGGCACAAACTCCAACATCTTCGCACCCGTACATATAACCGCCTGCCCACTCCCATCTTCCTTCAACAACCACCGCGCCGTCATCGCACTCTTCAAATGACACTCCTCCGACAAAAATGGTGGGTCCAGGAGGATGATATCGAAGGTGTTTCTGAGGTGTGCAGGGAGCTTGGTAGGCTCATTGAAGTCGTATTTCAGGAATTGGGAGCCGAAGACGGCGAAGCGGGGATCGTATTCGAGGAGGTAGGTGTTTTTCTTCAAGTTGGGGAGGGAGGGGGGGAACATTGTGCGGAGTTTTGCGAAGGCGGAGGGGGCAGAGAGGACGGCGATTTTGGTGTCGTTGGTTGCCTTGTGGAGGAGTTGTCGTGATAGCCACTCTGAAGTTTCGTTGGAGTACTGTGAATCATTAGCTTCCGTGTCGGGAGAGTTGCACGGATCGGCCGTACCCAGAACTGCGACAACTGCCAATCCTCCTTGAAAAGTTCCATCGTCACCTCATCCTCATTCTCCTCCTCAGCGGCCTTAGTGGCATCGAACCGCTCTTGGGCTTTCTTCTCTAGTTCATCGAATTTATCTTTTTGTGCCTGTTGCTCGGTCAAGAAGGACTGCAGGGCAGCCAGAGTGGAGGCGGAAAGACTGCGACATAGTTGATAAATGTTACTTGATAGCAAGACAGGGATCAGCATACGAGAGCTCTTCTTCGTCGAGGCCGGACATCTTCAGGATTAAGGTTTCTCGAATCTATTTTTAGAAGCCGACGTTTTGCAGGTGCCTGCCGAAATCCGGGGTGGCCCCTGACGTGCCTGGTGACAGACCTTTCCGAATCTCGTACGAACGGAGTGAAGAGAATCAGAGTCCCTTAATTGATACCAGTCTTGTGACGTAGATTGCTGTATGAAATTTGTTCGGGTATATAATGGATCTAAATATGCCTAAACTCCTGAACTCCAATGACATGGTCGTATGTGTCACAACCCCTCACACAACTTGCCTATTTCAAAAAACCCTCCCTCTCCAGCACCAACGGATCCAACTTCACCAATATCACCGTCCTCTGCGGAAACTGCGGCAGCGGCACCGTGTGTGCCGTCACTCTTGCTGGCTGTACAAACCCTGTTAGCTCAGTCGTCTCAAACATTCGTACCCGAGATCCGCACAAATTGTGACCCATCAAGGGCAGCTTCGACAATTCCCGCCATGAAAGATGCACAAGTGAACTCCCCCATATCTTTTGGTACGGAGATGTATTTGCTGACGAGGGGGTCGTTGTCGATGATCATGTCTGCACCTCCACAGTCAGTCCACTTATCCCTCCACACACCCCATTTGTGGCAACGTACATTCATCTTCGTTCTCGGAGGATTTCTGGAGATCATCAGCGGGTTTGTTGAATAGCGCTTTCCATATCTGTGTTTGTATGAATTGGAGGACGTTTACGACGCGGGTTTCGCGACGGTGGTGTTGGCCTGCTGCGGCGCGGATCGTCACTAACTCGAGCGCTCTCTGTCCCACCCTGTAGCCGTTCTCATTCAACCTGTACTCCTCTGTTAGCTCGATGTGTTGGGCGTGCTGTGGAAAGGCCGGAGACGTACTTCCTTTCGAGATCCGTAACGCCCTTCACCCTCTTCTGCGCATACGAAACCATCTCTGAGAACAAAAACGCATACGCTGCCTCGCTCGTTTCTGCGCCGGTGACTTTCCTATATACACTCCTGTCATAGATACTCGATCGCTTGCTTTTTGACGTTGACCCGGACAAGGTGGATGTGGAGGCATTGAGGGTACCGGGCCGGGGTGAAGATGGTCCTAGAGCGAGAGAGGCAGCTGTGAAGGGGGTTGTTACGGACATAACTGGCGATTGAGAAGGAATGGACGACGACGTACGGGATGTATGCTGCCCAGGTGCTTTGGCTCTGTTACCGGGTGTATCGCTGGTCAGGGGTCACGCAGCGTCGTGCAGACAGGCCTTGAGCGCAGTTGGATCGGAGCAACCGCAACGCGTGCAGCATACAGTCGGTACACGAAGGACGCGACATCAATGGTTGACGAACAGACACCGCAGCCCGCAGCTGCTTCAGAAGGTAGCAAGTGTGAAGACGTGAACCTCGTGAATTGAGGGCTGACTCTGCCGTTACAGTGACGACTTCACTTACTGATCCGTCGAAGAAGCGGAAGCGCGATGATGAGAATGGCGCGTCTAAGAGCATTGGTCCTAATACCTTTCGCGATTTTCATCGCGTGTTCTCAGAGTAGGTCCTTTATTCATGGACTGTATGCCATTGCTAATCGAGATCGCTGTAGACAACGCGGTGGATCGCTCGTGATAAACACCACCCTCCGCCCACCAGCACCCTCAGGTCAACCAGCCCCTACAACCACTCCCTCCGAAACCATCTCCTCCAAACTCCTCAAAGCCGCCTACAAATCCCTCAACGAGCTCGAAGCCGACATCAACTACTCCGCCCGAGTCTTCGCAAACACCCTCCCCACCACATCCCGACGCTACCGTGACGCTGACGCGTTCTACAAATATGCCAAAAGCTTGATCGCGAGGGAGCAGGCGAAGGATGTTAAGGTTGTTGCGACGCAGGAGGGGGTTGATACGCTTGCGCCTGGACCGAAGAATCCGCCGCAGCAGCCGTTGATGAGGCCGGAGGAGAAGACGGTGTTGACTGTTCTCAGTGGGGCACAGATGCTTTTCTCCTCTGTCACTAAGAGGGCGACATTAGATGAGAGACCACTGGATGTCACGAACTACGGCGCCCGATTCGCGGAAGCAACGAAAATCGTCCCGATGGCGCCAGTCCCCAATACCGCGACCCTGGGCAGCGTCGCCCCCGATTTCTCGAAAGCGGCAAAGGAGAAGGATGAAGACGATGTGAAGAAGTTGCCGAATGCAAAGTGGATAGGGTATGACCCGTATGCGACGTTTGGGCCTGTGATGGAGCAGGGTGGGGCGTCGTATGGTGCGGATGTAAACAGTATGGTGTGGTGCGAGACGAGGGGGAGGAAGGCGTTGAGGAAGGTACTCGGGATTGAGGAGAAGAAGGAGGACAAGGTTGGCGCGGATGAGAAGGCGGCGGTGGAGGAGTACAAGGAGCCGGAGCCGGTGGAGATTGATGAGAAGTTGATTCTGGCATGGGAGCCTGAACCTGAGCCAAAGCCGACTGCTACTCCTTCAGTACTGGTACCAACACCAACATTCTCACCTCTCTCCCAAATCACCACCCTCCTCAAAGAACTTCGAGACCTTCAATCCTCCCGCCTCGCCCTCCCCACCCCAAAGGACTCCCAACCCCTGCCCCCATCCCGCGAGGAAAAAGAACTCGCCACACGCATTCAAACCCTCATCGTGGACACTATCGCTTCCCACCCGGAACTCACCCCGGCAGCACTCTTACCCGTCGAGTCCGTCCCGTTCCCGACAAAAGCAGTCACGATACCGACCCTGGAAAAGAGCTACATCGGCTCCCTCTCAAACCTCTCCGAAGCCGCACCCCCTGCCCCGCCGCCTCCGGTGCCTATGCCCGCCGCCCACAGCCTTCCTATGGCCTACCCACCTGCGACGATGATGTTGACTCGAGGCCATGGTGTGCCGCCGGCGCCACCGGAGTGGGTACAAAGACAGTTGGCGAATGGGGCGGTGTTGATGACGCCGGGCCCGGGAATGGGGGGGATGACGCCGATGGGGATGCAGCATGGGCCTGGGGGGATGATGTTGGGGAATCCCATGGGACCGGCGGGGACGCCGACGAGGCCTGGGGGGATGACGAGGGGATTGAGTGGATTGGGTGGTCAATTGGGGCCGAGTGGGTTGGGACCAGGGCCGGGTGTGAGGAGGTAAATCGTCCTTGTGTGGTATATAGAGGACAGGACTACCATCATACAACACATCCGTGGTTTTTTGGGGAGGGGTTGCGTCGCGTTGGTTCTACGGTATATGAGTCGTGCACGAGAGTGTGTTTACCAAAGAATCTTATTGTTTCTCAGTCAGTATCACCAAGAACTCAAAAGAAAGAGAAATGTAAAAACATCCAATGGTGCACTCCTCAGTCAAAAAGCACCTCCCGATACACGTTTAGTTCCCAGCGCTGAAGGGGCTAACACAGCCGCCTGCATAATCGGTTAGCTCTCTCGTACAAACATACGATAGGCCGGCAGTTGTTACCGTTGCTCTCAGAGCCTTGAGTCTCACTCGCTATTTGACGTTTTAGCACCGCTGAGCCAAAGGCATTGGGGGTAGGGTATCGTACTGAAGTCGCAGACCTGCGGGACAGGAGAAGCGGTGACAGCACCGATGGGGACCATGGTGGCGACGACGGCGATGAAGATCTTGGAGATGGAGAATTGCATTGTTGATGAATGTCAAACAGTAAGTGTAAGTTGAGTAAATCTGGTGAAGAACGAAGCGGCCTGCGCTTGTAGTACTGGGGATTGAAAAACGAAGAGTAGGTTGGTAAACGAGTATTGAAAGAGTCGGCCGGCGACTGGATGGACAAGAAGAATGAGTTTGTGGATGAGGAGATCGAGAGATGGGGAAACGGAGTGCTGTTTATATACTCGAGGAATGCATAAGGTATGACAGGTGTAGGTGTAGGTGTGGGAAATGACGTTGGGCGCGTTTCAGGACGGCCGGTTAAGAAACCCTTGCAGAGAGGAGATTGGAGGGAAGCACGGAGGTGATTTTTCACGTGTAAAGATCATGTGTAGATTTGATGAGGTGGAAAACTGACTTTTGAATAGTAACATGCCGCCGTTGGGCAGTCATGCGATAATGATCTAGCTTCCTGAAGCTACGGGGGTATCCAAAAAGTCTATGTAAATCACAAAAACGCCATGTAAATCCAAAACCCAAACCAGAAGGAAATGTACCCTAACCATCCAAGTGGATAGATTAGTCAGTCAACGCTGGAACGTCAGTACGCTTGCCGAAGTGGACGGCAGCGTTCGTGGACTGGTCGAAGACGACGTAGGCGTTCTTCATGAACATGTCACCGAGAACGTTCAATCCACCCGAACCAGTACCCCAGGACTGGATACCACCGAAGCAGACACCCTTCGTGCCGGTCTCGTACCAAGCCAAGTCAGCAGCGGGGATACCGAATTGGGTACCCTCGATGTTGAAGAAGACATTGCGAGAACCAGAGTAGGTGGACGAGGTGGCGTTACACCACATAGACCAGTATCCTCCGGCGGAGTTGTAGGTTCCACCAGGAAGCTGAGCGTAAATCTGGGAAACCTCCTCGTTGGCCATCAAGACCAAGGTGGTACCGGAGTCGACGATGAACTGGTGAGTGACGGTGATAGCAGCACCGTTGAGACCGACACTAATCCGAGGAGCAGCGATCTGCCAATAGGCCTTGCGGGTCACGGCAGTGGAGACGAGATCACCGCTGATGACGGAAGAGTCATATCCGCCGAAAGTCCAGGCACCACCACCACCGTTGTAGTACGGCGCCTTGTTTGCCTTGATCAACTGAACACCGAACATGGGTTGAGCAATCAAGTTCTGAGAGATCATGTTGTCAATGGGGGTCTTGGTACCAGAGACGGACGCAAGACGGTTAAACCCAAGACCCAAGATACCGTCCAAAGTAGCACGGTTCAAGTTGGCAGAAATGGAAGTAGCGATCTGGACAGTCTGGTTCTGAACGTTGATACCACCCAAGTTCAAGACGTCGTAACCCAAATGACCATTAGCCTGGGAACCATCGGCGTAGTTGATGGTGAAGGGAGTGGAGGAGTTGATGAAAGTGCGGGAGGTCTCGGGGTCGAAGAGATCGTGGGTGTCGGCAGAGCAGCTGGCACACTCAGTGGAGAAAACCCAGAGATCGGCAGATCCGGTGTCGAGAACGACGGCCATATCCTGTTGAGGAGTACCGATGTCAATGATCGACAACCACTCCGAGTCAAAGTTGACATCGATGGCAGCCTCAGTAGCGGTGGTGGGACCGACGGAAGTAGTGCTCGACCTCACGACGGAGGAGCTGGCAGCGCTCGAGGAAGCAACCTTGGAAGAGGCGACGGCCGCAGAGGAGGACACGGCTGAAGAAGTGGTGGTAGAGGCACGGGCGGAGGAAGTCTGAGAAGAAGAGTAAACACTGCTGATCGAGACAGAAGAGGAAACGGCACTCGACGACACCACAGAGGAAGACGCCGATGAAGTCACTGAAGCAGAAGAAGATACAACCATGCTCGTGCTGCTCAAGGTCACAGAGACCACAGAGCTGGCAACCGAACTGGAAGCAGCGACTGAAGCAGAAGCAGAGCTAGTGTCATCACTCACGGTCAAAGCCAACAAAGGCTGAGCACTCGTACTTGTAGCTGCAGTAAACGACACCGACGAACTCTCCACAGACGAAGACGAAGAAGACACCGAAGAAGAGGACCCTACCGTAGGAGAAGACTTGACCGTGCTGGTCGTAGTCGCACTCGTAGTCGTAGCTTTAGGAGTCGTAGTCGCAGTCGTAGTAGCCTTGGAAGAAGTAGTGGTAGTCTTGGAGGAAGTCGTAGTAGTCTTAGGCGTCACAGACGTAGTCGTGGTCTTAGAAGTTGTGGTAGTCTTCTTGGAGGTAGTCGTAGTGGTGGGCTTCACGGACGTAGTCGTCGTCTTGGGGGTGTTCGTTCCAGTTCCCAGGCTGATCGCGATGTTGATCAGAGGGTTCGTCTTCGTTGTGGTGGTGGGCTTGACACTTGAAGTGGTTGACCTGGTGGTAGTCTTAGAAGTTGTAGTGGTCCGCAAGGTAGTCCTGGCAGTAGTCCTTGCGGTGGTCTTCGCCGTGGTCTTTGCGGTGGTATGAGAGGCAGCCCTCTCCACAGGAGAAATGGTAGACGTGGTCTTCGCTGTGGTCCTAGCAGTAGTCTTAGAGGTCGTCCTTGCGGTCGTCTTTGCTGTAGTCTTTGCGGTAGTCTTCACAGTGGTCTTAGCGGTAGACGTCTTCTTTGCCGTGGTAGTCGGCTTCTTAGTAGTAGTGGTCTTCTTGGTGGTAGTCGACGTCTTCTTAGTAGTGGAGGCCTTCTTCGTGGTAGTCGTAGCCTTCTTGCTAGTAGTAGTAGCAGCCCTTTTCTCAAGGTTCGCCTGAACAGCCGAAGCAAGCTCAATTGGGTTGGCACGCCTTACGGGCATCTCATCCCTCTTCACCAAACTGTCCTCGAGATCCTCGAGGTAGCGACGGTGTATGGTGGAACCGGCAATAACGTTACCCTCCTCATCCTCAGCCAAACCATAACGCTCAAGAGCGCGGAGGTAAGCAGTGGTGAAGTTGGCCTCGAAGTTGGGGTTGTTGACGACGGGGATGGAGACGACGGTGGGAGTGGAGAGGGAGATGGCGGACGGCGTGGGAGTCGCGCCAACGGTGTTGTTAAGGTTGAGCACAAGGGCATCAACAGATGCAGTCGCGGCCAAGAGACCGGCGACGAGAGTCGAGAAAGTGAGCTTCATCTTGCCTTGTGATGATCTCAGCTACTGGTGGAAAGCTAGGCGAAAGGATTGTCGAGAGCCGAGAGTCGAAAAGAGAAGGGAGAAGCGACGAAGCTTTGCTGCACGAAGAACGAAAAGGCAGCGGGAGGTTGGGCATACTTATACCCTCCCGTCTCTACGGCAGCTAAGATCCCCAAAATGTCCGTAGCCGCTCAATAGCTTTCCGCCTGGTTATTCTTGTGAACGCCGCGGCTAGAAGCCCTTTGGAGTGCCACATCGGCCTCAATTCGCTTTGATCTTGGCAACAGAGAGTGCCGTAATCCGCGTTTGGCACGTACGTGCACGGTAAAGCAACAACCCATCTGGACCCTGTATGTCTCATTTTTCCCACAGCTTACCGCATGCGGTGTGTACGAGCCCAGCCTTCCTGCGCGGACAAACACTGAGATGCGCGCTAAACAAAGAAACGCTCAGTCCGCGGGCAGAAATGAGAAAAGAATGAACGAGAAGGCTGTTCAACGGTCGATCCACACGAGCAGCCATATGCCGTGGCAAATCCAAGGGATGGGTACCGATGATTGATCAACGACACGTTCGAAGATCAATCGTCCCAGCATGCTGTCAGGACCCTGTCAATCATGGTCTGAAATCAGCGTTCAATTGACAGGTGAGTGTAGGATACAAAGGGTTCCCCACTGGGATGACTTCGACCGGGCAAATCCTTGAGCTTTCGAGGACACCGATGATGACTGCCTGCGGGCACGCGGCAAGGCTGGGTCTTTCCGGCGGATCCCGAGCCCTCAGCCGTCATTGGCGACAACGTGTACGACAATGTAACTCTTTGGTAAATGACCGTGCTCAAAATCAATCATCCACATCTACACGTCTTCCTTAGAGGCAAACACCGAGCTCCCTTTCCATTGCATTCGCGTTGTATTCCGGTTTGCCCCGTGCGGTGAGGAGGTCGGGGAGAGAGTTTATGCGAGTTGCAGCTGGGTCCGATCAGAATGCAGATTTGCGGCTGTGCGCATAATCGTCGTCAGATTGTCCATTTCGCGAAGGGGTGTTTTGGCCACGCGGGGTATTAAGTTGTACTTTATGCAAGAGAAGCAGTAACGTATGTACGTAGGGAGAAATGTCAAGCGGTGCATAACAGAACAGAATTCTATAGAAGGCAGGTCGTTACAAACAGGCGTTGTTGCCAGTGGGATGAGTAATCATGCCGAGGACGTCGGTGATTGCGTTGTTGCGAGGACCGCGAGGGTGATGGCCAGACCGTACGGGTATGACGGAAGGCTGACGAGTTCGTGGGTGTACGTAAAGGCAGACATGCTACGGCGCACATGTTGCTGTCAAAACCTCATCGCTCTCGAGACTGCTTAACAAATCTTTCACAGTCATCGAGAACCCGATGCCGAGATACCCGGCTTACCTCAGTGCTGGCAAAATGAAAGACGTGTGCGCCTCTCCTCGTATACCTAACGACATCGATCGCGACATCGATGAGAAATATTTCGCACGTCTGGATTTGTAATCGAATCGATGCCGAGGGTGCGGCTGGGTACATGTGTCCCTCGCGCGTATACCGGTACATGTGTCGGTGCACGGCCCTCGCCACTGCCGACTCTCCCGCGAACGCCGAGGACGATTTGCCGGCTCGACACGCTCCTCGATGCAGGGTGCCTTGGATATCAAGGTTAGAGTAAGGCACTGCGATGTACGATTAGAAATCAACTATTGCGCCCCTTCTACTGAATTCCGCTGAATAAGCTCGAGTTTAAATACCCCAGGGAACCCCCCCGACTGCACTCTTTCTCCATCACTCTCTCACATACATCAGAAGAAATGGCCACTTCCAACAACCACGTCGCCGTCGCCCAGCAGATCTCCACCGTCTTCCCCAAGGCTCGCCAGCCCACCGTCGGTAAGGCTATCGACGAGCAGCAGGATGGTCTCTTCGCTCCTCTCAAGATCAAGGATGTCGAGCTCAAGAACAGGGTCATGATCCCCCCTATGTGCATGTACTCCGCCGTCGACGGTGTCCCCAACACCTTCCACTTGGGTCATTACACCGGTATTGCCACCCGTGGTGCTGGTCTCATCATCGCTGAGGCTTCCGGTGTCTCCGCTGAGGGTCGCATTACCCCCTCGTGCTGTGGTATCTGGAACGAGGAGCAGGAGAAAGCATGGAAGGGTATCGTTGATGCTGTCCACGCTATCGGTGACGCGAAGATCGGTCTCCAGATTGCCCACGCTGGTCGTAAGGCATCTACCTACGAGCTCTTCGATCCCGTCGTGAACGGTACCTCTACCGCCCCCCGCTCCGAGGGTGGTTGGGCTGAGGGCCCCAACGAGGTCATCTCCTCCACCAACAAGAAGTTCCAGGACGACTACCCCGAGCCCATCGCCATGCAGCAGAAGGACATCGACCGTATCGTCAAGGCTTTCGCCGATTCTGCCGTCCGCGCTGACCGTGCTGGTTTCGACGTTGTCGAGATCCACATGGCTCACGGATACCTTGCTCACCAGTTCTACTCTCCCCTCTCCAACGACCGTACCGACGCCTACGGTGGTTCCTTCGAGGGCCGCGTTCGCTTCCCTCTCGAGATCGCCAAGGCCGTCCGTGCCGTCTGGCCCGAGAACAAGCCCCTCTTCGCTCGTCTCTCCTGCTCTGACTGGGTTGAGGAGGGTGGCTGGACCATCGAGGACTCTGTCAAGCTCTCCGAGCTCTTGATGAAGGAGGGTGTTGACCTTATTGACTGCTCTTCCGGTGGTGCTTCCCCCGACCAGAAGATCAAGTCAGCCTTCAACGCGTACCAGGTTCCTTTCTCCAAGCAGATCCGCGACGAGGTCAAGGGTATCAAGACCGCTGCTGTCGGTGGTATTACTAACGCCGAAGATGCCGACTCTTACGTCCGCGACGGTTCCGCCGACTTGGTCGCCATCGGCCGTGGTATCTTGGGTATGCCCAACTGGGTTTTGGACGCTGCTAAGGAATTGAAGGTCACTGTTCCTACTGCTCCTCAGTACGTCTACGGTGCTGGAGGCAAGTCTAAGAGGAGGTTGGCTAAGGAGGCCCGTGAGGCCGAGGCGAAGAAGTTGGAGGACAACCACGGTGCTGTCCAGGAGGTTACTGCTTAAATGGTGTTCGGTTTTGATTTATTTAGATAGAGGTACGATATTACTATAGAAGTTACAATAGCAAAAACTATACGCTCGTTAAACTTGCTGAGCAAACCGCTTTGTCTATTCTCTCAGGGTCTGCTCTGGTTATGGCAGAATTTGGCGGGGCTTGACGTGCAGCAGCGCCAGAGGGCCATCCACCGACGCCCGTGTGCAGGAAGCCGTACGAACTCTATCCGAAAGGAAACCTCATTCCAGCAACCAACAACCTTGGACAATCATGGAAGCAGCTCCGCAAGCTGCTGCTGCCGAAGAAGGCCTCTTGGCTGCTTCCGTTCTCTTCTTCCCGCGAACGGCGCTCCAGGTGCTTTCCGCGGTGACGATCACTCTGCCGCAAGCCGTGTACGACCTCCTAAGCTCCAGCTTCACCATTCACCTGAGTTTTACGGTTTTATTAACCGTAATTATCGGCGCTCTCGGTGGAATCTTCTACCTGGTTCGCTACCGCTACCTGACGAATTACTCTCGTCTCCCACCCGCAAGTCCACGACTAAAGGACAATGACTCCATCGATCTCCCGCCCGAGCTCCCAGATGGCACATTCTCCAAACCCGGGATCAACTCCTACCTCGACGAATTCTTCTCCGCGATCAAGATCTTTGGATACCTCGAGCGCCCCGTCTTCCACGAATTGACGCGACACATGCAGACCCGGAAAGTGTCGGCAGGTGATACGATCAATTTGGAGGACGAGAAGAGTTTTTGTATGGTTGTGGATGGGGAGGTACAAGTTTTTGTCAAGAGTCCGGCGAGTAGTACGCAGAGACAGGGTTCTGATTCGGATGATGAGAGTGAGTCGGGGAGGGATGATTACCATTTGTTAACGGAAGCGAAGAATGGAGGTGCGTATTTGATGTACTCAACGTTTGACGTATGCTGATCGGCTACTCACAGCACCCTTGTCGAGTTTGTTCACGATCTTGTCGCTGTTTACGGAAACTATCCAGCTTGAGGCGAAAGAGGAGGAGGATGACGATCAGCTCGTCACTATCATCCCATCACATTGCCCTGCACCGCCGCGCCCGGATGAGACTGACGGGAGTTACTTTTCTGCCAATGCTCGTGACAGATCTCCCGCCGTCCCGACTGATATTCCTATCCTGAACCTGGACAAGAAGGATAGTGAGCACGCCGAGTCGAAAAAGGGCGCGTCTGTTCACCCGAATGTCGTGGCGAGAGCCGCTGTGGATTCAACCATTGCTATCATTCCCGCACATGCGTTCCGAAGCTTGACACGTTCTTACCCGAAGGCTACAGCGCATATCGTGCAGGTTATCCTCACACGCTTCCAGCGTGTTACCTTTGCGACTGGTCACCACTATCTCGGTCTCACCTCCGAGATCCTCAGAACGGAGCGATTGATGAACGAAGGTACACGCTGGGAATTACCAGCCTGCCTCAAACACGGTCGCATGGACAAGCTCCGCGAAGTATTGGCAGCGCAAAGAGAAGAAGACGCTGCTGCAAAAGCTGCTAAACCCGCCCTAGATGTCGAAGAACCAGAATTCATCGTCATTCCCCCCCTCAAACCCTCCTCCCATCGCGGCAGCGCTGCAGACCCAACTAATGCCCAAGCAGCCCTCCGGAGACGTCTAACAAGCCGCATGGCAACAAACTTGAGCGTCTCCCAGTACGCTCCCCCAATCCTCCGGACGACAACTAATCCAGGTGATTTGTTAAGTAGCCTCCCGAGACCGCGGAGCTCGAGTAAAGGCAGTGTTGGTGACGTCAATTTGGGGGAGGGGGAGTTCTTGCCGAAGCATGCGCATGAGATTGATGATATGGTCGATGATGATAAAGCACTGAGGGAGAATGTGCTGGAGTGTATGCTTAAGGCTCTCGGTGTCGGTTCCGATACGGTGCTCGTTGACAATGGGACGAGTGTGCTTGTGACGAAGAGTCCGGCACGGAGTGCGGCGAGTAGTGTTGAGGGAAGTCCGCAGATGCGGCCGTATGATGTCAAGAGTAACAAAGTTTTCAGCAAAGCGTTTGGAAAGTTGTTGGAGGAGAGTACTGCGGATAGTAGTACTAGTCCGGATGAGGATGCGCATAGCGGTATTTCGAGCACTGCGTTGAGTGTGCATGAGGAGCTTGAGGAGGAGATGGAATTGGTGTACTTTCCCAAGGGCGCGGTACTCGTACAAGAGGGTGAGAAGAACCCCGGGTTGTACTATGTTGTTGATGGATTCCTTGATGTCAGCGTTGGTGTCGAGAATCGTGAGTACGCCGGTAATGGCCGTGGGAAGGGACCTGGGAGGAGCAAGCTTTACATGGTCAAGCCAGGCGGTATAGCTGGATACTTGGCCTGTGTCTCTGGTTTCAGGTCTTTCATCGACGTTAGGGCGAGATCGGATGTTCTTGTGGGATTCTTGCCCCGAGCGAGTCTGGAAAGGATCATGGAGAAGCATCCAATTGTTCTGTTGACTATGGCGAAGAGACTCATCTCCTTCATGAGTCCGTTGATCCTGCAGATCGACTTTGCGCTCGAGTGGGTTCAGGTCAGTGCCGGCGAGAAGATCTACAAACAAGGCGATGATAGTGATGCCATTTACATCGTCCTTAACGGCCGTTTGAGAGCTTTGGCTGAGAAAGAGAGCGGAGGCGATGGCGAGGATCAGAAACGTGAATTGGTTACAGCAGGTGAATTCGGTCAAGGAGAATCCGTTGGTGAACTTGAAGTTCTTACGGAGACGGCGAGGCCGTACACTTTGCATGCTATCCGTGACACGGAGCTGGCGAGGTTCCCCAAGACGCTGTTTCATGCGTTGTCAATCCACCACCCTCATATCACAATTCAGATTTCGAGAATTATTGCGTCGACTCTGACAAAGCGGTTGAGGCCGGAGATTAGTCTGGGCGGTGACAGCAGATCTTTGGCGGAGAAGGGCGGGAACACCGGTGGTCCCTCGAACTCTACAAACCTGAGGACGATCACTATTCTTCCCGTCACGCAGGGTGTCCCAGTCATGGAGTTTGCCCAAAAATTGGGAAAGGCAATGCAGAGTACTGGTACTACGAGCTGTATCCTCAATCAAGCTGCTGTGCTTGGGCATCTCGGTGGGCATGCATTCACTAAGATGGGGAAGTTGAAGTTGAGCGGATACCTTGCGGATTTCGAGGAGAAGTTCGGCAAGGTGCTCTACGTTGCCGACACGAACGTTAACTCAGCATGGACAGAGACATGTATCAGGCAGGCTGATTGCATCCTCGTCGTGGGTGTCGCTGACAGTGGTCCTGGTATCGGCGAGTATGAACGATTCTTGCTTGGTACGAAGACGACGGCGAGGAAGGAGCTCGTCCTCGTTCATGCAGAGCAGTTCGTTCAGCCTGGCACGACGAGACAGTGGCTAAAGAACCGTCCGTGGGTTCATGCTCATCACCACATCCAGATGCATATTCGGACTCATGCGCCGCCGATGCCGTTACACACACCCAGACGTGCTGCGTTGACGAAGCTGAAAAGTAAGGTTCAGGTGATTCAAACCGAGATCACGAAATATACGACGAGGAGAAATCGACATACTCAGGCCTATGCCAACCCGGCGCAGCATAAGAGTGATTTTGCGCGTTTGGCAAGGAGGTTGACGGGCAAGGCTATTGGATTGGTCTTGGGCGGTGGTGGTGCACGCGGATGTTCACATGTTGGTGTCATCCGTGCAATGGAGGAAGCCGGTATCCCCATCGACATCATCGGTGGTACGTCGATCGGTTCTTTCGTGGGAGGTCTCTACGCACGCGACGCAGATTCCGTCCCAATCTACGGCCGAGCCAAGAAATTCGCGGGTCGCATGGCGAGTTTGTGGAGGATGCTGTTTGACGTTACCTACCCCGCAACCGCCTACACCACTGGCCATGAGTTCAACCGTGGTATTTGGAAGACGTTCGGGAATGCACAGATTGAGGATTTCTGGTTGCCGTATTACGCCAACACGACCAATATCACGCATTCTCGGATGGAAGTTCATACGAGTGGGTATGCATGGAGGTATATCCGCGCGTCCATGTCGCTCGCGGGGTTGGTCCCGCCCATGTGCGATGAGGGGAGCTTGTTGGTTGATGGAGGATATGTTGATAATTTGACTGTGAGCACGATGAAGAAGATGGGTGCGGACATTGTGTTTGCGGTTGATGTTGGAAGTGTGGATGACACTTCTCCCATCGAGTACGGAGACACGCTGTCTGGTTTCTGGGCACTGTTTAATCGATGGAACCCATTCAGTACCGTCCCGAACGTGCCGTCGCTCGCCGAAGTTCAGGCACGTTTGGCGTACGTCGCTTCCGTCCCCGCTCTCGAGGCAGCTAAACAGAGTCCGGGCTGTGTTTACATGCGTCCACCCATCACACCTTACCAAACCCTCCAGTTTGGCAAATTTGATGAGATTTGTCAGGTTGGGTATGATTATGCAGTGGAGTTTTTGCAGAAGCTGAGGAAGGATGGGAAGTTGAAGGGGATTGTAGAGGAGGGACCGAGGGAGACGTTTGAAGGAAGGAAGCCGTTCCATAGAAGGAGGAATAGTTTGTAGATGCGCTATCCTGGAGGAGCATGGAGTAATTGTTAGATCTAATGGCCGTGATGACGCGTGGGAAGAAACCCAATCTCAACAACATCCTTCCATCGCTACGATGACCCGCACAGAGATTCATGAGTAACGAAGAAATCCAGGGTCCATTGGCAGTCAGTTTCATCGGTCGCTCGGTTTCGCTGCGTGTCACGTTCCGAAGGGCGCGTGTGCGTGTTGGCTGGCATGACATCACAGGTGCTGATCCTGGGAAGACGACGTCTATATAAACCTCCAGACCCAACCTCCACCCAATACAACCAGATCAAATCTACAATCAATCAATCCACTACCACCAAGATGTTCGCTACCACTGCTCTCCGTCAAATGACTGCTGTCCGCGTCAACGCTTCCAGGACCTTTGCTTCCTCTGCTTTCCTCCGCAAGTCTGTGACCGACACCATCAAGGACGCCGCTAAGACTGTCGACCGTACGCCTATGTGTTCCCTGGCTCTCAATTGACTCAATTGGCTAACTCTGATTTCAGGTGCTGCAGCAGAGGCCGCCCTCAAGGGCATCGAAGCCACACAATCTGTCGCCGACGCAGCCAAGTCCGCAGCTTCCTCCATCACGAACACCTCTGCCGCCCAAAAGGCCGCGGAAGCCGCTTCCGAGCTCAAGAACGTCGCACCTGACGTGATCTCCGGAAAGTCCAAGGAGGCCGCCGGCCAGATCAAGGGCAAGCTTGCCGAGGCGAAGGGGGAGCTCAAGGGTGCTGCTGCGCAGGTTAAGGGAAAGGCAAATGAGGGGGCTGCCGAGGCGAAGGGAGAGTTCAAGGGTGCTGCTGCGCAGGTTAAGGGAAAGGTAAATGAGGGGGCTGCTAGAGCGAAGGCTGAGACGGATGAGGCTGCTGATCAGGCGAGGAAGAACTTGACTGAGTAAGCTTGAGGAAGGGAAAAGATGATGGTTTTAGCACGATATCATATTATACCACCGACTGTATGAGTAGCGAAAGGAATTGAAGGACTGTAACATTACAAGCTTAATGCGCAGGATTGTTACAACCACTCCCTTTCGAGCACATTTGTAAGTAGAGGAAAGTCTTTTTGTATTGTCTATTGTCTTGACACGCTCAACATGCCGAAAATTAAATCACCCCAAAATGCTCAACACCAAAACCAAAAACCAAAAACATTAGTATACGTCTGTTTTATCCCACTCACATAATCTTCTCCCATGCCTTACCCCACCACGTTGTAGGCGCCGGGTCCTCCCTCATCTCAATCTCCGGGTCCCCAACCCTCCCCGTAACCAAATCAATCTCCGACAACTTCTTCCACTTTGTACGCTTCGTAACCTTCCAGAAGACGTACAAGCAGATGTAAATCGGGATACCGACATAACACGTAATAAACGTCGACGTATCCCAGTTTCCATCCAAGAAGAGCGAGAATCCGTTGAAGAACAAGATAATCGAAATCGCGACTAATCCGAACCATGCCGTGTATGGCTGGAAAGGAGCTTTGTAGGGGAGGAGGTCACGGTTGTAACCTTGGAGTTTCATGGCATAGAAGAAGCGGAGGTAGCAGACTTGGACGATGAGCCAGGTGATGAGGATAGAGATAGTGGAGATGTTGATGAACCAGTTGAAGACGACGCCGGCGCTGTTACTGACGTTCAAGTAGGCGAGGAGACCGAGGGAAGCAGTGATGGTGACGGCGACGTAGGGAAGACCACGCTTGGAGACGCGAGCGACATATCCGGGAACCATCTCCTCGAGTGCCAACGCGTAGAGGGTACGCGACGCAGCGTAAAGATCCGAGTTACCAGCCGAAACGACAGCGATCAAGATAACTGCGTTAATGATATGCGGCAACACCGGAATGTCCGCATTGTTGATGAAAATGACGAACGGCGAAGATGAGGCATCGGATCCACCGAGCACATTCAACAATTCCTCGGAATCGAATGGAACGAGAAGTCCGATCACGAGGATAGAGCCGATGTAGAAGAAGATGATACGCCAGAAGACGCGCTTGATTGCCTTCGGGACGTTGCGGCGGGGGTTCTCGGCTTCGGCGGCAGTGACAGCGACGAGTTCGGTACCGGTGTAGGCGAAGGCGGCGTTGATGAACGTAGACCAGAACGCCAAGAAACGACCCCATGCGCCTTCGATCTCGTTGTACTGTGCGAAAGGTCCGGGAGTTTTCCAGTAGCGGAACCCGATACGATCATGAGTCGGTCCTCCACCGAAGAAGAGAACGATACCGAGGATGATCAGACCGGTGATTGCGGTGACTTTGATGAACGAAAGCCAGAATTCTGCTTCACCATAGGCGCGGGTGCCGAAGTAGTTGACGAGACAGATCAGGACGAGGAAGACGGAGATGTAGACTGCGACATTGGTTTCGGAGTCCCAGTATCCTACCACAATTGCCGCGGCGGTAATTTCCAGGGGAGTGGTGATGCCCCAGGAATACCAGTAGTTGATACCCTGTGCGAAACCGAGTGCGTCGTCACAGAATCGGGAAGCGAAGTGGGTGAATCCTCCGGCAACAGGGAAGAGTGTGGTCATCTCTCCCAACGACACCATGATGGAGAAGATGACGAGTCCGACGAACGCGTATCCCAATAACGCACCCACGGGTCCCGCGCTATTCAACGCCGATCCAGACCCGATGAACAAACCCGTACCGATCGTACCTCCGAGCGCCAACATCTGCATGTGACGACTCTTGAGGGTACGTTTCAGCTTTCCGGAGGTGTTGATGTAGAGGTCGGGGTTGGTGGAGAGGACTTCGACATCGGGAGTAACATCGCCGGAACTGCTGAGTTGTCGGATGTATTCTTCTGGGGTGATCTTTTTGGAGAGAGAGTTTGGTGTTCCAGCACGGGTACCGCGGTCGCTGGGTGTTGCTGGGCGGACTTCCATGCCGGTGGCGGATCCTTTGACGGTGCTCATGCTGGGAGAATGTCGCGATCGCTCGTCGTGAACGAGGGATCAAATGTAATGAATGATATTTGTGGTTAAACGGCCCAAACGGACTCTTCTTCGCTGTCGATCGACGACTGCCGGTGCAGTATATATGTCAGTGTGTTACAAGAAGCGACTCTCCTTCGTCCTTAAGTCTCGGAATTTCGGTGTAGGGCTCCGGTAGGCTGGTGCCGATTGGGGACATTTTTCCCGGAAGGGCCCTCGACGCCCTGAGCGTGCCTAGCTGCATTTCTCTTTCTTTACTGAACGTAGGAGCTAGAGCGCGCTGGGTGCAAGCTGTGCACGCCGTCGATTCGCTCGGTGGATTGGAGATGAACGGAATGCTTCATTTAGGCGAGATATGAAAATCGGAGGAATTCGGATATCGACGGGAAGATGCTCCGAGAGTGGGATCTGGCTTCATGCCAAGACATCTCAAAATCAAAAGATAGGGAAGTGAGCCGTGATCTGTCAACTTGAACGCTCAACGACGGACATCTTGGAGGGTCCGTCCCACCTTGATCAGATGCTCATCTGAGGGTTTTCTCCGCCCCCCCGGGAGTTCGGGCACTTAGCATCCGACGAACTTTCTTGACTCCTGACTAAGCCTGCGGTTTTGCACACTTGAAGCACGTAATCGTCTTCCAAAACCCGAGGAGGTTTGATGAGATGAAATCGCGCAGGGTGTGCGTAACCTTGGTGGTCTTGCATTCTGGCAAGTGTAGCCGTAGAAGTGGCCATAGAGGCGACACGTGCATGTCAGTGGTGGCTGGATGACAGCAGTGTTGAAGAAAAGAGCTCATAACGTGAATGTCTGTAAAAAAAAAAAACTTTTGATTTTCCGGGACAGTTTTGAAGGCTGTATCCGCGGAGGCTGTCGTGGGACCTGGTTCAGCTGGGCTTCTCGCCATCTCCTCTCTGACTGCCCCTCGTCATGTAACCATAGTAGGCACCCCTGAGAATAGCAGACATCGTCCCCACCTGTTCTCACCACAGCTGCCATGCGAGCGTTCAACAGCGGTTGCGTCCACACTTGTCGATACTATGCATTATTTGGGTCATAACATGTCGCAAATCATTACAGTCAGATACGGCCATACCATGATGAAAGCACAGGATCCCGTCCGATCTCCTAAGTTAAGCACCATAGGGCCCAGTCAGTACTAGCGTGGGAGACCAGCTGGGAATACTCGGGTGCTGTATCTTTTGTCCGCCGTTCTTCTACGGTGTGTCTCCCGCATGAAGGATGGGAAACAGTCCCGCCTGCGATTCGAGTAAATCATTCAAATATGAACGGGAAATAAACCAGCGACTGCACGAAGCACTTGATCCGGTGGCCGGAGGAGAGTGAGGAGTTCTTGCGCGTAAGGCAGAGCTAGATCTAGGAGAGGAGCAAGGAAAGTGTACAACGTTGGAGGCAGAAGAAAGCAAGAAACTATAGCGACTGAAGGACGAACTGGCCTCACCATTCATCGCTACAAGGAACCCTCATGGGCAAATGCAGGACTGAGAACGCACCTTTTCCGGCGAATCCTGAGAGGTACTAGCAACGGCAGATTACACACACCAGTGAGCTGCAGAATCCCATAATCTTCCCAGATATCATCCCCTAGGTAATCTTATGCAATCCTGCGAGGCCAGATTCCTTAAATAACGTACAATTTCGCAGAATTAATCTAAGCTCCGGCTAGCGCACCGTTCTGCAGGCCACCCAAATCCCCGGGGCTCAAGATGGCGTACGCGCGCTCGCGCTTGCAGCTTACGCAACACCCAGAACAGGCAATCAGGAAAGTCTACGTTGCAGACACAACAACAGCATACATCCCATCATGAGAGTCAGACTTCGACATCGACTTGGACAGCAGACACTGACGTTGGCAGAAGATACTACGCTTGCGCAATTGTGGGACAAAGTCTCGGATATCACTTCGAGCGTATCGTTTACCGTTAAGACTGGGTATCCGCCCAAAGCATTGAGTTTCGATGAGCCGTTACGGTTGATTCGGGATGTCGGTGTCAAGAGTGGAGAGCAATTGGTTGTGGAAGATCATGATGCGCCGAAACCACCACTCAAGAAACCATCGCCGCCGGCGAGTGCTCCCACATCATCAGGCTCGGGTTCAGGGAAGGGAGCGGCAAACGAGAACGATCCACCGGAGGTTACGCTGAAGGATGGCAGACGCCTCGCTCTCCGCGTCATGCCCGACGACAACTCCTGCCTCTTCCGCGCCCTTACATACGTCCTTCCCCCATCGCCAACCCTCTCAGCCCCCGCCCTCCGCCAACACGTCGCAGCATACATCGCCTCCCACCCTGACGAATACCCCGAAGTCGTCCTCGGCAAACCTCCACCACAATACTGCGCTTGGATCGAGCGGAGTGAGAGTTGGGGCGGCGCGATCGAGATGGCGATATTGAGTAAAGAGTTTGGGGTTGAGATTGCGAGTGTTGATGTTGGGACTGGACGGGTAGATCGGTTTAATGAGGAAGCGGGGAGAAGGTGTTTGGTTGTGTATAGTGGGATTCATTATGATGCTCTTGCGTTATCACCGGTGTATGCGTCGCCGGGTGAACATGATCAAACCTTGTTTGATGTCGGGAGTGCGCTGGGTGATGAGGTGTTACAAGCGGCTCAAGAGTTGGTAGGAAGATTGAAGGGGAAGGGGTATTACACGGATACGGCGAACTTCAGTTTAAGGTGTAGTGTTTGTAGGGTTGGATTGAAGGGGGAGAAAGAAGCTGTGAAGCATGCGGAGGGTACTGGTCATGGAGCATTTGAGGAGTATTGAACGGAGCATGGACATTGCCACTGCATTGATTGTTTACGGCTGAACGCTTATTCAGAATGGATTTGATGACACTCAATTGACCCGTTACGTTCCAACCACGGCTGGTGACCGATGCATCCATGTTCACGCATGGGCCATCATGCGGTCGGCACCCGAGACCTGTCAGTTGAGATTGACCACAACCTCACAATTGCACGGTGTGTAACGATACCAAGCATTACCAACCTTCTCAGGATTCAATCGAGCGTCTTCACATACCGATTGAGCATTCCAGCTTTGTCGCAACTTGGCATCACGGCGGGCGGTTGGACCGGCTCTTGGCGATCGAGACCGGGGAGCGGAATTGCATGTAGAGTACGGCACGGCGATAGCAAAGGCGAGACAACAACAGACGCTGCCTCAGGAGTACGATCCCCAATTGAAGTGCATTCCCCGGATTGACAACACCTCCGCCTATCCGGCTTTCAGGACATCTACGACTTCCATGACCAAACGGTACGACATCACAATCAAATTCGACGTACCTCGCCTCGACCAACGCAAGCCTATCCATCCCTTCCCGTGGTACATGTTGCCGTTTTCAACTTGGCAATCTCCACCAGTCTCTGACTTAGCGTTTTTCTCCCACCCAAAACGGAATCTGGAAACAGGCGTCGCAATCAACCACACCATTGGGAATGCGCGCGCCGACGCTTTAAGTAGGGGGACCGGCCAGGAGAGGGGCTCGGGGGAAAACACCAACACCGACAAAAGTCCAGCTCAACGGACTCTTACACTCTCTTTCTCTATCCAACAACCGACAACAGGTGCTCAGCGTCGAGGACAGGTTTCTTCGCTCGTTCAATACCCCAGCGTACACTCACTTTCTTTTGGTAACTCGGTTCGATACCCTCAATCACTATCTCAACAATGTACGCCCGTGGTCTTGCTACCATTGCCGCCTTCTTGGCCCTCTCTCAGGCTGCTGTCGCTCAGCCCCTCGGTATGTCTCCTCCCTACGCTCAATTGGCCTCTACACCTCTTTCTACATAGTGTATGCTGCTTTGTTCGGACTGAATGCTAACAAAACGCGTCAATTAGCCCGCCGCGGTCACGCTCACCACCGTCGCCAGGATGCTGACGTCGTTTACGTGACTGAGACTGTCTACGCTACCGCTACTGCTGGTGCTGCCACTCAGGCTGTCACCACCACCGCTGTCGTTCAGGCTGCTGTTCAGGAGGCCGTCCAGACCGCTGCCGCTGTTGTCGCTGATGTGACCTCCGCCGCTGCTGAGGTTGTCTCCTCCGTCACCTCTGCTGCCGCTGCCATTGTTGACACCTCCTCCTCCTCCACCTCTGCGGCTGCTGCTTCTTCCTCTGCCGCTGCCTCCTCCTCCGGTAAGGGTGTCACTTACTCTCCCTACACCTCCTCCGGTGGCTGCAAGGACTCCTCTGCCGTTGCTTCTGACATCTCTGTCATCGCCGGCAAGGGTTTTAGCTTCATCCGTATCTACGGTACCGACTGCGCCCAGCTCGACACCGTTCTCCCCGCCGCTGTCTCCAACAACTTGAAGGTCTTCGTCGGTGTCTACGACTACGCCAACACCGACTCTGAGGTCCAGAAGATTATCAGCGCTGTTGCGTCTTACTCTTCCTGGGACAACATCCACACCGTTTCCATCGGTAACGAGGTTGTCAACTCTGGTCAGGCTGACGCTTCCACCATGGCTGGTTACGTCAACTCTGCCCGTTCTGCTCTCCGCTCTGCTGGCTTCACTGGTCCCGTCGTCACCGTCGACACCTTTGTTGCCATCATTGCCAACCCCGCTCTTTGCGCTGCCTCTGACTACGTTGCTGCCAACTGCCACCCCTTCTTCGACGGTGGTGTTACAGCAGACGGATCTGGTGCTTTCGTTGCTGATCAGATCGCTCGCCTCCAGGCCGCTTGCGGTTCTGACAAGACTGTCTTGATCACTGAGACCGGATGGCCCACTCAGGGTGACAGCAACGGTGTTGCTGTTCCCTCCGCTGCCAACCAGGCTACTGCTGTTTCTTCCATCTTGTCGTCCGTCGGTGAGGACATCATCTTGTTCACTGCCTTCAACGACTTGTGGAAGGCCCCTGGATACCTCAACGTTGAGCAGTACTGGGGTATGTACACCGCCTAAACATTTTATTTTGGAGGGAAAATATGAGGAGTCGTGAAGTGAAGGAATTCTTGGGGTTACGACAAGGGAGATAGGGTACTCGAGCGATATCTTACCCGCATGTGGAAGGTTATCGGGCTCTGTCGAATGTTTGCTGGGCGAACGACTTTGTTGGATATGTGTTTTTACCTGGGTTCTGGAGCTGAGCGCTTCCTCGAGTTTGAATTAGCTGTGGTATTACTTTCTTTTTCATTCTCTCTTTTTCTATTGTGCTTTTTGATTCCTTTTTCAGATTCAATGCATTCTATTTATTGATTCGTTGTACGTGGTCGATACAGCTGCTGCTGCCTCCGTGTGAACGTCGTGTACAGTACACAGTCTCGCAACATCGTTCAATTTCTAAGTGACTGATCCTTCCTTTCCCGAAGCAGATGCGAAACAGACAAAGCAAATCCCAAACGCCGTAGAACAAAAATGAACATCATCTAAACAAGCTTACTCCTCCTGCATTGCATCCTTAACCTCCGCAACTGCAGTGAGTTTCTGGGCGGCTTGTGCAGCACGCTTCTTTTGCAGGGAAACAACTCCAATCGCGACACCGGCCTCCGCCTCTGCCTGGGAGTAAGGCGTCTCCTTCAGCAACTTGACCCTATACGGAACTGTAAGCACATAACCACGCGACGCATCATTACGCACAAACGAACCTTTTCTTGTGGTTCTTTCCTCTTCTGTGCTCAACGTCGGCATGTTCCGTCTCAAAATACTTTGCGCAAGCTTTACAGTAATACTGTCCCAAGCCGGGCAACTCCTCATCGACCTGAGCCAACTTTTCATCCAACTTCAGCTTCGCGTCCGGATCGTTGATATCGTCGTGGATCTGGTCGAGCATACGGCCCATACGGATGGTTGATTTAGCATACTTTGCGGTCTTGGAGTGACTCTTTCCACGGCCGGTGACGGGACCCATTGTGATTGAGCTGACCCTGACTGATGGAGGGTTTGTGATTGAGCTGTGGAGGGGAGGTCGGTTTGCTTTATCGGCCTTATCGCCGCAAAAGTTTATCGCCTGGTCCGTTCCTGGCGAGCGTGGCGATTCAGGCACCGCGGACCGTGGGACCAACCCCGAGCAAGCACGCACACAGCTCTCGTTGCCTATGAGTGCCCCCCGATCAGTGAAGGAGCTGGCGGATCTGGCCGTGGAACCCGTGCGTTTTCTGCCGGGGACGTCATTGAGGGTGTCGTTAAGGACGGCTGAGTCGATGTGGAAGCAGGTAGTCCAGCCCAAGTGTCTTCCATTTCGAGAGCTAACGGTAGCTTAAAGGGCAATGTGTACCTGTTGGAAGGCAATGACGAACAGGCATATATATTACTGCTGCGTTACGCTGAGTATGTCGTTGGTTCAGTTGTGAGCTTGGGAAATATGCTCAACGACGGTACGCAGGTTCATCATAAAGACTCTTCCAGCGCATCCGGAAGCCAAAGCATCTGCTGGTAACTGGAAGGAAATCAAGGCTCATCACGCGGTGCGTGCTGTAGGATCACTCGTTATAGCGTGTGTTGCTGACCAGTGATATCTGACAGCGCGTGGACACGCTTCTGCAAATAATATCGGGGATCAAAAAGCGGCTCGAGGAACGGTATCTCCAGTACCAACGCATGCTTCTTGAAGATGCTGAGGAGCGACGGCGCCAAGAAACGGAACGAAGAGTGAAGCTGATCCAGGACAACGAAGTTGACAACGACACTGATGAAGAAGAGAAGCCCTGGTTGGCTCGAAGTCTGAGACGAGGGAGTGCAGAGGGTAGCCACGGGAAGTTGGACTTGGTTGAGGAGATAAGAGGACTGCAACTTGACAGACGGCGGGACGATCGCTCAACCAGACACTCGACTAGACCGTCCTCGGATCCTAAGAGAAGAAGTGGAGTGTCATATCCAACGGTGGAGCGAACAGAGAAACGAAGGTGCGTTGGTGGCTGGGAGCCAGTGGGGATGTGCTGATTGAAACTTGCAGCTCCTTCGAAAATAACTCAAACTGGACAAATCACGTTCCACTACCAGAGTCACCGTGGTTACAGAAGCAGGTATCATCACCGCCTTTAATACCATTACCCCCGCCAAAGCCGACATCCCGACTAATACCGCCCTTACCACAAACTCCTCCGCCGTCGTTTCCTGCACCCAAGAAAGGGCAAGAGGCATATGAGTTTTCTTCGTCAGCAAGAACCGAAGGCGGTGATCCATTACGAACACTCTTCATTCCAAAAGAGTTGAGAGATCGGTTCTTGGAAGTCGCAAAGCCAAATACGACCAGAAACCTGGAAACATGTGGGATTCTGTGCGGGAAGTTGGTGTGTTCAGTGACGTGTACAGTGCTTACCACAAGCTAACCGGATCACGCAGAAACAAAATGCACTTTTCGTGACTCATCTCGTTATTCCGGCGCAGGAGTCTACTAGTGATACCTGCCAGACGATCGACGAAGGGGCTATCTTTGAGTTTCAAGACGCCCGGGAGCTGCTCACACTCGGCTGGATTCATACTCATCCCACTCAGACGTGCTTCATGTCATCCGTGGACCTACATACACACTGCTCGTACCAGTTGATGCTGGACGAGGCTGTTGCTATCGTCTGTGCACCGAGTAGAGGAGAATGGGGATACTTTAGGCTGACGAAACCACCGGGGATGGAAGTCATCACAAAATGCAGGAATACGGGTCTTTTTCATTTGCATGATGATGTTCCGGGCGGGATCTATACTGATGCAGGGAAGGGGGACGGTGGGGGGGGTCATGTGAGAGAGATTGGAGGTTTGAGATTTGAGGTTGTGGATTTGCGATGATCGGCGTGGGTCTACGTCAACTTACAAGGATTGTCATGACGTGGAGGAAAGCATCATTTGAGCTTGATGCTCGGCCCAAGCTCAAGGATGGGCATTTGCTACAGATCAATATGTCGCCTTTATCGTTATCGATATCGGGACTTGGATTGTACGTGGAAACGGCATGGAAAGCCCCAGCAATTCGATAGATCTATGATAGAAGCTCGTCTAGGACATGTTAATCAGAATACGCCTTTCAACTCCCTCCTTTCATGTATCCTGCCGTGCACATGGTATGATCCATAATTTACCTAGGGCAACGTGCATCTCTCCGCGTCGCCCTCCGAATTCGGTTGAAAGCATAGACCTCGACTCCATTGTCAAAGGAAAAGAACCAGCAACAATGGTCTCTACACAATTTGCATACCGTACGGTCAAGGAAATCGGTTTGACCGAGGCTCAGCCTACTTATGCCCCCGTGAGTGGCTTCGAGAAGCCTACTGGCAACTTGCGAGTAGGTGTCTACAGTCCTGACGGTTCATACTTCGCTTGGGCTTCCCCGGAGAATGTTTCGGTAGTCAAGGCTGAGGATGGTGCCAAGATTGCTACCTTGGATGTTCCAAATGTGTTCGAAATTGCGTTTTCGCCGAAGGGAACATATGTGCAGACTTGGCAAAGACCGTCGAAGGCCGAGGACGGTAATGCTACAAAGAATTTGCAAATCTGGGATGTGAAGAGCGGAACCCTGAATTACGAGTTTGTGCAGAAGAACCAGACTGGATGGTGAGGAGTGCCCGACGACGAATCTTTACGGATCAAGCGCTGACTGTATGCTCCAGGAACTGCCAATTTACGTTCGATGAGAAGTACTGCGCCAGGTTGGTCACCAATGAGGTTCAGATTTTCGAGAGTGCAAATATGTCCAAGGGTGTATGGAACAAGCTGAGAGTTGAGGGTATCTCAGCATTTGCCCTGTCACCAGGACAGAACTACGCACTCGCTTCATTTCTTCCCGAGAGGAAGGGACAGCCTGCACGAGTGTGTGTATACAACGTCCCCAGTTTCATCCAGCCTGCTGCTCAGAAGACCTTCTTCAAGGCCGACAGCGTTAAGATGACCTGGAACAAGCTCGGTACCAGTCTTTTGGTGCTCACTCAGACCGAGGTCGACAAGACCAACAAGAACTACTACGGAGAGACCAACCTTTACCTTCTCTCTATTGCGGGAAACTTCGACTCAAGAGTGGTTCTCGACAAGGAGGGACCCATTCACGACGTTACCTGGTCTCCTAACTCCAAGGAGTTCGGTGTCGTATATGGTTACATGCCTGCTAAGACGACCGTTTTCAACCACCGCGCCAACGCCGTCATTTCTCTCCCTCTCGCTCCCCGCAACACCATCATCTTCTCTCCTCATGCGCGATTTATGATTCTCGCTGGTTTCGGTAATTTGCAGGGAACTATGGATATCTACGACACCTTCCAGAACTACAAGAAGTTGTCAACAATTGAGGCCAGCAATGCATCTGTGTGTGAGTGGAGTCCTGATGGTCGTATGATCTTGACCGCCACCACCTCTCCTCGTCTCCGAGTAGACAACGGTGTTAAGCTCTGGCATTACTCCGGACCTTTAATCTACCAGGAGGAGATGACTGAGCTGTACGCCGTTCACTGGCGCCCTCAGCCTGCTGAGTTGTACCCTCTCCGCACTGCTCTCTCCCCCGCTCCTGAGGTGCATTCCTCGGTTGCTTCTGCTGCTACTCTGGCTGCTCCTCAAAGGCCTGCCGGTGCTTACCGTCCTCCTCATCTCCGTGGTACTAGCACTCCTACGCACTTCAAGCGTGAGGACGAGGGTGGTGCACGACACGTTATGGGCGAGGACCGTGCGCTTAATGGTGCCACCAACGGACAGAGGCTTGTTCCCGGTGCTCACCGTACCGTTCCTGGTGCTGCTCCCGCTGCTGCTGCTCAGGAGCAGCTCTCGAAGAACGCGCTCAAGAACAAGAAGAAGCGTGAGGCTGCGAAGAAGGCTAAGGAGGAGGAGCAGCCTGAAGAAGTTGCCGTCCCTGAACCTGCTCCTGCTGCTGATGATGCGCCTGCGGCTGGTGCCGAGGACAAGAAGACCCGAGCTTTGTTGAAGAAGTTGAGGGCTATCGAGGAGTTGAAGGTTCGTGTTGGAAAGGGTGAGAAGTTGGAGGATACCCAGATTAAGAAGATCGCCACTGAAGATCAGATCCGGAAGGAGTTGGCTGCTCTCGGCTGGGACGATTAGACAACCCTCGTTAAGCCTAGAGGAAAAGAGTTGCTGCGTTGCTGTGTACGATTGTCTGCATGGATATGAGTTGATGGATGGGATGCATCAAGCATGAAAAGGATACGAGTGCGGATGATTATCTAAGAAATTGTGAAAAGGTTGGATGCAAAGCATGGGCCGTGGCGTATTCTGGGTTTGATTTGAGCGCGGAGTCATGTTCAGGGTCTTTTGTGTGCAGAAGAAGTCAAAGAAGGCGATGTTGGTAGAAAACAATATCAGATGTTCTGGGAGCGAACTTGCAACTTCCATGTTTCCCAATGATGTCACTACCCATATATACCATGCCACGATGGTTAACCGAAAAAAAAACCGACTTCATGAATATCGTACAACCGCTCGTATTTCACCACCTCAGAGTTTGGCTTTGTCGATAGGAGCCGCGGGGGCATACCCTTGCTTCTCCACATTCTTCTCCTGTTTCAAGTGATCCTTCCTACCCTGCTGGGTTGCATTTTTCTTCCCAAGCTCAACCGGCGGCCCACCCATGGCGTTGCCGGCAGGGGATTCGCCTTTCCCACGACTCGCCAAACCCGTCTCCGCGCCTTGCTCAGCAGGGGGTCCTCCCAATGCCTTCGTTTCACCCTTGTCATCACGACCTTTGACACCCTTGCCCCCCTCGATTCCGGCGACCTTAGCATTGACTACAGTGCGCTCCTTCTTGTTCTCCCTCACGGCCTTAGGACCAGAACCGCGAGGAGCAGAGGAACTCGTCGGTGCGTCATGCTGTTCGCGTGGGTTCTTGTCGAGAGGATTACCGGCGGCCTTCTCGGCGTCTTTGATGTCGGGCTGGTTCATCTGACTGTCGGCAGTTTTCTGGGGTGCCGCGGCGGAGAGCTTGTTGGGCTTGAGGCCGGATTTAACCTTCTCCTCTGGGGCCTCCGGGCTGGGATCAGAGGGCTCACCACCTCCCGGGGCACCAACAATCGCCGGGGTCTTCCCAACCTCTGAGTACTTCTCGGGATGCTGGTCCTTAGAGGAGCCGGAGGATCCAGAGTCGCCCGTAGGAGGACTGTAAGAGGACTTCTGGTGCTGAGAGGTGGAGGTGTTCTGTTTCCCAGCAATGGAGGGAGCAACAGTGTTGGACTGAGCTTCAACGTCTGTCTCGAGCTTTGGGGTCATGTTAACTGAGAATCACGTTCTGGGATGACAAGCTTTGGGGAGTCGTCTTTTATTTCACAGAGCCTCAAAAGCTTGTCCGCGATCGCGCGGGGTACAGCAATGACGTATACGATAAGAGTAACGTGGTTCGGAGTCCGAAAGGATGTCGTGCCGAACGATGGAGTTATGTGCGTTGATTTCGAGCTGGTGAGAGATGCCTTACGCCATATCGACCACAGATCCAAGTAGTAGTGGTAGTATTTGTAAACCGGATATTGCCCTAAGGCGATCCAGTACGGCAAGTAGAAGTACGAAGCTATGGTACAAAGACGCAAACGAACCTTAAGTACAAGTCATCCCAGTACCAGTCAGACTTGTGCGGCTCGCCAAATACGTATCAAACTCGAGTCGAACAGTCCCTGGTGTCTGCCCACCGCAAGTCTGTGATCGCGATCCGTGAGAAGGCGCCCGCTCAAGCTTCAATAGCTATAGGCATCATGAATTGCGAACAACGATGGCGGTTACGTAGTCAGCTAGACGAGGCTGGGTAAGGGACCCAAAAAACTAGCTTCAGAGTGTACACCGTGTATACGAGAGCTCTGGAAGCAAGGCTGCTTCACAAGCAGCCAAACACAGCAAAATCGACCCACCCAGGACTCGAACCTGGAATCTCTTGATTCGTAGTCAAGCGCCTTAACCATTGGGCCAGCAGGTCATTGGATAAGCTATATTCCGTTCAAAACATATTGTTCTCAAGCAATTTTGATCTGCTCTAGCTCAAGGCGTAGGCGTACAGGTCACTGCTACAGCTGCCTAGAGTATTGGGTTTCATTCGATGTTCATTTTCTGTCTTTCATCGTCTTCAGACGTCCTCGGAATATTGCAGTCAATAACTACCGTGGGAAGGAAACTTTCGGCGACCCGGTATGTAGCAAGCAAGGAGTGAACATTGCTAATTACTAAGAAAGTCCTTCCCACACCGGCCCAAACTCCCGCGTTCAGACCTGAACGAAACTTCAAACAAAAAGAAAAAGAAAAACAAAGAAAAAGTGCGGCTAATCATGATGGCAGCTAGTAGTTGCAATCATCGTCGGACGTTCTGGGATCCTTAGTAGTCGGAGTGACCGGTGGAAGCGGCGCTAGGCGGCGCACTGCTGCTAGATGACATGGAGTAGGACGGGGGTGGGTTAAGGCCACACCTAGCACGGCACTCTTGAAGACCGAGCGCGACAGTCGCCGGAATACCAGCTTTAAGAGCTTCGAGTGCGTACGTATCTTCAGCACTCAACCCGAACGTAGCCAACAAAATATCATCTTCAAACATCGCTAAACCCTGCGCAATCTGCAAAGCACCAGGGTCCTCACTGGGGAAGCCTGAAACGAACTGAACCGTCTCACAGCCGAGGTTGGCTTGGAAGTGCATGGACCCAGCGGGGATGATGGTGGCCTCTCCACCAGTGATGTTATTCATGACCAAGCGAGCCCCGTTCTCGGGAAATATACCGGTGAGGAAGGTTCCGTTGACGGAGTAGGAGAGCTCTGAGGAGCGGGGGTGGATGTGAGGCGTATTGAATCCACAGGGACCGATGAACCCTACGGCCATGGAGATACCGTTGTCGATCAAAGCGGGGAAGTTCTTGCGGTTGGCGCGGACGATGCTACCACCGTCACCTTTGGCGGCAGGCTGGTTGGGGTCGAGGAAGTTGAAGACAAAGTCGGAGTCATCGCCGAGAATATTGATACGGTCGACGGCCGTGGCAGCGGTTTCGAGGGCGACGATTTCGGCGCTCGTGTTTCCACCAGCAGCGGGAGCGGCCAAGCTGGGCACCGCGGCAACGGCCAGAGCGAGAAGGGAGATGATGCGAGTAAGAGGAGCCATCTGATATGGTGTCGGAGAGAGTGAGAGAAGAGAGTGAGTGTTGTGTTGAATGACCGAAGAGTAGCTTATTGAAGCCGAGAAAAAGAGCAGTGGTTGATGTTCAAAAAATGGAGGGGAAGGAGTTGCTCTTTATATCTCTTTGGTTGTGACGAAAACGGGGTTTGGCCTTTTTTGGCCTTGCTCTCGGAGTCCCAGCTGATGTCCGATGTCGGTCCGTGGGAAGATTTCGAAATCTTAGCGGGCCGCACTGGGGCTGCGCAGAAAAGTGCCAAGTCTAGGCAACTTTTGCACCGGGCCGCTGGTAGTTGATGCCTTCATTGACCCCATTGAGGTTATGAAACATCCGAGGACCGCGGTTTCGATGAGGTTACATGAGCATGGCTTGCCTGAGGCCAAACCTTGTTTTTGTAAACCTGACGTTCCTTATGAGACTAAAAATAGCTATAGCTCTATTGGAAATTTGATGATGGTTTTGCGCCTGTGCTCACGGTGCTCGCCTTTCGGCAACCCGGCCCTACTGCGGCGCCGACGGTAGGTGGGTGGCGCTGTGCAGCTACCTGCTTTATCAGGACAACATTGAACCGGGAGATCTTCCTTACACAGGCCTCGAAAATACTCGTCCTCCTCCTCCTCCATCCTTGCTCTTTATATCTCAGTCATGTCGCCTCAGTCATTCTTTAGGACAGACGAGATGGCTGCCGCGCTCGCCGAGTCGATCAACGAGAAACATGCCACTTTCGAGGGAAAGAAGCCGAAGGCCATTGACATGTCTCATCACCTGAGCTTGTTGGCAAAGAGCAGGAGGAACTCTCCGTTGAAGAGTATTTGGCCGTATATGTTCATTCCTGGGATGATCGGATTGGCCGGTGGATTGCCGCACCCGGATTACTTCCCATACGACCAGTTCTCGGCACAGGTGCAGTCGTCGCATCACTATACGGAAGCCGCGATCCCCACGAAGGCTTCGAACCCATTGCTGTCGTTCTTCCGTAACACGCAGAAGGCTGATTCGACAGCAGACAGCGATATCACCATCCCCAAATACTCCAACGGCAAATCCCCCATCCAACTCGCTACCGCCCTGCAGTATGGCCAAGCCCAAGGTCTCGACTACCTCCTCAAATTCGTCAAAGATTTCACCGCGAGAGTATACAAACCCGCTTACGAAGACTGGGATGTCATCATGTGCTGCGGATCAACAGACGCCCTCAACAAAATCCTCATGATGGTCTGCGAACGCGGTGACAACTTCCTCTGCGAGGAATTCACCTACCCAACCGCGATCGAGACTGGGTTCCCTATGGGTATCTCACCCGTGCCGGTCAAGATGGACGGCGAGGGAATCATCGCGACTAGCCTCGAGGATGTCCTGAGGAACTGGGACGACGCCCGCGGACCACGTCCTCGTGTTCTCTACACCGTCCCCGTCGGCCAAAACCCTACCGGCTCAACCATCGGCCGTAAACGCCGTCAAGAAGTCATGGAGGTGTGTGACAAATACGACGTCCTGATAATCGAAGATGACCCATACTACTTCCTCCAAATGCCGCAATGGCAGGCCTCCGACTCCCTCAGCCCCACCACCACCACCGCCGCCGCCGATGATTCCTGGATTGACACCCTCTCCCCCTCCTACCTCCAATTCGACACCCAAGGCCGCGTCCTCCGCATCGACTCCTTCTCCAAAGTCATCGCACCCGGTTCCCGCTGCGGCTGGATCACCTCCTCCCCACTCTTCGTTGAACGCCTCCTCCGTGCCTCAGAAGTCAGCACGCAACAACCCTCCGGCTTCGCACAAGTTCTTATTGGGAAGCTGCTCGTTGAGGAATGGGGACAGCAGGGGTGGATTGAATGGTTGAAGGGGATTAGGAGGGAGTACACGAAGAGACGTGATCAGGCGTGTCAGGCTCTCGAAGAAGAGTTCAGGCCGAAGGAGGTATTGAGGGTTGGCGAGGGTGAGGAGGAGTTTGGGTATACGAGTGTGTGGAGGGAGAGGGAGGATCCTCTTGTGACATTCGTGCCGCCTGTTGGTGGGATGTTTGTGTGGTGCAAGGTTGATATCGCACGTCACCCTCAATTTGAATCTTCTATCATCGATGAGAAGACTGGTGAGGTTGAGGTGAGGGGTGATGGCGGCGTTGCGTTGATGGATCAGTTGTGGCAGAAGTTGATTGATGCCAAGGTCCTTCTCGTACCCGGCAAGTTCTTTGCGGCTGATGAGAGCGTTTTGAAGGAGAGGGGTGGCGCTGGATACTTCAGGTTGGCATTCTCAAGTTCCAGCGAGGAGGACATGAAGGAGGCCGTCAAGAGGTTTGGGAAGGTCGTTCGCGAGTTCTTTATTGAGAACTGATCATGATAGAAATTGATTTGGGTACGATTACGTATATGGGTTTGGTTCGCCGGTGTTTCTTCTTACGTTCTTTTTTACTCTAACATTATCACGCAATCTTGCTATCTAATTGCGTTATCATATATCTTTACCCCACGGGGTTAACTTCAAAACTTCTCACCTGTCGCCGAGCTCTTCCTGAATCCAATCACCTGCCTCAGCCTCAGCCTTCTCCACAGGTCCCCCGACATCCTTCTTCCCATGAATCCTCGGTCCCTTGATCTTCTCCCCCGGTCTCGTGCCATTAATTTGAATATTCCACGTCTCCTCCCCATCATTAATCAACCTAAACTTTAACGTAGGCTTATTCTTATCCGTCGTATCGACACCGAACAACCCAAACTTATGATTCCCATCCGGCAAATACGCCAGAACCTGATCCTCATCATCCTCCGTCGCCTGCGAATACGTCCTAATCGGGAGATAAAACTGATTCAAAGGCGACGTGGAGAACTCGACAACATGTTCCCTGATCGCTGTCGCTGCGAATTCGTGGCGGTCACCGGAAAGAACGATTACGTTTGAGACGCGGTCCATGGCATCGAGGAGGAGGGAGCGCTCGTAGAGGAAGCCGCCGAAGGTGTCCTTTTCGCCGTCTGGGCCGCGCCAGTTTTTGGTGAAGGGGACGCTGGAGATGACGAATTTCCATACGAAGCCCTGGTCCTCACTCTCTTGCAGCCAGTGAAGCAAAGCCTCGCGCTGTTCGAGGCCGAGCATGGTTTTCTCTGGTCCGTCGACTTGAGTGTTAAGCGAGCGGTATCGCCTAGTGTCCATAAGGAAGAAAGCCGAATCACCGCGGGTGAACGTATAATAGGTCTGGTTGTGCCCGAGCGCAGGAGGGTTAACGGAATGATGATACGTGTGCCAGGGGTTCATAGCAGCGGCATACTCTGTGGGCAATTCATCAACAACGTTTTTGACCAACCTCACAATGACCTACCATAGTTTTCATGCTTGTCCCAGTTATTCTTGATCTCGTGGTCGTCATACACGTGCATCATAGGCAGTCGCCCCAGTACACTTCGGACCTGGGGACTCGAGTATGTTTGTCGGTATTTCTGACGATAGTCTTCCACACTGTCGCCGGCGAAGTGTGGGACATCGGCATAGATCCAGTCGCCAAGGAACAACATGAACTCGATCTCCTCTTCATCGAGTTGTTGACGGACATAATCAAACCCTTCAATCTCGAGGGGATCACGGCCGAACCCCCGGTAAGGGAAACCGGGAATGATACAAGACGTAGAAGAGAACGTCCACTTCCCAGAAGCACCTGTCGGCGGCGCCGTTTTGAACGATCCACGATTCCCATTCGACATCGTATACTCATACGTCGTATCAGCATCCAGCCCAGTCAACTCAACCCAACCCACATAATCATTGCTAGCATCCAGCCCCTCGAACTTCGGACCCATCATAAATGGCGAGCTTGTATTTGCCTCCCGGAGCCTCATGCCAACCGAGCTCTTTCCACTCGGATCCCGGATTTGCAAACGTGCGCTGGAAGGACCGACATAGCCCACGCGATGAAACGCGAGATCATCGCAAGGCCAGAAGAACTGGAGTTGGAAGGTTAGGTCGAGGACCATGACGAGACAGAGGGCGTTTGCTGCTAGTGTGAGGAAGGTGAGGAGGGGGTTTGGGTGTGGGTGGCCGAAGAGTAGGGTTTTGATGATGGAGGGGCGGGAGGAGTGGACGATGGTTTGGGCGGGAGCAATTGTGCCGCGGCGATGGACGGAGTAACCTCGGAGCTTTTTCCTTGAACGAATATCCGATTCTTCTCGTGCTGTGGAATGCGCGACGTCTGTCTCGTCTTCCTCGTCCGATACCTGTGCCGACGGCGGCTCGAGCTTCAACTTTGGCACTTCGGTGTCGGCCTTCATGATGTCGTTTCCGACGAGCATGAAAAACGACATAACAAAAAACAGCCAACAAAACAGGATGACCTTCCATACCAAGCCACCAGGAATCTGTAAGATACCTCGTCAGTTTGCGAACTCGCAAGAGCCAAGAGATATTCTACCCATCGGAGGAAGAGATAGGAAAAGGCGCGAAGGAGCACGGTTGCAACCCCTGCTGTCACCTTGAGGATTCTTTCGCCGTCGAATGCCATTGCAATTGCAAAAAACCGGGCAGATCGATGGTGTTGCTGTTTGGAATATCGAGGGAATTATTGGACACAGATGAAGCCCATGCACGCGACTGCAGCCAGACAGCAGGGTCCCGACGTCATGACCAAGGTGCTGCCGTCTTCGCAGTTCTTCGGCACTCAAGTACATCCAGGTCATTTCTCTCCAACTGACCACGATGTCCCACTCTTCTCATGGCCTTTCCCTCCTCCACTCTCCTCCCACCAAACACCGACCCTCGCGGCTCCAAACGCCGAACGGCATCGCCTCACGATCGCCGCGCACTAAACTTTAATCGCCGTCGAACACCCATAAGAAGCCGCTGTCACCCACAAGGTCCTCCAATCCAATCCATACGTCAATAATCATGTGCTTCCCTGCCCAATGCCCCAAGTGCTCCGGCCAGTCCTGGTCTGGATGCGGTGCTCACGCTGAGCAAGGTGCGTTCTCTTCCCATCCTCCTCGAGCTCGAGCTCATGTCTGGGATGTGTGCTGATGTGGTGCTGGGTAGTTATGTCCCAGGTCCCCGCTGACAAGCAGTGCACCTGCCCCAAGGAGTCCGGCAAGACTGTTCCTCCGGGAGTTCCGATGAAGAGGTAGCTCCGTACAGTGTTGGAGAACGTTGATGGGGAGTTATTCTGATGTTGGCGTGTGTAGTTGTGTGGTGTCGTGAGGCAAACGAACAGGCGGTGAGGGAGTGCAGGATATACACGAGAGATTTTGTACGATTTGGAATGAAGAAGTTTATTATCGCTGGCATCGCATTGTGGTGCATATGTCTACCACTCTACGTGATATTGATCAAGGGTATCTCCGGTATCCCTGGTATCTCCATCTACTCATCCGTATCCGTCTTCATCGCTGTCTCCACCTCCTCTTCTCTAGGCCCAGCCAGCTGCCCTTTACGGGCTATCTCACATAACTCCCCCATCACCCCCGCCACATACATAAAATCCGTAGCATCATTATAAACCTGTGCACTAAACCTAATCCACCACCGTCCTCCATGCTTGAACACTGGAGCAAAACAGTTCCGTTCGAGCATTGCGTCGTAGATCCCTTGCACGACCCTTTCCGCCTCCGTCGAGTTGATGCCGATATCGTCGGAGAGGGGGAGTCGGACGTTGATCATTGCCGTCGCCAAGTCCGCGGCGTCGCATTCCATCGTTTCCGTACCCCACATCTCCGCGACCCGCCTCCCGCCTTCCTTCGCGAGAGTGTTGCAATAGTCCATGATCTTCTCCTCGCCACCAAGTTTCTTCCGGCGCTCGATAGCGGCCGGGATGGTGAGGTACCCAGCAAAGTCCTGTGTCCCAGGCCACTCGAATTCATTCAAGAACGTACTCGGGTTACCCGAAGCAATCGGAGTGTAGAGCGAAGATGTCGACGGAGAGACATACCCGTGTGATATCTGAACGGGATGAATGAGATGCTGGTGCCGTTTCGGCACATGGAAAGCCGCGAGTCCACGTGGGCAGTATAGCCTTTTTAATCTTTTCGTCAGCCATCCACGCGAAGGTCAGGCAAAGGATCGAACCATTTATGAGCATTCGTTACAAAGAAATCCGGGTTAGCAGCCTCCAAATCAACGCGGATTTGCCCAATCGCGTGTGCGCCATCGACGAGACTCAAGACACCGTATTCCCGGAACAAGACGCAGAGCCGTTCCCACGGGACGCGGACGGCAGGCATGGAGGAGACTGCGTCGATGAGGGCGAGTTTGATGGTTCCCTTGTGGAGGTCGAGGGATTCCTTGACGATATCCATCACAGTATTGTCGGGGAGAGGATAAGTTACGTCCAGGCGGACGAGTTCCACGCCTCGGGTGTCGGCGATGTAGACTAATGCCCGTTCACAAGCGCCATAGATGGTACTCATGTACAATACCTTATCACCGCGCTCCCAGTGTAGGGAGCGGAGGACTGCATTCACCCCGGATGTCGCATTCGGGACCAGCACGAGTTCGTCGACTGGGCAATTGAGGAGTGTGGAGAGGGCCTGGCGAGACTGAACAAGCTCCTTGGGATACCGACGGCGGAAGAAGAGGTCGGGGCGCGATTCAGCCTCACTTTGGATTTTCTTGTATTCATCGCCTACTGAGCGTGGATACGTGCCATAAGATCCTTAGAATTACAAGTAAGACGGAGTAGATCAAGAGGAGAGAGGAGGATTGCGAACCATGATTAAGGGAGATGTAGTCATCATCGAAGTAAAACTCTGAGCGCAGTGAGCGGCCGAATTGTAACTGGCCGGCCATAGTAAGGGAAGGGATCGAATTGGCTGAGCTGATCTCGATCTGTTATTGCTCGTCATGCGCATAGGAGGCGGGCGTTGCGGCCGGGTGCAGCGGTGGTGCATGGGGGGACCATGAGAGGGCGTATCAGCGCAGCTTGCTGTGTAGAGTTGCAGCTCGACCATTGACTTTTCTTCTCTCGTTTATTCTCACTTTTGCCGTCTTTTCGCACTCGTAAGTCCCGCCATCGCTTCCCGATCTCCAGGACGTGCCACAACCCCCGGGATCGATCGCGGCATTCGAGAAACCTCCACCGCAAGGACAGGACTCGCCCCGTAATGAGCATACCCGAGTAGGCTCCGTGGGGCACAGTAGATCAAGGCATACACGAACCAACATCTACTCCCACCCGGAGCATAGACCCGCCGCAAGCAACGAAGATAGGCGCTTCGTGAAGCAATGTCCTACAACCAGAACCGTCTGCCTTTTCCTCCTGGGGTTGGCGGGGATGGCCAGGAGTCTGGGCAGGGAGGCATTTGGGGACAAGGGCAGGGCGGACGGGGATACGATGTACCCGTACCCATACCCTTGATGGGAGGGTATGGATCATATGGAGGGCCGCAGAGATATCCAGCGCCGCCGCCGGGAGGGGGAGGTCCTGTTCCTCCTACGGTTGGGCATTACCTCCTTTCCACCACGCAATCGTTTTCACCGCAGTACATCCCGCATGCAGCGCCTGCCCCAGCAGCAGCGGCAGCAATTCCTCCGTCACCGATATACCCGCAACCTGGTCCGCCTGCTCTTTATCATTCTCATCAGCATCCTCATGCTCATCCGTATGCACAGCATGCACCACCGCAAGCACCTATCAGTCTACCCCCGATCTCACTACCACAGTACCCCTCTTTCCCTCCACTTCCGACATACGCAACACAACCTTCGCCGTATCAAGCTCCAGATACACAAGGTGGAAGTTCAGGGAGTCCTCCGCCAATCATTTATCCGAATGCACAGCCAGCGACGCCATTCACGTTTGCTCCAAAGTTACTCGACAATTACGCTGTTCCTCAACCTCCCATGACGCATACAACCGCCGCGATCGCACCACCGCCCACGCGTCAAGAATCGAACTCCCGTCGTACGCGTTCCTCTTCCAAGTTCTCGAACCCACCGTATATCGGTAATCGACGTTCGCGTGGACCAGGAAGTATCCGCAGTTCAGGCAACAACATCAACGGACAACTCGGCACGCCCGATCCCACACGCTCCAGCCCCGAACACGACCTGAACAACACGAGCCAAGACGCAGACGCATCGGTTGAATCAGACGGCGAATCCTCTTTTCCGGAATTCGAAAAGCAGACAGTCGGCGGTGGCGCGACGGACTCGAACGGCACTCGCAGCGGTGATGAGAGTTCTGGTACAGGGAGTGGTGGTGATTCCGGTTCTGGGAGTATTGGGACGGGAATGGGGAGTGGTGTTAGTGGTATGACGAAGAGTACGAAGAGTGATTGGTTCAAGGAGTTTAATGGGAATGTGAGGGCGAATAATTCCAAGTCGAAGTTTCCGAGTGACAGTGATTCGCCCTATTTCGCGGGGAAGAAGGTCGGGGATGATACCTCGATGTCGAGTCAGCAGCACCATGGCCAGCACCCGTCGAACTTGAAGGCTCCGGCGTTGCAAAAGTCGTTGTCGAAGAGGGGACAGGTGCAGGTGCAAGGGAAAGCTGGCGGCATCAGGGAGGAAGGAAGCTCGAGTGATCCATCATCGAGTAACTTCCGGGATATAGTCGATGATTTGAGGTTGAAGAATCAGCGGTTGAGGGCCAGGTTGAAGAAGATGGAGAAGGCCTCTATGGCGTCTGTTACCGGGAAGCAAAGTGGTGGTATCAAGGGTTTGGTCGAAGTCAGACTCGGACGTCGTATGAGCGCCAAGAAGAGAGCTGAATTGGAAGAGTTGATGAGAGGTTTCGTCGCAAACATCGACACCGAATCCGAGGCCGAGGAATCACTACCCGCCTCACCTGACACCGAAGACGAACTCCGCATGCGCCAAGTGGTCTCCCGCATCGAAGACCTCGTCACAGCCAACAAAGAACTCCAAGGCGCAGACACACACGGCTGGGTCTACCTCAACATCATCACCAACCTCGCACACCTGCATCTGATGAACGTTACGTTACCGTTCGTTAGGGCTGCTGTGGAAAAGTTTTCGACGAGGTTGGAGTTGAGTGAGGATGGGGGGATGATTAGGGGGAGGATGGGGGTTTTGGAGAGGGGGGCTAGTGAGACGCCGAGTCTGGAGAGTGGGGAGAGGTCTGCTGGTGAGTCTGGAAGTGGATCTGGTAGCGGCAGCAGCCGTGGGAGTGGTTGTGGTAGAGGAAGCGGGAGTGGAAGTGGTGGGAAGACGATGGGATCCGGATCTAACACCGGTTCCGGTTCTGGTGCGGCAACGAGTGCGCCGTCGACGTTGTCCAGGTCGAGGAGTATCTTCTCTTCTGTCATCGGACAGGAACAGACGCCTATTACCGTTACCTCCGCTGGCGCCCACGGAGAAGTCGGACAAACACAAACCCTCTCCATGGGCAAGACCGAGAAAGCACGTGAGACCGGAAGCAAGAAAGCTGAAGCATGGCTTTCTGGCGCCGCATCTGTTGCAAAGGGTCCCCTGCCCGCCATGCCTCCCAACATGCAGAGACCCATGTTGGCCACTAGGAGGGAGAAGGCCCAGGATTCTGGAGAGGAGACAACGACGGAGGAAGAAGACAAGGATTTCGGGCCGATTGTGTTCTTCGAGGGCGGGATTTGTGCGGATTACTCCAGGGAGAAGGGCAAGATGCCGAGGGATATCTCGTACGAGAGAGCCACGGAGGATGTTATTGGGTTGAGGTCGGATGAGGATGATGCCAAGTTGCCATTGACGAGTCGGGAGGCTTTGATGGCGTTGCCTGCGGTTGAGGAGATGGACGTGCCGGATTTGGTGGTGGATGATGGAAGTACTTCTCTTGCCACGGAGGTCGGCGAGGAGCCCTTCGAGTTCGTATTGTACGGGGACGATGTCAGGGCTGTCGACAACTTTGTCATGTCGGTAAGGGTTGCTCAGACCCCTCGTCACGTTGAGATTTTCGAGAAGAAGCTTCTTGAACCCAGTGTTTCTATGTTCAAGGAGCGCAGGGTTTCGGGCTTGTCCCCGATGGGTACACTACCTCTACTGAACCACGACGCCATCGCAGATGAAATTGACCAGCACGTTGCCCGATTGGCAGACAGTGGACATTCTGGCATTTCGTCGGACGATATGGATGTTGATATGGACATGGCCTCCTCATCCGCAGCGTCCAATGCCGGTGCCGACCTCTGCGATCGCAGTGGAAGCATGGGTCCGCCGATCTCAACCAGGAAAAGACAGAGGGAGTCTAGTATGGTTGACGTGTCTCCAGCTGGCGGAAAGACGAGACGCAACAGGATCGAGGAGTCTGCGATGGGTCGTGCGGCACGCAGGGAGGAAGAGAGGGTCAGGCTTGTTCGCGATGCATGGAACAATGCTACTCCGAATGCATCTCAGACGCCTACTCCGTACATGTCGCGGACTCCACAAATCGGCATGCATTTGCCTGCTGCGGCGAGTATGCAGACTCTTGACGTTAATGCCTTCACAAGTGCGTACCAAGAGATCCGCAATGCGATGGAGGAACGCGTACGTGCCGCTCGTGAAGCCTTGAGCAACAACCTTGCATACGATGAGGTTTTGAACAAGAACGAACACAGCGCACCGAGTTTGTCGAGCAGTAATGATAGTGAGATCGCGATTTAGTCGCGCGATTGGAGAGGAGGATGAGGATTGGACGAACATGATCTAGCATGTTTTCACGCATTTGGGGCGTTTATTGGTGTTTTCGCACTTTCTGGGGTATATCTTGAATTATCTTTGGCGGGCGTTATCTGCTGCATCGAGCATATCAATTTCATTGTGATTGATTCTCCATGCGGTATAGTTGCATTCCTTTCGTTTCATTATATCTCTACTCTGGTGAGTTCACTTGGAGGGCGACCTCCTTTTCCCACGACGATGCCAAAGCGCAGGAGCGGTTAACGTAAAGGCAGAAACATGCCCGGCTAATATGAACGAGTAGAATTGGCGGCGGGCCTGATGCCGTTAATGACCCTTTCGTACGATTCTCATCATACGTCATCACTATCACTGCGAGTAATACGATCAGCTCCGGCCTTCTTGCTACCGGATTAGGGTCGCGCAGCTTTTAAATAGGCACCGTACGAGCTCGGGTCTATCGATGGTGAGTCTCTTGTATCTACCAAGGTAACAAAAGCTAATGTGCGTGTATGTCTCTAGCTATTCTACTATACGCATGCCAGTTGACCGTGCAGCCACTTTTGATGAAGATGCCTGTACTGCCAACGAGCAAAAGTTTCGCAAAACCCTTGTCGGACCCTACCAGTCTCTGGATCGAGGACGGACAATGCTAGAAACTCCTTGAGGTTCTGGCGAGCCACACTGTCTCCAGAGCATTGGAGGGTTCTACACTTTCTGTGAACACGAAAGCGTCAATCAGCTTGGCTGGAATCCTCTGAGTGATTCTATTGCAAATGCAAACAGCGACCGCAGTCATGAGCGCCAGTGCCTTTAGGGCTCAGCCGCCTGCCCACCGAAGCGCTATAGGGTGCCTGGGACGCCGGAATCCTCTCAGTGATTCTAGTACCAACGGCGATTTACAAACCAGAAGCATGTCCGGCTTGGGTAACAGGTACCGACAGGCCAGTAGCGTGAGTTAGAGACAGCAGTGAAAACACTTATGGCTTGAACACTGTGCTAAACACACACGACACATTGGGGCGTTGTGGGTGGTTGGTTCTGTTAGTTGGGGGGGGGAGGAAGCTGCTGCGCCTGCGCTGAGTAGTCTCTCACGGTAGGTTGTTGAGCGAGATGAGGTTGTTGGATGTTTTTCAACAAAACCAATTTATCCAAATGACCTGCTGGCCCAATGGTTAAGGCGCTTGACTACGAATCAAGAGATTCCAGGTTCGAGTCCTGGGTGGGTCGTTTTTGTCGACGAGTTTTTACCGAATGTTCAGGAGGAGCCTGGCGAACGTTCGATGGGTGGCCATCGGCTGCGTACTTCGAAGAAATGGTCTGCAAAATCCTCTATTGAACTGTTGCAGGGAGGGGCAGCAAGCCCGCCGTGCCGTGAGAATCGGAAACGTTCACTTCACCTGTGTGTGAACTGAAGAACATTCAGTGCGTCCACCTACCTCTAGCCAGGTTTCGTTACATGAAGCGGGTGCGGAGGGTCTTTGTACCTGATCATGTTCAATCTCTAGATCCATTCTTTGCTACTCTTACAGATGCGTAACCCTAATGCAATGCTGTCTCCCCCATGCACCCAAAACCTTGTGTCTATCTTCTCTTCCCCTTCTTGCCCTTCCCGCCCCCTGCCCCCGGCCCAGAGCCCGTCATATACTGCGGCGCTGCATGACCCGTCCTTTTGATATGCTCAAACAACTGATTCCGACTATCGAATTCCTCCTCACATCGTACACAAACTAACTCGTTCTCCGTCGCCTCCTTCTCTTTTGCTTCTTGTTTTACTTTACGCGCCGCGCGTTTGGCTTTTGCGCCTTTCTTTGCTGCTGTTGGGGTGTCGTCGTCGTCGTCGTCATCATCGGCGGCGGTGGGGGATGAGATGTCTGTAGTGGGGGTGCTGGTGGAGATTCCCACACCGGCGAGGATTCTGGCGAGTTCTTCGGCTGCTTGGTCTTCGTCCTCACTATCGTGTAGAGCAGGTCCCCGCTGCCCCTTTCGTTTCTTTGCTTTCTTGTTCTTCTTTCCTGCTGTTCGAGCGGCGAATTGGTCTACTGAACCGTAGTCTTCGTCTGCTGAGGTTGCGATGCTGTCGAGTGACGTCCGTAGTGGTTCTGCCGCTTCAGGCTCTGGCTTCGCGGGTTCTTCCGGTTCGTCCTCCTCCTCTGATGGTTGTGATTCTGGAGTCTCAACCTCTTGGGCAGCTTCTTCAGCCACAGATGCCTCTTCTTGTTCATCTTCCTCCTCCTCAACATCCTCTTCACTGTCATTCCCTGGACCCGGATGATCCATGACCTCAAAATCCTCAGTCTCCTCAAAGCCAAACGCCTCCGCTTCCTTCTGCATCCGTCTCTTCAACGCCTGTATAGCCTTCACATGCTTCTTACTCTTCTCATGCGCCTCAAACTGATTCTCGCTCTTGAAGCTCTTGTTGCAGGCAACACATTCGTATTCATACACCTCTTCGTCTCCGTAAAACTCAGCTTCCAGCTCAGCTTGGGCGATGGCGTCGTCTTTGGATGATTTCATCCATTCTGGCTCATGGTATGTCCCCAACTTTGCTCTGAAGGCTTCACGATCTTTTGCGGCCTGCGCTTTCGATGCGGCGAGGAGGGCGGCTTGGCGTGCCTTTTCGGACATTTGGGTCGCTTTCTTGTATCGCGGATCACGTTTGCGAATGAAGAGGATGAGCTGACGGACGGTGTCGTTGTATTCTTTACGAGCTGTATCTCTTGCTTTCTTGTTTTCTTTCTCCATTGCTCGGCGAACACGACGGTCCGCGGCGTCGGCGTAGCGGTATTGATCACACCATGAGAAGCTCTTCTCTGTTACGAACCCACCCCATGCTGAGTAAAAGTCCTTTACCTGTGGGTCGAATGACGTATTCGAGTCTCCGAATGAGGGTCGGTTGGTATAATCGCGGCCTTCGTTCCGCGCTGCTGCTTCCTCCTCGCGATCGAGTGTGTCGAATAAAGTTCTGATCCGGGTATAAAAGCCGTAGGGCGAATCGTCCATCTTGGCGTATACAGAGGGGTCAAAGAACTTCATGAGATCAGGTACAGTCGTGCCGGCAATCTCGTAATCATAGTCTCCAGATCCCACATCCTGCCCTCGGAGGATAGCATCACGGTGAGAATCGTACCACGCACGCTCCTGATCATCACTCAGCACATCGTACGCAACCTGAATCTCCGCGAACCGCTCCGTAGCTTCCTCGACATTGCCATAATTCCTATCCGGATGCCACCTTAGGGCAGCCTTGCGGTAGGCCTTTGTGAGCTCTGCAGACGTCGCATCGCGGTCGACGCCGAGGAGCTCGTAGTAACACGTCCTCATAGACGAATGGTCCTTCTGATCGGTACCGTCTGCTGTACTTGATCCCCAATTGCCCATTCGAAAAGGTCCGGGTATATGAGGCGAGGACCTGCAGTACGGGCGGGACTTTACGCTTGGACCCTTGGGTGTTGGTGCACGTGCCCCGGTGTACTCGAGGCTGGTACCGTAGCGGGGGCGAATTCGCAACTTAGCATCGCAGAAACGAGCTTGTCTATGAACGGCCCCAGAAAATACCTCATTGCCGAAATCTGACAGGAGCCTGAGTTGTTCGAATTTCGAATGGCAATATTCGATTCATGAGAATTATCGATCAAGAGGGCTCTCCTTTCATTCAAAGCGCTAGGCAGCCATGAAGGTTTGTATTTGATCTGTCCGTACGCGTCGTGATATCGATCTGTTTGCTAACTGCTTTTTCTAGTTCGGCAAGTCTTTCGAGAGGCAGCTCGAGGAGGAGGACATCCCTGTGGAATGGCGTTCGGCTGCAATTCAATACAAAGCTTTGAAGAAGTGTATCAACAAAGTGGTTTTGGAGCTTTCATCGCTCGGTCTGAGCGCTTCTACGATCCGTCTGCTGCTCTGTCAGGATGGAGAAAAACCTGAAGATAACGGCCTTAACGCTAGGCTGACGTACAGCTTCGACGGCAATATCAAGAGTTTCACACCGAAGATCGTTTTGACCATCGACGGTGATATCCCTGTTACGGCTGATCTGTCACCAAATACTCGTCATTCATTCGAGGAACTCTTGCTGAACCAGCAAGCGCTGAGCGGAATTTCTATTGTGTCGTCTTTCGATCCGCTGACGGCCTCGGCAGAACAGATTGCCGATGCAGAGATGGTTGACGACATTGCCTCCGAACGTGATGTGGAGGCCATCATTACAGAAATCACCGATGAGGAGGCTGCTGCGATGGAAAACGGCCCAGAGACCCCCGCAAGTGAGGAAAGCGAAATGGATTTCGATCATGTTCCCGATAGTGATGAGGGCATCTTCATTACAGACGAAGACTCGTCGTCAAAACCCAGACCCGCAGACATTATGGAAGACGAAGTCGGTGAATCGTCACATCCACACGCCGAGCCACGAAAAATTGAGATCACACTCACCTCAGACTCCGAGTTCTTCCATATGCTCACGAGCGAGCTAGAGAACCTGGAGGCACTGCAAGCGAAACAGAAGGAGACGTTGTCGTTGCAGGTTACTGCTTTGTCGAATTGCTTGACGAAGGTAACGAATCCTGAGACGAAGCGTGGGACGCAGAAGTCCGATCTTTACCCTTGGCGAGAGGTCTTTCGTCTCTATCTTGATGCGGGAGTTTTCTTTGCTGACACAGAACGAGAACGTGGAGAGCGCACGGCGGAGAAGGCGAAGGAACGCTTGGAGTGGTTCGCAAAACAGCTGGAGGATGCTGGGATTGTTGGTCGGTTTAAGCAGGGGTTGTCTAAGCCTATGCTCGATGATTTCTGGAGGATCAATATGGCGATCTTGAGGAACCTGAGGTTTCAAAAGATGAACCACATGGCGATGTACAAGATTTTGAAGAAGTTTGACAAGCGCACGTCTTTGAGGTGAAGCGCAATCCCTTTGCCTATTTACATGAAATACTGACAACGTTTCACAGTGCACGCACTACGTTTCCTGAACTCATTGCCGCCGACTCAACCTTCACGCAAAGCATGGCTCAAGCGATCTGTTACACCATGTCCACGAACCTCCTCTCCATCATCCCGCAGCTTGACGATTACATCTGCCCAATCTGCGCCTCGATCACGATGAAGCCCGTCCGTCTCCCTTGCTCGCATGTTTTCTGCGTTCGCTGCCTTGTCAAGCTCCAGCGCGAGAAGAAGAAGCAGTGCCCGATTTGTAGACGAGACGTCGTGATGTTGGCCGATTCGTCCAATATCGATTACAGTTTGTTGAACTTCTTGAAGCTGTACTTCCCAATTGAGGCGAAGCAGAAGCAGGTCGAGAACGAGAAGGAGGTGGCGGTGGAACAGATGGAGAGGATGGGCATGGCGCCGGGACAGCAAGGGAAGTGCGTGGTTATGTAGGACGTGGACGTGATAGTCGCCGACTTTTGGATACCCTTTTACTAGTAATCTTTGGGGTTGGGCGTTCTTGGATTTCTTGGATGTACGAAAAGTCATATAGAATATGATATTGGTTCTTGCTACATGAAACGCAGCTCAAGCTTGGACTTCTTGATTATATCTTGGATACTAAGAAACGCCAGATGTACTACATCCCACAAATGACAAATTGAGAGAAGATATCGAACTCGTCTACATGAAGCGCCACTTCCCATAGCCAGCGGGAGCCGGGCCCTCATCATCAACATTCACGTCATCCCCAGGCTGCGGTTGCTTCGGCACCACATTACCTCTTTCCCACTTCTTGTTCGCCCACATAGGACCACGAATTGGTTTTAGGTCTCCCTCCTCCTGGAATTTATGACTCCGGTATACCAACTTCCGCACCAACGACGTGGCATACAAGTCTTCCGCTTGCTTTGCCTTTATATACATCGTTGACAGGTCTTGAGGCGTCCAGATATATTGCCATTCACAGGAACGAAGCAGTCGTGTCGCTTCCTCCAGTTCATTGCAACGGGCCAAACCGTTGACCATCGTTCTCACGGCCGCAAAATCATGCGTCTTTCTCATTTCGAGGTATCGAGGATCATTTCCGAGATTCGTTACATGCGCGAGAGCCTGGTCATTTTCATGGTGTTTCTTTCCAGGTCTTTTAGGCGATGACGATTCCCGAATTTCTGTCTTGACTCTTCTACGCCATACACTGCGCTCTTCCCAAACTTGGCGAAGGAATTTCAGATCCCTTGCCTGGTAAGCCGCTTGAAGAGCAGTCTGGAACGTATAACCGTTTCTCGGGGGCTTAGGATTTCGGTTTCCTTCCTCGGCCTTGCCTTGCTCAGCTGTCTCGTTCTGCTCCTCGCTTGTGAAGAATTCCTCGTAGTACCGCTTCAAAGATGAATGATCCTGAAAATTGAGCGGGATCGCGAGGACAGTGTTGAGCAGGTGCGTATCCACGTCTTCAGGACGGTGTTTCCGGAGATAGGCGAGCACGTCCCAAGCCTCCTTAATCACATCTTCTGAGGAACGCAACTCAGAGTATGGCAAAAAAGGAATAGCGCGTGGGTTATCCGATATCTCCGATTCGCTCAGCTGAGGAACACTGGAAACATCCTCATCTGAAGTGGTCCGCTCATGAATTGTATTCCGTAACTTCCGATTCGCCATTTTACCGTCCCTCTTCCACATGTAAAAGTTCGCATAAGACCGAAACAGATGCTGGAAGGTATAGACATCAAACGCCTCTTCGATCTTCTGCGTACTGTTCGCCATCTCCATCACTAACTGTCTCGCTTTGCTGAGGTCTCCCACCTTGCCACAGGCCTGCAACAAGCCATTACACGCATGCCTGTTAAGTTCGAACCCCGCCTCGCGCATCTTCTCCGCCATAAGCCAAGCCTCAGTGTAGTAATCCTTCCGGGACGCATACGCGTGAATAATTGATGCAAAAGTCGTCGCATCTGGCTTCAAGGGGTTCTGAGGGCGGGTCTGAAGTTCCATGAAGAGTTCTTCTGCGCGCTCGGCTTCCTGTCTGATAGAACATGCGTGAATCATGAGGTTGTACGTCGTAAGGTCCGGCGCGTCCTGTTGGCCCTTGTACTTCATGAAGTCGAAAATTTGCTGTGCTTCTTTCAAATGCTTTGAGCGCACACATGCTGCGATGAGCGTTGTATTGATTTGTCGGTTGGGCTCGACTCCAGCGGCCCGCATTTGGTTGAAAATTCTCGACGTAGTGCCGATATCTGCTACCTCAGCGAAGGCTCTAAGAAGGTGATGATAAGTGTGCAGCGTTGGAGAATGTCCCTTTTCCAACACTTCCGCGAAAAGGTTGACGGCCTCTTCTGTCTTTCCCAACTTGGCTAATCCGTCCAGAAGAAGATCGTATGTCAAAACATCAGGCCGAACCTCAGCTTCTTTAAGTTGATCCAATATTTTGGGCACAAGCTCTCCTCGCTCGCTTTGCGGGATCCAGTGAACGAACCTGTTTATCTCATAAATCGACAGACCCTTATATCCACCATTCGCCTGGAAATCCGTGACGGTGGCCGCCCAATCCCGTTTATGGTCCGCGCTGATGGTGAGTGCCGTGCCGTGTCCCAACCTCTCAACCACGGCCGCTGGCAGCATTCGTGCTGTTGCAGACAAAGCAAGTTTTGCGTCGTCACTACTGTGCGTTGGAGGCGCCATCAGTTGCTCGAAGAACTGGTCATAGTCGTCTTCCGTGATAGGATTTGCTTCCGCCGCAAGTTTCGCCGCCCGCGCCTTCTCCGCCTTCGCCATTTGCCATTGAAGCTCCGAAACTTTCGATTCTAACAATTTGATTTCGAGCAACAGCTTAGATCCCTTCCTTCCTTTCGAAGAAGAAGATGCGGTGAACGCACGAGACTGGCCTTGCAGATATAATAAGAAGTTGAAGGCTCCTGCGGCTCGGAGGAGACCTACTCTTGATTTCGACAAGGAAGACGCCCTAGCACATCTTCCGATTGCGGTCGACATCTGATTTGTGTCGTTTTTGGGACTTTGCCGTTGTCGTCGTTACAGTGCTTCCAAGGTTGTTTCTGTGAGGCCGAACTTTCTGTCGACTTTTAGCAGCTGTTGCCAAATATAGCACATCACGTGACGATAAGAACGCAGCTGCACTGAAGGACATGAACCCACAGCATATAAGGGTTGCAGTTGTAACAATCAAAGATTCATTCCGAGATCGTCCACAAGAGTCACTACAGCATACAAAGCACACAGAAGAAGAATGTGGAAAGTTGATGACAGAGACATGGACGAACAGCAGACTTCAATTCTGGATATCAAACAAAGATCCCCAAAAAATCCAACCACACATCCCGCCCAGCCAGCTACACGGTTTGGTAGCAAGGGAAAGCAATTACGCTTAAGCCTTGTTCTCGAAAGCGTAGGTAAGACCGCACTTACCACAGTGCTGACGGTCCTTGTGGAAGGCCATGAAGACACCTAAAGTAACAATCAGCATCACATTCACATCGTAATTACATCGGCATTAAACGTACCAGCACCACAGGTAGGGGCAGGGCACTCGCGGCGAAGACGCTGGATCTTGAAGTCACCGTCGACCTTGTAGTACTTCAAGATAGCAAGCTTGACCTTCCTGTGCTTGTGCTTGATCTTCTTGGGGGTAGTGTAGGTCTTCTTCTTGCGCTTCTTGGCACCACCGCAAAGACGGAAGACCAAGTCGATGTTGGACTCCTTGGTGATACCGTAGGAGGCAAGAGTGGCGGCATCCTCAAGGGACTGGCCAGAGAAGACGAGACGCTGCTCCTCGGCGGGGAAGCCGGCCTTGGCCGCGATCTGGGCCTTGGCAGCGGAGACGGAGGTAGAAGCCTGTAATCAATGTGTCAATTAATCATCCTTGACGGCAAAGAGTCGCTCGCCACGTAGCGACGAAAAGTCACTGAAACAAGCGAGAAATGAGAGAAACATACCTCAACGTCGAGGGTGTAGGTACGGTCAGCACGAACGAAGATCTGCATTGTTAGTCGGACGCTTTCTCAGCAGCTGTTTCGATGCCTCTTCAAGAGCGTAAGGAAACATCAGTGCTGCGGCGCCGGAAATTTCAAAGGGGTTGCGCGCGGGGGCGTGGAGCACGTGACGGAGAGGGTTTGACCTCCAACCCAGTGCAGGGTTGATTTGAGACAGGGAAAAGCCTCGTATAATTGAAATTGTTCTGTTCAAAAATGTTCCAAAATTCAACTTGGTATATCAGAAGGGGTCGACACGGCAAGGTTGCAGCCATGACATCACGAGGCACTTAAAGTTGGAAGGCATGTGGAGCGAGCCAAGAATAAACACTACACCAGCTGCAGAAGGATACCAACAGCATACATCCAGCTCTTTAGCCATCTTCAATCGTTGAACAAAACTCACAATGGACTGCTTCTTCGTATGTCATTAGCCTTCGCGTTCACGAGGGAGCGCTTGCTAATGCATGCTGCACAGCTCCCAATCTGTTGCCAGGTCACTGACCAAAACCCTTGCCGCATTAAGATTGTCGGCCCAACATTGGGTTTCATCATTGGTATCTGTGCTGCCATCATCTGCTGGCCACTAGGTTCGTTTTACCCTTGAGAGGAACGAAAGACGAGACAGACTTACAGTGAAATGTAGGATTGTTCGCGTGTATCTTCTGTATGCGCGATTCCGGAAACAGGCTGTTTGGGTATCCAGTGAGCATTAATGCACAAGTGTCGAATGCTATACCGTTTTAGAGGAGTGCTGACGGGCAAGGGCGGATGGTGAGAAGAAACGGAATGGCCAAGGAGGAACTAGACGTTGCGCAGCGAATCCCAGAACTGCCAAGGAGTTTGAAACACAGTTCAAGGGCTATACGAGTATGGTTATGATAGCGGTCTTGCTTTCCACAGGCGTTTAATGAGGTATCCTTCGGTAATAACACGTTAACCCAAGTTGAGTTAAGCACGGGTGAGTTTTCCCCGCGCTCTTGGTTGCTCCGCCTCTGCAAGAACCCGCGAACCGAGATTGTGCTGCACTTCAAAATCCACATCCTGAACGCGACAACCAACACCGACCCCACCCCCACCGTTCGACAGTCATTCTCTTAGATAACTGTCTTTAAAGGGTCAGCAAAATGATCCGCCGATCGCGTTTCCTTTACGTCTTTGGCGCGGCGGTCCTGTTCTTGATCTTCCACTCCGCACGCACTTCCTACGACGCAAGCTCCTCCTTCCAATGGCCGCTCGAGCCCGGGCATGCACCGCATCGTCCGCCACAGCATGGAGGACCGAAGGGTCCAGTAGTGTTTGACGATGAGGATCTCGCGTTCGGTGAAGGCGTGGGCGACGGTTTGGATAATGATGATTACGGCATGGGCCCGCCCGTGGTCCAGCCTCCGCCGCATTTACTTCCGGGGATCGGGAGCGGTGGTACGCAGCCGTTACCGGTGGATATTGAGCCCGTTATACCTGGGCAGGAGAAGTATCCCGTCCCCAGTGGATCCGTGATTTCGCTTCCTACAGCCGCAACAAAGGCTCTCCCTCATGTGCAGCATGTATTCGAGGCGGAGACTGAGGCCGAGAAGATTGAGAGGTTAAAGAGGCGCGAGGAGATCAAGACAGTAATGGTGAGGGATTGGAGTGCGTATAAGAAGTATGCATGGGGTCACGATGAACTTGCGCCAGTCACCAACACGCCGAAGGATCCGTATGCTGGTTGGGCGGCGACTATCGTTGATGCGCTCGATACGCTGATCATCATGGATCTTGACGATGAGTATGAAGCCGCTAAGCATTTCGTAAGCGGACTAGACTTCTCTTCGAGCAGGGCGCAGTTCATCCCGGTCTTTGAGACTACTATTAGGTATCTCGGTGGATTATTAAGCGCGTATGATCTTAGTGGCGGGAAAGATAAGGTTCTCTTGGAGAAAGCTACAGAGTTGGGAAACATGCTTATGGGCGCGTTTGACACCCCTAACAGGATGCCGATCCTGAAGTACGACTGGCGGAATGCACCCTCGCAACGTCTCCGCTCCGAGACGAACGCGGTGGCTGCCGAACTTGGATCTTTGACTCTCGAGTTTACTCGTTTGGCTCAGCTGACGGGACAGGATAAGTTCTTTGATGCTGTGCAGCGGGTTACGGATTCGTTGGAAGTCTTCGCGAAATATAACTCGTCCATCGAGGGGTTGTTCCCGTTGAGGTTTGACGCGAGTGGCTGTAGGCTACACGGAGGCGAGGAGGAGATCAAGACTCCTCTTCCACCTCCGCCGCCTCCGGCTGGGGTGTTCGCGAAGACGGAAGATGATGTCAAGGCAGAGCAAGGGATGGGTCGTCTTGTGAAGCGTCTGAGTGGGCATGCACCCGAGTGGCCAAGCGATGCAGAGAGGAAGGCAGCCGGCTATGGAGACCTCGCTCCCTTCAACGGTGCCAAAGCCGCTACTGGACCAGAGTTCTCCTCCAACAAGCACATTCCACAGCGTAAGGTTGGTACGGGAGCCGGTAAAGGGAACGGTGAGGGTGCGTTTTTGCCGCCTTCTTACCCTGTGAACAAGAAAGTCCAGTGCGAGGAAGTTGGATTGAGGGCGTGGGGCTCATCGCAGAAGTACTCCGTGGCGGGTATGATTGACTCCTTGTACGAATATTTGATCAAGGAGCATGCATTGCTTGGGGGTGCCGTTGGTCAATATGCTGCCATGTACACGACCGCCGTGGAAGCGATCAAGGAGAACATTCTGTTCAAGCCTGAATTCTCCGATAACGCGAATGTTCTCCTCGCGGGACAGGTCACTATCAACCCGAACGAAGGCAAGAGATCATTCCAGCCCGAAATGCAGCACTTGACGTGTTTCATTGGCGGAATGTTTGGTCTTGGTAGTAAGTTGCTGGGGAGGGAGGCTGATCTCGCCATCGCGGAGAAGTTGACGGAGGGTTGTGTGAAGGGTTATGAGGTGATGGAGACGGGGATTATGCCGGAGATCTTTCTGGCGAAATACCAGGGGAGTCCGATGACTACTACCAAGAAAGATAAGCTGGCGGAGAAGACTGAAGGTGCGAAACTCGACGTCGACGAAGCTAAGGCTGAGATGAAGGAGGTCAAGATAGCCATCGGTGCCGGTGCCGGTGCCGTAGAGGGTCGTGAGGCACCGAAGAACGCCACAGCAGGTACTACAGAGGAAAGCACAGAGGACACGTGGGGCTCTGCCCTTCACGGCAAGGTCGAAAAGGACAAGCGTGCTCTGGTTGACTTGTCGCCTGACATGGACCTTACTTCGCTGACTGACGACGAAGTCCGCTCCATCTACGCAGAGTACCAGCAAGCCGCCCAAGATGACATCGCCACCAAAGCCCAGGCCAAGAAGCAAGGATCGCAACTGGGCCCCCCTACTTTCAAGACCACTTCGAATGCGAACGGAGAAGTGGAGCGGATCGTGGACCCGAAGTACATCCTAAGACCGGAGGCGATCGAGAGCGTGTTTTACATGTGGAGGATCACGGGCGACAAGAAGTGGAGGGAAAAGGGGTGGAAGATGTGGAAGGCCATGTAAGCTGAAAAAGAGTTTCCTCGCGGGCGGTAGCTAACTTCTTCTTACAGTGAGACAGCAACGCGCTCGAGCACAGCACATTCGGCCATCTCCAACGTTGACAACAAGACCCCGGTCTTGACGAACTCTATGGAATCATTCTGGTGGGACATGTGACTCTTGTACACTTTGGGATCTTCGCTAATCAATTTGCATAGGTTCGCTGAAACGCTTAAGTATTTCTATCTTCTCTATTCTGAGCCGAGCTTGATCTCGCTGGACGAGTATGTGCTCAACACTGAGGCTCATCCGTTAAGAAGGCCTGTCGTTTAAGACAGCTTTAGAATCTTATATGATTGTAGAAAGATACAATTTCAAGACTTCTGACTGAATAAATCATTGGCTTGCGATTTATTGTTTACGTACAGTCGTAGTATCTGGCGTCGCCGCTGCTGCCGGATTAGGCGTGGGAACATAGTCCGACCAAATCGTTAGGGGGAACGGTTTTCATATACCCATCCCAATCCTCCCCGTCCAACTAGATCATCACAGTGCACTTTGCGGTTATTTTTGAGTATGAAGTCTGTGAATGTTGTGAGTTTCTCTTCTTGAGAAGCTCTCACTGCTACACCTTCCGCGTCAAACCGTCTCCCTAAGTTCTAACGGTGAGATGGGGAAGGAGAAGTCGAAAGAGTAATTTTTTGTTTGTTTGATAGTCGTAGCTCAGGGGGTTCAGTCAGTATTCAGTAGACGCTCGAACCTCTTCGACGACTGAAGTGTATATAGGAGCGCGGATTATCCCCACGGCCAGAAGCCATAAGAATATTCTCAATGTGCGGTAGGTATAAAGGATATATTCGCCTAACTCAATGCCATACATCCCTATCATACAACGCGCACCTCGCACGGATACCTCACTCAACGAACTCACCGTTCTTCTTGTGCCAATCTTCGATAGACTCCTCTCCATATGTGTCAAAGACCTGCTTCTTCCCTTCCGGCCAGCGGACATAGGAAGGTTTAGAGGACTGCATGATGCAGTACATCTCTTCTGGCAGTTTGAGCTCAGGTTCATCGATGGCCGAGGCGAAGGGGTGGATCAGTTCGGGCCTGGGATCGGCTAGTTAGTCCACCCGCATATACATGTTAGAGATCTGTGAAGTACCAGCGATGATCCCAGAGCCAGAGCATGGAAGAACAATTTCCACAGAAGCTACGCTCCGAACTGGCATGCTTCTGATCTGGCGTGTCACGATCCAAAACCGCCTGGTAAACCTTGATGTGCTCCTTGCCCTGGATGATTTTGAGCCCAGAGTTGTCCGCACCGAGGTTGATTGAGCCACCGACTCCACCGACCTGCTCGTGCGTAGTGTTGTCAGCAGGCATGACCATCAAGGTGCTCGTTCCCAGTTACGCACCTTACGGCAGATGGAGCAAGCGCACAGTTGGTACGGAACCGGCGTTTTCGACTCCATCGTAAAGCGGACAAGACCGCAGTGACATGATCCCTTAAGCAAAACCGGCATTCTTGTGTAGAACTCGTCGAAGTTGTTACTTGTCAGACTGCTTCATCTCCTCTGAACTGATCTCCGTGATGACGTTTTGCCTGTTATCGACAACCCTGCGTGCAAAGCCTGGCTACTGCGCCCGTGAGACTCTAGGGCTACTCCGCTCGTAACTTTAAAAAGGGCACGTATACGCGACACAAACAACCACATAAACTGCCCGATTTCAACCTGAAAATGGTGTGCAAACATACGAAGGACTTGCTGAAGGAGGCGGGGAAGCCGGCGATGCAGGCCTTCAATAACGCGGCGGCGGTGATGGCTTTGTATAGCGTAAAGGATTCGAAGAGGATGGAACGGGTATGTCGTCCTCTGCTCGCTGATCCGAGGACTCTTTGCTGACTGTGTATTTCTGTGAGATAGGCGAGTGTATTTCAGAAGTGTCAGGTTTGTCAGGACCCGCTAAAACGAACCTTTACCTGTCTGCAATGTCCATTTGTCGGGTGTTTCCGCGGTAAACATGCCGAGGCACACGCAAAGAAAGTTGGACACCTTTTCGGTTAGTATGTCATACGGAAGTTCAGTCCATAAGGCTTATATTCGCACTGCAACAGCGTTCGATTTCGCAAGTGGACAGCTCTATTGCTGGGCTTGTCAGGACTACGTCTACGTTCCCGTCTTTGACAAGATCCGCAAGGTCAAGGAGACTGCCGCCGAGAACCGCGTTGCCAAAAGACACGCAAGTAGGTCATATTTGCCCCCCTACGATGCCCACGGGTTAACACATTGTCATACAGACAGCAAACGCGTGAAATTAAACGACTGGGAACCTACATCCGAAGAGCTTGCAAAGATCAAAGAGAACACAAAACCACCCGCATGTCAAGGTAATCTTCTCACCACCTAAACCCCCATATTACTATGAACTCAATCTCGTCTGCTTCCAGCTTCTGGACTACGCGGAATACAGAACCTGGGAGCTACGTGCTTCATGAGCGTCGTACTACAGAGTTTGATCCACAACCCGCTTATACGGAATTACTTCCTGAGTGAGAGGCATTCAAAGCGGATGTGTGGGAGGACGCATTGTGTTTGTTGTGCGATGGATGCGATCGTCTCCGAGGTTTGTAGAATTACTTCTGAAATGACAACGATCACGGTGGCTTACAAGAAGGACGTGCACAGTTCTTCTCATCCGCGACGGAGGACATACAATCTTTCGGCCCGTCGTCCTTCCTGGCTACGATGTGGCAGTCCTCAACCGAACTCGCTGGATACGCCCAACACGACGCCCACGAATTCCTCGTAACCCTCCTCAACCAAATCCACCTCCACACACCCACCCACACAAACAAAGGCCACTGCCACTGCATCGTGCACCAGACCTTTGGCGGCGTCCTCAACAACCAAATCACCTGCGGAAACTGCGGGAACGTGAGTGTTGCGAGAGATCCGATGATGGATCTCAGTTTATCGATCGCGAGTAACGGGGTACCGACGATCGACGGGGAAGGTGTGACGTTGAGGGATTGTCTGGAGCGATTTATGGGGAATGAGAAGTTGGGTGCGGAACATCGATGTGAGAAGTGTGGAGCGCAGGAATCGACGAAGCAGATGAGCATCAAGAAATTGCCGCCTGTATTGGGTGTACAACTAAAGGTATGGTAGTACTTGATCATGTGTGATTCAGCTAACACTATCATCTTACAGCGTTTCGAACACTCCTCGCTCTCATCAGGAAAAGTCGACACCTACGTCCGCTTCCCCATCCAACTCGACATGCTCCCCTACACCACCCGCGCCCACAACTCCCCCGAACACCCCCTTGACCCGGAGAGCGGTATGTACGACCTCTTCAGCGTCGTCTGCCACGTCGGACAACTCAACACAGGTCACTATCGCAACTTTGCCCGAAGTGGAGACAACTGGTTCCTGTTTGATGATCATATGGTAACGGCGGCGACGGAGGGGCAGGTTACGAAGAGTCAGGCGTATTTGTTGTTTTATGTTAAGAGGAGACTGGAGTTTGCGGATATTCAGGAGGCTTGAGAGAAGCGCATGTGTGGTAGAAGGGGGAGTTGGCGATGATGGTGCATTTTTGGAATTTAGGCATGGCATGGCAAAGGCGTACAGCTGATCATAGAAGCATTTGAATAATATATTGGTTGCATTTTATGTGCCTTGTTCCACAGCACGGGATGTTCCCAAAATAAAGGCTATCGAACCTGCTTCGAAGTCGGCTCTCAGTTATCGAAATTCCCCTCAAACTCCTTCAACTTCCCCGTCTTGATGTACTCCTCCCCCATAATCTGCAACCTCACAGAACTACTCCGCATAGCCGGCCCCTCAATCCCCTTCCCAGCCTCCACCCACCCCCCAACAGCAAGCCTAATCATCTTATCCCCCTGCTTCCCATACACCCTCACAAACTTTTCTCCCGCAATATCCATAAACATCGAATATATCGCCGGAGACGCACTAGATTGTGGTGGCTTATTGAGGAGTCTCGCCATCCATTTCCACGAGGCGGAGAAGGGGAGTAGGTTGGGTTGGTTGTTCCAGAGTTCTGTTTGGGTTGTTGCGATGTAGGTTGCGAAGATTCCGCACATGCGTTCCGTGTAGGGTGATTCATCTTCCCATTTTCCGTCCTCGAAGCGTTTGATGCCGTTGAGCTTCATATCCCCCTCTGTCCGTCCTGTTCGCCAGACTGGGACGACAAATGGGCAATTCTTCGCGAAGCGAGCCATGAAGAGTGGGAGGAGTTTGGGGTGTTTGCTGAGCATGTGTGCGCAAACGTAGGCGAGTGGGTATGCTGTTGCTGGCGCGACAGCCACCTCGGTTTCTGCTTGCTTCACCACGGACTTTGAGAAGAAGTTGAGGAGCCAGAGGTAGACTATCTCTGATACACCTTCGGCCTCGAAGAAAACGTTCTCAATCGCCCCGATGACAGCCAGGATTTTTTTACGGGATTTTGTTAGTTGCCCAAGCTTCGGCGTGATTTGTCTTTTTGCTTTGAAACAGAACGTTTTCCACTCTTTAGTTTCCGAAACTGGTTTCAGAACCTCCACCTTCAGTCTTTCGATCACAGCCAGATGTGCGTCAGCTTCCACAGACACATCCGCAGGCTCGAACGCCTTCAGCTTCTTTTCTTGCTCCTTCATCTTCGCTTCTTGCTCCTGACGTGCACGCTCAAGCTTCGCGGCTTCCGCATCCGCAGCTTGCTTCTGTGCCATCTCCGCCAACTTTCTGTTTTCTTCTTCTTTCTTCTTTGCTTCCTCCTCTTGTTTCTTCTTCTCTGCTTCCAGGCGAGCTTTCGTGGCTCTGTCCGCTTCCTCCTTTGCTTTGCGTTGTCTTTCGACCTCCTCTCGCTCCCTTCTCGCTTTCTCTTCAGCTTCGTATCTTTTGGCATTTGCGATTGCGAACTCGATCCGGTCCAGCATCTCTTTGTTTCTCCTCTCGAGCTCACCCTGCGTCTGCTCCACGCTCTCCTTCGCTTCCAGTTCCAAGGAGGTCATCATTTTCGTCGCATCCGCCAATTCCCTCTTGACGGTGTCTGCATGTGCTTTCGTCGCATGATGGGACCATTGTGTGACAAGTGAGAGCGTACGGGAGACCTCTTGAGATTTCTGCTGAAGAGCCGAGAGCACAGAAGCTTTGTTGTGGGGATGGTAAGGCGACAGATGCTCGCCCAAATCGGGTATCGCGTGTTCATCCTCGCTATCTGAACGTCCTTCCGCAGCCGGTGCGGCAGACGCAGCAGGTGTAGAAGTCACAGCAGCTTCGTCAACCTTCTTCTGCACCATTGGAGTCTTCTTCGCTATCGCCGGCGCTGGCGTAACCGGTGCACTCTTCTTAGCAACCGCCGGTGTCTTCGGCGCATCATTCACCGGAAACTCTTCCTCCTCACTGTCATACACATCACTGAAATAAAACTCATCGTCCCCGTCAATCAATGGCTTCGGAAGTACTTGGCCTAGCCGTGAGGGGGTTGACGGGACGGATCGTGCTGAACGTGGGGCGTTTTCGTCGCGGTAGGGAGAGAACCTCATCGTTCCGTGAAGCACTTGCCGGTTCTCAGGAGCTACAGCAGCTCGGAACTGGGCGGATACGGAGATCGAACGGGACTGAATGCTCCAATGGAGTTCTGTTTACCGCCGCTGCTCTGGGATCGGGCGCTGCAGGCACAGGCACCGCACATCAGGGGCAACGTGCGAAGTTGGGGATATGATGGGATTGCTGTTCGAATTCAATGTTGTTCTGCCTACAGTCTAACGTGATACAGAACCCTAGATCTCTCTCTATTTTTCAGCAGAGGCAGCCGCAGTGGTAGTCTCAGCGCTGTATCAGTTTGTCAACATGCTTCTTGGGTAGCAAAAATTGGAGAAGCTGATACATACCTCGCCTGAGCAGCATACTGAGCCTCAAGCTCCTCCATATAAGTCTTCGGACGCCGAGGATCAGCTTCCCTCGGCCTCGCAGCAAAATCCCAGTGCATGTAGTCAGCTGGGATAGCTGAGGTATTAAAGGCGCGGGGTGCGTACTTGGCGGTTGATTGAACAGCGGAACGGAGCATCGTTATCGTGAGAACTTAGAGTCAAGCGGATGGAGACAAGTCAGGACGGCGGAGGGGGGATGCTCGTTATATAGACGAAACAGTTGGCAAGAAAGAAGGAAATGATCCTCGGGTATCTAAGATTGACGTTCCATATGGGGATTCCGGAAGGGGGGGCCGCTGACATCGAAGCGCATTAGTAAGATTGAACATGCACTCCGCCATGAACCCGGTCGTGGGGGATTGGAGATAAGCACGACAACGAGGAGTAATAATGTGTAAGTTATGTTGATATGGAAAAGCAAGGATGAAAAACGCCAATAACCCAAAGAAAACTCCTTCACGTCTCGCTATCTCCGGCCGCCTGCCATGCCAACTTACAGCTGCCAGAGCCTTAAATCAAATCGAAATATCGTACACTCGTCAAACTGCAATCAAACCCATAATCTCGGGCAGGCAATCACTGCATCCTGTTCTGACCCGAAGACTCAGTCTTCTCCGGAATAATATCAACAATCTTCTCCAAACTGCGCCACTCACAATTAGCACCCCATCCTCAAACTCATCTCCTCCCGACGGGGACGACTCACGTTGACTTATCCTCAATCGTACCCTTCAAGCTCGGGAAGAACGCCGAAGCAGAAGCGTTGTTCATCATGGGAGCCGCGGAGGCAGTGGCCTGCTGAGCCTGTGTGGATCCGGAGATTCCACGAGTGGCGGTGCGGATAGAGCGGATGGCGGAACGGGCGAACATCGTGTGTGTGTAGGTAGTGAAAGTTGTGATTGGTAACGTAAGCAGTAAGCTTGGTGAGGGGGCAACTGGATCGATGGAAACGACTGTTGATGGAGCATCGTGACCTCCAACCCACGAGCCTTTATATTTTGTGGGGCCCCGGATCTAACCTCCGCCTATCCGGCCCACGCCCGGTGGGCCGCCGGAAGACAACTGGAGACCATTGACAAATCAAAAAAGAGAATTAAACACAGAAGGTTGGGCTTAACTAAAAGCAGTTTTCGTATTTTTGACGTAATAAAGAAATTGATGACCAAAACGCTAACCATGGTATTCCATATCCCTCCTGACTATCCCTCCTGACTGCATAGCTACCTAATGCTTCTCATGAACGTTGACTTTCTTTACGCTACATCCTTTCCTTTTCCTTTCAAAAACATCATTCCGGCTCTCTTCAACATGCCTTGCAACGCGAACCTGACCTCCAGTCCTAACTCCCTGTTCAACAACGCCACGCCGAGCGGGTACAACGTGGAAAGGTGTCGCTTGAAGTCCTCATCCGAGAACTGTGTGTATCCCGTGAGAATCTCGACAACAACTGGTCTCCACGCCGCAATATGTCTCTGTTCAGTCTCTTCGTCCAATGCTGAGTACCCTTGCACGATATCGATCGATAACGGCAAAAGTGCTTCCTCGACGTTATCCTTCGACTCGACACGATCTGGGTTGGTGTCGTTGTACATCCTCAACAACACCGCGATGTACGTCGCAGCACTACTCGATTCCTGCTTCAACAAGTTCGGTAACTGCTTCATGAAACCAATCTTCCACAAATGCATCCGCAACTCCTTATCATTGTTGAATTTGCGTGCGAATTGAAAGCTCTTTCTCAGAACTTGCATCAGGTTCAACAACTCCGACGACGGAATCATGCTGTAAACGTCGTCATTCTCGAGGAGCTCGGCGACGGTGTCGATCAAGAGGAGCTGTAGAACACATTTGACGATGATCTGCTTGAACTCCTTCTTGCGATTGGCGCTGACAGTAGGTGAAGCATCCGCAGGTCGAGAGAAGTTCTCGAGGTCCTTCTCGTCAGCCTTGCTGATACCCAGGTTCACTTCGCCATCACCTTCGCCTTCACCCTGACCCTGCCCAACACCAGAGATACGAAGATCACCTGGGTTGCTCTCGTTCGCGATCGCATTGGCTTCCTCAGCAGCCTTTCCGTGCGCGAACAGCTGGTAGGCAGTAGTCGTATCGAACAGCGAAACGAAAGTACCCACAATTTTAGCCCAGTGCTCCTTCTGAAGCTTGTTTACACTCTGGATGATCAACTGCTGCAGACAGGACGTCCCAATCCGAGCAAGCGTATCGTTCTCTTGGCAGATACAGGATACGAGCAACTCCAACAGTCCTTCCAACATGTGCTCAAGGGTGCCGAAGTAGTGCGTAAACAGTGACACGAGGTTTCTCAGAGCCTGGATCATCGTAGTAGATAACCAGACGCTCATGTCCTCCTGAGTGTTAAACTTGGCCATCTCCGACTTTGACTTGAGTGCGATAAAGATAGGGAATAGAAGCTGACGACAGACAGTATCCCAGAACTCGGGAGTGAAATCACCGCCGTACTGCGTCAAGGTATCGAAAAGGTACCTCAGTGCTTTTGAACGGACTTCAAGGTCCTCTCCAGTCATGAGAATGTCGTGGAAGGCAAACAGAATAGGGTACCAGAACTTGACCATGGGATCCTCCGTGTTGGTTCTCTCTGCCTCCTTGGACGGTTTGTAGTCCTTGCTCAAGGGGCATTCGGGCGAAACGAGCATGTTCGGAATGGTAGCCTTAAGAGCCTCAAGCGCTTGCAAGCTAAGCTTCTGGAACCGTTGGTTCTTTGCCACTTCGCTCAAACATACCACCAAGTCCTGGAAGCTGCCTTGGGCGATGATGACACCCAACTTTTCTCGGTAAACACGCTTGACGATATCGAAGGTGAAAGTAGTGACCGACTCCTGCTGCTCCTTCGCCGCGAAGCTGAGCACGCCAAACATGGTTCTCCATCCAGACTTAATGTTCTCCGACCGTGCCTGCACCATCTGGAGAAGACACCTGAGAATCATATCCTTCACGTCAAGAGTCTCTGTGTGAGACATAACGTACTCAAATGGCTTCAAGAAATCCTTCTGGAACTTGAACAAAGGCAACTCCTCAATCTCCAAGAAGCGCATCGACAATTGTCTCAGCGAGTCAAGAGCAAAGAATGCCACGTTCGTATTACGATGGCAACCGACTTGGTTGAAGTGCTCACCAAGGACAGCCCAGATGTTCGACCATTGCATCCTGATACGACCCATGTTGTAGTAAGAGATTTCGACCACCTTCTGCAAACTGAACATGCGAGGGTTGTCGGTATGGCCCGACGACTGGATTTCCTCCCAGGACACTTCACTCAACGCCTTGACGAAGTCCACGATCGCCTCACCAGTAAGGAGGGCACTGTTTGTGAAGATCTTGTCAACGGCGATGGTAACCTCAATGGATCTGGTCTCTTCAGCAACTTCTCTTACATAGCTCAAGGTCGAGTTGGATCGTGGTCGCGTCACCGCTGCTCTTGACAATTGCATTGATGCTCGTGGACGACCGGAATCACCTGATGTTCGCTGTTGAGGTCGTGCTCGGCTCACCTCGGGGATAGCAACTGCGTCAACACCAGAACTAATCAACTGGAACCGCTCAAGCTGGCTCACACAGAACAAGACGTCCTTCCATGATCCCCGGAGGTTGTTGCCCTCGGTAAGAGCAATGTCTAACAATGCCTTCATAGCTTCCACATTCTTGAACCGCATCTCACCGAGGTTGTTCAAGTGGGTGAAGTTGGCCAACGTGGTTACGAAAGCATTGCGGGCAAGCTCAAGATCGAAAAGACAAACAATGCGGATGGCATGCTTGAAGCCCTCCATGCAGACCTGGATAGTTTCGAGAGAATCATTCTCCTGCATGCAAGAGGACAAGGCAGCCAACATGGGCATCCATGCAACCTCGAACATAGGTCTGACATGCTTGAAGTGAGAAGCGCTGTAGAAAGTCGCCGGCGACTGAGACTTGCCTCGTCTTTGCTCCCTAATGAGGTTCTTGAACAGTGCTTCCGTCTTGTTGGCCATCTCCTCAGATGCAAGAACATAAGCTTCTCTCTGTAGGTCACGACCAACAGTTGCCAAAGCAGTGCTGATATTGGCGGCAAAGCCCTGAGCAGGCTGCACCAGAGGCGCAGCGTTCATTAACTGGGCATCCTGTTCGTCCTTCATCACGATCTCGTTCACCTGAATCTCGTCATAGATAGCTCCGAGATACTCCGGTGGCAAGTCCGCATTGTCGTTGATGCCGCGGTTGTTCTTGATGAAGTCCTGCTTCGTCATGCGGTTTTTGATCTGAGGGTTGTGTGCATCCGTGTTCAGCATGATGACGGAGTAAGCCAGAACATACGCAGTATCAGCGTTTGCGAAGGCGTTTGGGTTACCCTGCATGTATCGCTCCGCAAACTTCAACATGAACCTATCAATCTTCTGGGCTTCACCAGGCAATCTGAAGCTCTGCAAGAATCGTCTCAGGGCATCGACGAACTTCGTCTTAGTAAAGTCCATAGCATCGACGAATGCATGCATAATAGCGATGTTCTCAGGCTCGCCTTCACCCAAGAATTCCCCGACCATGGCTTTGTTAAGACCCTCCGTAGTGAGAAGGAACCTAGCAATCTCCTCCGGTTCATCAGACCTGATGAAGCCAGTCTCCTTCAGTGCCGCAACACCACGCTTGGGCTTAAAGTTGAACTTCCTGATAGCTTCAGACAACAACGTTTTCCGCTGTTTCAACGTCTCGAACTGATCCGGATCATCTTGTAATCTGGGGCTGGTGAAACCAGTCCCATCACCACCACTGTTGGGAGTACCCACGCCAGAAATGGAGTGCTGGAACGACGGTCTTGATTTGCTTTCCTCTCCCAAACCAGCTTCGCCCATAGCGTCCTCGCCAGCTTCCTCCGCCGCCGCCTCTAGGGTCGCCTGGGCGGCAGCAATACCCTGCTGAGACCAAGATACTAATGACCTGAGGACAGTCACCAAACACTCCAGCGACTGGCGCTTCAACTGGTACTCAATGGGCAGCGCAGGATCTACCGTTGTAGCCGTAGTCGAAAAGGATGCAGTTGACAGATGGGGCGTGGAAGGCGTACTTTGCAGTGATGGAGTCAGCGATCCCGAGGCAGCACCCGCTTCTTGCTGAGCCTGAGCCTGTTGTTGCTGCGGAGTCAGCCGCACCGGGGTAGTCGTGATCTTAGATAACACATTCATGATCCGCTCATACATGTTGTCGATAGCTTCTTGGTCACAATCGTAGTTGAGATATACTTCCACCAATGCTCGTGGATCCTCGCATACCCTTGCCAATACACCCAACAGATATTGTTTCTGCGCCAAACTCGAGTTCCTCATCTCCAAAATTGGCAGATAAATCTCGTTCAGGAAGAGCTCGATAGCCTTCTTCAGCACTTGTCTCATGTCCCTCAGCATACGGTAAAAAATCTCGCACGACACCTCGAAGACCTGTGGAACAGGAGAAGCGGCATTGCGAGACAAACACAAACAGAGATACTGCTTGACAGCATGGACGAAGTGAGTAGCCTCGTTTGTAGACGACGAGCGGATGACAACGTGTGGTGAAGTGAAGACCGCCACATGCTCATTCAGGATAGTCAGGATAATGTGCAAGGCCAGCAACTTTGACCTCATAGGATGTGATCGCAGGTCATGCCCATCCGATCCTGCCGGCTTCACGGCCAACTTGCACATTGCACGGAACACTAAGAAAGCGTCCTTAACATAGGCCTCGTCCTCGTTCATATCATCATCAGCGTCATCTTCGCCTAAATCCAGTCCTGCAGGCCGCTCTTTATCGAAACTCTTCCTGTTCTCGAAACTTGCGAGGGTAACAGGCTCACTCTGATCAGCTGTAGCAGCAGCCGACTCACCTCCCTCCTCAATGGCCTCCTCCGTTGCAGGTACCGAGATCGTTGACTTATTCACCGGGGTAGTTCGTACACGACTGAAGACAGCGGTGACCATCTGAGTAAGAGTACCCTGTGCGACCATTTGATTTGCAGGTCCACGGCTCAGAAGGAAGATGTTGTACACTTGTCGTACGGCTTGCAGGAGAGACGCCTGATGCAGCACTGGTCCGCCAGGAGAGTTCAGCACAGCAGCAGACAAAGCCTTGACAATCTGCAGCGAAACTCGCTCATCGGTGCCCTCACCGGAGAAACATGCACAGACGACATCCACAGCCCGTTCTAGCAAAGGCTTCGTCGGTGCCTGGGCCCTCTGTGCCGGTACGATACTTGAAGGGTCAGCAGGAGGTGGTCTCGGAATGGTAGCCGGAAGGTACGAGTAGCTGATCAGCTTAGCAATACTGTCCAGAGCAGTGATCTGGACGTTCACGCTCCCAGATCTTGCAGCATACTCCAATGGCGCGAACATAATCTCGATAGGTGGCATAGATGGCTTGTGATCCCTAATCGCGTCAAGCGCCTTAACCGTCGCGTCCCGCAAAAGCCCCTTCCTCTTACCCTCCTTCGAGGCTGCAATGCTTTCCAAGGCTTGTACGACGAATAGAATGCTAGACGACGTCGAAGATCCATTCGTTACGCTCATCGTCGAATGTCCTGATGAAGTGTGTGGCCGGGTTGATTGCCGTGACGGTGAGGGCGGCACAGCCACCGGTGCTCGTGGTGTCCCAGGTGGAATCGATGGTGTAAGCGGCTCACCAGTCGAAAGTACTTCACCTGCTGTCGGTGGTTCAATAACGATGTTTGATGGTCTTGGCGTTTCTTCTGGAGCGGGAGTCGGTGATTCGGCGTTCAGTGATGCTGTTTGCTCGTCTGTCTCCGGTTCATCCTTCTCCACTGAGGACGAGGTCATCGGATCAGTATTGAGATTGACCTCCTCCATGACTCCCATGTCCTCCTCTGCTTGTGCTTCAATGGTTGCAGGTGCATCGAACTCCGCCATATCCGCAGAAGCGTCGTCGCTCTTCTCCGTTACAATGCCAAGGCCAATTGTTGTCGGAGGAGCCTCCTCCGCTGCCGTACTGATATCCCCAGTAATCTCTTCATCGCCATTTGAAGCTTCTGCTTTCACATTCCCCTGCACTTCCAGCTCCAGTGCCGGATCGCTATTTCCGTTAACGTGCGTAACATCCTCCGCCGACGCCGCTTCCGCAGGCAATTGCTCGGCCAAATCGCTCATGAAAGGCTTCTCAAGTGCCAAAAGCTAGACAATGGAATGCAAAGGGTATCAATCAGTGGTGCTGCCGTTTGTCGGCGCAACTTTGACTTTGGCGGTGTATATGATGCTGAGTCGCAGCGTGTCGCACCTGCACAGCCGGCCCTGACGCAGGCCGACGTCGGCAACACAGCCTCGAGGGCTGGCTTTCAATGCGAGTTTGGGTCCCATGAGGTGCAATTATTCCAGAGATGTGGATATTTCTCTGGCACGATTCAGCATTAGCTGTTGTGCCAATGGGACTCTTCGACGTCTGCAGCTGGCTTAAGCTTGGAATCCTGAGGATCTCTACAATATCGATGTACGAAGCTGGGGTTTGCGTATAAGACCAGACACTGCTCGGAAAAATATTATGCCTTGTATTGACGCGAAAGCTCCATTTCATACTGCCACGTTGATCTCCAGCTCGTAAATCCTCTCCATAGATAGCTAGGCATACGTACACAGTACTTCTTCCGACACCGCTTGACGTTTTTCATGGATTTCCATTCGAGTCAAAGCCTCCCGATGTTAAGCCTTCAAGCTCGCCGTACAGTCGCTCCTTCTGCATATCCTCGTCCTTCATCAGCCAATCCGGGAAACAGAACGACCCATCCTTGAAACTCCGCTTCTCCAAACTCGGCGAGTAAATCGGGCCCCATGCCGACTCCGGACTAGACGGCAAGTCCACCGAACTTGCTTCGCATGAAGTGACATGGGACCCGTGACTTGACTGGATGGGTGATGCGAAGGAACGGGTTGCCGGACTCATGAGAGGAGAGCGGATGATGGCTTGTGCAGTATAGGAGACCGGGCTGGAAGGGATTGAGCGAGGTGAGACGATGATTGATTCTTCAGATACTGGAGAAAGCGGCGTAGCACGAAGGTAGGTCAAGAGCTCCCTGTGAGGGCTCTCCGTCGAGGACGTTGGTGCTGGATTAATTCTCACGCCGCGGATATCGATGGACAGACTCGGCTTGTGGTTCAACGAGGACCCTACTCCTGAGGGCCCGGGTAATTTCTGCAATCGTTCAGGCGATGAACTCTGGCTGGATGGTGACGTTGAGAGGATGAGTGATTCTTGTGACTCCCGGAGATACGACAAGAAGTCAACGTGCTCACGATCCCCCTCCTCCTCCTTAGAACGAAGCCCAACGTTCGTCATGTCTAACTCCTCTGAAGACGAAAGAAGTCGCGTCAGCAGCGATTGAGGTTGTGGACTCTCGATAGGAAGCATCTAGTGACGTTTATGTAGTCGTGTTCGGTACGGTTAGTGACCGCGCCGTTGAAATTCGAATACGGAACACGGCCGAACCGTGGAGATTGGGTGGGATCGAAAATACTTGCCGTGCACATCCTGGAAAGAGGGCAAGCCTGAATATATATACGTTCTCGTCCTTACCCGACAATTGTTACAAGCCTATACGTAAAGCCCGATTTAGGCGTTGCAACCACGCTGGGAGATATCAGCATATATTGGCGACCAGCCAAGGCGTCTCCAAGCAGCCAGAGTCTATATTCACGGACCATAAGTGGCCGAAAGGATTGTGAATTCAGGCTGACGTGTACTCGAAACCGCCAAGTGGTCCGTTCCCGCACTTTAAACCGACGGCCGCGCAGCAGTCCGTAGCGTCCGTGCCTGGGGTTCAGGCCGCCCGGTGAAGCGAGTAGATACCCCAGGTAAAGTATTTTCCGCCATGATAGGCGAGACTTCAGCTGCTAGAGAGATAAGACGTTTTGCCAAGCGGTTGGTGAAAGGAGCGAAGGATGTTGTGTGTGTGTTTGTCGATTCCCACGCCCCGGAAAACCTCCCCCTATTTGAGACCCAGCTGGTTTCAAAGTTGACCACGTTCGCGAACCATGATTCGTTTTATCAGATTCTCATGTAACAAGCCAATTCGTCTTCGTTTGGTACCACGATTAAGGCCGAGTGCGACGACGTGAACCGAGCATTAGTCAAGCTCACCCGGTTATTTCGTTCAGCTGGGCGGGCTATAATTCCCAGGAGCCAAGCCTTAGAGCAAGCCAAACGCCGAAGAGGAGCGTTTTGACACTTCCACCGGTGCCCGTCCAAGGTGTGTGTGTTTTGCAGCTCAACTGCGCGCGTTGCGTCTCGGGGTCGGCAACTGCAGCTTGACGCAACGCCTACTATCTGATCCGACTGATCCGTGATTACTGCTGACTCGGGTCTCGAACTCTTAAACCTCGTCAAGCACAGCCATGACGACAACCTCAATTGCAAGGGCGATCTTGGCCACGGAGAAGAACTCAAGAAGTGACGTGAATAGCTGTTGACGTCGTTACCTTCAAGCTTCCGTCCCCGATCCATAGCCTTTCGCGTGCCCGAGCTCGTAGAAAGCTTCGTACTCGGTAATGTCCACGACGATTCTCCGTGCCAAGACTTACACAGAATTTTCCCCTCTTACAGGCACTTGTGACGCCTCGGACCACCGGAGGGGAGGCATGGAGCTCATACCCCGTCTAGACCAGATCAGACAACTCTTCAATTGGCCATCGAGTTGAGGTGCCTCTCCTCGCCTATTGCCACCCAATTGACCAACCCGGCACACTCGGCTTTTTATCAGATGCACTAAGACGCATTATCAGATGGATCTTTAGTTATCGCCAAGGACGACGCTAGCGGAAACGTGTGTAAGGCCGCCGCGGACTCGAGAAAAAAATGTACATAAGTCCCGACGAGTCCTACGATTGATCTCTGTAGACAATTGCAATTGCAACATGGGATTCAGAGATTTCCTGCCAAAAAATGCTCAGGATTCTACCGATCTAGTGAATGGGAAGGCTGATCAGGCAAGTGTCTCCGTTGAGGCAAAGGACAGTTCCTCGGTGGAGCAGGATGACGGCAAGGTCACCGATGAGTACCAACCTGGTGTGAAGAAGACGGAGGGTATGGCACTCGTCTGGACCCGTGGTTCCCTCATCGGTGCTTACGTTGGGTATGTTCCTCTCGTCCTGCTCAATTCACTTCGTTCTAATCGATCACAATCAGTATCTACCTCGTCTTCTTCTTCACCTCCCTCCAATCTCAAACCACAAACAACCTGACAACCTACGTCTACTCCTCCTTCTACTCCGCTCCCCTCGTCACCACCGCCTCAATCATGTCCTCCATCATCGGTGGTGTCCTCAAACTCCCAATCGCAAAGATGATCGATGTATGGGGTCGTGCGGAAGGGTACCTCGTCATGGTCGGCCTCACAGTCATCGGACTCATCCTCATGGCGACATGTAAGAGTCCGGAGCAGTATGCCGCTGCTCAGGTCTTGTACTGGGTTGGATACGATGGTATCTCCTATATCTTGGACGTCTTCATCGCGGATACCTCATCCCTCCGTAACCGAGCCCTCATGTTCGCGTTCTCCACCTCCCCTTACATCTGCAACACCTTCGCCGGACCAGCATTGGCTCAGGCTTTCTACAACCCGCTCGTGACCAACTCCGGTCCCGGATGGGAATGGGCCTTCGGTGCTTTCGCCTTCATCATCGCTGGTATCTGTACACCGTTGTCGGTTATCATGATCTACTACCAACGCAAAGCCGAAAAACTCGGTGTCTACAAGCGTGACACCTCCGGCCGCACGACATGGCTCCAAGCCGCAAAGTACTGGTTCATCGAGTGGGACGTCATCGGCATCATCCTCATCTCCGCCGGCTTCGTCCTCTTCCTCCTCCCCTTCTCCATCGCGAACTACGGCCTCAACACCTGGCAATCCGCAGAAATCATCGTCATGATCATCGTCGGTGCTGTCACACTCATCGCATTCGGACTCTACGAGAAATACCTCGCGCCCAAGTGTTTCATTCCCTGGGAACTTCTCAACGACCGTACCGTCCTCGGAGCATGCATCCTCGCCGCTTCGCTCTACGTCTCGTTTTACTGTTGGGATCTTTACTTTTACGCTTACTTACAGGTCGTGTTCGGACTCTCCGTTAAGGAGGCTGGATACCTCTCCAACACCTACAACATAGGTTCCTGCTTCTGGAGCATCATCGTCGGTATCCTCGTCCGCTGGACTAATCGTTTCAAGTGGCTCGCGATGTGTGCGGCTCCGCTCATGATGCTCGGTGCGGGTCTCATGATTCATTTCCGTCAGCCGGATGTGAATATTGGATATGTTGTCATGTGTCAGATTTTCATTGCATTTGCCGGTGGAACGCTTGTTATTTGTGAGCAGATGGCTGTTATGGCTGCGGCGTCTCATCAGCATGTTGCTGTCATGCTCGCTTTTGTTGGTCTCTTTTCGTCTGTTGGTGGTGCTATTGGTGATGCCATCGCTGGTGCGATCTGGACGAACACCCTCCCCAAGGCTCTCGAGGCTGCGCTTCCTGACGATTTGAAGAATATGACCAACACCCTCTATCTCTCCACCACCACACAGTTGTCCTACGACTTCGGTACCCCAGAGCGTACCGCCATCATCGATGCTTATGGTGTCGCTCAGAGGAGGATGTGTATCGCCGCTACCTGTGTCCTCGTTATTGCATGGGCTTCCATCTTCATCTGGAGGGATATCCATGTTGACAAGAAGAGGCAAGTTAAGGGTGTCGTTATTGGATAAATCAAAAGTGAAGATATGAAAAAGGTAGACGGTGTCGCATTGTATTCCATACCCCGGCTTTTACAGGATTTTCTAAGCAAGACGTACAACATCAGCTTATTTACTTAATAATATTTTGCTCGGACTATGTTCTATCTTGCTCTTGCTTGCTGACTATGTGCATCAACGTCCGTGGGAAGTGGCATCACCCGCTTCCCACCGTTCATGTTCGTCTGCAAAGGCATTCTCAAAAAGATCTCATCAGATCGACACGCGTGCTAGCGGTACCCCATGTCGCAACCAACCGAGAGTCATTGTATCAATATCGTATTGATGAACATTGGCGGACTACCATCAGCAGATATGTATGAAACCTTCAAGCTCCAAAACCTTACGGGAACTTTCCCCTGAACCAAAAACAGACCTAACTCCATACCGAAGACATCATCCAAGTATCATCACTGCGCCCTCAACTTCCTCAAAGGACCATCGCTCCACCACCAGATTTTGATCGTGACGCGTACGCCTCAGATCAATATCTGTGGCTCTCCTGTATCGGCGGCACATACACCAAGTTCGCCTGCCCTTTTTCACCCCGCTCCTCCCCCTCATCTATACTCCCACCCCTCCTAAAATCCATACTTCCCCTACCTCTCTCATAACCCTCCGCCCCTTCCCCTGTTCCAGTCCCCGTCCCGGGCCCATGACTCCCACTCCACTCCGGCCTCTCCACCCTCCCTACCGGACTCCTCACTGAATCCAAACTCGCCCTAACACTCCTACGATCATCAACCATCTGCGTTTCCTTCTGGGTCGTGATCCCAGGACTTTCGGGTGCGTCGAAACCGATAACTACTTTCGGGCTCACACGCGGTTTTGAGGTATCCGAGCCAGAGGTCATATCTGTTGCTCCAGTTCCTGATCTTTCTCGTCCATACCGAGAGCCGGTATATGCGTCCATCGATGTCCGCCCGGCAGCTATTGTTTGTGGTAGTGTCGAACCTGCCCCATCAGACGTCAACGACGTTGAACTCATCTTGTTTCTTAACGGATTATTGTGGTTCGCTTCCCGCTCCTCCGCCTGTGCTCTCAGCGTTCCCGTCCCCAAATAACTCAGGTTAGCTTTCTGGCTGTGTTGTCCTGTGCCACCAGCTCCCGAACTAGCGGGTCGTAATTGGGATTCGGATCCGCTTTGTCGTAGTGACCGCTTTGATATCGATGCAGAGACCCTCGCTCGCAAACTTCCGCTTCTCCGCGGCTGCGTCGTCGACGGCGCCAAACTAGTCGGCACGACATCCTTCGCCTCTTCCGCATCCACCATTCGCTGCTGCTGCCCCTGAACCTGTGCTGACTGTCCAGATGACGGCGTACCGCCCTTCTTCTCATCCTCAACTTGTGTCAAACTCAAAATCGCCCCATACCACTGCATCATCCCCTCCCACGTCCCTGCCTTGAACACCCACGAGTGCCCCCGATGCAACCCCCTCGACTCCTTTCCCCTCAAAACAAACGTAAATTTCCCTGAATTGGGTGCACTTTTCTCGCCGAGTGTGCAGTCTGGGATGAAGAGCGACATCACGGGTGTCGCGTCGTAAACCTTCTCGGCGGCGAGGCCGCGGGATGGGGAGGATGTCGAGTGGGATTTTGAGTGGTGGTGTTTTTCGTGAAGTTCGTGGAGGAAACCAGCGCGTGTTAAGACGTAGTAGGCGATTGTGTAGGAGCGGAGGTACTTTGATTTTCGTTCAAGGATTCCGGAACAGATGGGCTGTGCTGTTGGATGGTTGTGGCCGTAGAAGCTGATTTCACTTGCTCGCCGCAGTGGAACGGTGGGTTCGATGATGGCGTCTTCCGCCTTCATAAAGGCGTTCCATTCCTTGTCTAAGGGCAGCTCCGCTCCGAGGGGACCCATGAGGGAAGCGAAATGGTTCACTGTATCAGCATCTTGTCGTAGTAATGTTTGATACGTTCGGAAAGAGGTGTTGATCGTCCGGATGATAACCTCCTCCAAAGACCTCCCACTCTTCTCAATATTGAGAAAAGCCTGGTGGAGATAGTTCTCCTCGGCAATATGCTTTCTCAACTGCCGCTCCAGTTGTATTCGTAGAAGATATGGATCCTTCTTCCCATCCGGCGCCTTCGGATTTCGTTGTAGTTGCTCGATCGCCTCACTCAGCTGTGCTATATGCTTTCGACTAGCTTCCCGCTCCTTGTCGACGTCATTTCTGAAGTCGTCCGACAGGGCCTTGATTTCGTTCATCTTTCCCTTGAGATCATTCCTCAGCGTCTCTAGACTGGATACTATGTTATTTTCGAGAGCTCGTACGAGTTCCATCTTCGCGAGTGAATGTTGCTTGTTGTGTGTATGCAGCGCAGCCCCAAGGTCCTGAATACCCCCTCGCTGTTTCGGCAGTAACATCCCATCATCTTTAAGGGGTAACACAAGCGAGTTAGAGAGCCGTGTTAGATCCTTCGCTCGGTTCTCCTCAATCGCAGCTGTCGTCTTGAAGTACACGATGAAGTCCTTGAGGATGTTCCGCCATGCTAGAGATGCCAAGACAATCAGAACACAACGCAACACAACGCAACACAACGCACTGAAAGGGAGCGCGAACCTGTGAATCTCCGTACGAGAACTTCTGTGGGATCAATCTTTGTCGGTACGGGACAATACAGCGCCGAACGTTCAGGTCTACTCGTGTGCATGCCGATGCGTCCCGTCGGCGGGCTGTTGGGCATGATCATTCCCTGCTGCTGCTGTTGCTGTATAAGGGGACTCGCGATCACTTCTGGCAATTCTGCAGCCGTTGCCATGGTTCAGGATCGCACAAAAGGCTTCGGACGGACTTTATGGTTGCTGGTCATGGACAGTCAAGACGCTCGCTCGTCTGCCGTTGTTACCACCGGATCGGGCGCGCGCATTCCGTGGACGTCATTTTGTGTGAGCACTGCCTCCCACTGCGACCCAGCGCAAAGTGCCTGCTGAAGCAATGGTCCATGTGGGATAAACAGAGATTCTGTGGGCATGTTCTATCCGAATGGATGCATTCATGTCGCTGCCAGCATACACCAGTAACCTGAATGCATGCATTCAGTCGTCGTGTAGAGACCTGCCTCTGTAAGCTATGCGATCTTAAGTTTGTCGGGCTGTATATGCGGCGCCCAGTGTGCGGTTGACGGAGTACCACTCTTCATCCCCGACTACCCCTCGCCATCCCCACAGCCTCCTCCAAAACCCTAACCTCCCTCTCCAAAACCTCCGCCCAATTCTCCAAATCACCAACCTGCTTCAACTGTCCCCTCGCCCCACCCGCCATGTCCTGCCACTGCTTCACACTCTTCGTGAGACGAGCAGAATGGGTGGAGAGGCTCCGGGTTTGCGAAGCGATGTTGGTGGAGTTCGTGTGAATTGTGGATATTCTGTAAATATTAAGCCGTTGTTTTACTAAACGCCGATGGGAATATTTACCTATATCGAACGCCGTTGTCGATTGCGTTGCTGGCTGTGTCAATGTCCTTGACGACTTGCTTCCTGGCAGCGTGGGCCCTTTCCTGACGATCTCTTTCAGCTGCGTTATGTCTCTTGATCAAGTCATCCATGGTTCCACTCTGTTTACCAATCGCCGCCTCTGCGGCTGGGAGTCTGGTTGGGTAACAGTCGGTCCTCAGTACTTCTTGAGTGGGGTACAGGAACGTGATATCGTAGGTGGACCCGTATATCGATAATGCAAGAATCAGGATTCCTGGGTATAAACTAACACACTGGCAACAAGAGGAAAACAAGACGACTAAAAACAGAAAACAAAGCCCAAATGGCCCAATGGTCCTCTCCCCAAACGAATGCAAAGATGCAACAACCACCTCACAGACCGAATCTTTCCTCCTCCTGCATGGACTTACTCCTCGTCGCTCTCCTCATCCTCCTGCAACCATTCAACAAACTTCTGCATGCTGTTCAAGAACGAGCTCTTTCCTTGAGGCTTCGCTCCCTTCTCGTACCAGTACATGATGGCGGAGTCAGAGACAACGTCGTTCTTGTAGAGCAACTGTACAATCTTCACGAAAGACTTCTGCAAAGCAGCGATTTCGTAGCAGGTGAGCTGGGCCGTCTGGACAAGGGCGAGCTCGGTCTGGGGGGTCGTCGCGAAAGCGGCGAAGGTGGGCGAAAACTTGTTGATGAACTTCAAAGTGGTGGCCTCCAAGGTGTCGGACTTGGCGGACATGTCAATAGTGGCGATGAGGGCGTTCCAGACCAAAGCAACGAAGGCATCGTTGGCCATGGTAAACTTCTTCTTCTGCTCACCGAGGTATTCAATAACCTCATCAGGGGTCTTCTCTTCATCAATAAGCTCCCTAACATGAGCGGTGAATTCCTCCTTGAAGAAGTTGGTAGACTTAAGGTTGTGGTACTGGGTGACAGCATTCAAGCCCTTGGCGTCAAAGTGCTCAGCAACATTAGCGTTGCTGCGCTGGCCAGGAGGGAAAAAGTTCAAGATGTCGGTGATATCGGACTTCTTGAGCTGCACGGTAAAAGCATCGGCAGACTGAGCCTTCAACAAGCTCTGCAACACGATGGTAACGAAGGTAAGAGAAAGACCATCCTTTACCAGGTGCTCCTTTGCAAGGACGTTCAAAACTCCCAAAGGCAAGAGCTGAAGAGCACAGGCATTTCCGACAGCGACGGCGAGGCGCTCAACCTGAGCCTCCTGGGTCGTGGACCATTTGTTCACGAACTGAAGGATGTTCCTCAGAGTCTCCTCCATGACACGCTGGAGGTACTTGTAACGACGGATAAGGCGGTTGAAAACATCGACACGCTTAATCACGTCTTCGTTGCTGGCGGAGTCGAAGATGTTGAAAGGAAGGCGCTCAGAAGTGTCGAGGACACCTCCGGGCTGGAGGAGGGATCCAGTGAGAAGGAGTTCCCAGAGAGTCTCACCATACTGTATATATGTTATTAGCAAAAGTCGTAATGCAATCGCCGCTGGAGGGCATGTACCTTGTGGTAGTCAAGAACGTTTCCGGCCTTGTCTAATTTCTGGTAGACAGAATCATAATCACCCTCGCTTACAGTTGCGAGATCCTTGAAAATCTGATCACGAAAAACGCTCGGCTCAAACTTTGCGGAAGCTGCTTGAGCTCTTTTCCTTTGCTTGATCTTTGCACCGTTGAGGAGGGGCTGTTATCGCTCATCAGCATACAGTTCACCACGACGTCCGTCACGACACGACAGAATTGAACGGGAAGAAAGCTGACTGACCTTTGGCTGACTGGACATGCGCTGATAAAAAGTTTCTGGCGATTGAGCCGTAAGAATTGAGTGGAGATTTGTGTGTTGGGTATCGAGGAGGAGGCCTGAGGGCTGTCGTGCGCGTTACGCTCAAACCCTCGTAGCTCACGTCAACCGTGCTGTAGCCAGGGCGAATGCAGTACATTACGCTCGTACGCAGCTTATTGGGTATACGAGGTCACCGGAATATTTGGAAGAAAGGAGGTCGTTTGAGCATTGATCCAGGTGCATTTACGGCTGGTCCATCATGCTACCGCAGCTCAGGGCGTTTGAGCCATGCGCCGTTGTTACAGAGTCCGGGAAGGACAAGATTGCGGCTGTTGTGGCATACGGTGAGCCATTGCAGTGCAGTGAGGTTTCAATTAGCCTTTCTAATAGCATACATAGACGAAAAACTTCTCTTGGCGACTACTAGATGCGTGCTGCGGGTCTACGACGTGTCAGAGCCGGATGGTAGGTGCACAATGCCAGCCCAACACGACGCATGCTCACACGAATTAGAACGAGACCAAGTCACCGTGAACCTTTCGCAAACCATCGACAAGTTTGCAAAGAAGACAATTACTCAGCTTGCCTACTGCAGTGGGCCCAGAATCCTGCTTGCGCTCGCAGATTACTGTGTATCTGTGTATGACGCCGATTCATTATCCCGGACATCACAGCTCACGAAGACCAAGAATGCCACAACATTCGCGGCAACATCCAACATCGAGCATAACGAAGACGACATACCGTCTCTAGTTACCCGCATAGCAGTGGTAGTTAAGCGCAAGTTGATTCTCTACGTGTGGGATGAATCAGAGTTCAGAGAAACATCAGAGTTGACATTGCCCGAAAGTGCACGTACTCTGACATGGATTTCACCTACCAAGATCTGCCTGGGACTTTCCTCGGATTACTGCCTGGCTGACATCACCACCAATGAAATTTCCGCCATCTTTTCCCCTGGGGCAGCGGCACCAGGCATGGGGGCTATATCCGCTGGTATTGGACTCATGGGCGGAAGGACGCCACGACCAATGTCTGTGCGACTGCCAGGTGATGAAGTGCTGCTGGCGAGGGATACTATCAGTGGATGGCTGGACAACAGCGGAAGGTTGTCGAGACGCAAGCAGGTACCGTGGAATGGTGCACCGGAAGAGATTGGATTCGTACATCCATACCTGGTTGCACTGTTCTCGAAGTATGTCCAGGTTCGGAACGTGCAGACACAGACATTGTTGCAGACAATTGAGATTTCTGGAGCGACAACGATGACTACGGGGGAAATGTGTTATGTGGCTTCATCTACTCAAGTCTGGAGGATCTGCCCGAGGAACTTTGATCAGCAGGTGGGTGAGCTGGTTGGGATGGGGATGTTCGATGAAGCGATCAGTTTGGTCAAGCAACTAGACGTTTCTCAGCTCGAGGACAAAGACTCCAAGCTTCGCGCTGTGCGGTTACTAAAGGCGGACGCCCTTTTCGAAAAGCGAAGATATGACGAAAGTATGGGCATTTTCTCAGACCAATCCGCTCCACCCGAGATGGTCCTGAAACTGTTTCCACAGTCTGTCGCAGGTGATCTTGGTATCGAGGAAAGTGACGACGAGGGAGATGGTTCCGTTAATGGCAACGGAGAGATGACTGAGATGGAGAAAGCCATGGCGGATACCTTGAGCGTGCGGTCGAGCAGAGCAGGACATTCACGAGCACCCAGCAACAAGGATGGTCCCGCATCTGACGCTGGGTCGATGCTTACAAAACATACAGAGACGGTATCGCGACCACATAAGCTTAGTGAGGTGGAGCTGAAGAAGGCTACAAGGGCTTTATTGCACTACCTCGCAGACTCGAGACGGAAACTGAATCGATTCATTCAAGAAGCCACGGCCTCAGACGAAGACGCCTCAAATCTACTCTCCTCATCCACTGGTGCCGAGACGGCGTCGATCTTGACAGTTGGCTCGAGGGTGCCCGAGGTGCACTTCGCCTCCCCGACCGGTGAGCCAGCGAGTCTTGAGGATCTTGAACGTGATGCTTGTTTGGTCGATACCGCTCTTTTCCGAGCATACATGCTTACGTCGCCGTCCCTTGTTGGATCCCTCGTACGATTACCAAATCGATGCGATCCGAATGTCGTTAGGTCTATGCTGGAAGAATGCGGCAAAGTCCGAGAGCTAGTCGACTTCCTCTTTGCGAAGAAACTTCATCGGGAGGCATTGACGTTGTTGCAGGGTATCGGGAAGAAGGGCGAGGATGAGCTTTTAGCGGGTCCGGAGTCCACGATTCGATATCTGCAGCGCTTGGATAAGGAGTGTTTGCAGTTGATCTTTGAGTTCGTGAAGTGGCCTCTTGAAGTCGATTCAAAACAATCCATGGAGATCTTTACTGAAGATACGAAAGAGGCGGAAAGTTTGCCGAGGGACAAGGTGGTGGACTTCTTGCTTACCCAGAGCCGGGTATTGGCGATTCAGTATTTGGAGCATCTCATTCACGGGCTGAGCGACGGCACGCCGGAGTTTCATAACACGCTCGCTAGTCTCTACTTCGAGCGTATGACCAAGGAAGACGGGGTTTCCGAGGAGGATAAAGCTGGGCTGCAGACCAAATTCCTGGAATTCCTACGGTGGAGTCAACAGTATCGACCAGAGCGAGTATTGAGCGCTCTTCCTCGGGACGATCCAGAGTTCTACGAGGCTAGAGCGATCGTCCTGAGCAAGCTAGGACAATACCAAAAGGCCTTGGAGATCTACGTCTTCAAGATGAAAGACTACGAAAAGGCTGAACAGTACTGCATCGACATCCAAGCCACCGACGCAAAGACACCCTCCTTATTCCTAACGCTCCTGACCTTATATCTCCAACCACCAGCAGGAGAATCATTCCAACTCAACCCAGCCTTAACCCTCCTCACTCGCCAAGGTCGCCACCTCGACTCCGCAACCGCAATCTCCCTCCTGCCCCCCACCCTCCCCGTCGCCGACCTCCACACCTTCTTCCGCACCCGCATTCGATCCGAAAACTCCGCCCTAAACTCTGTCCGAATCATCGCCGCTCTCCGGAAATCGTCGCTCCTAAAAACACATGAAGCGCTGATTGAGACGAGGAATGTGAAGGCTGTGGTGGATGAGGAGAGGATGTGTCCGAGTTGTCATAAGAGGTTGGGGATGAGTGTTATTGCGGTGTTTCCGGAGGGGAGTATTGTGCATTATGGGTGTCAGGGAGCGTGGTTGAGGGAGAGGGGGTTGGAGGGGGTATACAGTTCTGGATAAGGTGAATTCAGTGGAGACGGGGAGGGCATGGGAAAGAAAAGGGAAGATATTGGCATGCATATGGTTGAAATGGCGTTTTTTGGTAGATTTATTCCCTCATACCAGTCTCTGGAAGAAGGTCTGTCCCAGAGATGTGTCTTTCGTATCTTTATCCTAAAGTCCAAAGTATCTTCGGGCATGTATGCGCGCCGTCTTGTCGAAGTCCACACCCTCCGCAATGTCGTTTCATGCGTTGTCTACACTCCGACGGTTCAGCCTGACGCGTGGACGACGTCGTCATGCAGATTGCGATAATGCCGGTCCTTCATGCTCATTCATTCTCCGGCACCGGCCTTCCGAGTATTTCTTTCTCTCACTGGTAACTCTGCATCCCTCACAACATCACGACCTCCTCCTCATCATCCTCCTCCTCCTCCTCGTCCTCCACAGCACCCCCATTCGTCTCTCCCTTATCGATCCTCATCCGCTCCGTCAAATACTCATTCAACCGATCCTGCATCTTCGGAATCGCCTCAAAAAGCCTCTTCAACGACGCCTTTTGTGCTTCGATGTCGGGAGTATCGACATGGTCATCGGCTTTTGGGACGGAAGCGTCGTTTTCGAAGGCAATGGGGGAGGGGATGGTTGGTGCGGTGTAGGTGGCTCTGAGCATTGGTGGTGGAGAGTGTGAACGTTTGGTCATACGGTTACTTGGATGTGACGGTCTTTGTATCGTTGTACTTGGTGTTTCAGGGAGATGCATGTGTTGCAGATTCAGTTTTTTGTTCATCCTGCGCACCTCGCTTCAAAACTTCTCCCCCGACACAAATGGGGGCACTTTACGCAAAGCCGTGGAGATCAGCCGATGATTGTAGGCATGTCCAAGACGCATACGGTGGTGTCTATATGGGCATGTTGAGAATCATGTAGCTTAGTAGCTGCTAGCGGTGGACATCGTTCCCTTTTGAAGGCCTGGAACTGGACCAAGTGTTGTGTTTGTGTGTCTTCCTCGATATGACTGTATGGGCTGCGGTACTTGCCGCTCTAAACTCTGATGATATGGAAACATTAGGAGTTTGGAAGTTGCCTCATGGTCTGTTGGAGGGATGTTCCATCTCTCTTCCTGTTTTTCGTGAGTGAATGGTATTTGAACCGGTTGCTTGGGAGAAATGAGCCGAAAGAAACCGAGAGGGGCTTCAAGTCAGGTCATTCTATAGCTGATACCTCTTGTGGAGTTGCATTGTCACACAGTCTCAATGTTCCCTTTTTCCTTGTCTGATATACACTCGAGCACGTTTCCGGAGTCGGAACACCGAGTAGCGACGTCCACCACTCACACTTCAAGCCCCACGCTGAAGCTCGAGCAACTTCGGCCTGTGGGAAGCAGAGAGCAACTTGGGCAAGGGCACATTTGCATTGCAATTACCATTGGAGGGGGGGGGGGGGCATCGTTATCGTCACGTGCATGATGGGAACTGCAGTATCGGCCCAAAGATTTGTATCGCCGCTTCTAAGTATAGAACAACCACCAAAATAAATCATATACCATCTATGCCCTCCATCATGACACCGGAAGTACAACAGCCAGACACCGCTCCCCCCATCAAGGCAAAGAAGAGGTTCATCGGCCGTGCACGAGCACAGAAGGAGCGCGAGGCGACACAAGGATCAAACATCGAAGACGGTGTAATCGCCGTACGAGACCTAACCCGACGACCCGGACGAGCCGTCAACCAAATCCCCGAAGACATCCTAAATGACGAACCCCTCAATGCAGCAATCGCCCTCCTCCCCAAGAACTATAACTTCGAGATCCACAAGACCGTATGGCACGTCCGGAAGAACAACGCAACCCAGGTCGCGCTACAAATGCCGGAGGGGTTGTTGATGTTTGCTTGTACCATCTCGGACATTTTGGAGACGTTTTGTGGAGTTACGACGTTAGTGATGGGGGACGTTACGTACGGTGCTTGCTGTGTCGATGATTTCACCGCACGGGCTTTGGGATGTGATTTCTTGGTGCATTATGGGCATTCGTGTTTGGTTCCGGTGGATGTGACACCCATAAAGACGTTATATGTCTTTGTGGATATTGGGATTGACGGGACGCATTTGACGAAGACGCTGCAGCGGAATTTCCCAGAGCAGGGGACCCATTTGGCTATGGTCGGTACTATCCAATTCGTGGCGACGATCGGTACGGTCAAACCCGAACTCGAAGCAAGCGGGTTCAGGATTACGGTGCCACAAGCAAAACCCCTGTCACCGGGTGAGATTCTGGGATGTACAGCCCCACGCCTCGTCGAGGGCACAGACGCAATCGTCTACGTCGGCGACGGCCGTTTCCATTTGGAATCAATCATGATTGCCAACCCCACCGTCCCGGCATTCCGCTACGATCCATACTCAAAGGTGTTCACGCGCGAGAAGTATGGACACGAGGAGATGTACGAATTACGACAAACAGCCATCTCCAAAGCCCGTCGTGCAAAGAAGTACGGACTCATCCTCGGTACCCTCGGCCGCCAAGGCTCGCCAAAAGTCCTCGAAAACCTCGAATCACAACTCCAGAAAGCGGGGATGCCATACGCAATAATCCTCCTGTCCGAAATCTTCCCCCAGAAACTCGCACAATTCACTGATATTGAGGCATGGGTACAAATTGCTTGTCCACGTCTCTCGATTGATTGGGGATATGCGTTTGAGGCGCCGTTGTTGAGTCCGTATGAGGCTGCGGTTGCGTTGGGCGGGGTGGGGTGGCAGGAGGTTTATCCGATGGATTTTTATGCGGGGGAGAGTTTGGGTGGGTGGACGCCGAATCATGGGAGAGGGGTTAGGCCCAAGAGGAGGGAGCAGAAGGAGGTTGAGGGGAGGGTGGGTGTCAACGTTGTTGCAGCGAATGCATAAGGAGATGTGGAGTGGGATGCATTCATTATATCCATTATTGCGAGCGATGTTGAAGACAATTGTCAGGTCCCTTCCCTCCGTATTATTATTTCGCTTCCCTATCATACAAAGCCATACCGTCCAAGCGACCTCAAAGCTTGGGAATCTTCAAAGACTTGCTAACCATCATGGTTCCCCACAAGCCAAACACCAAAACGACCGGATGCAGCTCAAGCAACGTTCCCTCCGCATATGCTCCATACGGCAACTCCTCCAACACCAATCCCTTATGCACCCACCATGCCATCACACCAACCAAAGCCAACGTCGTCGGAATAGGTGTACCCTCAAAATACTTGCTCTTCCCAGTCTTCTTGTCCTTTGGCAAGTTCGAGACCGTAACGTTGAACCTCGCCAACCGCGTCAAGCCACACAACACGAATAAACTCAACACGATCGTATCCAAGAAACTCCTCATACCGATCGAGAAGGCGCATACGGCGGGTGCGACGCCGAAGGAGATGAGGTCGGCGAGGGAGTCGAGTTCTTGGCCGAGGAGGGAGGATTTACGGCGCCAGCGGGCAACTTTGCCGTCCATGAAGTCAAAGAAGAGGCCGAGGGGCATGAGGATCATAGAGACCCAGAGAGGGGAGAAGTCGGACGGGGAACCGAGACAATACCGGAGCGATTGGAAGACGGAGAAGATACCGCAGAAGCCTTGAATGAGTTTATGTTAGCATTGATCTGCAGAACGGAAGGGAGGTGAGCAATGGAGCGTACCGTTCAACTCGGTGATCAAATCGGCGAGGTGGAGATTCCGGACAAGGGAGAAGTGACGATCGTCCAATGCATACGCCAACATCTTCGCTTCGACTTCCTCCTCCTTCTTTGCTGCGGCAGCGGCTGCCTGTCCATTCTTGGGTGCCATTGTCCTTGTGCTTGTTTGTAGGGGATCTTTACTCTTTACTTTTGTGCGCACCGGTAGAGTTTTGTCGCGAACGCAGGCGCAGGCGCAGGGATCAAAGCCACAGCCGCGGGGGGGGTTGACATCACAGCTGGCAAGAAGGAATTGACATCACAGCTGGTATTGAGGCTCAAGTTATGACAGCATCCGTGCAGCTCAAGTCTATCGCAATTACTCCAGCAGAAGATCAACGGCCGATTTGTGCATTTTTTTGTTCCAATTTGTGCGTTATGTGAACCGTTTAACCATGTGTAGAACCCCCAAAAAAACATATGCAAGAAAGCGAATAAACCCAGATATAGTGCAGCAGCTGTACATCACAAGCGGCCTTGTTCCTCATGTGCCATCGTCGTAGATCCCGTAACTGCCTGGTTGCTGCGGCCAGCAAGTCAATCCCAGCGCCTCTCCGTATCTATTCCATTCCATCCACCGCTTAGAAACGTCCACGACCTCCACCGCGACCTCCACCGAAACCGCCACGGGAACCTCCACCGAAGCCTCCACCTCCACCGCGGGAGGAGCCACCGAATCCACCACGAGATCCTCCGCGACCTCCAGAGAAACCTCCACCGCGGGAGGAGCCACCGAATCCGCCACGGGATCCTCCACCACGGCCACCGCCGAATCCACCGCGAGCTCCTCCACGGGCACCACCACGTCCACCTCGTGCACCACCTGTACGACACCGTTAGCATTCGATTCCTCGCACGTTTCCGGACGATGAACGTACCACGACCGCCAGACTTCTTCACACCACCCGTAGGCTTAGGCTGAGGCAAGAATCTTGACAGAGGCAACAACTTGTCGGAACCGATATAAACCTTGTCACCGGCCTTGAAACTCGTTGCGACGATACCATCCGTGGGCTTGACGGTGAAGTAGACCTGGTTCATGGGACCGAGGATCTCGTCGACCTTGCCGAGGAGAGACTTGGATTCGGTGTAGATGGGGGCGTTGAAGTAGGGGATCTTGGTGTTGGTTGACTCGCAGATCATCTCGCCCTCGCAGGCGTGCATGAACTCACCCAACGCTGTGTAAAGATGTCATGTCAGCGATGCGGATAACCGTGCGAGCAGGGGATCACGTACGCTGAACCTCATCCGGAGGACCCATAGAAGAGCTGTTGAATCCACCGCGACCTCCACCTGTTCAAACAAAACTCAATTAGCTTCACGTCCCACAGATCAATGTCAAGCGGAGCAATTCGTACCACGTCCTCCACCGAAACCTCCACCGAAACCGCCCCTAGACCCACCACGGAAACCGCCGCGACTGCTCATTGTCGATATATGTAGGAAGGCGAAAAGACGAAAAAGATCCCGAGATCAGGAAGGTCGATACAGTCAGCGATAAACTCGTCTGTACGGCTGTACGTCGGTATCCTCGCGCAGCACCAAAAATTGTTGCAACGGCGGGCGCCAGGGGAGTTGCTGCGCTCCAGCCACGACTGCGCCCGCCGGAATCGAACCGCTGCGAGGTTTGGACAGACGAGAGTTCAGAACACCTGGCATTCAACCGGACAAGGACAAGGCCAAGCAATGGACGCCGTCATCGACAAGGTCAAGGAGATTGCCATTGGCAGGGATGAGAAGAAGGAGGACGCCGCCCCTGCTCCCGCGGCTCCTGCTGCCAACGGTGCTCCTGCCGAGAAGAAGGAAAAGAAAGTGAAGGCTCCGAAGGAGAAGAAGGTCAAGGAGGGCGAGGCTCCCAAGTACCCTCTCGAGGTATGATCGGACTGATTCGACATTGCGCACGCAATTGACTGATCCTGTCGTGCAGATGAACCCTCCTCCGGAGTACATTCCCCATCGTATCCAGATGTTCGAGGAGCTCAAGGCCAAGTACGACGAGGAATGCAAGCACCAGCCCCGTGAGCCCATCCTTATCACCCTCCCCGACGGCTCTACCAAGGTCGGTACTTCCTGGGAGACCTCCCCCATGGACATCGCCAAGGAGATCTCCAAGGGTTTGGCTGAGAAGGTTGTCATTGCCGAGGTTGATGAGGTCATGTGGGACTTGGAGAGGCCGCTCGAGAAGTCTTGCAACTTGGTCTTGCACGACTTTGATTCACCAAAGGGTAAGCGCGTCTTCTGGCACTCCTCCGCACACGTTCTCGGTGAGGCTGCTGAGCGTCACTACGGATGCCACCTCTGCATTGGTCCCCCGACCGACGAGGGTTTCTTCTACGAAATGGCCATTGAGGACCGTGCCGTTGCTCAGGGTGACTACCCCGCTCTCGAGTCCATCGCTCAATCCGCCATCAAGGAGAAGCAGCCCTTCGAGCGTCTTATTGTCTCCAAGGAGAACTTGTTGAAGATGTTCTCTCACAACAAGTACAAGCAGCACATCATCAAGGACAAGATTCCTGACGGTACCTCTACGACTGTCTACCGCTGCGGTCCTCTGATCGATTTGTGTGTTGGTCCCCACGTTCCCCACACCGGCCGTATAAAGTCCTTCGCCGTCATGAAGAACTCTTCTTCCTACTTCTTGGGCAATGCCGAGAACGACTCCCTTCAGCGTATCTACGGTATCTCTTTCCCCGACAACAAGGCCATGAAGGAGTACAAGGTTTTCCTCGCTGAGGCCGCTAAGCGTGATCACCGTAAGATCGGTAAGGAACAGGAGCTCTTCTTCTTCCACGAGCTGTCACCAGGATCATGCTTCTTCCTTCCTCACGGTGCCCGCATCTACAACACTCTCCAAAACCTCATGAAGGTTGAGTACCAGAAGCGTGGTTTCCAGGAAGTCATGACTCCCAACATGTACAACGTCAAGCTTTGGGAACAGTCTGGTCACTGGCAGAACTACCAGGAGAACATGTTCTCCTTCGACGTCGAGAAGGAGCGTTTCGGTTTGAAGCCCATGAACTGCCCTGGTCACTGTCTCATGTTCAAGCTCCGTGACCGCTCTTACCGTGAGCTGCCACTGAGATTGGCTGACTTCGGTGTCATCCACCGTAACGAGTTCTCCGGTTCCTTGACCGGTTTGACCCGTGTCAGACGATTCCAGCAGGATGACGCCCATATCTTCTGTACTGTTGACCAGATCGGACAGGAGATCACTGCCTGTTTCGACTTCTTGAAGTGCGTCTACGGTATCTTCGGTTTCACCTTCAAGCTTGAGCTCTCAACCCGTCCCGAGAAGTACCTCGGTGACATCGAGACCTGGAACGCAGCTGAGAAGAAGCTTGAGGATGCTCTTAACGCATGGGGTGGTCCTTGGGAGTTGAACCCTGCAGATGGTGCTTTCTACGGTCCTAAGATCGATATCACTATCTCTGACGCTCTCAAGCGTCAGCACCAGTGCGCTACTATCCAGCTTGACTTCCAGCTTCCCCAGCGTTTTGAATTGGAGTACCACACCGGTGCCGAGGTCAAGGAGAACGACGCCGAGAAGAGCCAGTTCGCTCGTCCTGTCATGATTCACCGTGCCATCTTGGGTTCCTTGGAGCGTATGATCGCTATCTTGACCGAGCATTACGCCGGGCGCTGGCCCTTCTGGTTGTCCCCCCGCCAGGTCGCCATCATCCCCGTCTCCAAGTCCTTCGACGCCTACGCACAGGAAGTCCACGACAAGCTCCACGCTCACAGTTTCTTCGCCGAGACTGATCTCTCTGGTGACACCCTCCAGAAGAAGGTCCGTAACGCCCAGTTGGCGCAGTACAACTTCATCTTCATCGTTGGTGCCGAGGAGGCTGAGCAGAGGAGTGTCAACGTCCGTAACCGTGATGACCAGAACAAGCAGAGCCGTGGTGAGACAATTGGGTTGGATGCTGCGATTGAGAAGTTGTTGTCATTGAGGGAGGAGAAGAGGTTGGTCAATGAGATGTAAGGGAACAGTGTAATTAATGAGGCGTTTTTGGAGTAAGATCTCATTGGAAAGGAGCTAGATAGCTATATTATATGATCTGGATTTTGCATGTACTGTAGTTCTTTTCTGCGATGTCGTGATGGACCATGTTCGGACCAAGAACAACACGCAACGCGTGGACAGAGAGGTCAGAGTGCGGGAGAATGATGATAGGATTACAGTCCAAATGCTAGAAAATGAAAACGCCAGTATGTATGTAACCAAAACCGCCAAAACAAAACTCATAGTGTATGCAGGACATGGCCTTTATGCCGCATCCTTTTTCTGTCCCGCCTGCTCTACTTGTTCAACATCTGCCTTCTCAGAACGAACTGTCCTTCGCAGACTCCGCCCCCTTCTCTTCCTTGGTTGCGTTCGAGTTTCCTTCGACTTCGCTTTCCGCGACGGGAGACGGAGCGCTCGCACGACCCTCACTGACTTGCTCGCTGGCTTGCTCAAGAGCCGCCTCACTGACGTGCTCCTTAACCTCCTCACTAACCTTCTCCTTCTCACTAGCCGGCTCATACTTCGCAGTCGTCTTCTCCCTAATCTCCTCAGGCGTCAAAGCTCTCACCTGCTCCCTGACCTCCTCGCTAACCGGCTCACTGAACTTCTCACGTGCACGCTCGATGATTTGTTCTGTATTCATCGTGCGCACTTTTGCGATTTCCTCGGCGCTCACGGGTTCATCGGTCTTGTCGGGAGACTCCTCGGGCTCCGGGTTAGCGAGGTGACGGATGTTTAATTTAGTGAATGCGTTGGCGACTTCGAGAACCTCCTCGGTATCCACCCGGGTTTCATAAGGCTTAGGTATCAGGACGGTGTACACATCCCCATCCGTACCCTTCCTTCCTGTACGACCCGCCATATGCGTATAATCACTCGCGCTGTCATAGGGCATTAAGATAAACACATGCGCCACGTCGTCGACATTGAGTCCTCGGCAAGCGATGGGCTGGGAGACATAGATCGAGGGGCCATCGTCTTCGGGAATGGGAAGACGGAGGGGCTTCACTTGGGTTAGGCCGGCTTCTTGACATGCGGCGACGAACTTCTTTGTAGATTGTTCGTGGTCGATGATTACCAGTCCCTTCTTGACAGGGTTGGGCAGGCGAGTCAGAAGCTGCTGAAGCGCGGCGACGTATTGTATCCTCGCTGCGTCGTTCGCTTCTTTCTGCTCCAGTTCATCATCATGCATCTCGTCCTCAAACTCCTTTGGCGAAGCCTTTCGCATTTTCTCAAACATCAGTATCTCCTTCAGGTCTACACTCGGTAACTCCACCACTCGCAACGTAGGTTCCCCATTCTCGCCCGTAGGTCCATCGAACCCAAGGACGTGATGCTTAATCTTACTCGACAACGCCAAATCAGGCAAAAACTCCGGACGCCCAGGGGGTTGATACCCAACGACGTGAAGACGCTGATCCTGATCGATGTATTTGCTCTCCACGATAAGGAACTGCCTGAACCTGGCGTTGGCGGTGGCTGAGGCAAAGACGAGTTGGAGACCGTGGTTTCCCTTTCCTTTAAGGCGAGTGTTGCGCATTCGTCGTTCCTTGAGGATGTAACTTAGCAAAACCTCTGCTGCGGGGGAATGCTTTTTTTGGTATTTCATTTGACGAAGACGTTGGCCGTGGCTTGCGTCGAGCATAACGTCGGCTTCGTCCACGACCAAAGTTCTGAAACCGTGGATGTCGATGAGGTGTTTCATGTCCTTGTTCGCAAGGATGTCGAGGAGTCTTTGGGGGGTTGCGATCATGATATGAGGGTTTTGGAATTTCTTGAGCTTCTCGTCCTGGGCCGCCATGACATCCTCCGGGCCACGGTACAACACTTGGAGAATCTTGGAAATGTGGCCGAATCTGTGATCGCTGGCATCGAGAATGTTGGTAAACCACTTCTCGTATTGAAGTACCAGGTCGTTACTCGAGGCGAGCACGATCGTAGTCGTAGTAGGGGTAGGACGAGCAGCACGGTCATAGTTCGTCTGCCTTGCCTGCGACAACACAGCCAGCGCCAAGCCGAACGATTTCCCCGACGAAGGCGCTCCACGGATCATGAGAGACCCGCCCTGTGCGAAGATCGGCAAGAACGCTGACTGAATCCGTGTTGGTCGTTGGACCTCCGGATATGCCTTGTTCAGTGCCGCACGAACGACATCCCGGACACCAGTATTCTGCTCGCTGAACTCACTGAAGGCTATAAGAGCCAGGTGCTTTTGTAGTCTGTTGGGGACTCTGCGCGAACGATCATCCTCGGGTGCACCACTTGACTTGCTCCAGCTCTTGCTGAACTGTATCTCGTTAGCATGAGCGTGATCATGATTGTTCACGCCCAGAGGTTGTTGCGCATCTGGGACTGGGAAGGGATGATAGGGTGCTGCATGGACGTGAAGCCGGGGAGTAGAGTGGAATATTCTTGATCCGCCATAGCTGGGTGATCTCACGCGAGCAAAATGCCTCGCAGACAAAGCTGCTCTTGCTTGCGACATCACGAAACTTGTCGAAGATGGATTTCGAAACGTAACGTAGATAATTATTTCGATACGTGAATGCAGGGTCGGCCTCGTCCTGCTCAGGGGTGCTGCGATTCGCTTACGAGGTTGACAGAACTCCGGCCAATGGGAGGTGCACATTCTCGTCTGATGTCTCTATGTATGCACAGATTCAGCGGAAGATGTAAGGCGATATCACAGTTCCCAGCATGACTCCTCCACCTGTCGTTTCCACGCTCGCTCAACGACTCACTCCTCCTCCGTGAACTCCTCCGACTCGTGTAGCTGGCCATCAGCAAAGCAGTGTGCTCCTTTTTCAGCTCTTCTGCCCAGTACTCCGCCCGTTCCGCCGGCCAACACCCACCTGTCCTCCTCGCTGTGCCCCAACCAAATGGGTCGCGCTTCCCGTGCCTGCCCCACAAGTGAACTCGCGCCAGAGTTGAGATACCCTAAATTTCGAGTCCTCAACGCTCGACAAGGAAGCTCAACCCAACTTCCCTTGCCTTTGCCCCATCTGATACCGCGTCTCAGAGGGCCAATCATCCTCTTATATTACGAGTCTTGTCCGACTCCAGTTCGCACCGACTCCCGTCTCCCTTTCCCTTCCAGCTTTGAGGATTAGGATCGCGACGCTATCGATTCATTCCAGCACCCCTTTCTTTACTCGGTTCAGACATCTTTAAAGAATCAAGATGCGTCCCGAGACCGAGCAGGAGGTTTGTTGTTGTCAAATCAGATATCAAGGACACCGTACTAACGTGTGTTTACACAGCTCGCTCACACCCTTCTCATTGAGTTGTTGGCCTACCAGTTCGCATCTCCCGTCCGCTGGATCGAGACTCAGGATGTCCTTTTCTCCAGCAACACCGAGCGTCTCGTCGAGATTGGTCCCTCGCCTACTTTGGTCGGCATGGCCAACCGCACCTTGAAGGCCAAGTACGAAGCCTACGACGCCGCTTTGTCCTTGAACAGACAGACGCTTTGCTACACCAAGGATCAGAAGGAAATCTACTACAACATCGAGTCCGAAGAGCCTGCCGCGGCTCCCGCTGCTGCTGCGCCGGCCGCAGCTGCTGCTCCTATCCCCGCCGCCGCTGCATCTGGTCCTGTTGCTGCTGCACCTGCGCCTGCAGCTGCCCCCGCTGGTCCTGCTGTCGACATTCCTGATGAGCCCGTCAAGGCTGTTGACGTTCTTCACTGCCTCATTGCCCAGAAGCTCAAGAAGACTACCGATGAGATCCCCGTGTCTAAGGCCATCAAGGACCTCGTTGGTGGTAAATCCACCCTTCAGAACGAAATCCTGGGTGATCTTCAGAAGGAGTTCGGGTCTACTCCCGAGAAGCCCGAGGACTCTCCTTTGGACGAGTTGGGTGCTGCCATCCAGCCTTCTTTCTCTGGTGCTTTGGGTAAGCAGTCTTCAGGTTTGATTGCGCGTTTAATGAGTTCCAAGATGCCTGGTGGTTTCTCTGTCGCAAGTGCTAGGACTTATTTGCAGACCAGGTGGGGTCTTGGCTCTGGAAGGCAGGACGCTATCTTGTTGCTCGCTTTGACTATGGAGCCGGCAGCTCGTTTGGGTGGTGAGCCTGACGCTAAGGCTTTCTTGGACACCGTTGCCCAGAAGTACGCCGGCAAGGCTGGAATTACCCTTGCTGCCGCTGCCGCTGGTGGTGCTGGTGGCGGTGCTGGTGGTGCCGTTATCGACTCTGCTGCTTTGGAGGCTTTGCAGAAAGACCAGAACAAGCTCGTGGAGCAGCAGTTGGAGTTGTTCGCCAGGTACTTGAAGCAGGATCTTCGTGCTGGAGAGAAGGCGCACTTGGCCGAGAAGGAGGTTTCCGAGACCCTCCGCGCTCAACTCGACTTGTGGAACGTCGAACACGGAGAGTTCTACGCTGCTGGTATCGAGCCCGTCTTCACCAAGGAGAAGGCTCGTGTTTACGACTCCGAGTGGAACTGGGCTCGTCAGGACGCCTTGACTATGTATTACGACATCATTTTCGGTAAGCTTAAGCTTGTCGACCGTGAGATCGTTGCTAGATGCATTGCCATCATGAACCGCACCAATCCTACTTTGTTGGAGTTCATGCAGTACCACATTGACCACTGTCCTGCCGACAAGGGCGATACCTATCAGCTCGCCAAGGACTTGGGTCAGCAGTTGATCGCTAACTGCTTGGAGGCTGCTGACGCTGCCCCCGTCTACAAGGACGTCATGTACCCCACTGGCCCCAAGACTACCATCGATGCCAAGGGTGGCATGTCCTACTCTGAGGTTGCCCGCCCCGCCGTCCGCAAGCTCGAGGACTACGTTTCTGAGATGGCTGCTGGTGGCAAGATGACCGAGTACGGTAACCGTGCTAAGGTCCAGGCTGATCTCTCCAAGATCTACAAGCTCATCAAGACCAACGGAAAGATGTCTAAGTCCAGCAAGCTCCAGATGAAGGCTTTGTACGGTGATGTTCTCCGTGCCCTTGCCTTCAACGAGAACAAGATCCTCGGCGAGGGCTCTCCTAAGCCCTCTGCTGGTCGCAGGCAGAGCAGCGCTCGCCGCGGTACCCGCCCTGAGTTCGGTTCCGCCGCTGCGGCTAAGGCTTCTTCCAAGGCTAAGACTGAGACTATCCCCTTCTTGCACTTGAAGAGGAAGGAGGAGCACGGTTGGGAGTTTGACCAGCGCTTGACTTCCATCTACCTCAACTGTCTCGAGCAGGCCGCCAAGAACGGTGTCACCTTCCAGCACAAGAACGTCTTGATCACTGGTGCTGGTGCCGGTTCCATCGGTGCTGAGTTGCTTCAGGGTCTCATCAGCGGTGGTGCCAAGGTTGTCGTCACCACTTCTCGTTACTCTCGCGAGGTTACCGAGTTCTACCAGGGTCTTTTCGCTCGTTACGGTTCCAAGGGATCTTCCTTGATCGTTGTTCCGTTCAACCAGGGATCTAAGCAGGACGTTGACAAGCTCGTTGAGTACATCTACGATGAGAAGAACGGTCTCGGATGGGACTTGGACTACATTGTGCCCTTCGCTGCTATTCCCGAGAATGGCCGCGAGATCGACAACATCGACTCTCGCTCCGAGTTGGCTCACCGCATCATGTTGACCAACTTGCTCCGTCTTTTGGGTGGTGTTAAGGCTCAGAAGTTGGCCCGTGGCTTCGACACTCGTCCTGCCCAGGTTGTCTTGCCTATGTCTCCTAACCACGGTACTTTCGGTAACGACGGTCTTTACTCCGAGTCCAAGCTTGCTCTTGAGACCTTGTTCAACCGTTGGTACTCTGAGAGCTGGGGTGGTTATTTGACCGTTACTGGTGCCGTCATTGGATGGACCCGTGGTACCGGTCTCATGAGCGCCAACAACAGCATTGCTGAGGGTATCGAGTCCTTCGGTGTCCGCACCTTCTCTCAACAGGAGATGGCCTTCAACATCCTCGGTTTGATGGCTCCTGCTATCGTCAACTTGTGTCAGAACGAGCCTGTCTGGGCTGACTTGAACGGTGGTCTTCAGTTTTTGCCCAACTTGAAGGACTTGTCCTCCAAGCTGCGTCAGCAGCTCCAGGAGACTGCTCAGATCCGCCAGGCTGTTGCTGCCGAGAACGCCATTGAGCACAAGATTGTCAACGGTGCTGAGGCCGAGAGGTTGCACAAAAAGCACATCGTTCAGCCCCGTGCCAACTTGAAGTTCGACTTCCCCACCATCAAGAGCGCCAAGGAGCTTCAGCACCTTGCTCACATGAAGGGCATGGTCGACTTGGACCGCGTCGTTGTTGTTACTGGTTTCTCTGAGGTTGGTCCTTACGGTAACTCTCGTACCCGCTGGGAGTACGAGGCTGCCGGTGAGTTCTCCCTCGAGGGATGCATTGAGATGGCCTGGATTATGGGTTACATCAAGAACCACAACGGGCGTCTCAAGAACGGCAACACCTACTCCGGATGGGTTGACGCCAAGAGCGGTGAGCCGGTCGAGGACAAGGACGTTAAGGCTAAGTATGAGAAGCTCATTATCGAGCACACCGGTATCCGTCTCATCGAACCTGAGATCTTCCAGGGTTACGACCCCAAGAAGAAGCAGCTCATGCAGGAGGTTGTTATTGACCAGGACCTCGAGCCCTTCGTTACCTCCAAGGAGACTGCTGGTGAGTTCAAGCTTCAGCACGGTGACAAGGTCGAGATCTATGAGATCAAGGAGTCTGGTGAGTACCAGGTTATCTTCAAAAGGGGTGCTACTTTGGTCATTCCTAAGGCTCTTCGTTTCGACCGTCTTGTAGCTGGTCAAATTCCTACTGGCTGGGACCCCAAGAGGTACGGTATCGCCGACGATATCATCTCCCAGGTCGACCCTATTACCCTTTACGTCCTTGTCTCCACTGTTGAAGCTCTCGTTTCTGCCGGTATTGTCGACCCTTACGAGTTCTACAAGTACGTTCACGTTTCCGAGGTTGGTAACACCGCTGGTTCCGGTGTCGGTGGTATGACTGCTCTTCGTGGTATGTACAAGGATCGTTTCCTTGACAAGCCTGTCCAGAAGGATATTCTCCAGGAGTCGTTCATCAACACCATGTCCGCCTGGGTTAACATGTTGTTGCTCTCTTCTTCTGGTCCCATCAAGACCCCTGTTGGTGCTTGTGCTACTGCTGTTGAGTCCGTCGACATTGGTTACGACACCATCATCTCCGGCAAGGCCAAGGTCGTTGTTGTCGGTGGTTACGATGACTTCCAGGAGGAAGGTTCCTTCGAATTCGCCAACATGGGTGCTACCTCCAACGCCGAGCAGGAGTTCAAGCACGGACGTACTCCCAAGGAGATGTCTCGTCCTACTACCACCACCCGTAACGGTTTCATGGAGGCTCACGGTGCTGGTATTGAGATTCTCATGTCCGCCAAGCTTGCCATTGAGATGGGTGTTCCCATCTACGGTATCATTGGTGGCGTCTGGACCGCTACCGACAAAGAGGGTCGCAGTGTCCCTGCTCCCGGACAGGGTATCTTGGCTGCCACTACCAAGGAGGTTCCTTCCAAGTTCCCTTCGCCGCTTTTGGACATCAAATACCGTGCCCGTCAGCTTAACCTCCGCAAGGTTCAGATCAAGCAGTGGCAGGAGGCTGAGTACCAGTACTTGCAGGATGAGGTTGCTTCCGTGAAGGCTAACGCTTCTGAGGACTTTGACGAGAAGGCTTACATGGCTGACCGTGTTGAGAGCATTCAACGTGAGGCTCACCGTCAGGAGAAGGATGCCCTCAACTTGTGGGGTAACGACTTCTGGCGCCAGGATGCTCGCATCGCTCCCCTTCGTGGTGCCCTTGCCACTTGGGGTCTTACTGTGGATGACATCAACGTTGCTTCTTTCCACGGTACCTCCACCAAGGCCAACGACAAGAACGAGTCTGATGCTATTTCCAAGCAGCTTACTCATTTGGGCAGGAAGAAGGGTAACGCCGTTTTGGGTGTCTTCCAGAAATACCTCACCGGTCATCCTAAGGGTGCTGCCGGTGCTTGGATGTTGAACGGTGCTTTGCAGATCCTCAACACTGGTATTGTTCCTGGTAACAGGAACGCTGACAATGTCGACCGTTACCTTGAGCGCTTTGACAAGATCTTGTACCCCAACAGGACTATCCAGACTGATGGTGTCAAGGCTGTCTCCGTCACCTCTTTCGGTTTCGGTCAGGTTGGTGGTCAGGTTATTGCCATTCACCCCGACTACGTCCTCGCTACCCTCGAGGATGATGTCTTGGAGGCTTACCGTATCAAGGTTGCTGGTCGTTACAAGCAGAGCTACCGTCACCTTCACTCTGCCATGGCTAACAACAACCTCATTATCGCCAAGACTGCTCCTCCTTACACTCCCGAGCAGGAGACCTCTGTCTACCTTGACCCTACCGCTCGTGTCACCTACGACAAGAAGGTTGGTTCGTACACCTTCCCTGCGAAGTTCTCGCAGGTGCCGGACAAGAACAAGACTGAGGCGACCCGCAACATCGTTGAGAAGCTTGCCTCGGCTACCGCCGGTACTGGTGCGAACATCGGTGTTGACGTTGAGCTGATCTCTTCCGTCAACATCGACAACGAGAACTTCGTTGAGCGCAACTTCACTGCCGCAGAGCAAGAGTACTGCAGCAAGGCTCCTTCCCCGCAGTCTAGCTATGCCGGATCTTGGTCAGCCAAGGAGGCTGTGTTCAAGTGCTTGGGTGTCAAGAGCCAGGGTGGCGGTGCCAGCCTTCTCGACATCGAGATCTTGAGGGATGAGAAGGGTGCACCTACTGTTAAGCTTCACGGCGAGGCTGAGAAGGCTGCTTCCGCGGCCGGTGTCAAGAATGTGAAGGTCAGCATCTCCCATGACGACTTCCAGAGTGTCGCGGTTGCTGTGAGCGAGAAATAGATGTGTGGTACAAGTATAGTTGAAAGGCAATGAAGCGGCATAATCCTGAGATGTATTCTCGTCGGCCACGGTTTAGGGCGATTTTTTGGTTTATATAGTTAGTATTTGGTATTGCATTTTTTAGGAAAGGTCAAGAAATCTATTCTAAAGTATTTCTCTTCAAGCTTACGGTTCTTTGTCCCAAGCCCTGCTTAGGTATCTGCAATTGCTTGACTGGCATGAAGGTTGACGACAACATTTTACAAACAGACATCATAATTATCTGCATTGTACGAAACCGTGTTGAGCTTGCATTTGTCCATGGTCCTTTGAACTCTCGCCTTGTTCCCTCATGCTACCATTTGTCCAAGTGCAGAAAGATCTCGCAGGTGTAGCATATGGGTGTCCAGTGCGTGGGAAAGCAGAAACGGCGCCGGCACTTTTGCTGCGACTCTAAGATTTAGATAGGCTAAACGATTACGATGACCTGTTTCATTTTGTAACTTGATCAACGTTGGAAGAGCGTGGGAATCCCTTACTCAAGATGCGTCGGGGATCATGGTTATAAGCTTCGCGGCACACGGTAACAAAGCGATTTCCATCACAGGCATGAAAAAGGAGTACAAGCAGACGAAAATGCGCTCTTATTAAACAGACTTGCAAGGAATATAATAATCACGAAAAGTCAATTAACACCGCGCCAAAGCTTAGTCACCCAGTTTCTAGCTCACCCGGCCTTTAACGCTCTAAAACAAGAAGAAAGACACATAAACGTACAATTACTCAATTTCCCGTATGCTTATCCTTTTCCATGTCACCCTTAGATGAGAGCCACGGCGACACCACCCAAGACACCGGCCAAACCACCGACAACGACCTTCCACTCACCGAGACGCTTGACGCGGGCGGCGCCGGAGGAAGTAGAGCCGGAAGCCTCGGCGGAGGAGCCAGAGGTGGACTTGGAGGAGGAACCACTGGAGGTAGCAGAAGCAGGGGAATCTGTAACTGTACCAGTACCAGCGGTACCGGCCTCCTTCAACAAAGCGGAGCAAGTACCAGTGGCAGAGGCAGAAGAGGTAGTAGCCGCCAACCCACCGAAGTCACAAGCCTGAGCAGAGGAGCCCTGAGCCTGGTAGTAAGCGTTCATGACGAAAGACAACTGCTGCTCGGAGGTACACATGGAGTAAGCTCCGTAAGAACCAGAGGTTCCGTTGGCGGTGATACCACCACAGTAGTCACCGAGACCACAGATGTAGCCGAAGAGGTCAGCGATGGAGGTGTCGTTGATACCAGAGGAGGCACCGCAGGAGAGGGAGGAGACCATGCACTCACACAACAACGCGTTCGGCGTAGGAGGGAGAGGAGAGGCGGCGGCTTCCCAGTCAGTCGTGGTAGGGCAGGAAGCAGCAGTGTTGGTGGGGGTGTAAGTAGAGGACATGACAGTGGTGGGGGAAACCTTGGCGAGCTGGGTCTTGAGGTTGTTGTAGTCGGTCAAGGTGGTGGCAGCGCCGTCAGAACCAATGGAGACAAGACCGTAGTCGTTCTCAGTCTGGAACCACTGGTAAACGATACCTCCAGACCAGACACCAGTCATGTTAGAACCGTAGATGGCCTGGACCTCAGTGAAGGGACGGGGAGTGACAGTGTTGCAACCGAACTCGGACATGAACAAGGGGACAGAGAAGTTGGCAAACTCGGCGGTACGCTCAGAGTAGCCCGACTCGGTGTAGGAAGAGTCACCACACCATTCGTAGATGTTAACACCGTAGAAATCGACAGAGGTGGAGTTATCACCGCAGTTGAAGTACTCGGCCATGGGGATACGGGTGTCAGAGTCATCGTTGGTGGAGTAACCGACAGGAACGGAACGGTAACCCTTAGAAGTCATGTAGGACTTCACGTCGCGGACGGCAGCCTTCACAAATGCGGAAGCATCAGTGTTGGAAGCGTTGTTGGTGACCTCGTTACCAGCGAAGAAACCGGCGACGTTGGTGTAGTTGGCGAGAGCGTCAACGACGGAAGTGTAACGGTCGTACAACTCGGTGTTCCATGCGGGAGAGTCGCGATCAATGGACTCGGAGGGCTCAGACAAGTCAGAGAAGATGTAGATACCGGCATCGGCGAAAGCCTCGATACAGCCAGTGTGATCCAAGGAGGTGTTAATGGCGTAAACACGGATGCTGTTAATGCCCAATGGCTCCATCAGCTTGACGTCACGCTGACACGCGGTGGTGTCGGCCAATGGGTCAACAAAGGTCTCATCGGCGGAGGTGGTGTTTGAGACGTCGTTCTGGTAAGCAACACCACGAACGTAGAATTGCGAACCGTTGTTGGAGTAGAAGAACTTGTTTCCGAGGATCTCGATGGCGGGGAGGGAGGTCGCAGCAGAAACGACAGAGGTGAATGCCGCAGCGGCGGCAAGAAGGGAAAACTTCATTGTGCGATTTCGGCCGGGAGTGGGATGGATGCTAACCAGCAGCTCGGTAGGTCGATGTAAATGATAGGCAGAGATTGCGTAGTGAAGGAGAGGATGCTGCTATGCCCGACCTTGACGTTGACCTTGACGGGGGTTGTGTCGGAGGAGCAATTCACTTGGTTTTATTCTATGCAGCAGTCTGCTGGGCGGCGGCCGCTCTCGCCAGTGTTTGGGTGTTAGGGGGATTGGTCCCCTTGGAGACGCGCGCCAGCTGAAATTGCCGAGAGTTCCCATCTTGGCGAGACAGAGGCAGAGGAGGCGACCGACATGTAACGGGAGTCCTCTGTCCGCATCAATTCCTGTCGCTATTCTCCGACATACTTGTGAATCTGCTTCAAACAAGGTCCTCACCCTTTTTCGAATTCCATTTGTGCGTTACAGTGCACGTTGCACCTGGTCAAGGCATACCCGGCTCGAAGCTCTAACAATTCAACCGCGACCCGCATTTCGAGCAACGGCTTCCACCGGACCGAGATCCACGACCTTGCCGAGCATACCAAGGTAGCTAAACCTGCTGTAGCTGCTGATATCAAGGAGACTGGACTGATCCGGACTTGGCAATTCCCACACTCGAGGTCCATGATGTCTTCGTACGTAGGTCGTCTCCGATAATAGTACTGCATTCATACGCCCTCGATGATTGCAAGGTTACATACAGGTGATGAATGACGTACGACTCCGCATCGAACCCTACTCCATCTGATTCTGGCAACCAAACCGAAGACGATCGATCAATCGCTGTTTTTTTCTCGATGTTGCATCTTACACGTGTTGCTAAAATTAGAAGTAATCTCTCGCGCGCGCGTTGCCGCCGCCAAGAAATTCGAAGAAAACAGCGCGTCAACCCGAGATTCTCCCCAAGGAGACAGCTTTGACCATGCCGGAACTGGCCCGCATGGGTGCCGAGACGTAACGTTGAGAGATAGGTTCTGAGCCGGTCTGTAGAGTTACGAGTGTAGCTATATATGTAATACCAGGCTGATCTGGCAGCGAGGGGAGGTTTGATTAGTGCAAGGATCCACGCACTTGGGCTTTCATACGCGCGCGAGGGAAGCCTTCAACGTAGGTGGTGCTCGGGTGCTCGAGGAAGAGAAGGCAGAAGGTGACGGGAAAAGGGTCGAGAAGAGCTGGGAAAACGGCAGTGAAGAGGTAAAATAGCTTAGCATAGACCCTGCTCTTTTCCCTGTCGTATCGTCCTCGAATCTGCGTATCGCTGGCTTAACAACAGCTGTTTACTTCCTGCTCGGACTAGTCTAGTTTCTTCGTACCCCTAACATACACACCCAGGTCCCCCCTTCGAAGAAAATGAGGCTTCAAATCAGTCCCGGGCCACCCAGGTCAGACCGAAATCGCCACACCGTCTAGAAGTATACTGCTTCTCCAGCACCTCTCCCCCTAGAAGAAACGACTGTTTGATTCTCAAGCTCGTCGTCTTCACCCTTTCTCACTTCTCTTTTGCCAAGCGAACCGGTTTCGTGAACGCATTTGGAGAAAGAAGTCGACCACTCTCGATCGTTTGACGACTTGACTTTTGAGAAGAAGGGGAGCATACATTCCTGTTTTCTCACTCTCGTTCGGCCGACATCTTATCGCCATCTACTCAATCATTTTAAGAACAGAGCAGCTTGTTAGGTTGATTGTACGTTTTTCCTTATCTCGTTACAATTTCGACCGTGTATTGACCGAGATGATGAACAGTTTTCGCAACGTTTTAAACAATGTCGCATCCTCAGCAATACGACGACCAGTACGCTCCGGCTCAACAGACCGACTCGTACTACGGCGAGGACGGCTACGATCAGCACGGTCAGCTTAACGCCCAGTACGCCCAGGACGACGGGTACGTTGCTCAGGGTCACGGATACGCCGACGGACACGCCGACGGACAGGGCTACTACGAGGACTCCGAAGTCGGAGACTCTTACTACGGCCAGCAGGGCCAATATGCCCAGGACCAGGGTTACTATCGTCAGGATGGTTACGCTGAGGACTACCCTCACGATGCATACCCTGCCGACTCTTCTTCTCACTTGCCCGTTCCCCGCGGCAAGGGCAAGATGAGGGGTGACGAGGACGAGTCTGAAACTTTCTCTGACTTCACCATGAGGAGCGACCAAGCTCGCCACCCGGACATGGATGCTTACGCTTCCGACCCCAGGTATCAGTCCTACGGTCCTTCTACGGACTCTTTGTCCCAGATGGCCGGTGACGGTCGTCGTGGATACCGTCCGGACTCCAGCCAGCTTTCCTTCAACGGTAACCGCTCCTCCGGTGTCTCTACCCCCGTCTACGGTACCGACTACGCCGCTGCTGCCCAATCTCGCTCTCGCGAGCCTTACCCCGCCTGGACCGCCGACAACCAGATCCCTCTTCGCGCCGAGGAGATTGAGGACATCTTCATCGACTTGGCCAACAAGTTCGGTTTTCAACGGGACAACATGCGTAATATGTTCGACCACTTGATGACTTTGCTTGACTCTCGTGCGTCGCGTATGACAGCTAACCAGGCTTTGCTCAGCTTGCACGCCGATTACATTGGTGGTGACAACGCCAACTACCGCAAGTGGTACTTCGCTGCTCAGTTGGACATGGACGACGCCGTTGGCTTCGCCAACATGAAGATCGGTAAGGCTTCTCGTAAGGTTAAGAGGGCCGCTAAGAAGAAGAAGGCCCAGGCTGACTCTGGCGATGTCGAGGGTACCCTTGCTGCTTTCGAGGGTGACAACTCCCTTGAGGCCGCCGAGTACCGCTGGAAGACCAAGATGAATCAGATGAGCCAGCATGACCGTTGTCAGCAATTGGCTTTGTACCTCATGTGCTGGGGTGAGGCAAATCAGGTCCGTTTCACTCCTGAGGCACTCTGTTTCATCTTCAAGTGCTGTGACGACTACCTTCGCTCCCCCGAGTGCCAGAACATGACTGAGCCCGCTGAGGAGGGCAAGTACCTCACCGAGGTTATCACCCCTCTTTACAGGTTCATGCGTGACCAAGGTTACGAGATCAACGATGGCAAGTACGTCCGTCGTGAGCGTGACCACAAGTCCATTATTGGTTACGATGATATCAACCAGTTGTTCTGGTATCCCGAGGGTATCAAGCGCATCCAGCTCAACGACAAGACCCCCTTGATTGACATCCCTGCCTCTGAGCGTCTCCACAAGTTGCACGATGTCAATTGGGGCAAGGCTTTCTTCAAGACCTATAAGGAGTCTCGTTCTTGGTTCCACATGGCTACCAACTTCAACCGTATCTGGGTCATCCACGTCTCTACTTTCTGGTTCTACACTGCTTACAACTCGCCTACTCTCTACACCCACAACTACGTTCAAACCCAGGACAACAAGCCTCCTAGGGCTGCTTACCTTGGTGCTGTCGGTTTCGGTGGTGCTATCGCTTCGTTCTTGATGATTGTCGCCACTCTCTGTGAATGGCGTTACGTTCCCCGTGCATGGGCTGGTGCGCAGCACTTGTCCAAGAGGTTGTTGTTCATCTGTATCATCTTCGCTATCAACTTGGCTCCCGGTATTTACATCTTCTCCTTGAGCGAGTCTGGCCAGGAGGGCAAGATCGCCGTGATTGTCGGTGTTGTTCACTTTATCATCGCGCTCATTACGTTCTTCTTCTTCGCTATCATTCCGCTCGGTTCTCTGTTCGGGAACTACTTGACTGGGAAGTCCAGGCGTTACGTTGCGTCCCAGACCTTCACGGCTTCGTACGCTAGGTTGACAGGTAAGGACATGTGGATGTCGTACGGTCTCTGGGTTCTTGTCTTCCTTTGCAAGCTCATCGAGTCCTATTGGTTCTTGACCCTTTCCATCAAGGACCCCATCCGTGTCTTGTCTACCATGACCATCGAGAACTGCCCCGGAGACAAGATCTTGAAGAACTACCTTTGCCGTCGTCACGGTAAGATTCTCTTGGGTATGATGTACCTCGTTGACTTGGTTTTGTTCTTCTTGGATACCTTCTTGTGGTACATTATCTGGAACACCATCTTTTCCGTCGCTCGTTCCTTCTACCTCGGTATCTCCATCTGGACTCCCTGGAGGAACATATTCTCTCGTTTGCCCAAGCGTATCTACTCCAAGATCTTGGCTACCAACGACATGGAGATCAAGTATAAGCCCAAGGTTTTGATCTCTCAGATCTGGAACGCTGTCGTTATCTCCATGTACCGCGAGCACTTGTTGGCCATTGACCACGTCCAGAAGTTGTTGTACCACCAGGTTCCCTCTGAGCAGGAGGGTAAGAGGACTCTCCGCCCCCCTACCTTCTTCGTCAGCCAGGAAGACCACTCCTTCAACACTGAGTTCTTCCCTGCGCACTCTGAGGCTGAGCGTCGTATCTCTTTCTTCGCTCAGTCCTTGTCTACTCCTATCCCTGAGCCTCTTCCGGTTGACAATATGCCTACTTTCACTGTTTTGGTTCCCCACTACAGTGAGAAGATCTTGTTGTCCCTTCGTGAGATTATCCGTGAGGAGGATCAATTGTCCCGTGTCACTCTTTTGGAGTACTTGAAGCAGCTTCACCCTGTCGAGTGGGAGTGCTTCGTCAAGGACACCAAGATCTTGGCTGAGGAAACCGCTGTTTTCAACGGCGCCGGACCCTCTCCTTTCGAGAAGGATGAGAAGGACGCTGTCAAGAGCCAGATTGATGACTTGCCTTTCTACTGCATTGGTTTCAAGAGCGCTGCTCCTGAGTACACTCTCCGTACCCGTATCTGGGCTTCACTCCGTTCCCAGACTTTGTACCGTACTGTTTCTGGTTTCATGAACTACGCCAAGGCCATCAAGCTCTTATACCGTGTTGAGAACCCCGAGGTCGTTCAGATGTTCGGTGGTAACACTGATAAGTTGGAGCGTGAGCTCGAGCGCATGGCTCGTCGCAAGTTTAAGTTCTTGATCTCTATGCAGCGTTATTCTAAGTTCAACAAGGAGGAGCAGGAGAACACCGAGTTCTTGCTCCGTGCTTACCCCGACTTGCAGATTGCCTACTTGGACGAGGAGGCCCCTCTCGAGGAGGGCGAGGAGCCCCGTATCTACTCATGCTTGATTGACGGTCACTCCGAGATCATGGAGGATGGCAAGCGTCGTCCTAAGTTCCGTGTTCAGCTCTCTGGTAATCCCATCTTGGGAGACGGAAAGTCCGACAACCAGAACCACGCCATTATTTTCTACCGCGGTGAATACATCCAGCTTATCGATGCTAACCAGGACAACTACCTTGAGGAGTGTCTTAAGATCCGTTCCGTTCTTGCTGAGTTCGAGGAGTTGTCTCCTGACAACAACAATGTCTCTCCTTACACTCCTGGTCTTGCTCCTCAGACTACCAACCCCGTGGCCATTCTCGGTGCTCGTGAGTACATTTTCTCTGAGAACGTTGGTGTCCTCGGTGACGTTGCTGCCGGAAAGGAACAGACCTTCGGTACCTTGTTCGCTCGTACTTTGGCTCAGATCGGTGGTAAGCTCCACTACGGTCACCCTGATTTCTTGAACGGCATTTTCATGACTACACGTGGTGGTGTCTCTAAGGCTCAGAAGGGATTGCACTTGAACGAAGATATCTACGCCGGTATGAACGCTTTCATGCGTGGTGGTCGTATCAAGCACTGTGAGTACTACCAATGTGGTAAGGGTCGTGACCTGGGTTTCGGATCTATTCTCAACTTCACCACCAAGATCGGTACTGGTATGGGAGAGCAGATGTTGTCTCGTGAGTACTACTACCTCGGCACTCAGCTTCCTCTCGACCGTTTCTTGTCTTTCTACTACGCCCACCCTGGTTTCCACATCAACAACTTGTTCATCATTTTGTCTGTGCAGCTCTTCATGATCGTCCTTCTCAGCATTGGTGCGTTGAAGCACGAAGTCACGCTCTGTGTTGTCGCTTCGGGTGCCCCGATTACCGACCCTCTCGTGCCTACTGGATGTTACAACGTTCACCCCATCATTCAGTGGGTCAAGCGTTGTATCTTGTCCATTTTCATCGTGTTCTTCATCGCTTTCGTCCCTCTCGTTGTTCAGGAGCTTACTGAGCGTGGTTTCTGGCGTGCGGCTACCCGTCTCGCCAAGCACTTCGGTTCTCTTTCCCCCTTGTTCGAGGTGTTCGTCTGTCAGATCTACTCGCACTCCTTGTTGACCAACTTGGCACTCGGTGGTGCTCGTTACATCGGTACTGGACGTGGTTTCGCTACTGCGCGTATGCCCTTCTCTATCTTGTACTCTCGTTTCGCCGGTCCCTCGATCTACCTTGGTGCGCGATCGATCATGATGTTGTTGTTCGCCACTATGACTACTTGGGTCGTCCACTTGGTCTACTTCTGGGTTTCATTGTTGGCTTTGTGTATTTCGCCTTTCGTCTTCAACCCTCACCAGTTCTCTTGGACCGACTTCTTCGTGGATTACCGTGAGTTCATCCGCTGGTTGTCTCGTGGTAACTCTCGTTCGCACGCCAACTCCTGGATCGGTTACTGCCGTTTGTCTCGTACCCGTATCACTGGTTACAAGCGCAAGGTCCTTGGTCTTCCTTCTGAGAAGTTGTCCGGTGACATTCCTCGTGCTGGTTTTGGCAACATCTTCTTCAGCGAGGTTCTCGGCCCCATTCTGTTGGTCTGCCTCACCCTCATCCCCTACTTGTTCATCAACGCCCAGACCGACACTGGAGGTGCTGAGCCTACTAACGGTCTTATTCGCGTTGCCCTTCTGTCCTTGGCTCCTATCGCTGTCAACGCTGGTGTCGCTATGATGTTCGGTGCTATGGCCTGTTGTATGGGTCCTCTTTTCTCTGTCTGCTGCAAGAAGTTCGGTGCTGTCCTTGCTGCCATCGCTCACGCCATTGCTGTTATTATCCTCATCATTTGTTTCGAGGCGATGTGGTACTTGGAGAACTGGTCTTTGGCTAAGGCCATTCTTGGTATGATTTGCTCCACCGCCATCCAGCGTTTCGTCTACAAGCTCATCATCTGCCTCTGCTTGACTCGTGAGTTCAAGCACGATAGTTCCAACTTGGGATGGTGGACTGGTAAGTGGTACGGCCGCAACCTTGGTGGACATGCCTTCTCTCAGCCACTTCGTGAGTTCGCTTGCAAGGTCTCTGAGCTTGGTCTCTTCTCTGCCGACTTCTTGTTGGGACACATGATCCTCTTCATCTTGCTCCCGGCCTTGTGTATTCCTTACATTGACCGCTGGCACTCGATGATGCTCTTCTGGCTTCGTCCTTCCCGCCAGATTCGTCCTCCTATTTTCTCCCTCAAGCAGAACAAGTTGCGCAAGCGTATTGTTAGGAGGTACGCGACCCTTTACTTCGCTATCTTGATTGTCTTCTTGGCTCTCATCGTCGCTCCCTTGATTGAGGGCAAGAACTGGGGTACTGGTGTTAGCATTCCGGAAGACTTGCGTCAGCCTGCGTTGACCAGGACTCATCTTTCCTACACCAGGAAGACCGCCTCTTGGGCCACGACCACCACGACTGCCGCTTAAGCGGCCTAGCTTTAAGTTTGCTTTTAGAGTTACGGACATGGGTTTTTATTGCACTGTTTCTGTTCCGGTGCTTTGTACTTAGATCGCTATTGCTGTTAAATTGACATGAATCTTTCACATATATTGAACAGACCTACCTACGCCTACGCTGCACCTTCCTTACTTTTGTGTTCACATATCAATGAACCCTGTTTCGGTTTTGTTCACGCTGTTGTTACGGACGGGTAGTACCACGATGTCAGACCAGCACTTACTCAGGCCTCATCTGGTCAAGATGCATGTTACTTGCCCATACTGGCGTCACGGCTAGGAAAATACGCAATTCACGAAATTGGGTAGCCGGTCCCTCGAGAACGGGTGCGTTCAAACGGTTGCGCTCATGATCATGATCAGGCCCAGGATCTGCGAAAGGGCCCGAGTGTCGATAATGTTGGAGACTTGCTGCCGGGCGATCCATGGCTATATGTTGTCTACCTAGGTAATTTAAATTTGAGGGGGCCCAATCAACATACCAGGTAAGCGAGGACGGCATGGGTTTATGTGAAGCAGGATAACCCACTTCATGCGACGTCGTTAGTGTTTGACAATGGGCGCACCGAAATGGGGAGTGGTCACACAGGGACGTTGACGAAGAGTATCTGGCAGGTCTAAGATCAGATGTAGAGGGGCCCAGGTTGTTTGTCACTTCTGCCGAAGAAATAAGACCATCGAAACACATGGCAACGTCGGAGTTTGACGGATATCTGCGTGCGAGGGCATGGTAGACAACATCTGGGCATTGAGACATGAGCATAATTCTTACTACGTCGAGGAGTTCGGGTACATTGCAGCTCTAGATTTGTTGCAGTTGCTGCATTTGCGTCCGCGGTCGGCGCAACCGCACGCGTGTCAATTGGCCATGGCTTTAACCGCATGGCCAAGTAACGAGCTCAATACACCAACGCGTACGTAGGCAACCGTGAATTCAAATCCTCGGTATACGTTTACGGCGCATATAAGCCTAGTCAGCCGCGTATATTCTCATGACCAAGCAGCACCTACTCTCGTCCAGCTCAAGCCCGGGCAGAACTCAGGACTATGCCGGTGTTGGGACAGAGCACCCCTTCCATAGAACTCCTCCGGCTGTGCTTTCAACGAGCTGCTTCCGATCCGCGTGATCGGCTCAAACTGCCAAAGTCAGAAGCTGACAAGAAACTTCTGATTGCTCCAGCACTAGAAAGCTCCCTCGAGGAATGTAGAAACTCAAAGTCGTACGCCTCATCGGAGCTCCTTCGAATTGAGGCACTCCCGCCGGTGGTGTTTCGGACGTACCAAATACCCCTCTGCGAGGACATGTACATACAGCTAGGAATCTACATGTAGTAGCTTCTATTCCGCGTGCGATTACTTCTGCGCACCTACCCGCGGATGTAAGGACTTAACCTGTGGGGATATGAAAACCGGACAAGTATCACCGGCTAGTAGATACATACGGGTCCTACGAGAAGCGAAGACGGCGGCGCAGTGCGTCAACGGATGAATACTAAGGGTCCTGGAAAATGTGATGTGGCGGAGGATTATAGAAGTACCGGAACTACAGACCCGGCTTATCCGACGATCGTTACAGCGGCAGCATCAACAGTGACACGTTTTTCGAGAAGGATTTGGTGTAGAGGAAAAGGTCCTTCACAGGAAGCAATGATTGGTGCTTGGCCACACGGCACCCCAGCCATGGATGATCGAGATGATGTCAAAGCCATGCTTGCCCTCTGTCCGTCTTCTGTCAAAGTTTACTCCCCGTCTGCTTAGACCTGCCTCGTGCCGTCTGCTACGAATTTCCAGCCGGGGTTTCGAGGATCGTATTTTACTCACTGATCGGTGAATTGCGCAAGAAAGCAGGGTTGCGGAGCCGTACATTAGCAGTGCGGCCACTTGACCCCCAGGGGTCTCGGACCATCAGGGTCCTTGTGAAGCCTCAGCCGAGCTTATCAACATATTATGAATGACGTTGGTGCCACCCTATGCCTCGTTCTTCCAAAGCATTCTTTGCCTGAATTTCTTGCCTTTCAATTGAATGCGGCCGGCTTGAAGTCGGTGCCCACCGGGGCGAGGCGCCGGCGTCCAGTCATGCAAACACCGACCAACCAATCAGGCCATGCAAAGCGTATTGGAAGGCGACCGCTACAGCTTGCATAACAGTCGTTGGGGGAGGGGTATTCCAGGCGAAAGGCAGTTTGATCTGTGCCAAGACAGCTCTCTCACTGTTCCTTCGGCGTCTGATACCTGTCAATCGCAAAAATGGTCGCACCAAACCGCCGTAGATGCACAGAACCAGCAACGATCTTGCTGCGGGCACGTTTATCAAAGTCTAGATCTACAATGAGGCCAGGGTCATTTCCCCACGACGATGCTGACTGATCTACTCCACGTGCTTGCTAATCATTAAGTATCGTTCGCATGGCCTGACCGAGGATCCGGAAATGCCTCGGAATTCTCGCCATGTGCTCTGGAGCGCTTATGTGAGCAACCCCTGCGAGCTCGAATGGTTGGCCATGGGAGCTTTCCTCGATCCGGGCATTTCACGATTAGCAAGGGTCTAGGCTGAGCGGACAGTACGAGCCGCGTGGTTCCTTGTAGGAGAGCTCCTGGTAGTGCGAACTCAAAACAAAGTAGAACATTTTTGCGCTTTGGCCCCTCTGGGGGGCGCCGGCTCGAGTGGCTCAGCGTAGGCCCGTTGCACCAAAAGTACCAATTAGCGCGACAAGTCTTCAAAACGGTACATACCCTTTCATTCGAAGGCAAAGTCTCACCACTTTGGAACGGAGTAATTTAGAAAGTACAGTTCGAACAAAGAGCTTCGAGACTTGAAACAACGCAGATCCGCGGCTGAACAGGCATGATCGCGGGGTCCGTTGGTTCATAACACCGGACGGCTAGAAGCCCTGGGGGCCACCTGTGAGCCTTGGCTGTTCCCGAACTTACAAGTGCTCATGCCGGCTTATGCCACGAAGACCACATGGTCCCTGTGGCTGATGGGAGGACGCTGCCCTCCGCGATCGTCTTTATACCGATGTTTCCTCGATTGCGTTCTCCCGTCAACATATCTGCGCTCCCTTAAGTACACGCCCGGCCCTACTTTAACAGTATAGAGGTTCACCATGGCACGTAAGAAGATTCAGATCAAGAAGATCGAGGATCCGAAGGTCAAGACGGTATGTCGGATCGCGTCTCACGGTTCAATTGAATGGGTACTAACTCGGTGATAAGGTAACCTTTGCCAGGCGTCGCAATGGATTGCTCAAGAAGGCCCACGAACTCTCAGTTTTGTGCGATACACGAATTGCAATTGTGATGTTCGACGCGAAGGACATGTGCCATGTTTACCACACCGACAAGAACTCATCGGCAGACGAACAGTTGAAGCGATATCTCAACAAGTCGTTTGCCACTATCGACCCTCGGAGAAATTATGAGACACCGGACTTTGCTCAAGAAGACCCTTCGTATGTCAATTCTTCCCTTGGGTCATATGTGTGCATATTTAACCTTTGATCCGCAGAACAGCACCAGTATGGCGAGTTCAACAGAGCAATGTCGCGATCGTCAACACCTACGAAGTGCTACCAGCACCAGGGCAGGGCGAATCGAATGACGGAGGTAATGGCGAGGACGATGGTGACGATATGGACGGATCGGAGCAACTCTGCGTTCGCTCCAAGCGGTCATACCACACCAATGAATCTCAGCCTGACGTTCAGAGCCCGTTCTTCCAGGGACTACAGTCTCCACCTGTTAGTGATGTTGTGACTCCGGTCGCTGAGGAAGAGCTTTTCTCTCCCACGGCGGTGAGCGTCAGCAGTAGATTCTCTACACCAGACCACTCTGGGCTCTGCATTATGCCGGAGTCTCCAATGTCTTCACAAACCCCGGTCTCTCCTGCGGCATCTATGTCACAACATCAAATGCAATGGACAGGCCAGTCTACCTTCTGGCCTCAGCAGCAGCAGCAAACGCAACAGTATCAGATGATGCAGCAGTCTGTTAGAAGAGCAACAATCGCCCCAACTACTCGGCCTGTTCTTCAGCGTGCGCAGTCCACACCTGTGATCAGGAGATCATCTCATGTGATGTACATGAGTCAGCAGCAAGCCATTCAGGCAGCTGCACACCAGGCTCTGATGCAAAGCATGCCTTCAGTCGGTGATATGCAGTTCCAGGCTATCCCTATGCGACGGGTGTCGACTGAGCGTGCTCAGGTGCCACGCTCTGTACCACCTCAGCTCGCTGGACACCCTTACCCGAACTTGGTGCAGAGACAGTTGTCGCAATCCCAACTGCCCTCGCCGAACCCGTCGGTTTCGGGTATGTCAACAATCAAGTTCGGAGCCGTGCCTATGGTGAGGGAGGAGACGCTGTCGCCTACTGAGGAGATTGCTGCTCCCTTCTTCTCGTCGCAACCCCTTCCAACCCCCAGTCAATCGACAGGCATGGAGAACCTTGGCCTTGCACCTCCACAAGCATTCTCACACCAGCGCGGACTGAGTGTCCTTGATGACATCGCAAACTTTCAGGCCGAGATCGACGCGTCACTGGCGCTTGATCACGCGATGAAGCAAGAGGACGCGTCGGTGGATGCCGTGGAGAAATGGCTTTCGCAGGATATGAAGGTGGAGACTGCTTACGTGCCGGGCACGGACTTGACAGTGATGGATACGGAGAACACGAATGCTGCAATGATGGCATGGTAGGATATGAGCATACACGATCGACGGAGGGCTGGTGAACAGGATATGTTGCATGGGCGGAACGGAGAGAGCATCGGTCACGGAGTCTATATTACTTGGGATACCCGGCATTGAACCACTTTGAGACTTTAAACTTGCTAGCTATAGCCATTAGCTCAGCTTTATCTGCATTCTTTTATCGATTTATGGCACTGTTCCAGTACTGCCTTCTGCTGCCTTTTGATTGACGTCGGTGTGCTTGTTGCCTGCAGCGGAAGCAGTCGAAGTCCATCTCCTCATGGAACCGAGCGCACCTCATACAACTCCAGCAAACCGCAGCGAACGTGCTTAAGGGAGCGGTGATAGCATCCTGGAAGTCTCGGTTAAGCTCCTGTATATACGCTCAATAGTTCCACTCATCATAGCAGACCGGCCATTGGCAGACGCGTCGCTGGAAGACGCGGGCTATGGACGTCCTCTACCTGTCCATCGACGATGAGCAGCAGTTCTTCGCAGGTATATGCGTATCCTTTAATACGTACAGTCCGCGACTAAGTTGTCTTTAGAGCTGGACGATATTGTCAACTCACCCATCCACTCGCGAGATCAGGTCGACAACACCGTCACCTCTTTCGTCCGCTTCGCAGCACAGTTCAGAGAACAGTACCTCCAAACAACACACGCAGTATGCCGCGTTTCATTCAAACTGATGGATTCGTCTCTGTATGAACCAAATGCGTCTCATATTCGCAAACTTCTCATCAGGCTTGCTCTACTCCCTGAATGCGCATCGTCGATGCTCTACATGATATTGGCGTTGCTATTTCTGGACGGGCGCACGCATCCCAAGACATACAGGGCAATGAACAAACACGGGATGTTTGGGAAGTTGATCGAAACTGTCAAGCACGGGGAGGACGCACAGTTGCAGAGGATGGGATTGGAGCTGCTTTACGAGATGTGCCGAGTTCAGAAGGTCGGGAGACGGGAGCTAGGTGAGCGTAAGCAAGAGCATAACTGGATGACTGATGCTTACTCTCCTTGCAGAATCTATCGATGTCGAGTTCCTCGTCTATCTCTTCAGTTTCGTCGAGGACATGTCCGACGAACACGATATCCATTCCTACGCTGTTCTCAAGGTGATTCTTGTTCTCAATGAACAATACATGGTCGCATCTTTACCATCACAAAAAGATCAAGTCAGTGCGTTTGACATTGCTTCGCCGGCTCCGTCGAAGCCAGGCACACCTTTACCGCCGTTATCGAACAAGGTCATGGAGCTATTGTCGGTGAGGGGTTCGGAATTCAAGGCGTTTGGAGAGAACATCATCTTCCTCTTGAATCGAGAGCGTATGTAGCACCTCCAGGATCACTCTGAGCATTTAACTGACAAGAAATCTAGGTGAAACATGTCTTCAGCTCCTAGTTTTGAAGTTTCTTTACTTAACCTTCACCACGCCTGAAACATACGAATACCTCTATACAAATGACCTGCGAGTGCTTGTGGATGTGTTCATCAGAGAGTTATACGACCTTCCAGACGAAGCCCAAAGTCTGCGGCACACATATCTCCGAGTGTTGTATCCGCTGTTAAGTCACACACAGCTACGACATGCTCCACACTACAAGGCAGATCAACTACGAAAGTTGTTACTCTGTCTCAACGGCACGGCACGAAGCGCACATTTCCAAGCAGTGGATGCGACCACAATCCGACTTGTCAGTCGCTGTGCGAAGGTGTCGTGGTTGGAGATGCCGCAGGAAGTCAAAGTTCAGGAAAAGGAGCTGGATGAACTCAGCAAGAAAATGGAAAGATTGGGTGCTAGCTTGGGGCGGAAAGAGTCGGGCAGTGCTACGAGTGTTGCAGCAGTCGCTGTTGTTCAGAAACCACCACCCGGAAAGGTAACGCCACGAAAGATGCCGCCTCCTCCGCCGCCGGGAAGACGGCACAGAAATGGGCAGTGTACGCCGACGATCGCGGTTGAATGATGAACTGCGGCGATCATTTTGAATCTTTGACATTGGGTATTTTGCAGCTGGGGAGTACGGTGCTTTGTTACGGGAATCTTGGCGTTTCAAGTACCTTTTTCTGGTTTTATTCGGGCATACAGGGTATTTTATATAATATAATCATTTCAAACCAAAGAGTACGTCCATGTTGACCTTCTGCTTCTTCATCTTGACCCCAGCCCTTTCGGAAGTTGGGGGTGGTCTTGACTTCGCCGGCTCTTGTCTCTCTTGTTTAGTGACAGCAACGAGTATCGTCCGTCTCATATAACAAAATACAACGTTCTTCGTCGCGCTCTTCTTGCCGATGTTCCTTCCGAACTGTCTAGGTACTTCGGCACGTACCTCCAGCAAAGGCACACCATCTCTCGCGATCGGCAGGCAGTCCCAGTACTTCGCTTGCAAAGACGGGATATCGCCCTCAGGCCATTTTTTGCGCTCCCAATCCGTCCGCTCGAGAATGTCCCCATTGATCGATGTGTTCTCACACTCCAATACCCTTAGTGCCTTGAAATGAGGCAGATGCTTAACGACAGTACGGTCCGTGATAGATTTGCACCTGCTAACGCACAGCAATGTAAGTTGCGCAAACTTCCCTTCCGATGCTGCCCGGGCGAGGTTGGCGAAGGTTGAGTCTGTAACTGCACTCCCTGAGATATCGAGTGCAGCAAGGTTGGGGAGGTGTGCCAGGGAGACTAACTCAGTTGTGTTGTTGGCAAGGGTCGGGAAAGCGGAGAGATCAAGTACCGTAAGGAATGCAGATGCTGGTGCCCAAATAAGGTGGGTAAATATCGAGATGCGGGCAGACGGTGTTAGTGTTTCGCTCCGGTTTGGAATGACGGTACCGTATACGGTCGCGAAAGTCTTCCAGGCTTGAAGATTGATAAGCTGAGAGTCGGTAAGTCTTTCCCAGATACGATAACCCGAATTATGCCATGGTATATCCCGTAGATGGTCGACGCTCAGGTAAGATATGTTCACCGCCAAGGCATGTGCAGCCAAAAACGACAGGGAGGGTGGTGGAAGTTCTGCATGATCCCGGTGTCCAATATAGGCTTCGAGCGGCGACTTAGCTTCCAACGAAGAGGAGAAGCTTGATGCAAAAGAATGCTTTGGAAGTTGCGCAACGGCTTCAATGAAGTTCACGCCAGAGTCGTAATCGAACTGTATACACGCAGTGACCGAATCCTCTGTCAGCGTGCGCTTCGCACGACTCGTTGCTGAGGTTGACGAAGAAGCCGGCTTCCTCGAGGACCTCGATACTACATGACCATTCCGTTGCATGATATAGCGTAGAGAAGCATCCCCAGCTGGTAGGTACCTGGTAATTGTCGAGGACGGGTTTCGAGCATCTGTAGACCCTCGCAATAAGGTTTATCCGGGGTACGCCGGCCTGCAGCAGCTGCAGCGGCAGGGTCCTCGTAATAGGAGGTATGTTTGTATCCGTCCAAACAGGAGTCCGCCCAACCTCTACACCCCAGTGGAGGCCGCGAACGGTCCTCGTCAATGGAGAGCGATGAACATGATTGTAAGTCAATGTTGGTGTTCTTTTTGATGAGGATGCTCATATCTGATAGCTTGGCCTCGCACACTTCTGTGAACAACATGGCCCTTCTATTGTCTTCTGCACCCAAGCTATCCCTGAGGATTACGCTGGGCAGACAGGCTTGACACCATCGACGTCGACAGCAGCTGCGACAGCTGCGAATTCGACATGTGCGGCATGTGCATTTACTGTACCGAAAAGTCTCGGACTGACGACAACCGATGCCAAAGGCGTGGCAATCATTGCACCGCCAGTATTGAGAACCACGGATCCTGAGTCAGATGCGTCTGGTGGAAAAATGAACTACATGTCTATGCGGTATCCGAAGAGCCATTTGAGGTATACGGCGCTCAGACAGGCATGTGTGAGAGGGTTCGTTTTGCTTCCTCATGGAACAACTACAAGATTCCGCAGCTGACCCAAAACGTCCAGATTATCCTGTGAACTGCTCCCAGGACGGTCCGGTCCGGTCATGTTCGGCGACCCAGAAGCAGGATATGCAATTGCGCATGTATTCCGCCTCCCGGATCCCCGTGCTCGCGGTTCGAATCGCTTTTATTCCCTCATCGCGCTGTTCGAGGACGACGCCGCAGCTGCCGCGGCATGGACCTTCGTCACCGAACGATTTGCGGCGCTGGTAGAACACATCAGATCAAGAGCAAGGACGGCCACAACCGCGCAGTCTACTACACAAGGCATTGGTACACGTCCAGAGGGATTCCTGCGGCGGAGAGAAGGTACTACGATACCGAGAGGTCTGCCTGAATTGACGGGGTTGGATGATGTTTTTGTACAGATGCACGCCAGTTTCGCGTGGATGCTTAGTATACTGAGGAAGAGATGGGAAGGACCGGCAGAGTATGATTCGGCGGTTACCGAGAGCACGATTGGCCCGGGCAAGGACGGTGAAGTGGGTGATATTACTTAAGTGCAATTGATATTATGAGCCAGTATGATAACCCTTTCTATGATTTCCGAATAATATGTTTGTTGTGTTATTTCTTCTTGCCTATATTCTTCACAACTCCATTCTCACCTTTGGGATCTTTCTCCCTGTCGTTTGTCCATCCCTTTTCAAACAACTCCGTTGGCTTGAATGGCCACTTTGAGAAAGCCTGTGTAACTTGATCAAACTCCTCGACCGTATACGCGTTTACCGGTTTACTCAAATCCAGCCCTGAAGGCATGCATTTAATCAGGCTGTCTGAGCCTGATCCCAGCATCATAAGCGACTTTTCCATAGCGGTGGCGCGGAGGATGAACAGGTTTCTGAGAACATAATCAAACTCTGCAAAATCACTGTTGAACAGAGGCTTTTCTTTGGGCGTGAACTCCACCAGTGTGTAATCACCCCTTTGCCTCCAATCATCCGGCGTTGTCTCGATCACATCCTTCATAGCCGCCTCGTCATAATTAAAAGCACCCATATGAGCATCCTTGGGCGACGCAATCACCCGCATGTCTGCACATGCCTGCGCAATGATTGTGGGTCGCGCGCGGGTATGTCCTCCGGGACCGACCAGAAGTCTGTCCGCGCTCTTCGTCTTCATCCAAATGAGCATTCGTACTCTTCCATATTTCTGGATCCAGTTTCGCCGAGGCAACGTACAGAGAAACTGCACTGCGAGCGCTTCTCCCGTGGCACCGTTCGGCATTGAAGCAAAGAGAAGAAGAGAGTCATTGACTCTCTCCATTGACTGATTTTCCGGCGTGATCGTCCCATCGGCGATCAACTTATCATACGTCGCCCAGTCGTAACCCTCTAGGCTTGTGTATTTGATTCGTCCTTCAGTTTTCGCGTCAAAGTCCTCCATAATCGGAATAAACTTCTTGTGCGGCTCCATGAGGACGTGCCTGCGGGGTTTAGCGACGTTCCAAATAGCACGGGTGAAAAGACCGAAGCCGGGGTTCATTTCGAGGATGTCGCCATTCTTATAGTAGGACCAATCGTAGGCCTCGGCAAGCCTGTCTATAGACAATGGTTAGATCCTCTCTGTTAGCTGCACATGACCACAACATACTTGCAAGGTCCTGGTTGACCATTAACGTTCGCTTCGGGACGCCAGTTGCATATGTGCTGAGCCTGGCCTGAGACGGCAGGGCCTCGAAGCTCGTCCTTAAGAGTTGTGTCCCTCTCATGTCGAGTTGTCGTCTCGGTGTTGTTGGTTGAAAATCCCCAAAGCTGCAGCAGCGATACTTCGTATGTAACGAAGATTCGGGATTGTCAGGCACGCCCCAAGGCCGGGTCGGGCACCGCCATAAAGGCCTACTCTACCGTATACGCTCACCAGTTGACTTGCAAGGTTCATAGCTGTTCTATCATGGCATTGAAGTTGTGTGACGAATTATTTTTCTTTACAACAAAAGAGCAATAAGGTATGTGTAGGCAACATAACGGATCCCACAGTAAAAAGTAACCAAGAAAAAAGCCAAAAGCTGATAAAATACACAAACACCGTAGTTTACACAACCCACCCTAATCGTCTTCCTACTCATAACTTCACTTATGCCTTGTTCTTGGAGGCCATAGCGTTGAGCGCGGAACCAGCCTTGAACCACTCAATCTGACCCTCGTTGAAGGTGTGGTCCAACTTGGTCTCCCAAGCCTCACCGTTCTGGGGCTTCACCCTCAAAGTCAACTGCTTACCGGGAGCGAACTCGGGGAGACCAACAATGTCGACAACGTCGGTCGGGTTGATCTTGTCGTAGGCGGAACCGTCAACGAAGGTCAAGGGCAAGAGACCCTGCTTCTTCAAGTTGGTCTCGTGGATACGAGCGAAGGACTTAACGATGATGGCACGACCACCGAGGTGACGGGGCTCGAGAGCGGCGTGCTCACGGGAAGAACCCTCACCCAAGTTGTCCTCACCGATGACGACCCAGGGGATGTCCTGGGCCTTGTAGGCACGGGCAACGTCAGGAACGGGCTGGTACTCACCAGTCAACTGGTTCTTCAAGGTGTTGGCCTCACCGTTCTCGGCGTTGATGGCACCAATCATGTAGTTGTTGGAGATGTTGTCCAAGTGACCACGGTACTTCAACCAGGGACCAGCCATGGAGATATGGTCAGTGGTACACTTACCCTTAGCCTTGATGAGAATCTTGGCATCGGTCAAGTCCTTACCGTCCCAAGCCTTGAAGGGCGAAAGGAGCTGAAGACGGTCGGAGGTAGGGGCGACATCGACCTGGACGGAGGTACGCTCCTCAGGAGGAGCCTGGTAGGTGTTCTCTCCGGGGTCGTAACCGCGGGCAGGAAGAGCGGCACCGGTAGGAGCCTCGAACTTGAACTCCTTACCGTCAGCACCCTTGAGGGTATCGGTGAGGGGGTTGAACCTCAAGTCACCAGCGAAGATGAAAGCGGTGACGAGGTCAGGGGAGGTGACGAAAGAGTGGGTCTTGGGGTTGGCGTCGTTACGGCCAGTGAAGTTACGGTTGTAGGAGGAGAAGATGGAGTTGGGGGTACCCTTCTCAACATCGCGACGGTCCCACTGACCAATGCACGGACCACATGCGTTGGCGAGGACGGAACCACCAATCTTCTCAAAGGTCTCGAGCTGACCGTCACGGGCGATGGTGGCACGAATCTGCTCGGAACCGGGGGTGACGAGGAAGCCAGACTTGGCCTTAAGACCGTGAGCCAAAGCCTGGTCCGCAATGGAAGCGGAACGGGACATGTCCTCGTAGGAAGAGTTGGTGCAGGAACCGATCAAACCAACCTTTAAGTCAAGGGGCCATCCGTTCTTCTCGGCGGTCTCAGCGAACTTGGAGAGGGGAGTGGCCAAGTCGGGGGTGAAGGGACCGTTGATGTGGGGCTCGAGCTCGTTGAGGTTGATCTCGATGACCTGGTCGTACTCAGCACCCTCGTCAGCGCGAAGGACGTGCTGGAACTTCTGGGCGTGCTTGGCGATGGACTCACGGCCAGTAGCAACCAAGTAGTCGGACATGGACTTGTTGAAGGGGAAGATGGAGGTGGTAGCACCGATCTCAGCACCCATGTTACAGATGGTACCCATACCAGTGGAGGAAAGGGAGTCGACACCAGGACCGAAGTACTCGACGATGGCACCAGTTCCACCCTTGACGGTGAGGATACCAGCGACCTTCAAGATGACGTCCTTGGGAGCGGTCCAGCCGGAAAGCTTACCAGTAAGCTTAACACCGATAACCTTGGGGCACTTCAACTCCCAAGGAATGTCGGCCATAACGTCGACAGCGTCAGCACCTCCGACACCAACAGCGATCATACCGAGACCACCACCGTTAGGAGTGTGGGAGTCGGTACCGATCATCATACCACCGGGGAAAGCGTAGTTCTCGAGGATGATCTGGTGGATGATACCAGATCCAGGGCGCCAGAAACCGATGTTGTACTTAGCACAAGCAGTAGACAAGAAGTTGTAGACCTCCTTGTTGATGTCCTTGGCACGGGCCAAGTCCTTAACACCACCAACCTGGGCCTCGATCAAGTGGTCACAGTGGACGGTGGTTGGGACAGCGACGGAGGGCATACCAGCAGACATGAACTGCAAGATAGCCATCTGGGCGGTAGCGTCCTGACAAGCGACACGGTCGGGACGGAGCTTGAGGTAGGACTTTCCACGCTCAATGTCCTGCTCGTGGGGGTTGTCCAAGTGACCGTAGACGACCTTCTCGGAGTAAGTGAGAGGCCGGTTCAAACGCTGACGGACGATGTCAATGTTCTCGGAGAGCTTCTCGTAGTTGATGTACTTGCCCTTCTCCAAGTTGGAGAGCTGGACCTTGCCAGAGGCATCGGCGACAGTGGCCAAGCTGCGGACGTTGCGAGCGGCCGAGGAAGCCTGGAGAGCAGTTAGCGACCGTCGAGGAGGTCAATTGATCAGAGCACATACCGTCTTGAGAGCCCTAAACATTGTGGCTATGTATGGGGGATATTGGTTAGGGAATCGAAACTGTTCAGCGGAGAAGACCCAAATTTACGTACCCAGCGGGCTGCGACTTAGCGCCGTCACATTTCCCTCCAGCCGAGCGGCACCCAATGACCGCGCGTGTGAAAAGTAATCCCCCGGAAACCCAGCGTCGGAGGAGGAGGAGGAGGAGGGGTAATCCGGAGATGCGACGGAGGGAAGGAGATCATCTTTGTATTCTGTGCATCGCTAGCTAGCTATCTCTGTATATGCCTAAAGTGGGGCGGGGTCTGTTTCGCTGCGATGTTATCCTTCACTCCTCGGGCAGTGGGAGCGAAGCATATGAGAAAGGCTACGATGACAACAACCGGGTATCAAGCGGTTTATAGTCGGGATTTTACTCCCTTTGCTCTCCCGTGTCATTTCCCCTGATGGCTCCGTGGTAGGCAAGACACCAGTGGATATGAACGGGGTGTACTCTACAAAAAAAGCAGCGGTGCTGCTGGAGATACGACCATGACGACGCGTCAATGATCAGCAATCAGGCAGTCAGACGACGCCGCGTTCGCGGCAGAGACAGGAAGATCCCTGACAGTTCAAACTGGACAGAATGAACGACGAGAGGGCTTCCCCTGCCTGCCGCAGTCGACAAGCGGCATCGCCAAATGGACAAGGTCTTGCTGGTCTTCCCCGGCGTCAGCGAACGCGAACAGCTTTAACCACAAAACTTCTCTGCCGCTAACCGTGGCGCAGTTGTGGCGTGGGGATACTGCAGCTGCCCAATCGACCCTCGATCGGTTGCTGTAACGAAGATAATCGAGTGAACTGATCAAATATGGCAAGAGACAAGCAAGTAGCTAAGGGCGGACGGTGCGTTTCTTTCTAGGTCGCCTTCGCTGTTGTTTTGCTGACTTTCTTGCACAGTGCCCCTCCCAAGGCCAAGCGTGGCGGCCGTGGTGGCTCCAAGTTCTCTCGTGACGCCGGAGAGTTTGACTCTCTCCCCTCAGGTTACGCAGTTTCTACTCCCGAGAAGTGGTCCTCGTCCAACCGCCGCCGCAACGACGATTCTGACAGTGAGGATGACGATTCCGAGGAGGGCTCTAAGAAAGGATCTGGATCTGACGAGGAGTCATCTTCTGAGGAGGAGAGCGGTTCCGACGATGAGTCTGGCTCCGACGATGAGGAGGCTGCACGAGAGGCCATGCGCAAGATGCAACTTGCAGAGCAAAAGAAGGCCAGTGCCGCCCCGGTCATCCAGGTTGCGAACCCAAATCGCAACCAAAAGGCGGCGATGAAGATCAGTGATATGGAGGCTCCGCGCGAGTTGTCCCGTCGTGAGCGTGAAGCCAAGGAGGCGGCTGAGAAGCAGGCGAGATACTGGAAGTTGCACCTCGAGGGAAAGACCGACCAAGCAAAGGCGGATCTGGCACGGTTGGCCAAGATTAAGGCGGAGCGTGAGGCGAAGGCGAAGCAGAGGCTGGCCGAGAAGGAGGCCACGGAGTCCGTACAGAAGTCTGCATTGAAGGCACAGAAGGAGAGGGACGCTAAGAGGAAGTAGTTTAACGGTTCTACGATTATATGGATTTACTGTGGTGTTGCCCTGACATTTGGATGAACCAGCACAAAATCTAATATTCAGTTCTACGGTAGCGGTTGTAGTCTGAATGTATAGCTTGACCATCATACAAGGCAGCCCTTGTGTTCCTGACCTGCTCTCGCGTCGGATACATCGAAGGCCAAAGTTCTTCAATCAACTCCTGGACTTCTTCCATGAAGGTTGGGTTTCGAGAATCCTGCGCCATTACCACCAACATGCAAATTGTGCTGATATCTGGTGTCAAACGCAACCTGGCCATAAGTTGTAGCAGCAATATCAGGTCTGCAGTCATATTTGTCTCCGCGTACAGCCTTGCCAGCGCATCGCAGGTGCGCTGATGTGGTAATGATCGGGCGATGTTGATATCGTCCATTAGCTCGTACCTAGGGTCCACGATCCAATTTTGGACCTCTCGAATGGCCGTAAACTGCGGCCGGACACCCGCCTCCCACTCAATACCACTACTCCAACCCTCGCTCGCTGCAACACATAATGCCCGCAACACCGGTCCATTCGGCAGGATGCCCTTCTCCCTCATCTCACAATAGAATCCCCATATCTCTTTGCTCTGTCGTCCTGGTGGAACACCCCAGCGCTTCCGAGATATTAGGGCCCTCATCAAGCCATTGTAGCTGTGGGCATCCGGGAACCAATCATTCTCCCCACCAGGATTCCGCTTGACCAAGAAGTACAGATCTCTCAAATCCTCCTGTCGGCGCATTATTTTAAGCAGGGCGCGGACAATCCGGTGATCCATTGGAATTCCGAACAGTTTCTTCGCTTCCTTTAGGAGCCATTTCGCAGTGACAAGGTCTTCTCCCAGCGAGCGGATTAGTTGAAAAATCAACAAGCTATTCGGCACAACTCCGTCTTCCAAAATCTTCAACCAGACACGCTTCATTGCTTCCCCGTCGATAGTTGTTTCTTTTCTGACTTTATCCAACAGTGTATACCAAGCCCACAGGTCGGGGGGTGTTTCAGGCGTCTCTGACCGGAGTTGATCGAAAAGCGCAAGAGTTGTCCGTGCATCCTGTACCGCCTGAAGCTTCGCTACGGCCATCTCCCACGGACCTGCGTGGGATGAAACAATCGGCAGTGATGGACTCCCCGCCTCGTGAAGACTTGGTTTTGAAGCGCTATGTAGAATTGAAGCCTCGTATAGCGCCAAATGACCCCCATCGGGCTTGACGCCGTCTCTTTTCATTTGGTCAAACAGCTGCTTCATCTTCTCGACACCCTGACTGGCTGTGGTCATGGAAAGAGCCCTGTATCCTCGATGACTGATGCTGATATGCCTTTCCTCCATCGTTTCCCTTATGAGAATCTGTGCAGCTCGTACATAGGCTGTATTCGTCGCAGGGACCTCTGTTTCCCTGGGACCAACATCATGTGTAGTAGTGTGGGCCGGTGGCTTAGAAATTAGCAGCAAGATATGATTCCAGATGAAGTTCTTTCTCATTTCGAACCTTTGACACAGCTCAGCGATCCTGATCAGCATAACCGGTACAATAGTTCGTGCTCGTTCAATCAACCGTACGCAGATCGTCACTTTCGCATGTTCTCGTTCGTATAATCTGGTCTCCTCTATATCCTGACAAGTTCCATCAAGAACTCTTTGTATTACGTCGTCATCTCGAAGGTTGAGATTATCCCATTGATGCTCGATAACATGGAACATGGCAACCAGGTCTTGCGCATTGCACTTAATCTTCTTCAATGCCTGCATAATCAGGAATGATGGCCATTCGTATCCGTCCATGATCCTGATAGCTTCTCCAGTGCTGTCTGCGTGATAGGCCTTGATCCAACGCTCATAGTCGGCCAGGTTCCAGCCGTTGTCGCGCAACCAATTCAGCTCAGACTCTGCGACCAGCAACTCTGGTGGGTTGCTCATAGGGTCGTACAGGCGAGGAACGGGCGGAGTCACCGAGTAGTCGAAATAGACTTCGCGAATCCAGACGACAAACCAACCTGGCACAAAGAGATTTCGCAAGGTTTTTCGTGCTGGGGATATTGGTTTGTGTGTTGTAGATGCTTGCGCCGGAGGTGAAGAAGTTTGCCCTTCATTCGTCGTGAACAATGCTGTTGATCCAGAGGAAGCGTACCTCCGACGAAGCTGGTCATTATGTCGCAGAGTAGTGGGCGGGTGCTGGCCCTTCTTTGAGCTTGCTGAATGGTGCCGGCAGAAAGTGCATTTCTGCGAAGGCGACGCCGGCTTGGAAGGCCTAGATAGGGTGGCCCATCGTTTCGCGTATGCCCGCTCGAAAGCCTTGAGGAAAATATTACCATGTGTCATTCAAGTTGGCCATTGACTTGACATGAGAATGTTTTGTCGAGTACGAGGTTGTCGGCCAATGCTTCTCCAGATTTCTGGGCCTGCAGTTGTCTACGTTACAGTACTGTACGTCGCAGTGTACCGAAAAGGGATATTACAATACGACGATCAAGATTAATCATGAAAAGACTCAAAATGGGTATAATGCTTCCAAGAACGACATAAGATGATAGGCTCCCTGCTTTCCTCGACTTTGCAGCAGTCCTCCTCATACAGTGGTGAACAAAGTCCAAACTCCTTTCAAGTACTGAATAATCTGTAAGATGTGACGTTAACAACCGCACAATGTTATCTGCAGCCGGAGTTAAAACCTCATCACTACCCAACTTACTCTCACCATAGAGACGGTCCACAAAAGCGATGGGGACTTCGCCAATGGTGAACTTGTTCGCCCGTGCACGGACCATCATTTCCTATGCGCCACAAGTCAGCCTTCCTCGCAACCGACTGAATCATGCAATGTTCACTCACCATCTGGAACACGTAGCCCTTGCTCTTCGTCTCAGAGATGATCTTCTTCAACACCTCCTTCTTGTACAGTCTAAAGCTACCAGTGACATCACTGACTCCCGGCGCAAGGACAATCCTGCAAAGCAAGTTCGCTCCCCTACTGATCGTCTTCCTCTTCAAATCCCATCCGTAAACGCCGCCATCTCCGGCGTAACGCGTCCCGGTGACGATGTCGAGCTTCTTTGCCTTCTGCAGTTGGATGAATTTTGGGATATATTTGGGGTGGTGGGAGAAGTCAGCGTCCATAATTATGACGAAGTTTCCGGTGCAGTATTGAAGGCCGTGAATGTAAGCAGTACTGATGCTCGTGTGAGTATCCTGTGCGGTCAACCTCCGGGTTCAAACGTACCCCAAGCCAAGCTTGCCTGCGCGAGGCTTCAAGAGCTGTAAAAGAATAAGCACTGGAGCCTCCTCTGGCATGCATGCAACTCACGATCTTGTCACTTCCGTAAACCTTCTCCAACTGCTTCGCGACTTCTTGCGTGCCATCGGGAGAGTTGTCATCCACAATGATCAATTCCCAGTTGATACCACTTCACGCAATGTTAGCCAAGCCTCCATAAAGGCGTTGCAGCGCGTACTTGTCATTGAAAGTCTTGGCAAGGAGCCAGGTGATGATAGGAAGGTTCCTGCGCTCGTTGTATGTCGGGAGGATGACGGAGTACTTGTCAGCGGGCATCGCGAAGGCTGTGAAGCAGTGTCGTTAGCAAGATGCTCAGACCTCGACTCAGGCTTGGCTGGTCACCTTGGAAGTATGGAGATTGTCCTGCAATTTGTTTGTTGATACTCGACTTGCCGCCCTTGAGCGTCGCGGCATCATCATCTGGCGGCTCCGTCAGGGGTCCACCGGGGAGGCCGTGGGAAACACATACACCCCAGCGTACCCGAACCAAATACCGTATCTGAACTGGATGGGATACCTTAACAACGATTCAGTCAATTCTCTATATCTTCAACAGCGCTGCGGTAATCGCTCTATCACTACCTCTGCGCACTCCTACGCATAACATTCCTCCTCGGCCTCCAGGCCTTCCCAAAGCTCGAGTTCTCCTCCACACTAAGATACGGCACCTCACCCCACTTCTGCCCCGCAACACCGTCTTTATCACCATCGAGCATGAGCCAGACCGGCAGTTCGAGTTGTCCGCGAACCAACAGCACTTTCTGGTTGTTGGTGACCGCATCTTCGAGGATTGAGGGCTCGATGGGGGTGAGGAGTTGGAGTTGTTGTTTGGCGGTATCGATACCTCTGATGATCGCTAGGCCGACGCATTGGCTCGTCTGAGGGTCGAGTGGTGCGCCTCCCGTGGGCAGGACCGGTAATCCGTCTTGAGCCCTTACGACAGCTTGTGTCAACCCTTGTCCCTCTGCAGCGTCAAGGAGTACCACGCCCACAACTGTCCCATTCACCGCGAGTCCGACCTCATCAGGCATAATCTCATCTCCGAGTACAGTGAGTGCGTCAACACCCGCCTCAGGACCCGTGTAATCAACAACCCAAGGCGCCCACCCAACAAGCGACGTGCTAAAATCCCATTTACTCCCGCCAAGCGAGTGGAAATAGGAAATCATCCCAAGCGTCCGGTTATCCGCCGCGCTCATCTTCGAGTTCTGCGAAACGAGTTCATGTGCCGTTTCAACAGTAAACAAACCAACATTTGAGGGAACGATCCTCGTGATCTCACTCTCGAAGCGATCACCGAGGAAGATGACGTGTGTCGCGTTAGACAATCCAATCACGGACTCCAACAACTCCAACCCGGTACCCTTGGTCCAGCCAGGGGTGTTGATAACGAGGGGTGCAGTCGCGATCGAGGGGGCGTTGGAGTGGACGGAGACCAAGTTTGCGACACAGTCGAGGTAATGGCCTGGGTCGTCCTTCGGAGATGTGGCGCCGAGGAAGTGAGCTTTGACTAATTCCTCCCCCGTGTTATGAACGAACGGTGGGCCGAATATTGGTTTCGTGAGTCCTTGTAGTGAGAGTAAACCAGCAGGCGTAAATTCCGGTTGTCCAGGATCGGCGTCCAAGTATGCAGCCGTGTCGCATGCGTTCAGGAGGGAGTTGACAAGATATCGCGACAGCATAGATTTTCCTGCGGCTTTTGGGCCGCATAGTACAACGACTGGTCTGTCGTTCGTTGAGGGATGAACAATGGGTGCGACCGCTTCTTTCCAGGTATCGGGAATGTTGACAGTCGGGGTATCCTCCTCGATTGCAGCAATCGGATCTTGCCAAATTCCCCTGAAAAGTGGACAGACCTTGTCGACGTGCTGTACCCCGCTCCCGATATTTTCCACTGTGATAGCAACTACAGCGTCAAAGCTGCCTGCAGGAATCTTCTCCAACAATTGCCGCAACGACGCAGGCAAGTCTTCCACCTTTCCCGCTGCTCCCTTCCCGGACCCTAAGCATTCGAGAACAGGCAACGACCCAGTACCCGGAGCATAAACATCATACCACTCAAACCCACCCTTTGATCTCAGTTCATGCCCAAGTAGCGACGCACCACCACGCAACAGACCCACCCTCACCTCTCCTTGCACCGGCAACGTCTCCCCGCGCCTCAACCCGACAACCCTGCTCTTGCCATCAGGCGACAGTGCCGAGTTATCCTCATTTACCTCTGCATGCCTCTTGAGCTCCTGCATCAACTTCACCCTCGGGGGAACATTTTCATTAGTGCCGCTAGAGGACTCCTTTCTCCTCTTCGCCTTGGGCGAGTCGGGAGAGTCGGCCTCGACAACCGCAACTTCCTCAATCGATTCCTCATCCGCAGGGTCGACGGGTGAGAGGTAAGCGGGTTCCTCATCCTCGGCGGTGGGGGTGGGGGTTGAGTAGATGGGTGTTTCGGCAAGAGTGTCGATGGCGCGGCGTTTCTTTGATGCTGGAGTTTTGGGTGATTGCGCGGCGACAGCTTCAGATGTAACTGCTTGTTCGACCTCAATGTCCATGTTAGCGACGGGAGAAGCGGTTTTGGCTTTCTCGGCCTCAGCAGCTGCTGCTGCCGCTGCTGCAGCGGCTAGAGCACGGCGAACGGCGATGGCACTCAATGGAGCTGTAAAAGCAATCAGTACGACCTCATAAAAGTCACGGATCAATCTCACTTGGCATCGTTGATCTGTGGGTTGTCTTCGTTACCTCCTCCCTCTCGCACCGCTCCGCCAAACCCAGGGCACGTGCCAAAGTTTTCGCTATCGATAAGGGAAAACCACCAAGACCAACCTCCACTCAGATCATCACCCTTCCCATCCCATCATACAATTGAAGACCCATATGTCGACTTCCACCGAACCCACCCTTTCAAAAGAACTCGTTTCCTCTGACGAAGAAGACTCAGATGTCTCAGACACCGAAGACGTCTACACCCCACCCGCCGGCTTCACCCCCCTCGACACTAAAACCAAGTCCCTCCTCTCCGCATCTACACTAAAAGACAAAGAAGTATGGCTCTTTAAAGTCCCCGCCGGTACGAAAATGTCCGAGATCAAATCCCTGGCTGTGTCGGCCAAGACGAAGCGGATAGGTGGGGAGGTCGAGGTGGGGGGAAAGAGGTGGAGTGTGAAGGAGGATGTTAAGGAGGAGGCGGAGTTCAAGCTCATTGCTCCTACGGATAAGGGCTACACTGTTGGTATGTGATCTTTCCTTGGGGTGAAGGGTAGTGGAAGCTAATGGGGGACATATAGCACACGAGCCCAAATTCTCCAAAACGATCACGATGACCGAAGCTGTCGACCTACCAAAAATTCAATACCCAGAAGGTGATCTTTCGGTCCCCAAAAAGGTCCAACCCGAAGGAATGAGAATGCGATTCTTGCCGATTGGGTTCGGGAAGGGTGATCCGGGAGTTATGGGTGATTTCGAGGGAGAGGAGAGGGATGGAGATGTTGAGATGGAGGATGCGCCGAAAGCTAAGAAGGCGAAGACGGAGGAGAAGAAGAGTAAGAAGGATGGGGAGAAGAAGGAGAAGAAGGCTAAGAAGGAGAAGAAGTCTAAAGCATGAGCTCTCACTTGCTGTGGGCAGTTGGTAGGAAGGTGAACAGACGTTTGGAAAAGGGCGGATCTGTGTTGGGAAGGCATCCAAGAGCATACCCTTGCATAAAACATTTCTTACAATCACTTCAACCACTTGATATGGCGATCATACTCGGAGCAGTCTTCCTCCGCCAGACATCTCATGTTCTCCGGGACCCTTCCCGTTTCAGTTGGTAATACAACCTTACTTCTTTTGATATGCTTCCATCCCTACGCCTTAGGCGCAGCCTCCTGCTGCATCATCTGCTGAATCTTAATCAACTCCCCCTTCTTCCTCTCCCCCTTCTCCTGCAACTCCTTCAACTTCTCCTCTACCCTCTTAATCTCAGCCTCGATGAATTCTAGTCTCTTGTCGATGTTTGTTACTGCTTCTGGTTTATCTTGTTTTACGAGGACTGGACCGATGAGTTTGTAGATTTTTGCGGAGTCGTCGAGGAGGGAGAATTCCTGTTGCGGCAAATGTTAACAACGAGGAGGAGACGAGAGTGGGAACAGGAACCTTCTGGACGATCTTGTTCTCTTGGAGTTGGGAGTCTAGCCGTTGTCTGTTCCCGACGGCGTTGGTCATATCTGCACGCGTTGAGTCAGCCAACAACACGGAGCGCTCCGGGTCAAGAAGGCATACCTCTCTGAATGGTCTGGTACTCATTGCTCCCCGCCTCTAAGCGTGCCTGTAATGTCGCCATCCTGGTTCAGTATCCAAATTGCTCGATCCGGCACGTCGCACGTCGTACGCAGCAGCTGTGCCCCGCCCTGGCCCCTGCACCGGATGTGCCGCCCCACAACACCGGGAGCCGAGACGAGTACGCGAGGGCGGTGCGGGCATACATCCATCCATCTCCAACACAACCACCACGATCATGAGTCACGTAGACTTCTTGGGGGTCTGGCAAGTCTGCGCTCCGTGGATGTATGCTGACGACGAGTACAGAAAGCAATTGCACACGCAACAAAGGCCGTTCAGGCGGATCATGCAGAGAACTATCCGGAGGCTCATAAGCTGTACCTCCTCGCCCTCGAATGCTTCATGACTGCATTGAAATGTGATAGCTTTCGTCTCACAGTTCTCCAGCTTTGATTGCTCATATCTATCACAGACGAGAAGAACGAACGAGCGAAAGCGACGATTCGAGAACGTGTTACGGATTACATTGAGCGCGCCGAGACGATCCAGGAGTACCTCAAACAGAAAGAAACGCGAAAGGCAATAGGTGCGAATGGCACCTCTGCAGGCACGACGGTCGGTAAAGGCAATGGCTCTGGGAGTGGGAAGAAGGGAAGTGATGAGGATGAGGAGAGCATGGATTCTGAAACCAAGAAGCTCCGTGGCGCACTTTCAGGTTTGCGGACCTTCTAGGTATCGTGGAAAACGGCACTGACGAGTCTGACGAACAGGCTCAATCCTCTCCGAAAAACCCAATGTCCACTGGGAAGACATCGCCGGCCTCGAAGGCGCCAAAGAAGCCCTGAAAGAAGCCGTCATCCTCCCCATCAAATTCCCACACCTCTTCACCGGAAAGAGAAAACCGTGGTCCGGAATCCTACTATACGGACCCCCGGGAACGGGAAAGAGTTATTTGGCAAAGGCGGTTGCGACGGAGGCGAATGGAACGTTTTTCAGTGTGAGTAGCAGTGACTTGGTCAGTAAGTGGATGGGAGAGAGTGAAAAGTAAAGCCATCCAGCATATTTCCATGAGTATGGGAACTGACGGGTGATTTATAGGCTTGTGAAGCAGCTCTTCACCATGGCACGGGAGAATAAACCAGCGATCATCTTTATCGATGAAGTCGACGCTCTATGCGGGACCCGCGGTGAAGGCGAATCAGAGGCGTCGAGACGTATCAAGACCGAGCTGTTGGTACAGATGAACGGTGTCGGGAACGACGTATCCGGGGTACTCGTCCTCGGCGCGACCAATATCCCCTGGCAACTCGACTCCGCCATTCGACGAAGGTGAAATTGGTCATTGATCGATCGTCTCTTACTATGATTACTGACTGGTTTTACAGATTCGAACGCCGTATTTATATCCCCCTCCCAGACGTCAACGCTCGCACAAAAATGTTTCCCCTAAATATCGGCACAACACCCACGAAATTAACACAAAAAGATTATCGCGCATTGGCGGAATTGACGGAGGGTTATTCCGGTGCCGATATCGCCGTTGCAGTCAGAGACGCGCTCATGCAGCCCATCCGCAAAATCCAATCCGCAACCCACTTCCGCGAAGTCCTCATCGACGGCAAGCGCAAACTAACCCCATGTTCGCCCGGGGCCCAAGGGGCGACGGAGATGTCTTGGATGGATATCGGGGCGGAGGAGTTGTTGGAGCCGGAGTTGACGTATAGGGATTTTGAGAAGAGTGTGAAAGGGGCGCGGCCGACGGTTAATGAGAGGGATGTGCAGCAGCATAGGGATTTTACGAATGATTTTGGGAGTGAGGGGGCGTGAGTACTATTAGAGGGGGTGGGGTGTACGAGTACCATTGAATGTTTTGGAGGTCATAGCGAATCGAGATCTGATTTTCGCATCCGTACCGCGGTTGTTGTCGCTATCACCTGCTATCGTGTCAAAATGGCGATTTCTCACTCGGTTGGCAAAGGGGATGGATTGACATGGATCCGGACAGAGTACAATAATAACTTTGAACCCAATCCATACGCCCAACCCAACATAAATGAAGCCCGAAATCATCCCACAACCACCTTACTTCTGACCCTACAAATCTTATCAGCATGATTCTCATAAGATCATTCCCACGCAAAACAAACTCACCTTCACCATCCTCACCATTCCCCACGACGCCCCCAGAAGCCCAAACCCCCAGATCGCCAGGAACGGATAGATCAACATCTTTGACCTCTTCGTCTTGAAGTAGATTGGGACTTGGGGATTGGATTGGTAGATGCGCTGGTATTCGGGGACTCTGTTTTGGGCCCTGTAGCGCGGTGGTGATCAACACGAATAGCAAGATGGAGGGAGAGGAACCTTACATCTTAAGCTTGAGCACACTGTTTTGCGGGCGGAGAGGTGTAGAGGTTCAATTGCGATGTTGTGGTGAAGCAGGTGCTTATTGACGGGGCCGCAGCTTGTCATGGCAGCCGGGGAGCGGGGTAGAGCCAACCGGTTGGCGTTGCGCTCTTTCTTGTCACACGCCAGAATTTATGCTTATACCGTGACTTGATCCATCCAAAAAACCTTAGGTACTCTGCCATTGATCCGTCACATTCTCAAAACCTAGACCACCCGTAATGGCTACATCAGCAGCCCCCATCGGCGCCGTCCTCGACCGAGCCCTCAGCGGCGCCAACCGTGACACCATCCCCACCGCCGACTCCTCCTCCGGCTCCTCCTCCTCCTCCGCAGTCGAAATCGAAGAGTCGGTACAAACACTCCAAAACGAGCTCTACGAACAACGTTCCCTAAAATCCCTCTACCGCGACGAACTCGGCGACCTCCGCACGCTCAACCAATCCCTCACCGACCAACTCGCGTCCGCACAAGCCGAACTCTCTAAATATAGGCAGATACAGGAGGAGTGGGAGGGGTTGGTGGAGAGTATTGCGCATAGGGCTGAGATGGAGGAGATGGGGATGGAAGGGGCGCCGGGGGGTGGGTGGAAGGCTAAGGGGGAGGAGGATTGGAGGGTTGAGGCGGAGATGTGGGCGGGGAGGTATAGGGGGTTGGTCAAGGAGGTGAAGGAGTTTGGGAAGAAGTGGGACAGTGTGGAGCAGCCGTGACGTTCAGAAGGGGTATGGATGGGTATATACGGTAATCGTGCTGGCCAAAGCAGCATGACTGCGTCTTTCTCACGCTTGTGCGTCACTGCTCCCCAGCTTCTCCTGCAGATGTTGGACCAATTCCTTCAAGTTGTCGATCTCCCTCTTCTGTACCATATTGACTTGCCTCAATCGGTACATCTCATTCTGCAAGCGAGCGATCTCGTCGTCCTTCTCGTTCAACGCGCTCTGCACACGGATAGGGTCGTGGATGTGGTCCGATGGGAGAGACTCCCTCCTGGCTCTTTGCTCGCCGTTCATGACTGCGATATGTCTGGTTAAAGAACACCCTCATCGGCAGTGGGCAAACAGCTCACCCCTATGACATGATCTTTATTGTATGATCCCTGGCAAGAAGATCGAAGTAGAACGGCCTTGGAGGTTAGGTTGGGTCGCTGCTGGGCATCCGGGGGGTGGGGGGGGGGGGGGGAATGCGGAGAACGCAGGCACAATCGACCAGCCGGACGCGTGACGCTGCGAAGGACTTTAACCATAGGGTGACTTCTCTAAGGAAATCAATTTCTTTTCGCCGTTACCCGACGACACCGCCCATGTCGCTCCTTCACTTCCCTCGCTCCCACGCCTGTCCGGAGGGGCCTCACCTACGCCTTCATCGGCCTAGGACAAATGGGCTATCCAATGGCCCTCAACCTCGCCCGAAAATCCGATCCCTCCACTCGATTGCTCGTGCACGACATCTCCGGCTCCGCACTCCGTGCCTTCAAGGCCGACTCAGTCACGGGAGAACAGGGCGCAAAAGTCGAGATCTGTGTTAACGTGGACGATATAGCGCTGGGCGGGCCCAGTAAAGGTGAGGTACCGAGTGTGGTTATGACGATGTTACCGGCTACGCAGCATGTGGAGTCAGTCTACACTCGACTCATCTCTGCGTTCCCTGGATTTCGGGATAAGACATCGCTGAAGAAGCCGATTACGTTTATTGATTCTTCTACGATTTCACCGAGGGCGAGTATCTCTCTTGCGAGACGGATGTCGCATTTGGGAAAGTTCGTTGATGCGCCGGTTAGTGGTGGTACAGCCGGTGCGAATGCGGGTACACTGACGTTCATGATTGGAAATACGGAGTACGCTACTCCACCTCCTCCGCTAATCGAATCCGTCCTCAAGAAAATGGGCACGAACCTCCTCGCCTGTGGCCCCACTCCCGGCTCCGGCCTGAAAACAAAGCTCGTCAACAACTATCTACTTGCAATCCAACAACTCGCAATCGCCGAAACCCTAGCATTGGCGGAACACATGGACCTAAACCCGGCAGAGACAAACAAGATCATCAACGTCAGCACCGGCCGCTCGTGGTCTTCGATGGTTAACCCACCCGTTGTGGGAGGCGCCCTCGATGGTAAGGAAGTCCCACGCGCACGGGGCTGGACAGGCGGTTTCGGCACCGCGCTCATGTGGAAAGATCTCGGACTATGTCTCGACGCCGTTGGTGCGAACGTGTCTACGGCGAATGGAAACGGAGCGATGATGCCTGCCGCGGGTACACCGGTTGGGAGCGCGGCGATGATGGATGGTGCTGCGTGGAGGACGAGGGCGAATGGAGCGAGGACTGGGACGGATTGTTTGCTTGATGCGAGGGGGGTTAAGCCGGCTAGGAGTGCGGAAAGTGGAGCTGTTGCGCAGGAGGCTGTGAAGCTATCTGGAGCGCCTTCCTCGTCAGACTTTGGGTCACTTGCCAGCTCCGAGGTTCAGGAGTCTGAAGGCACCGGCGAGGCGGCACAAGCAGCATCGCCACACGGAGGACAGAACTTGCCGATGATGGATTTAGGGATGGCTGCGGCACACGTTTGGCAGAAGGCCACACAGGATCCCCGGTGTGCGGGGAAGGACTTTTCGAGTGTATGGAGGATGGTGGTAAAGGAGGGAGAGTGAGTGATATTGTCACACAATCGCATAGTGTCTAGTTAATCGTAGCATACCCAATATTGATATCAATTCATGAAGTACCCAAAACACCCCTTCTGAGATACTCCACCCCACCCTTCTCCTCATCCGTCTTCAACAAAAAAGTAATGATCCCCCTCGCAACATTCTCTCCATCATTCTCCCCCGCCGCTCTCGGCCACGCTTCCTCAACTACATCCTCCGCGAAGATCTTCTGCTCTTTTCGTGTCTTCAATAATTCCTCCACGATAAACTGCGTGAATTCTGGGTGACCCTGGACTGATAGCACACGACCTGGGACGAGCATGCCTTGTACTTTGCAGATTTCGTTGGAGGCGAAGACGTGTACCCCGACGGGAACTTTCGAGACGATATCTCTATGCATTTGTTGGAGTTTCAGGGTTCCAGAAGTATTGGCCAAGATGGCTTGTCCTTCAGGTGTGAGCTTAGTTTCCGTAACAGCTACTTCCCAGCCTTTCTCATTCTTCTGAACCGTTCCGCCGAGTGCTCGGGCAATAATTTGGTGGCCGAAGCAGATACCGATGAGCTTGACTTTGGGGTGGTATTGGTGGACGTCGCTGATGTAGTTTGAGAGTTTTACGATCCAGGGATCATCGCCGAAGGAACAATGTCCTGCGCACTGATCAGCACTCCTCCTTTCGCCTTCCGTCCCGCTGAACACATACTTGATCCAGTGATGAGGATACCGTCATATTTCGACAGGCTATCGGGATACTCCTGCTTGATAACGTCGAAACAATCACACCTAACCCTCACAGCGGGCGTCGTCGCCTCAGAAGCTCGGGTGAGTAAGGTCGTGAAGATGGAGCCGTAGGTGCCGTACTTCTCCAGGACCGCGGGAACAGGGGTGTCGCATTCGAAGATGGCGATTCGGAGAGAGTCGGTCATGATCAACAACTTCAACAACTTCAATTTTCGTCGAGAGTCGAGGGGGGGGGGGGGGGGGGTGTACGACGCAGCCGGATAAGCGGGTGCGATTGGCGTTGCCGACGCCGCGACGTCCAACGAGTTCGACCAACAGCTAAAAATAGAACCGAGAAAGTTGGGACGAGATTCGGGACTGAGATTCATGGGGTTGCTGAGGAATTCGGCTCTCCTGAGGGATAGATCGGAGAGAATTAAGGAAATACTGTTCCGGCTTCTACCGGTGTTGAGGTGAGTCTATTCCTCATACCTACCGAATGGAGGTGCTGAATGAGTTCACAGGATTTTCTGCGTCGTGGCCGGTATATTTTGGTTTCTAATCTTACCACTCGACGATCTAACGAAGAATGCGTACATTTCGGAGAATGCTTTGCTACCCGGGCAGGTCAATACCTACTTTGGATGGAGCGAGGATAATGTGCAAAGAGCGTATATACACGAGATGAACGCTGTGAAGGATGCTTCACGCGGAGTGAAGACTGCGAAGGTGGAAGAGTTGTTCGATTTGATTGGACTGAGTAACACACGCCAAACGTACCGTGTCAAGATGAATCAGACCGATGAAGAGAAGACGAATGTGTATGGAATCCTACGAGCGCCTCGGGGTGATACAACGGAAGCCATCGTGCTTGGCGCGTCCTGGAAGAGCATTGACGGAAAAGGTACGGCGAACCTCCTATGGCGTGTTTTTCACATTCTGACTGATTGTCTTACAGACAACGACCATGCCGTCGCCCTAGTCCTCGGTCTGGCTCGCTACTTCACAACATGGTCCCTCTGGGCAAAAGATATAATCATCCTCATCACCGAAGACCCTTTAGTCGGCCCAAAACGATTCCTCGACACGTATCATGGACACACATCCGCGGACACCGCTCCCCTCTCCCTCAGGTCCGGCGTGATTCAGCAAGCCGTTTGGATTGACTTTGCATATGACGAGCATGAAACGGACATGCGCGGAATCGAACTCTTGTACGATGGATTGAATGGACAGATGCCGAATATGGATATCGTCAACTCAGCATACTTTATCGCAAAAGGACAAATGGGGCTCCGAGTTTCCATCCCGCACAGTGATCCAGCTCACGATACATACCTCAATCGTCTCCGGACGCTATTTTACAACATCTACTCTCAATTCTTAGGAGGATCAACGGGTCCGCACTCATATTTTCCGTCTTACAAGATCGATGCGATTACTATCCGTGCGACCGCGACGTCGAATGTGCAGCATGCGATGACGCTAGGTCGGACGGTTGAGTCCTTATTCAGGACGTTGAATAATCTCCTGGAACATCTTCACCACTCGACATTCTTTTACCTCAGCGTCAGCGAGAAGAAGTTTAGTCCCGTGGGCACATACCTCCCGGGTGCGATGATGCTCAGTATAGCGTGCATATTAACGGGGATCGAAGGATGGTCCAAGAAGACTAAGAGCGGAGGGCTGAAAGTAAACGAGATGCTGACGTCGGTGTGTATGATGATCGCTGTTCACGGCGTCGGCCTGGGATTCTTCGCGCTTATGTGCAATACATCGAGTCCCAATATGGCGTTCCAAATTATCGTCGTGGCGAAGGTTTTGGAGTGTTCGGCTCCGCTCCTCAGCCCGAGAATCTGCTTCAATACCAAGTTACTCAAGGTGTTTTCACTCCTGATGCTGGGTATGATTCTCTCCGCCTTTGCCTCGCTCAACTTTGCATTGGTGTACATCATCGGCGCTCTCGTTTCGCCGCTGAACTTTGTCCGACCGATACGCAGTCACACTGGACGTATCATCGTGTCAATCCTTCTTCAGGTTCTGAATCCGACGGCGTTTATGCTATGGCTGGCGATATATCAACGGGATGGCGATGCGGCGACTTTGCAAGGGGGTATGGGAACTTTCAAAGAGTGGGGTACTTGGTCACCGTTGATTTGCTGGGCGCTTTGGTGGCCAGCTACGCTAGTAGGTTTGCTTGTGACGAACAGCCGTGAGTCACCAGAGACTGTACCTCTGGTTACAGAGGGCAAGAACGATTTGGTCGTGAAGGACAAACCAGATGGGACGAGCGAGGTTGTAAAAGAAGCAAAAGAGTAAAGACGCAACTGCTCATGCGGCACTGGTATACCCTGGATAATAATATATCGCACACCAATACATGTTCTGGTAAATGACTACGTTATGCTACTATCGTACACCTCCGGCCCCGCACCCTACACAGCCCGTGAGTACATTGCCATAACTCCCCTCCCAGCAATAATCGTATCCTCAACATTAACCCATCTCGTCTTCCCATCCTTCTCAAAGCTCACCTTCCTCTGCGGCTGCAGCTGCAACCTGCTACCCTCAGAAGCCGTCTTGCCTTCGCCCGTAGGCACAGGCGCTGGCGTACTGACGTTATTTTTCTTTCCGTTACCAGTGGCGCCGGTTCCCCACGTCAACAAGTCTCTTCCGAAGCCATCTACCGAGGCGTTGTCAAGGACGACACCAGCGGCAGTTAACCCACAGACCAATGACTTGATACCGATCGGCACGGACGTGCCGGCTGCTTCGGAGTACTCCGTCAGCGAGGAGATAGACTTCAACTTCGTCGGCCTATACTGCGACTGACTGAAACTTCCGTTACCCAACTGTCCATACTGTCCGAAACCCGAGCTAAACACATCAGTCTTCTGTTCCCCGTTCTTCACGACGTAGAATGAGGAATGCCCGCCTGCTGCGATAGCGATACATTGGATTCTGGCGACACGGGGGTAGCAGAGATTTAATGGTACGGGGGTCGGTTCCGCGACGACTGTGGTGTTTTTAGCGAAGTCTTGTCCGCATTGGCCGAGTTCGTTGTGACCCCAGCTGTAGACGCTGCCGTCGGCAGCCAAGGCGAGGGAGTGCAGGTCTCCAGTAGCAATCTGGGTGATCGGGAGCTCAGGGATATTGGGTAGCGGAACCGCGGTGAATGGAGCAGCTGTAATCATCGGAACCGTCAACAGGCGGGAGGAAGAAGTGAGGAGGAGGAGGTGTGCATGGCCTGCTGCGATTGACTTGAACTTCTCGAAGCTGTTCAGCTTTGCGTCGATAGTTACGTAGGAGATGTCGGAAGGTCTGGAGTAAAGACCAAGACCCCACCATGCGGATTCTGAGGGTTTCGTGCCGGATTGCTGCTCAGCCTTGGAGATGGGGAGGGCGTAGACCTTACCACCCTTGGAGAGAGCGAAGACGTGTGATTCACTGATAAAGTACATGTAAGCTTTCATCCCGGGGGGTATCTCAGAAGGATGATCTTACCTCAAACTCACTTGGACGACATTCTTGCCCTTCAACGTAACCTCGGGCTCCGCAATGGTAGCCCTAGGCAATCCTGAGTAGCCGACACCCCATTGAAGCAGGTCGCCGTTCTCAGTGACGGCAACTGTGACATGATGTTAATACCGTAACTATACACGGTCAAAGATTCACTGACCCCCGACATCCTCACGCAGAGCCAGATCTCTCAGCACCACGGCGTCAAGGAACTTCAGACGTCGAGGAGAAAGAACACGCTCTTCTTTAGAGGTAGGCGCCAAAACTCCACCACTATTCAAAGAGTCAGTGGCTAATTCCGACAACGAAAAGACGATCGTACAGATTCGAACCCCATGCAAAGACTCCAGGGCCTTGAACATCGGCCTCAACACCAGAAATTAACTGAAACTTCTGATCACGAGCCTCCTTAAGGTCAATCGGACTTGACGAATTGTAAGCGTATACGCCGTATGTAGCTACTGCTCCACTGAGACCAAGAAGGACGATGGCGGTGGAACGACGTTGAGATGAGAATGCAGCCGAGTGGACGGTACGGATTTGCCTGGAAGCAGCAGCATACGCTTGACGACGGCCGGCGGCAAACATTCTTGTTTCTTTTGTCGATAAACTGAAGAAACTGGAGGAGCTGAATGATCGGGATCGAGTTGCATAGACTCGCATGTTCATGAGGTGCCTTGCAGAAAAGGCCGTCTACGTTACTAGCGCCCTACGTAGAGTTATTGGTGGGCATTGACGTCGCGCTAAGGTCCCGAAATTCGCTGCTCACGCTCCCCGAAGGCGAATATGAACAACAAGTTATTGTTCCCTTCACACTTTCTCATCATCGTCGGTCAACGTTGCATCATCCTGGTCGAACCCAAGGACACCTTCGGCCATGAGTACTCCCGCCTCAAACGCACCACCACCAATAATTTCCACAGCCCGAAGAGCCGAAACACAAATCCGCTGCAATTGCTCATAGTAATCCAAATCCTAGAGATTATATTAGCGACGCATCCACGGTCCTCTGCAGAATTAGTTACCAAATCAACATAGTCTTCCTCTGCTCTCAACCGCTCCTTAAACTCATTATAACCATACCCGCTCCCACGAAACAGAGGTGGCTGAAAATTGGCCTGTTCGATATTTTCGGCGACAGTGACGGCGTTGGTGATTTTCCTTGCGCTCGAGAGGAGGGTGGAGGCGAGCCAGGAGGAGGATGTATAGAGGACACTTCTTGTTAGGGAGAAGAGTGATGAAGAGGTCGGGGAGGCCGGCGCTGGCTTTGGGAAGGATGTAAGATATGACGGGTCGTCGTCGTACTAAATCTTCATGTCAGCAATATCCCATCACAACTATAAATTCAGCTTACCCAGTCATCTTCCTCCAAAATACTATCCTCCTCCGTCGGGATCCCAATCTCCAACCACGCCGGATAGGTCATCTCAACCTTCTCTGCCTCTTCCTCGCCTTGCGGCACAAAGATCTGATCCGCACGCATCCTCCCACTAGACCGTTCGGCTCTCGACCCGTACGTGCTCCGCCCAATCGTCTTGCCAGGAACATAGACGTCGTCCAGCATCAGGGTATTTCGCACGCTCTTCTTAGGTGTCGAATGGGCCAGAGGAACTCCTAGTCCTTCCTCAACTGGGTCGTTATCAGGCACGACGATACTTCTGGACCCATCTCGCACACGGAGTTTTGGACTGCTCGAGACCTGTTTGACTTCGACATGGAGCACTGTCGCTCCGGACGCACTATGGATGTCATGGTCGTCAGTCATGTCTGTCATTGGTGTGTGTGTTCCGTCGAACTGGGCCGTGAAGGGGTCATCAGGGAAGTAGCTGTTGTCGCTACTTGGCAAGAAATCGGCGGGGGTAGGAGGCATGATTATGGGTTCAGCGTGGTGCTCGTGATCGTCTGTTTCGGAGTTGAGGACGCCGACAGAGTCTTGGGAAGAGGGATCGACCTGTTCTTTGATTGCTGTTGTGTTGGACATGAAACTCGATTCATCTGCGTGCACGAGCCCCTCTGACTGCTCTGCGCCAGCATCCTTGTCACTCTTCGTGCCGAGAGTTTTGAGCTTCGTCGGCGAGATACTCCCAGTCAAGTTCTGCTGCTCAAAGTCATCCTCCTTCGCAACCCACCATAATGCCTTATCATACCCGTCCACAGGAGTCCTCTTCACCGGCGAGCCGGGCATCGTACCTTCATGAACCGGCCAAGGCTGCGGGGCCTCACCAGAGCCTGTCCCCGGTCGACCGCTTTCTTCAGTCTTAACCCTCATCTCCTTATAGCTAGGTAACCTCACAACGCCACTCCTCACCACATTCTTTCCAATCGTCCCTACCACACGCTGCGACGATTCATCCACGATCACCACAGATCTACGGAAAGGAGCCTGCTCCCGTTCGTATGCAAGAATACCAGACAAGACCTGCTCGAGTCGATTCGCAGCATCGATATCATTGTCGGTTAACTCCACCCGCCAGTACTTCGCGGCCGGGGTAGGGAGGACGAACTTCCTGTAATATCCCGTCATCAGCATGATCAATTTGGAGACCACGAAGTGGAGGAGTATTACCATCTTCCAACCCTCCAGCACCTCAACCTGGGCATGATAGGATGCGTAACGCTCCCACACGTCAAAAATGTAACATTATGCATCCCATTGGTCTTATACACCTTCAACTCTCCCGTAGCCACCGTCCTTTCATCTTCACTGGAAGGAGGCGGTCCTTCAGCTCGCAATGTCGTAACCTTGGAAGTAAAGTTGACGATGCGGCAGGACGTGTGGGAGTACAGTAGGGTGACCTTGGGTGGGGCATTCTCCTGATCAGGGAGAGAACCGATAGTACTGATAGACGCTTTCGCGCGCAAGACAGGCCGCGACATGTTGAAGCCTGCTCAGGAAGAAGAAGAACTGTTTAGCGAGTGTAGGGCCTCGTCGACAAAGGGGGATCGAACCCGCTATGGACACCTGGGCACCATCAGGGGGCCCGAGCACAACAGATATTACGAGACAGCCTCATAAAGCCAGCCCCAACAGACGCAATGTCGGAAGCAATTTGTTCAGGTAGCCCACTGGCTAGCTGTTAGTTCGTTGGTCATTTGGTGTAGTCAGCTCTACGCGGACGGGTTGTGATCGTTCACGGTTGCACTGAGCTCCTCGGCGCCGGCTGGACGATGGCAGCAAGGTACATACCGAAGCCTGGGAACGAGTTGCGGATAGCTATGAGGACATCGACAGCAGCTGGATGACGGCACAGGGTTTCGAAAATGCAATGATATGATTATGAAATACCGGAAGTTCCAACTGTTCCACCAGCACCTTAATGAGCGACATCCATCTGCTTAACATCGTCTGCAACACGGAACGGCGCATCCGTCTTCTCCTTAATCTCATCAATCGTAACACCCTCCGCATACTCCTTCAACACCAAACCATTGTCGAAGTCGATATCAAACACTGCCAAATCGGTAATGATGGTCGACACACACCTAACACCAGTAATGGGGTAGTTGACATCCTTCATGATCTTTGATCTGCCTTTCTTGTCGCAGTGCTCCATGACGACGACAACTTTAGTAGCCTTGGGGTTGGCAACAAGGTCCATTGCTCCTCCCATACCCTTGATGCGGTTTGGTGCGGCCCAGTTGGCGAGGTCACCGTACTGGGAGACCTGCATGGCACCCAAGACGGTCAAGTCGACTTTGCCGGCACGAATCATACCGAAGGACTCCTCGGATCCGAAGAGGGACGCACCGGGGTTGAGGGTAACGGTCTCCTTACCGGCGTTGATGAGGTCGGCGTCCTCCTTGCCCTTGACGGGGTAAGGACCCAGACCAAGGATACCATTCTCGGACTGAAGCGTAACGGAGACATCGGCAGGCAAGAGACCAGGAATAAGGGTAGGCAAGCCGATACCCAAGTTGGCGTACATTCCATTCTTGAACTCCTTAGCGGCACGGGCGACGATCTTTTCGCGCTTACCCCCGACCTTGGAGATATCCTCCGAAGGATCCCTTGCGAGGGTCAACTTCTCGATACCCTTAGGCTCGGAAGATGCTTGAATGACACGGGAAACGTAGATACCGGGCAAGTGAACCTTCTCAGGATCGATCTCTCCTGGTTCGACGATGTGCTCAGCCTCGACAATGGTCATCTTGGCGTTGCGACCCATGGAACCGTTGAAGTTGTGCGCAGCGAGACGGAACTGGGCGTTACCGAGCTTGTCGGCCTTGTAGGCCCTGACGAAAGCAACGTCACCCCTGATGGCCTCCTCAAGAAGGAAACCACGACCATCGAACTCACGGACCTCTCTTGGGGTCGACTTGAGTGCCACGGTACCATCGGGGTTGTATCGCACGGGCAGTTCACCAGTCTGAATCCAAGTTCCGTACGCAGCTGGAGTATAGAACGCAGGAATACCGGCACCACCAGCCCTCAATCTCTCAGCCAAAGTACCCTGAGGAGTCAGCTCCAAATCAATCTCTCCGCTCAAGTACTTGCGCTCGAAAGTCTTGTTCTCTCCGACGTACGAAGCGATCATCTTCTTCACCTGACCAGTCTCCAAGAGCTGACCGAGACCTCCACCATCGACACCGGCGTTGTTTGATACTGCAGTAAGTCCTTTGATCGAGGGAGTGTCGCGAACGGCATTAATGAGTGTGTTGGGAACACCGCAGAGACCAAAACCACCACAGAGGAGGGTGCTGTCGGACTTGATGTCCTTGATCGCCTCGAAAGCTGAAGGGTAAACCTTGTCGACGTTGAAGGCAGTTCGCGATGAGGAGAAAGCACGAGCGAAGAGGAGGGTCTGTAACTCAACGATCAACGATTGATCAGCCGAAACTGTACATGTAGACGAACCTTCTGCGCCGGTCCCGCGAGCACCGCCTTGGCTGTTCTGAGGATTGCGACCATCTGATTTGGAATTGAACCTCAGCGCTTGAGATTTCACTGACGATCTGTCCTCGACGGGAGTACTCGGGGTATTTCAACTGGAGGTTGGTCTCACTGATGTCGGCGCAACAGCCGGGAGAGTCGGCAGTCTTTGTGTGCCGGTGGGGAAACTCCCGCCCGCGCCGGGGAATTGGGCGGCACACGTGCACAGATATGAAGGAGGGGAGATGTCAAAAAAGCGGATATATGTTATCGATGTAAGCTTAAACTCCGAGAACTCCTGCGAAATGATCATGTGCTCCAACTCGATTATGCCAACGTCAATGCCTCCTTCACAAACGCGTTGGCATCCAATGCCTCCTTCCTCGCTGCAACCGTGGCCTGGAAGATTTCGATCATCTCTTCTGCTGACATGTTCTCCGTGTCAACCTTACTCTTCCACTCTGTCATCACTTCCTTGAGCAAATTGCTGCCCTCAGCCACCTCCTCCTTCGTGCACTTGCTCCTCTTCTCGTCATGCTTGCCCGAAAAGTCCTCAAGTTCGTCCGCTTTACGCTTAGCCATCTTGACAACCTTCTCTGGGAACCTCGCGAGTTTCGCAACATGAATACCGAAACTTTCGTCGACGGCACCTTCGTCAACCTTGTATAGTAGCGTGATATCCCTGCTCTCGCCTTCCTCGACATGGACGACAACATGAAGGTTCTTGACTTGCGGACAACTATCCGCAAGCGCCGTCAGCTCGTGGAAATGTGTAGCGAATAATGCAAAACACTTGATCTCCTTCACGATATGCTCGGATATTGCCCAAGCCAATCCGGCTCCATCAAGAATACTTGTACCACGTCCAAGCTCATCAATGATAATCAAGGAATCCTTCGTAGCGGACTTTAAGATCGTAGCAGTCTCGAGCATCTCGGCCATGAAGGTCGACACACCCTTCAGTTGAGAGTCACCGGCTCCGACACGAGATAGAATACAGTCAAAGACGCAGATTTCGGCCTCTGAACAAGGCACGAAACATCCAGCCTGGGCCATCAACGCGATAACGCCGATCTGCCTGATGTACGTACTCTTACCACCCATGTTAGGACCAGTAATAATCAAGAACTCTGATTCACCACGCTTCAAGGTAACGTCGTTAGCGATGAAGTCAACATCGTCCTGCATCTCCAAACACGGGTGTCTCGAGTCCTTAAGGATCATGTCACCTTCACCACGAGCCAACATCCTTGGTCGAACGTAGCCAGTAGGAGCATGCACACTGACATGCGCAAATGCCACAATAACATCGAGATGAGCGATCAACTGACTGAGTAACTCAAAGACACCGCAGTAACTCGCGACAATACTCACGACCTCCTTTACAAGACTGCTCTGCTGACGGTCGTACTGATTAGACGTGTCCGCAAATTCCCTGCTAAGTTCTTGCAACTTGTTCGTAGTAAAGTGCACACCGGCTTTCTGCGTCGCCAGCTCGATGTAGCCCCTCTTGCCACGAATGGCGCCTGATTCGTTACGCGTAAGACGTAGACACCAGCCATATACTTTGTGCTGCTCCATCTTTAGCTTCTTGTCGGTATCCTGATCCAGCTCCTGTCCGACACGCTGATGTTCATCGTTCATCTCTTCTCGGAGTTCCTCGAGTCTCTGGCGATAGTGCTGCAAGTTCTCGTCAAAGTCTGCTTTTATGCGGAACTCATGGTCGTCGAGAGCTTCCAAATCGATGGTAGTCTCAACAAGTTCCTGCAACTTGCCCAAGTTCTCCGCGTGCTCAGCAAGTTTCGTGATGTACTGGTCCTGCAACAAGGCCTTCTTCTCTTCATCAGATGATGCTTCCAGAGTTGCCAGGATACCCGGTAAACGAATTACCACTTGATACACACGAATGACATCCTCCAACCCAGCCAAGCCCTTTTGAAACCTCTTCGCCAATCGGTTAAGGTCCGGGATGGCCTTCAACTGTTCTTCCTGCAAAGTCTGCCTCAACTCCGTATCCTCCACGAAAATCTCGACTAAGGAATGCCTCTTTTCGATCTCGTGGATGTTCATCAAGGGCTGCTTCAACCACTGCGCCAACAACCTCGTACCAATTGCCGTTCTGCACTTGTTCAGCAGACCAAACAGTGACATGTTCTTGTTTGCACCGTCGTTAGGTCCAGGCATGAGGTTCAGTGCACGCACGGCGGACGCGTCAAGCTTCATGTACTGCGACAGATCATGCTGGTAAAGCTCGTACTGGCCGAAGTTGGTCGAATCTGACATCAAGGCAAGGTATTTAATCAGTGCCGACGCCGATGCCATGGCCAGCTTCAGATCAAATTGAGGAAGAGTGCCAGCACTCAAGTCTCCGCCCAGCAAGCGCGTCAGATCCTGCTCAATATCTCTTGCGCTGAAGTCAGCTGAACGCTTCTCAGTGATAGTGATGCCACAACGGTCAACAACCTGTCGCAGTTTGCCGAGGTCGTAATCTTTGTGCTGAGGATCTTCCTGAATGATACACTCCTTGACGCCGAGCTGGATAAGAAGGGATTCGAAGTTCGAGTACAAGTCATTGTCCACAAACTCACTCACACCCAACTCTCGAACACTCGCATCCGCAAAAGCCACACCTACGCTTCTCTGCGTTGCAGTGGCCTGTACCTTGACGGCCAAGATAACAGGGTTGCTGGTCAAGTCTGTGTTCCCAAAAATCAAATCCTCAACATCCTGCAAATTTCCTGGAGAGGCCTGCTTCGTCAGCGCCCAACTATTCCTCCCAGCCGTTCCCCAGATTTCTACTCTCATACCCCTTGTGGTGAGCGCTTCTCGTAGGAAGACGGCAAAGGCTGCATTTGAGAGCGTACAACTTGGAATCCCCCGTGCTGGGTCAGATGAACCGAGGTATTTGATCACGGTGGTTGTACGATAGACATTTTGAGCGATATAGTGGGCGTCTTCGCCGTGTACGGAGTAATAATCCCCGCGTTCGAAAATACGGATGGTGGAGGCGTCTTTGGCGGGGAGGGAGCGGAAGAAGGAGCAGAAGCCCGCTTCGTTGTCTATGAGATGGTCAGAGTGTGTGCACAAATGGAGCATGAACTACATACCAACGCTCAGCTCAGGCCTGCTCTTATCGGCCATTTTTATGGGTTGTATGTTCTTTTCATCCGTCCGCCTGCGGTTGGAGACGCGACTGCAATTTCGGATGCACGCCCAGATGCGCGACGCGTCGAACGACGACGTCTACTGTAACCTTGGAAGTTCTCAACGACAGGATTCTTCCAGACAATGAAGAACAATGTGCAAGATGGTCAATGGTAAAGGTATCAAGTTCGTTCATTACGAATATTCTTATCAAGAAGCCCTGAAGAAAGACACTACAAATACAACACCACTAACGTAATACTTTTTCCCACAAACGCCGTCTGATCCGAATCCTCTCCACAAACCAATCCCCCCTCTCCTCTTTCTTTATCTCGTCATCCTTACATACCGCACGAAGCATGCAGATCCACCAGACCGCGATGATCATGGTCATACACCGGCAAATTCCTCGTGAAGTTGGCAAGATCCGCACCACTATACGGATCAGGAAAGGTCCCGTTGTTGAGCACAGTCGTGATTTCGTGTAAGTCCAAGCCGAGGTAATCTTCAATGAACTTTCCGATGAAAATGTTCTCGTGGTTACCGATGAAGAGACCGGCTTCGGCAGCGGCACCGTAGGCGTAGAGGTTGACGTCGACACCGGAGTGGCCGTGGGTTGACCAGCCCATGGCGGCGCGGCGGTTAAGCATGTCGGAGAGTTGGTAGGTAACCATGGAGGAGGTGTTGCGGTTGCAAATGAGGGAGTCGATCTCGGTGGTGGTGGCATCATCGATACCCATCCACTGGGTGAGAACGGTCTGGTTGAGGTAAGTGCGGAGCTCAGCATCGGTGTGGTTGACCATCTTGGCAACGGCGGACCCAACAACCTCGGTGGAGTTGGTAGCGTTGGCAAGGGCAGAGGGGTACCAGCCGTAGAAGGGAGAGTCAGTCCAGTTGGCCTGGCGACCAAGAGCAAGACCACCACACTCGTGGTCAGAGGTAGAGATGAGGAGAGACTCGGGGTGCTCGTCGACCCAGTTGCGGACAGCCATGACGGCTTCCTGGTAAGCGAGGATATCGTGCAAATGTCCAATAGGGTCGTTGTTGTGGGCAGCGTGGTCGATACGCGCACCCTCAATCATGATGAAGAAACCCTCCTCCTGGTCAACCTGGGCCTTGTTAAGGGCGTTGAGGGCAGTAAGGGACATCTCAGCAAGAGAAGGCTCCTTGGATGCCTTACGGTCAATCTCGTAAGACATGTGAGACTGGGTGAAGAGAGCCAACAAAGGCAAGTCAACGGAAGAACCGTTGTTCAAGCCATCGAAGCCAGCACGGTCCTCGATGTAAGAGAAACCGGCGGACTGAGCCTCCTCAATAAGGTTACGGTCGTCTTCACGACAAGACTTCTCAGTGGACTGAGGAGTGAAGTAACAACGACCACCACCCATCAACAAATCGACCTGACGACCAAGAGGGTTGTCGCCGATCTGCTGCTGAGCGATGAGGTCTTCCCAGTCACGGAAGGTAACATGGGAAGAGAAGACTGCAGGGGTAGCGTGGGTGATACGGGAGGTGGTAACGAGACCAGTCGCGTATCCGAGCTTTTTAGCACCCTCGAGGACGGTACCACAGGGCTCACCCTTGTGGTCGACAGCGATGGCGTCATTGAAGGACTTGATGCCGCAAGAGTAGGCGGTACCAGAGGCAGCAGAGTCAGTGATGAGGGAGTCGATGGCACGAGTACGGATGGAACCAGTCAAGAGCTCGTCGAGAGGAAGCTGGGTCTCGAAAGAGAGACCCTGCTTATACTGGTAGAAGGAGCGAGCAAAGTACTCGGACGCAGGACCGAAACCATCAGAGATCATGAGAATGACGTTCTTCTTTCCCTTGGGCGCACGGTAAACGTGAGCACCGGGGGCATTGGTGTAGACGTGATCCGTCTCATTGGTAGGAACACCGTTCCAGCTCAGGTTGTCGGTGTCAGCAAGAGATCCACCGGCGTACTTGTGAGGACGAACACGGTCCTCCTCAGACTTCTGGTGCTTGTTGTTGCTGGATTTGTCGGAACCATGGTTGTCATTTCCGTGAGCGGCGGCGACACCCAAGAGGGTAGCGATGAAGAGGGAACCGAGACGAACCATATTGCCGTTTCCGATCTGCTTCGAGCTGTGAAGGTGCTGGTGATGGGGACCGTCATGGTCAGCAGGGCTCACACATCTTTTTATACCCGTGCACTCAAGCGGCAGAATTAGCTCTCGTCATGGCATCCCGGTCAACAGGCTTGTCATCTCCCAGGCGGACGAGGTATTTTGTCCATGTTGTATGGGTGATCGGCAGGCACTTGGATGAACCGTTCGGGGTGCTTAGACGAGTTCGAGACGAGCGCTCGCCGGGTGCACGCGAATCACACTAGTGCCGTGGTGGGAGGTGAGCCATTTATGTGTGGGCGACGCGCGCGTGGGAAACAGAAATACCTCTCTTGAACTAGCTCCGAGTCAACCACCTCAAACAATCTCCTCCGGCCCCCTCGACTGATCCATCCCGCCATGCTGTCCGTTGCGGAGCGTAAACTCAGAGTCCTCCCTGTTCTTCTTGAAGCTCGAGTGTCCCGATCCAGTAGGTCCACCCAGCTCGGAGACCTCCGCTCCCTCGAGCACATTCTCACCTCTGTAATCAGGCATCTCCTCATCATGAACATACAAATACCAATACCCGGCCCCGCAAAATAGTCCTCCACCAACAATATTCCCCAATAAACTCGGAATCAAACTCTTCCAGATGTAATACCCAACACCGAAATCCGCTCCAGCCCACATTGCAGTCGGGAGGAAAAAGAAGTTGGCAACGACGTGATCGAAGCCGCAGGCGATGAAGGTTGCGGTGGGAAATTCGATACCGGCCATCTTCGAGATGACTTCGCGGGACATTGTACCGAGGATCACGGCCAGGCAGACGAGCCAGTTGCAGGCGATGCCGCGGAGGAAGATTTCGTGCCAGGCTGGGTCCAACACCTTCTGGTTGCCGAAGGTCGCCGTTGCGGAGATCTGTGCAGGCGTATGGAAGATGTTGCCATAATGCTGCCCCAAAATGTCAGTGTTGTGAGAGGAGCAATGAGGGGGGGGGGGGTAACAGACAATGATGATTGCCATGAAAAACAAACTCCCCGACAAATTCCCAAAAAACGACACAACCCAATTCACACACAACTGCCAAAGCGTAACCTTCCTCCTCAGCACCCCAATCACCATCAACATAACATTACTCGTCAACAAATCCGCGCCCGTCAGCACAATCATGATCAAACCAACCGGAAAGACAAGTGCCCTGATCAACGCCAATACACCCGGGGCGTTTGTCGCGAACCACGGTGAAGCGTTGACGGCGAGAACGAATGTACAGCCGAAGGAGAGAAGCATGCCGCCGTACATGGAGGACACGAAACATTTCGCGAGGGACATGCGGGATTTCTTGACTGAGGATAGGGTCATGATTTCGACGGTTTGCTGGGGGGTCCAGCAGTCCATGGACCCGGAGACATTGTGGATGGGACTGGAGTTGAGGACCATCTTGCAATCGACTTGTAGTTGAGGTTTCTTTCGTTACAACAACGTTTACGGAGTGGAGGACACTTTATACTGTGCGTTTCACATGCTCCTTCGTTATCTTGACCGACGTTTCTTACTAATCCTCAATCCTCCTCCCCTCATCTTCATGGAAGCCAAGCCTATCTTTGGGATCCCCGATTCGCGTGCGTTGAACCGTGTGTCCTCCTACGTCACTCCATACAATTCCGCTGCAACTGGAGGGTCTGGATTTATATTTTGAGTGTGTGGAGTGTCGCACCGGGGCCGAGCGAGCTTATCGCTATCGGATGATCTTCGCTACTTAAGCTGGCGAACGCAAGCTTATCGTCTTGCAATATGCAACCTTCTGGTGGTGATCATTACGGCATGGAGGTTTAGAAAGCTGATCTACGAGAATTCGCACGATGGGGGATGCGGAGGCCTGTCGGTTCGTCGGCTACTTTAAGGCGAATCCTAGTCACGTGCCCGCCGAGCAGATGTACGTACATGAAGAGGACGGAGTATCAGCATCAGTTCGAAGACGTTCAATTGTATCTCAAGCTACCGTATGCACCAATCGCAGTCGCAGTCGTAGTACCGGGTATCGTCATTCCTCGCTTCGTTTGCTCCCACACGCACCCGGCGGCGTTTGTTCTTCGTCGGCTATCCTGCTCAGTCGATCGCTCATGATCAACCTTAAGCCTTCATACATGTATGTTCAATCCCAAACCTCGAACCCGTTATCCAATTGCCCAGCCCTCACGACTATAACTGCTCATTCTCCGCAACCAACCGATATCCCTGCCCCTGAAACGAACTCGTCGCCCGACTACTCGCTCGCGGCCTCGTCTCCCCTGCAACACTCAAACTCCCGCTACTAGCCTGTGCCTCAGCCATATTCCCAATGACTCCGTTGACGATCGTATGCCCTGGTCGTCCCTGCTGATCCGAGTTTGAAGCTGATGAGGATGCGGGCGAGGGGTGGTAGGAGGGGAGGGTGAAAGGGGAGGCTGTAGCTTCGTCGGACTTGACGTAGTTTGGTAGTCGTTGAAGGATACCGAATTTTTCGCCCTTTGTCTCGATCCATTTCAGGATCCAGGCTTTGGGGATACTCCAGCCCAGTAAACCGTAGGCGAAGAGGTATCCGACCAATAATCCACCGACGTGTCCGAGGAATGAGGAGGATGGGATGATGATCCAGGTGACGATGAGGATGAGGAAGGGTGTTGATTGGGTTGGGATGGAGAATCCGTAACCCGTGATTTGTGGGCGGATGGCGGCGTTTTGGACGGCTTCGATGGCGAGGAGAGTGAATACCCAGCCACTGTTCTTTACTATCAGCTCGAATTCGTAATTTCCCTCGAGAGAACCAACAAACCTCGAACCTGCTACTGCCCAGTCGTTACCCAACATAAAGTACTCCGTGACCACATAGAATACCGTCGGAATAATCTCAAACATCCCGAAAAAGATACTCGCGGTGACCAATGTACCATTCTGTCTCTCAAAGTGGGACAGTAAAGGGACGAGGGGGAACATATTCAGTAACAGATGTAGGATACCCAAATGTACCAGGGGATACGTGTTCATTCGATGCACTGTAAGTCATGTCAGGTCGTGTTCAACACAAGTCTTCAACCCGCTTACTTTGAAACTTCAACAGTTCACTCGGCTGTAACCAAAACAACTCCGTAATCCCCGTAAACAACCCCAACACCCACAAACCAACCATCGCGGCCAACATCAACCCAGTAAACAAGGGCATAGTCTTCACCTGACTCTGGACCAGAACGCCATACTGAACCGCGTATCCGTGTAACTGATCCATCGCTGGCATTGTTGTTCGTGCCGTCGCTGCCATTTGGGGAGCGGTGTTTGAGTGGTTGTGCGTGTGCCTGGCGTGTGCCTGGCCCTGGCTTGTATTAAGGTGGGAGTAAACAAACAGAGGAGTGTTGGAAGCAGCATACACTCCGAGTGTTGGAAGCAGCATACACTCCGAGTGTTGGAAGCAGCATACACTCCGCGTTCAACGTGTACAAACCCTGTTGCTGATGGTCAGACGCGTTGTGGTGAGCGATGATGACAGCGATATCGAGTTTCCGGATCTGAAGGATTTGCTAAAGGCAGTGCCGAAGATCAAGGCCGAGCCGCGAGTGCAGCAGAAGTGTGCGCTGGTGGAGGTGGCCCAAAACGTCAAGATTACGAGCGTGGATGTAAAGGTCGAGGGTGAGGAGGAAGAAATACAGTCTCTTGCGGGAGTAAAGCGCGAGACGTTCTACGAGACATCGCGGGTGGTAAAGGTCGAACAGACAGACCCGGTGCCTGAAGTACGGCCTGAGGCAGACGTCCGAGCTATTATTCGTGAACCGACAGCAGCTAGAAACAACACTGTTCTTCCGCTGCAAGGGCATGAGAAATCACAGGCTGTAAGTGCCGAGAATGACCTGGCGCGACGGCGACGTCAGCTGAAGACCAAGGTGGTGTATGACTCTGAAGACTCGGAGAACGATTCATTGCCACCCCCAGAAGTCGAATTACCAAATAAACAGTTACAGAAAACTCCACCGAAATCGAGAGCTAGAGTGCCTGTTCCAGAGAGCGCTAATAAATCGTCAATGCCAAGACTCTCACGCCGAACGTCACCTCGAAAAGTCGGTCAATGGCGCTTGATACTCCACTCAGAGAGCGAGTCACCTTCCGAAAGCGAAAACGACGATGAAGACGGTGTTTACATTCTAGTGGACAAGTTCGCCGACACGAGCTTCTCGGTACCACTGCCGATAGAGGAGCCTACACTCGACGTGGGAAGAAGCACGCCGAAGCGGCGAGTACAGAAAAGGTTGATCCAGTACAGAGAAGAAGAAAGTGAAGATAGGGAATACTCCGAGTTAGAAATCCAGAGTGATGAAGATGCGGAAGAGGAGGTGGAGGTCATTGATGATTCGCTGCCGTCGCCAACCAAAACTTCAGCGCCAATGCCAGCTCCACGGCGACTTTCTGTCATCTCGAACACGTCGGATGCCTTCCCTGATGCGGGAGCCATCTTGACCTTCGAACCATCGAAGTCGCCTCGGAAGCGACCACCTCTTCGACCTATATCAGCCTTTGCTCCACCTTCTTCGAACTCCGTGGGAGCTCCTTCATCCGGTCCGATAGTCCCAGCCACTCCGAGGTCGCCACGGAGAATCATCCCACTATCACCCCACAAAAGTCCAGATGAAGCATTTTGGAATCAGGGAGAACACGCGACATGGGTTGAGAAGCATTCGCCCAAGAAACCACAGATTGACACGCTCCTATCACGACCAAGTTCACCAACAAAGTCGCCCGTGAAGAATAATACAACCGCAGGTCGCAAGGCAAAGAAGGACTTCCTGGCACGACGAGACGAGATCGCCATGAACTTCATCAGAGAGATTGATGACACCGTGTGTGGAGGAGAACTGAGCAAGAAGTGTGAAGCGGCTGGTGGAGTAACTCTCACTTGGAACGTACGCCTGCAGACCACAGCCGGTCGTGCAACATGGAAGAAGACAGTGCAGACCAATATCGTCAGCGGCATCGCTGAGAAGACCGACATCCACCGTGCGAATATCGAGCTCTCCCCAAAAGTCATCGACTCCGAAGAACGACTACACACAACCATCGCACACGAAATGTGCCATATCGCAACGTGGATCATCACCGGAGGTAAACAACCGTCACACGGAGCGGCGTTCAAATCATGGGGTGCTAAAGTCATGGCCGCCTTTCCGGACGTCGAGGTGTCCACCACGCACACCTTCGAAATTACCTATAAATACCGCTGGACATGTCAGAATGTCGCGTGTGCCTATGAATATGGCCGGCAATCCAAGACTATAGATCCCACAAAGACGTGTTGTGGACGTTGTGGGTCGAGGTTGGAGCAGACGCATCCTGTGCCTAGGGCTGGAGGTGGTGGTGGAAATGCATTTAGTCAGTTTGTGAAGGAGAACTTTGCGAGGGTGAAGAGTGCTAATCCAGGCAGCCCACATAAGGACTTGATGGGTATAGTGAGCAAGGAGTGGAAGGCATTGAAGGAAGGGAAGGAGAACATGGTCAGCCCTACCTCCGAGGACATCTTCGGTTTGGACGATGCATTGGAGAAGCTCCAACTGGCCTGAGTTAAGTTGAATCAGACATTAAATGATATATTGAATCATCATGATGAATGCCACAGGTAAGAAAAAGAAGAAAATCAACTCCACGCTCGCTCTCTATGCAAAATAGGGTATCCTTATAGAACAGTCTATATCATCGTCCTCATCCCATCGACATTACCATCTATTGCCCCCCAAAGAGGCCCCAGTCCTGAATTACGAAACTGCTCAGAATAGCTTTCAACTCCCGCCTCGCTTTCTCAATCCTCGTTGCGCCTCCGGTACCGCCGCTCAGTGGGAACGCAGACGTTAGGCCCGTGTCCGTACCAGTCTCCGATGGCACACCCAGACATGCGACAGAGAGCATATCATCCATATCGATGAAATCAATGTTCATACTGATAACAATGTCGGTTTCTTGTTGTGGAAGTCGGATGAGTGCAAGGAGGATAACCACAAATGGAGCGGGCGAGAGCGCGTGCCCGGTACTCACAAGGTCCTCTGATCCGCGACGCCGAGGGTAGAACTTGACGACTTGTTGAGTCCCGGTGAGGATGTATGCTGACACATTATTTCTGGTTGATTTGTAAGTGGTTGCATTGAGTGAATGCGCATTCTTTACTTACGGTAGATGTGGGATCTCTTCAGTTGAGCAGGGTACCACGCTCAATACCTGGGCATTGTCCTCGGCTTCGTTGTCGTGGGCGAGGGCGTCAAAGTGCGCCTTTGCAGCGTTATTGTCGTTTTCTGGTACGCGTTCTAGGATTTCGATGATGATTGAGCGGTCCTCTTTGCCGGACGTATCGAGGAGGACTTCTTGGTTGTCAGGTACTTGTCTGAACTGACTGTTCGCTTTTTGTCAGAAATCGTACCTACGGTTTAAGATGATCTCAAACAAACGAACCTCGCATCGATAAAGAGCGACGGAATGTCAGCTGTAACTGCTCCACCGAAGAGCTTGGTGTTGGTAACCGCAGGCATCCTCGGCATTCGCTGGCGCGGCGGGCTCAAAGAGTGTCTTGGCTGGTCGTTCGAAGCCGACATTGCACTGCTATAATTGTCGTCGTGCTGGTCAATAACACATGTACGTAGTATCGGCTTGGAAGATCTTGCAATTGGGTTCCACAGCGGTGCGGAGGCTTACTCAGCCAACTGTTGATGTGTGGCAGTGCACAACCTTATCAAGCCCAGCTGCACGTGAAATGGAAATACAGACGAGGGCCACCTCCATGCATATGGTCCTCTGGAGATTGATTATATTCCAATTAGGGATGCTACCGTAAATGACAAGCTGTAGATGCTTGGGTATAGATGTCGTGAAAACTAGTGAAGCTCCAGAATCCGATGACCTGCCCCTGTTTTGATATCCGTTCCATCCATAACTCCGTAAAGCTTAAGTCGATAAGCAATTGCACTCAATCCAGCTCCGCGTCCAGCTCGTCTGCCAGACCGTCAAGGTCTGACATACCTGATAGACCATCACTCTCGCCACCATCATCCAGCGGACCAGCGCCACCAGCTGCTGGTGGAGGCTTCTTTCCGCCGGTTGTCCGGCGCCGGCTTGGCGTTGGCTGTGACTGCGCACTATCACTATCCCCACCTTCCTCAGTATCCTCAGCACCAATCTCATGTGCCAACGCACTCTTCCGTTCTCGTGCCCTTCTCTGTCTCTTCGCGAGCGGCGACCGCATGTTGAGATCCGGTGTACTGCGCTCGCTATCGCTTTCGCCTTGAGAGGGTGTGGCCGAGATGGTTCTTTGCCGTCTCTTCCGCTTGCGATCAGGAGCGAAACCACTAGCGGAGGAAGCGTCAGACATTGATCCATCGCTTCCATCATCATCACTGCCCAAGAACTCGGCCAACTCCGCATCCATGGCACTGAAGTCCAACCCACTAATCATACCAGTAACATGAGCCGAGACACCCGGCGTTCCGACTTGACTATTACTATCGACGGCCAATTCGTCGTCTCCGGCCACAGAGTGCTCACTCTCACTCAGCAACTCGTCCGGAATATCCTCCTCGGCAGGCGGCGGACTCGGCGAACTCTGTGGACTCATCTGCCCAGTCGACGTAACCAAAACATATGGCGTCTCATCCTGTCTCGCAAACTTCTCAATCGAACGGTCAAACCACGCTCTTGAAACGATCTTAATGTGTTTGCGTTTCGCGGCTGTGTTGACTTTGACGGTATGCAGTTTGCCAGCGATAACGTGCGTTACGCGACTATCAATCTCGTCCTGTACTTGAGCGCCGAACTCCATTGCCATGCGGGCGACGTAAGAGCCGTGAACTTTCTCGCCGAGTGGGATAATGGATGAGAAGACAATCACACAGCCCTTCAACACCTTCTGCTTCATCGCCGGTAAAATATCCTTCACGGCAGGTAGCGCAGCCGCTCGTCCCAATTCACTTCCTTGCATATCAGCAAGCATTTGCTCCCGCTCCGCATCCGCTTGTCCCCGTTCATACAGGCTGTAGAATCTCGAGTGTACCTCCTTCAAGATGCTCTCGATGACTTGTAGCTCACGGTCATTGTCTCGCAAGATTCTCACGCGGTGGTCGCCAGCATCACCGGCCGGATCCATCGACTCTTGCATCTTTTCGAGAGGACGCTGCTCTTGTTGAGCGAGGAGGGCGGCGTGCTGTTTCGTCTCCTGAGCAGCAATGAGTTCGGGATTGTCACCGCCGCTGATGGCAACCATCTGATCCGTCAAGCTCGGCGAACCGGCATTACTATCCGGTGGCGTAGTCGGTTCACCCATGTTTGTGTCAACATTACTCCCCGGTCCGTTCACGGCTGGGGTTGCAGTGCTGGGAGCGTCTACTTTTGCTGTTACCGGGGCTGGTTCCACCTTGGGTGTCGGATACTGCCTAGGCACAAACGCGCCGTTGATATCTCCAACCTCCGGGAAGAAATCAAAGGGTTTGACCTTGACCACATTCGGACACAGCACCGCACCTGCAGGTCCAGCAGTCTGCCAAACATCCGCACGATCATCGATGATCACTACCAGGGAATCGTCCTCCGGGAAGAGACGTTGCACACTCTTGCGTTGTAGTGTACCGTTCTCATCACGAGACAGAATGCGATCACCAAATATTTTGCGATCTGGGTCGATGATTTTCGTGACGGCGTTAGCGTAGGGACGGGAACCCATGGTATAGACGTGCATTTCGAAGAGGTTGGACATCTTTTCCAAGAAGTCCTTCAGCAATGGACGCTGTTTGATGTAGTAGTTCGTCTGTGGTTCGGATGCCAATTGGAAAACACCGACGTCCTTCACGAGTCCGTGGTTTGGGTCTGTCGGGTCGGCGATCCATCTGCCGACTGTAGGATCTACGGCGGCTTGGATGACCGTCAGATCCAGATCGACAATAAGCGATAGCTTCTTTGCCTCTAGTAACCGCGATGTAGCAGCTTTCTCGATTCGCGCAGCTTCCTCGCGACTCACGGTAAGACCAGTGGTGTTGTGTGCCATGTTGATTGTCGCACGCGCCGAGTCCGTGTTTCCAGTAAAGTCCAACCCGGTGACGTCTTTGCCACACATGGCACACAGCCCAGCAAACTGAATTGCGTGAGAACAGTCCTCCCTTACATGCCCAACTGGCCTCCTTCCGTCATGCAGCACGAGCCCTGGGTGAATACTCCAGCTGTCCAACTTGCCTTCCAATGGACTGTCGAACTGCTCATAAAAATTCTTCTGAACTTTTTTCATCACTTTTCCTCCACTATCCGTGACGTTTTCGTCATCCACGTCGACGGCTTCCTCGGTCGTGCCGACATAGCTGTACGTGAATAACGGCGCGTGCTTCGGGATTGGCTGATCAGGCTCTGCCAAGAGCTTGGTAATGGTAATCGGATACCTCAACGTAGCCGGTAACAAGATTGCGGCAGTATCTTCGTAACTCATGCTTCAAGTACACCGAGAATGTGGTAGTGGTAATGGTAAACTGTGTCGTTTTTCGTCGGGAGAATTGGAGAGGATGATGCACATTGATTGAATGCGGACGGGAATGGTAACTGATGACTGTTCCAAACGTTTGATGGTCGGTTCAGTACGTGATGATGGTATCGTATCGTCCTGATTTTCACCGTCGTTCTCCTCGAGGGTCGGCGTGCGCACGGTGCTGCGGGTGCCCAACCTTAAGTACCAGCGATCACATGACCTCATAACCTGTCCATGCAAGAATGACGCACGAGCCCTGGAAGCACAGCGTGCAGGGTGAGGGGAAGGAACGGTCGAAAATCGGTAAATGATAGAATCCGAATTATTGGATTTCTTCGTGATATGCTAGATGTGCAGCACGGACAAACATAGGGAGGATGGATCCGCATGATGGACATGTAAAAGCGTCGCCGTCGGCTTCGTTCCGAACACTCCCACGGTCGGAGCCGGAGTCTACAGGGTCGTCGAGCCCATGGGTTACGGGCACTTTTACGGCAACACCTCGTGAAGCAACATAGCCTGCCTTGATTCCATTACGTTCATCCATCTCGGCGATCGACCCCGGTTTCTTTGCCTCATAATCCGCAGATATTTCCGCCTTCAGGTCGGCTGGCAGAGAGGCCCATACTTCTTCATCGACCTCCGGTGGCCTTGGCGGACTCGCATGAATGACAAGTGAAGCTTTGACTGCTGGCGGAGGCGCTTTGAAGAACCCTGCAATGCCTGTTCCCCCTCTCTTCTTTGCCGCTGGCCTCTCTGATATGCCGTCTTCCGCGTTCCGCTTAATGGCAACCCCATCCGCCCGGCCGGCGAACCCCTCCTGATCACGCTTGTACTCATTCGAAATCTCACGCTTCATCTCATCAGGGAGCGAGTCCCAGACTTCTTCATCCACCTCAGCCGGGCGTATCAGGGTCACTTGCGTCGACAGATGGTGACTACTTGGTCCTCCTGCGAAGTAACTCCCAATACTTGCCATCGGCCTCTTATTCTCCAAGTTCACCACCGCTAGATTGAACAAAGAACAGTCCCACTCCTTCTCACCGACCATCTTCTTGAACAGTCCCATAATGGTACCATTCAACAGTCTGGCGGCTCTCTCTTCCTTCGTCATCCGTGTAACCTCAAATACCTCAACCGGTAATTTCGCGCTCCTTCCTTCCCGTTTATCGCGCCATTCTTCACCTTTGACTCGGTTTGGTGAACGAAGTCGAACGGTTAAGCGGAGTGTGCGTGGGTATTTTGCCCAGCGATCGGTGGCTTGATCGTAAAGCTCCATCTCGAGGCGATCTAGGAGGTCGATGGTAAGTTCGAGGAGCCGGCGGGAAGCGTCAAGCATCCTGCTGCAATGGAGGAATGAATCTTCGATGGAGATGGTGGAAGGGTAGAGCGGCGATGCTTTCACTGGTGTCATATCGATACCTCGTAGTAGATTCCACAGAAACAGTCCTTGCTCGGCTCCGAACCAAACCTGAAACTCCGAAAGTGAGCTGTTTTCGATGACATATCCCACAGTCAACTGAGTGTCTTTGTAAACATCCAGCAACTCCGTCTTGGCTTTATCCTGCGGTTTATAGTTCTCCCAATTTCTCTCCAAATCATCCTCATCCACCACATCGTCCTCCACCACTTCCTCCCTTTGAGGCGCCCGCGCACCGAGTTTCTCATATAACACCTTCAGCGTCTTATACCCAAACCCGTTCAGCTTCTTCACTTGCATACCTCTCAAGAAGCATTCGTAAGCTTCAGGCATTATAAGGGTCTGGTCAGCGGGTTTGTGTTCGGCAGCTGCGAGCTTGGAAAGGAGTTTAGAGGTTGCAATGCCGGCAGAGCAGGTGAAACCGACTTGTTCATGGAGTTGGTCGCGCACATATCGGGCGAGATGGGAGGCAAGGTAAAGGGCCTCCTCGTCTGTGAATTGGGTTGTGTCTGTAGTTGCTTCGGGGGTGTAGAGACGATCCCCGTTTAAATCGATCATATGCCCTGCCCAGCCTCTGTGATCCTCGCCGGATATCCAGGATGCACTGCGGTCCATGAGCGCTCTTTCCACAAGCAACGTGACATCAATCCATAGTTCGTCCATTCCCAGCCTTTCTACCGCGCATTCATCCCCTACCAGATTGCGGACAAGCCCAAAGATGTCCCGACTAGCCTTTCTGTACCGATTCAAGTCCTCTCCATTGACGATGACCAGGTCAGGACAAGCCTTCACCGCACCGGTCACCAACTGCAATTTGCCAACACCTCGTTCGCGAGCAAGGTAGTTGCACGTCACAATAATTTGCTTCTGCTGAATGCCAAACGGCAGGGCGCGGAGGGAGGGCTTCGCGAGTTGTTCGACTTGGCCATAGAAGAAGTCCAGGTCGAGTTGGATGATGATATGGTTATTGGATTGAATCATCGACGAATTAGCGAAGACTACATTTTCTGTTCATCAGGAGTTTGGTCCCCACACAATTGCGATGTCAGGAGTACATGCACACAGCAGTGCTGTGGGGGTTGCATCAAGTTCAGGACCCGCTGCAAGTCGATTGGCGTTGCATGTACTCTTGGACGACGAAGTTCAACTGTCCTACTCCTTGTTTAAGGTATGTTATTTTGATTCCTTTGCGGCAGTGCATTTGTGAGTGCCGGGCCTGTACGATGGCAGTGCATGCCTCCTTTGCATTAATATTCCCGGCTGAACTTCCAGGGTCAACACATCCACCCTCGTGCACCGCTGAATCCCGGGAATCGGAGTCTATTCAGGACCTTGATGGGTGGGAAGATGTTCTGAAGCTGTGAATGCTTTGCTTTGTCCTCTCTTCTCCTATTAGGCGCCGTTTCTCCAGTCCTGTGAACTCCTTATCAACGCTCGGGCCGCTTCTTCTTCATCGTTATCCAGGCACCGTCATGTGCGCTGAATGCTGCTCTACGTTACGGGCAATCCAGTGATCCAATAGACCCAACAAGACCTCACCGCCAAAGGCAGGACCATGGTCTGCATCAAAGGCCTTCACGTCCAGGTATTACGTGAGGGCACTGTCTTGCAAGAGTACGGCACCACCACAAACAATGCCGGGGACAAGATCAGTTGCTATATCCCATCCGTTGCCGGCGATACTTTCACCGTTATCATTTTCCACCTACCAAACCCTCCGCCGGAGGATCTGGCTACATGGTACGAACTCTTCGACTTCCATCTCTACATGGACGGTTTGATGGTCGCCGAGATATTCTCCAATGTGCCGCCCATCGAATATACATTCGAAGGCGCAGATCAGCTCGATTCGACATCTTTCGTTCGGCCTTTCATGTTTCGAATCTTGCCATTGACGAGGACAATGCACGATAGTGAGAGGAGAGAAGAGGTATTGAAGAACTTGGGCACGATCCGCTTGTCTGTGCACAGGACATGGTCGGCGGTTCAAGACGAAGCTGAAGATGACGCTGAGCGAGTGGTGAAAACAAGCAATGATCCTACGTTCAATTGTACTATGCTGGACCTACCCGCACCCGCGGCCCGGACAGAGGAATGGCAACACGCCCCGGGTCCACAGAAAGCAGACGTGTATAAGGGAGATGCCCGTACTTTGAAACATGATGTGGAGTGAGTACATTTGTTCCCAAGATCTCTAGGTGTTTGCTGAATAGCGATAGTTATGGGGCTGTTACTCCGAAGGTAGTGATACATGGAGTCCTTCACAGAAGGGTAGAGGTTGACCCGGACCCACTTTTCGAAATTGAATTCCGTTACAGGACCGCCAGTTTGTTGCCACGGCGGACTTATCTTGCGATAAGAATGCTGACGTGAGAATTCGCAGGCGATCTCCGTGCTCGTGGCTTTAACGTCCCTGACCCGTTCAAGAAGTCTACCCGCAAGAGGCGCTCCTCAAATGACACCCCAGACCTTAACATGGAGGACATGTTTGATACCCTTAACACCATTGACCGCGATAACAAACGTAAGAGGGCCCGTGAGCAGCTCCAGAGCTGCCAAGTCGAGGTTCAGGATCTTACGGGAGATGACCCGCTCATGCCTGAGATTTGTCTCATTAGGCCGCCGGACAGTGATGATGAGGAGGAGTACGTGCCTCTTGCAAGGCTTATTAAGCGTGAAAGGGAGGAAGTCGTGGGAGCGGCAGTGGGTGTTGGGGTGGGCGTGGGAGCGGCAATGGCCGAGACGAGCGCTGCGCAGCAATTGTTGGAAGATGAGACAATCCGGCCCAACCCGTTGACGTTGATGGAGCGTATTATGCCTGCTCCTGCCTCCGAGGAGTCACAGGATTCGGGAGACGAAACCGAAGATACCGAATATTGCTTCAACGGGGAAGGGGGTGAAGAGGATCGCAAATCCGAGCAGCCTGCTGAAAACGATGAGAATGCCATGACCCTTGCACCCATTGAACCTGCGGAGGCTCCCGGATTCGAGAAGCCTGCTGCGGATGTCGAGAACTCTCAGTCTGCTTTATTTCTTGAGTATGGGGATTATGCTCAGGTTCCTGAACTCCGCGAATATGTCAAAGGAGCCCCGTTCGTGCTGACTGATGACGAGCGTAAGGTTCTTGGACTCCCCCAAGCTCCCGAAGACGATGAGTTCCCGGCCGAGCAGGCCACTGAGAAATAAAGTTGGAGGAGGGGGACACACTATTTATGGCTAGATGGGACGTCTTCAAGGAAGGCTTGGGGAAGGCTTGGGATGTTTTGGACCTCAGTTATTATCATTCCCTGGTCGTTTCGAATACGCAACCAATTCAGAAGTTGTATTGTTACAGCATCCTGCAACAGCGGCCTAACTATTAAAAACGTAAGTACATGTTTGATACGGCGCACAATGCCATCCCTGATACATGTCCAGCACATTAACCAGGTGTTGTAACGTTCATCTGACTCGTACTTGTTTCTGTCACTGGTACAACGTTGACTTGCTCTTGACCTCCCTTATACGCCGGCGGCGGTACCGTCGGTAGCATTCCCACGACCATCTCCTCATCTTCCCTGAACCCTCCACGCTCATACCTCGGCAACTCGATATCAACCTCCGGATCCTCTCTCCTCCCTTCCGGATCTTCTGCCAACGGATTATCTCTTCCTCCTTGACCGCTCCGCCGCGTGCGGTGTGCGTGTGTACGCGTTCGCCGCTGTGCGGCCGCTGCGTCGCCGGCTTGGATTATCTGGACTGTTCGCCGGGCTTCGAGGGCGATTTCTCTGGTTCGACGGATGTGGAGGAGCCGCATTAGGAAGATGAAGAGAACGAGGCAGACCACCAGAGGTCCGATGTAGGCGGTTGAACCGACGACCATGTTGACTTCGACTGTAATGCGACTGCTCCTTGTAACACTTCAGGATGCAATGCGAGCTGAGACGGTCAAGGAATGAAGACAACACCGGCCAGTCTCTGCACCACTGTTGATAATGTCATCGTCGGAATCCCTGGCTCTCTCGAGATCATGGATGCAGGGTCATGCGGGTTGCCGAGTTGTCCGTGAGACGGCGTGAATTTGATTCCACCACCTGCTGATGTCGATTTACAATTGCGCTTAAACAGTCAGTCATTGCAACTACATGCTCGCTCGTGCTGTCCTCGCTCCTTATACTCGTCATCCCGCGGTATTCGGGCGCCTTTCAGCTGTCTCCGCCTTCGTCATGTCTCCAGGTGGTCCTCCAACTCCCCAGGCCCAGCATTCATCCACGAAACGAAGCTTCAACAGCGCATATACATACGACACCAAAGCGCCTGAACACAGATCAGCGAAAGGACTTCGTACCTGAATCCTACTCAAGTCTACTGCTGCACTGACTTTACGCGGGAGCTCCTCATCAGTCTCCTCAACGAGTACCCGAGGCAATCCAGGGTTTAGTCCAGCTTCGGTGACGATAGACGATGTTGACGAGGTTATTGAAGAGGATTTTGAAGATCGGATATGGGAGGCGGCTGGAATGCTGCCTGCGGACGAGCACGGAGAACAAGAACAGTGAAGGGGATGTTGCATAGGATGGACACTGAGCGTGGATGAATGCGGCAATTGAGCAACAAGATTGGATGATACAAGGGAAAGAAAATTACCATTACACACGTCTCTCAGAGGCCCAGTAATAGCTGTGAAACAAGTAGAGTTTAACGGGAATCATTCAAAACAATAGTCTACTGAACCATATTGGGTCAAGTCCAAAACACAGTCAATGAACTTATAACAGTCCACTCACATAACCCACCTCTTCACGATCTCGACTCCGACCTTCGCAGGCGTAGCCATCCCCTCAACATGCGCCCTCGCAATCCCCTCCGCCAACCCCGCCTCAATGACCTTCCCCACAATCCTATCCCTGAACTGCATCATCAAGAAATATCCACTCACAGCCATCACCAACACCGGCACAGCCTGGAACGCAACCGTCGTAAGCCACATACGGATGAGACGAGCGTGAACGCGGTCCGCGCGGATCGCGGTGCGGATTGTGGCGGTGATTGAGGAGGGGGTACGTTGGACGGGAATGATGGTGGAGGTCATGGAGGTGGAGGCGACAGAGGCCTGGGTACGGAGGAGAGCGAGGTTCATGAGTGCGATAGCCGGAAGACCGAGCAATACATACGCCACGCTGGAGGCGAAAGCCATTGGGGAGGGCGGAGGGGGAACGACGACGGTAATGTCCTGGGCGGCGGTAAGGACGTTGGTCATGTGCGTCGTCCAAACGAATGTGCCCATAGAAGTGATGGCGGAGTAGAGAAGCGTAATCGGGACCAAGGGCTTGAGGGAGTGGATGAAATCACCCTTAGAGGTTGTCATTGCCTTGAGGTGGCCCCAGGTGCCCTTATCGGAGATGGGGTCCGCGAGAAGTTGTTTCATGTAGACGATGTTTAACGGCATCGCGACCGCAGCACCGACGACGATTGCGAGGACGTTGCCGATGATGGCGTAGAGGGAGAGATCGTCGTAAGCACCGAGTGCGGTGAGGGATGGGACTTGGAAAAGAGCGCCGAAGGCGTTGGTGGCGAGGTAGGAAACGATGTTGATGATAGCCGAGCATTGAACAGCTCTGTAAGCAGAAAACCTACCGGTTCTAGACTTGAGGTATCGGAAGAGTCCGAAGAAGGAGGAAGTCACGGGTTTGTCCGTAACTCGCACGTTTCTGACAGGCTCGAACTCCTCATCGTCCGCCATTCCCTTTGACGACTTCTTCACATCACCGTCATATTCGGATGTTTGGAGCGGAGCGTACTCCACCGCGGATGAGGGAGACTCAATACAGGTGTAGATCCAGGCGAGGTTGATCGGATAGGCAACGAGGAAGAGGAAGAGGAGGGCGAGAAGGAAGATTGCGAGGAGAAGTTTGTTGACGTCGGAGAAGGAGATTTCCAATTGAGGTTGGTCGCCCATTGTTGTTGTTGGTTGTTTTGTCGAAGTTGGTGCGATCATCAATCCTATCGATAGTGGCTGTGCCCCCGCCACGTCGGTCCGTCAGTTCCGTGCGCAGAGGGTCGGGGGGGAACCGGAGGCGCACAGCAAGCCAAGGGAGGGAGCGTATCGAGTTTTTGACGTGGTAGTGAAGGCTTTGTAAATGGACGTTAAAGCACGACCTCCAACCTCCAGTGGCTGCTCCCCCACACACAGCCTGATCCATAGTAGACGCACCCTTGCATTAACGTGCGTCATACGCAACTGGCTCGGCAACCGTGACAATCAACGGTCGCTCTCCAATGAACCCCCTATCTGGCAGCACGGCCCACTCCCGCATCCTTCTCGAATAGCATTCAGTCTGTGCTGAGAGCATGGCCGACCCTCTTCTCGCTCCACACGCGGCAAACTACGGCTCCATCCGCTTAACTGCCTCAATGACAGACACTCTCCGCCGTGATTATCGTCGAGACTCTTCGGTAGAGGGGTTAAGGCGTACGAGTTCTGCAATTGGAAGCGATACCTTTCGGAGGAGGAGACGGAGTAGTGCGAGTGTCATCAGCTTGGCGCATAGGAAGAGTGTGGATTTACTTGGGATTGGAGGTGAGTTGGAGGAGGAGGATGAGAGTTTTGGGGATGAGGAGGCAGTGGATGATGAGGAATATTTGCTCGAGGATGATACTGCGAAGCCTGGCGACGGTGAGGATAGGTATGGCACTAGCCCTTTCATAACCGGGTTTATGGCTGAAGTGTTTCGTGATAGTCCTTTTGGCGAGGTGAATGCATGCGTCCCGAACACAGATGACCCCGACACTCCCGTTAACACCCTCCGCATGTGGGCAATCGCAGTGTTCTTTACCCTCCTCGGCTCCGCATCCAACATGTTCTTCTCCCTGCGGTACCCCTCGATCGCCTTGTCCGCATTGATCGCACAACTTCTCGCACACCCCTTGGGAAAGGCTTGGGCGGCATACATGCCACATACATCGATACCGTTTGGCATACCGGGTACTAGACTATGTGCTTGGGTGAAATTGAATGATGAAAGGGATTGGAGTGCAAAGGAGGCTGCGTGTGTGTTCGTTGCTGGGAATGTGTCATTCGGGTGGGCTTATGCTACCGATGTCATTGTTGAGCAAGTCAAGTTCTACGGTCAAGACTTTGGAGTGACGTACCAAATCCTCCTCGTCCTTACCACACAGCTACTCGGCTACGCCTTCGCCGGTCTAACACGTCGCCTCCTCATCACCCCTTCCAGCATGGTCTGGCCAGCAACATTGGTCAACACCTCCCTTTTCTCCGTCCTGCACAGCCAACAATCGACCACGCGCTACCATTTCTTCAAACTCACCTTTCTCATCGCATTCTTCTACTACTTCCTCCCGGGATTCATCTTCCCTGCCCTCTCCTGGTTCGGCTGGCCAATCTGGATATGGCCGGAAAGTAAAGTCGTGAATCAGGTCTTTGGGGTACGTACGGGGTTAGGGATTGGTATGATTACGTGGGATTGGGCACAGGTTGCGTATGTGGGAAGTCCGTTGTTGATGCCGTGGTGGGCACAGGCGAATGTGTTGGGGAGTTTGGTGGCATTTATTTGGGTGCTTGCGCCGGTGTTATAGTAAGAATTTCCCGGCATTGCGTTAAGCAGTTACTGACAGTTCTGACAGTTACTCGAATGTGTGGTTCACAGCCTACCTACCTATCTCAAGTCCGGAGGTGTTCGATAACGCTGGGCAGCCGTACGACGTTACTCGTGTCATCGCCCCGGACTTGACATTCGACAAGGAAAAGTACGAAGCTTATTCACCCCTATACCTTCCTGCGACGTACGTCATCACATACGGGTTGAGCTTTGCGGCTCTTACAGCGTTAGTGGTGCACACCTGGCTCAACTATCGCCATGATATCTGGAAGCAGTGGAGGGCTGCTAGAGGGCAGGGCGATGGAGAGGACGATATTCATAGTCAGGTATAACTCATGATCTATAACGTTTTCTACAAAATTGGCTGACATGACCTGTAACAGATGATGAAGAAGTATCCCGATGTTCCGGCGTGGTGGTATGTGTTGCTTTTCGTGGTGTGTCTCGGAGGTGCGATGTATCTCTGTGAACATTATCCTGTTCATCTACCGTGGTATGGTGTGCTTTTTGCGGTGGGTTTGGGAGGATTGCTGTTTGTCCCGATTGGGATCGTGACCGCGATCGCCAATCAGACGCCTTCACTGCTTCTGCTCAGTCAGGTTGTGTGCGGGTACTTGTTCCCCGGCAAGCCGGTGGCAAACATGGTCTTTGTCTGTTTGTGCTACATCACGAATCATCAGGGAATCACTTTCTCCTCCGACATGAAACTGGGCCATTATATGAAAGTCCCGCCACGGGTCATGATGCTCGTACAAGTCGTCGCAACGGGTGTGGGGTCTTTGACACAGATCTTCGTGATGAACTGGATGTTTGGGAATATCCGGGGCATTTGCACTTTGGAGGCGGAGAACGGGTTCACGTGCCCCTTTGCTCGGGTGCATTTCAATGGATCGATGGTGTGGGGATTAATTGGACCTGATCGGTTCTTCGGTCGGGGACAGATGTACCACCCGCTCCTGTACTGCTTCTTGGCCGGAGCTTTCATTCCGATACCGATTTACTACTTGACTAAGCGGTATCCGACGAGTTTATGGAGGTATGTGCATCCTGCTATTATCCTCGGAGGCACCTCTTGGATTCCTCCGGCTACTGGTGTCAATTATTCGACGTGGGCTGTTGTTGGGTTTATCTCTAACCGGATCATTCGTCGCCGTGCGGAGGGGTGGTGGTCGAAGTATAACTTTGTTCTGTCTGCTGCTCTGGACTCCTCGCTGGCGCTGGGGGTGTTAGTGGTTTACTTTGCTGTCGTGTACCCCGGTATATCCGATAAGTGGCAGTGGTGGGGCACAGAGGTGTTCAAGGATACTTGTGATTGGAGGGGGTGTGCATGGAAGACTGTCGAGGCCGGTGAGAAATTTGGAAGGAAGTTCTGGTGGTGAGCGTCAAGTGAGGAATGTGAGAAGTGCGGGACATTATATTGCATGTCCTTTGATTCACTAGTTTGTTCTACGTGGCATTGATTCTGTTTTGAATCTGATTACGGCTATAGTAGAGGTACAGGAGGTACAGGAGTTTTTTCCGGGTTTTCATATTGTCAAACGTTACTTAGCATCAATGATACCTCTTCATACGCATGAACATCTAGGACGATCATTCGTGGTGTAGAAAGTGGATGTGATTTCTATCAAACAGGATACGGCCAATACATTGCCACAAGGCCAAGCCCTTCGTCATCGCGAGTTCGTCGGCCGTTTCTCTCTTCAAGAGCCTCTACCTCAAGGATTATCTCTGGTTGGTGGCCACGCTGGGCAACCTCTGGTTGCCTTGATGGATCGATCTCATACTTTGGCGGTGTAGACTCTGCTGTGTACGGTGGTGGCGCCTCCGTAGGTGAACTTGAATACTGCGGTTGCCGAAAGACGCTTTCGATAGCTGATTCGGTATTGGTGGCGGCATTCAATTTTGCTCTCCGCCACTTGAGGTAGATGTATAAGTATATCCCCACAACTGTGAATAGGGCAACGAATAGAGCTACACCCAGGATGATTGGGCGTGTCGCATCTGAGGCGCGGATTGTCGTGTTGGCAGGGAATTGGTCGAACATGGCCATTGATGAGGAGGGTCAGTTGTTCGAAGGCTTGATGGTTTTTAAGTTGGAAGATGGAATTACGGATGCTCAATCACTGAGCGGAACAGTCATCCTTATAAACGTCATGACCATGCTGCTACGAAAGGCCCTACATCCGGGTTATAAGCCTCCGATCGCCGTTGCGGGTTCCGGTGTCGCGTAAGTCCGGTCCGAGTATGACAGCAATGCGAAGGGCCGAAGCCGTGTTATAAATTCTCGTTCCGATATCGCATTCTTCGAAGACGGACCGCATGCACGGACCGGTGAATCTGGAATGCAGAAGATCACCTCGATTCGGCCTATGGAAGTACAGGTACGGTATAGCAGCAACGGGCCCTGTCAGACGTCGATGTCGCACGCCCATTGAGAGTACTACTGCCAATGATGACGTCTCGTGAGAAATATCGTGAGAAATATCGTTTAGGAAAAGTGAGGTGTTCAGATTTCACGCAACAATTTGCAGCAGGGAACAGTCAGCCTTCATAGACAAAGAGGAGGGAGGTTGACTCCGATTCTCACAACTGTATCATTTTCGATGGCATCTGACGATTCCTTTAAATGTGAAACTTCCGTATGCGGCAATCTACGATATGAGTTGACCACACCAGCACAGTAGCTATAAACCCGAGAACATAGCATACCTGTATTCCAAACAGGTACCCCAAAGGTCACTCACCTTGAGGTTTGAACATGTACAGCTGAAGATCGTCGCTTGATAACATATGATCTTGATTTCCTACAGAAGAAGCAAAGTAATCCTACGAAGATAAACTGGCTACTGATACCGCACCGTCTTACATAACGTACCTAAAGTACGGGTTCTTCAGATCCGTCTCGTCGTTTAACACCATCCTCGCCCGGTCCTCCTCCTGTTCGATCGCCTCCTTAGTTCCAGGCTCAAAGTGCCTCATAGCCCTATCCTTCTTCGCATTTTCCCTTCCAAAAACGAACCTCAAACACAAGATGACCACAATTTCCAAGCAGTACGACACCAGCATGGAGATGATACCCATGGTGTACTTTGGTGCTTGCGAAGTCTTGTAGAAGAACGGACCGGCGATGTTACCAACGGAGTAGCCGACGAAGAGAAAGGCTTGAACGATGACTTTCTTGGTGTGGCCGGCAACGTTACCGGTGATGAAGGAGAGGCCGACAACGAAGGTTGCGTTGTAAAAGCCGGTTAACTGTGCGTCTTGTCAGCAAACATGCATGGAAACTTGCTGGGGAAAGTGACGTACGTAGTAGCAAATAAGCAGAGGAACCTTATGCTCCTGCGGAATCAAATACAACCCCAAACTCCCCGCCACGTTTGGGATCAGATACGCGACCATAATCCAACATCTCGAGTTGGGCGGCAACAACCTATCGTTGATGTACACGCAGGACACGATGGCGAGAGCGATACCTGTACCGTACGGGATCTGGAGGAGAGTGGTGACGAGGGTGGAGTATCCGAATCCCTTGATGATGAGACTGCCGAAGTTTGAGAGACCGCCGTTGGGGATGTTGGAGGAGAGGGCGAAGAGGAAGAAGAGGTAGGTTTTGGGGTCAGTGATAGCTTCCTTGAGTTGGTACATTTTGAACTGCGGAAGTACGTCAGTACTGTTGGGACGTGAGGGTCAGGAGGACACGCACCTCTTTGTTCTCCACTCCCAGGTTCTCCTCGGCGAGGCGAGCTACAGCCAACGCCCTCTCCTCCGGCGTCAACCACTTTGCCTTCATCGGCGAATCCGCAAGGAACAAGATCAGGATAATGCCCCAAAGCACAGTGATCCCGCCAATGATCAAGAACAGGTACCTCCACGACGCCAAACTCCCATGAATATGCCCAATCGCGTACGCAAACAACCCACCGAACGCAATCGCGACTCCATTACATGTATACCACAAGCCAATTCTCACGGGCTGTTCACGTCTGCGGTAGAACATCCCGGTCAAAAGCATGAAACTCGGGGTAGCACATGCTTCGAAGGCACCGAGGATGACTCTGACGACGGCTAGGGTGATGAAGTTGTGGCAAGCAGCGAGACACATGAGGGTACCGCCCCACAAGACGACATTTACGCCGAGATATTTGCCGACGGGGAAACGTTGCAGGAAGTAGTTTGTGGGGTATTCGGCGAACATGTAACCGAAGTAGAAGAGGGCGGAGAGCCAAGAGTATTCGGTGCCCTTGAGGTGGGTGTCCTCCCTGATCCCGAACAAAGCGGCATATGAGAGAGTGGTTTTGTCGACGTACTGCCAGGCGTATGACATCCCGAGGAAAGGGATGATCCACCTGTCGATCTTGCGAAGGAGCGCCTTCTCGGCCTCGGGTGTTATGAGGACGAAAGCGGCGTCGTCAGCGTCGACCCTGTAGATAGCAGGGTTCTTCAAGTAATCCGCAACCGGATCACGCTGTGCGTTCTCGAGATGTTCAACTTCGTTCTTGTCCATTTGAATTGGTGGTTTGCTACCTGGTCCCACCCCGAATCCTCGAGGTATTTATAGGATAGGTCATGATCTCCACAAATTCATTCTCCCCACCTCATACGTTCGCTTGGAGTTGTGGGGATTCATATCGATCCGCAGTGTATGAAGCAGCCACGGACCTCTTCCCTCCGTCTCTGCCGGGGTCCCCGCACCCGCCTATCGTACTAGATGCACGCGCCTCAATTGCAAGCTTTAACCGACATTAGCCGAAAGCTTGTCTTCGCTTGCGTCGAGTTAACTTCCTAGGATGAAGCCTCTAGTAATACTGCTCTCCGAATTAAAGATGCGGATCAATTCTGAAGGGAAACATCGTTGGGTCACGTGAACCTCGGAAATTCCGACTCCTTGCCAGCAGCTGGCGCTCTTAAGGTTTTTGGCTTGCTGCAGACTGATGCAATGATCAACGAAGTGAGCGCGTGGACTGGGAAGCGTCTGGGGTGCCCGCCCAATTACGCAATCTCCGAACCCTGAGATATCGAATCCCAGGGCTTATAAGGGCATGATCCCCGACTTTTTGCCTTCCGGGTCAACCACCAGATCAACTCATAATCGCATTAATTACTATGGCTACGTATACCATTAACGACGAACGTCCTGAACTCTCCACCGCCTCCTCCACTACTGCGCTTTACCACGGCGAACCCGGTGACAAGCATGCAATCCACCCCGTCCCCGCCGCTGTTGTCGACACTGCTCACTCTCGCGTCGGTCACCGCTGCCCGATCACTGAGCAGCCTCCCCGTCCACCGCTTGAGTCGAGGGACACGAAGAACATTCTGTGCGACTTGAATGAGCCTGTTGATGAGACAGCGACTGCTTACACCACCATCGAGGGCGCCCGTCAAAATGCCATCCCGACTCCTCGCGTCGAGAAAACTGGCATGGACTGGGGTAACACGTCCACTGCCGCTTCCACCACCTCCACCACTTCTTCCGCCAACTTGGCCACCGGAGGCGCACCCTGGCGCCCGACGGAGGATTTAAACCCCTCCCTCGGTGGTAATATCGCAACTGGCGAACGCATCCCTAGCTCCGCTTCCGGGGTCCATGCAAACCCGGAGCAAACCCGCGTTGCGGAGACTGCGAGGGCGAGGGAGGCTGCTGTTGGGGCTGGGGCAGGTGCTGGACGTAGGACGGAGGAGGAGTTGGTTAAGGGTGTTCAGGGTGTTAACATTGGTTCTGGCGCTGCGACGGACGTTGGTGCGGGAACGCCGTGGAGGTCCACGGGTGATGTTGATATAAGCAAGAATGCCATGGGCGGAAAGGGCGTTCACGTCGATGCACCTACCTCCAAGACCTCCACCACTGACAACCTCGTCGCTAAGACCGAGCAGAGCCCCGCTACTGCTCCCACTGCCGGTTGGGCTGCTCCGCCGACGACAGATGCTGGATCTGGATCCACTACCACCGCTACTTATGCTACGGCTGAGGCTAAGAAGGAAACGTTGGGGGTCGAGGAGACGAACAGGAGGAAGTCGAGCACTTCGTCTGGAAAGTCGGGAAGCTCGGGGATTTTTGGAAAGATCAAGGACGCTATTATCGGATAATTGGCTTGGGTCATTGATCATGACAGATGTACGATAGGGATGAGGAGCGTTTCATTTGTACACTATAGCTATACCCGGATGACATTAAGGATTTGGAGTATTCAAACGTTTATTGAAGAGCAATCGCAAGCTTGACAAGACCGTCATGTAAAGCAGCCTGCAAACTGACCACACCCGCGCTGTTGTGCTTCATGTCGTACACTTTCCGCCACATTTCGCAGGACTTGAAGTAACAACTGACGCACGGATATCAATCATTACAAATAAGATTCAAAATGCAACTCAGACCAAGAGTAAAAGATCAGAACATCACTTCAGTCCTCAAGGCGACGAAGGCGACGTGAGTGTAACTGACGTCACTTGCAGGGATGACGGTTGCTAATCCACAGCTCGTAGACGAATTACCAAGAAGGCAACGACAACTGCAATTAAGAAAGAGTATTCAGAGTCTGCGGTTGTCAAGTCTGAGCCGATACCTACACCCGTCATAGCTGTGATCAAGGCCGAGCCATCGCGACCAGGATCATCTTCGTTTGCCAAAGAAGAACCGAATGAACACCCGCTGTTCGCTGCTTCACCCCTCCCTCGCCATGGACCAACCTATCTACCACCATTAACTCACGCATCATGCCTTCCACAAGCATATGCTCACCTAACAAAGATTGATCCACGGTTCGCGCAATTAATTGAGGCACATCCATGTCGTCCGTTCACGGACGAAGCACTACGAGAGCAAATCGATCCGTTCCGCACATTGGTTACGGGTGTTTTGTCACAGCAGGTGTCCGGAGCAGCAGCAAAATCGATCGGGAGGAAGTTCGTTGCGCTGTTCCTGGGTCACGAACAGGAAGCTGAGGAGGGATTCTTCCCCACGCCGGCGCAGGTGCTCGAGAAGGATATCCCGACATTGCGAACAGCTGGTCTCTCTCAACGAAAAGCAGAATACGTCCTCGATATCGCTGCCCGCTTCGCCGACGGCCGCCTCTCCACCTCCATTCTCGCCGATGGCACCGACGAAGAAGTCATCAAAACCCTCACCGCAGTCCGCGGCCTCGGCGTCTGGTCAGCCGAGATGTTCCTCATGTTCGCTCTCAAACGCACCGATGTCCTCTCAACCGGTGACCTCGGTATCCAACGCGGTATGGCGGCGTGGACGGGGAGAAATGTGAAGGGTGTGAAGAACACGGGGAAGTGGAAGTATATGGCGGAGAAGGACATGGTTGCGTATGCGGAGCAGTTTAGGCCGTATAGGAGTATTGTGTGTTGGTATATGTGGAGGGCAGATGGGACTGTATTGGCGCTTGGGGAGGAGGTGAAGAAGGAGGAAGAGGTTAAGCAAGAGGAGGAGGCACAGCCAAATGAGGAGAAGGTGGAGGCTGTCGAGGAGGGTGTGAAAGTTGCAGCTTAATTGCTACGAGACTCGTGTGGAGTGGTATACATCCCCTCGACGCTGACAATAGTACAACTCGTTGCTGTTCGTACAGGCTCATGTTCTCACGTAGCGGCCGCGGGTGCTGGTGAACTCTGGGCTCGACCGTGCACCGCCATCAGCCGCGCCACCTGCAAGCTGCTCTTCTATCGATAACGACAAGCAAAATCCAAGTATTCCAGATACCGACCTCCACATCTTCATAAACAATGGGTCAAAAGCGCGGAAACTCGTCTGGCGGAGGCGGAAGTTTCAAGCGCCGTAAGGCCCCGGGCAACTCGTCGCTCCAGCCTGCGACTTCCGGTGTCTTCGTGACTTGCCCTCGCGGAAAAGAGCGCAACTGTTTCAATGAGATCTCAAACATCATGGAGGAGTACGTCGAGCGTCTTTTCCCTGCGCCGGAAGAGCTAGAGGACTCGGATGAGGATGATGAAGACGATGACATTGAGGCCTCGATTCAGAAGGAGTTGGCTGGGATGAAGGAGAAGGTTAGAGTGAAGAAGGATGGTACCAAGATCAAGAGGAGGCTGAACAAGGTCGATACTGGAGCAGATTGCGTCCTTTACATTCAAACACGCGGCAACATCGAGCCAGTACAGTTGGTCCACGACATCTGCGCCGATGCTTCTTCCACCGGTATCAAGAGAACACGATACACTCAACGCATGACTCCCATTACACGCACTGGTATTGCCGAGCCTCAGCCATTATATGATCTGGCAAAGGAAATCTTGGCACCTCATTTCCACAAGGATGAGGGTCAGGAGCCCTTGAAGTATGCCATCCGACCAAGTTTCAGGAATCACACCAAGATGAACCGTGATGAGGTGATCAAGATGATTGCTGGTATCGTTGGTCATGAGCACGGCCATAAGGTGGATCTGAAGAATTATGACGTGTTGATTATTGTGGAGGTCTTTAAGGTCAGTCCAGTATATCTCAGGGCTGATTTTGAACGTGTACTGACTCGTATATAGAACATCGTGGGTATGAGCGTTGTCCGGGATTTCGACACATTGAAGGGTTTCAATATCGACCAAATTCATCAAGCAAACATCAAGAAGTCCCAAGAGGAGAAGGAGACTACAGAACCAGCTAGAGCAACGGAAGAAGTCCCGGCCCAGGAAGAGGAGAAAGAGGAATCCGCGTAGGTAATTTGCAGAAGAATACTTTGGGATGGAGCAAATCATGTTCATGAACCATGCATGTCAATTACGCAAGTTAATTATACATTAAACCGAATTACCGCCCAAGAAACACTCCCCGTACAGGAACTCCAACCATAGAATAACACTGCCTGTAAAAATACGAATGCCTGAATACCATACACCTTCAGTTCCTTGATGACCTTCCCTTCACCTGCTGCAGCGCCCGAGACAAGGCAGCCTTCACCTCCTTGTTCTTCGACCACTTCTTCTGCAAAAGCTTCATCCGCTGAGTGGCAAGGACGAGCGTAGCGACGTTCTTGAGCGTTGGGCGCTTCGTGCGCATCGTCTGATCGGGGTAAATGCCCATTTGCTCCAAAAGAGCCAAGTTCGCCTCATTGCAAACCTCGTAACCGCTGATTTGCATGAGGAAGTACTTCTTGGAGAAGGTAAGATCAGCGCGGAAGGTCTCCTCGCGGGCAATCTTCGCATGAAGATATCCAATCTGTTTACCGAGACCCTTAAGTTCGGCCTGGTGCTTGCGAGTAGCGCGCTCAAGGTCTTCCTCAAGCCTCGGGTACTCCTTGGCCTGCCTGAGAGCAGGGATCAACTGGGCTTTAGCAGCTTCGTACTTCGCGCGCTGCTCCTCAGCATGTCTGGACCTTGACTCTGCAAGACGCTGAAGGTTTGACAATTCCTCGCGATGCTCGTTCAGTGCGAGACGAAGCTCGTGAGCCTTCCTTGTAGCACGCTCGTATTCATTCTGCGTACGCTCAAGCTCCATCTCCAACTTCGTAACCTGCTTCTTCATGCCAAGACTTTCCTCGTCAACATATTGCAACTGGTCTTCCAGAGCACGCTGCTCAGTAGCTGCCTTAGTGCGGAGTTGTTCCAGCTCTTGCGTAACAGTCTCTAGGCGGCTACGGAGGCGGTCGGCTTCCTGCGTACTTTGACTCAAGGCACGCGTAACTTCTCCATCCTTGAGTGCCTTCGTCACATTCAAAGTGTGAAGATCACCCTCCAATCGTGATGCAGTTTGGCGAAGCTTGGAGGCTTCTTCATCCGCAGTGTTCTTGGCAGCGACAAGCTCATCCTGACTCTTGCGCAAAAGACCAATCTGCTTCTGCAACAAGGCGTTCTCCTCGCGAAGCGAACCCAATTCACGCTCAGAAAAGAGAGGGATAGCGTTCGTACCAGCGCCAACGCGAGGCTCCTGCAGTTCGCGCTCAAGCTCTTGAATTTTCTTCGTAAGCCTGGATTCCTTCTCCCGAGCAAGATGCACGTTTTCCTGCAGCGATGCCATCTCGTCATCCAGTCTATTCAGTTCTTCATCGTGTTCACGTCGCAGGGTATTGAGCTCATCCTCAAGGTGTTGGATGGTTCTCTTTGCCTTCTCGCTTTCACGCTCATGACGCTCTTGAGCATACTTGAGGTCGGACTCTAGCTTCTTGTAATCCACCTCAAGCTTGACAGTGTCGTTTTCGTTGTTGAAAACGGCATCACGGAGCTCGGCTTCTAGCTCGGCGACCTTCGCGAGCAGGTGCTCCCTCTCGCCTTCCACGACACCGACCTTCATCTCCAACGCACGCACCTTACGGAGGAGCTCTGCGCGCTCGTCAGAAGCCTCGCCAGCGTGAGTGGCGCGACTGCGGGCAACGTCAAGCTCGTCCATGAGGCCTTCACGTTCAGCTTCAAGGTTGATAATAGTTTCTTTAGACGCATCGATCTCAGCATTCAGTCCCTTGACGTGATTCTGCAGTCTGTCGCGTTCGTTCTTGACGGAAGTCAATTGAGCCTGGAGGTTTTGAACTTCACCTGCCAATCGCTTTTCCTGATCAGTAGCACCTTCTGCCCGTGCCTTGATACTGCTGAGCTCTTCAGCAATACGATCTTTGTCCGAGGCAAGCTCGGTGACACGAGTCTTGTAAGACGAGAGCTCATGCTTGATGCCTTCAGACTCACGTTCCAACTTGTGGGCATGTTCATCAAGTTCACCATTGCGAACGAACTGTTCATCAAGCTGGGCTTGCATTTCGTTGATCTCGTTGTTCAAAGCATCCAACTCCTCGCGACGAGACGCCTCCGTCTTCTTAAGCTGGCGGACTTCTTCACGAACTTGCTGAAGCTCGGCAATGTGATCGTTAAGACTAGCCTTTTCAGCTTGAAGTTCCTGGGTGAGCATGTCGACTCTGCCCTGAAGTGCAGCCTCGCGCTTCCTGTGACGCTCCTCCTCAATCTGCATTGCCTCTCGAATGCGCATACTCTCACCAGAGATCGTCCCCTCAGACTCTGTAAGTCGGCGAACGGTCTTCTCCATATCAGACTTCTGCTCCTGGGCCTCCCTCAAAGACTCATGAGCATCAGCCAGCTCCTTCATAAGGCTCTCCACGCGACGATCTGACTCTTCCCTGGCCGATTTGACCTCAATTTCGTAACGCTCTACGTCCTCACTCATGACGCGAAGTGCCGCCCTCTCCTCTCTCAACTGTTCACGCAAACCATGCTCAGCTTGGACACTAGCTTCGCGCTCAGTGGCTAACAAGTCTTCTGTGTCAGCCAATCTTGACTCAAGCTGCTCGAGATGTCGTCGTAGCTCGGTTCGTTCACCTTGAGCTTTCAATAGTTGCTCTTCCAGATTAGCGCGTTCAAAAGTCACTGTCTCCAAGCGTTCGCGGACAGTTCGGAGTTCGGCTTCGGCCTGCAAGCGACGAGCTTCCAGAGACGACACCTCAACGCGTTGCTCGTCGAGCTGTTTCCTCAAGGCAGCCATGGCCTCATCCTTGCCCGTGTCAGACGCAGCGAGCTGGTCCTTCACGCGTTGCAATTCCAGGCGACCATCGGTCTGCGCCTTCTCAAGAGCGGCATGCTTATCGTTGGCAGCTCCCAATTGCTTCATCAGGCGATCCTCCGAGGTCTTCAACACGACAATCTGCTCTTCCAAAGCCTCACGCTCCCTGGCGAAGTCTTCCTCGGCATGCTGAAGCTCGGCTTTTTCTTCACGAGCTTGCAACAATTCTTCCCTCTCGTTCTTCACCTGACGAAGTTCGTATTCAAGATCCTCGACAACGCTCTGCAACCTTTCAGCTTCAGCGACAGCTTCGAGGAGTTCGTCCTCATTGCCGGTAACTGGTGTCTGGTTTTCAGCCGCAGCCTCGAGCTCTCGGACCTTCTGCTCTAAGACATCGCATTCCTGATCCAAGTCCTCGGCACGACGAGTTGCTTCAGTCAATTTCGAGGCATTCTCGCTTTCCAGCGTTTCGAGTTCTTGCTGTAGCTCATCGATACGCTTGCGAGCAGTCTGAAGTTCCGCAGCATGTTCATCCGAGCTGTTCGTGCTGACCTGCGCTTCCTTCTCCAACCGCTGCATAGTCTGCTCGAGCTCGCTCTGCAACTTCTCAATGCGAGACTGAGTCTCAAGCGCCTGAGATGCCTTGTCGTCTGCAGCGCGTTGAACTTCCCTCTCAAGCTCCTTGACGGTCTTCTCAAGCGTATCGCGCATAGCCTCCAGTTCGGCAATCTGCGTCTCGGCCTCCTTAAGGCTGTCGTCTTTCTCAGCAGAGTTGCGCTGAACATTACGCTCCAAGTTTTCGACGGTCCTCCGGAGCTCGTCGCGCTCTTCTTCGAGCTGCTCGTAGTTTGAGCGTGCTTCGCGAAGTTCGTATTCGACGTCTTCAAGCTTACTGCGCACCTCCTGAAGCTCGCTCTCGAGCTGCATGTGCTTCTGCTTCTCTTCTGCAAGACTCTGCTCAAGCTGTTGAATCTTGGACCTCTTGTCTTCAAGATCAGCGTCAAGACCTGAGGCCTTCTTCTGCTCCTGAGCGACCTCGTCCTGAAGAACAGCAATCTCATCATCCTTCTCCTCAACTTCGGTTGCCCTAGCACGAAGGTCGGCCTCGGCTTGCCCCTGCTCTTCCTCCAGCTGTGCAATCTTGCGCTTCAACTGATTCAGCTCCTCTAGCTGACCCTGAAGGTCTTCGTTCTCGTCCTGCAACTGATCGACCTTCTGCCTGAGCTCATTGAATTCTTCTAGTTTGTCTTGAAGGTCCTCATTCTGATCCTGCAAGCGGTCAGCCGTCTCGGTCTTGACGTTGAGCTCGGCTTGGAGATCCTCGTTGTCGCCCATGAGTTTGTCGACCTCCTCCTTGAGCTTCTCGATATCTTCGCTTGATGCCTGACCAGCCTTCTCCTGCGCCTCAGCGAGTTCCTCTCGTAACTGGTCAACCGTTTCCTGGACTGCGCGGATCTCGCGGTCCTTTTCCTGCTCAACAGCTTCGATCTCATTTCCGAGGTCCTCCTCCGCACGACGCTTCACGAATTCCATCTCCTCCTGCAATTCCTGAATGACAACCTGGGCATCACGAAGCTCAGCTCGCGCATCCTCAGACTCCCGAATAGCGTTGTTGAGTTCTTCGCGCTGTTCATCGGACATGCCGTGCTGAAGGGTGCAGGTTTGTCCGTGCTGAGAGCGTGCCTCCTCCTGGAGTCTGGCCACACTCTTCTCCGCCTCCATCAAGAATTTCTTGTGACGCTGCAACTCCCTCTGCAATGTCGTTCGCTCAACCTTGAACTCAATACTCTCCTTCAACGCCTTATCAATGTTTTCAGGCGCCATGTTTTGCATGCGTTCTTCCAAATAAAAGATTTTGAGCTTCAACGAGAAGTTCTCTTTCTTCATTTCGCTCAGCAGGTTCTCCTGCTCTTTCAAGGTGTATTGAGCTGCGTCGGTAGCATCGCCGTTGCGTCGGGGAGGAATGCTTCGCATAGATACTGCACTGGAAGGTACTTCCGGCTCTCTGATACTAGCAATAGTCTGCTCGCCCTGAAGGTCTTCGCCGCTGATCGAGTATTGAAGCGAGTTCTGGTCGAGATTGGGCAACGATGGTGACTGTAGTTGCTGAAAGTTTAACTTCCTTGCCATAGGCGTAGCCTCGTTGCCGGCCAAAAACCGTCCGGTTGCACCCTTTCGTGCACTTTTCAACAGTGGCGTGAATTCTTGTTTGCGGTTGGTACGATCAGCAAAAACGACCTTGGATGGAGACTGAAATCTGGATGCTCGTGGAGGTGCGAGTTTGCTGTCGGAGGGCTCGACGAAAGAGAGCTCGCGGGACCCGAAGGTTATGTCCGCAGCGTCTATAGAGTGAGAAACATCGTTGTAGCCTCCCTTTCCAGGGGTTTGAATGCCGTTCACTCCGGCAGACGCCATTGCCGTATCAGTCGTCTAGACAATGTTTGGTCGTGATCCGGGGTATATCTGCTGTAGAGAAGGCGTTGCGGAGTCGGAATAGGAGAAATAAAGAGCGCAAAATGTCTATTCCGGTTCGTTTCGTTCAGTTGCAATACCGGTGTCGTTGTTGGTGTTTTCTGAGCTTTCGTGTTTACTGCTCGAGCCAAATGTAAACAAACTGGACGCCAATTAATGCAGGCAGCGGCAATATCATGCGGTGCACGAACAACGAAGGGACAAAGTCTGCTCAAGATGACAGAAAAAACAGAAACTTTGTCTTATATGTTTTACTGAGCTGACCAGCCAGAGCTGTTATCACCGCTACCTTCGTCATTTGGACTGGCAATCCCAGCTGTTGCGAACACGCGCGCCTTTGAGCGATCCGTGACATGTGCTACTGCTGTGTGCAAAATTCTTGACGCGCATCATTTTACCGCATATTCGTGCAGGACACGACCAATCCACCAAACACGCCGCCAAACCTTGAAAATGCCTCCAAGGAAGCTGAAAGGAGCTGCTAAGGCTTCGTATAAGCGCAGGGCATCGTCTCGTACCCCCAAACCGCCCTCCCGTCTCCTCGAAGATGCAGCCTCACCACCACCTACAGATACAGTCCGGAGGGAAAAACGGCCTAAGACAGTCAAGGAACTCGAAGACGAAGACGTACCGGTTGATACTATCAGCAGATTCGACGACTTCCAGGTCTTCGTTCTCGTCACTAGGCAAAAGAGCCACAGGTATCCTCAAGCACCCTGGACGGTCAATCCAGTCAAGTCTTGGGCCGACCAAGAGCAGCTTTTGATCGATGTCGCCCTCGAGGAGCTCCGTCATGATCATATGGTCGTCGAAGGCGTCAACAAATACTCCCTGAAGCCCAATATCAACTGGAAAGTCTGCCGTGGAAGGAGCCGGGATGCACCATGGTGTAGACTACGAACGGAGGACGACTGGGAAGGCTTCATTGATGCCGTCCACACTGAACACACTGAACGCACCCCTCTCAGACTCAGTCCTGGGCCCGAAAGCCTCTCATCCCTCGACCTAGGCACAGTGCTACCAACACTGCTCTCCAGGGCATTTCGAATGAACTTGCGAATGATCCTCAACGCTACAAAAGGATCCTTGCTGTTCAGACCCTACAGGCTAAGCACAAATGCGCCAAGCACCACCAGCAGTACTGCTATGTTTCATCCTTTTTCTCACCAACATCGATACATTACCAATGATCTCCTCAATCTATGGTCTAAGTACTTGGTCGCGAAAGAACATGGGGTTACCGTTGAGGAACCACCCATCCATGATCCCCTATTCGCTGGGTTGCTCATACCATTCAAGGAGACAGATCAATCGGAAACACCTGAAAGCAGGCACTCTTCGTTCGGTATGCCTCAACTACTTACACCAGTGACTGCGCCTCGATTCGATCTACTCCCTAACCCTCCCTCGAGTCAGCCTACTCCGACCCCAACCCCAACAACCACGACCATTGACCCGCAAATGCTCAGGGGTTCGAGCCCTCTTCAAGGGCCGGCTGCTGATGATTTGGACGGGTTTCTAGCCTATGTCAAGACCAAAGTTCCGGAATACATCGACTTTGATTGCCAGACGGTTCGAGATGCAATT